CGTACACGCGACCTCCGACGGAATACACGCTTCGTCTGCACACTCTCGTCGCGCTTCTTTGCGACCGCTGCTGATTTTGTTGCTCCTTCCTCTTGCGATGCGCGTCCTCTTCCTCCTGTCCCAACAAAATGGACCGATCTTCGGCGTAATTGATCTTTCGCACGACTCGAGACGTTCGTCGGCGTTCGCTTTCCGGTATACACTCTTTCCGCTTTTGCTTCTGTGTATAATTTTGTTGTTGTTCGTATTATTAAAGAAGATATAACACACGCGTCAGTCAAAGCAAAGAGCGAGACAGAGACAGAAAGAAAGAACAAAAGAAAGAGACAGAAAGATGAGACGAATGCGAGGAAGTCCTCTCTCGTACCTTTCTCGGCGTCGGCGTCGCGATCGGTGGAAACATGCTGGAATGTTTCCCGATGAGATTTTCCAATCCCATCTCTTTCATCCGTTGTACATTTTTCGCGATTCTCGCTTCGCGTTCGAGCTCGAATTGCGACAAGGGCGTCGCGAAAGAGTTATTATTAATTGGGGAGGTTGGCGAGGATGAATTATTTGACATGGCGCGAATTTTAGTATTATTACTACACGCTTATTAGTAGTATTAGTAGTAGAGTGATGATGATGAATTGGAGAGCGTTCCCGTGGGTTTTTGGCGGGAAAATGTTTTCATACTTAGGGTTTCATTTGTTACCCTAAACATAATATTCCACTGCTCTTTCAGAAGTCTTCCAGAGCGCTCTTTGAGCCTTTCTCGGTTCTTTTCTCCCTGAGAACTACGGAGGAAAGACACTGCCAGCGAGCGACACAAACGGAAGAAGAAAGTACTCTCATCATGCCAAAAGGCCCGTTCGCGAGCTCGGTCGGCGTCGGCCGCGCGGAACCGGAGTGGGCGAAGTTGAACAAAGTCGATGGGATTTGTGGACGAGACGTGATGCACCAATCCGGAGAGAAAACGGAAGCGCCGTTAAAGTTGGAGGATGAAATCACGAGCGGCGAGTGCGAATCTCTGATCGTTCCGGAAGATGGAGGTTTTGATTTGTTAATCGTGGGTGCCGGGTTGAGCGGGTCTGTGATCGCGGAAAGGTGCTCGAAAGAGTTGAACATGACGTCTTTGATTCTCGATAAAAGAGACCACATAGGAGGGAACTGCTACGACTTCGTCTCGGACGAAGGCATTCGGTGCTCGAAATACGGCGCGCATTTATTCCACACGAATTTCGAAAGAGTGTGGGAGTACGTGCAAAACTTCTCGGAGTGGATCCCGTTCGATCATAGGGTGAAAGGACGCGTGGAAGATGAAAATAAAGAGTTGAAATTGGTTCCGATACCGCCGACGAGAGAGACGGTGAACGCGTTGTTTAGCGCCAACGTAAACACGGACGAAGAGATGCAAAAGTGGTACGACGAGCAACGAGTGGTGCCGAAAAGTGAAGACGGACAGCCGAGGAACGGAGAGGAAGCGGCGCTGAGCAGAGTCGGGCCGCTCTTGTACGAAGCCGTGTTTAAACATTACACGAAGAAGCAGTGGGATAAATACCCGGAGGAGTTGGACGCGAGCGTGTTGTTGAGGTTGCCGTGTCGGACGACGACAGACGATAGGTACTTTTCCGATCCGTGGCAAGCGTTGCCGAGAAGAGGATACACTAGAATTTTCGAGAACATGTTGTTGGGCGACGAGAATATACAGATTCGGTTGAATTGCGACTTTTTTGAGTTGAAGAAGTCGAACGCGTTGCCGAAACATAAGTTGGTCGTGTTCACGGGTCAAATAGACGCGTATTACGCGAGTTTAGGGATGCCAAAGTTAGAGTATCGATCGCTGGAGTTTGAAAACACGTACGTCGAGGAACCAGAAGATGGTTATTACCAAGAAGCTATGGTTGTAAACTACCCGTCGTCGTCGGTGCCGTTTACTCGCATCGTCGAATACAAACACACGCCGAATCAGCCGAGCGAACAACCCTTGCCGAGAGGCACTTTGATTGCGAAAGAGTACAGCACGGACGTCGGGGAACCTTATTACCCCGTACCGAATCCAGAAAATAGAGCTTTGTACGAAAAATACGCCGCGTTAGCCGAGAAAGAGAAAGGGGTGTGTTTCGTCGGGCGATTAGCGAGTTACAAATATTTCAACATGGACCAAGCCATTTTGAACGCGTTGGAGATGTACGATAACATGAAAGAAAACGGGACGTTAGAGCCGAAGAGGAAACCGGAAGATTTCGGACCCGGGGATGGACCCAAGTGATTAGATATTTTAAATAATATGTATTAAAAGAGAATATTTAAAAACTTACGGCAAAAGTGCTTATATAATAAATTCCACGTCGGCAAGTCTCTCCTCCATCCCTTTTTCATCACGCTTTACAATTTTACAATCACAAACAACAAACCAAACAACAAAACGCTCACAATCAACCCACCAATGGCTACAGCCATTTCATCCCTCGATTTTAACGCAAATCGTCGTTCACCGCACGCAGGACACCTCTTCTCTTCCGCCCACGGGCCTTTCGTGCCGTCGTACACGTACCCGCACCCTTGACACACCCAAAGTTTCCCGTCGACGACGGCGTTCGGGTTCGCCGCGATCACTTCCGCGGACGGTCTCGAGCCTCTTTCCGGTTTCCCCGCCATGGCGATGATGTGCACGCCTCTTTTGTCTACTCGTTGTTTTCGTCGTTGTAATTGTGCAGTTTTGAGTGCAACTTTGGTCGAATTCACCTGCTTAAAAAAATGTTAAAGTCTCGAACAGTCAGTGTCTCGTTCTTTTTTCTCTCACTCTAGGGAAACGTGAGGGTAAAATTCCGAGTCATATCTCATCGTCATCATCATCATCATCATCATCGACCGTCTCGCCGATATGTGCGCGCAGTAAAACAATGCTCGAAAAGACACGCACGCGTCTCTGATACTACTCGTTGTGGTCGTTCTTTCTGAGGCGTTTGACGAATACTAAACGCATCAGAATCACGCGCATAAACATATGATATGTAAATCAACACAAAATTGGACGTTTTGATGACGACGACGAGGTTTTGATGAGCGATGATGGACCCCGCGCAGGTCTACTCACGACACGCGCAGATAAAAAAGAAAGAAGAAACGAAAAGGTAAGAAGGGCACAAAAGACAAAGCGCACCTTGGTGTTGGTGTTCTTGCGCAAAGAAACCGTCGTCGTCGTCGGTCGAGCGACCGACGGGACCAGAGAGGTGGATAACGAGAACATTTTTTGGTTAAAAAACTCCTTTTTTGTGATGAAGCAGAAAGATGAAAAAAATGAAAAAAATGAAAATTTTTCTCAAAACTAATAAGGAGACCAACAGATTTTCCTTTGTCTCGTACGCGGCGTAAAGCTTTGACGATGATGTGTGAATACGCTTCTCTCTGTGTCTCTCTTTGAAAAGAAAGCAGTTTTCCCCGCATTTTGATGCGCGTTTTGGTGGAATCTTGACTTTCAATGCTAGGATTTAAGAAATATATGTATACGTATACTCTGGCGACGACGTTTTGGTTTTCAACCGCCCAAACCGCGGAAACTCTCGCGTCTCTCGAGCGCTCTCTTCGCGAGTCTTTGAAAGATTGATTTGACGTTACAACCGGTTTTCGCGTTCGCAGATGCGACGAAACTGGAGAGTTCTGGTGAGATGCTGAGATGGCTCCTCGAGTCTTGGGAACCTTCGGTGGTGGTACTCTTTGAGGACGACGACGCGGTCGTCGTCAGTCTTCGATCGAAAGCGTCGAGCGCATCGAGCGAGCGCTCGAGGAAAGCGTCGTCGGGTTGAAGTTTATTTTTGTCGTCGTCGTCGTCGTCGACAAAGTCGTGGACGCACAGACACACGCACGGTGGAAGTGAGCGTCGATTTTGTCGTTTCGCGGAGTTCACGTACCGCGCGACTTCCTCGAACCATTTCGACTGGACCAAGCGCAAAGACTTGTTCAAGTCCCCTCCTCGGTTATTCGCGACTACAATCAGAAAAGCGTCGATGTCTCGACTGGAATCAACGTACGTCGCATACCGCGCATCTCTATAGCAGTCGTTTCCAGAAAAGTCTGTGATGCAAATCTCTAAAGATACACTTTCAGTATCGTTACCATCGTCGTTGTCGTTTAATTCCATTCGTTTGGCGGCGTAGTCCATGGCGACCGTTTTCGCCGGTTTCCGAAAAGGAGGCTGGTGACCGCGAGAGGAAGGCGAACGGTTCGTGCAAAACGACGTCACCAAAGCCGATTTTCCGGCACCAACGTCTCCGAGAACGCACACGTGCATCCGTTTTCTCTTCTTTGTGGACATGAGTGCCATACGAGTCATGAATTCTTTACGAATATATCTCTGTTTGGGTCTGCGCTCTTCAAAATCTATTTTTAGACGGCTGCGCTCGAGCGACTCCGACTATCATCATCATCAATACTTTTACTACTATTATTAGTATTATTAGTCCCCGCTAACGCTTTCATCTCTTTCCGTGTTTTCGCATTTATCTTCCACGTCACCGATATTCGCATTCCAGCGCCGTAATCTTGCCCGACGCTCCACACCGCCGTCAATATCGAAACCACCGCGATCCATTCGAAGGAAGCCAGTATCCTATAATTGCGGTCGAAACCGCCCTTCGGAGGCATGCGAACCACCACAAACATAAACATAGAAAATGCGCCTATAGCGCACGCTATGCTTTTCACCCACAAGTGTTTCTTCCTGTACGCTTTCGATTGCAAAAAATGCACGCCGCCCGATGCTTCCTCTCCTTCTTCTTCCGGAGTACACTCCGACGCCGGCTCGAAATTCTTATACATCTGATACGTCAACATGCACACCCACAACAAAGCTCCGCACAAGAATTGAAACGCGCAGAACCCGTGTATGTATACATTCTCGTTCTTCTGTACGCTCGCTACTCCGGCTAAACCTATCGCCGCTATCGCCCCAACAAGACGCGTTCTCTTCGCGAATCTTTCCCACGTTTTCGTATCCGTGTCGAAGAACGCTCGCACGAACGCCTCTTGAATAAACGCGAAGCCGAATAGAAAAACCGCCGCCTGTAGGTAGCAATACAAAGGTGGTAAGAATAATATCGTCTGGTCAATAAGCAAGAACAATCGATGCAACAAAAGATACAACATAATAAAGCGAAACATCGACGAAAATGAACATCCATCGACGACTTTGCCATCGCGGCGGTCAAACGCAAAACACCTTCACTTACCACGTTGATAAAAAATCTCGAAATCCACGTTTGAGGATCTTTCGTAAACGTATCGGAGACGATCGGTACGTCGTATATGGTGTCTCCTTTTGCCGCCGCTGCGATGTAGCACGTTACAATGGTCAACGAGACGAAAAAAATGGCTGCGTTGATGACGTCTGATGCGCGTATCTGTGTAAAGAATAAGAGTAATAAAACAGTTAGTTGGGGGTGAAACGAGAGACAAAAATTGGATTAAATTCTTTTAAAAGCGCGAACGACAACATCACAAGAACGAAGCGATGCGAGAAAGAAAGAAGTCTCACGTTGGTGAGCAAGTCGTAGTTCGGTTTCGACGCCACGGGGGTGTTACTGTTCATTATTTTGTCTACTCTTTTATACACTTTTTTTATGCCGCTTTTTATTATCTATTTTTGCTCTAAACTCTCATGCTTTCTCTTCTTCTTCTTCAGATGGTATTTCGTAATACTCGCAACATCGAACGTAATCCATGGCCACGTAACTCGCCAATGCGATTAAACACACCAGAGCGAAACGAACGTGTGCCAACGACCCTAAACTCACAATTAACTGCGACGTGGCTAATACGCCTAACGAAGGGAAGAGCGGGACGAACGGCGCGGTGAACTGCGTCTGAGTGTTCGGCGCGTTGCAAAAGCCGTTCGTTTGAGGAAACGTTTTGAGGCCGTAGAGATGGAAGGAGAGGATGGTGTAGCACACGGCGATGGCGGAGAGGATTTGGAGCACTAGTTCGAGTTCGTACGTTACCGAGAAGCACAAAGAGAGACATGCGATCAAGAGGTACAAGGCTCGCGAAAGCGCCGGCCATCTCGCGTTCATGTCGTCGAATCGAACGTCTTTCGGCGTGTACCTTCGAACCAAAAGCGCGAGGTTGACTCCGCAGAATATCGTCAACGTCCCGATGGAAACCATTTGTGCTAATATACCGATATCGAACACTAAGGTCAAAACGCCCGTCAGAGCCCAGGTTAAAATGCTCGCGTTTACCGGCGTCCCGTACGTCTCCGAAACGTTCGCGATGCATTTCGGCATCAATCCGTCTCTCGCCATCGCCATGTATACTCTCGGCTGTCCAACTAAACATCCCAACAGAGAAGTCACGATACAAAAGATAGCCCCGCAACTGACAACCACTGATGCCCACGGAATGCCGTTCTTTGTAAACGCGACGGAAAAAGGTGCGTCCACGTCTATTTGTTCGTACGACACCATGCCCGTGATAACGCCCGCCATCGCGCAATACAAAATCCCACTGATCGCTAAAGAGCCTAGAATACCAATCGGTAAATCCTTGCCTGGATTTTTCGTTTCCTCCGCTAAGGTTGCCACCGTATCAAACCCGATGAACGCGAAGAAAACCACGGACGCGGCTGACATGACGCCTTGCCATCCAAACTCCGGAGGAATGAAAGGCGTGTAATTATCCACGTCGACTTCCGCGGACCCGACAATAATCACAAACGCAATCGTTGCCATCGCTAAAGTAACCACCACGAATTGAAAATTCTTCGTTTGCTCCATCCCGCGAAAAATCGTGAGCGTCATCGCGGATACCAATAAAAACGCGCAGAAATCGAGTTCAATCGCGTGTTCGATGATCTTCACTCGCATCGCGTCCGGCTTCAAACCGAACAGCGTCGCGAGATAACTCGTAAACCCTCTCGCGACTGCCGCCCCACCCACGGTCAATTCTATCGCTAAATTCCACCCCGTAATATACGCGAACACTTCCCCGAACGTAATCGAGATGAAATTATACGCGCTCCCGCTCGTCGGCGCGCACGTCGCGAACTCGCTGTAGCACAACGCCGTGAACACGGACGCACACATCGCGATCAGGTAACTCACAATCAACGCCGGTCCTGCGTTTTCTTTCGCCGCGGTTCCGGTTAAGACGAAAACTCCGGCGCCGACGATACCACCTACGCCTATGACGACCAAATCGGATGCGCTTAAGACTTTCTTCAGACCTCCATCCTTCCGCGTTTTGTTGTTCTTCTTGAACACGAAAAGTCTCTCGGATTTCAATCGCAACGCGCGAACGATGAATTCGTCCAAGCGAGTAAATCTTATTCCTTTCGTCCCGATGTCTACTTTCGAGTCCACGTAGTTCCTCTGAGCGCGTCGTCTCGACGACGATTTTTGAAACGACGACGACGACATGTTGTTGTTGTTTGCGTGTTCAGCGCCGAAAAGTAATGCGTTAGGATATATGTGTGGTGCGCACAAAATGTGATACATGGGTGTTGAACTTTTGCTTCCAATTTAGGGTGTCTAAAGTGCTCAAAAAGAGCCCAAAAGAGGCAATCCATTCACGTCATATTAATTACATCGTGTGTACGAGTAAATTATAAAATGGCAGCGGTTCCGACGGCAAACGCGACGAGAGCTTTCTTATTGGTGCGCTGCAATGAATGCATTCTTTCGATGATATAGTCGTTTTTGAAGATTTGTTCTTTTTTGATCATCGCTTTATTTTCTCTCTCGCCCGGGTTTTGTGTGTTGTGTTCTTCTTTGGTTCGGATCACAATTTTGGAATATCTTTTTGTCCTCCCTTTAACGTGCGCGGGAAATGCGGTACCCGTGATGGATGTGCTCTCGTCGTCGAATTCGCGTCGAAAGAGGAGGCGAGATCTTAAAGGTTTTATCATCCTCGGCGTTGTTTCGCTGCTTTTTTTTCAGAAAGAAGCGCTTTCTTTTCCAAAGGGAGAGAGAACTCTTCAACTCGGTTTTGTGAGATGGAGGAACTTTTAACGAACCTCTCTCTCTTTTAATACTCTCTCGCTTACTCTCTTACTCTCTCACTCTCTCCAAAAAACAAAACAAAACAAAACAGTACTTGGGCAAATTCAAACCGGATAGCGGCGGATTCGAAGGCGACTTTAAAAACTACGTCCCGAAGGCGGTACCAATCGCCGCGAAGCATAAGACGGGATACGCTTCGATCCAACCGTTAGCGGATGTCTACGGAGAGCAGAAGGCGCACGACGTGGCGGCACTCTATAGCTTTCCGAACAAAGCCTCTTTCGACGGATGGTTTGACGATTATAAAGTCTCTGGTTTAGCAGAGATGCGACACGGGTTGTTGGACGGTCAAGTGACTTCCTACTACTCTATGGCCGGGGAAGATGTCGATTACGATGCGTTGACGCACTACGTCGTGGCGAACAAAAAATTCGCGAGCGCCGAAGCCAAGGAAGACTTCCAAACCAACTACGGATCGAAAATCAAAGATATCGTCGCTCAAACCAGTGGTTGCATAATCAAAGCTGGCCCGTTCACCCCGGAACAACGCGAAGGGTTTCTTCAAGAAGACGCGGACGACATTCAGCTCACCATTTTAATCGGTTTTCCGAGCGCGGAGAAGAGACAAGCTTTCCACGACATCCAAAGCGAAAACGGCATGAAAGACGTCCGAGAGCGCACGTTGGTCGGACCGTTGTATAACATCGACGCGTTGCCGAAAGATCATCCCGCGTTTGTCAGTGGTTCTCCCTTTGAGAGAAAAACCATGTAATCGATGATCTGCGTTGTACATATTTAAAAACATATTTTTTGCAAGAGAGAAAAGCGACACAAAATTAGGTAAAATGCCCCCTTCCTCTCCCTCTCGCTCTTCCTCCTCCTCCTCGTTTCCGTCGAACTCGAAACCGTCTCTCTCTTTCGCGCTCGCGTTACTCCGAGACGCGGCATCGGTTTTGGAGTTTCCAATCGCCAGCGCTTGCTCGGGCGTTTATTTTTACCGCGCGTTTCTCAAACAACAACAAAATGGACGACACCAATTACAATCGCAATCACAACGACGACGACGGGGAGGAGGAGGACAAAATGTGAAGCATTCGCCATGGTTTGAGCTCGAGTGCATCGTCACGACGTGTTTATATTTAGCCTCGAAAGTGGAGGATACCGCGAGGCGAGTTTCGGACGTGTGTAACGTCGTTCGGAGATGTCGTTTGCGGTTGCAAAAAGAAGCGGGGGAAGAAGAAGTTAAAGAAGAAGAGAAAAAGGGAGGTAGCGAGAACGAATCGAACGAGAACGAAGTCATCGTTGTCGGGGAGAGCTATTACGAGAGGAAGGATGTGGTTTTAGAGTTGGAGAGGGACGTTTTACGCGCGCTCGGGTTTCAGTTGCATCGAACGCCGCAGCCGCACAAGTACGCTTTAGCGCTCGTGAAAAGACGGTTCGGGGAGGAAGCGAAGGCGGCGACGAAAGTGGAGGTGGCGTTGGCGGAGAACGTGAGTGTGATTTTGGAGGCTGTTTTATTTGGAGATAATTCCGACGTGGACGATGGAGAGAAGGAGGTGAGCGAATGGGAGGTGAAAAGAATCGCGGTGGCGGCGGCTGCTTTGGCCGAAGAGATGTGCGGCGTGAGAGTCAAGCCGAAATGCGCGTGGGAAGAGTTGTTAGGTTTAGGAGGGATGGATGTTCAAGGAGGCGACGACAAGAACGGAATAGATCCAGAAAGAACAATAACAGCAACAACAACGAATGGTAATGGGTGTAAGGAAGTTATGATCAGAATGCGCGAGGACGTAAAAGTTTTGAAGGAAGCGTGTGCGAAGTACGAATCGCTTATAGAGTATAGTTGAATAAAGGTAAAATATTAGGTAGCTTTTTTAGAAAAGAATATGGTACAGTAGGCTAGTCCATTTTTAATTGCCTGGTTTCGCCTGCGCGTTCTTCACGTATCCGCTGTCGGCTTCGCGGAATCCCATGTATCTACCCAGATACACGTCTCGCAACAATCCTCGCAACGTGCTCGGGTAAAACGGTTTGGACAAGGTTCCGTCCATTCCTGCTTTTTGAATCGCGCTGACGTGTTCTGGGCCAACATTCGCGCTCAAACCGACAATCAAAGCGCTCGCGGGTGGCTCTTTAGCCAACTCGCCGTTTTCAAATTGTTTTCTGGCTTCGCTTTCCATCTCACGAATGCACACGGTCGCTTCGGTCCCGTTCATTATAGGCATCATTTGGTCCATAAAGATAACGTCGTACGGTGGAATATCTCCAGTTAAAATTTGTTTGTACGCGTCGCAGGCAATCTTGCCGTTGTCCGCGATGTGTGTAGTAACATTACACGCCGCCATGGAAACCGTGGCGACTTTTTGGTTCATCAAGTTATCTTCGACCAGCAAAACGCGCATGGACGAAATGTCCAAATCCCAATCGGCTTCGTGTTTCAGAGAGTCTTTGGGAGGAACTTTTCGTTTTTGCTCGGGAATTTTCAATCCCGCGGCGGAAATGGCAGCGTTGGGTTTATCGTCTATACCAGCGCCGCCATCGCCCATTGCTTTCGTGGAATTCGCGGTAGCGTCTCCTTCGACGCCGATGAGTTTTGAGGAGACGTTTCGAAACTGCCCAGACGAGGCAGCTTCAAAGCTTTGTCTCGCGCTTCCACCGCGACTCCCATCCCCACCTAGTTCTGGAGTTTCCGGTCGGGCCGCCATACCGTAGTTGATTCTGGAATCTGTGCCGTCGTCTGCGAATAACCCACACAAACGTCTCACGACTTTGAAAAATTCACCCGGTCGCACCGGCGTCATGCACGTTTCGCGTCGTTTCGCAGATTTTAAAAAGTTTTCTACATCCTTTTCGGAAATAGAGGCACGGGGTCTTCCTCTACGGTTCAAGTCGTTACTTTCTCCGTGTTCAAACCGGCCTTTGTTGATATCGATCAACTGCGCGGGCGAGCCGAATATGCACATGGAATGGTCCATGTCGACGAAATCGGCGATATTTTCCATCAACGTTTCCGTGTAGGTAAATACCACCGGTTTAATCGTCGAGTCTTTTTCAATCGCGATGAGTTCCTCGAGCGTACTTTGAATCCGTCCTTGTGGCGCGTAGAACGGACTAACGTCTAACGTCAACACGTTCTTATCTTCAATCCCGTAGCACTCCAATAAGTTTAACAAAAAGCTACGGCGCGGGCCGCTGTTTTCGCACACCACGTACAGTAAATCCTTCGGCAAGTGCGTGACTTCTTCACCCGAGGTGGATGAAAACGAGTTTCCATTCGCGCTGCCTTTCATTCGTTTAAAGGATAAAGCGATTGTAAACGTCGTACCGAAGCCCTCCATGGATTTGAACGTCACTGTGCCGCCCATGCATTCGACAATCGCGCGCGTGATGGATAAACCCAAACCGGTACCTTGTTTCCTCGTAGTTGAATCATTCGTCGGTTGCGAAAACGGAACAAAAACCGTGTGTTGTTTGTTCTTAGGAATTCCAACGCCGTTATCTTTGACGTTGAATTCTATGTACACTTCGGACGTGTCGACTCGGCCGTTCACGACGATGTTTACGATCCCTCGTCGTTTGGTTTCTTCCTCCGTCGCGGAGTATTTAATCGCGTTGTCGACAATATTCACCAAGCACTGGCGAATGCGAAAGTAGTCGCCGACGATGTTTTCGCAGAACAAATCAGGTGGATTAACTTCAAAAAATATATCCACGTTCCGTTTAAAACTAGTCGATCCTTGTTGCGAGATGTCCATGGTTTGCGAAAGCAAATGTTCCAACGTGAACGAATCTTCGGACAAATCCAAACCGTGCTTCGCGCTTTTATTCGCTTTCGTCTTTCGATTAAATTTGGCGTAGTCCAACACTTGGTTAATCAAGCCTAACAAAGCTTCCGCAGACGTCAATGAATTTTTAATTAATTCGCCGCTAAAATTGTCCATGCTCCCGTTTTCCACGGCCAAAGTGTTGAACCCGATGACTGAGTTCAACGGCATTCTCAATTCGTGCGTTATGTTGTAGAAAAAATCTCTCTGAAACTCCGTCAACAATTGCAACTCCTCTAACTCGTCCTTTGCTTTACCATCAATCACTCGAATGTTCCCTTGACACAACAGATACGAATATGCCGATTTTGTGCACACGTCTGCGATTAAATACCACTCGTGTTCGCTCTGAGCGGAGATGAAATTAAACTCTTTCGCTAAAAACACCGCAGGGAAAGAGCTCCAGCATATCGACTGCACAACTCCTAGCATAAAAAATCTCAATCGATCGTCCTCGTGTTCTAACTTCGTCGTTAACTCGTAAAACAAATACCCCATATTATACATGACGAAGATAAAACACAAAATCGCCAGGGACAAACTCAACCACCACATGTTCCCGCTGACAAAGTGACACAAAATGCCAAACATTAACATGAACTCGTCTAAAACGACCGACAAATACATCGCTTTCCTTTTCTGCCCGTTCTCCGGGAACGAAACTGCTTGCAGTTGATACGCCAAAACGATCAAAATCGGTGTCGTAAACATCCACTCCAAATGTCTCAATATGCTCACCAAACTCCCATCCGCGCCGTTCATCAACACATCCTCCCCGTAATACATAATCAAATGCGCATAAAACGCCACGCACGCGATATACGTCACCGTCGCGCTCAGATTTCTCCTCGGTGAATTCGATGTCCACGTCACGTCGTTCAACCCGATGAGAATACACGTGCTAAAAATGACGATGGCGGTCAGCGCGCTCGAATCGCACACCAAACTCAACCCACCCGCCGCCGACGAAAAATCCAGCCCTGCGCTCCCATTGTTGAACCCAAAAAAGTTCTTGATTGAATTCATCATCCGTTCGTAAAAGAAGAGCAACACTTTCACCTCCTCCGGGTTCTCCGCTAACGTTTTCCGCGTGATTTCAATCACCACGTCGAACCCAATCGTTAACAAAATCAGCGTCAACGGCGAACATCCCACGCCGTTCACGTTGTCGTTCATCCACCATCGATAGTACTCTTTTCTGCGCTCAATAGAATCATCTCCCATCTTTGCATTCTCAAAGCCATTTCTGTCGAATAATTCTTTGTTGTTCGTCTTGTTCTCGTCGTCGTCGTTGCGACCGTTATGCGCATAATTACCCTTGTCCGTGTCCGTCCCGTTCCCGAACAAAATATCTTCTCGATCGACGCGCACTTGATCGGTTGGAGACTTCGGGTGGTGTTTGGTTCGTCTCCCACCACCACCACCATTACCACCACCCGATGATCCTCCTCCTCTGGCTGCGTTTGTCGGCATCGTTTTGTGTTCGGGTAAAATGCGGCTTTTGAGACGAATTTTATTAACGAGGTGAACGGCTTTTTTTTCTCAATTGAAAAAAAAAACATTTGATTTTTATATCAAACGAAATACTCATCACATAAAGTGGTGGAATAACGCGACGGAGTGAACTTGAGAGAGAGGGAGAGAAACGAGATCGCGTTTTTTTCTCTCTGTGCGTGTGTCTGTGTGTCTGTGTGTCTGTGTGTGTCTGTGTGTCTGTTTCCTTTCGTATCTTGCTCGCTCTTTTTTTCTTTCATATCTCTTGGGATAACAGAAAATGACAACAATAGCGGAAAAGCACTTGCGCTCGGTCATACCGAAACCGAGAGACTCGGACGAGGAAGATCCGAAGGTGGAGTTGAACGAAGAAGGCGAGGTTTTGAACATCGAGGCGGTCACGGAACGGTTGGCGACGGATTTAAAGTTGACCGAATTCGCGTTGAAAGATATCGGAGAAGGTGAAGGAGGAGAAGGAGGGGACAGAACGGATTACGACGGAGACGGGATGGCGAAAAAATACGCGGAAGCGAAGACGCACGAGTGGCGTTCTCTTCTCGAGTCGTACACGTTCATGAATCTCGCGAAAGGTGGGAAAGATGGATCGCTGATTGGCGTGAATACGATTGTCGATTTGGCGTGCGGCGAAGGGCACTACACGAGGTCGTTGAGGAACGCGTTTCCTAGAGCGACTAGAGTCGTTGGCGTGGATATTGCGGAAGAGATGATTGCGATGGCAAAAGAGAAGGAAAAGAACAAACCGATCGGGGTAAAATATATCGTCCAAGACGTGAAAGAGGAAGCTGGAGCGAAGGACGAGGAACGCTTCGATCTCGCCACCGCCGCCTGGTTGTTGGTGTATTGCAAATCCGTGGCCGAGTTGAATGAGATGTGTAAAGCGGTTGCTAATTACGTAAAACCTGGCGGGAGGTTTTTGACCATCATCACAAATCCGCAGATGGCATTCGACTCGGAAGGGACGCCAACAACGGTACTTCCCGGGGAGACGCAAACGAACGTTTTATCCCGATACGCAAAGTACGGATTTACGGTCACCGTCCCGAGTGAAACACCGCAAGAAGGCGACCCTTTTACATGGTCGATTAAAACAAGCAAAGGACCATTGGTTATTGTTAACTACTACTTACCTCGATGCGCGTACAAAGAAAGCTTAGAGAAAGCCGGGTTTGAGAAAATCAAGTTTCATCCTTTCGAGCTCGATCCGAAGAGCGAAGGTTTCGGGAAAAACTTTGCCATCTCGCCGTTCTCGCACTTGGAAGACGCGGATTCGAACGACAAGAAGGAGTTTTACCAAGAGTTTTTGGATTATCCACCCGCGCTTTGCATCGAGTGTTGGAAGAGCGGCGGCGGGAAGTGATGGGGAAAATACACAATGCCGCAAAATCTTCGCGACGGAAAGAAAGAAGAAACCAGCAGCCAATCGAGAGACGTTCCATTTTTCAACGCATAAAATACAGTCGTGTACAAAGTCTTCTTCACAATACAAAACTTAATCTACTAAACTCAATACCTACAAAACTTCGCGCGGATCAATACACTCGTCATCGTCAAGAGTCAAAAAGAGGCTGGCAATAACAGCACTGCACGCCGCTAAAGCACGCCAACGTGTTCGTCTCCTTATCGATGACCACAACTTTGATATCGTTCTTAATCGACACGTACTCCTTCCAATCGCGCTGCATCGGTAGCGAACAACACCCGAACGGATACGTGTTCAAACTCCAGCACATGATTTCGCGAGTGAATTTATTGTAACTCATTCCAATCGGGCATCCTCTCTCGCCGCCGCAATACACGCAATAGTGCACGTAACAACCACTTTTTGGCAAAGCCGAGGAACTCTTGATGCCTTTGGCCAATCTGTGCGATTCTTTGTGCGTCAACACTCGTCGGAAATTGAAGCGCGGCAAATCGTCCACATCATCGTCGTCATCTTTGTTCATCGATTTAACCGCGTTCGGTGGAGCCGTGTGTGCCGTCGTCTCCTCCTCCTCCTCCTCCTCCTTTTCTTCTTCTTTTTCTTCGGGAAATGTGTCGAAGTTTTTCTCGGGAGTAGAGGACGAGGACGAGGACGTCGCGAGCGCGCCGTCGTCGAAATCGTCCCCGGACGAATTCGTCGGTTTTTCCAGAATAGCTTCTTTGCTCATGATGATGGTTCTTCTTGCGTCCAGAGATCGACCGACCCGACCCGACCGACCGGGGAGATCCCAAGAAAAGTTTTTGAGGTGTCTTTTTAAAATATCTTCGACTCATCAAAAACTGATGAAAAACACAAAAATAAAGGTCTACGCGTGTCTTTATCAAGCGGTACAGTACGTGTCTTTTAATAATATTGATTATATGTCGGCTAATGTTCGTGGTATATACTCTCTCTCTCTCTCTTAACTCTGAAGCACGGCGAGCGGCGAGCGTGTGTATTTTAATGTTTTGTTTTTTCCGTCGCGTATTTTTCTTCTCTCTCACTCTCTCTCTCTCTCTCTCTTTCTATTACGTGTGTATGATGTTATCTCTTCTGATCAAATGTACGCATCTGGCGCCATTTGCTCTTGCGCACTTCCGTGCTCTTCTAAATACTTGCTCGCTTCCTCTTTTACTGGTTCGTTTCCACACAAGAGCGCGTGTTTCAACGCCTCCGCGAACGCCTTCTTCGCCTCTTCCTCTTTCCCGCCAATCTTCGCTAAACACTGCCCTTTAAAATTATACGTCGTGCTTAAAATTTCGCTCGTAGAATCTAAACTCTGCTCTAACTCCTCCGCCACTTTCAACTCTTTCAACGCGTCTGCCCATTCGTTCATGTTCATGAACGTAAACGCCAACCTATTCGCGCTCGCGGCTTGTAAATCTTTCGACTCCAACTTGGAAAATTTCTTCACCGCCTCTCTGAAATTTTTCAACGCGTCGATGTATTCACCCTCGTTTCTATGCAACTCCGCGAGCGCGGCGTGTAAATCCCCGGCTCTGCCGTTCAAATCTCTCTCCAACGACTTCGGTAACCCTTTGGCGCCAAAATGTGGCGCGCACAAATCTAAACCTTTTCGTAAACAATTTTTCGCGCATTCGATGCCTTGTTTTTTATCCGTATCTGAAGTCCCTTCCGTCCTCGCGCTTTGCTCGTACGCGTCCGCTAATATCCTCAACGCTAACCCGTGCACCGGTGGTGGCGCGCCGTATCGTTCGCACAACTGATCCGTGCTTTCCATCATCTTCTTCGCTTTCTCGTACTCGCTGTTGCGTATCATCTCCTCCGCTTTGCCGACGGAATACATGACGATGACTGGGACTTGTTTCGGGTCGACGCCTTTCGAGGTTTGTGTTTGTTGTGATTTTTGTGCGTCCATCTTTTATGCGTTTATATCTGACGCAGCGATTTTTGCGCACTCTTCTTTACGCGCAGCGGTTCTGTCTCTCACTCTCGTTCGAGCGGAGCTTTTAATACGACTCAGTCGTGTAGCGCTTAAAAGCAGCGTTAAGGTTTACCACGAATACGTGGCTTTTTTAGCCGTCGTAATTGGAAAAATGACCTCGGTCTTAAAACCTCCTTCTGTGTTCAGATGATGCCAAACGACGATGAGTGCGTCTCAAAAGCAACAACTGTAGTATTACGCACCGACGAAAGACGTCTGATTGATTTCAATGCCAGAGCGAGAGCGTGCGCGTGATGTGGTGTGAGGAAGTGCAAGTGGGGAAAGTTGTTTGGGTTAAAAGTGGATAAACCCCCGAAAAAAAGGAGGAGAAAGAGGCGTAAAACAGAGGGAGGAGAGAGAGAGAGAGAGAGAGAGTAAATAAATAAATTTTCTACGCACATCAAAATCATCATCAATAGTAAAATTACACGTTCGTGGATCCTCCTCCTCCTCTCAATCCACCTATGGCGATTGGCGCGCCCGGACCGGCTAATTCCTTCCCTTCCTTCTGGCTACCGTTCGCCGCGGCGGCGGCTTTTTCTCTCGATTCGACTTGGGCGTACACGACCATGCCGACTAACGCGACGGCGATGCCCATCAAGTTTCGCCCGGTCGCTGGATTACCGATGACGGTGAAACCGAAACCAAGGACGAGCATGGTTTTTAAATGGCCCAAGACTTGGTAGGTGACCGCGTCGCATTTTCCAATGACTAAAAAGGTGGAGAAGTTGACCGAGACGGCGATGCCGCACGATAACGCCGCCCAGAAGAGAACGGGGACGGACCACGTGACATCGAACGGGGTTCCACCGACTAATTGCGCGTCCAATGGCAACGCTATGGTCGCTAAAATAGCTGCCATGTACGGGGACGCGGCGTATAAGAGCTGCGTGCTGCTCACTTGGAATTGTTTCGTGTAATGGTTTGTCCAAATTTGGGACACGCACGTCGTGATAACCGCGCAGACGGACATGAACGTCCCGAGACCGTTCAATTGCATATCCGTCACCGTAGCAATCCCCACACCGAGTAACAAAATGCCGAGCGCACCTTTAATAGAGCTCGAATACTTCTTCCCGTAATAAATCGTGTGCATCATCACCGTGCACGGAATAATCGCCAGCTTCGTCATCTGATAAAACCCGACCGAGTTAAAGCCCAAACTCAAGTTCAAAAACGCGATCGAAATCCCGTTGATGCACGAAAACCTCAACAAAGCTTGTCGTTCGACTTCTTTCGGCTCTAAAAAGTTATACTTCGCCGCGAACCGTAACGCGACCGCGGTGACGATCATGTGCATCGCCGTCAAAAAGGTCACGTATTGAAACTCTAACGTCGAGATTAAATACTTGTTCACGATGACGATGGACACCGAGGATACGACCGAGAGCGTCAACGCGCCAACCACGCTTAAATCTTTTCCATTCCCATTTGCCCCGTCGTTATTCTTAGTACTCTCCATCGAAGAAGTAAACACTCGGGAAAAAAACGACGCAAAAGTTCTTCTTTTACTCCGGTCTTTGATTAAATCCGAATCGTAAAAAAGTGACGAATTAGTATTCGTATCTTCTTCCCTCTTTAGTATTTCCCCGACGTCTAAAGAGCTTATCGCGATGTTCACGTCTTGTTCTCCTCCGGTTCTTCGCGAGTGCATAAATAATAACAACACCGAGCAGCAGCAGCAAGTACTAAAACACTCAGTTATTAAATGTTTACTATATATGCTCTGCGTGTGTTTCTGTTGTTTTGTGGGTTGTTTTTTTATCCCAAAGAACACGATTTTTGAAGAAAATTCGTGGTGCTCCTTTCGCAGTTCTTTTTTCTACAACATACACCCTAAATATTTTTTTTTTCTTTTGATTCATTTCTTTCTTTTCGCACGAAGCGTTTCTCTCTGTACACACACACACACACCACTAATTGTTGTGCTGTTACGTTTGCGCGCGCTTTTGCAACGCGCATCTAACTTTGGTGGTGAAAAGTCGGAGTGCTGTGGTCGAGCTTTATTTTACGCAGCTTTGAATTTTGACCACCTGCTATCATTTATTATACGCGCACAAAACAAGAGAGAATCAGTTTTTTACCTCAGGGAGGATTGGTTTTTGGGGGACAACGAACTTTTCTCTTCTTCTCTTTTAGAAAAAGAAACACGGGCCACTGCCATGGCGACATCGACGACGACGCGTTCTTCTGCTAAATCGCACAACAACGAGAACGCCATCTCGTCGATATTCATCGTCGCGCCTCGAGGAGACGTGATTATCAAGCGCGAGTATCGAAAAGATGTGCCAGAAAATCAAGCTGAGATTTTCTTTCGTTTGGTCAAGTTCTGGGGAGCGAATGAAAGGAACAGAAACGAAGACGGTGGTAATGGTGGTGTCATCATCGGGAAAGAGAACGAGAACGAGATTAACGGTGTTGGTGAAGGAGGAGGCGGGACGATGGATCACTCCGCGCCGGCGGCGTTTAACGACCAAGGGGTAAATTATTTGCACGTGAAAGCGAACGGCGTGTACGTCGTCGCGACGACGAGAGCGAACTGTTCGCCGTCGTTTGTTTTGGAACTGTTGCATCGAATCGCGAAAGTGATCAAGGATTATTGCGGGACGTTGTCGGAAGATGCAGTGAGGAAAAATGCTATTTTGACGTACGAATTACTCGATGAGATGGTCGATTACGGGATTCCGCAGTCTACGAGTACGGCGGCGTTGGAGAAGCACATTTTTAACGATCCGGTGGTGGTTTCGGAAAGTACGAGCGCGTTAGGCGCTTTAGGAACGACTGGACGTCTCGCGATTCAAAAGACCTTAGATATGAGGACTGGAATTGATGGCGTTGATAGAGCGATTGGCACGACAAAGACGGCGGTAATCGACGGACAAAAATCGCAAACGTATAAGAAAGCAGCCGGAGCGTTTGATAAAATCTTGTCCTCGAAAATTTCCAAGAACTTAATGTCCAAAGTAGACGACGTTTTAGCGAAAGGTGGTAGCAATAGCGGTGGTGGTCAAAGCAACAGAGACAGTGGCAGGGATGTTAGAGTGTCCTCGTCTACAGTTCCGGGTTCTGCGACGAACGTCTCCGTCGCCGACGACGGCGCGGGCGAGGCTATTTTCGTAGACGTGATCGATAAACTCAACGTCGTTTACGGTCGCGACGGGGAATTAGTCAACGCGGATATCGATGGGTGCGTCAAAGTGCGTAACTTTTTACGAGCGGCAAAGGATACCAGAGTGCGCGTGGCTATGCCGGAAGATTTAGAAATCGGCGGTCGCGAACGTGCGAATCGTCGCGCGACGAGCAGCGGTTTCGGCACAAACATCGACGACTGTAACTTCCACGAGACGTGCGATTTATCCTCTTGGGACGAAAATAGAACGGTTTCGTTGTTACAACCACCTCGAGGGGAGTTCAACTTGATGAATTATCGCATGTCTGCGAGCGATTTCACGCCCCCGTTCAAGGTGCAGTGCATCATTGACGACTCGACACCGTTTCAAATTAAGATTGAAATCATCGTCTATTGCGATTGGCGAAGCGACGTGCGCTCCTCGGCGACGGAATTTTCCTTCCCGCTCCCCAAGGCCACACAAAACGCCACTTTCACGTACGACCAAAACGAAGCCATCGGTGGTGGCCAAACCGAGAGCAACGAACGCGCGACGTCGGAAAATCAACAACAACAACAAAGAACCCACCACGCGATGTACGACCAAACTCGAAGATGTGTCACCTGGCAACACAAATCCCTCAAAGGTCAAACGCAAACCAGTTTACTCGTCCACGCGAGTCTCAACCAGCGTAAAGTAGGGTTTGAAACGCGGCGGGAAATCGGTCCAATCAGTGCCCAGTTCTCCATCCCAAGCTTAAACTTGAGCGGCATGAACGTTCGATATTTGAGAGTCTCCACCGCGGAAACCGGCGGCGCGAGCGATAAGAGCGTACAAAGGTGGGTTCGGTATAACGCGAAAAGTAACAACTACATCTGCCGAGTGTAGAAAGAAGCAGAAACTACTTGATACTCTTCATAAAAGCGTGTGTTATAGCATTAGAAGACATACATAGAGCAGCACAATGTAAAACACATTCATTCGCGTTTCGTAGGCATTTTATTTTGACTTTTGTTCTCCTCTTTTGCAAAACCAACAAACTTTTTAAAATCGTCAAAACAACTTTTCGAGATATACACACAAACACGCGCGGGTTTACTCGCAAAAAGGGAGTGAAAGATCCTTTGCGTACTCGTCAGAACTTTAATGCCGACAACGTTCAAGCGCCCGGCGCAACGCGTCATCTATCGCGCGCGCAGTCGCGACGACTCGCGGGAACCTTTAACAACAACTGAGGGAGAAGACGAAGAAGATTTCCCCAAAAGTGCAACGAAACAACAGAAAGTAAACGACGACGACGCGATGAAACCACCATCGAGAACACTGGTCGATGTGCAGCCAAAACTCGTCGAAGATGATGAGATGAAAATGATACCGAAGGCGCACGTGATTAAAGAGTCTCCGGTGAACAATCGAGAGGTTATTCGAGACGTTTTGCAAAGAGGCAAATTGCCTCTAGTTTTAGATTTGGACTCCACCCTCTTGCACTCGGTCGAGAAGACGAAGTTTCTCTTTCCAAACCCGGGCGAGAGCAATACGAGCGAGGAAGAGATGAAGATTATAAAACAGGCGCAGAAGAAAATTGAATCTCGTTTAGAATCGAGCCCGGATAAGTTCTTTTACGTCAACGACCAATACTTTACGAAAATCCGCCCGCAAGCGAGGCGGTTTTTGAGCGAACTTTCGGAGATGTACGAGCTGTACATCGTGACGGCGGGGAGTCAGGCGTACGCGGAGGCGATCGCGAACCAAGTTTTAGATCCGCTCGGGAAGTATTTTAATCGAGACGTGAATAGAATCAAAGGGATGAAGCAATGGAACAGCGAGGTGAACCAATGGGTGGACGTTCGAACAAAAATCGTAAACGACGCTTTGGAAGGCGCGGAATCGGTGACGATCGTAGTAGAAGATAAACCGGAGATGTGGGACGGTGAGTGCGCGGTGATGCAAGTGAAACCGTATTATTACTTTCCAGAGTCGTTGGAAGAATTGAAACTGTCGCATTTCTATAACATGACGGACGAATCCGAGAAGAACGATTCCTATTTGGTCGATAACATTTTACCTCGATTGAGAAATGTTCATCGAATGATGTTTCGAGAAGCGGTGCCACATTTTTTACAAAACGGAGGCAGCGCGGACGGACAGTATTGGCCGTGCGTGTCTGAATTGTTATCGCTCGAGCGCAAAAGTATCTTGCGAAACTGCTTCATCTGCTTTACGAACGTGTTCAAAATCCACGAAGTCCCGAAAGATTCCCAGATTTGGAAAGAGGCGAAAAATTTAGGCGCCACGGTCCAAGAAACCTTCATCGATAACGCAGATATCGCCAAAAGAACCGAATCTATAGTCAAAGACGACCGCACGACGCACGTCATCGTCGGCGAGCACGGTAAAAGAAACAAGGCAACCGGTTTAGTCCTCCCGACGTCGAAAATAAACCAAGCGAGACGGAACAATCGACCTTTGGTCGATTGTTCCTTCATCGCCGAAAGCGCGTATTTATGGAAACCGGCGGATGAGAAAGCGCACGAAGTCACCAACGTGGAGACGCAAACGGTAAAAGTCAAAGAAGGAAAATCATCTGCGAAAACCTCGGTGGTAAAGAAGAGCCGATGATCGTAGAAGAGTAATGCGCGCGTGTAGTAGCTTATTTAGCTTTTAAAATAGAGAGTAGTTTAGAGAGATGTCATCGCGTTGTTTGCGCTTTAATAGGTTTACTATTACTTCACACAAACTCCCCTACTCAGTCGTCAGACTCTCTTCACAAACTCTACACATGGAGGAAACTACCGTCGCGGCCAGTCGCGGCGGAACCCCCGTGGCGCGAGAAGGAGGGAACCAACGATCCTCGAAAATCCAACCTTTGGAGATTCCCACGCACTCGTCGTCGTCCACCAAGGAGGAGGACACCATCGTCGTCGTCGTTCCTCAACGGGAAATTGAGCACCAAAACGTCTCCGAGACGAACACAAATGTGGAACACGCTTTGAACGAATCCTCCGAGCAGTTGTTGAGCGCGAACAGCAGCAGCGGTGGAAAAAGAGAGCGAAGAAGAGGAGAGAACGGAGAGGACGAAATGGAGGAAGACGAGTCGAGTTTACGATCCCCGCGAAGTCCGAAAGCGTACGCGCAATCCGGCGTAAAAGTTGGCATCGAATTCGCCAGAAGCGTGAAAGTCGTTTTGTTCTCGACGAAGATTTGCATTTTGCTTTTGTTCGTTCCAATTGCGCTGGCGTTAGGCCACGCGGGAAAGAATATGTCTCCCGGACCGATCTTCTTCTTCTCGGTGTTGGCGATCGTTCCTTTAGCCGAACGTCTTGGGTTCGTGACGGAAGAAGTCGCCGCGCATACGAACGAAACGTTGGGCGGATTATTGAACGCGACGTTCGGGAACGTGACAGAACTGATCGTCTCTTTAATGGCGTTGAGGAATGGAGATACGCGGTTAGTGAAACTGAGTTTACTTGGGTCGATATTGACGAACACGCTGCTCGTGTTGGGCGCGAGTTTCTTTTTTGGAGGATTGAAATATAGCGAGCAGACGCACAACAGGAAAGGCGCGCAGTTGAATGCCGGTTTGTTGTTGTTGAGCGTATTGAGCTTGACGCTACCGAGCGTGATGAGCGAGACGTCGATGAGTGGGACGACTGAAGAGGAGAAAGAGAGGGACATATTGAGAGTGTCGAGAGTATCGAGCGTGTTCTTGTTGGCTGGGTACATGGCGTTTTTGGTGTTTCAGTTGAAGACGCATAAGCACATGTTCGTGAGCGAGAATAAAAACGAGGACGGAGGAGAAGAGGATCACGAGAGGAAAGCAAAAGAGGAGAAGAAAATAAAAGCGGTGAGAAGGACCGGCTCGACAGAGTCTATGTTCAAGATGAAAACGAGTTCGATGGAGAATTTACGAGCGACTTTAAAGAACATGGCATCGTCGAGTAGCAATCCGAAGCCGATACTAGCACGAAAAGCGGAAAGAGAAGACGACGAAGAGAGTGGAAGAGGTTCAGCGGTGCCACAGCCTCCGGTGTCTCCAATTCCAGAAAACGCGGTGAAAAATAGTGGTGCATTAGATATTACCAACGCAGGCGGTGGTTCGAAACTTGCAAAATTACGTTGGCAATCCGCGGTGAAAGACATCGCGCAGAAGAAAGAATTGAACATGCTGAAATGGGGGTCCGTGTTGACGCAAGTCAGCACCCAAACTCGAGTCAATTCCATGCAACGTAAACTCTCGCAATTGAACAAGAAACTCACAGAAACGCTTTCAGGGAAAGGTGCTCGAGAAGATGATAAGAACATCTTGTTTGGTTTCGAACGCGGGGACGAGATGGCTTACGAGCACAAAGACGATTCGTTGACGAAAGTTTCCGCGATGATTTGGTTAGCGGTGATCACTGGGTTTATTGCTTCACTTTCCGACGTGCTCGTGGGTTCCATCGACGGCGCCGCGCATCAATGGGGTGTACCCATGGCGTTCATTGCAACGATCGTGTTACCATTGGTTGGTTGTGCGGCTGAAATCACCGCGGCGGTGATGTTTGCGAGAAAGAACAAGATGGACATTTCCATCGGCGTTGCAATCGGAAGTTCCACGCAGTTTGCTTTACTCGTCATTCCAGTCACCGTTTTGATCGGATGGATGATCTCTGTCCCGATGAACTTAGATTTTGGTTTATTTGAATCCGCGAGCTTATTAGTCGTCGTTTTAGTCGTCAACGCAAACGTCGTAGACGGCACGTCGAATTGGTTAAAAGGCGCCATGTTGTTGTGCGCGTACGCGTGTTTAGCAACCTCAATATGGTTTCAGAAGTTCTAGTTGTGGAAACATTATCATGATCATATAGCGTTAATATCTTTGGTTGTTTTACATTACAATTTGTATTATATTACTTTCTGCTCTTACTCTTTTTACTCTCTCTCTCTCTCTCTCTCTCGTTCTCATCTATATTTTACATTCTTTTTTGCTTCGCGTCCATGAGATATTCTTGCGGGATATTCTCCAACGGTGCCGTCTCCAATAAGTAATCGAGAACTTGAATCTGCATTTGCTTCGCAGTCGACCCGTCGGACGCGTTCTTCATCGCCTCGGCGATATCCTCTTCCTGAAACCCCCACTTGGCGAGCGTTTTCGTCGCCTTTGCCTTCGCCTCCTCTGGCGTTTCGTTCTTCACTGGTTTCGGTTTCGGTTTCGGTTTCGGTTTCGGCGTAGATTGTACTTTCGGCGCCGGCGGAGGCGGTGGTGCTCGTCTCGCCGGTGGGTTATTCGGTTTCGTTGGTTTCGGCTTACTCTCTACGCTTCCCATCGTCGATTGCGCCGACGCCGCCGGAGCGCTCGCGTTCACGTACTCTTCCTCGACTTCCTCCTCCTCCTCGTCCTCCCAATACTCCTCCTCTTCCTCTTCCTCCCAGTTCTCCTCCTCGTATTTCACGTAATTCTGCGCCCTTCTCTGTTTCCTCTCCTCCGCCAAAATCTCCAGCACGTTTTGCGCGCCGCTTTTCCTCTTTGCCTTGGTCGTGTTGAACATTTGCGACGGTTTATACATCGTATCCGCGTCTTCAAAGTACGACTCGTCGAACGAGCCGTAGTTCGCCCAGTCTTGGCTGAATCCACCACCACTTCCTCCGGAACCTCCTCCTCGGTCTCCCGAACCTCCTTTTTTCTTCGTCGTTTTCTTCGCTCTGGGAACGATGGATTCAAATCGTTTCATCGTCCTTCTCCTCCCCGAGAAGCATTCATCACTCATCGCGGTGCAGGCAGAGGAAGACGCCGTCTTCAGCGAGAATGCAAACATGTTCGCGCGTGCGTTATTATGTACCAAACGCGTATTATCTGTGCGCGCGTGTTTCTTGCGTGTATCAACAGAGAGGAGGAAACAACAGAAGCGCGCAAAGTGCAGAGAGAGAGAGATACGATGGGGGAGATATTAATGATCTCTCGATGGATAATCTTTCTCTGGTGTTTTTGCTTTGGTGTAAAAAATCTCTCTCAAATTTTTGAAAAGAGAAACGCTCCGTTGACTGCCCCGCCCCAGAAAACGACCAATAATTACGAGGCAAAAGAGTGCAACAGGTGGTCAAACACCAAGAACATCATCGAGAGAACAAAAAGAACAGAAGAACAAAAAAGGAAAAAAAGAAGGAAAATCACACACGAACTTTGTTTTTATTATTCGACACATCATCTTTCACACCCAACCAACAGACACACGAGTTCTTCACAACAAAGAGACTCTTTGACTTTGTTTTGTGAAACGAAGAAGGAGAGAGAGACTGCACGTAACTTAAAAGAAGTGCACCACGTATATATATTCAGCTTTGCAAAAGAGAGACTGCGCTTTGTCATCAAAAACACATCAAAATCATAATCAGCACATTTTTGAAAATCCAAGGGGAGAGAGATGAGCAACACTGCGAAAGAGACGACGACGACCGGCAATAATAGTAACAAAGAGAAGAAAGAAGAGAAAGGTAAAACGATGGAAATGGTGAAATCAAAAGCGAACAAGATTATTGACGACGACGACGATAAAGAAGAAGAGGATGACCTCCCGAAACCTCCGCAATTGAAACCGAAAATGTTCATCGCCCCGATCGTCCTCATGGGAAGCAAACGCTTAGGCATCGATTGGAACGACGAAGAGACCAAGACGAAAATCCGGATGGCGTTTACAATTTCCGTGACATTATGTTACGTAGTCATCTTCTACATGTACAAGCAAGTGAAAAGGAAGGAGAAAAAATTGAGCGAAGATACCGTGGAGGTTACGGCGAAGGACCCGTACAACAACGGCGAGGAGAAGAAGGAGACGTTGACGTATTTCGAACACGATTTGAGAGAGGTGAAGAAAGCGGGGACGAGCCAGGCGTTCGGGTTTTTGATGACGTCGGTGTTGCATTTTTATTTCAAGTTGAATCCGCCTATCGTGTTGCAATCGATCATGTTGCCGCTGAACATGATGGAGACGCCGGCGTTTCAAGTGCACGTGCTCGGAAAAGACGGGAGTTCGAATAAAAAGTTGCAAAGGCCGTGGATGCCGGAGGAGAAACCGAACCCGTTCGCGGATTTGGCGAAAGTGATGAGTCCGCCTCCTGCGGAAAAGAAGAAGTCGGAGAAGGAGGCGAAGAAGAACGGGGAGAAGGAGGACGCAAAGAGGAAATAATACTATATATATTAAAGAGAGAGAGAGAAAGAAAGAAGGAGAGCGAGCGAGGGAGAATTATTTGTATATAACATACTCACTATATTTTACTTAGTAACAATAAGAATGCCTATCGAAACACCTATCGAAACTCATCCCCGTTGATGTCAAAATCGAAAGTTTTAAAAGCTTTACTCAGCTGTCGATCAGGATATCGAGCAAAATCTCGCATTAAGATTCCAACGCCTTTTTGCCCGATATGATTCATATTATTACCCATCATTTCGTCTTCGCTGCATCCGACGAGTTCGATGGCCACCGTGGCGTCTATTTTTGTCGCAACCTCGCGAAAGCACAGTTTTGCGTGCGCTTGCGCCAGTCGAATGGATGATTCCAACGCGCGCACGGTCGCTCGTCCTAATTCCACTCTGTTTTCTGCGACTTGCCTGCGTCTATTTTGGTAGTGCGCGGAGAGCATTCTTTCCGCGTCTTCGTCCAACGTTGGTTCAAATCGCGATTTGACAAATTTGATGTATTTTTTCACGCGCGAAAAGCTCCAAAGAGCGGTGGATTCGTCAAAAAATTCGACATCTTCGGCGGTTTCCTTTTCATCGTCCTCGTCGGAATCTGAGAGTTGATCGTCACCGAATCCTTTTTTACTATAACTTCGGTAGCGATTTTTGTCATTTGCGGGAACGTACAGTTCTCGATTGTTTATGTTCATGTTGTTGGCGTTCCCCGCGTTTTGACTCGCGCGCCATCCGTCAAAGGAGAACGGTTTCTTTTGCGCCGATGCGGACAGCTTTAACCGCTTATTAATGGTACCGTTGTTATTGTTATCATCCACTTCTCCGAGTATGTGCGACGCGACGCGCTCGTCCCACTCTGGATCTCTGGCATCTCTCAGGACTAAAACGACATCAAATCGAGAAAGCAACGGGGGCGCTAAACCGGTATTCACCGCTAAACTCTCTCGATCGTCAAACGTGCCTCTTCTAGGATTCGTCGCCGCAATAACGCTCGTTCGCGAATTCAACGTGGCAATAATCCCAGCTTTAGCAACCGATAACGTTTGCTGTTCCATGGCTTCGTGAATCGTGGCCCGCTCGTGTTCGCGAATACCGTCGAATTCATCTACGCAACACGTGCCTTTATCGGCGAGGACGAGCGCGCCAGCTTCAAGACCCCATTCACCGGTGGTGGCGTCTTTAACGGCAGCACACGTTAAACCGGCAGCAGTTAAACCGCAACCGGTGGTAAACACGGACCGTTTCGCTAATCGGCACGCGGTTTTTAGCAACTGCGATTTACCTATACCCGGATCGCCGACGTATAATAAGTGCACCTCGCCTCTCACTTTCGTTTTCGTCTTGACATCCTCTCGAGCGACGCCACCGACTAAGGCGAGCACCATGGCTAACTTCGCTCCAGCCATACCAAATACTCGCGGGCAACACGATTTCAATATGATATCCCTCGCTCGCAACGGATACTTTTGAGCGCTCGTCGATTGCCAAAACTTCTCGAACGACGCCTTCATCTCTTCGTACTCTTGGTCGTCCTCGACGTCGTTCGTTTTCCGGTCGCCGGCGTTTCCTTCCTCGTCATCAACGCTCAAAACGGTGAGTGAGTTACAATGCGCGACGAGCTCTATTTCACACCTTCTATCCCGACTGGCTTTCAACCATCGTCGACGAATCACGACGGACATGAGGAGTTCGTCGCCGCACTTGACAGCGTCCACGAGGTCGTCTTTTAGGACGACGAGCAAATGTTTTTGCGCACCGCCTAAATTCGCTTTAGAGCGTAAACCAATCGCTCGCAATTCATCGTCGGAATCAACGTCGTCGTTTTCTGAGTCGTCTTCGGGGAAGTATTTGCGTGCTATTCGTCCCGGTCGAGCGGAGGCGTCGTTCCCCGAATGCGCTAATTTTTGCGCGTCCGCCTCGAATCCATCATCGTCGCCGTCCGAATCGCTTTCTTCCTCATCTTCCTCATCTTCCTCGTCTTCGCATATTTGCACGCAAATCTCTTGATAATCTCTCGCCACCGGCATTGTGCATTCCACTCGACGAAACGTTCGATTCGTGCACGCTTTCGTTTTCTTACTCAATCTCTCAGAGTCTGCGGCGCTGTACTTCTCCATCTCCGCCGCGCTCGGACACTCCTCCGGCATCGTCGGTTCTGGCCTCCCATCCTCCAAATTCCTCGGCAACAAAAACCGGTGACCGCATTTCGCGCACTCGTACAGCGTGTCGCTCTCGAACGTCTTCGTCAACCCAACTCTGGTCACTTTCGCCTTCAACGTCCACATGCGACCGGCGTGTTCGTTCTTGACGTACCTGGAAATGTTCAAACTCGGAAAGGAGCTTTTGAACCGTTCAAAGTCCACGCGAACGCGAACGGTTTGTTTCACCTTGTGCCTTCGCGCGAATTCTTTCATTTTCTCGTCGATGTCTTCCTCTCCTTCATAATCATCTCCTCCGCCTCTTCGCTTCTCCGCTTCCAACTCCTTCCTCAAATCCTCCACCATTCGCACTCGTACAATCTCCTGCGCCGCTCTCGCCGCTTCGTCCAAAACCCCCATAGACGTCGTCGGTCGCGCTAACACCGCGTTCGCTAACTGCGGCAACGCGTGTGCGAATTCAATCGCGCACACGTGGATGGAATGCGGCGTCCGAGTGTCCGAATGTTTTAAAATCTGTCGCAACGCCTCGAGGTGATGTTGGACGAGAAATTGTTCGAATCTCTCCGCGAGTGTTTTCGGTGCTGGTTGTTTCGATGCGTGCAAAGCGAAACCAGACGCAGGAGGAGTCGCTGCTACCATTCTTCTTCCTCTTTTTACGACGCAGCAAAGGGAGTATTCCTGCGCATTGTAAACAATAAGGAGAGCGTTTTTGAAGAAATTTTTACTTTTAACCACTTGAGTAAAACTGAGGCAAATTTTGAATTTTCAGCGCGGAGTATGAATACGATGACAATGACAACGATGATGTTTTGGTTTCTAATTCGCGCGGTCGAGATGATTTCTCTCTCTCACTTTCTCTCTCTCTTATTCTCTGTCCTAAATTTAGCTAAAACCAAACCCAAAGCAGCACTCGCTGATGGCTTTGACCAGTTTCTCTTTCGTCTCTTCTTGACTGACGTATTTCGGCACGCGCAAGGTGAGGAAACACGTTTGGGCCATGGGTAAGTGTTTGGCGGATTTTTGGTCGTCGAAGCGCAGTTTGAAGCGTAAACCGCGGAACCCGGTGTGAGGGAGCTTCCGAAACGCGGTCCAGAAGTGTAACAACGCGTGCTTTTGCTCCGAGTTCATGGATTTGACGGCGTCCCAGAACCATCGCGAGCGCGTTTCGGCGGCGACGACGCCGGGAGCGGTGGAGTTTGGCGGTGGTTTCGGATCGTACGTGGTCGCTTGTTCCCAAGCGGCGACGTCGATGTCTTGTAAACCGCAGACAAGGAGTTCCAAGTCTTCGCACTCCCAACTGCTCACGAGTTCGCGCGGGACGACTTCGTCGAAGCCGCTCGTAAACGCCGCGAGGTTGACCCGAATGTCCTGGTTAGATGTAATAGTATCGCTTTCGTCGATTTGTAACGACGGCGAGGATGAAGACGACGGCGGCATACCGGATGTGTTGTTGATTGGTGCAGTTGAACACCGCAACATGCACTGTTGCGCGTATAAATCGACGTATTCACCACGGTTGTGCTCGTCGACGAAAACGTTCGCGCCGCCGGGTAGGAGTTCTTTCACTCTGTTCGGATCCGCACGCGTCGGCGCGGCGATGGTAAACGCCGGCGGGTCCTCTTTCACCCAGCTGATTTTGGGATCATTCCAATCACACGTCTTGATTGGAAGCAACGTGCGCTTAAAATCATCGTCGACTTGCGCTAACAACTCCGCCTTTAGCGGTTTGTGCAAAAGCGCTTGCCACAACCACGGGACTAACGGCAAATCCGCGGTCTTTTCGTTGGAGATGAGTAAACCGACGATACGCCCGGCAAAGCGTGCGGCGTGCGGAGAACAATCAGAACGAAGCGTGCGCAACGCACCTTCAAATGAAGGTGGGTCGTCGTTATCACCACCACCGTGCATGGCACTCAACGACATCATCGAGTCCGTTCGTAAAGCCTTAGCATTTGACCACGAGGTGAACACCGCTTCGCTCGGTCCCACTCGCGTCGGATGTCCTTCCAACAACGCTTGAATCAAAACTGTCCAGGCTTCTCTCGCAACACCATTTCCAACACCGTCCTCGCTATCAAACGAGCACGTAAATGTTCTCCCTAACAACGGACCGATGGCATTTTTAATTGCTCGCCACGCGTCGTCGCAGGGCATCGCGCGTCGCAACTTTGCCGAAATGTGCGGCACGTTCCCGTGCATGTCTCTCAACAGACGTTTCAAATCGTTCCTCAAACGTAACACACGAAAAGATGGGGGAAAAACGACATTTGCCGCGCCAACTAAATCTAAAGAGCTTCCAAAGTAAAACATGTTCGGCGCAATACATTCTAAACAACTGAACGATCGCTTCCAATTGGCGTGATGGAGAAGGCTTTCAAGAATCTCTCGTGGCGATTCTAGGTGATGATAGGACGCGTGCACGGTGTCACCTGCCCCATTCGAGTCGAAATTGCGCAACTCAATAGCAGCGTGCAAGAGTAATTGGATCATATCCACCAGCTGTTGCGAAGGCGAGTGCACCGGGAACTCCCCGGAAAATTCCCCTAAGAACTTAGATTTACCTATCTGTTGTAAGACGCCGCGGATGCCGGAGTTTTCGCCATCGAGGGCCCATCCAATTCTCGCGAGCGGTTCAACAGCAGCGAGCAGCCCGTCGCCACATCGCTCGAGCGAAGAGAGGACGATCTTGAAGAGATGCGTTGATGATGTTGCAGTCGCGCTGTCATGCGCCGACGCCTCCATCGCTGACCGTTTCGTCGGAGTGCTGATGTTCTTCTTACGATGCTTGGTTTCGCGATAAAGATCGTCGTCATCGTTATCGATGAATTTATCTAGATACTTCGCGTCGACGAATCCAGCTTCGCCGTGCGACCATGTCGCGACAAGCGCAATCAAAAACCCGAATCGAATGCCTTTGCGCGTATTCTTTGGATCTCTGAAATCGAAATTTTGTACCGATTGCATCTCCGAGCCCGGCGCGGGTCGCTTTCTGCTCTTCTTGATCTCGCTTGAAGCAGAATCGTTCGATTCTTTCTCAATCAGCGCGTCAATCGGGGTTTCACCCGCCATCGTCCGCTTTACGGCGGCGGTGACTTCGTTCGCCCAAGTTTGGCACTCAAACAGACTCGTGATGATTTCTTTCGGGAGGGTACTTGTTTTCGCCGTTCGCAGCGCGTTGCGCCAGCGCGGATCGGTTCTCGCTTCTTTCGTTATGAGACGCGATAGGAGAAACAAAACACCAGAGACACCGTCCATTGTTTGTTGGCTCACCGTTTCCGTTTGCGCCAAGGCGCTCAGCATCAACGGCGCACCTTTCGCTACAGCGATGCCCCAATTATCGATATCATCACCGGCGAGACCCGCGAGGACGGCTTTTCTCGCGACTGCTCTCGAGCGCATTTTCTTGTCCGAAACGATACTTTCCTCTGGAATTTCATGCAAATATCGTTTACCGCCAATGCACCAAGACATGAGACATTCGCCGACGTGCGCGAGCGTTTTCCAGTACTCTTGTGACAAAATGCTAGGCGGTTTCCCATCGTTCTCGACAATAGACTCGAGCGCGAATCGAACACACGTCGCCGCCCCTGCGCAAAAAATCGCCCCAGGGTGGCCTTCGACGTCTCGCATCTTTGGGCTATCCGAACGCAAGCCGTGTAAAATGCAGTGAAGCATTGGCACACAGTGCAAGCCTAAACCGCGAACTAAGACGACCATCCAACGACCGGATTCAGGAATGAGTTTCGCCAATCTTTCCGCTACTGGAAATCTTTGGGGATAAAAGTCCGGCGTGATGAACGTGGCGTTTCCTAGAAGCTCCCAACGCACGATGTGTTCAATTAGACGTATAAACATCGGCGAGCGCGATTTCCAACGCCCATCCGGTGGTGGACCAATCGAGCGAAGTTTGCGAACGAGATTTGTGACTGTATGCGTCACGCTAGCAATATCAACCGGGTTCAGATTAGGTCTGAACACACCCGCGCGCGGAGTACCTAGTCGAGCTCTGTCCGAAGGTATGAAAGGGGAGTGTAAATCCATGACTCGACCAAATCTATCATCGCGCATCCGCATCCCTTGAGAGCGTTCATGTGTGGATCTTTCTCTTTCCTGCATCCATTCTCTAGTTGCTCCTCTTGACCGAAGGATGGTGGCAGCGTCAGAGAGCGTCATATTCTCCCTGCGACTGAATATACCCGGAACCCGATGCTCGGAGGTACGGTATCGGTTCGTATCGCGCAGAAGGGTGCGCTCTAAGCGCTCGTTTCGGTCTCGTCGTTCTCTGTCTCTTCTGTCTGTATCGCGCGTAGCAGTCATTCTCCAATCGAATTCCTCGCGTTCCTCGTGCTCACGCTGGGTATCTACGTAGCGCCGATCCCATCGCTCTAAATGTTGCAAGAGTTCTTGTGCGCGACTTCTCGCGCTCCCAACTCCGGTTGTGCTCAAAATGCGGAGTCGACGCATTCTCTCCTCGCGTCTTCGCTCACGTGAGTCGAATGCTGGGTCTGCTTCGTCGTTATCATCATCGTCGTCGACGTCGTGTTCTTCATCACCATCCTCATCATCCATAAGCATCGGAGGAAAACCCGCGTACGGATGAAGTCGAGCACTGTGTGCATCATTAGCTCGCGCCATAGCACCCCGATCAAATCTATTCAAAATGGTATCAAATCTATTCGCCGGGGGGGTATCAAATCTATTCGCACGATTTGTTCTCCTATCAAAGTCTTCTCTTAATCGCCTCGAATTCGCTATAACATCTCGGGCCGAGTTCAAAAAAGCACTATCGTCGTCGTCGATGTCGCCGTCGATGTCGTCGTCATCATCGTCGTCGTTGTTATTGGTAATTGTATTGTTAATATTCCCTGCGTTGTTGTGGTTGTGGTTGCCTCCGTCGCTATTCTCGCCGCCAATTTCACTACCACTCAACACTTTCAACGGTGGCGTCGAAGGTATCCACAGACATTCCCACGTCAGTTCGACCGGCACGCGATACTCTGAGCTCGGACGGGTTGGTCCATGAAACGATTCGTGGAGTTGCGTCAATGCGTGTGGCGGAAGCTGCATCACAATCCTTCTTCGTTCCTCATCATCCTCATCTTCTCTTTCCCCAGCCGCGTATAACTTTCTCAACTTTGAATCGTCCGACGCTAACTTCTGTAGGAACGACATTGTCAGCTTTGGCGTCACCGAATCTTTGCTCGAACATCTCCACTCATCTCGCAACGCGCACAATTCCACGAGAAATTTCGTCGCTTTCTCCGGATGCGTCAAATTCGTTTCGTTTAAACTCGTTCCTATGATGCCAAACACGTAGTCCATGCAGCTTTCTGCGCTCTGCACCAAATCTAAACCTAAGGTAGACCCAAGATTGCCGCCTGTTTTCTTCTTCGCATTCCGTCCTTTCTGACCTAAATCGTAGAACTTACCTCCGATTTCCGAGCCGTGTGATGCTGCTTTCAAAATCGGAAATAAGCCGAGCATCACGCGATTGCTAAGATTGACGTGCACGTACGGTAAATCCAGTATCGAGCACCCATACGCTGGATATTGCATGAGCTTAAACGGGTCCAAATGGTTTTTGATGTAGTCCAAATGTCCAGTCGCTTCGCGTTCGCACGCGCGCAGCTCTTTCAAAATTTCAGACGCCGTATCGTTTGACGCAAGCTTCGGCATCGAGGAGGACAAAAGTTCGTTATCTTCTTCCTCTTCCACTTCGTCGAACGTATCGTTTGCGTTTTTCTTCCCGATCGCGTGCATCCACGCCTCGAACGCTGCGATAACTCTAACTAACTCGTTCCCGATTTTCAAAGCCGGTTCTGACACCTTCGCTAAATGTTGCTCGCACCTCTCCAACAACATCTTCTTCGTCCACGTTTCCGCTCGATCGTACGGCACGTCGTTCGCGTTCAAAAACTCCCTCAACTGATGTTCCGTCGCATACTCTCTCCACGTCGGCTCTACTTTTTGCGGCACCTTCACGGCCATTTTTTTCTTCTTGCTCGTCCTCGTCGTCGCGTCCTCGTCAACCGCCCCGCCGCCGCCTTCCGAAGAAGAAGGAATCTGACGATTCTTCTTCGCGCTCTTCGCGTACTCCGCCAACAACTCTTGTTGTTTTTTGACAGGTTTACCCCCAGACGCCGTATCTCGAGCTAACTGCGCGATGTAACTCGCGATCCCGGCTCGAGCGTCTTCGTTCACATTCTCAATCAAACTGTTGAATATTTGGTCCACCCTCGCTCGAACGTTTCGGTCCATGGTAGTATTATCCGCGGTAGTAGTATTCGAAGGCGTCGGCCCTCCTGTCGTCGTCGCAGTTCCCGCAGAAGTCGTAAACGTCGTCGTCGTCGTCTGATTTTGCGCTCGTCGTCCCCGCGGCTGCCCCTGTGGTGCCTCCTCCGGTTCTTCTTCTCCCTCTTCGCCACCGCGAGGAGTCGTAGTAGGGGTAGATCCCAAATCCTCCTCTTCCTCTCTTTCTTGTTGTGATTGGTGTTGGCGTCGTCCTCGAGAGGACGAAGCCGCCGCGCTGCGCTTCTGTTGGCTTCCTCGTCGAGAAGACGACATATCGAGAGAAAGAAAGAGAGAGAGAGAGCGTGTGTTTCAAGTCTTCTTCTTCTTCTTCTTCTCCGTCCTTTCTCTCTAAATCTTCCGTTATCTTTTAACTAAATTTCCCCCACAGCACGTGAACGACGAACCCGTTGGGAAAAATAGCAGACAACGCGCTCTCCTTGACTCTCTGACTCGCACAAAACCACCAAAGAAAAAGAACGCCTCGACCACCCTCTCTTTTTGCCGTTTTCGTCGTCTCTCGTTCGTACCGCGTGTGTATGCGGGAGAGTATTACTACTGCGCGATAAAACCGTGTGTGTGTATATCGCGCGCGCGCGAAAGAATGAAGAAGAGATAGTCGCGTTCGAGGAGAGCAGACTTTTTCTTTTTTGACTGCCAGATTGCTCTTTTTTGAGATGAATTTTGCTTCTTTTTTTTCCTCAGACTGTCCGACGAAAGACAACTCGAAAGGAAGCGTAAGCACTGTTACGACGACGACGACTCCTTTTATTCTCTCTCGCAAAGTACTCTCTCTCTCTCTCTCTCTCTCTCTCTCTCTCCGACGAGTGCTGTTATATAACAAAGAAGAATGTCGACTTTGAAAGCCTCTCGCGCGGACAACTTCTACTACCCGCCCACGTTCACGCCGACCGAAGGTGGAGGTGATGGAAGATTTAAAAACACGCACGGCGCGCTCGGGAAACGAAAACAAAGTGGTTTTTTGACGGTACGGTTTGAAGCGCCGTTTCCTATGCGATGTTTACACTGCTCGAACGCACCTTTAATCGCGAAAGGCGTGAGATTTAACGCGAGGAAAAGTAAAGTTGGGAACTATCTGTCCACGCCGATATACTCGTTCGTGATGTTAAGTCACCGGTGTTGTAATAAAGAGATTGAGATTCACACGGACCCGAAAGGGGGGGAATTCGTGTGCGTGCGAGGGGCGAGGCGAGCGCACGAGAGAGACGTGTACGTTCCGGACGACGTCGAGGTGAAAGGAGGGAGAACTATGGAATACGCTGGCATCGATGGAGTTATGGTGGAGAGAGGCAGTGATATCGATCAGATGAGTTCGCTAGAGAAGGAAGAGAGAATGAAGCGGGAAGGGAAAGAACGGTTGTCGAGATACGCCGAGGATCGATTACGGGCGGAGGAGAGATGGAGTTCAGACTACGAAGCAAATAAACGGTTGAGAAGGAGTAATCGGGAGAGGAGGAAAGAAGAGAGAGGGAGGGACGATGAAGGGAGGAAGATGGGGTTTGCGAGCGGGGAAGATGGTGGGGTGAAGTTATTGCCGAGGAGTCGCGAGGATGACTTGAGGGCGAAAATGGCGATGGCGAGGAAGCGAGGACGACGCGATACCACCGGCGTGACAGATGCGGCCGCGATGAGTCGGAAAAGAATCAAGAATGAGTCCATATTCAGCGCGAAAGCGAAAGCGAAACCGAAGAATAAACGTTAGTAATTATTAATATTAGGAAGTGTAAAATACTACACTAAAGCGGCGATAAATCGATGTCACGAATTAAAGAATACCATCTCGGTAAATCGCTCTTCCCAAACGGCGCCACGTTTCGAGGCAAACCGTTTGTACCGATGATATCTTCCATCAAATCCGTTCGCGTTTCAAAATCCGTGCGTAAAACCGCCCCTCGCGTTCGGCAAAAGAACTCCAAGTCTTGCTGAATTTTCTCGCTCATGCCGGCGTGCGCGTGTTTGTTGTTTTTCGCCGGAACGATGAACATGTCAACTACATCGCCGGCTGTGAGTCGACCAGAACCGCTAAACAAGATGCGCTTGCCTTTTTGGCGCACGGTAAAAGGCGTGTTTTCCACTTGTTGGGTCTTCTCGTTGTCGACTTCGATCCAGGTCAACTCCGACGGGTTCGACGGGTCCACCAAAGCCGCTTTCTTAGCACACTGCGGTTCAATAGCAACCGTCCAGCTGACCGCTTTCGCGACGTCAATTTCTAATCGAATGGTTTTTTTATCTGGCCCAGTACCAGTTCTACGCAATTCGGGCATTTCCGACGCCGTCATGTTATTCGCGCGCATATCCGACAAGATAGGTTTTGGGTTATTGACGGATTCGTAATAGCTCAAATCGTACCCACGAACGATACACGCACGGTCTGTTTTCATGGTCACAAAATCAACCGACTCCGTGCAGTCACCGCCAAAACGCGTGTTTAAGCGGAAGTTTGTGAACGCGGAATATATGCGATGGAACATGTGTTTGTGTCCTTCAGCTTGCTTGCGTTGAATCGCGCGCGAGTGGATGCTTTTCAAGCGCTGATCATTCTCTATTCGCAGCTGTTCTCTTCGAGCGGCCTTCGCTTTCGCGTCTTCGTTATCGTAACCACTCTCTTCGCCATCTGTTGTCGTGCTTTTGTCGTCGTGCTTTACATCCTTAACCGTTGCTACAAATGTTGACGTAGGCAGTACTCGCGGCGGGTCCACCAACAAATGTAAGTTGTCGCGCAAAGCCATCGCTACTGGTGCTAAACTCGATCCAGCGCCCACTCTCGCGAGCGCGATGAAATCAGAAGTCACGTAACTGTGCGCATCAATGTGTGTCACGTGCGTCAAGATGATTGGTTGTGGTGCGACGGCAGTAAATCGGATGTTTTTAAACACGCCACACGTGAACGTCGCGAAAAGGAACATCCCGAATGCGACGACCATGAGTTTATACGTTTGCCTTTCCTTCAATGTTGCGCCTAAGGATATCACCGGGACAGAAAAAAACATCGCACATGCGACAAATCCTAAAGCACCGCCAAGAAGTCTATCTAAAGTGTAATACACGAGCGGATGTCCATCGCCGAGTGTTGGATCGGCGCGCGATTGCACCGCGGAAAATGTCGCCACCGCTCGAAACAAGAGCGGCGTGACGACCCATATGCACGGAATAGCGCACAACATGGCCAAATATTGGTTCGGTGATGTCGTCGCGAAAATATCTAATTCACCTTTAGAATTGTGACCGATCAATTGCATCGTTGTTTTTCCCGCCTTTGCAGCGGCGGCGGTAGCGGCGCTGTTCGAGGAAACCGTATCGTCGTCGTCTTTCTTCTCTTTCACCTTGTTGTTTTCTTCTTCATTGTTTTCTTCTTCATTGTTTTCTTCATTTGGGACGATGGAAACGCTCGGCATGAAATGTAAGAAACCACTTTGCCGAGCAATCACTGGTGCAAACACGAAAACCAATTCATACATTGCTAAATTCGCGAGCCAAATGGTGGCGTGGGAATCCGTGCGTTTCCTTACCGCCCACGCTAAAACAGACGTGAAGAACGTCTTACCGCTGAACAAACACCACTTGATGGCGTTTTCAGTCGCATATCGATCCCTGAAGGCGACGTCGATTGGAATGAGGTGCCAATACAAGAAACCAGATGCTATGTTATACCCAAATATACTCCCGATGCATCCGAATGCACCCGCGAAGAGCATAAAGAACGCGGAGTAACTACCTAGCGGCATCGCTTCGCCGACGAGAAAGGCGAGGGTGAACATGGTCATCGCGCCAAATGCTGTGCCCATGAATATAGCAAACAAAGGGATAACAAAACCAACCAAAGGAATGGCAATCATCGCTTTGAAGATGGTATCGATGGCGAGCTGCCATATCTTTTCGCTCTTGCTTTGAATCTTTTCAAAGTGCGCACCAAATGCGTACTTTACGACGAAGAACATCGAAAATGCGCTGAAGAACACTAACGAGCGCAACGAAGCTAACGTGAACGGTTCGGTAACGATTAACTTTGTTTTCGCCAGAATAAACCCCGGTCGAACGTACCACGCGTGTGATTCCACGCCTTGACGCAATGAAATATCTGGATTCAACTCGGAATCGACGTCGGCGAATTGGTCGCGTTTTTGTAAGAACGCGCCAACGAAAGCGACGATGTTTTCGCCACTAGCTTGCGCGCTCCCACGTCGCATGCCTTTTACTCTATCCCTCGACGTGTGATACACGAACGATCGTTCTACAAACGCTAAATCAATCACTGCCGCACCTTTTTCGTTGTATACTCTCCCGTCCGTTTCCGAGGGGATCACCCCGGATCTAAAAATTTGTCCGTACACGCTCGCCGAGTTTGGATACGGGACACTTTCCGCCCACGTTTCCAGCATGCGTCTCTCAAACGTTTCTCCGTGTATACCTTTTTCCGTCTTGAACAGCATTTGCGGTCCTCCACTTCCCATGGATTCTAAATTTACAATCACCGACGGTTTCGCGTTCTTCTGTCGAAACCAAGGGTGTGACTTCATCGTCGCCGTCGCGCCGATTAATCCAACTTCTTCCGCGGTTAAGAAATGAAACACTATCCCCGTCTTTGCCGGTAGAAAATTTCTCGTCTCTTTGTTCGTCGCCAAACTCGCCACGTTTTCTAACACTTCTAAAGCAATCCCGCAGCTTGCCGCGTTGTCTGACCCGCCCGACGACGTCGACACCGTATCCACGTGCACGGAAATCGCAATCACGTGCATTTTGTTATTTATATCGTTGTTATACGGATCGTTGACGTCGCCTTCGTATTCGTCTCTGTCGTGATACTCCTCCTCGTCCTTCCCACCTTTACCACTACTAAACGAAACGGTGTCTCTCCGCCGTCGCACTCGCACGGAAATAGACCTCAAGTTATCGTACCTGTACACGTCCGATATCCCCCACTTCTTCTTCTTCGCGTTGTCGTTCGTCTCCTCGTTCTCTTCGTCGTTCACTCCCTCGCCGCCGTACCCACCTAAGTTCGTCGTCCTTGCACGACCACTCCTCCTTTTCGGGTTCCTCGTGATTTCGTCCGCGTCTCGTTTCTTCAACCCGCTGAACGCGTCGTCCCGAATTTCAATTTCAATCTCTTCGCCGCTCGCCTTCGTCGCTGAATATTTCTTCTGAATCGTCTCCACCCTCCTTCGAATAAACTCAAACGCGAGTTGTTCGCTCTCCGTTCCAACCGCGCGAGAGCCAAGCTGCTCTATCGTCGTCGCCGTCGCCATCGCTCGCGATTCGCTAAATATAAACGGATTTGAGGACGATGATGCGCTCAAAGCGCGCGGTAACTTGCGGTCGAACGTGACCGAGAGCACGCAGAGGATGAGAGAGAGGACGGTGGTGACGAGGAACGCGCGGTTTTTCTTGGGGGATGACGGTGATAATGTATACGAAAAGAGATGCGCAGTATTTTGCGGTGATTGTTGTTGTTGTTGTTTCGGCATCGTCATCGTCGCAACGTGTCGTCCGCGTCTTCTTTATCTTCTTTATCTTTACCTCGCCGTCTAACACCGCAGACAGAGAGTCGCAAAAATGAAGAGAAATCCCTTTTGCTCGTATTTCAAGAGAAGGAGAAAAAACAAGTAAAAAACCACCAGTCACGCGCGCGCATCTTCATCTCGCATTGGTTTCGCTCGAACAGAAAACGAGCGCAAACGTAATAACGCTCGCGTAACGTTTTTGCATCTTTGAACGCTGCATTTTCACGGATATATCTCACACTCACGCGGCACAGAAGATATACAAACACGAAAGAATACGAGGGGAAAGGCGTGAAAGGTCCACAAAATTTAATTGAAGTCAAAGTATTTTTTTCCCCTACTGCGGGTGCTCTCTAAAATATTCGAATATAGGTTTGTTCTCTTCATCGCGCCTCACGCGCACGCGCTCGTCGTTTACGTCGCAAAATCCAGCGCGCGCGCTCTTTCCCGTCCGCTTTCGCTATAATTCCGTCGCGTGAACGCAAAAGTTAGTACTGGTCTCTCGAGTTTTGGCGGGGTTCCAGGTGCGCGCTTTGAGGACCTAAAATTAGGTAATTTTTAAGCGTTGACTCTGTCATTTAAAACGTCTTTGGTTTGGCATCAGAGAGCAGCGCGTCGGGAGAGGTACGCGTACATGTATTCCGCGAAATCATCTTTCGAGCGTTATCGTCCTCGTCGACTCGTCCGAGAGGAAGAGGATAAGGATGAAGAGGAGAACAACGACCACGACGGCCCTTTTGCGTTCGTGACGAAACCTACTCGGTTGAGAGAGGACGAGGACGATGAAGAGGAAGAGGAGGAGATTTTCTTGGACCACGACGAAAGCCACGATGAAGAAGACGACGATGAAGACGAAGTGGGAACGTGCTCGACAACCTCTACGGTTCTCTTGGAAAAGAACCGAGAGCTCGATGCGATCGCGATGAAATTGCAACGAACGATTTTTGAGTGCGAAAAGACGACGAAACGGTTGGACGAACGCGAGGGGATTTTGTTGCAAGCGCAGGAGAGTTTGCATCGCGATTGCACAAAATTTGAGAACTTTGCGAGAGAGAACGAACGAAAGATGCAGAAAGCGATGGAAAGCGCGAAGGAGAGTAAGATGGAGCGCTGGGTTTTAGAAAACGAGGTTCTCGTGGCGTTGAGGAGGGAGGCGAGTTCATTCGGGCGGCGGAGGAGACGGTGCGAGAGGAAGAATCGGGCGTTGTCGAGCGTGTTGGAGTTTCTGAGAGCGTGTTGTGGACACGGAAGACGCGAAGACTCGTCGTCAGATGGAAGAATAAGTTTTGGGTCGACGTCGGCAGATTTAGAGACTACTATCGCACCGAGCGAAAACGAGGACGAGGACGAGGCGCGAGGCGGCGGCGACGGCGATGACGGCGGTAGGAAATTTGAAGACATTGCCGATATTCTTTTCCGACACGCGACTCTGAAAGATGTGAACGATTCTTTACGCGCGAGGAAGGAATACGCCTCGAGCGCTTCAGAGGAGGTGTTCGAGAAGTTCTCGGAACATAAAAAAGTTATCAAAGAAACTATAGAGAGTGAAAAATCAGCCGTGCTTACCTTGCGCGAAAAGCAAAAAGAGACGACAATAGAGAGCAAACGAGAGATCGAAACGGCCAAAGCGCAAATCGCAAAAAGAATGATGACCGAAAAGTCTTTGGCACTAATATACGCGGCGATAGATAATTTATCCAGTCGGTGTAATCTTTCTTGCCCTGAAGCGCAAAAACAAAAAGACCGGAACGTTCTCGTTGACCCCGAGGACGAAGAAAATACGACAGTCGCCACGACCAAATTCACTCAAGCACACATCGATTTAGAATTTGTGCACTCGCGCGCAAAGGTTCTGAATCAGATTATTTATTCCTCAAGTGCGAATGTATGTAGTACCGTTGTTGCATAAATATGTATACACTTCAAACTATTCTGTTTCTTCTTCTTCTTCTTCTGTTTCTTCTTCTTCTAAAGAGTTCGACGGCGTCAAGCAGCTATCGAAACGCACAATTTCAATTTCATCTCCTCGAACGACCCAACCGTTCTCGTCGGATTTTGGCATTTTCGCGGTAAAAGTAAACGGTGAGTTTCGTTTACCCGCCATCAACGCCCGCAACGCACCAATCGCAATGGTTTCCGAGCGGCTTCTCAGCATTACGTCCGTGTTTCCGTCCGAAATATCTTCCGGTTTTTGAAAAAATACCAAATCGGAAACGAGCGAAGGTGGGATTTTACCTCGAATGCAATCGCCTTTAGCGTCTTCGAGACCCAAAACGAGCGGTTTGAACACGCACTTCGTTCTCGACTTGTTGACGTTGGCACTCGAAAGTTTACCCGCTGGACAGTGTTTGCAATACTCGTACACGTCCTCTTTGTCTTTGTGGAGTTTGTTCTCGCAAGTGGCGCATGCCACTTGGACGAGTTCACTCGCGATTTCCGAAACGCTCTTCGTGCCGTTTTTCAATCCAGGCACGCGCATGACGCCATCTGCGGATAAGATGGATTTCTTCGCGCTATTCGTTATGGATTTCTTACGCTGCTTTCTTTGGCACTCAGCTGAAGACGACGATGGAGATGACCGCGAATTCGTAACGTCGCGTTCAAATTCCACGTATTTTACGACTGCTTTGAACTCGACGAACGGCGGTAACAGTCGACGCCTGTTTGTCGTACCATCTTCGTACAAGACGGGACGATTGATGACGTTCGCGTTATTATTATTCACGCTTTCAAACATCTCCGCGATGGAGTGCGTCGTGTTTTGCGTCTCAGTCATCATCATCGCGGCGACTCTCTTCCTCGTTTTCGACAACAACATCTCTTTATGTTTCTTTTCCATCGCCGCTTTCACACATTCTCTGCGTTTCTCTTCGACGACCTCTCGTCCGTACACGCGTTCGTCTTCTTCGTCGTAATTATCCGTAAACTCTTGAAAAGTTCTCTCGTTGATGTCTTGGAATATTTCGGAGACGTTCTCAACTTCAAAGCTCAACCTTCTGTGTGTTTCGCCAACCACCGTCATGACTTTCCTCGCGCGCGGATCTTTGTTCGGATCCAACACTCGAACGGTGGAAATCGTGTCCACGAAAACGAGCTTTTTCACGATTTCTTCCGAGGAACCGAAGTTGTCAACTTCGTCTTCTTTATTGTTTTGCACACAACTGCGGCTCGTTTTTCGTTCGTTCCCGTTCAAAACTTCCGCGATTGCAAAGTCTCTCAGCTCTACGCACCTCCCGATTTTATACACGCTTTCGGCCAAATCCTTCGCCTCGCGTTTCGGCGCCGCCGATAACGTCGCCTCGATAAAGTTCGTAAAATCATCACCCGGTCGCTTACCAAGTGTTGGCGATTGATCTCCAATGAGCATGTTATCAAAACATGCCAATCTATTTAGCACCTGCGGCGACTCTGTCGGTTTCGATAAAGTCAGTCGTCGTTGCAACAACTGCTCGTTCCTTTGTCGATCCACCGGTCGTCTCGAAAGCGTCAAGACCGGCCTGACGTACTTCCCGTTGAACGCGTCACCGAACGAGGACTTGACGAAGGAAACGTCCAAAATAACTCCAACGTACTCTTCCAATAAAGTTCTCTTGAATCTTTTTACAAAGCTCGTTCGTTGTTGTTGATGGTGCATCTCAAACTCCTCCTTTTCTTCCTCCTCCTCCTCCTCCTCCTCCTCCCCCGCTCTCCTCTTCGACGACGCGCGAGGAGGCGGAGGACGAAAGCTGGCACCCAAGAAATCCATCCTCTCTTTCAAATGGTACAAAAAAGATATCTTCTCCCCGTACACCCACGCGCACACGGTCAAAACCGCATCCCTGGTCGCGTTATCGTCCGTCGTGCCGAACTTTCGATGTACAGGAACCACTCTCTCGCGCATCTCCTCGATCGTTTTGTTCCCGTAAAACGCTTCGCGCCTCACGATCGTTCGAAACACGCCAGACGCGTTCTCACCACTGACACTAATTTCCATCTCGTTCTTGAACGGATTGAACCTCGCGTGGGCGTTTTGCACTAAAACCACGTCCCCGACGTGAAACGTTTCGATGTTTCCCGCTCGTTCTCGCCATAAAATCATGTTTACGTTCCCGTCGTCGAACGTGTGATCGCTGACTTTGAGTTTACGAAGCGGGATTTCTCGGTTGCTTTTTTTGGAGTAGACGGATTCCAACGCGGAGATGTGATGGATGAAAACGATTAAAGTGGAGATCGGGTACCGATTCGCGCGAGTATTCACGGTCTCGTCGTCTGAAGCGATTGGTTTGACGAGAGATTTCACGATTGAGAGGGTTGTTGGTGGCATGTTTCGCTCGTTTGAGTGTACTTTATGTGCGTTGGAAGAGTGCGCGTGAATCTGAAGAATTTTCCCCTCGTACGTAATTTGTACTCACACTGGAGGGTGCCCACATTCACTGAAATGGATCAAAAGAAAACAGAACGCGCGAGACGAACGACTCGGCGATGAAGCAGAAAGCAAAGAATATCAATATTGATTATATAGTTTTTTTAAATACAACGGATGATGATGACTTTTTTAACACAACACGTTTCTTTCTTTCTTTCTTTCTTTCTTTCTTTCTCGCGGCGTGGCGTAGCGCGTATACGTTTTTATTAAAGCGCGGCGCTATCCCAACTCATTTGAATGGCTTGCATCAACTTTTCGTGTAACGCGGAACTCGCCGCGACGATGCCCCGATCCAATTCCAAGTACCTCCCTTTACTGAAATCGAGAGGCACGCCACCGGCGTCTGAGACGACGCCGCCGGCTTCTTCGACGAGGATGACGCCGCCGGCGTGGTCCCACACCTTTTCTCGGTATTCAGCTTTCGGGAATTTCATGAACACGTCGGCGTCGGCGCGAGCGACGGAGCCGTATTTCACTTGCGAGTATATCCGCAACGGTTTGGATTCGATGCCCAAGTTATCCGCGACTGAGGCAGTGAAACCTTGACTGGAGTTTGCTTTCATCACTGGCTCGCAAAAGCGCGCCTTCCGCGGGTCAAACGCAGACGACACGTGCACTTTCGTTGGACTTACTTTGACATCTGGTGACGTCGGCCACATCCAGCACCCGTTTCCCCTCACCGCGGTAAACACACACCCTTTATACCAATCCGTTTTCGCACTCGAACCTCCAGCCAACATTTTCGACACCGTCCTCGGCGAAAACCCGTAAGAATACGCGTCGTTAAACTCCAAAACGTCCCCGCTTTTTGGCATGTTCGGACAACCCATGGCGCCTAAAACCAACTTGCCTTGGTCCATGAGCGCCAACGCGATGGCGTACTGATCGCCTCTCACGAACCCAAGCGTCCCATCCACCGGGTCTAAGATCCAATGCCTTCCTTCTGGACCTCCCTCGCCTTTCCCTTTATCGATTAACGCCACCACGTCGTCGTCGGTCAACTCTTTCGCCTCAGGATAAAACAAATGAATAGCCTCGTTCACTAAAATCGTAATCTTCCCCAAAACTTCCTTCCCGTCTTCGCCACCATTCACTAACGCGTCCGCGTCTTCTTCCCCGAGAAACTTCATATCCGGTTCATCCTGCCCTATTCTCCACGCGATGACCGCTTGCGCCGCGTAATCCGCCAACGTCACCAACGATTTATCCCCTTTCGTGATGGACTTTTCATCCATCCGCATCAGTTGCGCTTGCACTTTATCGCAAATCGTGGACGCTATGCGCACGGCATCCAACGCGATTGCGTTCTCCCTTTCGTATTTCGTTCCTTTCGCGGGTATTTCGTTGGCGACTTGCGTCGAATCCTCCGCCGCAACAGCCACCGACGAAATGAACGCTTTGTTGTTCTTCTTCTTAACAGTAGCGTTGGGTGATCTTCTCTGCTTCTGTTTTTGCGCGAGGAGGTTGTTAAACGCTCTTCGTCCGTTCTCGCACGTCGCGCTCGTCGTCGTTCGCGCGTTGTTGGTTCCTTTCCACGCGCATCCTCCTCCCCGCATCATCAAAGAAGCTTCCGACATAATACCGTGCATATATATATTCTCTCAACCGCAACAAATTAAAACCCGAGACGATCGTAAAGAATAACTCTCTCTCTCTTATCTCTCTCGCTCTTTCTCCGCGTCGTCGTATCTCTCGCGCGCACGCAAACGCTTCTTCAATCTTCTGAAGACACAACGGGAGGAAGAAGAGAGAAAAAAGCTCGCGTTTGGATAAAGTGGCACAAATTAGGGTTTGACCCTAAACGTGAAAACTGTGACGACAGTTGGTTTTTTTTTCTCCGTGTTTTCTTCAATTTTTTTTATCCCCCAATGTGTGTAATACTAACGAGCAGAGATGATGTTGTCTCTGTCTGAGATGCGTAAAGTCTGCAGAACGTGGTAACTTTGTTCCAACGCGCATCGTCCGTTTCGCACGATGAGTTCTTCCGCGACGACTGCTTCTGCTTCTTCGAATGCGAGAGAGAAAGGCCGAGCGCGTTTAGATGCGTATCGAAATCAGAAGAAGAAGAAGAAGAAGAAAGACGTTGAAGAAGGAGGAAAAGGAGTCGCGTGTTCGCCTCCTCCTCCTCCTCCTCTCGCGGCGAGCGGCGTCGTCGATGGTGGTGGTGACGTCGAAGAGAAGACGGTTCCAATCGTTGGGGTGTGCGACGATGATAAAAAGTTTCCACCGAATGAAGAAGAAGAAGTTAAAGAAGAAGAAGGAGGAGGAGGAGGAGAGATGCGAATTGAAGACAACAAAGCAGGAGGAGAAGCGAAGACGGAAATACCACGACACGAAGAGGATGCGCAAAAAACGAGAGGGACGTTTATGGAAGAGGCGCGAGAGAGCGAAGAACAACATCGACAGAATCTCCTGCTGCTCGAGGAAAGAGAGGAGGAAATCGAAGCTTTGCGAGAGAGTTTGTTGGAAACGAACGAGATGTTGATCGAAGAGCGTAAACGCTCGGAAGAATTGGAGGAGACGACGAGAAAAGCGGGATTAAGAGCGACGACGGCGGAGGAAACTTTGAGAGCGTACGCGAGCATAGTGCCGGAAACGAGAAGTAAAGAAACCGTCGAGGAAAAAGAAAAAGAGAACACGATGGAGGTAGAGTTAGCACCACAAATAGAAAAAGAAGAAGAACGCGAGAAGGAAAACGAACATGACGTGAGTGAACGAGATGTTTTAAAAAGCGCCAGAGACGCCATGCGACGTGAACGCGACCAGGCCATCGCGAAGCAGAGAGTCGCAGAAAACAAAGCGTTGGAGTTTGAAGAGGAGTTACGCGACGCGGAGTATACGATCATGGCTTTGCGTCAAGATTTAAAGGCAAGCGAGGAGCAACAGCGGCAGCAAGGAGAAGAAGGAAACGATCGAAGAGAAAGCGACGACGACGACGCAAACGACAACGAGGAGTTTGGAGGAAGCGAGAAGCAGACGAAAGCCGACGCCGCGCTCATCGCCGAACTTCACGCCGAAAGGCGCAAAAACGAACACCTCGCCGAAGCGTTGCACCAATCAAAAGAGCAAATTGCTGTTTTTAAAAACTTATCGGAAAAGACGAAATCGATGGCAGATAAAGTAGAATCTGAAGCGGACGAGTTGGAAAACGCCATCGTCGTCGGCGAAGAAAAGACTAGGACGTTGGCGAAATCCTTGTTGGAAGAACGAAGGAAGGTGAAGAATTTGCGCGAGACGGTTGATATCGTCGCGCGATTGGTAGAGAAAATGACGACGCTAGAAGCCGACGACGAAAAGGAGCAGAACTATGGGAACGAGAGCGCGAGAAGCTTAGTCCCCGAGTCTCCCTTTCGCCGTTCGCGTAAAGCCAAATCGCGATTGACGGACGAAGAAGCGTTGGAGGAATCCTTACGGGAAGAAGACCAGATGTTCGACGACGAAACGTTCTTCGAGGAAACCATCGAGCGCGTCAAAAATGCTTTAGATTATAAAATCGAGCGGCTCGAAAGTCTCGCGCGCGAACACGTGAGTAAAACGAAAGAACTCGGCATTCTGCTCACCGAAGCCGACGATGAGATTGTCGCACAGCAAGAAGTCATCGAACAGTTGCAAATGCAAAGAGACGCTTTGTTGGAAGAAATCGACTCCCGAGACGAACACTTGGACTCAATCGAACGCGATTTGGAGCAAATGTTACAAACGGAACATAAACTTCGCGAAGAAGTGTCGAATAAGGAAAAACTCGTCCACATAGAGACGGCGAAGAACGACAAGCTCATGACGCTCATGGAAGAGCAAGCGATGTGGACGTCGTCGTCTAACAAAGAAAACGCCAATCCTTCTTCCAAAGACAAAGCAAACTCAAACGCGAACGACGAAGATGGTCAAAACGACACAGACCGCGACCAATTCGAGCGTCTAAAAAGAGACACCAACTTAAATCGCAACTATTCCAAATCAGCGCCGGCGACGCCCGCGAAAACGCGAAGAATACGCTCCTCGAGCGCAGGAGGCAAGAACAACGGAATCGACATCGCCAAGGACGTGTACGCGCCTTTACTCGTCACGATCGAGAAACGCCTGCAGCAACTCAAAGAAGATCGAAGGAAGCTCGCTGCCTCCAAGTGAGTAACAACCCATCGAGAAAGATGCTTACCGTAGCTCTAGCTTTAGAGAATTTAGTGTTGGTCTGTTGGAAATAAAGTGTACAACGTTCTCGCACACGCACACATCAGCGTTTTAAAATCAAAGCTCTAAAGAGTTTAAGAAACACTTGAAATTCCTTCACTTAAAAGAATCAAAGACGCGACGTAAACGACGACGACACGTATTATGTTTTCCTCGCGCCGTCGCCTTCCTCCCTTTGTCCTCCTCTTTCCCGCTTTGTTGTTGTTGTTTACGATGACGAAAACGAACGCGTTCGAAGGCGACGAGTTTTCTTTGACGAAACATTTCGTTTCCGCATCGTCCTCGCGAAGAGAAGGCGGAGGAGAAAACTTTAGTATTAAGGGAAACGGAGACGACGGAAAACCACCGGCTTCTTTCGAAGAAGAAGAGCACGATGATGACGACGGCGAGTACGAGTACACGGATTATTATTCTCGCGAAGAGAGAGTTAATGATGATAACGATGATTATGATGAAGAGGGAGAGATGCTGTTCGAGCGTTCCGCCCACGGCGTCCAACTGATAGACGGGAAGCGAGAAAAAATGATGCGAGAGAAACACCGAACGACGGATAAAGATGTAGTGGAACGGTACATGTACACGGACGGTGATAAGGAGAGTGGAAGGAAACATTCTATGATTGGTCCTTTGTTACCGTGGAGATTCGATAGTTTCGGAAACCAGCTGACGCTGGACGAGATACGAAGAGGTATCGGCGCGGATGAGGAGAAGAGGAAGGAGGAGCTGGAGAAGAGCATGGCGCAGAGAACGTTTAAGATTGATCATTTGCAAGGAAGAGTGAAGAGGAGTAGTAATAGTGGAGGAGGGGAAGAAGAGGAGAAGAGGAGAATACCGAAGGTATCGCTGACGAAAGTGAGAAGAAAAACTTTACGATGGACGAAACGCGCGATGGAATTGGTATTGCGAGACGTGAGGAAGTTACAGTTTCCGACGGATTGCGACGAGAGTAAGCTTTTGATCGTACCTTTGGAACAGTGTCCGCTGGGGTGTCGATTGCATATTTATTTGCAGCGCGCGTTAGTTTTAGCGACGAGTTTAGAGAGAACTTTAGTTTTTTTACCGCCGTGGGATTCTGGTATGGACCATTTGTTCATGCCGCTGACCAAGTGCACTTTGAGGACGGGCGAGAAGAATAGTCCGAAGAGAGAAATTAGGGTAAAATTAGCGACAGCTATTGAAGTTTTGGGACCAATTATGTTCCCAAGCACCTCACACGGCGCGCCGCACGAAAAAATAAACAAGTTTGTCGAAACGGTTCGCGACGCGGTGGAAGGTTACGACCAATCCGAGTGGTTTTCCTTTTCGCACGTGGAACGGATAAAAAAGGTGACCGAGAAAATTCGCGATTTGATCGATCGAACCGTCGAGGAAAGTAAGGAGAGTCGAGAACCAATCGTATTTGAGCGTGGAAATGAAGATTCGCACAGGGAAAACGTGGTAAACGCGGCGATGACGTTCGTTATGCACACGTGTCCGAACCTTTTGTTCAATTTCAGAGACGAAGATGTGAACGAAGAGTTGTTGAAAGGATATCAGGACGCTATCATTTGCCACAACGGTCGATGCGATGGCGTGGACATTGAGTTACTTGGCGATTCTTTGCCCGAAGGATTTGATCCCGAAACGTTAAATTCGCAAATACCTGCATCCGTTTGGCGGAGTATTCGCTCGGAGTTGGCCGCCGGCGTCGCGTCGAAAGCGAACCGAGAGATGAGCGAATCGGAGTGGCGCAGCAAACGCGACGAGTTTGAGCAACGAATCAATCGTCGAGGCTATTCAAGCGCATTCGAAAACGAAGGTGAAATTGCCGAAGAGTTTCTTATTCGCACGTTTAATCCGTACGAGAACCTTCCGTTACCCGGAACGCGCGACGACGACGAGTACTCGAAGACGTACGACGTGATACCATACGATCCGCCGTTTGTCCACTCGCACGCGCTGAATTTTGAACTCGGGTGCAACGATTTCTCGTCCGCTTGTCAAGCGCATTTCATGTACATGTCCATGTTAACATCGAGCGTTATCCTCCGCCCGACGAAAGAAACCACCGAAATGCTCTCGGAGCGATACTTTGAGAACCTCCACCAAGTGCGCTCGCCAACAGTCATCCTTCAAATCCGTCAATCGGACAAGAAAGGAGAGGATCCGTACTACAACGTCTTTGGTGGCTACCGAGCGGTGACGCGATACATCTCTGCGTTAAAAATACTCGCAGAAAGCACGAAAAAATGCTGGAAAACCATCTTTGTCATGACCGATTCTGGTCAAGTCATTAAAGAAGTTCGCCAACGGTACGACCGAGGAGAGATACTCTTGTGCGGCGATAAACCAATCTTGGTTTTTAGCAAACATGCCGCGGAAATGGACTTGGACGTCCCCGTCTTTGCTTGGGCTTTGCGCGAAAGCTCCATGAACGAGGCTAAAGGCAACAAAAGGTCCCCATTCACCCGCGAACGCGCGTTCGTCGCCGAACTGTTACTCGCGGCAAAAATCGGCGACTTTGTCCTCGGCGACGGCAGCTCGAACATCTACTTGACCTTACTCGAACTCATCGCCAGTCGCAAACGCGTCGCGGACCTCCCGCAACTCGTCAAGGCCACTCCAGCTAAGTTCCTCAAGACTTACGAGACGAAAGCCTACTTCACGAGCCAATCGAGATGCGAAAACTTCGACCCGGCTTCGCACTCGTGCTTCTGGGTCTCCTCCTTGGGCGCCGCGCCGTTGCTCGGATGGTACTCGGTCTTGTTGAACCAACCGTTCGTGAATGGAATGCCCGTCGTGCTCGAATACGCCAGGGTCCACCGAGACGAGTGGTTGAATGAAGAATAAATTTGTAGTATTGTATTAGTAGTAGTAATAGTAGTAGAGTAGTACTAGTATTTATCAAAAAAGACATGTTACGAAACAGAACTCGTCACACATAAAAACACACGCACAGATAAACAACAAAAAAATGGTAAGATGATTTTAAACCCTCGACTTTCGAGACGACGACGACCACTGCCTCCTTCTCTCTCTCTCTCTCTCTCGTTCTTCTTGGTCTTCTTCTTATTCGTTGTTTTGCGCTCTCGCGGCGGGGCGCTTTTCTCGTCTCCGGTTCTCTCTCTCGTATCTCTGATATACATTTGACCTAAAACGCGTTAAACTCATCACACTTTCTGTCTCTCTGGTAAACACGACAGGTTGCGACGGCAGACGGCAACGTCGCCCTGGCTTTTGGCCTGGTCACGATGGCTGGTTTATCCACCACCGTGGGGTCTATGTTTGTGTTTTGCGCGGATTACGCGAACGTGAAACTTCTCGCCGGCGCGTTGGGCGTATCCGCCGGGGTGATGATATTCGTCTCTTTCGGGGAGATATACGGGGTGAAAGCGGTGGACGCATTTGAGGAAATCGAGGGGATAGATAGAGACGAAGCGACGAGATACGCGACGTTTTGTTTTTTTGGAGGGATAGCGATTACGTACTTATTAGATTGGTTGGTGCATACGATTGCGAGAGTGCACGAGCAAAGGACGGGCGATAAGATGGTGATGTCCTGTCCGGCGTGTCAAGAGGAGGATCACGAACATTTTGGGACGATGGAAAGAGGTTTGGCGGATATTAATAGGAAACAGAGTCAGTCGGACATGTCGTTTGAGTTGATGGAAGAAGAGGCGGACGCGGTGACGGCGGCGAAGCAGCAGCCGACGATGCAAAGGAAGAAAAATGGGAGCGTCGCGAGTACGAGTTTACACAATCCAGAACACACGCACGGACCGGTATCGGACGACCACGAACACCACGAACACCACGTAAGCACGCAGGATTTGGAACATGTAGATTTATCGTCCATTCCACACACGCCTTTAGACACGCAAGATCGCGCGGCTTTGAAGAACATGGGTATACTCACCGCGATAGCCATTGGTATTCACAATTTCCCGGAAGGATTGGCCACGTTCATCGCCGCTTTAGCCGATGCAAAACTAGGAGGCGCTTTAGCCATCGCCATCGCCATTCACAACGTTCCAGAAGGTATATGTGTCGCTATGCCTGTGTACTATGCCACAGGCTCAAAATGGAAAGGCTTCTGGTGGTCATTCATCTCCGGCGTCACCGAACCTATCGGCGGTTTAGTCGGATATTTGATCTTACACGGCAACAGCATGTCCGCGAGAGCGTACGGAACACTCTTCGGCATCGTCGGTGGGATGATGGTGTACATATCTCTCCGAGAGTTAGTGCCAACGGCGCTCAAGTACGACCCGAAAGATAAGTTTGTAACCAACTGTGTCTTTGCAGGCATGCTTATCATGGCGGCGTCCTTGTTGCTTTTTAAAGTTTAGCGCCGCCGCGCCGAGAAGAAAATTTTACGTACAAAAGAAAGAGAAAGAAGAACAAACATATACAATAATATAGCTAAGCGAGCGGCGAGAAATACGCTCTGTGATATACACAACCATCAGTCATTAACCTACGATACTACTCTACAAATGCGCTCTCTACTTTTTCCCTTTTCCTCTCGCCGCCCCGCCTGGAGCTGCTCCTTCAGAGGCGGCTCCCAAAGCAGCCTCGAACGTTTCCGTCACGTGCTCGCAAATGCTCACGACATCTAACAGGGCTTCTCGCATGGCCCCATCCGCGGTCAGCGGCTGAATCGTTTGTACTCTCACGTTCACTTTCCGTTCCATCGGGTGTGGGACGCTGTACCCGGCGAGTGCAACGCCGGGGTTTTTGTTCAGTTGGTACCGGAGGCAATTCCCTAACGTGTGGTCTTCGTTTTGGAGAGAATACGTCGCTTCGAAGACGCCGCTGTTACTCGTGTTGCTCCCAGCCGCCGCCGTTCTGGTGGTGCTGGCATCGTTGTTCGTATCACTGACGCCCAGTTCCGATGGATCTCGCATTCTTATTTTCCTTTTCAGTAGACGAAGTGCGTGTCGGTTGATGAGTCAATTGTTTTGGGGAAAAATGTCAAGCGCATTGGCTTAATAAATAAAGGCAGGATGATGCGCGCACTCTCTGCTCCTCCTCCTCCCCCTCTCGTCGCGGTCCACGCGGGGAGCACCACGACGACGAAGACGTTACGTTCGAGACGTTTTTTAAACAGAGATGGTCGTTTTTACGACAACAACGACACCAACACCAACAAAGACAAAGACAACAACCGGCGACGACTGCGGCGAGTAAAAGCAACTTCGAATAACAACAACAACAACAACGACGACCCGGAAGAGAAGAAAAAACCATCCTTTGGCGGCGGCACGGATTCAAACGGCCGCATGCACGTTCCCACGGACGCGTTTGGCGGGATGAGCCCTGAATTTAAAGCCGCTTCGGCGTTGAAAACGCTGTTCACCATGGTGGCGGTCAGAATCGTCTTGGCGCAAGAGGAAGGGTACGATAACGAAGGCGGAGGCGGGACGCCGACGTCAATCGCGCTCGGGAAGTTTCTGGAGGAAAATCCGTTGAGAGATGGGAACGAGTGGCTGCAGAAGATGTTAGAGTGCGAACAGACGGAGCTAAGGTTGATTGCTTTGAGGTTGATCGAGGTGAGGAGAGCGTACGCGGAGAGTCAGTTTGATTTTAACGAAGTGAGGAACACGGCGAGACTTGAAATCGAGAAGGATAACGACAAGCTGATGGTTGACTACATGAAACAGAGTTTAAGCGCGGAATAAAGAAGGACGAATAAGCGTCTTTATGTATAATGTTTGTGTATTTGTATTGATGTGTATGTTGTCTACTACTACTACTACTACTGCTACTACTACTATTTTACGCTAAATATCCTCGACAGTTATGACTGGCGCAATAGCACGGCACTTTACCGTCTTCTATTTCAAAGCGGTAGTTGTACGTCATTTCCGTTCCTGCTGGGACGTCGACCCGTGTAAAAAAACAAACGTGGTGTTCACCGCCGGATTTGATGATTTTCGTGTACATGTTTGGATCGCAGGAATGATTCGTAAATCGAGCGATGTTCCCCATGTTGGTGCAATCTACAACGGTGTGGTCGTCCGCGCGTAAGAGATAGCAATCGGTACCGTCACGTTCGTAACGTGCTTCGCGGAGATCCGCGATGGGAGTTCGAACGGCTTCACCACGGTAGATGATGACCATCGCGCCGGCTTTGATTGGAACTTTTGAAATTAACCCCCAACCGTGGATGGCCGATTTCCCAAACGTTAACCGTTTCTTGACCGTGTTTGTACATTCGAGCATGCGCTCTTTTAACGATAAGCCAGTACCCTCGAGAGGGCCTTTATTTGGCACGCTGGCTCCGTGCTCGCCGCCGAGTTTTCTGGCGGCTTGCGATTTTATGTACTTCTCTCTCCACTCCTCGGGGGTGTACGACCGACTGGTGACCAGCGCTCGATGCAAACCACCTCGCGTGCCTCTCACGATGTACGGCTGCAAACCGACGTACTGTCGCTTCCCAGTTTTCGGCGGTGGACCTAGATTTTTAGCTTTCAACAAATCCGTCGATTTAGGAGGTTGCACGCCTAAACGCCTATACACGTTCAACTGAATTTCTCGCAACTGTGCCGGAGTTAAACCTTGACCAAACTTTTTCATGCCGTACGGTTGATTCTCGTCTGCTTTTTTGTTCTTCTTTTTCTTCTTCCTCTTGGAAAGTCGAACGCCGAATCCTTCCAACCATTTACCTAAAGGCATCAAAATACCACCAGCAACGCAAACACGAATCGAAACGCGCCATTTTTTCGAAAATGGCATTCCAGCGTGGTCTTCGTACTTTTTCGGGTCGTGATATACTGGCGGCGCATCGGGTGTCGGCTGACATTTTTCACACAAACATCGAATGATGGACTTTCGAGTGTTGTATTCACCAATAATGTTGCGACATACGACTGAAACTTCAATTGGGAGCTCTGGATGCCACGAATCATCGTCGTCGTCCACAGCTTTCTTAGCCAAATCTTTCATCTTAGAGCTGTTTTGTAAAAGCTCTTTCCTTTGCTCTCGTTTCAGGCGCTTCTCGGCTCTGGCTTTTTCGTACACCACGTCGTCGTCGCCCATAAACTTCGGCTTTTTCAGCTCAATTCGTCGATCAATTTCATCGTCCAAGAACTCTTGCTCGATTTCGCAATCTGCGAATCTAGGTTCCGGGTTCCGCTCGCACGTCCACACGTCCGCGTCGTCTTTCGCCAACGCTTCTGCGACGGATTGCGGTACTCTTCGCCACTTTCGACAATCGTCGTTTTCGCATTGAACCCAAGCTTCGCACTCTCGGTCTTCGTCGTCGCTCTCTTCGTCGTCGTCGTCAAAAATGCTTTTGAATTTCGACGGATCTAACGGTTTCGAAGGCTTTGGAGGTCCAGGTTTCCTAGCCGTCGCTGCCAACGCATGCGCGCGCTCCTGGGTGTAATCTTCATCCTTCGATGCGGCAACTTTGGGTATGAAGGAAAGGTCCGGCCACTCGTCGTGGTGTAACGTCTCATCGGTTTCCCCGTTTAACCACTTGATAGCAAACTTTGGATCATTCAGCGACAGCATGTCCGTTTTAATCGCTTTCAAGCCACCTTCGTCGTCGAAGTTTAATCTGTGTCTGCACCCCGTTCTCGTCACGACGGCTTCAGTGATAGTTGCTTTCACGAAGATAGATTCTTTAAACGTCGCCGTAGAAGCGTCAATCGCTATGCGCCTGCCTTCCAGACTTTTGGCTTTCTCTTCAATCGTCATCTTCTTGTCGTCCTTTTTTCCAAAATTATCTAAATCGATTTCAATATTCCTCAGAGCAAGTTGTCCAACCGGATAGACGGCTTTCTTTTTCGGCAGCGGTGGCAAGCTCGGGTCGCGTTCGAGATTGACGTGTTTTGTCTTCCCTTTCGGGAGAGGCCGGCCGGCTCGAGACAGGACGGTGATTTGTGGATGTTCATCCAGATAAGAACCGAAGGTTTCGTACCCGACTCGTTCTGTTCGATTCGACGGATCGCCCCCTTCCGGTAAAATTTTAATGGAGATTCTCCATTTTTTCGCGTGACCCATGCCGCAATGGTGTTCCCACCTGTTGGCTTCCCATAACGATGGAGCGTCCTTTCCGAAATCGCTCACCATATGCACACACCGCGCGCAGTGGCATTTGATATACGTGTCAGCTGGACGGAAAGTTCCGACTGTAGATTTACACGAAACAGAAATATTTGGCAAATTCGGGTCGCCGACATTGTCTAGAGGCAGCGGTAAACCACCCGGGAGAACAGGAGGTGCATTGATATCGTCTGGTTCCGCCTCGGCTTTAGGTTTTGTCACGGCAGCCTTGGCGAGCTTTTCCGCAATCTTTCTCCGTTTTTCTTGATCCCTTTCCTCGCGTCGTTTCTGAATCGCGCGCTGCTCTTCTTCTAACTGCAACTCTCGTTCGTTCTTCTCGCGCCCCTCGATTTCTTTTTGCGCTTCGTTATCCTCGTCACTATCTTCGTCCTCGGAATCTTTGCCGCCGAACACACGTTCATCATCAGAGTCATCGTGTATTAATCGCTTTCTGATTTTCGGTTTAACGACGTCGCCGTCGTCGTCGTCGATGTCGGCTTCCGTTCGGGGATGGCCCTTGGGGATGTATGGACGCAATTTCGCGCACAAACCGTCGCCCTCGGAATCAGACAGGTCTGAATCGCTGTTGTTCGTAATTTTCTCCTGCTCGCGCTGCTCACGCTTTTTCCGTTCTTCTTCTTCGGCTTCAAGCACTCTTGCAACTCTCTTTGAGACTTTAGTTTGGATCCAAGGTCCACTGACGATGACGCCGTCGTTTCCTTCTTCGCTGTAGCGCATGCCCTCTACGCATCCATACATTTTTTGACGTTCCTTGTCTACTCGACAATGTCGATGACAATAACTGATTAGGTGCATGGTATCGTCTTCCGGGTCTTCGTCGGCGTTTCCGTACTCGTCGCCTTGGTCCATGAACAAACCAGCGCCTCGGGCGCACAGCGGATGGTACGCTAAAAAGCACCCAGGATGACAACACTGCACTTTCGTCCCGCATCGTTGTTTGCAAATGGTGCACAGTAATTCCCATCGTTCGCGTTGAATGGCAGCTATGTTATCGATTGGCTCCATCGTTTCGATGTCCAAAACAGTGGTTTCCGGAATCCATTGGCAGCACGCCGAATGCGCCCACACACCGTCCACTGTAGTTGGTTTCAAAGCGCCGCCTATAACTGGACAAAGGCAACACTTGGGAGTTTCAGAGACAACTCCACCGGTATGTTCGCAAGCGCGACATAACCAGCCGACGGCTTGATCTGGAATTTCGTGGACGCCGTAGCAACTTTGATGCACAGAAACTTGACATCCTTCGCAAGTGATCAATTGATCGAAATCGAAATCGCGCTCGTCGTCACACACGGCGCATCGATCCACCGTCCACGCGATATGAATAGATTTGTAATCCTCGATTTCTTGATCTTCCTCCACTACTTTTCTGTTCTTTTCCGGTATTGCCTTTGAAAACTTCTCTTTCTTTTCTGTTCTTTCCTTATACTTTCTCACAGGCACGCCATCGAGCCATCGACCAACGGGCATGCGTTCCGGAACAACCATCCGTAACGATGCTTTCCATTTCTTCGCTTGTCCCATTCCGGCGTGCTTTTCAAACTCTGTTGCCGTCAAAGAACCTTCGCGGCCTTGGCACATGGAGCACAAACATACGACGCGATACTCTTGCGTCAGAAAATCGCCTTTGACGCCGTTGCATACAACTTGCACTCGCTCCGGGCGTTCGCTGAGATCTTTAGGAACTAGCGACCAATCAACGCGAGATTTTCTTGTAAACTCCGCAAACGGTACGCCAGAGAGTCCAACTCTTCTTTCGGCGGCACGCTGAGCTTCTTTGGCAGCCAATATGGTTTTTAAGTTTGCGTCCTGATCATCGTCTTTCTCCGTCAACTTTGTCGTTTTCTTCTCCTTCTTCTCCTGTGAATTCTTCTTATTCTTCTTCTCGAACGCGTTTTCTTCTCTTTCTTCTTGTAGTACTGATTCTTCGTCCTCATCCTCTTCTAATCCGTTTAATTCCTCCTCCGCTTTCTTTATATTCGCGGTGATAATTTTTTCCGCGTGAGTTTTATTTTGGCGCTGTTGCTGCTGTAACATCAATTTTTTCTCTTGTTCTCTCGCGTCTACGGAAGGGATGGACTTTGCCAATCTCGCTTGTAAAGTACCATTCTTCTGCATTTTTAAAAGCGCATTTCGAAATCTCATCGCCGCTTCGCTCGCCTGCACCTCGTACCTCTGTTTCTCCGAGCCCGAAAGTTTCTGCCAGGCCATGCCTTGCAACCGATACATCTCCGCGTGGTTGGAAATTTGCTCCAGATGGTTTTCCGTTTTGTACTTTGCGGTAAAATCAGCACCGAAGAGTTGCCAAGCAGTTTTCGGCCGACTGGGTAACTTTCCAACTTTCGTCGCGCTCGGTGGAGAGCTTATTTTGTTGTTGTTGTTGTTGTTGTTGTTGACATCCGTTGAAAGCTTCGATGCATCTCTAGCTGGAGGCGGCGAAAACATGTTGAGATTCTCGGCGGAAGCAGGTCCTTCGTCTTGAATTGACTCCTTTCTCGTATCGTTTTGCGCTTTAATATTGTTGTCACCTGCGTCGCTTTGATGAATCAAGTCTGTGTGCGTGTCGTTTACATCGATGTCATCACATTGCATCATCGCGTCATCTTTTACTTTCGCGAGCGCCTTTGGGAGTTTCGGTATTTGCGAGAGTAACTTTTTCCTCTCTAACTCCGCCTCTCGCGCCTGTCTCGCGGCTTTAATTTTCATCGCCTCTTTATCAATCTTCCCAGCCGCACACGTGGGGCAGTTATACGGAATCTCTTCCTCTTCTCTTCCTTCTTTGAGTGCGTCGGCTTCTTTCTTCAAAATTTCCGCCGCGGTCGCATCGCACAAATCGTGCACCCACATCTCGCACGTGTCGCATTGAATCATCGGCCCACAGTTCGCATAGTGCCAAACTTTTCCACAGCATGGACAATATTGCCCCTCGCCGTGCATTTTCGCGCACAGCAAACAAAACTGCTTCGCGTCGAGTTCTTTCCTCGCGCAACTCACGCCGCACGAAGCGCACTGGAGCCCATTTTTCATCAATTTCTTCGGTTTCTTATCCTTGTGGCTGCTCGTGCTCGCCGCAACGGCACCCGATTTCCTCTTTTGAGCCGTCGTCGACGACGCGTGTTTCGCATTCTTCTTCTTCTTTCGATTGTTCGTCCCGTCGTATTCTTCGTCCTCCGTATCCTCTTCGTCTGTATCGTCCTCGCCTCTCTCCTCGTCCTCCTCCTCGTGCGCCTCTTCCGAATGATTTTGAGGCATCACGACGCCTTCAACAAACCCTAACCTAGCCGTCCCAAACTGCTTATATACCCTCTCAATCTCCTTCACCGCGGTTTCAAACGCTCTCGGCCGCATCCGTTTCGGCAACGCCTGCGTCTTACACGTCCGCGCGTTTTCCTCGTCGAACGGTGCCAACTGCTCCTTCACCGCCCAACAATAGTCTCGGTCGTGTTTTTTTATCGTCGCCGGGCCGTAAAACATCACGCACACCGCATCCGGAACGCACGACGCTCTCACCGCACTCGGTGCTTCGATTGGATCGATCAGTTTCCCCGGCCAAAACGGTTCAATCGCTCGTATCGTCGCTTTGCAAAACACCAAATCGCCGACTTGGTAATGGTTTAAATCGTTCGGTTGTTGAGGAAAGACCGCCCAAGACGGGGGTGGATCCGCCGCCCAATCCATTTTTCCTTCTTGAGCCTCTTTCCTCTCTGCGCTTCTTTCACCTCTTCCTCTTTCTCTCTTTCTTACCCAGAAAGAAGCGAATGGACTACGATAAAATAAGAGTAAACGTTAAAGTGTGTCTGAATTTTATGACGAAATCAAGGGGGAAAAACGAGGAACGAGCAGTTAAATTAGTTTTCGCACCACAAAACGTCGATATCAAATCAAAGTACAATTCTTTCTTCGTATTAGTATTAAAACAAATGTGGTTTTGTATACAGTAAGTACATTACGAGAGAAGGAGTTTGCGCAAACTCCCCTCTCTTTCTCTTTCTCTCTCTTTCTTTCTCTCTTTCTTTTTGTTCGCGGCGGAGTTGGGGACTCGTTGTTGCTACCAATTTTACAATCCGCGTTGTCATCACTATTTGCGTTTTCATCGTCGCCGTCGACGAGAGAAAGACATTCCTTTGCGCGCATAAAAAGGGAACATCGATCTCTCTTCTTTTGTCTCGACTGTTGATGACGCAAGAGCAACGATAATAAAAAATAGCATATCTCTTTTCTTCTTCTTCTTCTTTCGCTTACTACTGCGAAGAGGCTAACGATTTGCACATCTTTTGAACGTACTGGACGATGTTGACGCTGTGATCCATCTCGTCGGTTAAACCGAATTCGACGACGCCGTTTTCCACCGGGACGCAGATTATGGTTTTCAATCCAGCTCTTTCTGCTTGGACTTTTCGCTGAAAAGACCATCCCGGTAACAAGGAAATGTCTTCGTGCCACTCGTAGTTTCCGGAGTGACAGACGCGACCTGGCATGCCAAACCCAAGAACGTATCGAGTGAACAACGTTTTCGATGTATTAACGAATAATTTTAATTTACTCGTATCGGTGGCGATGCGTGGGGAAATGACCGATTCATCGGGCATTAAACTCGTTCGCCGTCGATCGAGTTTCCAGAATATGCCGTAGTCAAAGCCTTTAGATTCGCAGACGTATGACATTCGATCGCGCATCGGAGAATCTACCATCCAGCTGCCACCAGAGAAAGCCGTCTCGCCGCCAAACGCGTGTCGATTTTTATGTCTCTCGGAACCGCCTGGTTTCACTTTACACAAAGGGCTGACTAAAGGTCCGTCGCGATGGAAAGCGTCCATCGAATCTCTCAACAACTCGTCAATGCGCTGGCAAGAGACTGATTTTTGCAAATAGTTCGCCGAAGACATGGACACGACGTTTTTCATCGCCGGATTATTGCCACTAATAACACCGCCATTACCACTACCGACGTTGTTATTGATAGTATTATTACCTTGAATTAGCCTGTGCCCGACCATTTGGGGAACGTCTCCAAAGGTTTCAGATTGCGCGTAGTGGTGTTGCTGAAAGGAAGACACAGAGCCGTTCGATCCTAACGTTGGGTGTAACGTCATCGCCGAGTGCGGACGAGGTTGCTGCTGGTTGGCATCCATCATATCACGTTGGTGTTGCTCCTGCTCATCTTGTTGCGTCATCAACTGTTGCTTTTGATATTCCTTAACCTGCGAAGAACAGTGCATGGGAGACCCGTCGTCGCTCTCGCTCTTTCGTTCCTCTTCCTTCTGCTCTCGATACTGCACCGCCAAGTGATGCTCTCTCTCCGCGATGACACCGTTGGCTGTTCCTTGCGACGACCCTCCGGAACTTTGGTTCGATAACGTCGTGCTCGCGCTCGACGTGTCGTTCCCTCCCGCCATGGACGTGTTCGGAGAGGACCCTTTCTCTGATTTCAGTTTCACTCGAACGTCTACGCCGCCGTTGTTGTCGCTCCTTCCACCACCATTCCTGGCGATAGCGGTAGCAGTCATATTATTATAATGTACATCAGAATAATTATTCATGTCGGTAAAATTTCTTCTTCTTTTTCTTTTGGTCTCTCTCACTCTCTCCCCCTTGGGAAACAAACAATCGCCCGATTAAAAACAAATAATACACAAGTTTTTGTATATATTATATATGAAAACACACGATCTCCGCGCCTTCTTCGAGCAGATCTCGCTCGCACCCTGCAAATACAAACGCGCGCTCTGTGGAAAGACTGTCTCGATCTTCTTCTCACCGACGCTCTCAGAGGCAACCCGCGCAGATTTGGATCTTTTTTTTGAGATGCCTTTTCCGTACTTTCTCTCACAGCCTTTCCTTTTTTCCACACTGGAATTTTACCGAAGCGCCAAGGAGGCAATCTCCTTTTTTAGCAACGACAAACTCCTTCCGCGTTCGTCCGTTTCTTTGGAGAATCGATCGAGTGGTGTTTGCAAGAAAGAAGAGGTCCTCCTGTGAAGCGCGAGTGTTTGATGAAAGAGTCAGTAAAGGTGAGATCTGAGAGGAGTCTCTCTCTCTGTAGTGTGAAGCCTTTTAAAGCGATGATGATGGATTTTTGTTGTTGTTTTTTCTCTCCAAAACTCCTCCTTTTTGCCTTCGAAATAGGTTAAAACAGAACCAAGATCTGGTAAAAAAGCGGTTCTTGTTTTGACGCTTTTTACGGAGAGAGAGAAAGAAATCCAACGCTCCGAGAAAAACTTTGCGCGTTCGTTTGGTGGTACGTTTGAATCTGAACAACCACCAAACGCGAACGCACGAAAAGTCTTCGAGCGATGAAAACTGTCGTCTTCGCTTTCCTGCGATTCGTTTTCGTTTTTCGCCTTCGCGAATAGATTCGGAAACTTCAAATCTTTTCGACAGCTCGCGATAAAAAAACGGTTCGGTTGGTGCTTATCTGTTTTTCTCTTCCCCTCTCGAGAACGAACACAAAATTTTTACCGAACGTACGCGTAAACGATTTGAAGCGCGCGCGCGAGCACGCGAACGACGAAATATAAAAACAAACGAGCGCGTACCTGGTACTTTTCCTTCTTTACGCACAAACAATAATCTATTCGCGTGTGTTGTCAGAGAGAAACTTTTACCCTTCTCTCAAACAACACAAGAATTGATTTTGGGGAGCTTTTTACCCCGAGCTCGCTTTTTTTGCCCCACGAATTATCCGTCTCTTCGTTTCCAACCCTATTATTTGCTAACAAAATTTGGATCTTTTCAGACAGTGTTGGATCTTTTTCTTTCAGAGTCAGTCAACAATTTTTGTCACCACAGGGAGAAGGAGTAAAGGTTCTTTTCAAGGACCTCGCGACGTAGGAGTACGTTATTAATCAGTTCGTATTATTATGTATAGTATTAAAATCGTTTTGTGTTGTTATATTTATTATAACGTGTTGTTGTTGTTGTTTTATTGGTGTTATTAATCTCCGTCCAGAATCTCTTTGAGACCTTCGTAGTGCGCGATTTCAGTCGCCAAAGCTTTCTCTTTGTCGTCTTCGAAATCGGCGACAAACTTCAACAAGTCCAAGTTGGCTTCTTCGACTAAAGCGTGCGCGTCGGCTTTGACGGAGTCTTCTAATTCAATCTTCGAGACGCGAATGAGTAGTTTACAGAGCAAGGGCAAGGCGTAGCCTTCTTTGACGACGTGACCGTCGTCGCCGCCGTCGGGTTTGGCGGCTTCCAACGCCTTGGCGACGTCGGCGAGTTTGATCGTGCCGTCGGCTAACGAGTGGGCTAATAAACCGGCTAAGATGGAATCGGCTTTCGGGAGGTCGCAGAGGACATCTTCCAATTCGTTGAAGATTTCTGCGATGCCGTCTAAGACGGCGTCGGAGTACCCGGATCGAGAAAGTTCTCGGGTTAAATCTTCGCACGCTTCCCATTCCATGCCTCGTTTCTCAAAACCAACCGTGCACAACTGTTGGATGAAGATGCCAATCTTAGCGTTATTCCACGTGGAGATGGATTTAATCGCTTCACCGACGTCTTTATCGTCCAAAAAGTATTCTAACGTGCGTTTGCGTGCTTCCTCGTTTCCGGCATCATCGTCAAACTCAGAGTCTATGTCGCTTCTCGGAGTTTCCGGACGACTGGAATCGTCTTTCGATTCACCACCTTTACCGGTGTTGATCTTTGGCGTGTTCGATCGCGACGGTGGGTTGGAGCGGCCTTCGACGACTTTGAAGTCGACATCTGCGCCGCCGCTACCGCCACCGCTACCGCCGCCGGAACCGCCGCCTAAAATGGAAGAGCCTCTCGGTTTTTGCACGATGCGAGGTCGCTCACTCGGTTTGCTGCTGTTATTTCTGTTGCTACTACTTCTAGAATCACCATCTCTACCGCCGCCGCGCCGGTCACCATCTCTACCACCACCACCATCTAATCTACTCGTGGATGATCGCGAGTCGGACCGACGAAGACCGGGTCCGCCAGGACCGCCTCCGCGCTCTCTCCCTGACCCGCCGCTACCTCCACCGCCGCGTCGATCGCCACCTCTCGCTTGCTCCATAGCCTGTCGCTGCGCGTCGCGATGAATTTCATCGATTTTCTTCGGACCTTCTGCTGCACGACGTTCTTTCCAACCTTTCTGACGCAATTCTATGACATCTTGTAACATGAATCGGTGTCGCGAACTCAAGTGCGGCGCTTTCGTCAACGTCTCAATTCTTCGGAAATAGGCGTTCAAGTACGCCTCGGCTTTCGGGTGGTCAATCATCGCTCCAACGGTGGATAAGAGCTTGGACAAGGCTTCGACGTCTTCCTCGTCTGGTTCACTCGGCCCGTCGTCGTCGTCATCGCCGCCGGCGGCGGCAGCTGCATCTTTTCCGGCTTCACCTTCCTTGAGAAGCTTTTGGATGCACGTGTGCATGATACGCTCCGTGAGCATGGACTTCTTGAAGAGTTCGCCGATAAACCGAATGTTCCCTAACATCCGTCGTCGCGATTTCAACAACTCTTCCTCTAATCGATTCATTTCGCGTCTTCGATCCAATTCAAGTTCTTCGAGCGTTTTCACTTTTGGCGTCGGGGCGATTTCGCCTTCTTCCAAATCTTCCGGTTTCACGTCCGCGCTGCCGTCTTTACTCGCTTCCTCTTTCGCGATTTTTTCGGCGTCTTCTTTCGTTAATGGTGTTTTACAAGCCTTTTTGTGTTTTTCAACGAGTTTATAGTTCGCTTTGATTTGCGCGTCGCCAGATTCAAACGCCTCTTGACACTTATTCAACAAGACGCGTTTGAACGTGATTTGGTTTTGACCTTCCGGCGCCGCGGTGTCGATAAACTGGACGTTATCTTTGATCAATCGTTCGGAAAGTTTTGCACACATGTCCGCGTATAAAGCCGAAAAAATCGGTTCCAATAACGCCTTATCGAACATTTGACCAATCAAACCCATCAGAGTCTTTGGCTCGGTGATGCCGACGTCGACAACCTTCTCCAACAACTTCCCAAAGTTTTCCGGCGTGAGTTTATTGAGTAAACTCTTGAACTCTCTTTGCTTCTTCTCCTCTTCGTCTTGGACTTTACCGATGACGTAGACATTCTCCGTCTTGTGCAACTCCGGCAAGACGACGCCCGGCGGCGGACCGCGGTATTGGTTGTTGTTTCCGTACCCACCGTCTCGACGGTTGCCTCCGCGACGATTGTTGTGTTCGTCCGGTAAACCGCGGTGCTCCCAGTTTCCGTCGCCACCGCCTCTGCCACCTTTGTCCCAGTTCGGTTGACCTTGGCCTCCACCACCTCCGCCGCCGCCGCCGCCGCCGCCACGACCTCCGCCGCCGCCTCTGCCGCCTCGCGACTGATTTCTTTGTTGCGACGATTGTACGCCCGGCGGTACGATAAATCCAGGCACGGGCCAGTAATCCACGTCCGATGGAACTTCAAATCCTTTCAAAAACTTCGTTGTGCTGTACGGAGAATCCATCAAAGAACGCAAAAATTCTTCGGTGTACTTTCCATCCGCCGGCTTCTCTGCCATTGTCGCTTCGGGAAGTGTCGATTGCGCCGCAGAGGCGCGCGCTTCCACCACCGCCGCGACTGCATCTCCAGAAGAAGGCGTCACTTTTTTCGGCTCATCTTTGGGCGGTGGGGGCGGTGGCGCGCCTTGCGGTGGCATCGGCGCACCCGCCGGCTTCGGCGGCTCCGGCGCTCTCGCCGACGAGGATGGCGGCGGCGCCGACGGAGGATGTGCCGGCTTTTGCGGAGACGCCGCAGTCGGCGGAGGAGCGTCTGAAATCGACGCTTTCCGTGCCGTTTCCGCGGCCAATTTCACGACATCTGCCGCGGACACTTTCGCTGGTGACTGTTGCGCCGCTGGTTTTTGCGGCGACGACGTTACAGCCGGAGAAGACTCGGGCGCTTTCTGCGGCGCCGCGGCAACTGGTGGCGGCGCCGGTTTCTTCGCCGCCAAGTTTGCAAAACTTGGACGCGCCGGAGGTTGCGAAGGAGCCGCCACTGACGGAGGCGGTGCTTGTTGTGGACTCAATGGCGTCGCCGCTGGCGGTTTTTGTTGCTGCGCCGCAGCGGCGACGACTTGCGCCGCAGACTTGCTCTGTTGCTGCTGTTGTTGCTGCTGTTGCTGTTGCTGCTTCTGCGCCGCTTCCAATAACTTCTCCTTTTCTTCCGCCGCTTTCTTATCCGCCTCTTCTTTCCTCTTCTTCGCCTCGGCTTCGGCTTTGATCACCTCCTCGGACTTTTCAATCTTGATCTCGGCTTTCGTGTTCGGGTTGAAAATCTTAATCGGTTTGCGTTCTCTCACCGGCGTCGGCGCCACCGCCGGAGGCGCGCCGTCGCCACCACCGCCGCCGCCGCCACCAATCGGTAATCCACCACCGACACCAGGTACGCCTCCAACGCCACCCGGCGGCGGTCCCACGCGCATGCCTTGCTGCTGCAACATCTGTGCCTGCGCCGCCATCGCCATCTGCGCTTGCATGTAGTTCCCCGGATGCATCCCTTGCGGCATGCCTCTCCCGGCGCCGCCGACGCCGGGATACGATCCCATCGGAATACCTTGCGGCCCTCCGTACGGGACAAACATCGGAGGACCTTGTTGCACGGGAATGCCGCCTTGGCCTCGACCGCCGCCTTGGCCTTGTTGGCCGCCCATACCTCTTCCCATCATAAAGTTTGGGTTAAAATTACCCCCAGGGCCTCGTCCTCCACCCATGACGTTTGGCCCGCCAGGACCTCTGTTGTGTTGTTGCTGCTGCTGATGTTGCTGCTGCTGCTGCTGCTGCTGTTGTTGCTGCTGCTGATGTCCATCTTGCGACGATCGTGTTTGCTGAACATTCGGAGCTCCACCTCCTTGTTGTTGTTGTTGTTGTGCTGATGCCGATGACGACGAACCACCCGATCGCGGTGGCGGTGGTCCTCCTGCTGCTGCTGATGTTGCCGCTGCCGGCGCGGCGTCTTTCCGCGGCGTCGGGACCACCGGCGCGGGAGAAGAAGAAGAAGACATGCTCTGTCGCTGTTGTCGAGAGAGATAACGCAACACACTCTGCACTGTATCGATCAATCGAGAGAGAGAGAGATGTTTATGTGTGTACTAAAAAGTCTCTTCTTCGTCAATTTTGGGTTTTTCGCGGCCGCCTCGGGATGATGCGCAAAACAATCAAAATCAATCGCTCTTCTTTTCTTCTTGTCTTTCTCGATATAAAACTTTACAACGCGGAAGAAGAATAAAAAAACAGGGTTTGGTTCGTCTTCTCTGCCTTCGTTTAAAAGCGTGAGAGTAAAGTAGTATTAGTATCAAAGAGAGGAAAGAAAAGAGAGAGAAAGGTTTCAAAGTCGTTTCCTTCTTTTCTCTCGTCTGTTTTAATGAGGAGTCGAATGTGGTTGCGCTTGTTGTTGAAAAAAAAGCACACGACGAGCTCCCAAAAAAAAAAAAATTGAGAGCAAAACGAGAGTGAAAAAAAGCACAACAGAGAGGAAAAGAGAACAGACGAAAAACTTTGAGAAACGATTCTTTTCAAGCACAAACAGTAGAAACTTGTGACCAGAAATGGTAAAGCTTTTGGACAGGAGACTTTTTTAAGTTTTTCTTCTTCAGAGAAAGCGAACGCGAGAGAGGTCGTTCGTAAAAAATAATACTAATAATACTAATAATGTTTATGAGTTGCCATCCGGGAACGACGTCTCGCGTGATGGTAGCCACGAGCGCCTCGACGTCGTCGTCCCAAAAGTGCGTCTTCGCGGACAGACGACGACAAAAGTTCTCGAGCATCGGGGAAAGGAAGAGGAGGATTCGTTGTTTAAGCGTCAGAGGAGGACACTGCGACGTGGACGACGGCTACGTCGGCGGTTCGGCGGTTCGACATCCAAAATCTGTAACCGTGAAACTGGGCGAATCATCAATCAAAATAGAAACGCAAAAGGTCGGAGCGCAAGCGAACGGCGCGGTCGTGTGCACGGAAGGCGAGACGGTTTTATACTCCACGGTGTGCGCTGCGAGAGAGTTAAGCGCGGACGGCGGGTGGGTACCGTTGACGGTGAATTACACGGAGCGATTTTCAGCCGCCGGAAAATTTTCCGGCGGGTTTAAGAAACGGGACGGGACGTTGAAAGAAGGCGAGACTTTGAAATCGAGAATCGTGGACCGACCGATTCGGCCGCTGATACCGAAAGGGTTCGGCTACGAGACGCAGATTTTGGAGTGGGTGTTGAGTTACGATAACGAGAGGACGACGGACGCGTTGGCGATTTGCGCGGCGAGCGCGGCGTTGGCGGTGTCGGACGTGCCGATGAAAACGCCGGTGATGGGATGTAGAGTCGGGTATATCGATGGAAAGTTTGTCGCGAACCCGACGAAAAGTGAGATGGAACAGTCGAGGTTGGATTTAGTCATGGCGGGGACGAAAGAGGCGGTGTTGATGATTGAAGGGTTTGGTGATTTTTTAACGACGGAGGAGATGATTTCGGGCATCGCGTGCGGGCAAGAGGAAATCGCGAGAGCCGCGAAAGAGATTGAAGCGTGGGCCAAAGAAGTTGGGAAAGAGAAGATGGGTGGAGATATGTTGATTCAAACGCCAGAGGGGATCGACGAGAAAGTCCAGGCGTTAGTCGCGGAGGATTTGAAAGAAGCGATGTTGATTCCAATTAAGAAAGTGAGAGGAAAAGCGATCGGCGAGTTGAGGCAAAAAGCCGTGGACGCGTTGAAGAAAGACGAGAACGGAGAAAATGGTTTTGATAGCGCGCAAGTTGTTCAGGCGTGCGGAAGAATCGAGTCTGCTGCTTTGCGCGAAGCCATTAGAACGAATGGAAGACGTCAGGATGGTAGGAAATTGACGCACATTCGTCCGATTGTCGCCGAGTGCGGGGTGTTGCCGAGAACGCACGGAAGCGCGTTGTTTACCAGAGGCGAGACGCAGTGTTATTCCGTGGCGACGTTGGGAGGTAAATCGGATGGGCAACGCGTAGACGACGCGTTGGAGGATGCTGACGATAAGCGATTCATGTTGCATTATTTCTTTCCGCCGAGTTCCGTGGGCGAATGTGGGCGAGTCGGCGGCGCGAATCGACGAGAGATTGGACACGGAAATTTAGCCGAAAGAGCGCTGTTGCCGATTATTCCAAACGACGACGACTTTCCGTTTACGATTAAAATTGAAAGCACGGTGACTGAAAGCAACGGAAGTTCGAGCATGGCGACGGTGTGTGGTGGTTGTTTGGCGTTGCAAGACGCCGGCGTGCCGATTAAAAGGTGAGAGAAAAAAAATGATTTCGTCGTTTTCTTCTGTTTTCTTCTTCTGTTCTCTTCTGTTTTGTTCTTCAAAAATGCCGTGGTCTTAAGAACGCACTTTTGCTGAAGAAGCTGCGCGCTGAAAAGCGTCGCGTGAAGTGATTTTGAGTCATAACCCGGCGACATCAACGTCATCTTGCGATTACGCATTCGATCATTGAGCGCATAAAAAATACGCAAGTACCTCGGCTTTCGAGTCGGGCGCGAACGCGTTTTTGTTCAATGGTCAATTTGCGCCGTCGCATACATTTTGTTTCTTTCTTTCTTTCTTTCTCTCTCTCTCTCTCTCTCTCTTTGCTCTCGGCAGATGTATGTACTTCAACATCGTCTTCTTCTCTTTTTCTTATCAAAAATAACAGGAAAGTTGCCGGCGTTGCCATGGGATTGATTCTCGGCGATGAAAAGCATCCGGAGGCTATCGTGCTCACCGATATACTCGGCTCCGAAGACGCTTTAGGTGATATGGACTTCAAATGTGCAGGCGACTCCGACGGGTTTACAGCGTTTCAGATGGATATCAAAGTCGAAGGAATAACTTTGGATGTCATGAGAAACGCGCTCGAGGAGGCCAGACTTGGCATCGTGCACGTTTTGGGCGAGATGGAGAAATCCAACCCGGCGCCGAGAGGCACGATGGGCGCGAACGCGCCGCAGATTTCCAAAATGTCCGTTAACCCGAAGTTTATCGGGAAAGTCATCGGTAAAGGAGGCGAGACGATTAAGGGTATCATAGAACGAACAGGCGTGTCTTCTATTGACGTCGATGATGCCGGGAACGTGACGATTACCGGCCCTGGTGGATGCGACATCGATGGCGCTCGAGAAGTCATCGAAGGTATTTGCCTCGAGCCGGAAGTCGGTAAGATTTATCGCAACTGCGAAGTTAAGAAAATCTTAGAGTTTGGTTGTTTCGTTGAAATTTTTCCAGGCGTGGACGGATTGTGTCACATTTCCGAACTCGAAGTTGGACGCGTCGCGAACGTCGTCGACGTGATCAAAGAAGGCGAGAAAATGGACGTGAAACTGTTAGAGATCAACGGGCGAGGACAAATGAAACTTTCGAGACGAGAGGTGTTACTCGAGGAAGATCCCGAACTCGCTGGCGACGATAACCAAGAGCGTGGAAGACGCCCGGCACAGGAACAAGGTGGTAGATCAGGAGGAAGAGGAGGAAGATCAGGAGGAAGAGGTCGAGGCCCTCGTCGCGATAGCGGAGGCTTCGATATGGATGACAATTAAAATCAACAATGCTGCAACTACTTAGATCTATCTATATACTAATACAACGTTGAATATTATTTATACTGTACTTAGAGGCGTATTGAATGTATCACACCGACATCAAGTCTGCTCATCTTTCGCGCGATCACACACCAAATTCAGTCGCCACAACGTTTTTGGTTCTAACTCTGCGACATCGATGACAATCTCTTCGTCCGCATCCTCATCTAAACCGTTCGCGACTTTGCAAATTTTGATAGCTTCCTCCTGATACGATTCTGGTAACTCTTGCATTGCCACTCGTAAGGCGACTTTCGCTTCCACCGATTTCGTCATTCTCTCCACGCCAGCTTTACACGGTTTGCAAAACCAATCGTCGTCGCCTTCTGGGATTTTCTTCATCGGCGGTTTCAAGCAAAAAATGTGGAACCCGCAATCGCAACCGTCGCAAAGGAGCATTTTTTCATCGTCGTCTTTACTCTTGCACACTTTGCACGGAATTTCATCGAGCGTCGCGTTCCATGCCTCCGGGTCCATCTCGTCGTCCAGAACGAGACCAGTTTCTTCCTCGCCATCCTTCTTCTTCTTCTTCTTTGACGCGCTTCCATTTTTCGCTTCTCTCGTTGCTTTTCTTTTCTCCGCCGCCGCCTTGCGGCTCTTCTCTACCTCCAGTTCTTTCAACATTCGTTGTTGCTCTTTCTTGGCTTTTTTCAAAGCCACTTCCGCGGCGCGCTCTTTCTTTTTTGCGTCCTCGAGAATCTGTCCAGCCTCGTCGAGAGTTTCGTCTTTGTCGAGTTTCTTCCCACTACCACCGCCGCCAGAGATTCTCTTCTTCTCTTTCCGCTTTTGCTCCTCGGCTTCGTCCTTCTCCTCGCGTTCTTTCTTCCTCCTCACGCGTTCCTCCTCCCACCGCGCTTCTTCCGCCTCACGTTCCGCTCTTTCTTTCGCCTCGGCCGCTTCATGCTCCTCTCGTTCTCTCTTCTCTCGCTCTTCTTTTTCTTTCTGCATCTGCTCTCGTTTCTCGCGTTCTTCCTTCTCTCGCTTCTCTTTTTTCATCTTTTCGTTTTCAACTATAGAGCGATGAAGAGGCGCTAGGATAGAATCGAGCGCGGAACCGGCGCCAGTGGCGGTTCTCGACACGCCCGCGCGCGCTTTTAACGCCGACGCGAGCTCTTGAGCTTCTTTCGCCATGATTTCTGGAAGAATTTTATTCAAAGATGGCAGTTCGAGAGATGCGTTTTTACTCATCTTTTGCGCCGGAGAGCCGCCGTCTCCACCCGGTGCACCGTTCTCTGCGGGTGGTGCTGAAACGTTTTGCGCGTCTTCTTTTTCTGCTTCTACTTTACCGTCGTCAGTATCGTTACTCTCGAACGACTCTTCGAACATTCGCATGCGCTTATCTTTTCTATACTTTTGAAACTCGTAAAACCATCTCGTTCTCGCGGCGTTGAGCATTCCCAAAGCGGATCCGAGGACGCCTCCTTTCCCGGGAAGCTCGCGCTCGAGAAAGGTTTCTCGTTCTCTCCTCAAAACAGCAGCTGGATTCACGTTATGACTATTACTATTATTCCCGTTGCTATTGGCCGCGTCTGCGTCCTTTTCTATCGAGTTTGATTCGGGTTCGATGTACCCGTTCGGTAGAAATGGGTGCACGGTAATCACGTGCGGCTGTTCGGTTTCCGCCCAAACGTTCGATCGGTCGTCGATGATCAAAGAAAGCGCGTGCGGCCACTTTTTCGCGTTCCCTTCCCATGCCATCTTGAACGATTTCCGCGCACCTCCTCCTAACCCATACAAAGATACCACGCGTCTTCTCACGTCTCGTTCGTCGATGAGCGAAAAATCACCGTCTAAAATCCTCCACATTTCCATCGCGTACTCCTTCTCCGCCGTCGTGCACACGTATACCTCCGCTAACCTTTTCTTACTCGCGCGATTAATCCCCGATAGCGCTTCTTTTAAACCGTGTGGACCAAACCATCCCGGCCGCACGTGAACTAAAATTGAACTGTTTGGATCGTTTGGGTCGATTCGAGTAAACATGGTGAAACCGTTCAAACCGCCCCGGTATTTCGAAGCTAAACGAACAACCGGTCGTTCAATCATTTTAAGCTCGTTCGGGTTAAGTTTGTCTACAACTAAAGCCTTCTCATTCTTCGCGTTTAAAAGTGCGCCTTGACGAACCGCGTTTCCTTCTCGAAACTCCTTCAACATCCGATGGTCCTCCATGAGAAACCGTCTTCGCTGTTCGGTCTCTTGCCGTTCCCTTCGATATTTAGACAGCTCATCTCTATTATTTTCGTCAATGTTGTTGTTTATGCCGCCGCCGCCTTTGCTCAAAGTTTCAATCTTCCCGTCCAGCTCAATCATTTTCCTCCGCTCGTTTTCTATCGCCCGCTCTAAAGTACCTTCCGATGCCGCTTGGAGCAACGTCTCGTCTAAATCTAAAATAACCACAAACTGCGAGTTTTCCAACAAAAGATTCGCCTCGAAGACGGATTTACTCGGAATTTCAAAGCCTAAAAAGTACGACTCCGACTCCGACTTTAACGTCGACGACGCGTCCTCTTCTTCTTTCTTTTTCTTCTTCTTCTCGTTATCCTCGTCCTCGTCGTCTTCATAAAATCCTACGCTTATTTTCTTCTCCCCTGTTGTTGCATTAGGAGCTCCAGCAACGTTCGATTTCTTCTCCTTTTCCTCCTTCATCATCCCGTCTTTCCTCACCGCGACGATGTGCAACTCGCGTTCGTTCGGCAACATAACCACCGCGGATTTGTTCTTACTCAACATCTCCTCGTGTAACCGCTTCAACGCTTTCCCGTTCACCTCGTCCTCGCCCTCTGCGACGACGTTCCTCATCGCCACGCTCGCACCGTTCGGACACAAGAGCAAAAAAACGTCCAACACGTCGCACGTCACTTTCTCGCCTTTGGTCGGGAACCAGAAACCTGCCACGACTAATTCGCTTTCTTTTTTATACACGTTCGCGAACGACATCTGATTCTTTTCGTCGTTTCCGCCGTCGTCGCCGTCGTCACCATTCGTACCGCCTGCGTCATTAAAAACGGATGCCTCGACGCTCAGTTGGTGCACACTCACTCGCATGGAACTCTGGTCGTTTTTCGCGCGTTCCAGGTCTTTAAACGCGATCGAGGTTTGGAACGCCATTTTTTTCTTTTTCGCTAATGATGTGGGCATTTTGTTTTCTTTTACACTTCCTCTCTTCAATTTTCTCCCTTCCAACCGCTCCGACACTCTTTTTTTTCCGGTCGATCCAATCCAAATCTCTCCTCCCACTCTGATGTATATGATATATGTATGATGTGTGAGTCTCTCTTCTTTAGCACCCGAAATGAGAGCGCACTCTCGAGACCGAAACACGAATATATACACAGAGAGAGTTTCGAAACGGACAATATAAGTACAGAGAGAGAGAGAGAGAACAAGAGAGAGAACAAATATATGTCTCTCTCTTTCGAATAAAGCGTAAAGTAATCTGTGGGGGTTTGTAATGTGTGAAGGAGAGGAAAAAAATTCGCTCTTTTTTTTTGCGCTCTTTTTTTGTCTAGGGTTTAGAGTTTTTGGACAAACCAGTCGCGCTCTTTCTGTCCTCTCGTCCTTTGTTTCGTAGTATACATCGAAACTCTGCATATATGTTCGCGTTTCGGTCTCGAGAGTGCGCTCTCATTTCGGGTGCTGAAGAAGAGAGACGTATATAGTGTATTTATTACGCATCAAGGAGGAGTGGGAAAAAAGGGAGAGATTTTTGGGACAACAAAAGCAGTGAAAACCAACGAAAACAGATATCTGTGATGCGTTGTCTTTGCAGCGGCAGCGGCGTCGCGTCTTCTGTTCTTTCGAGGAGGAGGAGGAGGAGGGCAAACGACGCCGAGGAGCGAGGACAACGGGACCACGCGGAGAGGAAGCTGAAGAAGGATGATGCGAGGAGAAGGAGGACGGCTGTGTTGGTGTCGTCGAGTCGTAACGACCAAAACGAGTCGACGAGTGATTTCGACGTCTACATCGAAGATACCGACCATTACGCCGTGGTGTATTACGCGAATTATTTCCGGTTTTGCGCGAGAGCGTTTGAAAATATGCTGTTGGAGATGAGGAATGATGATGCGACGACTTTGACGACGAGAGAAGATTTAGGCGAAGAAAGAGGCGAGTTTTACGACGACGACGACGAATTCGGCGCTTGGTGGTGCGACCACATCGAAGAGGCGAAGTACGTATCGCCGGCAATTTTAGGCGATCGTATTCGAGTGGAGAGCACGGTGATAGCAGAGAATATCAGCGACGACGAGAGGGAGAAGAGTTGGGTGGTGAAGCACTTGATACGGAAGATGGGTGGTGATGATGACGACGACGACGACTTTGCGACGACGACGGTATCGTTTACGTGTCAATCGCGGTATAGGAGTCGTCGAGGAGGCAGGAAGAGCAGCAACTGGGATAGAGAAAGTAGCGATAGTGCGAGTAGTAGTGGTAGTGGTGGTAGTAGTAGTAGTAGTAGTAGAAGCGAAACAGACAGACGCAGAGCGACGAATATCCGCTTCTTTGCGTCTGAATTAAACCATCGTTCGGTGTGGCACGTCGACGTCCTTCGTTGGTTCGAACGAAACAGAACCGACTTAATCGGCGGCCCGAAAGCGCTCGAGTCTTTAAAATCTGAAGACGAATGCGTCGTCGTCGTGTCTTCAATCTCCAACGTGACCATATTCACCGACGTCATAGAGGATATGATTGTTCAATCATCTCGAGGGGCACATCCATCCTCTCTCCTCTCCTTTTCCTCGGTGCGATTTCTTCGAAGAGACGTGCAGTGCGAATTCGACCAACGCGTGGTCGGCCTCGCGGATGCGCCAAACGACGACCTTCGAGTTGTAGCGTCTGGTAAAATCACGTGCACTGTTTTGAAAAGAGAGAACATGCGCCCGAGAAAAAGTCCGCGAGCGTTGAAAGAACGGTTGTTGGTCGCTTAATCAGACTTACATGTAGTGCTTCGAATCGAGAGCGTAATACTGATGACAATACTACTCTTGAAACCAAATCAACTTCCTTTCCTTCACTTTTCATTTTAAAGGCATCAATCAGACTTTAAGCAGTACTTCGAATCGAGCGTAATACGAATACTCTTGAAACCAAATCAACTTCAATTACTTCACTTTTTTTCATCATCTGAACAACACTAAAGAAGAACTTTGGTCTTCTCTTTCGCGCGAGCGAATCGCGCATTCAAACGTCTCTCTCTTCTCTCTCTTTTACTCTGAAACCATGCCTCCTCCGAATAAAGCGAGCGACGATCAAAAAGTCGTCCTCATTGGCGGTCAGCAGCTCCTCCGCGTCAGAGACGAAAAGACCGGCGAATTCGTGTTCCGTCCTCTCGACGAGAAAACGGGAAAAGCGAAAACGAAAGAAGCCATCGATCAAGAGAAACTCGAAGCGTATAAAGAACGAAACAAGGATAAGTTTTTGGACTCGGATATGAAACGATGGGAAGAGGAGAGGAAACGAGCGATCGTGGATAAACGGTTTAAAGAGGCCTCGAAATTGAAATGGGAGGAACGGGAGAGGAAAGAGAAACTCGGGATATCCGCGCCGACGAGGACGAAGACGAACGCGAGCAATAACATCAACAGAGGAAAGAGCGATTCGTCGAAAGGAGGAGGAGAAACGAAGAAAAAGAGCGGCGATAAACCTAAAAAGTTGTCGGAAAAGAGGATGCAGAAGAAGAGAGAGTGGCTGGATAAACACGGACGCGTGCGGATGCCGGAACCGTCGAAAGCGCTGGCGGAACTTCGCGAGGAGATGAAGCAGGCGAAGATGAACAACTTGGAGAAGGTCAACGCCGGGAAGTTTTCGTTTTTGAAGATGGCGTTGGAGTTAGAGGAAGGGAAGTTTCAGACGGCGACGAGAGAGGCGAGGGAGAGGAATTACGAGTTTGAGAGGAAGGCAAAGAACGTGAGGAACGGGGAGATGGACGGGACGGATTCGGAGGACGAGAGCGACGACGAAGCCGGCGGGAACGGGAGGAGGAAACATAGAATGCGAGAGGCGGATGCGAACGATCCAGATTTTAGGAGAGATTTAGATCCACCCATAGTAAAGAGAGGGTCGGATGCAGATTTGTTGGATCCGGATTATAGGAGAGACGCGATGCCGTCGGCACCGGCGCCACCGCCTCCAGCGGCAGCGCTGACGCAAAATAAGAAGAAACCGCAAAAGAAACCGCAACAAAACAAGAAACTGCCGCCGAAGCAGCAGCAGCAGCAGCAACAACAACAACAACACCACCAAAAGCAAAACAGCAACGCGGCGATAAAAGCTATTCCGAAGCCGAAGTTTGAGAATTTGAGTTTGAATGGCTGATGTGATTGATGTGTTTGCACGTGTGTACATCGGGAGGTAACGCACGAGATCTTTCACTTTACGATAATCTCTCTTTCGCGAGCGAGAGAGTTTGAAAGAACGACGAGGGGTCGTCGTCGACGCGATTCGGCGCGTAACCGCCGGTCGAGAAGAGCGCGATGTCACGCGCGTAAGTAATTCGGCTTCTCGAGAAAGAAAAATTCGTTTGCGAAAAGCAGAGGATGGAATTTTACATGGCGAGAACACGACGAAAATTTGTTTCTTGGTAATACAAAAGGCGTAACAAAGAAGAAGCACGCATCGCGCTACATGTTATACGACTGTTCTTTATCGCAATACGTATCTAATCCGTACGTGCGCTGTAACGCGTCCTCCCATCGACTTCGCCCTTTTGCCCGCTCCTCTTTTGTGCTCTTCGACTCGAAGAGTTTCGATCCATCGTTAGCATTTTGATTGTCTTCACCCAAAACGTCTCTTACCGTCATCGGCTCTTTACTATTGCCGTACCAGCTGTATACCCCTCTCTTGTACGCGCCAATTGCCGCCGCGAGCGCCGCACCGTATGCGGTTGTCTCAATGTTGGCCGGCCTGCGCACACTTTTGCCTAAAACATCCGCTTGTATTTGCATTAACGTATCGTTCACGCTCGCGCCGCCGTCCACGGATAGGAGTTTCGCATCACCATCGCTAGAAGAAGTTTTCTTCCTCTTCTTGCTCTTACTATTCTCTTCGCAGTCTAACTCCATCGCTTCGAGTACTTCCATGGACTGGTAAGCTATTGCTTCCAGTGCCGCTCGGCAAATGTGCGCTTTTTTTGCGTATCTCGTCAATCCAACGATAACGCCGCGACTATCGTCCCGCCAGTGCGGCGCGAACAAGCCGCCAAACGCGGGCACAAACGTTACGCCTCCAGTATCTGTTACCGTTTTCGCACACTCCTCAACTTCATTCGCATCGCTCACCAACTCCATTTCATCTCTGAGCCATCGAATACATTCGCCACCAACAGCCACCGCCCCTTCTAGCGCGTACTCTGCTTCCTCGTCCTTACCCAATTTCCAACACACGGTGGTTAGAATACCTCGTTTGGATCGAGTAATCGTCTTCCCGGTATTTCGCATGGCAAAACACCCAGTTCCGTACGTGTTCTTCGAATCACCCTCTCGTAAACGGTGTCCGAGCGCACTGGCGTGTTGATCTCCTAAAATACCATAAACTTCTAGCTCGATTTTTTCTTTGTCTTTCGTGACTGAGGGGTTACCTGCCCATCCGCTCACGCGCTCCGCGCTCGATACGATCCTCGGCAACCACTCTTTCTTAATCCCAAACAGATTCAACAAATCGTCGTCCCATTCCAGCGTCTCTATGTTCATTAACAAGTATCTCGACGCGTTTGTCACGTCGGTAACGTGCACATTCGGTAACTCCTGGTTATTACTGTCGCGCCTCGCTCCCAACTTCGTCACGATCCAACTGTCCATGGTCCCGAATCGCAACGTACCTCGCGCCGCCGCTTTTTGCACATCCTTTGAATTCTCCAACAACCACCTCATTTTAGTCGCGGAAAAGTACGTCGATATTGGCATACCTGTTTTCTGAAACACCATATGTTTCTCCTTCTCTGAAAACCGCGAGACGATCTCCGCGGTTCTCGCGTCGCACCACACTATGGCGTTGTGTAACGGTTTCATGGTTTCCGAATCCCAGGCGACGATTGTTTCGCGTTGGTTTGTGATTCCCACTGCCATGGTAAAGGCGCCACCGACTTCTCGGTAGCATTTTTTTATGTTCTCGATGATTTCTTCCGGGTCGTGTTCCACCCATCCGGGTTTGGGATGTATCTGTTTGTGTGGATGTTGCGCGGATTGGATTGGTCTCAAATCTTTGCGCTCGCCGTCTCGTTCTTTGTAATGAAAACCAAGGAGTTCGTATTTGATGACTCTCGTCGACGTGGTGCCCTGATCGATGGCTAAAAGTATAGGATGCGTGAGAACTTTTGGTCCAAACATCATGGTCACGCCTCTCCTTGTGAAGGTATCTAAAGCGTGGGGGCGTCTATCGTCTGCGTCTGCGTCGGAATCGGAGGAAGCCATTGTGTTGTGACGAATAGTTTCCCAAAGTATGGATGGAAGAAAATTTTCCTCTCGCTCTCGCTCTCTTTCGTTTCGATGGAGTGTTGATGATGATGTCTTCTTATGGTGGTGTAATAATAAATTAAAACTGTACGTACAATTCTCTATCTTCGTTCAACTCGGCGACTAACTCGGCGGCTTCGATGAGCGCGACTTCGCCTAACTTTGTGATGTAGTTGTTGTTGACGGAAACGTTTTCCAAAGCGCCTTCGGCGTTGTTTTTAATCGCCGCGGCCAAGGCGAACGCGCCTTCGTCTTTGATTTCGTTGTAGCCTAAATCTAACGTGCTTAAATGTTCGTTGACTACGGCTAATGACTTGCCCAACGAGCGGACGCCGTCGTCCCCTAGTTCGTTGCCGCGTAAATCGAGGGTGGTGAGGGATTCGTTGTAGGTGATGGTGTCGGCGAGGGCGGCGGCGCCTTCTTTGCCAATTTTACACCACCCGACGCGTAGCGTTTCGATTTTGGCGTGGAATTTGAGGGATTCAGCGAGTGCGATGCCACCGTCTTTGCCTATCGGGTTATAACCGAGCTCTAAAGTGGTCAACGCGGTGTTTTCCTTCAAGGATTTGGAGAGAGCCATAGCACCGAGAGCGCCGATGTTGTTCCCGCCAATGTCCAGGTTTTTCAAAGTCGCGTTGTCCTTCAACGCGGGGGACATTTTGACCGCGCCGTCGTCGGAGAGTTCGTTCATGTAAAGATTCAAGTGGGTCAACGCGTCGTCATCTTTGAGGTAATCGCACAACGCAGCGCCAGAATCTGGACCGATGGCATTGTTTCCAATGTCCAAGTTGGTCAATTTCGTCTTGCGCTTGGACAAAGCTTCGCATAATTTGACGCACCCTTCGTTTCCAATATCGTTTCCGTTCAACGTGAGCGATTTTAAGCTGCTATTGTCCACCAAAGCGTTTGCTAAGGCGACTGTGCCTAAGGCACCGACGTAGTTACCTTGTAAAGAGACGTGTTCTAACGTGTCGTTTTGTGCTAAAGCTTGCGCCAAGGCGGTGGAACCTTCGTAATCGATGGCGTTGTTGTTCATCTCCAAAGAAGTGATCGAGGTGTTTGATTTCAACGCCTCCGCTAAGGCTTTGGCACCATCGTCGCCAAACGAACACGAGTTTATGTTCAACGTCGTTATTTTTGTATCGGTTTTCAAATAGTTTGCCAACGCGATGACGCCTACATCGAGCAACGGATTGGAGGCGAAGGAAACCATGCGCAGTTTCTTATTTTGCGACATGGCTTCGGTAATGGCAAGCATGGCGGTTTCACCAAAACCGTTCGCGCCAAAGTCAACGCACGACGCGGTTTCGTTGAACGCGATGCCTTCGGCGATGATTTTTGCGCCATCGTCGCCGAGTTTACGCCCATTCAAATCAACCGTTTGGAACCGTCTCAATTCGTCGACGCAATCTCTACACAAGCGCTTGAACTCTCTGCTCATCGGTTGTACTCTTTGTGGTTGTTTCGGTTTTACTTTTTCTTTTTCTTTTGTTTTCTCGGAGGAAGTCGACGTCGACGCGCCGCCACCATCTTCGCCTTCTTCGCCATCCATGGTGGTAAACATGCGCAATCCAGGCGGCAAGTTAGAAGCGCCGACTGGAGCGTTCTCGCCCGTACCTTCAACCCCGCCCGATTTCGCCGCTTTGTTCAACGAAGCGTAAAAATCGGAATCTGACGCCTTGTCGATACCACCAGTAGCAGTTTGCGCAGCACCAATTTCTTTTCCTCTACCACCACTACCACTACCACCGCTGCCGCCCATATCAAACACCTCCTCGTCCTCCCCCTCCGGCGAACTCTTCGCCCTTCGCTTTTGCATCTTCGTCCAAAGAAAATACGCAATCAATCCAATCGCCCCAACACCGGCGCCGAGTAACGTCGGGTCCGCGCTCGCGATATTAAACGAAGAGGAGGACACCATTTGCGACTTTTTCGTCCCTTTCTTCTTCTTCGGCCTCGGTATCTCCGAAACCGCGACGACTTCTTCTTCCTCCAAAGAATCAGCAGCCCCTCCTTCCTCGAAAGCATCATCAGCTCTTTTGTCTTCCCCAATAACATCTTCGCTGCTCACATCGACGGTCGGATCGCCCTCGATCCTCGGCAACGCTTCCGCCGTCGACGAATCATCCAATTCTTCTTTCTCTTTGCCATCATTGCTCGTCGTCGTCTTTGAGGAACTACTTTTCTTCTTTTTCTTCGCCGCCGTCACGACCAAGACTCGTCGATTTTGTTGGTGATGATGATTTCGTTGAGAAGAAGAAGAACGACGACGCGCAGCTGAGACGTTGCTCCTACGACTGCTCCCGAGAAAAGCGCGAGACCAGACTCCACCACCACCACCACCACCGCTCGTCGTCGTCGTCGTCCTCGCGTTGTTGTTCAAACTGCTCAAGAACATCTCTCTTTAAAATGTAATAAAAAACACAAGAAGAGTCACTTTTTATATTGCGGCGTTTTTCCTCGCGATTTTGTTTTTTTGTGTTTCTCATCAAAAAAAGAATTTAATAGACTTGCCTTTAAAAAAAAATGAAAACCCTAAACACAATTTTTTTTGTCCTTGTCGGATAAGGCGAAGAAACAGGGGCCACAAGCGCTCTGAATTTTCATCTCTCTCTCTGTTTCTCTGCTGTTTTCTCTCTAAAAATTCTATTCTTGGGCTGTTCTTTCTCTCTGTCTGGCAAATATATTTTATCTTCTCGCTCGAGTATATATTTCCTCATTCGAGAAACGCATTATTCGTGGTGAGAACAAACTCGTTCGCGCGATAAAACACACAAACAGAAGACGTGCAATTGAAAAGAAACGCGAAGTGTTTTCTGTCGCACTTCTTCTTTACCTTCTTTTGGTTGGTGTTGAGGGAGAAGCGAAAGAAGAGTTGAAGAGAGAAATTTGCCTCTGAAAGATATTTCCTTTTAGTACTCTTCTTCGCTCGTCGTCGTCCAATTCTCTTCTCGAAAAGACGCGTACAAAAAGCAAAAATCCTTCTTCTTTCGTTTACGCAGAATATGAGCTCGGTATACCCGAGTTTAATGCAAACGACGACCACAACGACCGAAACGACCACCAAGCGATGGTACGCGTTGGTTCGTTTAGACGAAGACGGGCGCTCGGTCGCGCCTCAGGCCGAGGAAATCGCCAAGCTCGAAAGAGAACTCATGCGCTCGCAAGAAGTGTCCACGGGAGGAGGACACGTGAACTCTGCGTCGATTTCGCACCATCACCATCACCATCATCACCACGTGGAGACGTTTCTACACACCACGTATGGGTCCGAAGGAGGAGGAGAAGGAGGACGAATGATGCAACAACAAGACGAGAACGATATAACAGCGACGAAGGTTCCGAGCAGTCGACTGGGAGGAGGAAAAGGGGGTGGTGGGAGACAACTTCAACAAGGCGCGAACTCGGACGGCACGGAAAGCGCGAAAGAAGGGAGCCAAAGTCCGAGCACGACGAACGAGACGACAAATTCGTCGGGAAAGAAGAGAAAGAAAGATACGAACGGTGGCGGCGGGGTCTCGTCCGGGAAGGAGAAGAAGAAAGAGAACGCGACGGATACTGATACTAATAATAACAACAACAACAACAGAGGCGGAGAAGAGAGCGCGAGAGGAACGAATGCGAGAGAGTTACCGCCGGGGTGTAAACCGGGCGGGCCGTGCGACCACTGCGGCGCGTTGGACTCACCGCAATGGAGACGAGGGCCGGCGAGTAAACCGTGTTTGTGCAACGCGTGTGGGACGAGGTTTCGCCGAACAAACTTTTTGGCACCGCTTTCAAACAACAAGGATAACAATAAACAGGATAACGACGAAGATAGCGCAGTGCCGACTGGCAACGACAACAACAAGAGAAACTTAGATGGCGGATCAAACATGGCGAGCCAAACGACGAAGAAACGGTTGGCCGCGGCGTGTTGATTGATAGCGCGCGCTTTGGTTGGTGTCACCAGGGTATCTCTCGAAAGGGAAGAGATGACATTCTGTATTTTTATTTTATCCACACTCGCTCTTATACACACCCGCTGTTGGCGAACGAGCGAGAGACGAAATTTGTAAGTATTACCTGATTACGCAGTATATTTTCTATACATAATCTACAAACTAAAGTTCTAAAACACGCGCACTAATGGTATGTACTGTTATATTTACTAATGCTTCATCAGCAGCTCTCTCAGCGAACGTTTCGTTTCCATCAACCTTTGGTTTCTTTGCTCGACCCTGGCGGCTTCCTCTTTCAACTTGACCAAATGTTTCGATTCTCTCGGAGTGCCGGTGGCGTTGGACATCATCTTCGCGAGCAACGTGGGCGTGGACACCGTTGGGGTTCCCGTCAAAGAATCGTTGGAGTTGTTTTCGTAGCCCATGATTGAATCCTCCGTGCTCGTTTGTCTGGATAAGTCGCCGCTCGCGTTGACTTGTTGCACAAACTCAGACGCCTTTTCGTTGGCGCGTTGCTTAAACTTTGAAAAATTTTGCGCCAATCTCGAACCTTCCAACGAAGCGTTCAAGGATTCCATTTTACTCGCGAGGAAGCCAGATGCTTTATTTGTTTGGCGCTGTATTGGGCTATCTTCGTACTCTTTTCCAGCGGCGGCGTTCTTGGCGGCGTCCAATTCGCGTTGTTTCTGTTGTTCTCTCAAGACTTCTTTAATTTCAGCGTTCAGCCGCTGAGCGACGGAATTTGCAACTTCGACCGAGGCATCGACGACAGAGACGCAGTGCATGGCTACTTCAACGGTCGTCTTTTCGATGAACGTAGTCCAAGCGAGAAGAAGGGTTTTCACAGCGGTCTCACTTATCGATTGAATCCTTTTGCACTTCTCTAAACTATCGTCGATAGATTTCTGGAAATGATTCGCGTCTAATCGCGAGTTCAAGACGAGCTCAATGTCCTCTCTGGCGAGTTTGATTTCGTTTAACAAAGAGTGACGCAATCTCGACCGCGCCGCTTGTATATCCTTTACGCGTCCGAACAATTCTATTTCGCGCTCTAACGCTTGCGCGCGTCTGGAAATCATCGCGTCGATCGCATTCATCGTCGACCGCGCGGCGTGCAACCGATGATCTTCTTTTTCAATCTCGTCGGTGAGTTTCGTCGCTTCTTCCATCGCGTCCAGATTCTTTTCGATGTCGCCATCTAACGCGTCATTAACAATCGTTTCATCGGCTTCGCGTTTGCTCTGTTCCCAAGGCGCGACCAGCGTTTCCACCCCGGCGGCAATTTTCTTCCCGCACGTCGCGTCTCTTTCGCGTCTTGATTTCCGCGCAAACTCGCTCCAGTTTTCAATCGCCGTTTTACCCCGAACGTCTTCCTGTGAAAATGTTGATTTCTTTACTTCGTAAAAAGAACGAAGCGTTTCTAAATCTATTCGCGCGTTATCTTTTGTTTTTTCGACCAGTCTTTGGAGGTGTTTAATATCTTGCGCAAAGACTCTATCGTTTTCGAGTTTCGTCTCATCGACCTCTTTCGGGTCGATGAGCTCAATCTTCTCGGCTTCGATAATTTGATTCAGTTCACTCTTCTCGATGTCTTCCCAATCGTTGTTGTTGTTGTTGTAATTATTTGTGTTCGTGTCTCTGCTATTCGTGCTATCCATGCTCGCTCTTCCAGCAGAATTGAATGTTGTTGTCGTCGGAGGCGAAGCGCTAAATCCTACGCGGCGCTGTAAAGACGCAGGCGATGACTCCTTTTCGACAACCGACTTGTTGATTGGTATTGGCGTGCTCATATCTGAACCAGTAGCCGTGAGATGAGCAGTAAAAGCATCACTATTACTCTCCACGAGTTTCATTCTCGTCAAGATATTCTGTAAGACTTTCTTTACTACGCCCATTTGAAACAAGACTCTTTCGCCGCGTTCGAGCGTTACGTTTAACCACGCCAACGCTTGTCTATCAACTTGTACTTTCGACAAATCCAACGCGTCTCTTTTCAAACATTCTTCGTATCCTTCGCGAAAATTTCTCAATTCTTCAACCAACGTTTCTCGTTGCACGGCGAGATCGGAGGACGAAATCGCGCGCACGGATACCAGCGCCGCTTCGGTGGTGAGCTGCGCGATACCGCGCGAGGCGGTATCGGAAATACACACGCGCAGTTCGCGCTCGAGACTCAAGATACATTCGATAACCGCGACGCTTGCATCTATGGCAATGCCAGCTTTAGGCGGGATTTCATCTTCGGTGAGTTCTTGCTTTCGCTCTTTTTGTTTGCTCTCGTTTCGACTACCTTTTCCATCAAAATCATCATTCATATCGGCATCTTCTTCTTTCGAAGACGCATTCACATCTTCCTCGGCGTTCTTGTTCTTATTTCTGTCATCGCTATCGTCGTCGGAAACCAAATCACCATCGAGCGACTCCAAGTCGTCCACGAGCTCTTCCTCCTCCTCTTGTTCCGTCGCCGCTTGCACGACGCTCAAATCATCAAACAAAACCTGCGAGAACGAAGCGACGGTTGTCTTCCCGAGAATCTTATTCTTCTCCAACTTCAACGTGTTTTCGTTGTTCTCCCCTTCGGTGCTATTCCTACTACTGTTCGTCTTCTCTCTGTGCTGTTTCTTACAAATCTCCATCGCTAAAATGACGTCTTCAGAACACACTTTCTGAAAAACTTCCTCCCTTTCGCGTTTCAAACACGTCGTCACGTCGCCTTCCTCTTCCAATACCTCCGCCTCGACGACTTCGATGAACGTACCGTCGATGCGTTCGCACAAACGATCAAACCTCGACTCAAAGTTCACCATGCTCTCTTCGTCCTTACCAACTTCTTTCCCTAAATTCTGCAATCGCTCTACCGCCTCACCCATTTCCGTCGCTTCCAACAACCTCTTTTTTGCATCGACCCCGCCCAACAACGCGCAACTCGCCGCGAACAACGGCGCGCGATGCCCGCTCTCGATAACCCGATCCCAAACTCGAAACGTACACCGCGTCGGCAGCACGTTCACGAACAACGTCAACAACCACTGCGAACTCGTAATCGCGCTGACGATGTTATCCGCGCCTAACGCGTCCAAGTGTACCCCCAACTCCGGTTCAATCTTATTCACGACTCTCGAAAACACCCGCTGGTCCTCCATCGCTTTCGCCATCCCTTCGGTAAAGTATCCAGGTACGATTCTATTCACCAAACCATCTAAGCACCAAAACGCGCTCTCCTCGTCCATCCCAGAGAGCAAAAAAAACGCGCAAATAAAGTTCATCGATTGCACGTACCCCGTCGCGGGATCGTGTTGGGCGAACGCCAACAGTACGTGTTTCAACGAATTCCACATCTTGTCCCCGGGTATGCTCAGCCCGCACTTCTCGAACGTGTGTCCACTTCTCGGTAAATCCTTCTCGATTTGCGATAACGTTTCCAGAGTTGTTTTCGTCGGTTCAATTCGAGCGCGTTCGAGTAGTTTTTGGAAGTGTTCGGGGTCCTTCTTCATAGTGTTCGTCGTAACGACTTCCGCGTTAAAGAGTAATTTCGACGCCCATCGACTGGCTCTCGTTTCCTCGGGATGCAGCGACGAGTGTCGCCATTTTTCGAGCGTTTTTCGTTCCTCCGTATCCTCCACCTTTTCCTTTGCATCCTCCTCTCGAGGAGAAGACGCGTCGTCGTCGTCGTCATCGCCGTCCATGTTTTTAATAATGTTTTCTCTCTACGAGCGCGTAGTGGGAAAAGAAAAAGTCAGGAGGAAACAAAAATTCTGACGAAACGGCTTCTTTTTTTTTGTTTCAATTCAGAGAAAAAAAAAAGAGCAACCAACGAGCTCATTAATCAGAGGGTTTTTCACATAATTTATACTCTCATCACATTCCTTTTCTTTTTCTGAAGAAGAAGAGGAGCACTCTTCCAACGCGAAAAACGGCGAGAGAGTTTTCAGGAGGAAAGAGCGTTCTTTTTTGCTTCCTCCGAGGAAGGAGGAGTTTGTTCGTGAAGCGCGCGAGTGGTTTCGAAACGAGCTTTTTATTCTCCTCTTCAATTCTTTCTCCCGTTGGCATCTGATTTCAAATTTGAAATCAGATTTGGTGTGTTTGTTTACTTTTTAAAGATGGATCGCGCGTACTTGCGCGCGAGGTTAGATCGATCCTTCGAGGAGAGTTACGACGTGTTTCCGATGGTTTCGTTGACGAATTCGGCGGAGAATGAGAGCAGGCCTGGAGAGAGGGACTTTGACAATCTCTCGGGCACAGTCTCGCAGGGTTTGTTGGTCTCTCGATTTTTTAAGAGATTGACGAGGAAGTATTGCGAGGTTGAAACGTGTTTCATCGACAGCGCGTCGAATTTGAAGAAGAAGAAGACGAGTAGCGAGAAAGTGCCGTTTCAGTTTTTTATGCCGAGCCGGACGAGCGCGAGAGAACATCGGGTGTACGTGGAGTGCGCGATTGAAAAGAAAAAGGTACCGGCGGTGAAGATTTGCGCGGACGCGACGAGTTTCGAGAAGAGCGAGTTGCGGTTGAAATTTTTAGAGGAGGAGGAAGACGAGAGAAGAGCGACGATGATGGACGAAAGGGTTTTGAGGGTGTTGCCAGATGCCGTCCTTAACTATTTGACGAAAGAAGAGTCGAATTTTGAGGGATTCGGTACGGACGAGCATCAAACTTGCGCGAGGAGATTTATTTTAAGAAGGAGTAAAGAGATGACGACGACGACCGGCAAAGACAGCATTAACTTTACGGTGGAAGGTGTGGAAGTTGAGCGACCATTCGTGAGATACCGCGGGTGTAGGAGTGCTACGGCTGGATCGATTACAGAACGAAATGCCGCGAGCGAGTCGGTGTCGAACGCGTCTTTGGAGATTACGAGCGTTCGGCCGTTCTCGATGGCGTTGAAACGTCTCGGCGACTTGAAGGTTGCGTGCCAACGCGCAAACGTTCCCATTGAGAATATGGTGCCATTTTTCACTCCGAAGACTGGAAAAAAGAGAAAAGCTGCCGAGGCAATGAATGGAATCGAGAAAGAAGAAGTATCCGTTTTAGACATTTCTTCTACGCCGCTTTCCGTCATGGCTATACCGCGGCTGGAGAAGCAAGCCATAGTGACTTGTCTTCGTCGCGAGTTGCCTTTATCACTCGGATTCTCTAGCGATGAAGAATATTTAGAATCGTTCGCGGCGTTTCATCACTTGAGCATCGATAAAGGTTCACTCATTAACCGAACTATTAAACCAGACGGGGTACAAGCGAAGAAGGAGTATTATGGCGTCAGATACGCCGATGTAGTGTTTGAGAATACGACGGAAAGATGGGTTTATCCGATCACTTTGTTGCTTAAACAGAACGGCGCAACCGAAATAGCTGCGAGAAATACCGAGGAATTCTCGCAATCGTTGATCGTGAAGAACTTTGCGGAAAGTATCGAGTCTACGACGCATTTGGGCATCTCCGTATCGTTTTTTCGAGACGAAGAGAACGGTGCAATAGAACGAGAGGCGATGGCTAACGAACTTGCTCATGGTGATGATATTTTGGACGCAAGTGCGAATCAGATTTCTATAGACCCACTCTTACAGGCGCTGCAAACGCACTCGCCGCCGTTTCTCGGGTTTCGCTTGGCCCTGGATGAGTACATCGACCCGGTTCTTGAAAATACTCCAAACACTAGACGACGTTTGCGAAGAGCGTCGTCGATTTCAGCCGGAGCAAACTTCAACGATGTCGTGCACGACTTCGGAGGATTGCTTACGCAAAGTACGATACCGTTGACGCTTGATTTAAACCAACCGCTCGCGATTGATGAGCAAGATGGAATGGACGTGGTTCGGGCGCAACAACGCCACTTTCTATTGAATAGCCCGGTTCAAGACGAGGAAGTGGCGATGGCGTTCACAACGTTGGATGAGAGGAAGACGAAGAAAGCAAAGACTATAGTGAAAGCTACAACGATAAAAACGCCACCGCCGCCCAAAGCACGCGTGCCACACTTTTCTAAAAGTAGCACGAAGACGACGACAAAGCCACCACCAAAGAAGATGAAAAGTGAAGAAAACAATTCCTCGACGGAGAGATTCGATGCAATATCGGAGATTTTGCGAGACGCAGAGGAGAAAACTCTTCTGTCGAAAAGTGGAGGATCGAAATACCTCACCATAGACGATTTGCTATTCTTCTTGGAATATTCTGATCCAAACGTGGGCGCAGACTGTCGCAAAAAGATTGGGAGGCGAAACGGTTTCAGTCGAGCAGACGTGATGAAGGTCGTTCTGCAACTCATTAAGAAAACCGCAAAACGAAAAACATTTCGCGGAAGGAACGACAGAGTTGCATGATGTGGGTACCGTTGGTGCTACTATCTGCTGTACTATATTCGTTATTATTAGAAAAGAGAAACACAATCGCATACGTTGTAATGCTAATAAGAGAGACATACATACACACAGACATTTTTTCTAAAACATCTTAGCCGCGACATCTTTGACAACCGCCGCGATCTTGCCTTCATCCGCCGCGTTCAACGCGCCAATCGAACTCGCATTGATTGATTCTACCACGTCTGCAATATTACTTTTCGCTTGCACAATGCACGCGTTGGCAAATTCTAGCATTTTTGCTCCGCTTACGTCTTCTCTCTCCGCGAAGGAGGTTTTCGTCATAGCGTAAACGCCTATGAACGATTCAGCAATCGATCGTACCTCACCGGGCGTTTGTTTCATAAATAACCCGACCGCGTCGGATTTTGCGTTTAACTTTCTCTTCTCTTCGCCAGACTTGCCGTACGCAGACATGTCGTCGGATTGCATGAGTTGTAAACGAAGCTCTAACGCGTTGATTTTTTTAAACGCTTGCGCTTGCCCCGGCGCGCCGATGCGACTGACGGACATTTTTTGATCCCAAATCCATCCTGTTTCAGGATCGAAATCTTTGATAAACACTTGCCCGTCTGTGATGGACATAAACTCCTCAACCAACGGACGCGGTTGCGTGTACGCATTTTCCGGTGCGCTCGTTTGATTGTTGCGTTTGGCGTAATTCGTAATGCTCGACGCTTGCGATGCTGCTTCGCCTTTCTTTTTCAACCCATCCGCGAGCTTCTTTTGCAACGCTTCTGGCATGCTCTCGAAGTTTGCAACCGTTTCTCGCGCTTTTTGCATGTAATCAATCGATCCTTCACCATTTAAAGAACCGGTATAGTCTTTGTCGTACGCGCCAATTGGATGCGTCATCGCTCCTAACAACGTGATCGACCCACCCCCTAATTTATCATTCAATCGACCTACTCTTTGTAAAGTCGTTCCTAAAAACCGTCTGCGCTCCGCCATGGCGGCGCTCACTAACATTCCTTCAATCTCTTCTTTGTTTTCGTCGGATTCGTCGTCTAATTTTGCATCCGGAGCGAGTTCGGCCATTTCTCGCGCGAATCCTGTCATCCCGCTAAAATCGTCGACACACAAGAGCGCGTCTTGGCCGCTTTTACGCGCGCCTTCCGCGATAGCGAAAGCGGTTAAAGTAGCGACGTATCTTTCCGCAATTGTGGCGTCTTTGGAAACTGTCACTACAGTTGTCGATGTGTTCGTATTTTTCTCTTCTAAAACGTTGAGCGCTCTGGCGATTTCTAGCGATTTCTCTTTACTCGCACCCACCGCGGCGTACACGCACCGAACGTTGCTCTTTTTTTGCGCGCTCACGGACATCTGTAAAAACTCAGAAACTCCCGTGTTCGGTTCGCCGGAAACGAGCAAACACTGTCCTCTTCCAATCGGTGTCAAAACATCCACCGCGGACGCGCCGGTAATCAAAGGCGTCGTGATTGGTTTCCTCGCGTCCACCGGCGGTGGATCCGCGACTAAATTCTCACCACTTTGTTCGCTCAAATACGCTTCCGAGATGGATTGAAAACCGCTCGCGCTCGTTGGCGCCCCCAACGCGGAAACAATTCTTCCTCTCAAATCCTTCTCCGGCGGAATCTGAAACGCTTTCGATTTACTTTTCTTGTTCTCCTCGTCCATCTTCTCCACCTCCAACGCGTCCCCGACTTTAATCTCTGCCACGTTATCCGAATCCGGCACGTGCACCGCGCCCAACTTCGTCGCTAACATCGCGAACGATTTCGGCTCCCTGTGACTTAACAAAATCGCCTTCGCTTGTAACCCGGGAAAGCGCAACACCGATCCGAGTTGCACGCTCGACCGCAAACCTTCCAAAACGAGCAAACCGCCCGGTTGAATCGAAGTCACCGTTCCGGTTTGCCCAATCGACGTTTGCCCGTCCGTTTCTTCTCGCGTGGCGTCGATAACTTCCTGTCCTTCAAACGCGTCTACCCCTTCTTCGCCGCCGGCGAAGGCACCCGCGGAGGAGGAGAAGGCAACCGAGGAGGAAGAGGAGGCGGTTTTTGAAAACATGCCGATCGTATTAGTGTTCGTCTCGTCGTTCTTCCCGCTCTCGTCCTCTGGTCTTCGGGTTGCCTTCGCAGAGAAAGACTTTGACGAATTCTGCGAACGCGAAGAAGAAGAAGACAAAGAAGCGTATCTTCCACATCCGCCGCCGCCTTTACCTGCGCTTCTCTGCGCCAATGATACGACCCCTACGACGCCTCGTCGTCTCGTTTCACTCAGCATCATCGTCATCATCGTCATCATCGCTCTATGTTTCAAACTTTTCGCTTTGGGAGGAGAAGAACTGCGAGTCGTAAAAGTCTCCGCCGTTAAAGCCTTCGCCGCGCGTTCGTGATGATGCGGACTTCTCGTCAAGCACGAGTGGTGGATTGTTTGCATCCCACAACACCACCAATCGGTTCAAAGCGTTCGCTTAAACCCAAGAGAGACAAAAAAGAAGACCACGCGCGCACGTGCGGTATATAACGTAAAGGTTTTACGCGTCGCGTGCAGATAAAGCGCAGATGCGTGTGTGTCTGCGTCGATGTGAGTAAAGCGAAACTCTAGCAAGAAGAATAAAGTGAAGAGAAATTTCCCCTAAAGGCATTCCCCAAAGAGAGAGACACGAATATGCCGTGGTACTTGAACGACGGAAACGTGAACGACGGGAAAAGAAGGCAGAAAGAGAAGTCAAAGAAGAGCGGGACTTTAATGAGGATTTCGTCGAGAAGTGATGATAAAATCGACGAGAAACGCGAGGAGAAGAAACTGATAAAGAAAGAGGGAGAGGAGGAAGTCGCCGCCGGCAACAAGAAGAAGAAATGGAAGAACAAGTTTAAGAGGAAGCGAAGGAGAGGGAAAGAAGACGAGGAGGAAAAAGAAGACGACGATGATGAGAAGGAGGAGAAACGAAAGAAACAGAAATCATCATCCTCGTTGCTGTTATCGAAGGCGCCGTCGGTGTCCACCAACTGGCACAAATTGGTCGCGAGAGGAGATATCAAGACGAGCGAGAAAGGGAAGCGCAGGAAACGCGATTTTGACGCGCCTTTGCCACCCCGGTCGGCGTCGGCATCGGCGAGAGAAAACTATTACGACAATGATGGGAACGATGCTGAAAATGAATGTGGTCGTCGGGGTAACGACGAGGATGCCGACGACGAGTTACGGAGACCGACGCCGACCTCTCGCGACGCTTCCGTGACGGAAACTTTAGCCATAGATTGCGAGATGGTCGGCGTCGGCGAGGACGGGACGAGGTCCGTGCTCGCTCGAGTCACGGTCGTGAACGAACACGGGAATGTCGTTTTGGATACGTTCGTGGAAACTACGGAGAAAGTGACGGACTACCGAACCAAAGTCTCAGGCGTGCGTCCGAGAGATTTGAAAAACGCGCCAAAATTTGCAGACGTGCAAAAGATGGTGTCGAAGCTCATCGAGAAGAAAATCGTCGTCGGTCACGGATTGAAGAATGATTTTAAAGCGTTGCTTTTGAATCACCCGAGAGAGCGGACGAGAGATACGGCTCTGTATCATCCGCTGACGAGACCGTTGCGATCGCACGAACGGTGCGTCGAAGGCGCGCCGAGAGGGAGAGGCTGCAGGAGTTTAAAAGAGCTGACGAAGACGCACTTACGCATGACGATTCAAGAAGGCGAGCACTCGTCCGCGGAAGATGCTCGAGCTGCGTTGTTTTTGTATGCAAAGTTCAAAAAGAAATGGGAGCAGTCGTTGCTCGTCGCGATGAGGAAACGTCATTAGTAGCATTTTATTTTAGGCGCGCTAAAAATCTAACACATATATTTCTACGAACCACTACGTGACTACACGACTAAATCTCTAACGAAACTTTCCTTGCTTTTGCTCTTTCATCCTTAGCATTTCGTTTTGGTACCGAACGAGATCGTTCGGCCCCCACCACCCCCATTTCGCTTCGCGCGGATACACAATCAACGGCTCCAACGGCGTGCAATTTTTCGAGACTCGTAAGTGCGCGCGCATGCGTTCCGCGCTTCGAGTTTCGTACCCACGCCCGTCGTTTCGGTAGATGAAACGAGTGGAATAGCCTTTATTATGTGGGCCGTTTTGGCAGCACTTTTCGTCGCAGCCGCAGCATCTAAAATACACCACCGGTTCGTTGGAGATTAACCGTTTCGTTTCTTGCGCGCCGATTAAGACTAATATAATCGCCGAAAACGCAAAGACGGACGATAAAACCACCCCGGTACCAACCGTTAAAGAGACTAACCCTGATTTCGCATACGTCGGTCCTAAATTTCCGAACGCGTCCTTCACGTACTCCACGATCCCATCGCTCGTGTTTATCGTCAGATAATAAAATCCAACCGCGGCAACCGCGCACACCACCGCGGACGCCCAAATCGGCCCCGGTGGCCTATTCGCCGGATCTCTCCCGCCTACCAATTTCATCTTCTCCTTGTTCACTTTCCGTCTCTGTTCGTTTTCCGTCATTTCTTTCTCCTCCTCGTACTCTCTTTGCTCCTCCTCGATTTTCTTGTCCTGTGTTTCTTTCAAGCGTTTCACTTTTTGTAACAACGATTTCGCTCTCGCTTCTTCCGCTCTCAGTGCGGTTTCTTTCACCAAAACTTCCGCGTTTAACTTTGATTTGTTGTTCGAGCCTTCGTTTTCGAACGAGAACTTTGTTTGCCGACCGATGTCATCGTCGTTGTCGTTGTTATTATTATTCGATAAAGAAACCGCTTTCGGATGTCTCCTCCTCCTTCCCCGATGAAAAGGATCATCAAAAACGCGTTTCGATGACGACGTAAACGACGACAAAGATTCTCCTCCTCCTCTTCCTCCGACGAAAAAGGAGGAGAATAAAACGCTCGAAACGGAGCGCATTTCTTCTTTCCTTCCCCCGTTTGCAACGGAGAGAGAGAGTCTGCGTGCGTGTATCTCTCTCAATATCCGAGCGCGATATTTGTGACGACACTTCGGGAAAGATATTTCGAAAATCTCCTCAGTATTGAGAGAGAGAACAACAATCGAAGCGCAATCACGCGACGGCCGGGCTTCCTCTCGCGCTTCCTCTCTCGCTTTACATTTGGAGTTGTGCTTTGCCGCGTCTCGGGGTCGTCGTCTTCGTTAATGCGCGCGAATACGAACAGGTGTTGTCATCATCATCATCATCTTCTGCATTACATTTTCGGGAAGAAAGCAAACACCAACACCTCGAACAGAGCGTTCGTGTGCCTGGTCGCGGTGTTGACGTGCGCGCTCTTCGCGCTCGTTTCCCGAGCGAAAGAGACGAAGCGGGCGTTAAACAACATTGCTGTCGCGAGATACGGCGGTTTTAGGGCGAAAGGCAGCGGCAGCGGTAAAGGCGGGCCGTTGGTTTTCTCGTCTTTCTCGTCCTCTGTGGTGGCGGAAAAGATTGGACTTGTAAGCAGCGAGGAACTGCGCTCGTGGTCGACGGGGCGATTGCAAAAGACTTTGGACGTTTTAGAGAAGGAGAGACGAGAAATCGAGGAGCAGATTCGTTTTGCGAGTAGTGATTGAAGGCACGGAGTAGTAGGCGCGAGGAAGTGTGATTGATAATACGATGTCGCTCGCCAACGCGCAATACAAAGTGCACGAGGTGAAACCTTTGCAATCGAAACAGTTTAAAAAGGATGCGGACGTCGCGAAGGATTTGTTGGATAGGGCGTGTTGGCAAGTGCAACCGATCATGAAGAAGAGGAAATGGTCCGTGCCTGTCGTCGCGGAAATGCCTCCCAAAAACACCGGGCCGATTGGCGTGAACTACGCCGGGAAACGAATCACGGTGATGTTGAGGAAACCGACGAAATACGGTGGCGGTAAAGACGGGAAGACGTTTTTCGATTTAGACCACGTTATTTTAGTATTGTTGCACGAGTTAACCCACATCGTTCGAGGGCCTCACGACGACGTGTTTTGGAAACTTTTGGACGAGTTGAAGGAGGAATACGACCAGTTGAAGAAGGAAGGCAAAGGCGGCACGGGTGAAGGATTCGACGCGAAATCGGTTGGAAAAATTGGCACGAGAGGTTTTGGCGGCGCATGGGATAAGCAAAAGCTAGGCATTAACCCGAGAGAGAGCGCGCGGAACGCGGCGTTGAAGCGATTGGAACAACACAAGAAGATGATCCCAGTCGGCGGCGTAAAATTGGGCGGCGGTGCGGCGGTGAGACCAGACGTAGATCCGCGAGAAGCCGCGAGAAGAGCGGCGGAGAAACGAATGAAAGAGACGATGGATTTCAGTAAAAAATTTGGTTTAGATTTAGAGAGCGAAATTGTCGCCATAGATTTGATTAGTAGTAGTGATAGTGAAGAAGAAAAGAAGGAGAAGAAGGGGAAGAATGATGGTGAGAACGTGGTCGTGATTGATTTGCTTAGTAGCGACGACGAGAAGGAGGATGCGAAGGAGAACAAAAAGAACACAACGTTGGGAAAGAAGCACCCGTTATCAGCAGGCAACGTTGTTGGCAAACGCAAGTGCTTGTGTTGTTCGTTTCCTGGAGAGTTTTGCCAAAAGATATAACAACGCGCATAAAGTTTTGAAAGACAAACGCAACAACGACATGCATATACACGCACACATATATTACCCTACTAAACTCGTACCTGGTCCCATAATCGAGCGCCTCTGTCTTGGCTCTTTCACAACCAACCGCATCGATCTCGGTCTCTCCACGTCAACAATCAAATACCCAAACGGTTCCTCCGCGTTGCTCGGATCGTACTCCGCGTGCACCGTCGCGTTCCCTCTCGCCCCTCTCGCGTGAAATTGCACTCTCACCACCTCTCTCCCACTCGCCGGGTCTCTCACGATCGTGTGTGGAATTCTTTGTCGCTGACTTCGATTTCTCGATTCGCTCCCGTACCCGGTGATGCTCTCGCCGAGCGCCGACGTGACTCGCGGGTCCAACTCGATCTGTTTCAAAGCCGCGTTAAACGCCACGTATTCTTTCGGACTCATGAATAACTCTTTGCTGGCGAAAAATAAAGCCGAGGCGGCTAACCCTAACCCAAGCACGATCACCACGGAATACCCCGCCGTTTCCGCTTTCGTCACTGGTTTCTCCGGTATCCATTTATCGGTTATCTCGTCGAATTCCTCGTCCTCCTCGATGGTTAAAGCACCCGATGATGAATCATTTTTCTTCTCGCTACTACTGTTGTTACTACTACTTTTGCTAGTACTATTACTACTACTCGCGTATCCTCTAAACGAATTAAAGAATTGGCGACGAAGTCGTAGATTATTATTAATAATAATAACATTATTATTATCAATGTCATCGTTAGTATTGCTTCTCGTCGAAAAACGAGCCCTACAGAACGAGGACTTCTTCACGCTCGATGATGATGATGATGATGATGATGATGAGTAGGATCCAATTGGATTCAGTTGTTGGTGTCGAGAACGCATCATCTTTCCTCTTCTTCTCTCGTCATCAAAGTCCTCCTCCTCAAAACTCCCAACGAACGTTCTGGAGGAGGAGACAGAGAGAATAACTCTTTTCGAAGCCGCCGCTGCTAAAGTCGATGATGCGTGTTTTGTTGATCTCGTTCGAAGCATATTTGTGTGTGTGTTTGCAGTTGTGCGTGAGAAAAAGTGACGCGCGAAATTCTCCATTTCCGCTCGCTGCTCTGCGCTTTGTGCGACGACAAGTCCTCTCTCTGTCGACTCGAAGAATGTTTTTCGGCGGCCTGAACGACCCGTCCGAAAAACTCCGCAAAGAGCAAAAGAAAGAGATGGAAAAGAAGCGCTCTAAAGCGACCGCCGCCGCGAGAGGAAGACTCCGGGAAGGGGAGCAGCAACGGGAAACCAATCGAAACACAAACGCGGAAACCAAAACGAAAAGCAAGAAGAAGGAGAAGCGATACGAGGTGCTTTGGAAAGCAGAGTTACGCGTTCGCGTGGAGGACGTCGCATTGAAACGTGGGATTCGCACGCGAAGGGAGGATAAGATTCAACTGCCAGCGAGTGCGCTGAGAATGCTCGAGAGATTTGATGACGAGATGGGTGCGAGGCAACCGAATGCGTTTTTTTACGTTTCGAGAGTCGATGAAGATGAAGACGAAGATGAAGACAAAGGATGTTACTGCGCGGCATTGGATTACCAAGCGGAGGAAGATTCCGTGGTCATTCCAACAGACTTGTATAAGAGATTAGGGTATTCATCTGGCGATGAAAAGAATCTCCTCCGCGTGGAGTTTCGCTCTCGAGCGCTCGAGAAGTGCGAGTGGGTGAAGTTGCAACCGAAATCGAACGAGTTCTCGAAGTTTTTAACTCGTCATCCCGAGGCGGACGTGAAGATGGTTTTGGAGAACGTTTTGGTGCAGCGGTCGTGCGTGCACGTCGGGGATGTCTTTGAGGTGGACTTTTCCGGATTCGTTTCTTCTTCTTCTTCTCCTTCGGAATCAAAGTTTGTATTCGAGTTGAAAGTGGTCTCGTTGAAAGTTGAAGGCGGCGAAGAAGATATCGTGGCGAGTTTAATAGAAACAGACGTGGAGGTGGATTTAGCGCCGTCAATGGAACACGACGAAGTCGTCGAGCGCATAGACACGTTAAATAGAAACGACGAGGAAGAGAAGAGAAAAGAGAAGGAGAAGAAACTCGCGGAGGCGAGAGAGGCGCGACGGCGAATCGAACGAAACGAAGAACGCAAAGAGAAATTAAGACGATTTCGAGAAGCGATGGCGAAGAAGCTTCCTTTAGAACCACCACCACCACTTGCTTCGTCGTCGTCAACATTGAAGACGGCGACAACAAACAACGTCGTGAGAATACGAATATCTTTACCGACGGGCGAGGCTATCGATCGAAGATTTTACGACACCGACGACGTCTCCTCGCTCTTCGATTTCGTCTTGGCGTCGTATTCGTTCGAAGAAGAAGAAGATAAAGAAGATTCAGACTTTTGCTTAGTCACGAGAGGCGGTAGGTTTGGAGAAGAGAAGAAGAAGAGAATATACAGAAGCAGTAGTAATAGAAGTAGCAGTAGTTTAGGTGCCGCGGGAGTCGCGTCCGGCGACGTGTTCTTCGTCGAGAAGTTGTAATAATACGATTTGTTTTAATACTGCGCATTTTTCAAATCTTTCCCCAAACACTCGAGTGAAAAGAGAGAAAAAAAAGGGAGAGACACATAAACTTTTTCCGAAAGAACGAAACCCTAACTCTTTTTCAAGCCTGTTTTTTGAACCCTTTGTAACTTTTTTAATACACCATCTCGTAAACCCTACCTCGTAATATACACAAGAGCAGACGTGGCCGAGTGGTTAAGGCGTTCGGCTGCTATTCGATCAACTAGAAACCAACTGTCCACACTCACTTCTATTTCAATCTCAGCATTGAGATATCCAACACACGAGCATTGTGAATACCAATGATACACGACTGTTACTGAATACCCAACGGGTGCGCGAGTTCGAACCTCGTCGTCTGCGTCTTTCTTTTTTTTTGTTTGTCGTTGTTTCTTCTTCGTTATCGTGTTGTTTCGCGTCGTCGTCGAGTGTTGCGTATGGCGCGAATCTCTGCTCTCGGTGGTGGTAAAGCGTTCGGGGAAAAAATAATCATCCTCAGAATAAAAACTTCATCGTCGCTTTTATATCGCTCTCTCTCTTTCTTTCTCCGACGACGACGACTAGTGAGAGAGAGAGAGAGAGGAGGAAGAGAGAGGGAAGAGAACGATTTAGTAGTATCTTTGTTTTGGGGTGGTGGATTAAAATAAAGGGACGATGGAGTCCACGAACAACAACCAAAAAACAACGCAGACTCCACCCACATCATCGAATGTTGTTCACAATAACGATAATGGTTTCCAACAACAACAAAACCATTATTCTCCGTCGGTCCGATCGAAAGCGATGACGTTGCTCTTCGCCGCTTTTTTGTGCGCGATTTCCTTGTTCTTATCCACCAACGACGCTTCCTCTTTAGTGGACGTGGAATCGATTGAAGATGGGCGGATAATGAGAGAAGGGGTGGACGTCGAAGAGGCGGAAAAGGAAAGCGAGGTGGATAAGTTCGGGTTCGAGAGCAAAGAAGAAGAAGCAGAGGAGATAGAGGTAGAAGAAAAAGAAAACAAATACAGAAAAGAAGAACATGATGAATCCGTGCTGCGAGTATTCGAAACATCGAACGATGGTGAAAGTATTAACATGACTCCGCCGGATATCGATTACGAAAACGCAAACAAAAAGATAGTTTTAGTCGGGAACGGACGAGGGGTTTTGAAATCCCGTAAAGGCGAGAAAATAGACAACGAACACGACATCGTCGGCCGGTTCAATTTTTTCGTCACGAAAGGGTACGAGCGAGACGTCGGGCGCAAATTGGATTTATGGTTTTTGAACAAGCTGAAATTGCCCGGCAACGCTCGGTTTCGCGGCTCGACGACGACTGGGAAATCAAAAATGAATTTAAAAATGAAACCAACGATGGGGTATTACATCCCAGTTGCGTTCGAGGTATCACCGCAGTGTCAAAAGAAACGAGGTCCGGGCGCGAAGACGTGCGTTCCAACCTCTAAAAACAAACGCGCCATCGAATCCGAGAAACGCGTGTTATCCCGAGCGTACGCCAGGTTTAAAATCCATCCCGAGTTCGTCCCAGAAGTCTACCAAAGACTATTACACGTCAAATACGACTTCCGACACCGATTCCCGTCCACTGGTATTCTCGCTTTAGTCTACTGCTTAGAGAGATTCCCGAACAGCACCGTCTCTTTGCACGGGTTTGATTTCGTCGGCGAAACGCCAAAAATCGGCCACTACTGGGAGAAGATATTCAAGCTCAGAACGGTGCACTCGCTCAAGTTGGAGAAGCAGTTCGTCGGGAAACTGATTCAAACGGGAAGGGTGAGCATTTTGTAGCCCCCGAGAGCAGCTCAGAGGAGGAAGATTTTAGTCTCTAGTTTATTAGATTTTTAGTACTTTACGTAGCGCGCACTAAAAAAACGTTACAACTCCTCTCGTTATTCTTATTATTATTGTTAGTAGTCGTCGTCGTACGTGCAGCAGTGGATGACACTTGCAACAATGGGGTCGGAGAACGGTTCAAAAGCGACGACGGCGACGAGTAAATCGTCGTTGAGTCGCATGGGCGCGATGATTATTCTTTCCCTTTTCGCGTTCGTTCTCTTTTCGATGACGACGACTTTGGGGAACTCGTCGTCGAACTCGTCGTTAGGAGGAGGAGAAGGAGGATTAGGAGGAGGTAGACGACGCGTGCACACGAAGATGGCGAACTTAGCGAGCGAGTCGCCGGAGATGTTAGGATTGACGGTGCAGAAGAGGGAGAAGAAGAGGGAAACGACGAGCGAGGACGACGAAAAGAGGAGGAGGCGAGGAGGACAGGCAAAGTTAGGGGCCAACGCAGACCATGTGTCAGAAAAAGAAGAAGAACGAGAAATAATAATGCTACCGCACGTGCGAACGAATATCTACGATCCACTACCGAACCAATTCCAACTGAACGGCGAGCCGTTCGATTTCACCTCGCTGCGAGGTAAAGTCTCGCTCTTCGCGAACGTGGCGAGTAACTGAGGGTACGCGAGCGCAAACTATAAAGGCTTTGCCGGTTTGCGCGAACGCTTCGCATCGAAAGACGTGCAAATAGTCTCGTATCCGTGTAATCAGTTTGGGCATCAAGAACCGGGCACGCCGGAGGAGATATTAAAGTTTGCCAAAGAACACGCGTACCCGGAGGATGCTATTTTAATGCAAAAAGTAGACGTAAACGGGAAGAACGCGGATGAAAATTGGAAGCTACTCAAAGCCGCGTTTAAAAACAAAGACGTCTTTTGGAACTTTGAAAAGTTTCTGGTCGATCGAAACGGTGTTCCTAAAAAGAGATACGGCAGCACGTGGTCGAAAGACATCGCCAAAGATATCGAAACTCTCTTGAGCGAAGAAGAAGAGCAAGCCGGCGAAGACTTGTAAAAAATGTGAGCGCTACGCTCGCGTAAAAGAGGAAGAGAGAAAGAGAAAGGAAAAGAACAAAGGTTTCCCTCTGCTACGCGTATAAAGTGACGGCGCACTCCGATAAAGATTATCTCGGGTCGCTCGATAGAACGCAGTAGTATGAGAGAGAGAGAGAGAGAGAGAGAGAGAGAGAGAGAAGCGTGTTGATTCGTTGTATTAATAAATTTTACGAGCAAAGTTGAAGAGAAAAAGTTCGTTAGAAAAAGCGACAGAAGGACCCCTCCCCCAGCTCTTCTCATGACGGCGTCGACGACACACGAGGATTTCGAATACGCTCGATGGCTGGACTCGAACGTGAGTACGCTCGTGAAAGCGGACAAAAAAAACGCGTTCGAGGTTTTTTCCTTCGCCTCCGAGAACGCCAAAGATGCAAAGATATCCTACGCGCACATGGGGACGATGTGTGAAACCAAGAGAGGATTGTTCTGCGCGGCGTTTCAGTGCTCCACGTCTGGGTGCGAAGGGAAACCAGGGCAGCACGTTCGGTTTTGCACGAGCGAAGACAAGTGCGAGACGTGGACGGAGACGAAAGTGCCCATGTTTGGGTTGAACGCGCTGTGGTCGCCGGTGTTGCATTATCTGGAACAGACGGATGAGATTCTGTTGTTTTATAGCGAGAGTAGGAAGCAGTTATCCCCGGGCGGCGATGTGAAGCTCATTCGGACGAGAGACGAGGGAATGTCGTGGTCGGAACCGGAGACGATACTCACGCACGAATCACTCGGAGGCGTCCCGAAAGTCATCGCGAACAGAGTGTGCCAAGGTCTGAAAGAAGAGTGTCTTCGGCTTCCGTTTTGGACTGAACCGACCGATAGTTGGCTTCGATATCGACAGTATCATCCGATGGAAGAAAACGCGTCGTTAAAGAAGAAAGTATATCACAGTCCACCGGGGAGTCGGGATGATGACAGCGAAAGCGTGTACTCGGGCACGATTGACTCTCACGACGGTGGGAAAACCTGGGAAGCTCCTCGGATAAAGCAACTGGTCAAATTTCCCGAACATACGTGGTTGATTGAAAATAGCGTGCTGAGAAGTGCGCTTCAGAACGAATACTCGATGTACATGAGAAGCGCGACTGGAGAGGTTTGGTACAGCTCGGGCGATGATGCTCAACAGTATTGGAGCACTCCAGAGCCCATTCCAAATCTCCCCAATCCGAATTCAAAAGTAAGCGCGAACGTAGATAGCTTCGTATACACTACCGCGAACGGAGAGGTAAAAGAACGCGTCGTCCTCGCGCTCAATCCGTCGAAAACGAAAAGAGCTCCGCTCGGTCTTTACATTTGCCGCGCGCACAATAGAGAGGAGAGCGGGAATCAGAAATACCCTTTCATAGAAGTCGAAGGCGACCCGAACGGTAACTTTGCCTACCCGACGACGTTCATAGCGTCGGACGGAAGCGTCTTCGTCATTTATACCGCGTGGGACGTCGGTATTCGCGTCTACCGAGTTCCTTCTTTGGATCTCGAAACGGCTTTGGTTTCCTAATAACGTTTGTATGATTACATCACCACGCAGTTGCTGTTCAAATTCTCTCTCTCTCTCTCTCTCTCGAAGTTCTCTCGCGACGTGATATTTTGTATTCGCTTCTTTTTCTCTCTCCTGCTTCAAAAAATTTCATCTGCAAAATACGTCAAAAATTCCCCCGGCGGCGGCTTAAAATTACGCGAGAAAGTTTACGAACGAACGCGCGGATTATCGATCATTTCCTCTGCGAATACTCAAAAATTACCACCACTCGTCGTACGTTTTAACCACGCGAAGCATTCAGAGCGTTACTAATAAACGTCTCACATCATGCCTAAAAAATCCACCAAATCCAAATCCAAGCGAACGACGTTGAAGCAGAAATACAAAGTCATTCGTAAAGTGAAAGAGCACCACAAGAAGAAGCGGAAAGAGGAATCTCGCCTGAAAAAACTCGGGATCAAACCGAAGAAACCGAAAGAGATTGGCGGCGTCCCGGCGAATTACCCGTACAGAGACGAGTTAATCAAAGAGATGAAGTTTGAGAACTTTCGTCAAGATCACATCAAAGAGCAGAAGAAGTTGGAGAGGAACCAGAAGCGAGCGGAGAATAAAGCGAAGGCGAAGGCGGGGGGAGAATTTGAAGATTTGGCGACGATGGCGAAGAAGAAAGAAAACGCGTACGAGATGAAGTTGAAAGCGCAGTTGGCGGAGACTCTTGGTAGTTCTGCAGATGGCATGCAAACGGCGGACGATAGGGATTCGGACGCCAGTCGCCGGGCGTATTACAAGGAGTTCGTAAAAGTGGTCGAGTTGTCGGACGTGGTTATTCAAGTGTTGGACGCGAGAGACCCGTTGGCGTGTCGAGCGCCCGAGGTGGAGAGGTTCGTGAGGAAGACGAATCCTGGGAAGAGGGTGATTTTGTTGCTGAACAAGATTGATTTAGTGCCGAAGAGCAACGTGGAGGTACGTTTTTTTATCGTTTTTGTTTTATCGTTTATTCTCTCTCCGCGGGGGTGATGAAGAAAATATTTAGCGGATTTCGCTGATGTCCTGCGCGCTAAATGCTACACACATTTGTGCGGGATGCTTGACGTTTACCAATATAATGATAGGAAGAGTCTGACTCGCGGAGTGAATTTGTTTTTCGTTTTTTCGTCCAATCTTTTGCTTTTGTTTTAAAGACTCACCGCCGGACCAACCGATTCTTCTATTTATCGACGCAGGCGTGGCTGAAATATTTCCGCGAAGAGCTTCCTGCGATTGCGTTTCAAGGCAACAAAAAATCTAAATCCAACGGTGGCGGGGCAACCTTATTGCAACTGTTGAAGAACTACGCCAGAAATAAAAATATCAAAACGTCTATTACCGTCGGCATCGTTGGGTTTCCGAACGTCGGTAAATCTTCCATCATCAACGCGTTGACGAGATCCTCGACCTCCGCCGCGACTGGGAATACTCCAGGAATGACCACGAAAGCGAAAGAGATTATTTTGGACAAACACGTGAAACTTTTAGACAGTCCTGGCGTGGTTTTTTCGTCTGCGAACGGTGAATCGGAAGGCGCGACGGCTCTGAGAAACTGCATCAAAATCGAACGTCTGACGGATCCGATTGCGCCGGTGCACGAAATCATCCAAAGGTGCCCTCAAGAGAAACTGATGGTGACGTACAAAACTGGAAAGTGGGCCGATGTGGACGATTTCTTGAGACAAGCCAGTCGCTCCATGGGAAAACTGAAGAAAGGTGGTATTCCAGATTTAGTCGCCTCGGCAAAAGTTATCTTAGCCGATTGGAACGCCGGGAAGATCCCGTACTTTACGCAACCGCCAAAATTTCGCGAAGGACACGAACAACACGCCTCCACTGAGTTTGTTTCTATCGAAGCAAAAGAATTTGACGTCGAAACCGCGTACAAGAACGAAACGTCTACGGTTATCGCGGGTTTACCAGAGAATGACGACGTCGATTTCGCGTTGATGAGCGATACCATCGGTTCGGGGATGATGATTGAAGAGCACGAGGATGTTTTGATAGAAAGAGCACAAACGAATGGCGGCGCAGGAGCGAGAAACATTGACGACGACGACGACGAGGAAAATATGGACATTTCAGAGGAGGAAGAAGCGGAAGAGTTGGACGACGGCTCTGGAAAAAGAAAAACATCTGCCGCCGCCAAGCGCGCCGAACGCGCGATGGAAATTTCCAAGCGCGCCGACGCCAAGGCGCAACTCGGAAGAAACAAACAGTTATACGGCAACGAAGGACAATATAATCCTGGGCAAGAAAAAGCAAAAAGAAAGCGCATGAAAAAAGATAAAGAAATCGCTAAGAACTTGGAACAAGACGAAGGCGACGGAAGTGATTTCGATTGGAGCGAAGACGAAGACGTAGAAATGTAAAAATCTCCCTCATCCTCCTATATTATATAACTAAAGCGCATATCCTATACTAAGTACTAGTACGTGCCTCAAAGCGATAACAACGGGGCGTCGTCGTCCATGTCGCTCTCTAACAAAGATTCTTCCGTGTTCTCACCGTCGCTTCCACTGCCGCTCGTCTCTCCTTCGCTCTCGTCTTCTTCTTCTTCTTCTTCTTCCTCGTCGGATCGATCCTCTTCCTTCAAAATCCAAAAGAAGACTCTCCCGGATAAAAAGAGCATCCGCCACACGTTTAGCGCTAACTTTGCGGTCCATACGCGAGCTATTACTTTTGCACCGGAGTTCGAATTTCCATCGTTAATCAACGTCGCGCTTAAAACAGTTGGTAAAAACACGACGCCGACTCCCGCGACCATGACTTCTCTAGCGAAAGCAAACGATTTCGTCGCATACATCAGACCGTCCAACACAAAAACCACGGCGTTGACCGGTTGCGCGAAGGTCACGAGCATCCACGTTTTGCCGAGATAATAATTTGTCAGTTCATCGCCTACGAACAGCTTACGAGCCGCAGTTCCAAAAGCTAAGAATATCGCGCAAAAGAAAAAGCCGAGGCTGACGCCGTAGGATAGCAATCGCACCGTCAACGATCGCAACTTTTTAATCGATTTGATCGAATACAATCTGCTTCCGTAAATCGTTCCAATCGTAGCGAAACCGTCAACAATGTAGCTACACACCAACCAAAGCTGCGCTGTGAGATGATGCGCCGCGAGACCTGCTACCGGCAATTTTCTCGACGCCACAATCATGGCGACGAAGAACGAGAGTTGAAGCAAAATGCTTCGTCCAAACATATTGAGAGCGTCTACGAAATACTTTTTACTTTCTTCTTCTTCTTCTTCTTCTTCTTCGGCTGCCTCTCTTCTCCGTCTCATTTCTATCCTCCTCCTTCGCATCGTTCGTTCTAACCCAATCTTCTTCGGACGACTAAAATAAACAATCGCCCACCCTAAAACCGCGTGAAACATCACCACCACAAAATACGCCAGCCCGAGCGCGTCCAACGCCTCTTTCTCTCCTTTTCCCTTGGACGACGACGACGCGTGTAACACGACGCAAACCATCAGGACTTGTAAAAATGCCACCACACTATTCATCACCGACACCACGTGCACGTGACCGTACCCTCCTATAATTCCTACCGCGGCGTTCGAGCTCGTCTTAAACGGCATCGAGAGGCACCGCCAGGCGTAATACCCTCGCCCGATATCCATCCGGTCTGTCTCTCCCAAAGTGCTAAACAAACTGTTTCCAGAGACGAGTAAGAGTGCCCCTGCACTCGCGCCGGCGAGAACGGAAACGACCAGACTTTTCTTGCAATGCTTTCCCAAGAGCTTTTTCTTCTTTCCCTCGTCGGTTTCGTCGAGATGTTTCGCCACCAGGCTTCCAACTTGCGACGTGGAACCGTCCACCAGGAATTGGAAAACGGTCGTTCCTAAGTTGGAAATGTTCACGCAGACGCCGAACGCGGCGAGCGCGGAAGAACTCTTTCGCTTCCCCAAAATCACGTGTTGTAACGCTAAACCGATCGGTCCTGCTGCGTTTTGCACGGACGCGGAGAGCGACGCTTTGAGGAGCTCGATGTGCGAGATGTCATCCCGCTCGCTCCTTCTCAACATGATTTGAGTTGCGACAGTTACAAGCGTCAAAACTCTGACGGAGAAACGTAAGATATGACGCAAAGAACACCATCGACGGGGGCGTTCTCGCTCGCGCTTTTCCGGTGGCACCTTTGCGCGTGCGCTGTTTTTCTCTGCCTCTTTTTCGTCTCCGCGCCGTACGGACGATTTTATACCCCAAAAGCGAAGTCGTCGCTCTGGTGGGGTCCCGCAGTCGACGGACGAATCGGATGGACGGTGCAAGAGCTCGCGAGTCCAATCGCGTTGCTTTCGTTTTACCACTGTCGGGACGAAGCGTGGTTATTCAGCTTTCCGAATACTACAAATACAACGAACAATGGAGGCACGGTGCTCGTTTTGAGTTGGTTTTTTGTGCATTACATGCACCGAGCAGTCGTGTGGCCGTGGAGAAGGACGATGGGGAAAACCAATTTCCCGGTTGTTGGTGAGTCTTGATGTGTTCGTTTTTGCGCGAAAACGCGCGATTTTAAAAAGGCTGTGATGAACGAATATCCGCGCTTCTTAAGTCCAATTATGATGCACAAAACGATATATATGGTTGAATTTCTTCTTCTGAGCTTTATTTTTGCGCTTGGTGCGCGTTTGCGCGTGCATTTGAAAAGCGCATGTTTTTCGCTCGCTCGCTCGCTCGACTCACTCTCTTTCTCTCTCTCTCTCTCTGCGCTCTCCGCGCGCGTTCTCGAACAAACAGGTTCGGCAATCCTGTTCAACTTTTTTAACGGCAAATTCATCGCGTCGGAACTACGAGCGATAGGAGGTATTCGTCGCTCTCAGGACGATGTGTTGTTTAAACTCGGTCTCGTCCTCGCCGTATTTGGAGCGCTCGTCAACGTCGTATCGGACGAAATCCTCCTCCGCAGGCGAAGGGCGAATACGAGAGCGACGCCGTCCCGCGCCGCCGCGCGTCGCCACTCCGTCGTCTCCACCAACAAAAGCAGCAAATACATCCTCCCAAACGGATTCTTCTTCGATTACGTGTTATGTCCAAACTATCTCGGCGAATTCATCGAGTGGCTCGGCCTCGCCGTCGCCACGAACAACCTCGCCTTGCGCGCGTTCGCGCTTTGGACGTTCGCCAACCTCTTCCCGCGCGCCGTAAACTACCGACGGTGGTACGTGGACACGTTCGGAGAGAAAGCGGTCGGAAAGCACAGGAAAGCTTTCCTGCCCTTTCTCGTTTAATTATTTATACTGAGAGAATGATTATAAGCAAGTGTGTTATATATACACGCATAGAGCTTTGTAATAGTAGTAATATAGGCACCAAGCGGAAAAATGATATTTCACATCCCCTACGTACCGGCTTGTTTTTTGTGCGTGTGGGCTCTTTTCTTGACGTACCAAAGATTCGTTTGTTAAACGTGGCACTGCCTCTGATATTCAGACAGTTGTTTTTTTCCCTTGTTTTTCCATTTTATCCAAACGGCTTTACACAACAACAACACCACAGTGCGAAGACGAAACACTCCTCCTTTTCATCATCATCGTCATCATGTTTGCGACGACAACCCACCACCAAACGCACCTTTCGTCCTCCTCTTTGGCTGGATCGAAGAATAACCAGCGATCGTGCCGCTGCGCGCGACCGAGGACGACGACAAAGATGATGATGATGATGATGATGAATTCCCCAGAAAGCAAATCATCATCGTCCAATTCGTTAACCTCTTCCTCCTCTTTGTTCGGGAATAACAACGATTTTGCTGCGTCTTCTTTAAGACGCCAGATTGCGAGAACGACCACGTTATCGAAATCGAAAGTGGTGAAAGTATCCGCCGCCGCGTCGTTTGAGATTTCCCAAGAGGTGAAGAAGACGGCGTTGTTAGGCGTCCTCTTCGGTGGTTGGTACGCGTTTAACATCGTTTTCAACATTTACAACAAGCAAGTGTTGAAAGCGTTCCCGTATCCGTGGCACTGCACGATGTTCCAATTCGTGGGTGGATGCGTTTTAATCGCTCTCATGTGGGGTTTGAACTTAGTGGAAAGACCGAAGAAGGAGGTTTTCTCCACGGAGAATTTGAAGATGGTATTGCCGCTGGCGATGATTCATACGCTCGGAAACTTGTTGACGAACATCTCGTTGGGTAAAGTTGCGGTGAGTTTTACGCACACAATCAAAGCGATGGAACCGTTTTTTAGCGTTTTGTTTTCGTATTTGTTTTTAGGGGCGACGCCGAGTCCAGCAGTCGTGGCTGCGTTGGTGCCGGTGGTTGGCGGCGTCGCGTTGGCGAGTTTGGCGGAGGCGAGCTTTAATTGGATCGGTTTTGGCGCCGCCATGGGGTCGAACGTCGTCTTTCAGTCCAGAAACGTTTTCTCGAAGAAAGTTATGGGAGGGAACAAAGGCGTGAAGATGGATAACATCACTTTGTTTTCCGTGATGACGTTGTTGAGTGCGGTGATTTCCTTACCGTTGGCGGTGGTTGTCGAAGGCGTGAAATTCACGCCGGCGGCGTTGGCCACGAGCGGGTTCCCGTTGGCGGACATGATCCAAAGAGTATTTATTACCGGGGCGACGTTCCACTTGTACCAACAAGTCTCGTATATGATTTTGCAACAAGTGACTCCAGTCACGCACTCGGTCGGTAACTGCGTGAAGAGGGTGGTTGTCATCGCCTCCTCGGTGTTGTTCTTCCGCAACCCGGTGTCTCCGTTGAACTTGGCCGGCACAGCCATCGCGTTGGCGGGCGTCTTTGCGTACTCGCAAGTCGCGAAGAAAGGTGGTGGTGGTAAATCTTCTGGCGGCGCTTACACGGACGAGTTCAGACGGATCACCGGTTTGGTGAACTTGAAAGACAACTAATACGCGCGCTGTTTTTGTGCGTACGACGAGCGTGTGTTTGTATGACTTTCAGCGACGAAAAACCAATAACTACTTACATTGTAGAAGTATTTTGTGTACTTTCAACTTTCTTTCTTTCTAAGAGCTATAAACTATGCGCGCATCGTTTTTCACACGTAAAACCATCGCGCGACGACACTTCCTTCCCTAATCTTTCGCGTTGCGCGTCTTCTCCACGAACGTCTCCACCAAACCTCTAATTTTCTTTTTCGCGTGTTCGTCCAGCCACAGTTTCACGCTCTCTTCCTCGTCTTTCACCTGTAACTCTTTGCTCATCACTTTCTCGCACGTTTTTTTGCATATCGTTTTGTATTCCTCTTTCGAGATGTCTTTGTTCTCGTAAAACGGTTGGAGGTGTTTCTTGACGACTTCGAGAATCGCAATCTTCATGTTCGGCCGAGAAGGATATTGCGTGTGTTGAACGATGCGCTTGTTCTCCTCCTCCTCTTCCGTGGTCGTCCTTTTCCTCTTCTTTTCTTCGCTCTCCTTCGCTCTCTTCGCTTGTAAAAGCATCTCCCCTTTGGTAAATTCATAAAAGACGAATCCAACTGGATTTCTCCCCGCACATAAGAAATCAAATCCGTTCTTTTCGACCGCTTCTCTCGCGATTTGTTCTTTCTCCGCGCCAAATTTCACCGAATATTCGGACACTTTTACGATGTTTTCGAGTTCTGCTCGTGATTCAGGTTTGATTGGAAGTGTTTGTGACATTCTTCTTTCAGCGCGCTTTCCTAACGGTTTTTTATCGAGTGTTTTGCCGCTTCGGGAAAAGGTACATCTTCACTCTAAAACGCGCTTTATTGCGGAGAACAGGAAAGAGCAGAGAGCTTTCAAAACGCGTCGTAAAGAGAGGATACAGAAAATGATGCTTTCAACGACGAGCAGCGCAAGTGGCGGGATTTCTCTCCCTCGCGCGTCGACGATAAAGCGTAAAACGCCTCTCATCATCACGCAAAGAAGCGGAAGAGTCGCGAAACGACGTCACCGTTCCTTCAACAACGCGTTGAAGACGACGGAAGACGAAGACGCTTTTCTGAAGAAGCAGACGACAAGAAAAGATGACGACGGTGGTGATGCTTTCTTCTTTTCGAGAGAAAAAGGAATCGAGACGAAAGCGACGGCGATGTGTTTGAGCGCGCTGATGGTGATGATGTCGTTTCCGAATGCCTCCTTTGACGCCGTGGAGGCGATGGAAATATCTTCAAACAAAGAGACGACGACAAGAACAACAACACTAAGAACGACGACGAACAGAGAAAAAGGAACACAAGATAAACTATTCGACGATTTCGTTTTGCCTCCTCCTTCTTTGTCTTCTTCTTTGTCTTCTTCGGATGATGACGCGGGAAGGACTACGAACGCGACGACGAGGAACGCGGGGACGATGCTGTTATCGAGCGAGGACGAAGAGGACGAAGATTTGAACGCGCAGCTCGCCGAGGCCATACGGAAAGGCGACGCGTCGAAGATTGCGGACATCGGCGTAAAGTTGAAAGAGAAGGAGGACAGAGAGAAACAAAAGTTAATCGAGCCGAATTACGTGACGAAAGTGCAAAAAGCGGCGCCGTTGAAAGACGAGGAGAAGTCGGTGGTGGATTTGTTCACGAAATCAAAGTCCGCGGTGGTTTTTATAACCAATGTCGCGGTACGGAGAGACGCGTTTACGTTGAGTTTGACCGAGCAGCCGCAAGGCGCCGGGTCCGGGATCATTTGGGACGACGAAGGGCACGTGGTGACTAATTATCACGTCATTCGGAACGCGAACGAGTTGAAAGTGCAGTTTAGTTTACAAAACAATCGCGGGCCAAATAGCAAAGGGAAAATAAACGACGTTTTGGACGCGTGCGACGCCGTGGTTGTCGGTTTCGACGACGATAAAGATATCGCGGTTTTGAAATTGATGGACGAAAGTTGTTACACGAATAAAGCGAGAGCGTTACCGATCGGATCCTCGAGTAGTTTACAGGTTGGTCAAAAAGTCTTCGCGATTGGAAATCCGTTCGGTTTAGACCACACGTTGACGACTGGCGTCGTGTCCGGGTTATCGAGACAGATTCAAAGCGGGAACACGGGAAGACCGATCGATGGAATCATTCAAACCGATGCGGCTATTAACCCAGGGAATAGTGGTGGTCCTCTGTTAAACTCTTCCGGACAACTCATCGGATTAAACACCGCCATTTATAGCGCTTCCGGTACCTCCTCCGGCGTCGGTTTCGCGTTACCCGTGGACATGGTCACCGGCATCGTCGACCAAATCATCCGTTTTGGCAGAGTCACTCGGCCAATCATCGGCGTGTCCTTTGCCCCGGATGAAATCGCCGAACAGTTAGGTTTAGGAGGCGTGTTAGTGCTGGACGCAAGAGAGGGCGGCCCGGCCGAAAGAGCCGGCATCCGAAGCACGAAACGCGACGACTCTGGTCGTTTACTCCTCGGCGACGTCATCGTTGGCATCGACGACGAGAAAATCGAAGACTCCTACGACCTCTACAGAGCCTTAGACACCCACGTCGTCGGCGATTCGGTTAAAGTCTCCGTCTTTCGCGACACCGACCGAAAAGTCCTCGATTTTCTCGTCAAGTTGGACGACATCAAAGACATGAAACCGCCGTCGACGAACCGAAAAATCATCCGCCCGAACGGTCGCTCGCCGTCCTCCTCCTCCCCGTCGCCCGGTGACGACAGTAGCAATAGTAGTAGTAGTAAAGGGTTAAGAGGTCGGTTCGAGCCTTTGACGCCGCCGACGACGCGCTAAAAAGTAGTAACTGTCCGCTAAAAGTAATACATACTCATTAGTACTAGTATGTAGTTCAATTTGTCTAAAGAAATGTCACAAAACTTCTCTCTCTTTCTTTTCGAAGTTTGCGCTTTGTTTTTTACTTCTAGTTTTAGAGGGGAAAAGAAGAAAAAAGGACTATTTGACAATCAATCCGAGTCAGATAGTTCCGCACTTTCTCTCTTTAAGTAATAATATAATAACACGTGCACACCATCTTTATTTATTGCGAGAAGAATCGAGAAAAAAGATGCGTTTTCGGAACTCTGTTCAGCCTTTTCTTTCGCTTCTAATCGCCGCGTTCTTCATCGGTGTTGCACTGGCCGGGAAAACGTACGAGAATTACGAAAAGGCGGAAAAGATATTTATTTCAGAAATTGATTCCCGTGGGAACTGTTTCGATGTTGGGTCGAGGTATTTCGAGGTATTCAACGGCAATGAATTCGCGTACGATGTCGCCAAATGGTCTCTGGTCGGCGTAGACGTCAGCGCGGGAGAATCGGAGACGGTGTTCACGTTTGGCGATTTCAGCAAACCTGTGTACCCAGGGGAGACTCGTTTGATTGGAACGAGTGAAGGGTGCGGCGATTTTTACCACGCCGAACCGCCGAGAGAGGATGCCATTACGTCGGGAAGAAATTACAAATTATTGGATGAAAAAGGAGAAGTAATCGACGAAACAGGAATCGTTCCGGAGGCGACAGACGCGACGCACACCTGGCAACGGATGAAAATTTGGGATGGTGAACCAAAGGTAAAGTTTAAAGTCACGGAGTTCAGCGACTCCTTCGGATTTTACCCGGCGACAGCGGGACGGTTCAATTCTCAAAATACCATCGTGTTGAACGAATTTTCAACCAGAACGAGCGATGGATACTGTGGCGGAAGCGGTGATTTTGTTGAGATCGCCAACGCGGGAGCCGTGACTGTGGATATATCTGGATACGGAATTGCCGAAAAAGATGCGGACTTCGACGATGATAAGTTATACGCGTTCCCCGCTGGTTCTAGCCTAGCGGCTGGTGCAAGAATCACAGTTTGTGCGAAAAACGACACGCACGACGGCTTGGATTTCGGTTTGAGTCTCGAAGAAGGCGTGACGTTGTACGATTCGAACGGATTCGTCATAGACACCTTTTTTGCCTCAGATCACAGCCAGCACGTAGATGGACGGAGCATCCAGAGAGTTCCGGACATCGCCGGTCGCCTGGCGGTGGCCACTCCAAGCACACCGAATCAGCCTAACTTTGTTCAATCGATTCTATCTGAACCATCTAATGAAGTACCAGAGCTGTCTGGTTCGTCTTCGCAATATTGCTGCTTCCACATTCGGACTCTTGGAATGCATCCTTCTTTTTTGTCGAACGCAGATATGACAAAGGAGGATTACTCAGTAATGCATCTGGTTAACGAACCGGTTACGCTGAATATTCGAATTCCGGTCGCTATTCCTACCAGCGCAGGTTCCGGCTTTGCGGACAACGCACTTTTCGATTTCAAACTGGTTTCCTATGAAGACGCGTATGAAATACCGATCCCGCAAAGCACGTGGAATCCAAACCTTTACGAAGACAACGCCGTTCGGTTCTTACCCGGTATGACGGAAGTTAACATCACTGTCGTACCGAAACGAATGACGAAAGAGACTGCCGTTACTGATACGCCATCCAGTACCAAAGACTACAATCCATCCGATCGCCTCTGGTTAGAAGCTGATTTAGATGGAGGGGGGGTGGCGGGTGAAGACACCTGGAACACGTATCAGGTTTGGAGATACGGAGGAGAAGCTTCGAAAAGTAGCGATATGGCGAGGTGGAGCCATAAACCTTTTGAGTTGAAGGTACGCAAGAAAAAGTTATATCAACCGACCATCGTGGGTTCAACCAGTGTTATACCGAATACCATTGACCAGATGGTAACTTACATCGTAGCAATAAACACTGAAGGCCTACCTTCGAACAGATCTCTTGGAATCGCAGAAACTGTTACCGTGAACGCCACGACGGGAGAAACTTTTTCAGAGTGGAATACTGAAACAACCAAAGTCCAGCTCGATCTCGTGGGAACGGGATTGGTGTTTGGAACACTTACAGGCAGCACGACTGATCAATTGACGCTGTCGTCTACATCGACAACCTCCGAATATCGAGTGTATGCTACGGAGTTAGGGACCATTCCATTCAACGCGTGGTTAAAACTGGGCACAACGGGCTTCGAGGAATACACGCTCGATCCTGATCTATCGACAAGCGACGTGTCCGTTTTTGTTCGGTGTCAAAACAACTTTTTCCCCGTGTTTGAGCTTGCGCGATCGACGTGTCAGCCTTGTCCGATGGGGACGAACACTCTCTCCAACTCGTCGGCTACAAACGAAATGGATTGTGTTTGCTCATCGGGAATGGTAGATCTTAGACGACCTGGCATGCTTCCCGATCACGTCACTTTCCTTGCGTCGGCATCACTGTCTCCGTGCGTGGACGCTATGGCTTATTGTGATAATCCGTATGGTCACACGATAAAGGAATGTGTAACTTTCGATGACGGGAAGCCTGTCGCTATCAATCCCGATTGGTACCGATGGAATTTCGAGAATTGGACCTGGATTCGAAACGATGGACGTCAAGATGAACTAATAATATCCACTAAAGATCAAATAAACCAATTTCTGACGCCATATTTAACTGCGAAGAGTTGCGAAGAAGATGATATTTGTATTTTAAATGCCACGGGAACTGAAGGCAACGGTTGTGATGACGGTGCCTACGGTCCGCTATGTGGATCGTGCAAAGCTGGATATTTCTGGAATCAAGATAATTTAGTTTGCGATAAGTGCAAGAGAGGGAGGGTAAGCGGTCAAGTTTCGACCGAACTGATCATAGTTTCAGCTATCTTTTTAACACTTCTCGGGTTGATGTTGTATACTTTCATACCGGTTCAGGAAAAAATGGAAGATCTCGACGAATTCCGCAGAACTGTTCGAAGGGAATACCGAACGCGTTTTGATATATTCAAAGAAGACGTCAGAACGGGAGAAAAGAGGTTGAATTACATCCCTCGCCAAACTTCTCTGAAGGAAAGGCTTGAATCCGGCCCGAAATTACCCAACACGTGGAGATATAAAATTGGCAGTAGGTGCTGGGAATTGGAGGATTCCTGTCGCACGAAAGTGAAAATTCTGGTTGGATTTTGCCAAATTTTGGTGTTATGGCCCAAACAGATTCTCTCCGTACGTTGGCCAGACGTTTTTGTCGAAATGACGGAGACTTTGAAGCTTTTCAGTCTGGATTTTCGATTACTCCCTCTTGATTGTTTGTTTCGTCGGGACTTCTACTCAAAATTTATTGTCGCTACGTGCTCTCCGCTCATTCTTCTCGGTGGCGTTTGGCTTGGTTTCTTTCTTCGCGGTTTCTGGATAAGGAACGTCCGAAGAATGATGGGTTATGCTACTAAAATATCGCTGCTGATGGCATTCCTTGTATATCCGTCTCTGTCCGGCATCGTGTTGCAATTCTTTTCGTGCAAAGATGTTGGATTGGGAAACGAATTCATGAGATACTCGATTCAAACGAGCTGTGAGACTGAAAAATATGACAAATTCTTACCGGCGGCGTGGATATTCGTGTTCGCCTTTCCTATCGGGATACCGTTGGCCTTTTTTTTCCTCATTTATAGAGGTACAAGAGATGCCGTGCGCGCGCACGACAACAAAACGTATTTTCTCGAGCATCAAGATTCGATTCTACGTAATCGGCAGTTATACGGGTGGATTTATCGAGATTACAAAGCCGAATACTGGATGTGGGAGATTATTGACATGGTGAAGAAATTCTTACTTGGATGTGCTGTGATCTTCGTCGACCCTGGTTCCGACACGCAATTATATGTCGCTATTTTCATCGCCACTGGGTTTCTCTTGCTTTTGGCAGTCGTAAATCCTTACGAAAAGGTCCAGGATAACATCTGCGCGCAGTTATCGCACTTCTCCTTGGCCGCAATCGCGACATTCGCCCTCATGATAAAAAACGAAGTCTGCGAAAAAGACGGTTGGAAATGTGAAATCGTGGACTGGTCCATGCTATTTATGGTCCTTTTCGTTCTGTTTGCTTCGATCGGACTCGCAGTGAGCGAGGCGCTTTACCAAAGACGATCGAAAGCGGATTTCATCCGATACGACGCTGATCTCTCGGGCGATTTGGATCGAAACGAAATCAAACAGCTCCTCACGGATCTTCGCATCGATAACTCTGACGAGAACATATCAAAAATATTCGCCAGGTTCGACAAAGATCACAGCGATTCCATCGACTTTGAAGAGTTCATCGAGTGCGGCGTCTGGCTCCACGGCTTAACTCGAAAGAAAGACTCCGCTCGAGGCGTATTTCGTTCTCTCAAGAAAACGATGACTTTCAGAAACCCATAATAAAGTATAAAATAATAAATAAATACTAGGTTGTACATATAACGGTACATGTACGGGACCATGGTCGTCATCTAAGTAGTACATGTATGGGACCATGGTCGTCATCTAAGTAGTACCGCGTAAAAAGTAATACAGTTTTTCTCCATCTATTTTAGGGTAGCAAATCAAATTTTTGTGGAGCCCATACGACGTGTCACCTTCTCCGAGTTCTGAGTGTTCACCTCTTCGAAAAAGCGCTCACAAATTGGTGTCTCAAATGATGATTGAACAGCGCGCCTCCGCGCATCATCAGGAGACGACGACGCAGAACTCTCTCTCGGAGACGCAATCGAACAACGAGAACAATAATCCCATATCTTCGGATTTTCTTTCGTCGCCGATTAAGAAGCGGCCGATTTATAACAGTGCGACGAATGGAATGGTTGTTGCGTCCAATGCAGAGGCCACGCCGACGGGTGCCACGTTGCAAAAACATCCGAACCAAACGACGACGACGGCTGTGATGACGAACGGGGACGACGCGCGCGCGGTGCAACCATCGTCGTCGGAAACGGCAAAACAACAACAACAACAAATACAACAACAGCAAATGCAAAAGATATGTTCTCGATGCGCGTGCCTCGCCTCGTGCGCGTGGCACAAATCCAAAACAACACCGAACGCCTCCTTGTGCGAGACGTGTTACCGCGTGGAAGCGTTAGAGTTGGTCGATAAAAAATGCCACTCGTGCGAAACGACGAAAACGAGTCGGCAGTGGTACAAGTCGAAAATCACCGTCGGCGACTTGTGCAAGAGGTGCTATCGAATCGAACTGGTCGCGTTGCAACACAAGACGTGCATCGCGTGCTCGAGCAAAACGACCAGTGGACACTGGTATAAGAGTAAACTCTTACCGGACGGGGATTTGTGTAATAATTGTTACGGGAAGGTGAGTTTCGCGTCGTCGGAGTTTCTCGTGTTTCCTTTTCGAGCTTTTCGCGCGGCGTTTTTTTTCCCTCTCTCTCCCTTTTAATTTGTAAAGCACTGACCACTCAAAACTTTAACCGAACGAATCGCAACAACAACAACAACAACTTTAACAACAGGAATACAAACTTATGAAGAAGAAAATGGCGGAGATGAAAGCGTTGGAGGAGCTCGCCAAAAAGAAGGAACAGGAAGAGAAGGGTGGTTGATTTTCTTTTTCTTTTTTTTGAGCACCTTTTTTGCTCGGTTTCTTTCCGAAAAAAAGGGGTGCTCAAGAGTGCTCGACGAGAGAACTAGAAGTCAAAGCATAGAACTAGAAGTCAAACAAACGCGCGCGAGAAGAGAGAGAGAGAGAGAGAGAGAGAGAGAGAAAACAACAACAGAACGTGATTACGCACGTGTGTACAATTATAATTTTTTCAAATGTATACTTACCGAAAAAAGTACGAGAACCACAACGTATCTAAATATTTTGCTCATCACAATCTCGGCGTGGCGCCGCTAAGGAATATCTTCCCCGTGATACCAAACTTACCGGCGACGAAAAATGCCAAGTCGCGAAAGAGACTCACCGGTCCTTTTCCAGTTTCCAAGGCGCCGACGAATCTCGAGGCGTTCATGATAGCTTCAGTCGGAGGTCTTCGCGTGTTCGAATACGATTGCAACGCCTCGTTCACTTTGCTCGGATTTTTTATATCTGCCCCGCACGTCGCCAAACACTTCGCTAAAACGTACGCGTCTTGCATCGCTTGGTTGGCGCCTTGACCTAAGAACGGTGGCATGGCGTGCGCGGCGTCGCCAACCAACACGATTTTTCCGTTCGAAGAGCTCCAACTGTCCAGAGGTTCGTGGAAGAAGACGCCGATTTCGAAAAACCGTTCGCATCGCAAGCAAAGACGTAAGACGTCCGCGGGCATGTTCGCTTTCATCATCTTGTTGTGCGCGTACTCTTTCGTCACCGACGAGTTGGCACGCCAGGACGGGTTACTGTTGGCGCTCCCTAACGGTTCGTTCGAGCAAAAGGCTAAGTTATGCCTTTTCTTGTTCTCCCCGCCACCGGTGAACACTAACGAATACGCGCCGTCGCCGAACCATTGGTGCGCGGTGGTTCGATCGCTCAATTCTCGGATTAAATCTTCCGGTTTATCGTCCACCCCAGTCACGCCGAATAAAATTTTAATCCCAGAGTATATCGGTTCTTTCCTACCACTAGTACTACTACCGCCGCTCCTACTGCTGTTGCCGCTGCCGCTGCTACTACCATCACCGCTACTTGCATTACTTTCCACCACGCACTTCCTCGCCAACGAGTCAATGCCGTCCGCGCCTACGATCAAATCAAACTTTCTCGTCTCGGTCGTCGTCCCGTCTCTCCTCCTCAACTCGACTTCACCCGACTCGGCGTCGACGCCGAGAACCTCGCACCCGAGCACAACCTCGCACGTCTCCTCGTTCAAACTCTCCCGCAAACTCTGACTCAAATCCGCTCTCATGACCGTCCCGGCCATAACTTCTCCACTCTTTTCGTTCACCAACAACTCTTTCGCGTTCGTTAAAAAATCGCCTCTCACTTCCTTCTCGACGTCCACCTCGAACAAGCGCGTTCGAGCGATATCGCACCGTCTCGACAAGACCGCTCTTAACGCGTTCGCGTTTTTCGAAAACACCTCCTCGTACACCCCTAACTTTTCCAGAACGGCCGCGCCGCCGTTGATGTTAAACCCGCCGCCTACGTTCCCGTCCAAAGCGTTCGGGTTCTTATCCAACACGGTTATTTTCAGCCTCGAAAGCGTCGGTTTCTTTGTCGTATCTAAAGGCGACGATAACATTTTTTGCATCGCGAGCGCGGTGGTTAATCCCGCCGGTCCCGCGCCTAACACGCACACGGAATACACATCATCATCGTCCTCGTTGTTTTTATTATTGCGTTCGTGCTCTTTTTCTTTCTCGTCGTCGTTATTATCGTCATCGTCAGTGCTCTCCCTCGCGCGCGGTACCCTTCTTTGTCTTCGTTTCCCCAAATGACGTTGATGCCGCTGCTGCTGATGACGACGTTTTGAGGAGAAAATTCGAGAAGAAGAAGAAGAACAACAACGACGCGAAGAAGAAGAAGAAGAAGAAGAGAGCAGCGAACGGGACATCGTCGTCGTTCTTTTTCTCGCGGGAAGAAGCGGCGCCTCGATGTTGTTGTTGTTCTCGCGCACCCTTTTTCTAACGAAAACACGAACTTGTGATTTCGACGTTTCTCCTCAGACCAAAAGCATCATCGTCGTCTCAGAGAGAGACAGAGGGAGGGAGAGAGATGACGACGCGTCCTCGCGGTCGTCTTTCGCGCGTCCTTTTCGCGCGTCTTCTTCTTCTTCTTTTGTTTTTGTTTACCACGAACGCGTTTGCGGCGATGCGAGAAGAAGATGAAGACGACGACGCGAACAACAACAACGTGGGGTTGGAATTCGAGGTGGAGAAAGACGACGAGATGGATGTGAACGAAGACGAAGACGGAACGAAGAACGACATGGAATCGTACGCGTTACAATTGGACGATTTTACCGGGGAAATTTTGAAACCTCCACGGCAAAAGCTACGACAGGAACCGGAGTGGATGAGCGCACTCGCGAGTGTCCCTGGCAATTGTAGTAAGAAAGGAGGCAACGGAAGAGACGAAGACGAAGACGACGAGGTGTCTTTACATCGCATGCCTTTACGCTTACCGACGAATCGAATTCAGTTGAAAGACGTGTTCGTCACGAGAGAGAATTATAAACGATTAGGTTTTGGAGGGATAAAGAGGTACTACGCGCTCCCTCCGAACGCCGGGGCGATCGCGAAGAAGTACCGTTGGAAGAGGTGCGCCGTGTTGGGGAATTCGGGGACGCTTTTGGACGCGTCGTTTGGAGGCACGATTGACTCGCACGACGTCGTGTTTCGGATGAACCAGGCGCCGGTGAAAGGGTACGAGTTACACGTGGGGAAAAAGTCGACGTTTCGAGTGTTGAATTCGTTGTGGTCGCACAGGTATTCGCACGGGTACGCGCCTTGGGATCCGGGGTATCAGAACCTGCCGTTGGAGAAGGACGTAACGTTGATTTTGACGCGCGTAGACGCGACGATTTTCAACGAGATGCACGAATTTTGGAGGAAAAGGAGACCAGATATTACGCTGCTGATTTTATCGAGTAAAGTGATTAACATTATTCGACAGACGTTGGTTGATTATCGGTCGAGATTGTGCGCGGCTGGGGTAGAATCCGCCGGTGGTCCCGGTGGGAACACGCCCAGTTCTGGATGGGTTTCCGTATACGCCGCCATGCAGCTGTGCGGCAAAGTGAACGCGTACGGGTTTGGGACCAAAGTAGCTGGAGCTGGAGAAAACGGAGCGAGCAAAGAGGTTTCTTACCACTATTACACGGGCATGGCGGCGAGAAAGTTTGGCACGGACGTGCACTCGTTCGAAAGCGAGAAAATGTTGATTGAACATTTAGATCGATCGAAGAAAATCACGTTGTGCACATCCGCGGGAAGTAAGGAAGATAGCAACAAAAAGCATCGCAGAGGCTTCATGCCAGTAGACGCGCAGTGCGGGAAAGCTTAGTAATATATTTTAGGATAGTTTATATACGGTAGTCAAATCAATAGTATTCGTTCTTTACAATCATAAGAGAGGGAATTGAAGTTTTAGATGAATTCCTTTTACTTTTTCTTCTTCCCTTCTAACTCGTTCTCATCGTCGGAATCTTCGGTATCGTCCTCATCTTCGTCCTCGCCCTCGTCGTCACTTCTCACGTCTTCCGCCTCGCCTTTCGTGACGACTTTAATCGCTACTTTCAAAATTAAATAAAACCAATACGCCTGCAACGCCAAGACTATGTACAACAAAACTATGCACGACCAATACCCAATCAGTAACGCCAAATTCCTTTCCACGTTCACAAACTTTCTGCATTCGAAATGCGAGCTGTAAACGACGTAAGGATACATGACCAACCTGGTGATAAAAAACGTCACCATAAACACCCCGAACAAAACGTCCGCCATAAACTGACACCGCTTCCCGACTGTAATCGCTCTTTGCGTCGCCATCGCCCTATTATTATTACTTCTACCGCTCCTCTTTTTATTCAACTCGATCTTCCTCGCGTCCGCGACGTACTTGAACAACTTTGCCACGTGCAAAGGCACGTCCGCCGGGTCCAACAACAACATGATTATCCCCCCGACTCTCGTGAACCCGTACGCGTACGATATCCCGATCAAAAACACCGTAGAGAAGTGATGCAACAGCATCTCCCTCTTATCTTTCCTGTCGTACTCTAATCCGACTGAAATTATCTCCGCCACGTACCTCGCCACGTACAGCAAATAATACCCTCTAAAATCCGCCGACGTTCGCGAATCGCTCGTCTGATTTTTCCACCAGTTAAACGACGGCCAAAACCACGGCTGCGTCTTCACGATTCGCAAGCCGAGGAGAAAAAAACTCAGATAAATCATAGCCTCTAACGCGGATTGCGAGAACTTTTGCACCGCTTTTTTCATCATCCTCTCCTTCCTCCTCTTGGTCTTCTTCTTATTTTTCTTATCGTCCTCTTCTTCGCCCAACGAGGACGAATTTAAACACTTCCGCGCGATCGGTTCCACCAGGAACACTTTCACCGTTTTGTTCAAAACGAACAACGCCACGGACAGCACGCAGACGACTTTGACGTCCACATCGAGCGAAGGCTCGCGGAATAACATCTTCTCGTCCTTCTTCATCATAAAACGTTGGGGAGAATTCAACAAAGAAAAAAAACTCATCTTCTTCCCATCATCATCAGAAGAAGAAGAAAATAAGGCCGAACGTAAAGTTTCCACGACGATGGTTCGAGTTTCTTCCAGGACGACCGTCCCGGACGACCGCGCGGAGGAGGAGGAGGACGAGGAGGACATTTTGAGAGAGAGAGAGAGAGAGAGAGAGAGAGAGAGAGAGAGAGTTGTTGTTCTCAATTTATAAAGAAAAGTGTTGGATTTGAACTGATTTTAAAACGGATAATTTAGGGTTTATCTGTTTTAATGACCGGCGTCTTCGTTTGGAAGGAACAACACTGAGACGAGAAGAGCACACAACAACAACAACACACACTTTTAAAGCGCGCAAGCCGCACGAGCAGCAGAAGCCTTTCTTTACGAGAAGCACGGACGATGATGACAGGGTTTGATGATGCGTTGAGAGCGACGTGCGCGAAACTCGCCGAACCAGGGAAAGGCATCCTCGCGGCGGACGAATCCACCGGGACGATTGGAAAACGATTTCAATCGATCGGGGTGGAAAACGTGGAAGCGAACCGTCGGTTTTGGCGAGAGACCTTGTTTACCGCGAAGGAGGTGGAAAAGTACATCTCCGGGGTTATTTTGTTCGAGGAGACGTTATATGCGAAAAGCGAAGACGGGACGGAAACGCTGACGGAGATCTTAAGGAAGAAAGATATTGTCCCTGGGATTAAAGTGGATAAAGGGGCGACGATACCGGTCGGGAAAGACGGAGACGGAGAGACGGATACGGATGGGATGGACGGGTTAGGCGAACGGTGCGCGGCGTTCTATAAAGCCGGGGCGAGATTTGCAAAGTGGCGGGCGGTGTTGAAGATTGACGTCGAGAAGGCGTTGCCGAGCGCGGACGCGGTGGAGGCGAACGCGAAGAGTTTGGCGAAGTACGCCAAGATTTGTCAAGAGAACGGGTTAGTACCGATCGTGGAGCCGGAAATTGTGCCGGATGGTAAGCACGACGTGGAGGTGTCGAAGACGGTGACGAAGAACGTGTTGACAAAAGTCTTCGAGCATTTGAACAAAGAGAACGTGAATTTGGAGTTGATGGTTTTGAAACCGAACATGGTGACGCCGGGAAGCGGGAACGAAGAGTCGGAAAAAGACGACTTAAAAGTGGCAGAGTATACCAACGAGGTGTTGTTAGCGTGCGTGCCAGAGGCAGTGCCGGCGATTTTATTCTTGTCCGGCGGCCAATCCGAAGACGCGGCCAGTCGAAGGTTGAATTTAATGCACAAGATGCAAAAGGAGTCCGACAAAACGTTCCCGTGGACGCTTTCGTATAGTTACGGGAGAGCGTTGCAAGCGTCCGCGTTAAAAGCTTGGTCTGGAGATAACAGCAACGCCGGTAAAGCGCAAGAGGCGTTCATAGAAAAAGCGAAATCGTGTTCGTTAGCCAGTTTAGGAGAACTTTAAAGAAGAAGAAGAAGAAAAAAAAAAGAGGAGAGAACGAGAGAGAGGGAGAACGGCGAGAACTAGAGAGAAAAAGAGACACGTATCGTCCTTCATTTTTTTTAATTTATCACACACACACACACACACACATGCACACACGCGTGCACACTTTGCTCCTGCGTTACTACTCATCGCGACACCAGAGACTTTAATACTAAAGAGTAGGTCTTCGAAAAGAGGAAATTTTTAAGACGAAGAAGAGGGGTATGACAAACTTCTTTTGTCTGAAAAGTGAGCACTTTTTACTCCTCAAAAAAAAGCGCGCGATACTTATTCTTCGCTCTTCGAAACGCGCGCGACACAGACCTACGCGACCGACGATGCGCGACGCACACGTGCCTTTCTCGCACTTCTCGCCGAATACGCCTCGAAAATCACGTTTCGGTGAATGTTTTGGGTTGCAGCCGCCGCTCCTCGTGGGAGGAAGCAGTCGCCGACCGATACCGTCCTCGGCGACTCTGAAAGAAGACGAGGAAAAAAGAACAAAAAACGACGCCAAGTCCTCTCTCGCGTCGTTGCCGATAGACGTCGGCGTGATCATCGTTTCGAAATTACCGGTGAAATCGAAAGCGCACTTAACCATGCTCGAGAACAAGGAGCTAGCGAGGTGGGTCAGACAAGGCTTGTTCGAGGAGAGCTCGAAGTGCGCGAAGGAGTTATCGAAGAAAAGCGGCAAAAAGCAGCTTTTGCAAAAAGCGGTGTATTTCTCTCCTTTTCGAGAGGAAACTTCCGCGAGGGGTGTTTTCGCCGAAGCGACGGACGAGGACGTGCAACTGTACGTCAAATCGATGGCGGAGAGGTGCGAGATTTCGAAGCACATGCGAGGGAGCTTAGTCGCCGGGTTGTTGAACTCTTCCGAGTGCGGAAGGAGAGGAAAGGACCGGGTCTCGGAGATGGCGAAGCTACCGATGGGTCTGAGACGGTTGAAACAGTTGACGAAGGCGACCGAGAGAAAGTACGCGGAAGTTGCAGGTGTGGAGGAAGATGAAGAGGAAGAACGCGAAGATGGACAGGAGGAGGAAGAAGGGATTGATTTGTATGTTGAAGAAGATGACGACGAAGGGAATAACGAACTGGACGACGAGGATGAGAAAGAGTTTTCAGTTATCGAGGGCGACGCGCTCAGAAGGGAGTGCGAAAACTTACGAGCGGTTGTTGAAAAGTGGTCGCCGGAGGACATCGGCGAGACCTTAGCGATCGTGTTGGAGAAGGAGTTGCAGACGTTTCGAACGACTAAAGAGGCTAGAGACAGAACGGGAGAGGAGGAAGTGAGACGAATGCTTGAACAAGAATGCGAGAAGAGGCGAAAGAAGGAGGAAGAGACAGACGGTGCCGAAGTTGATGGAGACGAAGATCCGGACACGCGTGACGACGACCCGTTTGGGACACCGCACCAGTTTGATGCATTTCATTTCAATGCCCCAGCAGATTACGACGAGGAAATAGCTGCGTTTCAACAAGACGGCGCGTTTCAACAAGACGGCGCGTTCGAAAACGACATAGACGACAGCGACGACGAAGATACGACGAACGACGAACGACTATTCGATTGGAAAATCGCACTCGATTCCATTTGCGACGCTCGTATTTATACGTTTGTGCACTTCTGTCTCGGAACGCCAGACTTTTCGCATCTCACCGAACGTATCGATACGAAAAAACCGCATGAAACATCCGTCGCGACTGAGGAGGCTTGGAAACGCATTAAAATAGGCGTTTCAAAAATGATTCAAGTCGCCTTCAAAGAAGACATCGAAAGCGAAGAGAAAAGCAACGCGGCTTTCAAACAACAGACGGCAAACGCCACTATTACTTTGGCACGAGAAGAGAAAATCGAGCAGAGAACGTTTTGCTGTGTGGACGACGACGAAAATATTCACGAGATGGACAACGAGGACGATGAAATTGTACACGGCGATATCGTCAACGGCACCGCGAGAAGAACCAACAACAACGACAACAATAATAACGACGTTTCAATGGACACTGAAATCGACGACGACTACGATGGTGAAGACGAGAATGGATTTTTTCCTCCTACGGTAACAAATCGCGTTATCGTGGAAAAGGCCTCCGCGCTCTTAGCTTTACTCACGCAACATTGCGCGACGTTCCAGTCGGTGAACTTACTCGACATCCCAGGCAGCGCTCAAAAGAAATCCGCCACGAGTACGAAAACTACCACCAATCTGGCAGCTTTTTCGCATTTGAGTCATTTCGGCGATCGTGGGAGAGAAAATCCGTTCTTTGAATCGAACATGTTTGCCACGAAAATCGGAGGCTCGTGTATGATGCAACATCTCGACTACTCGCGAGGTGACGATGCGACGATGTATTTCGATCAGAACATTTCGATGACCTCCTTGTTTATGTTCGGGATAGAAGAGGACATCGCGTTATCGTCCAGAATAAGAAGACAGACGTTACGATCTACGGACGCATTTCGGATGGGGCTGGACGCACTGAACTCGTCGACAATGAACGATACGAGAAACGTCTTTGACGTCTATCGCGACGAGATCGTGACGCGACTCATCGAATACTGGGACGATAGCTTCGTTTTGTTTTTCATGGCAAGAAGCGCAGCTGAGGCGACAAACTCATCGACGAAGAAACGGAAGAGAATAGAAAGTGCACAGTCGATGTCGTCGTCTCGTCTCTCTGCTCGCCGGGTAAGTCAAAGACGAACCAACTCGTCGCCCGGCGTTGAAAAAGAAGAGAGAATAATCGATAACGCTTTGCGCGCGTTCAAAACGGATATGCAACAACGATTCGCTTCCTGGCTTACCAAATCTGAAGAGCAAAAACATAACAAAACTGCTCGCATCGAACGAAACAACGCGAGAAAGTTCCAAAAGCTTTCATCGGCGGTTTCAAAGCTGTTCCAACGCGGCGAGATTTTTCAGCGCGATATCAACCGAGTCACAAACTACATCGCTTCAGCCGTGAAATCCAAGGACATCTGGTCCTTGAAGAATAAAATCTTTAACGACGCAATCGAAACGTGCGCAGAAGAGATGGTAATGGTTGGTTGTGGTGACGCGTCGTGCTGCCCGCCAAAATTACACGAAGTTTTAAGAGAGAAAGTGTTGAAATTGGCCAAGATTGGCTACGCAGCGATGAGTGTCATTGTCGAACGCGAAGACGATAAGATGAACAACAAGGATCCGTCCGGGGAAATCGTTGTCCCGCACTCTTGGACGCTTTGAAGCAAGCTGAAAAATAAATATTGAAAGTATACGACGACGAAAACAAAGATCACGCGAGAAAGATGTTACTTTACGACGATACTACCAAAATGAGCGCTCGCGTATTTTTAGCGCATCGCGCGAGCGTATCAAAAAAGACGATGATATTACTACTTTTACTACTACTACTACTGCTGATACTCTCAGCACGCATTCTTTAATTTTAATATTGACTCGAATGCATCTATTACTATTCTTTTATATCACACACCACTTCTCGTTCGCGGTATTCGTAATGGCGGCAATCGATCCCTTTCTTCTTCCAAGTCAAGACGTCGTTGAAACTTTTTCTCGCTGACCACGGCGAACACGACCATTTGACAAAACAACAATGTGACGCCAATACCAGTTAGCATATACGACAACGCGGTATTCTTCGAGTCCCACTTGTTCGAAAAATCACTAACCTCGCTAGAGAAGGATACTCCTGGTGGAAGCTCGAGACGTTCTCGCAAAACTTTGTTAAACATTAAAACGGAAAACCCCTCTTGCACCTCATTCGGGTATCGTTTCCAGGCGTAAAAGAACGTATCGGGATACATAAAGGACGCCGCAATGATAGAATTGAAAAATAGCGCGACGTTGACACATATTATTTGCAATGCCAACGTAGAGAGGTACCCAGAAACTTTAATCCATGCCTCTTTTCGATCGATTAAAAATATGTCAGTGGTATACGTTTGTATGGTCGCGCAAGTGGTATACCCAACCTTCGATGGAGCTCTGTTTTGCTCGTCTTGTACGCCGGTAGTACTTTGAATACCGCGCGAACGATATTCGTCTCCAATTGGTGTAATAATGGCGTCATCTTCTTCTTCACCGCTCTTGTCGCCATCGTCGTTATCATTATCTGATGCTTCCCGAGGTGGTTCGTCAATCGCTATGGGCCTTTCAAATATCGTCACGGACAATATCGAAATCTTAACCACTCGATGGCCTTTCGTCAACGCACACGCTGCTGCGTGCCCGAACTCGTGCGTAGTGATATATAACAGTCCAGCGAACGCCGCCAACATCGCACACGCGAAAACTTTCATCGATACTTTTGCAAAGTTCGAATACTCGCTTCTCGCAAACTCGAGTTCGCGTCGTCCTCTGCTCGTGCGTTCTCTCGTTCCGTTACTCGTCGGACGGTCACTCACGGGGATTTGACGCATCAACGCGCGTCGCGGTCGTCGATAACCTCGCGGGACCTCGATCACGTCTCGCTGTTGTTGCTGCTGCTGCTGCTGCTGCTCTTCCTCGTCTTCTTCTCCTTCTTCTTCTCTTTCACCGCTTTCTCGTTGGAAAGAAACAGCCTCAACTCTGCTCATATTTCTCGCGGTATCGTCGTCGAACGTTTGCGTCGAACGAATTTGATGGTGATGGTTGACGACCCCGTGCTCGGACATAGATCGTTCCATGCTCATAGTGCGGTCGCGTGCGTAGGATTGTTCGCGTGGAATGTGCCGCCTTTTCGAAGGAGAAGGTGACGTACGGGAGAGAGTTTTTTTAATGAGATGGAATGCGCGTTGTATTTTCTCGAGATAAAAAATAGGCGTTTTTTGCAAAAGAGTTCCCGACGCCTTTTGATTAGAGTGCACACATTCAATGGCGAGTGTAATATAATAGTCTGGTGGAAAGGTTGGAAAGAGTAATAACAGGAGGGGTAAAGTAATAACAGTAAGTAACTTCAAACTCGTATTTTATATCGTATCATATCGAAGCAGTCTTTATGTAACAGTGGTATCCATCTCGACTGTTGAGTTTCCCTCCATCGAAAACATTTGAAGAGCTACACGGGGACGAGCCACCATTGCAATACGTCTGATAATTTTCACCATCTATACTTTGCGTACCTCCCCATTGATTGTTTTGGAATGTATTCGTCGATTCAACAACATAAGCGTTCCAATCCGTAATTAATCGACACTCAGGTGTATCCCAAATATCCCGAAGTACAACTTCGGCAGCTAAACACCACGCGAATGCGAAACACTTTGCCTTACATCGGTCCAGAGCTTGCTCAGCATTAGTACCGCTCGTGTGAGGGTTCAAATCGTAATAGCCTTTCGAGAATTTTATTGGGTAACTGCCATCAGATTGACGACACTCGCCTTCACCAAGATACGAGTAAGCAGTGATTAACCAAGTACTTTTAATCGTATCGCACGAACTCGCCGGACCGGAGACGGCGTCGGCACACGTGAATTTCGCTTCAAATGCAGTCGCTCCGAGAAACATGTTAGATTGCGCCGTTGTCGCTGCCGTTCCCGTCCACGAGGAAATGTCTTGGTCGAACGCAGAAGCGGAAGAAAACATATGAGACATATCAGTCACTTTTTCTGTGTTCCAATTTCCAATGTCTTGGTTGAACGCAGAAGCGGAATTAAACATATTATCCATCCATTTCACTTTTTCTGTGTTCCAACCCCCAATGTCTTGGTTGAACACAGAAGCCTGAGCAAACATTCTACTCATATCAGTCACTTGCGTTGTGTTCCAACTCCCAATGTCTTGGTTGAACGCAGAAGCGGAATAAAACATATCATACATATCATTCACTTGCGCTGTGTTCCAATTCCCAATGTTTTGGTTGAACGCAGAAGCGGAAGAAAACATTTCATTCATCTTAGTCACTTTTTCTGTGTTCCACTTCGAAATGTCGCCGTTAAAGGCGTCTTTTCCAGTAAAAGTGGAACTCATATCTTCAACCAAACTCGTGTCCCACCTCGGCATCGTCCCGTAATTATTTGTAGACGCCCACTCAGTGCATTCACCGGTGACTTCCGCACCATTTTCCTCTAAGCATTCTTCAACGAACTGTGCCCAACTTGCCGACGGAATCGGATCCACCATTCCTGGGCAGCCGCCACCGCTCCACATCTCGAACGAAGCGCCGCCCTCCAACCCTCTTGCGTTGAATCGATCCCCGGGCATGGAGAACCACGTGTCGCCAACAAACGTTTTTTTGCCGCAATCTCTCGGAAACCCCACGTCCGGGTCGTTGTAGTTACAAAACTGCCACTTGTTGGCGCTGGAGCGTAAGTCGTCTAAAGTATCGAAGAGATCAAAATCCGTGCCTAGCACGTTGTTCGTGTCCTTCCACGTGTACGTGAACAACGAATACGCGTCAAAGTTCGACGGAATATCTGTGATGCGATGATAATACGCGTGGTCTGCACCATTTCGAACGTATTTCACGAGCGGACAAAGCTGAAATGCTTCGTTGAACGCTGTTTCCCCGATATCCACCGTCACTTGCCCCCCGTCGTCGCTCAGCGCCACCGCCGTAAAAAACATCCCCGGCGCAGGAGGTGGCGACGGAGGCGTCAGTCCGAGCACTTCCGTCGTGATCGCATCGAGCTGCGCTTGCAACGCGAGAATTTTCGCCCCGACCGTGTGCGTCCCGTCCGACGCGCTCGCGTGGTTCGCGCTCCCTAAAATCAAATCTCCCTTCGTCAACGAGGTGACACTCGCTTCGAACATAATTTCCCCGACGCCTTCGTTGTTGGTGGTTCCGCTGTCGTCGTCCGTGTTGAAGTTTTTGAACGCGATCGTTTGGTTCTTGTATATCCCCAACGGCCAGGTTTCGCTCCGTACCGCCGCTCGCGCGAACAAAAACGGACAAAAGTTGTTCTCGCTCGGGAGGAGGAGAAGGAGGGAGAGGAACGCGATCGCCCGAGCGAGGATCCGTTCCGGGAAGGCGGTCGACAGGGAAGTCATTTTCTCAGCACGACGAAGAACACTTTTAAAGCGCGAGAACAACGAGAACAAAAATCAAGCACGTATTTCGAGAGAGCACTACGGTGAGATCGTCTTTACTGAAAGTCGAAACAAAGACGATTTTGAGACGGTGATGGTAGTAAGAAAAGAAGGTTTTGCGCGCGCAAAGGTGTTTGAATTGTAGGGTAAATTTGAACTGAATTTTGACCTCTTTTCTCAAAAGTGCTGGCAAATTTTAACTAGTACAAGGGGCGCGAAAAGCGCGCCGACGCGCGAGCGAGCTCTCAAAGCGAAAAACACTTTTTTGTGACCAACACCGCTCGAATCATCAGTTCATCTTTTTATCTTTGATCGTACCCGGCCCGGGCTGAGCTATTATCTTCGCGTTCTCTTTCTCTTCCTTTTCTTCCTCCTCGCTCGCTCGGCAACCTAAATCTTTCGTCAATATTCGCCGTAACTTCCCGACGTCCAAACCTTGAACTTCCTCGTCCAACTTTTCGCCGTCTTTCATGTAAAACTGAAACGTCGGCATGCACTGAATCTTCGCCGCCATGGAGGCGTCTCTCGCTTTGTCCACGTCCACGGCTAAAAACGCGCACGCGTCTCGAAACTCCCTGGACATTTTCGCAAAGATTGGCTTCATTCTTCGACAGGGTGGGCACCACGTCGCGCCGTAATCAATCGCGACCGCTTTCTCTCTCCGTTTCGCTTTTTCGATTTCTTTTTCCACCTGCTCGAGCGATTCGCACTCGACGACGAGGCCTTTATCACCTCCGTTCCGAGCGAGTTCTCGTTCGTCGCCGAAGAAGTACCGTCGAATGGCGAACAAAATGTTCCGGAAGACGAGGACGGTAATTAACGCGCGAAAGGCGTCTGGGATTGGAATGGACATCCAGTAGTTGTTTATCGCATTCAAACCGTCTCTGATTATATTAGTATTACTCGCGTCGTTATTGGATGATGACATGTTTGGTGAACGTTAAGGTGTTGATGATGATGAAGCGAAAGGAGTGATTTTGGTCGTTGGAAAATATCTCACACAACATGTTTAGGGTGTTCAACCCTATATAAATCGGGTCTCTCTTTTTCTCAGGATCCCTTTCTCCTCTCTCCATTAAAAGAAAGAACGAGTCTTGCGAGATATACACAGAACGAGATGCTGCTCTTATTCGAAACCCCGGCGGGGTACTCCTTGTTCAAAGTCAAAGACGAGGATAAGTTGAAAGATATCGATGTAAGTGTTTCAAATGTTTGTCTTCTTCTTCTTCTTCTTCTTTTGCGATGATGATGAATGTGTTTTGTTTTCCCGCCGCCAATTCATTCTTGGGGGCAATTAACGAACAGAAATTTCCTTTGCCTCTTCTCGACGCAGAGCATAAGTTTTTCTTTTTACTCCGCGACTCGTCGCGACGCGCGCGCTTCTCTCCCTCTCTCTCGTTTACGAGTGATGGCTGCTGTGTTATTAATAGCGGTAGTGTGAGAGAGAATACTATTTACTACTAAAATCGATTGTTTCCTCCTCTGTTTTGCTGACAAAAAATTCTCTCAAATTACACAAAAACTCTTCTATTTTGCGATGCGTTCGTAATAATAAAGGCACTGGCGAAATCATTTTCGAGCGCGGAATCGGCCAAGAAAGTGGTCTCGATGAAAGCGTTCGGGAAGTTTGAAAACACGACGGACGCGTTAGCGGCGGCGGCGACGATGGTGGAGTCTAAAGTCGGGAAGTCGTTGAAGACGTTTTTGAAAAAGCACGTGAAGGATGAAACGCTGGCGATTGCGGATTCTAAACTCGGGGTGGCTATTAAAGAAAAATTGGGGATCGAGTGCGTGTATTCGAACAACGTGATGGAGTTGATGCGAGGGGTGAGATCTCAATTGAATGAGTTGATTGGTGGTTTAACCGACGCGGATATCGCGCCGATGGCGTTGGGTTTGTCGCACTCTTTGTCGAGATATAAGCTGAAATTTTCTCCCGAGAAGGTGGACACGATGGTCGTGCAAGCGATTGGGTTGTTGGACGAGTTGGATAAGGAATTGAACACGTACGCGATGCGAGTGCGAGAGTGGTACGGATGGCACTTTCCGGAGTTGACGAAGATTATTTCGGATAACTACGCGTACGCAAAGGCTGCAAAATTGATGGGCGATCGCGCCAACGCGGCGAATATTGATTTTAGCGGCATCGATACCATCGACGAAGACGTGGAGAATGAGATCAAAGACGCGTCAGTAATTTCTATGGGAACGGAAATCGCGCCGACAGACTTGGATAACATTGGTCAGTTGGCGGACCAAGTGATTTCGTTGAGCGAATACCGGGCGCAGTTGTCGGAGTATTTGAAGGCGAGAATGAACGCCATCGCGCCGAATTTAACGGTGTTGGTTGGCGAATTGGTTGGCGCGAGATTGATTTCACACGCTGGTTCGTTGATCAACCTGGCGAAACAGCCAGCCTCGACGGTGCAGATTCTAGGCGCGGAGAAGGCGTTGTTCAGAGCGTTAAAAACGAAACACGATACGCCGAAATACGGTTTGATTTACCACGCGAGTTTAATCGGGCAAGCTGCGCCGAAATTTAAAGGAAAGATTTCGAGAGTTTTGGCGGCAAAGTGTTCGTTGGCGACGAGAGTGGATGCGCTCGGGGAAGAGACGGAAGCTACGATTGGTATTAACGCCAGAGCGACAGTGGAAGCGCGCTTGCGTCAGTTGGAGGGTAAAACTTTGGGCGACGCCAGCGGCGTGACGAAGATGAACAACGAGAACAAAAAGTTGGATAAAGACCGCGACGGCGCCGTTATCGCCGCCAAGAAGGCGTATAATCCAGACAAAGACGTGGTCGTGGAAGATAAGAAAGAGAAGAAGAGCAAGAAAGAAAAGAAAGAGAAGAAGGACAAGAAGAGCAAGAGAGAACGAGACAACTCGAGTAGCGACGAGAAGAAAAGTAAAAAGTCCAAGGATTCCTAATCACGTTTCATTTTACATAGAGAAAGAAAAGATGTAGAAAAGAGGGAGGGGAAAGTTTTGTACCTGTAAAATATAATATACACACGGTGCGCTCGATGGCTGACACAGCCGACACCAGTACTCAAATATGAGCGATGGTGGAAGGAAAGATGCGCGTCTACTAAGATCTTTAGAAAATTAATTTTGGAAATATACAATTCAATACTAATCGGAATTAAAAGTACAACTTTTGCTTTAAATGTACGCGTCTCTCTGTCTCTCTTATTCCTGGTTTCGCGCTGAAAACAACGTCTCTATCAATCCGCGTCCGCTTCGTCTGAAGACACGAAATCGTCCTCCTCGTTTTCGCTCTCTTCGGTTCTCGTCAACCATTTCGTACAGATGAACTTCTCGCCTTTTCTTACCGTTTGCCCTTCGTGCAGCGAGAGCGGATTTTCTCTGAACGGTTCCTCGGAGATGGAGAAAAATAAAATGGCGCGACCGAGTTTCGGGTGAATTTTAACTCCGTGTTGCTCAGATGCGACGGTTTTCTTCTTCCTTCCAAAAGGCTTGAACGCCCCGTGCTCATCGAAAGACGGTTCCAAGAAAAGCGGTTCGGCCTTTGGGAAATTCGTGCATCCACCTTCGCACTGGTCGCTCAAATAGCACATGAACGTTGCCACTCGACGAAATGATCCCGCTTTGTTGTCGAAATGACTCGTGTACTTTTCGTTCTTACCGTACCGGACGATCTGCATTGGCTCCGAACCTTTTAATTTCAGCGTATCGAACCGTCTCGTCGTCAACACCGGCGTACTGCGAATCGCATCCAACATGCGTCTTTCGATCGTTTTCACTACATCTTCTTTGCCCTTTGCACCGATGAGAAAACACGAGGAGCTCGTGCGCCCGTTGGAAAGTTTCCCATCGGTCACTCTCGATCGTTTTAAATCTTTATCCGCGAGCGTTCGCAAGAATTCGCACTCGCTTTCGTGAAGGAAGTTTTCAAAGACGAAAAGGAGAGGCGAAAGAGAGACGCAATACGCAACGATTGCGGAAGAGTTGAAGGTGTTGATATCGTCTTCATCATCGCGTTCGCTCGGGACTGAATCGAGAGAGTCAAAATCCACCTCGCATACGAGTTGAAATCTATCTTTTGTACTCGTCGTTGCTTTTTTCTTCGTGGTAGTGAGCTTCGTCGCGTTGCTCTCGGCGATGTCGCTCTTGAAAAAATCGCGCAAAACGAGACATTCGCCTTGATTCAACACCTGTCTCATGTACGCTTCGCGCAGTATGATTGATGCTCTACTCTCGTCGTTGATGCTGTTTTCACCTCTTTTCGTCGAAAACTCCAAAGACACGCGCATCGTCGCCGCAACGTCCACCGCGTTCGCCGCTTTCGAGGACGGCGGCGGGCAACATTCCAGCCTCGCCGATACCAAAGCCTTCGCCGCGCCGCCTTCTACTTCGACCGAATTTTTCAGCGCCAATCGAAACTCGCGATGCGCATCTGCGACAAAAATCGTCGATATGACCTCGCCGTCGCCATTTTGCGTCGCCTCTCGCAACTCCTTCTCCCCTACCGTCCATAGAAACCTCTTTGATTTACTCCCCGCTCTTTGCCTCTTTTTCTTTTCTTCTTCTTCTTCTTCTTCTTCTTCTTCTTCTTGGACGACGAGGGATACGTTCCCGACCACGCGCGGTGCGCTCTCGTCTCCTCCTCTTTTCTCCTCCGCTTCGTCCTGGTAAAAAAACGGCGCCCGCTCCTCTCGCGCGTTCTTGTCGTCCTCCTCCTCGTCGTCGTCGTCCTTCGAGACCACCGCGCCTTCTTTCGAAAACCAAAGAAAGTCTTTTCTCACCTCCAAAAAAGAGTTCGAGGAAGAAGGTTTCCCCGAGAACGACTTTTCCTCCTCCTCTTCCTCCTCTTCCTCTTCCTCCTCTTCTTCCTCCTCCTCTTTCTCTTTCAACAACGCCGAACACTTTTGCCCCATTATTATGTGTGTGTATATCTTCTCTCCTCGTCGCTTCGCGCGTTTTAGAGCAAAGTTCTTTATTCAAGAGCGCACCAACTCTCAAGCGTTCGTCAAACGAAAGAAAAAAGAAAAACTAATATTTTTAGCGAAAATAAAAATCCAGCCGTTTTTTCTTCTTTTTTTCATGCGTGCGTGAGATATTTTTTCTCCTTTTTTCTTCATAAAAAATTGCTCTTTTCTCCGTGTTGTGCCTTTGTTTTGCCTCAACATCATCCTCCTCGTCGAGACGACATAACGGAAACTATGAGCGGAGGAATAACAAACGAAGAAGAGCAGCGCGAGTGCGCGCAACTCGACGTCGCGTTAACGAGACTCTCTTTACTCGAGGACTCGAAACTGGAGAAGACTTTATCGAAACTTTTGCCGATGGTGCTCGCGCAACTGTCCTCGACGCACGCGAGGACGAAAACGAAAACGGTGGAGTTGTTGACGCACGTGAACAAACGAACGAACGGTTTGAAAGAGATTGAGTTCCCGTTGGAGGGGGTGATTGAGGTGGTGTTAGGGAAAAGCGGTCGAGAGAACGGATTGGTGAGGACGTTCGGGATGATGTACGCGAAGAAAGCGTTTGAACGGAGCAAAGCGTCGCACGAGACGAAACGACGGTCGGCGGAGAGATTGTTGGAGGCACTTTTCAGTGCGGATGGAGGGATAGAGGACGAGAAGACGGTGCAAGAGGTGATGAGAGTGGCGGTGGATGTCATCGGCGAAGAGAACGTGAAAGAACGATGGTCGATTGGGAACAGCGCGAAGTGGATGTCCAACGCGCGAACGAGGAAACGGTTTTTGCGACACGTTTTAGCGACGGCGCAATACCAACCGAATTTGGCAAAGACGACGAGCGGGAGTGGTGTGGACGTGGAGTTGGCGAGTGCGGAGATGCGAAGAGCGAGAGAGCAGGCGTTTGTGAGCGGCGTAGCGAGGTTGGCTGGGAACGCGATTCCGTCGGGCGGTGCGGCGGCGCCGGCGGACGAAGAAGACGAAAACAGACCGGGACCCGGATTGAGCGAAAGTTTAATGAAGGAGATTTTAGGCGACGTCGCGGTGAGCGATAAGGAGGCGCGAATGAAAGCGCGAGAGTCTGCATCGAGTTCTAGCGCCGGTCGATGGCGCATGGGTGTCGATTTAAAGTCTTTAGCGGAACGAAAGAAAGCTCTTTTGGAATTTTTAGCCGAGGCGTGCGTGTACGAGGAAGACAAAAAGGAAAACGAAACAACCGGAGGAGGAGAAGAAGAAGATGAAAATGCCATGCAAGTGGAATTACTGAGGACGGTGAAGAAATATATCGTATCTGCGGAAGAACTCTTTCCGATCGCGTTAGCGGTGGCATGCGACGCGTCCGAGGCGTGTCGTTCATACGGCGAGACGGTTTTAAAGAAACGGTGCGGCGTGGACGGCGCGCATCCGGATTTAGACGCCGATAACGAAGCGTTCATAACGCACCAACTTCGATGGTTTCTTGGCGATAGCGAGGATGTTCCTAGAGAAATCCGAGTGCAGCCGGCGAGCGATGAAATTCGGTCCAATATTTTGCGTCGCGTTTTATCGCGTTCGCAACGCAGCGCGAACTTGTTCCCGCAAAACGTCGAGATTGTTTCGTCGTCTTTGAATAATCCGCGTTCGAAGCAATTGAGAGCGTCCGGGATGGAATTTTCCGCGTGGGTTTTACGGAACGCCGAGAAAGACATTCTTGAAAAAGCCGCACCAAAACTTCTCGAGACGTGTTTGATAACTCTCGATACTTTAGAAACGTCCTCACCGGCTACTATGACGACATCGGAACGAATCCGCGCCATGGAATTGAAAGGTTTCTGTTTTCAATCGCTCGGGCATCTCATCGAACGCGCGCCAGAGTTGATCAAGGCTTCGCAAGATATGATGATGGCAGAGAGTGCTTCTTCAAAGAGCAGCATCGACTCGGTCGAGTTCCTCAAGCGCGTTCTTACCGAGATTGAAAACGAATACGATTCACACACTCGAAGTTCTATCGTTGAGTGTGGACGCGCGTTGTTGCGCGCGTGCGAAGAGGATTCCATCGTCAAAGAGGGTGAAAAATTAGCCATGGAATACGTCGTCGCGGAAGTTTTAGAACGTTATGCCTCTACTACTTTCGCATCATCAGATGCGAATTATTCGGATGCCACTGGTGAGGGTAAAGCTACGCCGCCGGGCGCGAAATCGGCGTTACTTCTCGCGCTCCGATTCGCCGGGAGTGAAAATTGTTTCCGATTCGATTCAGTTGCCGTGCGTTTCGCGTGCGCGTTGAACTGCGCGCGTCCTGAGCTGGACATTCGCGATGCCGCTCGCTCGGCGCTCATTTTACGAAAGGAAGGGGAAATGGATGGATATTCAACCGTTGCGCGCATGCTCGATCGAGCGGAATCAAAGAATACGCTCCTCGCGAAAGATCCGCAAAGAGAAGATGACCAATCGCCGCTTCCGGAAAAGGTGATGTTTGCGCTCTTGAAGTTTCTTCGACAAAGTCGTCGATTTCATATGAACAGAGGTGCCGACGATGCTAGCACCAGCGCAAGTTATCGACGATTCTTGAAGCACTGTTTGCTTAGGACGAGTGGACCGAGACTCGCCTCGCTCGCCTTGATTGAACTTCGCGATGTTCTGTTTTCGGCGCACAAAGCGGAAGGTTCTTCTTCTATGGCGAACGAGAAGGATAATTATCAATACTACCTTCGCGCCGCAAAATTTTTCTCCGCTACGGACGACGCGATCACGCGAAAGGCATCTGCAAATCTAATAGGGGCTATGTTAAAATTGAACTCGTTCACAGAGAGCGACGTCGAGGCACTCGTTTCCGGTTTCTTGGAGACCGCTTCAAAAGCAGTCGCTTTGAACGAAAGCGACGCGGCGGCAGCCTCTAACTTACGCGCGGAGCTTGCCGACGGTGCTTTGAGATCTTTGAGTGCGTTGATAGCTACGGCAACCAAAGAAATGAAGTCTGCGAGCATGTTTACACCAGAACGCTACGAGTTAGCGAAGTCCATTTTTCGTAAGGCTGTACTCAACGTGCCCCGAACAGACGCGCCTTCGAAAGAAGTCATGCTAGGTATTTCAGGATGCGAGTGTTTGGGAACATTGTTCACTTCGAACAATAACTTCGTCATATCGCACGATGATATTGCTGCGCTGTCGCAAGCCATGGATCGCGCAGCGGCTGCACCGAAAGTTGCCGCCTCGGCCGCTTTTGCCGCCGGATGTGCGCTTCGCCGCGGCGCCACGATCGCAACATCGCTCGATGCCGCGAAACCACTCGTTGAGAAAGTTTTCTCATTACTCACGGTAAAGAAAGACGACGTTCGATTTGCAGTAGCGGATTCTATAAAGTTCGGGTTTTATGGCGAATCTGATCTCGTTTTGAGCACCGATATTGCGAGCGAGGATGGCGGCGACGCGAGTTTGACGCCGTTTGTCCGCGACATTGACCGCGAGGTTGATGAGTTATTTGAATCGCCAAAAGAGCCAAATTCTGATTCTATGGATATTGGCACTGAAGCGACAACACCCTCTGTGAAAATAGGTAATGGTGAAGAGTCAACAGACGCTACCGTTGGTAACCGAAACGCTCTTCGCGAAATAATATTAAAATATCTATTCGACGACGACGGTAAGGAAGGAGAGTCCAAAGTAGGGTTCTTGTTTAGTTCACGCGAAGAGATTCGGTGTGGCGCAACGGCTGTGCTCTGTTCTCTTGTGAATCCGTCCATTTCCTCTGCATCCATAGTTTCGGACGACGCGGTTGATGCGAACGACGAGGACTCGAACGCGAAGAAAGGCACGAAAATAAACACCATCCCTTTGCTCGAGTCCCGTTTCGATGACGCGCACGAAGCGCTCTTAGCGGCACTCGGCGATACGAATACTACCACCCAAGAAATGGCCTCAACTGGTTTATCCGCGTTATACGATCGAGGAGACGAAGCGAGCAAAGCGACTTTGCTCGAAAATCTCACCAAAGCTTTGAGTGGTGAAACGAGCAATAAAGGCAAGAAACGCGCGATGTCGAAAGTCGAGGACGATACGGTTGTTTTCCAAGACGGTTTAAACTTGACTGGCGACGACGCGTTGAAAGCGAAAGCGAAAGAAAAGAAGACATTGACTAGTGACAATGGTGGTGGTGGTGGTGGTGGTGGCAATGCAGGCGATTCTATGTTGAGCACGTACAAAGAACTCTGTTCGGTCGTGTCTGATATCGGACAACCCGACTTGTTGTATAAATTCATGGAGATTTCGAACCACCAGAAGAAAGTTAATCGCGCCGCCTCTGCGGGTGCTGGTATCGCTAGAATTGCAAAGAAAGCGGGCATGTCGTTATCCGCGCACAGCGAACAACTCGCACCTCGATTATATCGGTTGCGGAAGGACGTCAATTTAAACATGCGAGAAACCGCCGAGGCGGCGTGGCAAACCCTTGTCGCGGCTGAGAAAGAGAAGAAAAGTGATGATGACAATAAAATGGTTGTCGCTTCTGATTTATCGGTGAAAATGTTCGATCAAATTTGCGAACGTCTCCTTCTCGATTGCTCTTCGCGCGAATGGCGCGTGCGTCAATCCGCCGCGGAAGCATTGGCAGAGTTGTTCTCGAGCGGCGGTGCAGGCAAGACGTTTGATATCGTAGAGAAAAAACTCGCAGAGGCATGGACGATTGCGTTTAGAGTTGCAGATGATATTAAAGAAACCGTTCGAATTCGAGGGATGATGTTTGTGAAGACGTTGCGGTCGTTATCGTTACGATTGACTGATGCCAATCAAATAGGGGAATCGTTAGCTTCCTCCACGAGGGACGAAAAGAGAAACGTCGCAAAGAAGGCGTGCATTTTGATCCTTCCTCAACTTTTCGAGAAAGGATTAAAATCGGACTCCTCTGTCGCGAGAGAGCTTTCGTTATTCGTCGCGTGCGAAATCCTGAAGAAAGCTCCCGCGGAAGCTTTGAAACCGCACTGCGTGACCGCAGTGGAAGCGCTATTAGAGGCTCTATCCACGTTTGAGGATACGCGATTGAATTATTACGAACAAAGAGTTACCGCGATGTTCGGAAATGACACCGACGCTAACGGAAATAACTCTGTCGTTGAGAACTTTCAAAACGCGCGCGTGCAAGCCAGCTCGAACTCGATTATTTCGGATGCTCTGGACGCGTTCATTCAACACGTCGATTTAGAAGAGACGAAATTGTTAGCTCCGGTGTTTACGAACATTTTCAAGAAAGGGTTAGGTTTGAACACAAAGGTTGGTGCGGGTCGGTTTTGCGTTCGCTTATGCGCGAGACGACCAGATGCAGCGAAAGGCTTTTTTGCCGGTAAGATTTGTGAAGCGTTACTCGCGTCGCCAGATGTTCTGAACGGCGTGTCCTCTGGTGGCGCGTCTTCAAAAATCGTCTTCCGTCAATACTGCCAAACATTCGCGACGTGTTTACGTTTTGCTACGCTTAAACGTCAAGAAAAAACAATCGCAGACGTCTTGAAACTCGCCAACGACGACAGCAGCAACTGTTCGAACCGCGAAGCAGCGGCTGAAATCATCTCTGAAATGGCCAAAGATTCTCGAGGCGTCGAGTGCTTGAAAGACTTCGAGGATGAGTTACTTCCGTTGGCATATTTTGGAACGTTCGATGAAAACGCATCCGTCGCAAAGTGTTGGGAGAGCGCCTGGGAAGAGTTGAGCGGCGGTGGTGCCGGCGCCGCCGGAGGAGGTTCCGCCATCGGCAAACATTTTCCAAATCTTTGGAATTCTTTCTTGAAGCCACACTTGGAAGGTACAAACTATTCGCTCAAATCGCGAGCGGCGAGAACGGTATCGGCGGCGATGCAAAGTACGAGTTTCAGTACCAAAGATGCGTCGATAAACAATACGGACGAGATGAATGCAAACAAAGAAAAGATGATACGCGACATGTTAGAAGTGCTCTCTAACGAGCTGCGCTCGAATCGCGCGTTTAAAGGGAAGAATGATTTGGCAATTGCGTTAGGGAACGTGTTGAAAGCGATGATTTCCATGGCGATGGTTGAAAAAAATGGAAGTAATAAAGACGCGTCGTTCGAAGCCTTGAATCGTTTAACAAAGTGCGTCGAGAGCAAAGACGACGGTTTCGCCGCGGCTGGAGTGCAGGCGCTGAAGAGTTCCCTCGAACAGTTAGTGGCGAGCGGTCCAGGTGAGGAGGAAAACGTCGCGCCGGCGTCGTTCGTGAAGGATGCAAAGTTTCAGAGTTTCGTCGAGGCGCTCGTTTCGAGTCTTACTGCACGCGTGAGCAGTGGCGTTGATGGTCGTGATGCTGGAATGGGAGATACAAATAACGAGGAAAACGACGAAATGGAAATGGATGGTCCCGACGCAGAGATGGAACGCTTCGAGAAGAACAAATCGAAATCGGCGTTCACGGAACGCGCCATGGAATGTTTAAGCGTCGTCGGTGAGCTCAAAGACGTTGCCTCCTCGGACGTGCACTCCGCGCTTTACCGCGTCGCCATCGAACATTCTGCGCTCGGCAAGCCGTGGCAAACCCGAGTCTCCTCATTTCGAATGTTCCGAGGTCTGTTCACCTCCTCTAAATCATCATCAAACGTCGGAGGAGAAAAATATAACGACGAGTTTTTGCGAATTTCGAGCGAAGCGTTGAGCGAAGTCGGTAACAGCGCGCCAGCGGCGTTGAGAATTGAAACAATCAAAGCAGTTGGAGCACTGCTTTCGCGAGCGAAAATGGAATCGAGTTTGAGTAAACTCAAGGAATCGTGTGAATCGATGATCAAACTCGCTTTGGAGGATCGATCGCCGGACGTCCGACGAGAAGCGGCGAGCGTTTTTGCGCTCGTGTAAGAAGAAAATGTAAAATAGAAGCTTGAGGGACTAGTGTGCTAAGTATTAAAACAATTAAAATCTCTCCTTCTTTAGTATCCAATCGCACCAGTCGCCCCTGGCGTCGCCACGTTCACGTCGCCTCTCCCCACGAACAACAAAATACCCGCCACCGTCAACAACAACAAAATCGCGTTCCACACCGCGCCTTGCACGGCGAACATCGTCCCCGTCGCCAACATCCGACTCACTTCCACCTTATCGTCCTCAGTCAATCCAACCGCGTTATCCGTCAACGAACTCGTCACTCTGTCCTCCCCTCGCTCTAACCAAAATTGTTCCTCTTCCGCTTTATCTAACCTCAAATCGTTCAGCATCAACAAAACTTTCTCCCTGCGTTTCTCCTCGTCTTCGTTCTCCTCCTGCAACCTCTTCTCCGCCAGCATATCTTGAAAGCTTTGCAACAATTTCAAATCGTTCTTCGCTCCTGCCACGTATCGACGTATTAACGGGAGTTTCATGTTCATCTGCGTCAAATCGGAGACGTATTTCTTACACGAGGCAATTTGCGTTTGGTTTTCTTCTTCCGAGAGGAGCGCTTTCGTTTCCCAAACGCCTTTAGTAAAGCGCGTTGATTTTCTTCTTTGTCTTCTTGTTTTCCCCGACGACGACGTGGCAGCGAAGCCGACGCAAATACTTCGACTTCGGCATCTTGAAGAAGCGATATAAGTCGTTGTCGTCGTCGCCGTCTTTGCCGTCGCGAGTATCGCAGATGTCCTCATCGTCGTCGTCATCGAAGTAGTTTGTTTGCGTTTCTTTTATATTGGTTTTCGATTAGTGCGATTTTTTGTGACAGAAGAGAAATCGAAGTCGCAAAAGAAGTACGAGACGATGATGGGTTTACGGGAGAATTATGTACTGGATCGACAGCGTCACGCGGCCTGCATGCCTCTGTCACATTTTACGAGTTACGCGTGTATAAATTTGAATCACAACTCGTCGTTCGGTTCTGGCGGGTCTGTTTTTGCGTTGTTGTTCTCTTCGTCGTCCTCCGAAATGAAAAAAGGAAGCTTCACGTGTTCCTGGTTCACGTCCTCGTGGTCTTCGACGATCGGCCTCTCTCTCGAAAGTTTTGCCATCGTCAGCGCTAACGTCTCGACGCCTTTACGCATTTGATCTTCCGTGGAATGCTCGTCCGGGCGGTGCGAGTAGCCTTTGAAGCACGGGATGAAAATCATTCCAACGTTTGAACACGCTTTGGCGATGAATAACGTGTCGTGGTAGGCTCTCGAGACCATGCGCTTTTGGGTATGTCCCAAGTGCGACGCGGCGAGTTCTGCCGCGCTCATTGCGCTGTCGCCAGACGTGGCAGGATCGTCTTTGTTGATCATGCGTACGTTTACTCTCACTCTTTGTTCCGAGGCGACTTTATTGGCCGTGGATATAATCTGCTCCACCACGAGATCTCGGCGTTTCAAATCTATATCTCTCACGTCAATCTCCAAAACCGCGCTTCGCGGGACCGAGTTAATCGCGTTTGGTTTCACCGTGAACCCGCCGACTGTAGCAACCGTATCCACGCTCCCAGAATGTTTCGCGAATTCCTCCACGGCCACGGCCAACTTAGACCCAGCGACGACCGCGTCGTTCCTCAGGTGCATCAACTGCGCTCCCGCGTGCCCTCCGTCGCCTTCAAACGTTATCTCCAACGCTGCCGGCGCGGCAATAGCCGTAACTACTCCAATATCCAAATTTTCGTGTTCCAACTCTGGGCCTTGTTCAATGTGTAGCTCCACGAACGAATAATAGTGCGAATCCATCGGCATCAACGAACATTGCTCAACCATCTCCTTCGCCGTGCGCGCTCTCTCATTCTTCTCTCCTCGCCATTTGCTCCCGTACCCAGCTTGCGTCGCGGCATCAAAAAACGACGTCGACGCGTTCAACACGTCCGGTAAAGTTTCCAATTTCTCCGCGTCTAAAACCCCACCCATCGCTCTCGACCCAGAACACGCCATCCCGAACCTGCTCGGCTCTTCGCTGTTGAACATAACCGCTTCGAGATGTCGCCTCGGTTGAAACTTGGCCCGTTTCAAAGCTCCCAACGCTTCAATCGCGCCTAATACCCCGTACACTCCGTCGTACTTCCCACTCAAAGGAATCGCGTCCGTGTGCGACCCAGACCCGACCACGTGGCCTCCTCCTTTCTGCGATTTTTCAACCCCTTCCAAGCGGCCAAAAATGCTCCCCATGGCGTCTTCTCTGACCTTCAACCCATTCTTCTTCATCAAGTTTTTCACGTACGCTCTCGCTTCCAAGTCTTCTTTCGAGTACACCAGCCTCGTCACGCCTTTGAGTTCGTCCTCACTGCTCGAGAATTTCGACAGCGCGTCGATGTGCGGCGTGATCGGTTCGATCTGTAATTTCGAGCGCAATTCGGACAAATATTTGTTGTCCGATTCTTTCCCGGAATTCGCATTCGCTGATGCGAAAGAAAAAGAACCAACCCCAAAAGCGAAAAAGAGAAAGAACAGCAAGAAAAACCGAAGAAAAAGAGTCGTCGTCGTCATATTTGTGTTTCTCGTTTATATATCGCGCGTGTGCTGCGGTATTTCCTCGTTTGGTAAAAGAGCGTTCGAATGTGATGCTCTTTTGTCTGTGGTGTTGTCTCAAAAATTTTCGTCTCCCTTTTTTTTGTACAACCTCTCTTTTTTGCGAAAAACGCTCTCGTTTTGTGCCCATATCTTCCACGTTTGCGAATAAATATCGCTGAAAATGCACGCAAAGATACATACCGCTACGAGTGTTCTGTGTGTTCATTTTCAGTTCTCGTTTCATCTCGATGAAGAAGTTACGCACGCATTGAGCGCTCGAAAAGCTGTTGTTTTTTTGGTGTATTTTCAACCACCTCCATTTGGGTAAAAAAAAGCAGGTTTTAAAAAAAACCTACGAAAAGGTTTGACGGCTGAGAAAAGAGCAGAACGAGACACACACGCCACTTTTTTTTCCTCGCTCATCAAACTCGAGCAACACGCCCGCGTTTATATATATATATATATATATATATACATCACACACACAAGTTTGAATCCTCCAATCATGTTTTCGATGACAACCAGCACCTCGTCTCTTTTGGGCAAACAGCTTTCCTCGTCGTCCTCGAAGCACCTCACGAAGGAACAACCGAAACGACACGATAAAATCAACGTCAAAGTCGCCGCGATGTCGAACGTTTCCCGAAATCCAAACATGGCGCAACTTCGCGCGGGATATTTGTTCCCGGAAATCGCGCGGATCCGCAACGCGCACTTGGAGAAAAACCCGGACGCGAAGATTATTAGTTTAGGGATCGGGGATACGACCGTACGTTTCTGTTTTGTCTTCTTTGCGTTCTTTGATTTAATTTTATCCGATTGATTTTTGATTACGTGTCGTGTGTCTCTCGTGTGTGTGTTCGATGTTGTTGCGAAAAACTCACATCTCTCTCTCTCTCTCTCTCATTAACAGGAACCAATCCCAGCGCCGATCGTGTCGGGCATGGCCAACGCGGCTTTGGCGTTAGGTACGGTCGCCGGGTACGAAAAGACCGGCGGTTACGGCTCCGAGGCTGGACAACAACCTCTGAGAGACCTCATCGTGAAGCGCTTTTACAGCGAGAAGACGAAGATAAACGCGAGTGAGATTTTCGTTTCGGACGGGTCGAAGTGCGACATTTCGAGAATGCAACAAATGTTTGGTCCGGGGAGAAAAGTTGCGGTGCAAGATCCGGCGTATCCAGCGTACGTGGATTCGTCTGTCATCAACGGGCACTGCACGGGCTACGACGAAAAAACGAAACGATACGAAAACATCGTCTACATGGAGTGCGTGCCGGGCAACGACTTTTTTCCAAACTTGGAAGCTGCGAAGGACGCGGACATCATCTTCTTTTGCTCGCCAAATAACCCGACTGGGGCGGCGGCGACTAGAGCGCAATGCAAAGAGTTGGTCGATTTCGCGAACAAGAACGGTCAAATTGTCATTTACGATGCGGCGTATGCGTTTTACATCGAAAATCCGGATTGTCCAAAGACGATTTACGAAATTGAAGGCTCGGAGACGTGTTGCATCGAGAGTTGCTCGTTCTCCAAGTACGCCGGATTCACGGGTTTGCGATTAGGCTGGACGGTCGTTCCGGAAGCGTTGAAGTTTGCGGACGGTTCTTCAGTCAGATTCGACTGGAACAGGTGCATGTGCACGGCCTTCAACGGTGCCTCCAACGTCGCGCAAGGCGGCGGCTTGGCGGCGTTGTCCGACGAAGGGTGGAAGTCTATGCAAGAAACGGTCGGTTTCTATAAGGAAAATGCGAAAATGTTGAAGAAGACGTTCGAAGAGTTGGGTTTTAAAGTGTATGGAGCCGTCGATGCGCCGTACGTGTGGGTCGACTTTGACGGAAGAGACTCGTGGGAAGTCTTCACGGAAATTTTGACCAAGACGGATATCGTCACCACACCGGGCGCTGGTTTTGGGCCAACCGGGGATGGTTTCGTCCGCATGTCCGCGTTTTGCCACAGAGACAACTTGGAAACTGCGATTGAGCGTTTGAAGAAGGAGTTCGCGAAGTAAAAAAAATCAAAAATCGTCGTTTGGTGTTGATTATGTTTTTATTATGAATAGATAAATAGATTTATTAATACACACAACAGTGGTACCTAGGTACAAAGCTTAATAATTGTCAAATACAAACGTCACGTAAAAGATATCTCAACCTTTTCATGATCGCTGTTGCGCCTGCGCCGCTTTTGCCGCCAACTCGCGCTCTTTATTCTTCGCGTGGAGCATGGCGAGTTCTCGAACTCGGTCCAACATAGCTCTCGGGATTTCTCGTTTCTTGTCGCCGCCGGACTTACCAGCGGTTTCTCGGCCAGACGGCGTCGGTAACGTTGCGATTCGAAGCAAGTTGCGCCACTTATCCTTCAAATCAACCGCGGTGCGATGTTCAATTTCCGGAAACCCAAGCTTTTTAATATCGGCCCATTTACCGCCGCCGCATCTGGAGACGCCTTCAATCAAAGCCTGAGCTTCGTCTAATCCCCACGGGTTGTGATGTTTCGAACGTCGAGGACCGCCTTGAGGGTTCGGTTCACGACCACGCGCGGCGGTGGTTCCGGTTGATTTCGTATTTGTACCGCCAATCGCGTGACCCAAAGCGCTCGTTTGGAATCCTTCCGATAAGCCACTGGACGACAGCGACTTCGTATCGCTGTCTACGTTCTTCCGGCCGCGCTTATTCGGTGCGTTTTCCGAACCAGATCTCGCCATCGCGCTCGACAAGTTGCGTTTACCAACCATTTTGTTGTTGGTATTCGCGGTAGATTTAGAACCGCCCGCTTGTTTGCTGCGCTTCTTTTCGTCCACCTTTGCAATGGTGTATTCACCGAGATCATCAAACATCTTGCCTGTTGCTTTCATTTTACTCTTACTGTCGCCACGTATCGATTTGTTTGAAGCAGGACGCATCGTCGTTAACGTCGCCAACGATGATGACGATTTGTTATTACTTTTTGTACTGCCCTTGGTGTTCGACGCTCCTTTCAAATTTGTCTTCTTCCCAGAAATCGCGCGAGAAGGCGCCACCTTCTCGTGCTTGGGCGGTTGCCCTCTTTGCGCGCGTCGACCGTTCACGAGCATTCCCGGCATGATTTCTCCACCGACGCTGCCTCTGCCCATACTTCCTATAATCAAAGGTCGACCGACGCGGTGGTTGTTCGTATTCTCGCCCAAATCGTCTTCTAAATCGTCAATCAAACGTTCTTTATCTTCGTAATCGGCTTCGTAAACCTCTTCGTCCGACAGATCGTTCGAGATGTCAATATCGCTGTCGCTCTCTTCCGCGTTGTTATCCAATTTTTCTCGCGATCCGTCGGCTTCTTCGTCGTAGGAGGAGTTGTCTGAACCGCTCGTTTTTCTAGTGCTATTGCTTTTATTATTCGTATTTCGCCCGCTGGAACGTCGGCGTCTACCTCTACCTGAAGCGAGCTGTTCGCCCTCATCGCTACCTTCGTTGCTCTTCCCTTGCGTCGCTGCGGGATCAAACAGTCTAAACGAATCATCCGAACCAGGTCTGGCGCTTAAAAGCTCCGGTTCAATTTGGAACTGCTGATCATACAACGAGTCATCGATGGTGTTGATAGTATTCATCGCCTTGCCGTTCGCGCCAAACGTCTTAGCATTCGTACCATCGTTCACGTCGATGTTACCAGAAGCCGATTTATGCATCGCCGCGTTACTAGCGCCCGCGTGATTTGGCGGTTTAAACAAAGGTGCAACTGGTGGAACGAAGAGATTATCACACTCGGAGAGCAGATTTGCGTTCTTCGTTTCCTCTTCGTCCGGGATGATCAAATCGTCACCGCTGCTCGAATCGTTTCGTTTCGGTGCACGCACTGGATTCCTTTGTTTTCTACCTCCTTGTCTCCCCGAGCTGTTCGAGTTATCGTTTGACGAGTTGTTGTTATTGTTGTTGACTTTGCTGTTGTTGTTAGAGACTAATTTTGCATTTTTGTCTCCTTCTTGTTTTTGTTTGTTATTTCTTCCTTCTTGACGACGCCCATCTTCCAGCTCACTGTACCTTCCGCCGGTATCGCCATCACAATTTCTATTAAGATCCGAAGAATAAGCGGTCTTGCTCTTCTTTCTCGGCGAGGCGACAACCATGGGTTGTTTCTCCGCGCCAAAATCGCACAACAAATCGTTTTCGTTCATCTCCGCGGCGTTTTCGTTGGTGCCGTTTTCTTTGATGATCATCATCTTCTCGTCTCCGGAGGTTTTTAGGTTGTTGATTTTGTTCTTCGTGTTGTTATCGTCGCTTCCATCACCACTTCCACCACTTCCGCTCGGATTTTTAACGCCTCGCTGCTGCTGAGAACGCAATAACTTGGACTCGTTGGACTCCGAGAGTTTGTTCGAGTCGTCGTTGGAGCCTGAATCTTGTTTTTCCGTCGCAGCAGCGGCGGTGGCATCGTTGCTCCCGCCTTTACCTCCACTCGATTCTTTGTTTCTCTCTTCCATCATCATTTCTTTATCTTTTTTGTTATTTTTATTCTCGTTTATAGTATTATTATTATTATTATTCCCCGTCATCTCTTTCGCTTCTCGTTGTTCCGTCCTCGTGACCATCTTCCCGACCGCGGCGTTACCCAACCTGGACGGCGGCTGCGCTCCACCTCCTCTCACTGCGAGCGACCCAAGAGCGGCATCTTTCTTTTCTTCGTCCTCACCAGTCAAAATCTCTCTCTCCAAATCCACCAACTCGGAGTCTTGGTCGTACTTCTCTCGAATCATCCGTTCGTCGATTTCGCTCGCTCGTTGCAAGTCGCCGCTCGAATCGAATTTGATCGAGTTATAAAATCGTTCGCGCCCTGGCGCGCTGGTGTTAAACGCCGGTGGAGCGGTGGGTGATTTATATTTGTTGTTGTTTTCGTTCGCGCTGGTGGTGGTTTTATTCGTCGTATTCGCCCCCATCTTGTGATAAATTTTTTCTTTTCCTCTTTACTGTGAGACTCAAAATATCTCCCAATAAATATCCCGTTTTTTCTCGAGTGAGTCAGAAGGACTCCCTTTTTGGTAATTACGACGATTCGGTCCTTTTTACGCGCGCTTACTTTCGTGTCGATGAAACGCTTTTTCGCGAAGCACAGAACCACTCGAGCTGGGATCGAATGGATGCGATGGAATGCAAGGCGCGTCGAAGATCTTTTTTTATGAAGGGTTTCGGAAGCGCGCGCTTAAGGTTTCTTCCTCGTACTCCCGGATGTGAAAATTCAACGGCAAAAGCTCCTCTCTTTTGGCTTATAAAAAGTGCTACAATTCCGCTTTTTTGCCTCGAGAAATTTCGATCGCGCGCTCTCCCACAATTCCTCCGAACACTCTCTCTCGCGACCAATGAAACCAAGATGTGCGCGAGAATTCGAGCGCACGAGGTAGTAAAAGATTTCTTTTCGCACCGCTTTCGTGATTTTATGCGCGCCACTTCTCTTCTCGACGCGTAGTTTTGTTCTCTTTGATGATGATGCGCAAAGAACGAACAGTTATATGTACAAAATGTATTGAAGGAAGAACGAACAAGAAATTCTCTTTTGCTCAAAATTCAAAAACCCTAAATATCTGCGCTTTTGAAACTCCTCCATGAAAAACTTTGACAGAGCAAAGAGCACAAGAGGGGATAAAAAGAAGAGAGAGAAAGGACGAGACTTTTCGGTTCGTTTGCAGGTGTAGAGGCGCATTTATATACATAATCAACGAACGCGCGGTCAGAGCGACTCCTTTTTTGGAAGTTTGAGAAGGAGTTTGAGAAAATACTTTATATCTTCTCTGTGTGTATAAAGAATGTCATCATCATCCGAGGCAGTCGCATCAATCGGGGGAAAAGTAGCGCATCGTTTGCAGGTGTTTTTTAGCAACCGCCACGTGGTTGGCCGAGTCGTTCGACCGGCGGACGGGCACATCGTCGCTTCGGCGTCCACGTTAGAGGATAGGACGAGGATCGCGAGGAGGAAGATAGGAGACGAAGAAAATAATAATAGTAATAGTAGTAGCACTGATGATGAGAACAAGAGCAACCCAACAGAACAAAAAGCAGAGGGAAGAGAAAGACTCGCGTCGACGTCGGATAAAAGCGCGTGTAAACACATCGGGAAACTCTTAGCCGAACGATTGAAGAAAATCCAGTTAGATGCGATCAATTTCGAAGGCTTACAATCGAGCACGTCGAAAAAGAACGAAAAATACAGCGGGCGACGCGCGAGTTTCCAGCCGAAGAGGAAACGGTTCGGCGGGAAGCTCTCCGCGCTTCTGGAAAGTTTAAAAGAAAACGGCGTTGAAATTCACTAGGTAGAGAAGAAGAATTAAAAGAAGAATTACTTAAGCATCATCGTTTACGGTTACAGCTGTGCGTTTCCCTCCTTTCTCGCTTTTTCTCTCTCTTTCGATGGCGTTTGTCAGGCGTGTGCGTTGGTCCTTTTTCCCTCTCCTCTCGAAAGCTCTTGAACAGAATGGAATCGACACAAAAAATCATCTCTTCACGCGCAGCCCTTTGCGTGTAAACGAGAGAACGGAAGGAAGGCAGCAGCGATACGAAGAAAATGAACGAGTTCGAAGAGCTCGCGACGGAAAAGTCCAAGGAGAAGCACAAGAGAGAAAAAAAATTGAAGAAGGAGAAGAAGACGAAACGTGAGCGAGAAGAGGACGACGGCGCCGACGGCGAAGATGAAAGAAGAAAGAAACGAAAAGAGAAGAAGAGAGATAAAAACGATGATGATAAAAAGACAAACAACAACGACAAGAAGAACGGGGAAATGCACACGTTGTTTTTCGGTCAAATGCCGTTCGATACGAAAGCGAAGGATATCGCGCCGTGGTTGAAAGCGAACTTGAACAGACAAGGATGTGGACGAGATGTTGGGCAAATTCGAATGGCTGGAGGCGACGGCGAAGGGACGCCGGGGAAGCAGAAAAAGTTTAAAGGGTTTGCGTTCGTGGATTTTACCACCGCGAAAGCGGCGAAGAAAGCGATGAAGTTGCACGATACTCTGTTCAGAGGCAGACCGGTGACGGTGGAGAGATGCGAACGTAAGACGTATCAAGAACCGAAGTCGGTGAGACGCGCGAAAAAGGAGGAAGGGAAAGAAGTGAACACGAAAGAGGAAGGGAAAACGAAAAGAGAAGGATTGAAAGTGTTGACTGCACCAGATGATGTGGAGGTGGTGATTAAGCACGCGTGCGAGAATAGCGAAGGGACGTTGAGGGAGAGCGATTTCGACGATCGATTGAAGTCGTTTTTGGGTTTGCTTCCGAGAGACGTGTGCGAGAAAGCGGCGAACGAAATTCGCAAGTTCACGACGAATAAGAATAAGAAAGAGGTTAAGAATAAAGGAGCGTTTTATATGGGGATTGTGAGGAAGATTTCAAACGCGTGTTGGCAGAAAAAAGCGGCGAAGGATAGCATGGAAGAAAAGATAGAATAGATCTGAGTGATATGGAGTATTACAACAATATTAGTCCCTTTTGTTAATAAAAGTATATTTTTGCCGCGCTGTTTGTTCGTGTGCAAGTGAATGTATGTGTGTTTCTATTGTTTTTTTATACGTGTTCGTTGGAGACTTCGACGACTCTGGAAACGTACTCTTCTCCGTACGTGTACCCCACTCTTTCGATATCTTCTTCCAAAGCAAAAACAGCAACCGTTCTAGACGGGATGTACGCTTGGAAACTCGCCGGGCGACCGTTGTGCGCGGTAGAGTCTGCGAAGTAGCTGCCGTCGTGGTGCGTGGACAAGTTGTCCCAACCGCCAAACTCGGGGTTGTCCGAACTCAACACCAACTTATACTTACCAGCTTTCTTGCAACCGATGCGGTAGTCCGAGTACGAGTTGACTGGGTGCCAGTTGAAGACAAAAACGCAATCGCCTCTTTCGAACGCAATCATCTTGTCGCCGTCGTCTTTCAAGCTCGTGTATTGGTGGTCGCTCGCCATGTATTTGAAGAAACCAGCGACGCGGTTCATCTTCGCGTCAAACGCTTCCAAGAATTTGTATCTCAAGTGGTCTGTTTCAGGTAAATCAAAGCGTCTGCGGCACAAGTGGTAGGAGTTACCGTTACCCGGGATGAATTCACCGGTCGAGGCTTCCACGCGGTCGCCTCTGGGAAAATCAATCCACTCCGGGTGACCGAACTCGTTGCCCATAAAGTTCAAGTAGCCTTCGCCGCCCAAACCCATGGTGAACTGACGAATCAACTTGTGCAAAGCGATACCTCTGGTAACGACCGGCGAATCCGGCGATAACGTGGACATGTTCGTGTACATTTCCGCGTCCATAAGCCAAAACGCCGTCGTTTTATCCCCGACCAACGCTTGATCGTGCGATTCCGCGTACGAGATGCACTTCTCGCCATATCGGCGGTTCTCCATGGTAAACACCAAGTTGCCCATTTCCCAGTTTTCGTCCGAACCCCATTCGGATAAGACTTCGACCCATTTATCCGCGATGGCCATTTGTAAGCGATAATCGAAACCTACACCACCTTCTTGCACCGGTCGGCACAACGTGGGCATACCGGAGACATCTTCTGCAATGGTCGTGACCTTACCGTCGTACAAAGTGTGCAACATATCGTTCGCCAAGGCCAAGTACACCATGGCGTCCACATCCGTGGCCATGCCAAAATATTCGTCGTAATTACCCGTAAACGCAACTTGTAAACCGTGGTGTTTGTACATCATAGACGTGACGCCATCGAAACGGAAACCGTCGAATTTGAACTCTTCCATCCAGTATCGCAAGTTGGACAACAAAAATCTCATGACTTCCCACTCGCCGTAGTTGAAGCATCGAGAATCCCACATCCAGTGGTAGCCTTGCGGTCCGCTATGGAAGTATTGTCCGTCGGAGCCGTCAAACATGTTGATACCATCGGTAACGTTCGAAGAAGAGTGCGAGTGAACCAAATCCATCAAAACAGAAATACCCATGGAGTGCGCTTTATCCACCAAATACTTCAACTCGTCTGGCGTACCGCATCGAGAGGAAACGCCAAAAAAGTTCGTCACGTGGTAACCAAAAGACGCGTAGTACGCGTGCTCTTGAATCGCCATTAACTGGACCGCGTTGTACCCTAAGTTTTTAATTCTCGGCAAAACCTCATCCGCGAAGGCGATGTAGGAGTTGATTTTCGGCTCTCTCGAGGACATGCCGACGTGCGCTTCGTAAATTCTCAACTCTTCCGGAGCATCCGGTCTCGACCATTTCATTTCGTATTGCTCTTCTTTCGGCGGATCGTAGTAAATGCCATCGAAAGGAATGTTCCCCGGCGCTTGCACGGCGAACTTGATCCACGCCGGAATCTTGTCGACCCATGAACCGTCTTGCGTTTCCAAATGAATCTTCACTCTCGAGCCGTGCGGGATACCCGGCGACCCGTCCGCATTCGGCGGTACCGTCACTTCAAACACACCAAAATCGTTTTTGGTCATCCAAACTCCGTTCGCGTCGGTGGCCCAGTTGTTGAAGTCGCCAAACAAGCACGCCGATTTCGCGTTCGGCGCCCACTCTCTGTACGTAATCTCTCCGGTTTCCTCGTTTCTGTTGAAACCCATCTTCTCGTAGCCTCTGGAGAAACCTTCAATCCCTCCTTCTTCGTTGTCTTCGATCGCTTGTCTCAAGTTTTTGAATTTATCCCATCTGTGGCCCAGGTGGCCTTTGTGGCCCGCCAACGTGCCGTCTACCGCGCAAACGCCGAAACCGTCGCCTTCCAACTGCGGGAACTTGAAGCCGCGGTGTCTCTTCGGATCCTCGGTCAATACCGGGACGCCAAACGCGGAAACGGCGCCAGATCCGGCCGATTTTGCCGGAGCAGCAGCAGCGACCGGCTTTGGCGCCGTCGCAACCGCCGTGGCGGCAGCCACGGTCTCCTCTTCAGCCGCTTCCTCCTCCTCCAAACTCATGCGAAGCTTCTCGTTCTCCTTGGCGAGTTCTTCAATAGCTTGCGCGATGTCGTCGAGATCGACGTCATCTTCCGAAGCTTTAACGACGACCGAAGATTGACGACGACCAAAAGCGCGAGACGTGGTCGATCCTCCTCGTTGCTTCTGTTGCTGCTGCGCGCGCGTCTGTGCCCGTGTTTTGTTGGATGAAGATTAGAAACACGAAAAGTCAGTCTTTGAACGCTCCTCTAAAAAGATTAATGGATATGCGTGCGAAATTCACTCGCGAGTGCGACCACTCGCGAACGCGCACACTCGCGCGAGTTGAGCGCGTTTCCTCCTTCCCATCTTCCTTCGCGTAAAAGTGAAGCCAAACCTCGCACACAACCACATCTACCTCTCTCAAATGCGTAAAACTCGCGCGCATTTAGGCGCAGAAAATATCCGCGAGAAGAAGAACAAGATGGAAAAGAATAAAAAAAAACGAAAGCGAGAGAGAAAAAAAAAAACAATCACGCACCGCGATGCTTCGCGAGGACAACGCCGACGCTTGGAACCCTTTCGCGAGAAGAGAGGCGGAGGACATGTTTATATTCTCTTCTTAAGAGAATAAAAGGGGTACTTTTCGACGTTCGCGTGTGCGGTAAGTGTGAGGAAATTCGAATAGATTTGAGTAACTGTCGCTTTCAGTGTATGGTCTCTTGTGCTTCTGTTCAGAGCCACTAGTTTTTTTGCGACGAGGTTCCCTAAAAACAACCTTTGAGAGAGCGAGCGAACGAGAACCAAAAAACGAAGACGAAACACGAAAAACAGATTAAATTTGGATCGATTGGGTATCACACAACGCCTGTGATATCATTGTGTATATGGTGCTTTTCTCCACTCCTGTGTGCTTGTGCACACGTTTTTCGCACACGCACGCACACAAACATATCTTTTTGTTCCTCTCTCGCTCGTAAACTTTATCCCTCCGAGGAATAACTTTTCATCCCGCGAAACTACAATCGAACAACAGTCGTCGCGGAGAACAACAACAAGAACTCTAGACAGAGAGCGCAGGAGACGAAGAGAAGTGTTAAAGCGCGCTTGCAGAAGAGAGATTGGATTTAGAATTACTTTTTCCCTATTGGAGTTTCTCTCTATCTATCTATCTATCTCTCGCGCGCGCAAAACAGATTCAAAGCACGGACGCGCACCAGATACCGAAGATATCGTTGTTACTTTATCCGTCGTGGTCGTCGTCGTCTTACAACAAATCGTAAAAAAATGTGGAAACTGGTCTGCTCGGAACCAAATTTGGATGCCGAGAAGAAACTGCACACGTTGAACGCACACGTCGGTCGGCAAACGTGGGCGTTCGACCCGAACGCGTCCGAAAAGGACATCGAGAAGCAAAACCAACGCAGGAAAGAGTTTCGAGAGAACAGGTTCGTTCAAAAGCACAGCAAAGATGCGCTGATGAGAGACGCGTTCGATGCGCGACGGGTAGAGAGGAAGAGAGAGAGGAAAACGACGCCGCCGAGCGCGGACGGCGCAGTCGCGGACGAATTCGCGGTCGAGAAGGAAACGAAACGGGCGCTCAAAGCGGGCGTGGAGTATTACCAAGGACAACAACATCCAGACGGACACTGGCCGTCGGATTACGGCGGACCGATGTTTCTCATGCCTGGATTAATCATTGCGATGAAAATTATGAAGAAAGAGAAAGAGATGTTACCGGCGCACGTGAAAGTGGAAATGAAACGGTACTTGGAAAATCACGTCAACGAAGATGGCGGCGTTGGGTTGCACATCGAAGGACACTCGACGATGTTCGGTTCAGTGTTGACGTACGTCGCGTTGCGGTGTTTAGGTGAAGAGCTCGAATCTTCGGAAACGTTGAGGAAGATGCAAGAGTGGATTAAAGTAAGAGGCGGGGCGACGAAAACGCCGAGTTGGGGTAAGTTTTGGTTAGCGATGTTGGGATGTTACGAGTGGAAAGGTTTAAATCCAATTCCTCCCGAGTGTTGGTTGCTTCCGTATTGGTTTCCAGCGCACCCGGGGAGATATTGGTGTCACTGTAGGATGGTGTATTTACCGATGTCGTATTTGTACGGCAAACGCGCGCAAATCGAAGCCGGGAACCCGGTCAGCGAGGCGCTGAAGTTGGAATTGTACTGTCAAGAGTACGACACGATTAACTGGAACAAAGCCAGGAATGAATGCGCGAACGAAGATTTATATTACCCGCATCCAATGTTGCAAGACGTGCTATGGGGCACGCTTTCAAAAGTCGAACCTATTTTACTCCGTTCGCCTTTGCGCAAATGGGCGAACAGAGAAGCGCTGAAGCACGTGGTGTACGAAGACGAAAACACGCGATACGTGGACATTGGTCCAGTCAACAAAGTGTTCAACTGTTTGTGCAGATACTTTAGCGGCGACGCAGAAGGCGTGGAGAAACACATGCCTCGATTTTGGGACTATTTATGGGTCGCCGAAGACGGTATGAAAATGCAGGGATACAACGGCAGTCAACTCTGGGATTGCGCGTTTGCGGTTCAAGCGATTGAAGCGACCGGGTTGGCAAAAAACTTCAACGAGTGTTTGCGCGACGCCGCTAAGTATATCGACGACAGTCAAGTTAGAGATGACGCGCCGGAACTGAAGAAATATTACCGACACATCTCCAAAGGCGCATGGCCGTTTAGCACTAGAGACCACGGATGGCCCATTTCAGATTGCTCCAGCGAAGGTTTAAAAGCCGCGCTATCGGTGATGGATATGGAAGATCAAGGTTTGATTAAAATTGACCCAAAAAACAAAATAGCAGTCGATCGATTAGCGGATTGCGTAAATGTGATTCTGAGTTATCAAAACACGCAAAGATTTGGGTTCAAGCCTCAAGGAAGCGGCGGATGGGCGACGTACGAAAACACTCGAGCCGGTAAGTGGGTAGAAATTTTAAACCCGGCGGAGACGTTCGGGGACATCATGATTGATTATCCGTACGTGGAGTGTTCGTCGGCATCTATCCAAGCGATTTCCAAGTTCGCTAAACGGTTTCCGGACCACCCGATTGTGCCCCGCATTGAAAAAGCGCGCAAAAGCGGCCGAAACTTTTTGAAGAGCATTCAAAAAGAAGACGGGAGCTGGTACGGTTCGTGGGCGATTTGTTTCACCTACGGCACGTGGTTTGGTGTTTTAGGTTTGATTGCGACCGGGTCGACGTATGACACGTGCCCACACTTGCGTAAAGCGGTGCAGTTTTTACTCTCCAAGCAACAAGAAACCACCGGCGGATGGGGCGAAAGCTATCTCTCGTGCGAAAAGAAAGTCTATCATCAACTCTACGAAAAAGACGGGAAAACCGAGTTTGCGCATTGCGTCAACACCTCGTGGGCTATGCTTGCCTTACTCGCCACCGGTCAAGAGAAGAGAGACGCCGCGCCGTTGCGCAAAGCCGCCGCGTGCTTGCTCAAAAAGCAACTCCCAGACGGCGATTGGCCGCAGGAAAATATCATGGGCGTATTCAACAACAACTGCATGATTACGTACGCAAACTATAAGAACATCTTCCCGCTGTGGGCGTTGGGTAAATTCGCAACAAAAGAATAATACTGACAATAATAATAATGATAATAATTAAAACCAATCAATCACAAATACCACTTCACTCGTTCGTCCGCTTTCAACTTCGCCATAATATTAATCACCTCTTCCCCATTCATCAAAACAACCGTCATGTTTGCGCTGCAATACTTTCCGTTTTTACTCAAGTTACTCGTCACGTTTTCCGGATGCACTTTCCTCCCGTCGCCCAACGTATCTTCCACGAGTTTCACCATGTCTCCAACAAACTCCGGCGAGTTAACTCCAATGGCTTGAAATTTTCGCTCGCTCGGGTACGTGTTCACTTTCTCGTCCAACTCGCGCCACTCTTCGGACGTGCCCGGTCCCATCACCGTATTCGATCCCCCGCCGCCGCCTAACGAAGCAGCCGACCCACCAGGCGGCGGATGTGCCGCATTCTCCACGATAACATCCGGCTGTTTCCTCTTGTTCTTCTTGACCAAATTTTCCCTTTTTGAGATTTTATCCAGAGCTTCGATCAGTTCGTTTTGCGGTTTCGATTCGTCCGTGTTGTCGTTCTCGTTCTTCGATGAAGAAGAGTCCGAGGACGCTCGAGGCGTCGTCGTCGTAAATTTCATCACCATCGCCCTTTTCCCGAAGATTTTGGAATGTGAAAAGCCTTTGAGCGTTTTGGACGACGAGTAAGACGACGAGTAAGAACTCGACGAAGACGACGAGTAAGACGTGGCCACGCGAATGGCGAGTTGTCTGGCGACCGAGTGCATTCTTGTTTTTTCTTCGTGTGTGTCGTTTGCGGTTGTGGAATTGTGTTGAATTTTATACAAATTTGGCTGCTCTTTGACGGTTGCAAAGAATCTCGATTTTACGCAAGCGGACGGTCTCTCCCTCTCGCTTCTTCCTCTTCTCATCTCGATACCGACGAGGAGGGTTTCTTACTACTGTTATCTTTATTCGTGTTATTAGTATACCTTTTCTTCTTTTTCTCCTGATTGTTCAACTTGATCTCAGCCGCGGTTTTCTTCATCCCGTCTCTGCTCTTCTCTTCTCTCACGGCGAAGGAACCGACGTTGCATCCTTGGACGTTTCCGTTTTTGTCTTTGACTTTCCTCAACTGCTCGTACGCGTCTCGAGAGGATATTTCTCCTCTGAGCAACTTCTCGTACGTGTGTAAGAGCAAAACAGTTTCGTTTTTATCCGTATCCACGAGTTCAATTCGGTAGTTCTTTATGTTTCCGATGTTTATCCAATCTTGAACAAACATGGCGCCGGATTGCGCTTCGGCGTTGAAGACGGTGTTGCGACAGCCCATGTCCGCGAGAACTAAATGGTCTTTGCCGTTCGAGTCGCGCAATCGCGCGTCGTTTGTTTCGCACGGGTGGCCGCAATCTTTGTAGCTGTTACCATCGGAGAGGAAACGGCAAAAGACGCAGTGCTCCGTGTGGAAGATTGGGAGATGGCAGTGAAGGATGATTTCGATTTTCGAGGCGGCGGTTTGCGGAGGAAGCGCGGCGGCGAGGTTGCGGATTTGGCGCGCGTTTAGGTCGTGCGTTAACGCCAAACGCTCCAGGTTGAACCTTTCCAGGAACGTGGAGGTGGTGAGAACATTTGCGGCGTTCAAGCTGAAATCGCCGCGAAGTCGCGGATAGGTTTTCCCTTCTTCCGCTTTTTCCGGGATCAACTCGTTCAGTTTGCGAAGTAGGCCCGCGGACCGAACTAAAAGGGCGTCCGCGTTTAAGCTTAAATAAAACCGCCACAATTTTTCCTCGTCCGGTTTCAACACGCGCGGAGTCGCGACTACGGCTTTTTTACCAGCTTCTTGGATTTTCTTCACCGCGTCGCGTAAACCGTGGACTTCCAAGAAATCGGCTTGAATTTCGTCCAAGAAATCAAACGCGCAACACGTTTCGACTTGTTCCATCGTTCGGCAGAGCACGGTAAGTTTAGGCTCGTCGTCCGGAGACGATTTTGTTGTCGGAACATTCTTTTCTCTTGTTTTTGACGCGATTGCCGTCGGCGTGCCCCACCATTTTTCAATTTCATTTTTGTACATTTGGTCTGAAACGCTCACGTCGTCGCTCGCCATCGCTTCCGCTTTCACCGCGCCCATGTTGCGTCGTTTCTCCAGCAACATTTCGACCGCTTCTCTTCGCGCTTTCTTGATTTCGCCGGCTGGAACGAAGATGTTGTTCTCATCGGTCTCAGTCTCCGAGAAGAAGAGTTTCTTGCAGTCGATGTTCTTTTCATCGTCGAGAAAAAATGGCGTTCCTCCTAATTCGCCGATCGTTTTTGCGATGGATTGAAAATCAATCGGTTGTTTCTTCGCCTCTGAAATGTGCACGGACGTCATCGCTTCGCCAACGTTTCCTAACGAATCGTACAAAGCGATCTTCAAAGGCGCATCGCGCGATCCAGAGACTATACAAACGACGTCATCGCGCCCATCCGCACTCGGCGACGCGGACGATGCCGTCGCCACTACCTCTTCCTCGCTCTTCTCCTTCTTGCGATGTTGCGCCTTCTTCTCGCCGGACGTCGTCGACGTTCGCCACACGATATTCCCGGGTCGAATTTTCTGGTAATCCATTGAGTTCCTCGCAAATGCCAAAGTTACAAACTCGCTCGAACACATCTCGCTCGAGTCCACGTAACTCCCTCTTTCGTCGAAGATTTCGTAAATGAAACCGCCTTGCTCGTCGAGTTCCGGCGCGCCGTCATCAAACACGACGCCAAACCCGCGCTTCAAAACGCCATTGATGGAAGAGCTATCTTCTTCGTTGTTGTTGTTAGTCGTTGTTGTTGTTTGTATCGTCACTCGTTCTTTCTTTGCGTCTACTTCGACCACTCGCCCGGCGAATACGCCTCGATGCCTCGGATTTCGCCCTCTCACAATCGTTTGATGCCGAGTGCCCTCTAAAAAACCAGTCGTTAACCCGTCAAAGTGTTCGTCTTGCGCACGAGCAAACACCTGTCGCAACTCCAATCTCGACTCATCCGTCAACAACTCCTTCTTGGACACATTTCTATTCTCCCACGCTAAGTCTACCGCTCGCCGATACGCCGCCGTCGTCAACCCGACGTACTCTTCGCCTTTCAATCGCCCTTCAATTTTAAAGCATGACACGCCGGCGTCGATTAATTGCGGAACTAAATCTACCGCCATTAAATCTTGCGGACTTAAGAGATACTTCTCGTCCCCCATCGCTTTAATTTCCCCGTTCACTACAAACCCGTACGGCATGCGACACGCCTGCGCGCATTGCCCTCGATTCGCCGACCTCCCGCCCCACGCCTCGCTCGAAAAGCACTGCCCGGAATAACTCACGCACAACGCGCCGTGCGTAAACGCTTCAACCGTCGTCTCCGGTGACTTCTCCACCACCGTTTTTATCTCCTCAATGGATAACTCCCTCCCGACGACGACTCTCTCGCACCCAATCTCCTTCGCGAACATGGCGCCGTTCGCATCCGTGATCGACATCTGCGTCGATCCGTGCACTGCCATGTTCGGCGCCACCCGTTTCACCAACCTCGCCGCGCCCACGTCTTGCACAATCATCGCGTCCACGCCATTTGTCGCGCACGCTCGTATTAAGCTTTCGCATTCCGTCAATTCATCGTCGAATACGAGCACGTTCATGGTCACGTACCCTTTCGCGCCTCTTTCTCGTAAAAAATCCATCACTTTAGGCAACTCCTTCACGGTGAAATTATTCGCTCGCGCTCGTGCGTTTAAAAGCTCCAGGCCGAAGTACACGCAATCCGCGCCGTTTTTTATCGCCGCTTCCAGTTGTGGCCATCCACCCGCTGGGGCGAGAACGTCTGGTTTCTTCTTCATCGTCCTTTTCCTTTGTTCGTTGTGCACCACGTCGTCGTCGTCCAATTCGTCGCCGCCGCTGTACAAGTCTGGATTTTTTCTCATCTTTTCCCCGTCGTCGTCGTTTACTCCATCGTTCGACGATGATTTCGCTTCGGTGGTGGTCGCGCGAGAATACCGCGCGCTTTTTTTCCTCCTCGGACGAAAAAGACGAGGAGGACGGGCGATTGGCGACGACGTGAGCTGCGCTAAAGTCATCGTCATCATCCCTCTAAAACGGTTAATTTATGACGCACATTCTCCATAAAACGCGCACATACATACACATACGTTTGCGCCAAAACGCACGAAAAATGCGTCGAGCGTTGCGAACGCTCGAAGAGTCCGTCCGAAACGTCGAATATCTCGCACCTGCGTATATTTTGCGAGAAGAAAATGCAACTTTTGAAGGGGACAGAGTCTTCCTCGATTTGGTTAAAAAGACGACGGCGTTCCTTTCCCGGAAACGGAAAAGGAGCGCGAGGAGTACTCTTTTCGTGCGATTTACGACGCAGAAAACACTCGTAGAGGAACAGTTGAAAGAAGTAAAAGAGGGCGTTGTGGTCGTCGATGCGAACGAGTTTGTTTTTGAGAGAAGAAGCGGCTTTGATTTCGGCTTTGAGAAGGAGGAGGAAAACGAGAACGCTTTGGAGAGACTGTTGGGGAAATTAGGGGAGATTCTGAACGCAGACGCACGTGAGACGAAGAGAGACGAAGAAGAAGCAAAATCGCTTTCGCCAAGAAGAACGACGACGGGAGAGTTGGGAACGGACAAAACGGATGCGATTAGGAATGATAAGAGTAACAACACCATCCCCCGATCCGGGATATTTGGATACGCGTCGAAGGATTCGGAACATCAAACGGTGGTGTTTCTCGACGACATTTCGTGCGTGAGTTTTATATACGGCGAACAAAGCGTCGTTCGGTTCGTTCGAGCGGTGCAACGGATGTCGCGAGCGAGAGGGGTGGTGGTGAGAGAACGAGTTTTTTCTTCTTCTTCGACGACGACGGCGACGAATGGCGGCGGTAACGAGAGAAGCAGCAGTAGGAGGAGTAGACGACGGAGGAGTGGACGCAGCGCGGCGAGCGATGTGCTCGCGAACGATGCGAGCTGTTCGTGCGCGATGACGCTTTCCAGGCAGAGTAACGGTAGGATTAGAAGTAAAGGTGGAAGCGGTAGAAAAACGCTCTTCACGGCGGAAGCGAAACGAGGCGCGACGAGGAAGACCAGAGAGACAGACGTCGTGCAGTTCGTAAAGGTTCCCAGTAGCAGTAGTAGTGGTACTACTACTAACCAATACATAGCTTTAGAGTATACCTCCATAGACGACGCGTTACGGAACGAAAAGGATATCCAGAAAGCGCGAGAGCGTTCCCGAACGGAAAAATTGGCGGACAAACTCAACAAGTTTTCCACGTTCAATTTAGGCATCAACGCGACGAACGGGGGAAACCAACGCGAACGAGACGCTAAACGCAACGTCAAACTCGCGTACCAACACGAAGGAGGAACGACAGCAACAAATGACATCATCGCGACCACGACCGCGACGGCATCGAGGACCCACGCCGAAACCGCAACCTTCCGCCAAACGCTCCCTCGCGACGCCGGCGGTCTCCTCGGCCGCGCCGGCCAAGGCCACGGCGAGAAGATCAAAAACTTGCTCGAATACGAGCGAGACGAAACCGATGAACACGATTACGGATCTGGTGTCGATACGGATGAAGAGATTGATGATTTAGATGACTTTTAATGCGCATTTAACCAAATCCTCATAAAAATGGCATCTCACTCCTAAACGTACGAAAACTGTTATGGGCATAGACAGCACGACGGAAACGTTGGAATCTTACTTCCATCCGGATTCCTCCAAGGATATGAAGCTTCAGGAACGGCAAACGGTTGTTGTCGTCGTTTTTCTCATTTTAGTCATAGGTGGGTTTCTCTTTTACATCGTCGCGGAAGTCGCCGAGCGAAGACTCTCCGTCGGGGGAAATGTTGCGATGAAAGAGAAATTATCACCGACGCCGAAAAATGCGCCGATGAATAGGTTTCGAGACAATAATAACACGAAGAGAGGTGGGAGGTTAGATACGAGCGTTCTGAGGACGAACGCGGCTGGGACGGACGTGATCGTGTGATGCATTTTTAAGCGCATAAAAGAGCAATTCTTTTCGTAATAAGCAAAAGAGTAGGTGTTGGTGGAATAGGAGCTCCAACGCGACATTTAATACGAACCGCGGTAGAGTACCAGTAATATCGGTACTGTGTGTAATTTAAATAGTAGTAGTAGTATGACTTTGTGTTTTAAAAGTGGTCTCAGTGTGTGTGTGTGTGTGTAAATGTGTGTAATAATTTAAGCGACTCTCGCGTCTCGCGTCAAGTCTCTCGGGAGGGCGAAACGTTACACTCTCGCCCTCGCTTTCACTCACTTACTTACTCACATGTCGACGCTGTCCCGGGTAAAGCCGGGCATATCGAACGCCTCGGCAAAGGCCTCGACTTTTCCCTTCAACGCCGCGACTTCTTTGCTTCCGTCGATGCCTTTCTTCCAGTCTACCAATTTCTTACCGTGCGTTTCTTGCGCGTTCAAACCGATTTTCGCGGCTTCGTCCAAGAATACGGCGATTTGTTCGAAATCCTTTTCCACCAAACCGCGACTGGTCATAGCGGGCGCGCCAATGCGGCATCCACCCGGGGTCAAAGCGCTCGCGTCGCCAAACACCGCGTTCTTGTTCAACGTGATGTGCACGGAATCGCAAATGTATTCCATCTTGGATCCGGTTAAACCGTTCGGTCGCAAATCCCACAACACCAAATGGTTCTCGGTACCACCGGTGACCATGGAATACCCTAACTCGATCAATTTCTTTGCCAACGCGTCCGCGTTTTTCTTCGTTTGCACTTGATACTTTTTAAACTCGTCGGTTTGCGCGTGCTTCAACGCGACGCACAACGCGGCGATTTGGTGGTTGTGCGGACCGCCTTGTAAACTCGGGAACACGGCGTTGTTAATTTTCCCTTCGAACGCTCTCTCGTCTCTTCGAAAGAAGATCATACCCGCTCTCGGTCCTCTCAAGGATTTGTGTGTCGTCGTCGTCACCACGTCGCAATACTCAAACGGCGACGCTTGCTCCTTGGCCGCGACCAACCCGCTAATGTGCGCCATATCCATCATCAACATCGCCCCGCATTTATCGGCAATTTCCCGAAACCTCTTATAATCCCAATCTCTCGGGTACGCGCTTCCACCACAAATCAACATCTTCGGTCGAAAATCCATCGCTTTTTCCTCCAGCTTCTCGTAATCGATGTACCCGGTCTCGTAGTTCACCTTGTACGGTAAACTCTCGAAGAAAATCGACGTCGCGGAGATCTTCTTCCCGTGCGCGGTGTAATACCCGTGCGTCAAGTGTCCTCCACTTGGTAAATCCAAACCCATAATTCTATCGTGCGGTTGTAACAAAGCCACGTATACCGCCATATTCGCCGGCGACCCGGAATACGGTTGCACGTTCACCCCCCACTCCTTCTCGCTCAACCCGTAGGCTTTTAACGCTCGATCTTGACACTCCATCTCGATCAAATCGATGTTTTCGTTCCCGCCGTAATACCTCGCGTTCGGTTGTCCTTCTGAATATTTGTTCGTGCAGCACGACCCTAACGCTTCCATCACCGGCGAGGAGGTGAAATTCTCCGAGGCGATGAGTTCTATCCCTCGGATTTGCCTCAGCTTTTCTTTTTGGATGAGTTGGTAAATGAGAGGGTCGGCGGATTTTAAACTTTGTAACGCCTCGGGGAATACTTTCTCCATTTTTACTTATATCTTATATTATTTTGTTGCGTTGATAACGCTTCGTTGTTAACTCTTCTTTCTTTTCTTTCTCTCGAAAAGGCGTCGCGTGCTCGTTGTCGCGCTCCGTCGTTGTTAAATGTTCGCTTTGAGGGAAATATTCAAAAAGCGATCTTAAAAGAGGGGGCTCAGTATTTAGGGTTTTTTACTTTTTTCTCTCTCTCGTAACGCCTCCTTTGATTTACATCTCGCATGTGCGTTTTTTTCCATCACATGCAAAGATGACGACTTCGCTTCTTCTTCTTCTCGGAGTTTTCCAACTCGTCGTCGTCGCGGAAGGTCGAGAGAAAAAAGGCGCGTTGTTATCGAATTTTCAAGGTTTAGCGAAATGTCGATACGACCAACGCGTGGCGTTTCCGAGAACTGAAGAGGAGTTGAAACGAATTCTTTTGAGACGGGATGTCAAAGTAATCCGCGCGGTGAGCTCGGACGCGCACTCGTGGAACGAGAAGTTTTGGTGCGCGAGAACCACCGACGAGGAAGAGGAAGAGGAAAGGAACGTGAATATTTTTATGAACGAGGTGAGAGTGGTCGAGGAGGAACAAAGTCGCGCGCGCGTGTTCGATAAGAGAGAATTGAAGGCAAAAGTTACGGTGGATGCGGGAGAGAAAATGAGAACGATGCTTGAATATGTCGCGGAGGAAGGGTACGCGTTGAAATCTGTGCCTTGGTTTATAGATCAAACCGTTGGAGGCGCGCTCGCGACGTGTTCGCACGGGTCGTCGTTAGCTTTTGGTTCGTTGTCGTCGCAACTCGTGAGTCTGCGAACGATGCTCCATAACGGAACCGTGGAAACGATTTCGGAAAGGACGCACGGGAGAGATGTTATGGACGCGTTTCGGTGTCACGTGAATCAACTCGGCATTACGTTAGCGGCTACGTTCGAAATTTTCAAGCAAGACGAGGTTCACAGAATGAACCGATTCGTGAGCGAAGACCACATGCTCCAAGAAATTGAAATGATCAGCGCCGCGGTGAGGAGGTGCGTTGACAACGGGATGGATTGGTGGCATTCATGTGCCATGCGGCGCTCTGCCGTTCGCAATATGGATGACTTATCTTATTATTACTACGTTCCGACGAGAGACGCGCAACGCGTGAAGATTCGCAGAGTAATCACTGACTTTTCGAAAAGAACAAGTGGTGATGATGATGATGATGATGATGATGATGATGATGCGAACGAGGATGATTTCTTATTCTCGTCGTCGTCCTCACCTGCGCGAGTGCTAGATGAGTATTATTTCAAAGCGTCGTCGGTAGACGCAGCAAGCGCGTCAGCCCAGAGCGTTTTAAATCCGAGTTCCATTCGGAATCGTTTGATGCAAAACGACGATCTCGTCTCGGTGTGGACCAACTTATGGCAAGACGCTCTCGAACCCTCCTTACAAAGTATCGTCGCTTCAAACGCAAGCGCATATCTCGCGATGACAGAAGAACAACTCGATCGAAACGACAATTATCCGTTCGATCAAGCAGAGCTCGCCGTGCCTCTGGCCAACGCGGGCGAGTGTTTACGCGGTTTCTTAGATAGCATAAGTGAACAAAGGCAAAAATATTGGAGAAGTCCAATATTAATACGATTCTTAAACGCGGAAAGCGCGTTATTGTCCCCGGCGCATGCGCGACCGAGCATGTACGTAAACATTGAAAACTACAAGAGAAGCGAAGAAGGAAAAGCCGCGTTCCGCGACGCGATTCGTTATTTAGCGTCGAAAGAGAAGTGCGATGGAAGGTTGCACTTTGGCAAGTTCGGCTGGGAGGACGTTGAGACGTACTCTCTGTACGAAAAATACGGGAATGCGTATTGTAAATTTCTTTGCGTAAAAGACAGATACGATCCATCGAGGCGATTCGAGACGCGAGAGATGAGTCGTATTTTCGAAAGGGATCTCGATAAATGCCTTCCACGTGCGTGCGATTAGTGCGTAAACTAACTAAAAGTACTATACTACAAATACAAATCTATAGAATAAACGAATCTACTCATCTATTTTTAAAGCGTCTGTTAACGACACACGCGGACCATTCCATCCGAAGACAAAGCGACAAACAATCGACTTCGCGGTAATATTTGAATCGCACGTAAAGCGCTGTTGCCGTCATCGTACAAACTCATCGTTTCTACTTTACTCGACATTTCGTCATCTGCCGCGCTCGAGTCTTCCGCATCGAATACCCCAATACCATTTGCTACCGTCGCGATGAAACAACTTTTTGAGTCAAGCATATCGAAATCGCATATTGCGTTCCCTTTCGCGCGATGTTTGTTCTTATCGCTGGAAGACATTTGATGCGCGCGAGCATCGCTCGGCGGAACGTGAAACGAACGAACTCTTGCCGTCGAACGCGATGAAAATTTCCTCGCGTCCCATACGTTCACAATACCGTCGTTTGAACTCGTGATGAACTGGAAGTTGCTCGTACCTTGATGATTTTCTAAACATCGCACTCGTGTGCAATGGTCGTCGTGCGCTTGGAAATTCGCAAACACTTTACACGTTCTGGCATCGATGGCGGCGACGGATCCGTTCCCGAACGAGCAAAAAATATTACTGGCACCGTTACACTCGATAGAACGAACGCGCGCGTTCGCTTCTTCTGATAGCACATGCGTTCTCGTAAACGAACCAGTCTCGCAATCCGCAATGGCTATGGAACCTCGCAAAGTACCCGCGACCAAGGTGCTTAAATTCGAGTCGTGCGCTAGGCACGAAAATCCATCGCGCCTGGACAGGAGGGACTTGTCCCTCGAACGCCATAGCGTTGGGCATTCCGCGCCGTCGTTGAATTCGTCGCTATCGATGTCGTCGTAGATGGTATCGTCGAAACTGTTGTTGGATGACCTTTTGCTTACTTTTGCTAAAAACAAACTCAAATAACCAGCGTCGTCCGCCGTCGCTATCGTCTCACCTTGCGGATCGAGAAAACATCCAGCGCGGATATTTGCATCTGGTTCATGAATCGCGAAAGGCGCTCGAAACTGCAAAAACGAAGTAGCGTTTGCGATCGACGACTCTTTATTCTTTGGGCTCGCGCTGATGTACCAAATCCGACACGCCGTGCCTCTTCTCAAGCCGCCGCGATAGTGCGCGCCGCACGTCAAGACTCTCGTTTCAGACTCGGAAACTCGTAAAGCGCCGTTCCCGTCAAAGAAATCGTTGTTGTTCCCATTTACTCTCGAGTTATCGCTTGTTACTGATCGCGAATAAATTTTTGCGTTCGAAGATTCGCGGTTTGGCATTTCGATTGACTTCCGAGCATCGACGCCAAAGCCTCTCGAATGCGCTCTCCACTTGGCGAGCGTTTCTAAACGCACCACCCAAGGTTTCGTACTTTCATCGCGAAAAAATCCAATTGATGAAGACAATAACGCGCTTGGACTGTTGGAAGAAGCAACGCTGTCTCCGGGTAAAAATATCCACGGTCCACGGTTTCGTATTTTTACGACCGCTTCGTCAATCTCCTCTTCTGAATCGTCGTCGGCGTCGTCGGCGTCAATATCCGCGATGCCCGAATCTCCACCCGTTGCCACATACCTCTCCAACGATAAGAGCGCGATTTCTCTGGATTTCTTCCGTTCAATCTTCTTGACGTTCTCTTTCTGTGCATTCGTCTCCGTTGTCGAGAGTGACATGAACTCGATGATGTCGAGGTGCGCGGGCAATCGACGAGCGTTGCGAATCATTTCAATCGCCTGTTTCGCTCGGTCGACACCATCACGATTCACGGAATTTTGTATCAATGAGATCAACGGCGCGACGACGATCCGGAGTAAGACTGGCATACACAACCGCGAGATGATTTGCTCTAGAACAGCCATGGAAGCTGTGAATTCTTCCTCGTTGACGTCTGTTCTCGGAGAAGTAGCGATTGAAAGCACCGAAGGAAGAATTTTCTCCTCGAAATCGTAATCAGAACACACGGCAGAGGCAACGGAGGTCAAGACAGCCGGATGCAGCAATTCTCTGCGGAAACTCGGTCCTTCTTCATTGATTCGGTAAATCATTTCTTTAGCCGAGGAACCACCCTTTCGAGACGAGACGTTTTCGTTGGCACCCGATTCAAGACACTCAGAATACTGTGCCAACAATACACGCTTGGCCAGAATGTTTGGTTTTCGGAGAATATACATGCTTATATTCGTTGCCGTCATCATCGATGACAATGTACGAGATATGTGTTCTAATGCACACAAATACTCCGCGCAGCTTTGAAAAAGTGACGCAGCCGTCATTGCGCGCTCCATGCTCCTGCGCGAGTATTTTTCGAGATGCGCTTTGGAAGCGCACGCGATGGCGTGCATGCTTTCTTCGACGATAATAGACGCGTGAATAGTCGCCGCTTTGAACGATTGAACAGCATTTCTATCATTACCGATATCTTTGAGACTTTGTATTGCTCGACGTGCGATTTCATCGCACGCGACTAAGCGTTTCGTAGACCCAAGTCTAGAGTCATTTCGCACTTTTCTCAAATCCTCCAACGCTTTCGCATTCAAGAATGCGTCCAACTTCAGAATCTCTTTTGCACTCGGCGGTGTCTCATCGAAGATGAGCTTCTCGATCAGATCTGGTATTTCGTTCGAGTCATCTATTGCGTCCAATAACACGCGCATTTCTTCTCTCGTATCGCTCTCCAGATTAAAATCGTTAACATCGACAAACGCGCCGAGCGTGTCCACCAGCGCTCGTTCGCGAATCTCGCGAAAATGCTCCGGAATATCTCGGTTGGTGAATATAGTGAACAAAGCTGCGCCTAAGGCTCTGAGATCATTTATTTCTGATGCATTCTTTTTACTCGTTTTCTCAGGTGTCGTGAGCGCGTCGACGTACACCTCATCTTGCGATTCGTTCAAATCGACGTTGCGATATTTCTTCAACACGTCTTCGTACTCCTCGTCGTCCTCGTCTACTTCCTCTCCGTCTCCGTTTAAACTTATCGCGCGTAAAGGACTATTTCGCGTTTTACGCACTGGATGCGGGTATCTGAACACTTTCGTGCGTCCGTATGCGAGTAACTTCCCATTATCTTCACCGACTTTACACGTGTTCTTTGCCTCGACTGCACTTGGATTATTGGACGCCGTGCCGACTTGATACCCAAAATGTACATCAAACCACGCGTGTAACCTTTTGCTCACGAAATCAGACTCTAAGCAGCTCCTGTGGATTCGTACGAATTCGTCCGCGTCGCCGGAGGACGAAATCCACGCGGGGACTTGTAAATCGTGCAAGCCGTCTTCAATCAAGGACGATTTGAAAATGCTCGGGTCGTAATAAAATCTCGGTAAACATTCATCCGGCGTCGTTTCAAAAACACGCTGGATCGATTTCGGGTACTCGTTCGGTTCCCAGTCTGGTCGGACAAATTTTTGAAGCATAGCTTTCGATAAGTTCCTTGCCGATTGAACGCACGCTCCGAGTTCTGACATTGAGGGGTCGTCGAGAAGATGGTAGCCAAAGTTTACGAACGATCGATCGAGCATTTCATCTCCTTTCATGAGTCGCGCTTTCGTTTTCGTGAGATCTCGGTAACCGAATAAGGGTTTATCTTCATCGTCGTCATCGTCTTCTGCAGTACTTCTCCATGCTCTTTCGTTCATGGAGGAAGAGAAAGGATGCTTCGAAAAATCGATGACCCACGGCATGAACGCGTGAAACCGAAAATCGCCTTCGCGGCGTCCGGAAATGGCGTTGATGCGCGAAATGTATTCCAGATTTGAAATCGCGCCTAGCCGCCACGCCGCGGTTAATCCACGCAAGTTTCGTCGGTCTTCCTCCATCGCGTCTTCCTTATCTCTTTCCTCTCTGTTTTCGACGCTGTGTGTTGGTGTCGACGTGACTGCGTGGTTGCTCGCGCGAGCGAGCGCGCCAATCTCAATCAAAGGCGTCATCGTTAATTCCACGTTTTTCTCGATGGCTTCTTTCGCCTTGTCTTCATTGATCGAGCAATTCTCTAAACCAACTCTTCCGCGCATGTGTAATCCATTCTCGTGCGTGATGCTCAACCCTTCCACGAGTTGCCTCGCAATCAAACACCTCCTCGATTTCGAGTCGCCGAAAACCGACGGTGAAAACTGCGCGCACGTTCGCAAAGTGTGCGCTCGATGCGGGTACACTAAAAAGAGCGCCCGTTTACAGCGCGTCTCCAAACACGCCACCGGTATTCTCAACGTTCCTTTATTCTTATTTTTATGCTTCGCGCGCAATATCTCCTCTTCAAACGCACTCGGCGTCGCAGTTTTTACTCCTGCATTGTGACTCTTATCGTCGCATAACTTCGCGATGGCTACTTTCGCGTCGCGAATGCGCTCTTCGCCTACGATAATCTCCACGTCGAGCAGCGCGTCCTTTTTCTTCTTCTCATCAGCACCATTCTTCTTAGTATGCGCACTCGTCGTTTCGCGCATACTCTCACCAAAATTGTCGTCTTCGATGTCGTCCTCGTCTGAATCGTCGTCCTCGTCGTTCCCATCCTCGCCCTCTCCCGCGTTTCTTCCTTTTCCTCCTCCTCCTTCAATACTCTCCAGGTGTTCCAAACACAACCGTTTCGGATTGGTCGTTGATATCACGCACTTTATTCCAACTCCGTTCGGCAGCAAAGGTTCGACCAGGGATAGAATTTCTCTCTCCGAAAGCATCGTCGTCGTCGTCATCTTTGCATTATCCTCGCGCTTTTATCTCCTCCTTCATCTTCACGCACACGTTCAGAATCAAAAACATCGCTCCGGAAAGAATCAAAACCGCCAGAATGTTTTTCTGGATGGTACACAATCGTTCTCGCCGTTCTCGGTTTCGTATTAAAAGCTGATGATTATTCCTTTTATTCAGAAGAAGAATTTCCTGCGCTCCCTTTCCTTCAATTTCACCGGACGCGAACGCAGAGGACGATGAAACAGACGATGATGGTTTTGCCGCGCTCGATGCAAAAGCCATTCGCGTCGTTTTTTTGTCTCTGGTGTTTGTTTGGAGAGAGAGACGTGCTTTCTCAATTCCTAAACCCTACACCCTAAACAATAAAGAAGCAAAAATGGAAAGCAACGCTTTCACATAAAACACACATGAAAAGTTTCTCTTCTGTTTGTTTGTTTGTGTCTCTCTTTTGCCGTTCTCTCTCTCTCTCTCTCTCTCTCTCTCTCTCCGTCAAAGTCTTTGGAAGTTTGGAAGCGCACACTTCTTTTGAAGAGGAGGAATTGAGGTTTCTTCAAACGAGATCTCTCGAGCGGCTTCGTAATAACAAACTTTATTGTTAAAGGAGGTCTTCTTTATTGGAAATTCCCCTAATTTAAAGAGACTGCTTTTGAAGGAATACGAGTATGAGAAACAGACTGCAACGCGCGCTGTCCTCCTCCAAGAACGAGAAAAACGACGGGTTCGAGGGTGGTGGTGGTGGTGGTGAGAAAAACGGGGGGACTTTGAGTCGAGAAGGGGGTTTCGAAGATGATGAGGATGAGGATGATTTGCAAAGGGTAAATCAACAAAAATCCTTAACAGGAGGGTCGCCGAAACGGAATCGAGGACCGAAGAAAATGGTAAGGAAAACCATCGAGAAGACGAAATCGGTGGCGAGGAAACGAATCACGGGAGATCCAAACTATCGGATACGAGATTTTCTGAAAGTTCCAAAGACGATCAAGACGGTGGATAAAGTCGCGTTCTTCTCGGGCGTGTTCGGGTTGTTAACCACGGAAGCGGTGGCGGTGAAGTATCCGGAAAAGTTTTGGGTGTTTTATTGCTACGCGATGCCGATCTTACTGTTAACGAGGATGGTGTATTACGTGCAACTCAAGTGGCAATACTTTATGATGGATTTTTGCTACTTTTCGCACGCGGCAACGATGTATTTTCATTTGTACGATTACGGGAACGTGAAATTGTACCGAACTATTTTTACGTTTTCGAATGGACCGATATTGATTGCGATTCCGATTTGGAGAAATTCGCTCGTGTTTCACTCGTGGGATAAAGTCCAATCGGTTTTTCTTCATTTATGGCCGGCGGTATTGACGTGGTGTGGACGATGGTACGGCCATGGCGACGACGAGAAAAGATTGGACGTCGCCGAGTTGACCTTGGACGCGTATAAACACTACACGAAGGAGTTTTGGATTTACCCGATGACGTTATACATCGTCTGGCAGGTAGCGTATCTCATTAAAACGGAAATCATGGACGCGAAGAAATTCCGAGATGATCCGGAACTCGTCACCTCTTTGCGTTGGATTTCCATGCACACGAAAAATCGAAAGAACGCGTGGACGTTGAAACAATTCCGCAAAATCGGTTTCTTTGGTCCAGACGAAGAGTACTCCCCGGACAGCATAAAAACCAAATTTGTGTTCGTCTTCATGCAATTCATCTACACCACGATAACCTTCGTCGTCGGCACGGCGTGTTACGTCAACTTTTACGTGCACACGTTCATCATTTTACTCTGTTTCAGCTTTTGCGTTTGGAACGGCGCGACGTATTACATCGAGATTTTCAGCAGTCGATACCAACAGTACATCTCCGTCGCCGAGGAAAGGGAAAGAATAACACGAATGAGCTCCGAAGACTTAGCCTTAGGAGGAGACGAAGGAGAACAGCAGCAGCAGCAAAGGCCTTTAGATGATTTAGATCGCATATTGAAGCATCCCAGGTGATGATGCGAAGCGTGTACTACTAGTTTTGTGTGATTGTTGAGAGACTTGTACCAAGAGAATTTCTTCATTTTAGATATACACATGACACGATTTATCATCACGAAACGCTTCGCCTTTTTCTAAGAGCACAAAACGGGGACAAGGAAATGGTCGACGACGACGCTTTCCTTGGAGCTTTGTTCGCGTCTCTCACGATTTTGCACGCTTCGGGGGAAGAGATGTCTGCATTGGAAACACTTTCGGTGACCAATCGACGCTTTTTTATGACGAGGAAAGCGCCATCGAACGAGACCTCAAAAGCCGCAAAAGAAGAAGAAGACAAAGAAGAAGACAAACGACAACAACCGAAACCGTTCGATAAAGTTTCCGATGCCGCGATTCGGATGTTTTATGCGTTGAAGGAGATGCAAGAAGAAGATGATGAAGAGAAAAAAAGTTGTCTCGTCAAATTAACATCGAACATGGGCACCGAGCGAACGTTCGCGACGCCGAGTTGTTTTGCTCAATGTTTACTGGAATTCATGAATAATGAAACGCAGAAAGGACTGTACGTGCACGCTAAAGTGAACGAGTCTACCGGCTCGATTTGGTTTTGTTCGGTGGAGTATTACGAAACGTGTAAACATGACGGGTGGTGGCGGTGTCACGAGTGCGGCGCGTTTGCGAGCGACGAGAGAGCTTTGTGGTGGCATCAGAAAACGAAACACGATTTGACGCACAGTGACGCGATGAAGGAAGTAGAGGCGGAGAGGAACGCGTTGAGCGTGATTTTGAACGGTAGTTTAGTTAGGATAGCACCGGGTGTTGGTGGTGATTGTAGCAGTAGCGGCGGTAAACTTCAACAAAAGAAGAGGAAAGATCCCGACGATTTGCAGAAAGCGATACGAGCGGCGAAGGGTGGAGATTTAGGTGAAGAGTTTGAGAAATGTATCATAGAGAAAAAGATTGTGCGATTACCGTTTCAGTCGCTGGAGTATTCAAGAAGAGGTGATATAGACGCGCTGCGAAAGTGTACGGAGGATGTGAAGAACTGCTTGGACTCAAACGGCGCCTCGTGTTTGCACTGGGCGTGCGGTTCGGATAGTTTGCAGGTTGTTCAATATCTCATCGAAGAGCTCAATTTCGACCCGAATCAGCCGCAAAAAGGCAAGCGGAGTTACGAAGGACGAACGCCTTTGCATTGGGCCGCGAGGAATGGTAACATACGCGTGTGCAAATATCTGCTCGAAACGTGTAAAGTTGACGTAAATTGCAAAACAAACGACGGAACGTCGGCGTTTGCGTGGGCAACTTGGAAAGGTGAGATAGATGTCATGAAACTACTGATTAGGTTTGGTGCAAACGCGAGAGAATCGGCGAATCAGTTTGGGTGTAACGCGGCCATGTGGGCGTGTCAAAGCGACGGTGATAACGTGGACGTGTGTGAATATTTACGTTCGTTGAATGTGACTTTTCGATTGGTTAACGCCAATGGGCATTCGGCGTTGCACAAAGCGGCGCAGCGAGGGAACGAGAGAGTTGTAGATTGGATTATTGAGAACTCAAGAAGGCTTGGACTTTCCTATTCCTTACATTGCAGAAAGGATCTAGAAGGCTTTCGACCGTCGGATTTAGCAAAGATGGAAGACAAAGAGTTTTTGTGCACGAAAATTGAACGATTTCAACGGCGGTTGCAATTCGAGGAAGAAGAAGAAGAAGAAGAAGAAGAAGAGCGCGTAGAACACGAAAAAAGAAACGAAAAAGATGATGATGCTATTAAACGCCATCGAGTTCGATATCCTCCTACATCCTTCTACGCCGCGGTATCGACCGGGCGCTTGGATTTATTTCGCAATATTATTGACGTAGACCCGTACTACGCATCGCAAGACAACGGGGCAGGCTCGCCGCTGCACTTTGCCGCTTCTTACGGAGAGCCAGACATGATTTCAGAATTACTCGAATACGGTGGTTTGGTCAATCAAAGAGATCTATTCGGAATGACACCGTTGCATCGAGCGGCGACGTTGATGCAAAAATACGTCGTCGGTGCCGCGATACAGGAGGAATACGATGATTTGGTGAAAAAATTAGCCGAGATTAAAGAGTTTCGACGGAGTGCTGATGAGGAGAGGAACGAGAATAAGAGCGAACTGAAACGACTAAACAAAGCGGCGTGGAAACGTGACTCGCAGCGCGCAAAGGATATCGAAACGATGTTCGAGAAACCATCGCAGCTTTTGGGCACCAAAAACGCTTTGCAAACGTATCGCACTTTGCTCGCGCTCGGCGCCGACCCAAGCTCGAGAGATGATATTTTGAAACTGACGCCTCGCGAGTTGGCAAAAAGAGACATCAATACGAATTTTGCGAGTGAGATTACGGATGCGGAAGTCAACCGTCGAATTGAAGCGCTCATTAATCAGTTGGAACACGAAACGAAGGAAGCGCCGACGAGCAGTAAAACTGGTGGCTATGGCAACACTAACAGGGGGGCGTTCAAAAATTGGCACGCGCTGAGAAAACGCACGAAAAGAGTAGCAGCACAAAACGCAGAAGATATTCGTGATAGTTTTTGGCACGCGTATTACGCCGAACGCAATCGCGCGATTGAAGTGAGGTGCTTGAATGACCATAAATCGTTCTCCGTTGGGAAAGAGATCCCCGTCGCTCGCTACGATGTGGAGGAAGAGGATCGTGTGATCGAAGAATCGGAGGCGGTATCAGCGCTTCGAAGTTTTGATGATACCGAGGCAGTGCGAAAAGAAGCAATAGATGGCGTCCCGGGCGCGTTTCTTCTACGAAACGTCTTCACAAAATCGAATGCACAGATTCTCGCGAAATATGTTAATCAAATCCAACCGAACAAGTACAATCAAACAAACGCGAGGAGAGAATCCATGGCGGAGAAAATCATGCGCACCAACTTGGAAATATTGAACAGCGCCGATGAATATTTCACGGCGAACGAAGAATCCGTAAAATCTGTTTTGAAAGGTTTCAAAATTCTCGCCGTGGACCCGATAATAGCGCTTTCCTCGACGGATACGTTTTATGGCGAATCTCGACTTCCCGTGGAGCCGGTTTCGTGGTTGCCGATGAACAACGAAAACAACAAAAACACTGCCGTTCTCGAAGCTATGGCTAAAAGGATACGCGAATATTTACCGCTTCGATCAGGTATGGATGGGAAAAGCGGCAGATACCTCGTCGACGACGATAATCTCCTCCTCGACGAACGCTTGCGATGCTACCGATACAGCGAAAAGACGTGTTCCATCCCGCACTACGACAAGTCCACCACCGCGAAAGAAAAAGAGATGTGCAGCGCGTACTCGCTCATAGTCTACTTAAACGGTACCGCGCACCTCGGCGGCGAAACCGGATTCTTCCTCGACTCTCAACCGAACTCTCGCAAATCCAACTCTGGTCTCACCAAAAACTGCGGCGACGGCAACTTCCCTCTCGTCGAATACGTCGCGAGCGTAAAAGGCGAAACCGGCGATATCCTACTCTTCCCGCACGGGAACAAAGAAGTCGACAAGGATTACGAGCACTTGCTCCACGACGGTCGCGAAGTCTTGGCGGGAGAGAGTAAGTTTCTCATTCGAACGGACGTTATGTATTACCGCTGAAGAAGCGGCTTTGAGTATGTAATAAAAAGAGTTGAACTTTATCGTCAAAGCAAAAGAGAAGAGAGATTTTGGATAAAGTGGAACTACTATTGCATGTCAAACACTACGAATCTACTACGACGACTACCTACTACGGATATATATTCTCACGGCTGCTGTTGCTGCTGCTGATTCGCCCCGAGCAATTGCCCGACAATCCCCACGCTTTGCCAATACTTCGAGCTGCACCTGTCCACGCACGCGGTTTCCCCGACGTTCAAATCGCCGTCTTTAAACCTCTTATCGATGCACTTCTCGTAACACGAGTGCACCAATTTGTTGAATAAATCCACTCGGTATTCCATCTCTTGGTTCGCCATCGCGAACGCTTGTTCGCGCTGTTCCGGGGTCATTGTTTGCATGTTGTTTTGTCCTCCTCCTCCTCCTTGGTCGGTCATTTTTGTTGCGTCGTCGCGTGTTGCCCCTTTTGCGCGCGTTTAAAGTGTGAAGAGATGTGTGTGTGAGAGAGTGTGTGAGAGAAGCCGCCACCTCTAAACCCTACACCCTAAACAATTTTCTTCCCCTTTTCTTTTCTTTCCAAAGAGCGTCGTCATCATAAAAGTGCGCTGACGACGACGACGACGAAGAAGAAGAAGACGAGAGAGAGATGATCTTCGCCTCCTCTTCACGTTCTTTTTCGTTTTGCCTCTTTTCCTCTTCTTCTGCTTCGTGTGGTGCTGATGAGAGACGAAGAAGAAACATTAAAAACGAATTATGTCGTCCTTGTTTTAACAAGACTAATGTCGAATCATCGTCGATGCGGAGGACGAGAGCGAAGGCGACGAGAGACGAAAACGAGGAGGATTTCGAGGACGTGCCGTCATCTTTCTCGTTTATGGTTTCGAGCGGTGATAATAATAACAATAATAACAACAACAACAACAGACGAATGAATAGGAAAGAACGAAGGAGATTGTTGGGAGAGAGAAAGAAACAGACGAGCGAGAACGAGGAGGAGGAGGACGACAAAGACGACGAAAGCAACAAAGTGAAAGAGAGGATGATTGAGATGACGTGGAGCAGTAGTGAAGAGAATAATAGTAAACTCGAACCGAGAGGAGCAGCGGCGGAAAAAACGATGTTGTCGAGAAGCGACGACGCGACGGCGGAACCGGAAGTTGTTTTAGTAACCACGGATGACATGCAACAAGAAGGATGGGCGTTCACCTTTCCGAAATCCGTAAACGAGTTATCGGACACGTACCAGTCCGCGCCGGCGAGGTATAAGTTGATGGTCTGTTGCGCGTGTGCGTTTGTAGTGTGTAACATGGACAAAATTAACATGTCGGTGGCGGTGATTCCTATGAGTCGGGAGTTTTCGTGGGACACCGCGCAGTCGGGGATTTTGCAATCGTCGTTTTTTTACGGCTTTGCGCTGTCGCAAATTCCAGGCGGGTTTTTAAACACGAAGTTTGGCGGGGCGAGAGTTCTGCCGTTAGGTTTGACGTTTATTTCGTTGGCGACGTTAGCGATTCCTTTAGCCGGGGATAATTTACCCGCGTTGTTTTTCGCGAGAGCTTTAGTTGGTTTGGGTGAAGGCGTCGTGCCATCGGCGGTGACGGATATCATCGCCAGAGCTATGCCGGTTGGTGAGCGGTCGCGAGCGGTGGCGTTTACCTTTAGCGGGTTTAACGTCGGGTCGATTTTAGGTTTGTCCGTGGCGCCGTTTATTATGGAAAAGACGGGGTGGAGGGGTATGTTTGATATTTTCGGTAGTTTTGGCGCTTTGTGGATCGTGTTAGCGTTAGGTTTGTTTGCCGCAGGTGGGGTCACAACGAAAGCGATAGACGAAGGGAAGACACCGGTGACGAACTTGTTCGGGAGCAGACAAGAGGCAGACCAAGAACCAGGAAAGCCGAAGGAAGAGATTACGTTTGAGAACGTGCCGTGGGGGCAATTCGCGAACTCAGACCCAATCAAAGCTTTGGCGTTTGTTCATTTCGTCGGTAACTGGGGTACATACGTCGTCTTGGCGTGGTTACCAACGTATTTCACGCAAGAAGTTGGTTTATCGTTAACGAACGCGTCTTTGTTGACTTTATTGCCGCCCATAGCGAACATCGCGGTTGGAACGTTAGCCGGACCTACCGCAGATGGACTCATCCAAAGAGGTACGGATTTGACGATAGTACGTAAAGGATGTCAATCCGTCGCGTTTGCCGCACCGGCGTTCGCGATGTTATTGTCGACGTATTTTGAAGATCCAGTGGCGACGGTTATTTTATTGACCATAGGCATTTCGTTCCAATCGTTTAGTTACGCCGGTTTGTATTCCAATCACCAAGATTTGAGTCCAAAATACGCGTCGATTTTGTTAGGTATCACGAATACGTGTGGGGCGTTACCGGGCGTCATTGGCGTTCCATTGACTGGATATTTAATTAAAGAAACGCAAGAATGGGAACTGTCCATGTTTGGACCGGCGATTATTCTTTACTCGTTGGGTATCGCCGCGTACTGGAAATGGGGCAGCGGTGAACGTCTCGTGTTCGAAACCAAAGTCAACGTAGAATGAAAATAGCATGTTTTGTAATATTATTATCATTAGGAAGCTAGCCGCAATAGCAGCACAGTTACGTAATTTCTTTCCTAGTTCCAATACGGATCGGAAGCAGAAGGTTTCCCGGATTCTAATATCGCCGTTTCGATTGCAATCAAACATTTACATCCGGGCGGAACGCCAAAATCCAATAACGTCGTGTCTTCGGGTATAATCTCGCACGAGTACAATAGCGTCAACTCTCGCCAATCTTCAACAGTCCTCCTTCGACCAGTTGACATCGGTTCGCCTTTGCCGCATCCTTTCTCCCAGAGTCTCTTTTTGATATCTTGGCATTTTTCTGTCACGTCCGCTAAGATGCGATATCGACACCCGTCGAAGAAAAACGCCAAATGTGCATAATCCGTCCTCGGTTGCACGCACGGAATGCCTTCGAAGACGAAATCTCCCTCGTTCGCCGTCGCGATCTCCTCGAACACTCTCGCTTCGTCTTCTGGTAATATCTCGCAATACTTTTCGCTTTTAAAAAATAATCAGATCCAACTCACAACAAAGAATAAAAATGGAACGACGTACCAGTCCCACGCGCCTTTTCCTCTCGCCGCCTCTTGCTGCGCTCGCGTCTTCGCCGCGTCGTTCGCGGCGTCGTAGCCGGATTTACCTCCTCCAGCCGCGGTCATTTTTATTACGAGTAGAGTTTTGTTTGACCTCTGATCTGAGAGAAAAAAATAAAACGAAAAAAGAAGCGTTTTCGTCGTTATTAAAAATGCGTTAAAACGACGCGAAGAAGATACGAGCGCGCGCTAAACATGACACCACGCGACAGAGAAATATCTCCTCTCGCGCCGCAGTCTCACTCCTCTGGTTTTATTCGAGAAGAAGCTAAAGAAGAAGACGCGTCGTCGTCGTCGTCTAAATCGTCGATGAAATCGACGCTCATTCATCTCGGCCTGAACAGATATTTCTTCTTCGAAACCGTTGCAAACGCATTCATCACGCTCTTCACGTCCTCGAAGCAACCGCGCGGAGTACCAACCTTACCGCGGATATCGAAACTCTCCAAAAACGTCGTTCGAATTCTCGGCGGGAATCCGTCGCCGCTGACCTTGCAAGGCACGAACACGTATTTAGTCGGCAGTGGGGAAATTCGATGGCTGATCGATGCGGGAGATGGGAGGAAAAGGTGCCAGTACGGAAACGCGTTGCGCCTGGCGATGCGGGAACATAAAGTGAAACGGTTGCACGGAATTTTGCTCACGCATTGGCATCCAGATCACGCGTTTGGGGTGGACGTCGTGAGGAAGGCGTGCGGAGATGCAAGGCTTCAGGCGTTTAAGATGGTGAGGAAAGAGAAGGGCGAGATGGCGGTGGCGAGGAGGACGGAAGAGGAGGACGAGAACGAGGACGGCCAAGGGAAGGAGAAACGGAGGCATTATGTGGACATACGAGATGGGGACGTGTTTAAATGCGTTGGGGCAACGTTGGTAGCGATGCACACGCCCGGACACGCGGAGGATCACGTGTGTTTTCGGCTGTTAGGGGACGAGGAGGACGGCGGCGACGCCGTGTTCGCCGGAGATTGTTTGATGAATGGGAGCACGGCAGAGTTTGAGGATTTGAGCGCGTATTCGATGAGTTTGGGGAGGTTGTTAGAAGCGTTCACGAGGTCAAACGAGAAGTTGAGCAGTATGAAAAGTAATAATAAGAGTGGTAGTAACGGCGAAAGGGAGGATACGACGACGACGACGACAATACAACGAGCGAGATGTTATCCTTCGCACGGCGACGTGATTTCTGACGGCGAGCGGTTAACCCAGGCGTACTTGAAACACCGAATATCGAGAGAGAAACAGTTTTTGAGAGAGTTGACAAAGTTTGGTCAGAGAGGTGCGACGCTTTGGGAACTCACGCGGAGAGTGTACGGAGATATTGTCGGCATCGTCGTATTGTTGATGAGCTGTTTGAAAATCACAAAACAGCACTTGGAAAAAATGTCCAAAGATGGGACGGTATCGGTGAAGAGGAAGGAAAGTGGGAACGTGTTTACGACTGCTCTTTCGTATTTGCTGGCAATATTATCCTTCGGTTTCTTTGGCGCGTCGACGAAAACGAGGTACGTGGCTGTCATTAGTAACAAACACGATTGAAGATATCCGGGTAGTACAAATTATTTATTATTATCAGATAACATCGCCTCGCGCGAAAGAACTAAACTAAACTACTACTAAATACACTATTCAAAAACTACAGAATCTCGTACGTCTCTTTCAACGCGAATGGGTCAATCTTCAAGCCGTCAGCGTTCTCGTACACCGTCCTATTCGACTCGCTATCGTAAATCGTGCGTTCCCAGCATCCTCTCGGCAACGCCCGAAACATCGCGTCCTTCCCGCCTTCCAGAAACAATTGTCCGTCTCTTTTCGTCCACATCAAACTCGTTTTCGGTCGAACGTAAAACTTTCTATTCGCCTCGCACACCCACTCTTCGTCGCACTCGATCGCTTTGCACGCTTTCTGCCACTTCCAGCCGTGATCTTCTAACGGCCCGCACATGGCGTGCGCCAACTCGTGCCTTAAAACGCCGATGAAGGTTGAAAAATCGTCGTCTAATAGCGCGTATTTAGATACGTAAATCTCACCTCTCGCTGGACCCATCTCGTCTTCTTCGTTTAAATACGTTTTGCCCACGTAGCTTTTCTTTTCGTGCCATCCTAGAAACCATCGGTCCTCGTCTAATCCTACTCTCGCGCGTTCGTACCTAAATATCTCTAAAGCAACTCTCCATCTGTTGCTTAAAAAAGAAACCGCGCTAGAGGCGTCTGTTGCGCTCCAATCGCTCTGGAATCTTAACATGATGCTCTCGTCGATGGCTTTTATCGCGCCAGAACCTCCTCCTGACCACAAGACGTCTCGTTCCAGCAGTCGATGATTAGTATTCGAGCGGACTTTTACGTCTCGGTGGGAACGAAAAGTCGTTTGTGGGTTGGGTGTTCGAGACTGAGCGAAAGGAAAACGACAGCTCACGCAAAACGAGAATGACATCAGGAGATGACTGCGATGATGCACCCCGTGCTCTCACGTTTTCTCTCTCTCGTTTTCTCTCTCTGTCTGTGTGTGTGTGTGTGTGTGTGTGTGTGTGTGTGTGTGTGTGTGTTGCTGGTGCTTTGTTGTAAGTGAACCAAAACAAAATTTGTGTGGTTATTTTCTCGCACTGACAAAAGACGCTCTCTCTAAATAAGAAACTAACGACGAACGAATTCCTCTTCTATATGTATTTGAGCAGCTATGAAACACGTTTTCGGCAACGCTTAGTTGTCCACGATGGTCACCTCAACCTCGACTCCCGGTTCGATGGAGATGCTCGTGATTTGCTTCACCAAATCCGCCGGCGAGTGCAAATCGATCAACCGCTTGTGGATTCTCATGGTGAACTTATCCCACGTGTTCGTACCTTCCCCGCACGGGGCTTTGCGAACCGTCACTTGCAACTTCTTCGTCGGCATGCGAACCGGGCCTTTGACCTTTAATCGCTTCTCCTTGGCGCCTCGAATCAAATCCGAGCACACTTTTTCCAAGTTTTTCACGTTTCTGGAGGACAGGGTGATGCGGATGCGGTGGATGCGTTGCGCTTCGGCATCGCCGGCTTTCGCCGCCGCTGGTTTTCCTTCAACTGCTGCTGACATTGTTTAATAAATCTGTTCTCGATTAAATGATGGTAGTTTGACGAAGGGGAGAAGAAGAAGAGAGAAGAAAAACGTCAGCAAACGCACACAAATTCGTAATCTTCAGGCCCTAATAAAAGGACGAGAACGAAGCGCGTTGTGCTAAAAAAGAGGATGATGATTTCGGAAATCGGACGCAAAAGTATGCGCGCGAACGCGAGATATCCCGATAAAGAATAAATACGCGTTCACACGTATATAATCGCGAGTATAATCGTACCTCTTTGAACGACTGCGACTCGGAATTACTCTTTCTGTGAGAGTGTCTATTCGCGGTGAAGTGACAGAAGTGAGGAGAGAAAGACATTCGAGCAAAACTCGTCAACGCAAATTTAGGGTAACATAAGACCCTAAACAAGCCTAACGCTTTTGGATAAACTCTTCTCGAGGCCTCGAGAATGGAAATTCATCTTCACAAAACGCGGCGGCCGAGAGCATTGAAACGACGACTTTGTTTCATCACAAAAAACGCGGAAGAAGAACAAGGAGAAGAAGTTTTATTTTTGTTTGTTTTTGAGCAGTTGATAAAAGTGTGTTTGTGTATTTAAAACGATAACATATAATACTAATAATACTGATGGCATCTTTATTAACCGCGAAGAATGTTGGGTCAGCTTTTTTGAAGGGATCGACGCAAAAGCTGACGCAAAAGCGAACGAATCAAAAACAAAGCAGAAAGACGAACACCTCTTCGGTGGTGGTGCGAGCGGAAGTGAAGGAGATTTTCATGCCCGCGCTCTCGTCGACGATGACGGAAGGGAAGATCGTCTCGTGGGTGAAAGAGGAAGGGGATGCGATTTCCAAAGGCGAAGCCGTGGTGGTGGTGGAATCAGATAAAGCGGATATGGACGTGGAATCGTTTTACGATGGGTTTTTGGCGCACATTTGCGTGGAAGATGGGGAGATGGCGACGGTAGGGGCTCCAATTGCGTACGTGGCGGAAACAGAGGCGGAGATTCCGGAGGCGCAGGCGAAGGCGGCGGCGGCGTCTGGCGGCGCGGCGCCGGCGCCGGCCGCTGCGCCGGCGGAAGCGGCGCCTGCTCCCGCCCCTGCTCCGGCAGCGGCGGCACCGGCAGCTGCGGCACCGGCGCCGGCTGCGGCGGCACCAGCACCGGCACCAGTTGTGAACACTGGACGAATCGTTGCCACGCCATACGCGAAGAAGCTCGCGAAGAAGTCGAAAATTAAGCTCGAAACAATCAAGGGTACTGGATTGAACGGTAGAATCACCGGCGAGGACGTCGAGAAGGCGGCTGGCATCGCGCCGGCGGCGAAGCCTGCTGCCGCGGCGGCAGCGGCTCCAGCTGCTGCGGCGCCGTCTGCCAAGCCGGCACCGGCGCCGTTACCGGCCCCGGCGGGTACTGCGACCCCGTTACCGCCGATGCAAAAAGCCGTGGCGAAGAACATGCTCCCGTCGTTATCGGTTCCGGTGTCTCGCGTGGCCATGCCAATCTGCACGGATAAATTAGACCAGCTCTACCAAAAATTGAAACCAAAAGGCGTGACGATGACGGCGCTGTTGTCCAAAGCCATGGGTAACGCGTTAGCGAAGCACCCGATTATGTTTGCTTCTTACCACGATGAGTCCCAATCCATCGTGTACAACGACGAGGTCAACATTGCCTGCGCGGTTGCTTTAGACGGTGGTTTGATCACGCCGGTGTTGCGAAATGTTGCCAACACGGACGTGTACGAAGTTGGGCGCCAGTGGAAGGAGTTGGTTGGCAAGGCCAAGTCTGGGAAGTTGGGGCCGGCGGATTACGCCGGCGGTAACTTTACCATCAGTAACATGGGTATGTTTGGCGTTTCCGCGTTTGACGCCATCTTGCCGCCGGGGCAAGGTGCGATCATCGCGATCGGTGCGGGTATTAAGACTGTTGTTCCGATCGATGGTATGATTGGGGTGAAGACGATGATGACTGTGAACGTCACCGCGGATCACAGACACATCAATGGGGACGTCGCGGCTGGGTTCTTGAAGACTTTGAAGGAAGTCATCGAAAACCCAGACGATTTGACCTTCTAAAGTAAAATGTTCTACTGACGAGAAAAAAGAAAGAGGGAGAGAGAGAAGGGATAGCATACGATTTAATATGACACGTTACTAAACTATAACTAAATTTATTGCATGCTTTCTATTATTCAACTATCGCTAAAAAGAAATATATCTAATGGGTTGACCCCCACGAGCATTGACACATGGGACACGTTGACTTGGAGGAAGTCGTGAACCACTTCATCAAACAATCGCCGTGATAACTATTCGAACACTGTCTGCACGTCGCTTCTGGTTTACGACCGTTACTTTTTGCAAGAACTTGGTAACAGATCGGGCACGGTTCCGCACCTTCAAAGAACTTATCCACAAACTTGGACCATTTCAAGATGGCAATCAAAATAGAACCGCGCGTCGTCGATGTCGCCGTCGTAGAAGAATCGTCCTCGATTTCGTAATTCTCTTCTTCGGCGTCGTTCAGCAAGCCACTCCCAGAGCTCAACATAGTTTTTAAACTCAAAAGCCAAAAGCGGCTTCGACGTTCACTCACGCCAACGCGTTTGCTCTCGCGAGGTTCCGCCGGTTTCAACGGGAACGTCGCCGGGATATCGATTGAAATTTCCATGAAACTCTCGTCGATGTCGTATCGAGCTACGATTGCGGACATTTTTTCGGAATATCTCACAGATAGCGCATCCGATACATTCTCCGAGGCAAACGAGCTTCGCAAGTTTTGAAACCTTTCGGTGTCGGCAATTTCACGATCGAGAAATGCTTTGCGGAAAATGTTTTCGCAGATGAAATCGAGGTCGTTTACGAAATCTTTCTTTGCCTTCTTCCCGTCGAGTTCGCGATAGGCTGAACGCGAGATGGAAGGAAAGTGTTCGATGAAAGATCCAACGAGTGCGAGGAATACTCTGGGAGGAATATTATCCGTTATGCTTGCTTTTGAAAGCGCACCGTAACGATGTCGCAGCGGCGCAAACGCTCGAACAGTTTCGGCGTGACTCCCGTAATCGCACACAGTTATGGCTAGCTCCGATGATTCGCCTTCGTCGACGTTTTCATCTTCTGTCAAGAGCGATGCAAGCTCGTAAAACGGTGCAGAGTTTAAAACGCCGTTGAACGCGTTGGATACGATGGAACTTTTCGAGTTTATCTTCGCGATGTATTGAATTAAACGCAATTTTGCGCGTCTCGGTACTTCTACGCGACTCGACGATAACGCTCGGAAAACGAGAGACCACGCGTAATCTACGTTCGTAACACCTGAGACTTGAGATTTGACCATTTTTTCTTCGTCGTCATCGTCGTAATCATTGGCACGTGATTTGCGCCCCTCTTTTTTGAGTATTGCGACGAGATTTTCACGCAGACCATATTTTGTGAGGAACTGTTGTTCCGCCATTTCCTCCAATTCCGAGTCCATTTCGGGTTCCTCCTTCTCGCCGTAGTCGTCGTCGTCGTTATCACTCGCGGCGGCTTTTTGTAACTTTGCATCTCTGTAAAGTTTCTCAACTATTGCGTCGATTTTGTTTACATCGTTGAATGAACAATCAATGCCAAAACAGGCGGCGCGAACGACATCGTCCGAGGAGAGCACGGCGAACGCGACGTACGCCGCCTCTCTTGGAGTAAAACGAATGTTGTCATCCAACAACGCGTACATTGCATTCAACGACGACGACGAGACTTCACTTTCAGGAAGCATCGTTCCTGCAAAATATTCAAAACGACGCATCGCCAACGAGCAACACATCGAGCTTGCAAAAATAGCCTCCGTACCGTCGCCCAAGATGGACGCGAGCGCCGCCGAAACTTCTCTCAAAATCGGTTCCATGATTTCTGCGCGGTCTTCGCTCTCTTCCGAATGAATGTGCTCGAAAAGCGCGGCACTGAAATTTATCAAGGGTTCTAAAGCTGTCGCGAGCAGTACTCGACGAATCCTTGGCCATTTTGCTCGCGCGAGCGATTTGGCCAAAGTTTGGCCAAATTCTCCGGATTTACTCGCAAAAGCGACCACGTCGCCGCCACTTTTTAAGGTGGCAAGATCCACATCCGTGGAAATATCCTCCATAGGATTCATTTCGTCCATGTCTGTATTGTAATACAAACCGTATTCTTCCACATCCTCGTCATCTGAAATACGAGGCGTTGCGACTGCGATTGGGAATCTCTCGATTGAAGCTAGGCAAGACGTCGCGAGTTCAAAAAGATGAAACTTTCGGTCGACGACGCGACCACCGTGAACTTCCAATTTCACTTCGTCTTCGACGACGTGCGATATTTTCCCGAGATATATCCGACTGATTCGCGCAAACGAGTCAATCCAACCAATCATGGATTCAAAAACACTCACCCAGGTCTTTTCGTCCAGCTCCGAAGATGTTTTCGCGCTCGAGAGTATCGCGAGATGAATCCTCGCGGAATCGATTTCATTCTCAATGGCGAGGTCATCGTCGGTAGATGCGTCGTGAAACTCATCCTCTTCATTTGAACCTCCGCCGAGCGTTTTAAGTCGAGCTGCTGTCGCTTTGTCGCTTTGTGCGCGCGTTTCGATGGCGATCCACACGGCGAGAGCAAACGCTCCGATTTCGTCCGCTCGCGCTCCGGTTCCGTCCGCATTTCGGACGTTGAATTCGCTGTGTTTCTGCATCGCGTTCGAAATATACGAATCGGAAACAAAATACGCAAACAATCGCGACGCTGGAAGAAACGGTTGGCTCGTAATGTTCACTGAACGATCTTTGTAGTACCTCTCGATTCTTTCGACGAGGCATCGAAGAAAGGCATCCATCCATTCTCCTCTGTGCAAAAGTTTTGGAACAACGTGTACGAGTATTCTCGTCTTTTTCGAGCACGAGTCGAACGAAAGAGCGTATTTTAGCACTGAATCATCGTGAGGATACTCACACACAGTCTCGTCGTTCTTCCAAATGAACCCGTAAGAAATGAGAATTTTCTTGCCAAGCATGAAGTCAGCCGGAGATTTCGTCGGCAAAGACACGAGTTCCCACGCGAGTTGGTCGTTCTGAGTTGCAACGAGTGCGTCGAGTACGGCATCGCGCAAATTCTCACGCTTCACGACGGCCGAAAGAAGTCCACCATGCTTTGGCGCCAACTCCGACATCGTCGCGATGACTGTATGCGCGCTCGCGACTAAACCGTCGCTACTACCGGCGTACTTCTTCACGTAGGCATCGACAAGTTCGTGCCAGCTGCCCAGCGCAGACGCAATAGCGTGCGCAAGCTCTGCAGAATCGCTCATTTTCTCTGACATTTCCAAAAACGTGTTTGCAAAAACATCGTTCGTAACTTCAAAACATCCGCATAACACCGCGTGCGCAAACTTTGTTTGAATACTTAAGGACGTGACGTCGTCGTCTCTTGCGATTGCCTCCGCGATGTACGCTGTTAGCGGGTTTTTCAAAGCAGCGCAAGACTCAACAGTACTGTTCGCTCTCCTTACGTCGCTGTGCGAAGAGCGGAGGAAGGCATACCAGGACGAATCACCGCGAGCGAGTTCGCACAATCTCGAAAAGTCACGCGCGACACCGTCTTCTTCGTCTCCATCTTCGTCTTCGTCATCTTCATCGACGTCACTGTCTGCTTCTTCTAAAGCTACATAGTTGTCGAACACGTCTTCGTTGTTTGCGATGATGTCTTTACACCTATTCATAAACGTTACTGCGACAACTTTTTCGGCCCAAAAGTTGAGAAGCGCTTCTTCTTTCGCAATCTCTGGTGGCGGCGGCCACGAAAAGTCGCACAAAATATTTCGCGGTATAGACTGAGATGATGTTTTCTCAACAGCCAGCGACAGCGAGTTCAGCCCTTTCTTATACGCATCGACACTCAGAGCAACGCGAACGAGCGCGGTGTTACTTGCAAACGCTTTCACAAAGTCCACTTCTGCTTTAAACGCTTGGCTCGACGGCGTCGTCGACCCTCCGTTTTCACTCTCAACGACAATATTCTCACACGCTCTTACAAAAGCATCATCGATGACGGCGCATTTTAAATCTTGCTTTTTGTTATCTGCGACGAATCTTTTGAGCAAGGCGAGTATGTGAGGAAGCGCGACTTCGAGCTTTTGCGTCTTCAAAATATGTTCGCAATGTTTCGACCACGTCTCCGCGCTCGCAAATTTCAATGCTGCGAAGAGCGATTCAATCGACGACGTGGTATCCACTACAGCGGTAGCACCATCTCCTCGTGCAATAGTATCTTCGCGCTTTTGTTTTCTATTTATGGTCACGCGACCGATAAAACTGGCAACTTCGTCGGCACCGCCGAACGAATCTGGACTGAGCGTCTCAATCGCGAGCGCCAAAAATGTATCGTCTGTACCTCCATGTTTCTCTTCGTGTCCTTGTATCGCGTTCGCAAAGCTCATCTTAAGTTCGAGCATTTTCTCGTGAACTTCTTTAGGAACGAGCGCTCCTTTATTCGAAAGTTCGAGAACGATTGCTTTGAATTGCTCGCATATACTCGTACCTCGCGACGGATTCTCGTCGTAGGAAACGACCAAAAATTCGCCGAGACTTTCCAACGCTTTCATGACTACGCCTTGCGGAAACGCCGTCGGTTTGGAGGCGAGAGAGGCTAAAGTTTTTGCAGCAACGTCTACCCATCTCGACGTAATGCTATCGGTGCCATTTCGAGCTTCGAGGGCACGCGGTATCCATTTCTCGACGAGGAGTGTCTTTAGAAGTGTTTCTTTTTTCTCATCCGCGCGTAACCATCTCAACAACGCGAACAAAGAGCACTCCATGGAAGCTTTTGCGATAGCATCTGCCTCTGCGTTTTTAGATTGAAACTGTTCGCAATCTTCCGCACCTCGCAGTGCGGCGTTGACGATATTTATCGTGTTTTTAAGACATTCTTCATCTTCTCCTTCGCCGCCAGTCGATTGCGGAAACGAAAGAGACGCGAAGAGCGGCAACACGCACGGCGCGCACCCAGCCGCCGCACCTTCAAAAGCATTTGCAAACCCTCTCACGATGGCTCCATCGATAACCGTTCGACTCAGCTCTGGTAGCAAATCCCACACCGAGAGATTTTTTGCGCACCATTGTGCGTGGGATAGTCCCGCGGCCAACTCCCACGCTCTGGTTAAACACAACGAATCGTCTTCTTTTTCTATTCGGCTGAAGACGTTTTCGAGCACTTGTTTAGCCGTTCGCTCGTCGCAAAACGTGGCGAACGTAATCACAGCAGTACTATTATCTTCGTTTTCCGTTTCGCACTTGTCCAAGAAGAGCTTTCTCAGGCAATCCAAACTGGCGCCTCGTAAACTCGTCGACGATTCTAACATCATCACTTTACGCAAGTACTCTAAACTTTCTAACGCGCTTTCCAGCGCCTCTTTAACCGTCGTTATGGTTTTCTTCTCGCCATCTTCTCCTTCTAGACTTGACGTCGCCGTCGTTGGCATGACCTCGCCTTCACGAAATTCCTCAAAACCAAACACGTCGACGACGTACTGACCAATCGCTCTCACGCTCGCGCACGCGTCCCGCTCGATGACGTCTCTCTCCTTCCCACTATTACTACCGCCACCTCCTTTCATACTTCCTCCTCCAAACTCAGTCATCGCTCTGTGCACCGACTCTTGCACCAATTCGAAAAAATCCACCGCAACGAACCGCAAAGCCTTCGCCCGCCTCGTTTTCGTCGTAAATATCCTCCGAAACCCGGTCTCGGCTTCTTTCGCGACGTTCTTATCGCCATCGCACCTCGCCAAAAGTATCAACGGTATCGCCGACGTCGTCCCGATGCACTTGGCCAACCTCTTCCCGCTTCTCTCGCACATCAAGTTATGCACCTTCACTGACAGTAGCCTCGCCTCATCCGTCGTCGTCCCTCCGCTCTTTTCGTTTCTCAAACACTTCGAGTGGACCCGCGTCCACATCGGCAACGCGTCGGACACGATGACTTCAATCTCTTCGTTCTTCTTCTTCTTCTTCTTCGCGTCGTCGTCCTCGTCGTTCCCGCTACTACTCCTCCCAACACCCATCTCTTTCTCCTCCTCCGATAAAACCTCTACCATTTGCTCTAACCCTTTCTTTTTCGATTGTTGGTTCGGTTTCGCCGCTAAACCTATCGCTCTCATCAGACGCTCTCCAAAGACGGAAGCGCCTCCCGCGAACGAGGACAAAGACGACTGTTGGTGGTCCAATTTCATCATCATCGAGACGTCCATTCCCACATTTCCGTTTGTATTAAAACCACCACCTAATGGGGATGAAATCGACGACGTTTTGCGTTCGTTCACGATCGAAGCCGTTCCCGAGTACCTGCCGAATCCAAAACTGCTCGAAAGAATACATCATTGCGTAAGAGAAAGAGAGAGAGAGAGAGAACGTCAGATTGAAACGTCGAAAGGAGTCGGTTACAGATTTTCTCTCCGCTCGAAACGTGACGCGTGTACTACTCGTAAGAGTACGAAGACAACACTCGAATACCTGGGTGGTCCTTTTGCCAAAGCCGAAGAGTTTGCGAAGATGCTTTTTTCTCCCTCTTCGTTTTCTCTCGCGTGTTGTCGGCGTTGTTGTTTGCCCATGTTTTGTGTATCTCTATTATTAGTGTGAGGAAACGAAGGAAAATGTCTGTCGTTTCGTCGTCACTTTTCCTCCTCCGACGAAAAGATTAAATCATGATGCAAAGCTCTTTGTTTTCTGCGACGCGTTGCACTCCGACGTCGAAAAAACTCGTCGAAAGAGGACAAAGAAGAGGATCTTTGCGTCGTGTTTTTCGAGCAAAATCGTCGTCGGCAGAAGAAGAAGAAGAAGAAGTGACGACGAAACGACAGACATCGATGATGACGACGATGATGAGAGAAAAATATCCAAAGTTTTACCACGAAGACGGGGAAGTGTCGTCCCTGTCCACGTCGCGAAACTTACAGGAAAAGTACCACACGTTCGAAGGACACGCGATACGGTACGTGAAAGGAACGTCAAAACACGATGATGAGAAACCAAACGTTATATTAATTCACGGTTTCGGCGGGAACGCGGATCAGTGGAGAAACAACACGAGTTATTTTGCCAACGAGAAGAAATACAACGTGTACGCGTTGGATTTACTCGGGTACGGGTACAGCGATAAACCGGATCCGACCGCGCCGGGGAGAGAGAAGAACGATATTTATAATTTTTACACGTGGGCGAGACAGATTAACGAATTCATCGAGACGGAGATGGAAGGAGAGGATAAGAGAGCGTTTTTGATGTGTAACTCAGTCGGCGGCGTGGCCGGATTACAAGCGGCGTTGGATAAACGGGAGAATATTTTGGGATTGTGTTTGATTAACATCAGCATGAGAGGGTTGCACGTGACGAAACAACCGGCGTTTGCGAAACCGATAATCGAGGCGTTTCAGACGTTTTTGAGAACGTCGCCGATTGGGCCGAAGTTTTTCGCCAACGTCGCGAGGAAAGAGACGGTGTCGAACATTTTGAAGGAGGCGTATCACGATTCGGGAGCGGTCACGGATGAATTGGTGGACGTAATTTTGAAACCAGGCATGACGGAAGGTGCGAGTAAAGTATTTTTGGATTTTATTTCCTATTCCGGTGGGCCGTTGCCGGAAGATTTGTTGCCGCAAGTGAGCCAAGGGGAGAACGCGACGCCGACGTTGATGTTGTGGGGGGAGAAAGATCCGTGGGAGAAGATGGAAGACGGGAGGAAGTTGTACGAAAAATACGCGAACGCTGGGTTTACCGTTTTGAAAGGTGCCGGGCATTGCCCGATGGACGAAAATCCAGCGCTGGTGAACCCGTTGATGAGCGAGTTTATCGAGAGATATTCATGAAAAAATGTTGTAAAAACAATAGACTTGAAGAAGGGACACGCGTAGCAAACGAACCAAACGATTTTGAACTCTTTTTCTCTCTCTCTCTTTCTCTCTCTCTCTCTTCGTTTCGACAAACATTTCCAGCTCAGTAATGTAAGGCTTTTGATTTCAGTATGATACAAACATTCATTGGAAAGAAGACCATTCTCTTTGTAAAAGAGAAAAAACAAAAGATTTCGTCATCGCTAGTCGAGAGGAGGAGGAGGAGGAAGAAGGAGAGAAAGAGAGACCAAACCGCCGCTCGCCGCTTCTACTCACACCACCAACAAAAGCGCATACATCAATTTATATATACTTTTATAATGAACCAACAATTTCGTTCGAATTAAACAACAACGTCTTATACTCTTCTTAAGCAGACTCCCCAACCGTCTTTTCGATGATATCCGAGTCCCCCGCGTCCAAGATGCTCAAGCACGACACTCTGTAAAACCTACCGCACGCCGTCCCCAAGTCCACGTTGTTCCCGGTGTAATGGTGCACGCCGGTTTTCGCCAACATGGCGTAGTATTCAATCTCGGATTTTCGCAACGGCGGAACGTTGTTCGCGATGAGAATGAGTTTCGCTTTCCCGGAGCGAAGGGTTTTGAGGACCGTTTTGTACCCGAGCTGTTTTTGTTTAAGAGAGAAGAAGAAGAAGAAGAACACAAACGATGAGAACGCTTCGCTTTGCGAAAGAAGAACGAAAAAGCGAGAGAGAGAGAGAGAGAGCCCGCGAGAAAGAACTCGAGCATCGTCCGAAGAGAGTAGTACACCTCGAGAAGAAGGGCCGCCACACAAAATCTCAAATCTTTTGGTTTTGGACCCTAGAAGAGAGAGAGAGAGAGAGATCGCATCGAAACCAATCGCTCGTTCGTACCGTGTACTTCCCGGATCGCATGACAACTTGTAAACGGTTGTTGATGCCTTCTTGCGTTTTCTTCGACGAAAGTTTCGACATTTTAAAAAGACTGACTCGTATTTAATAACGCAAAGTGTGTGTGTGTGTGTGTGATAAACTCGCCTTCTTAAGCAGTGACGCCGCGAATTTCTTTTGACTGTGAGGACATTTCACCCACAAAACGAGGACGGCGTTGTGCTTGGTTTCTCATTTAGGGTTTATAGTAACCCTAAATTGAAGCGAATCAAGAGCACACGAACGAGACAACGTATGGTAGTAAACGCCTTTTCCCGACGGCGGAAAGAGAGAGGAAAGGCGTCAAAAACAAGAACGCTGCAACGCAACGAGCCGCCTGTAACGCAGAAGAACAACGACAACTTTTCACGTCATAATATCACAAAAGAAGGCGCGAGGAGGACGCAAAAACAAAGGCACAAGAAGAAGAGAAAAAGATGAGGATTTCGATTGGTTTTCTCCAAATCTTCTTCCTCTTGTGTATTGCCGCGCCGACGAGGACGACGATTTGTTTCGCGCTGAAGCAAAGCGATGATGGAAGTTCCGTGCCTTCCTCGAGAGGAATAGGAGGAAAGAGATCGTCATCAAAATCATCATCGTGGCGGGGCAACGCGGCGACGAAACGACCGGATGATTTCAAAGCGTTCCAAGCGAAAGACAACATGGAGGAGCTCGAATTCGCCACGTTTTCCAGCGGAGATTTTGCGAAAGCGGAAGCGCGGTACGGGTGTTTGCGAGACGTATTCGCGACGAACGTCGGATACAGTTCTCTCAACGCGGATTGGCGGCAAAGATTTAAAGTTGGCGAGAAAGAGCGCGTGTTGATGCAAGGCCATCGCGTGAGCGGAGACGACGTGGAAACCGTTCGCGTGTACTACGAAGGCGGGATGCGGACGTACAAAACGTTGCTCGACATGCACTTTCAGATGTTGGAACCGGAACCGTGGGTGGTGAGAAGAGGTCAAGGCGACTCGAAGATGTACGCGCACGCGATATATCCGCACACGCAAGAGCAGCTGAAAGCGGCGACGGAAATCGTAAAAGAGAAACACGAGAAGAGGATTGGACCGAGAGGCGAACGCGTGGCGACGAAAATCGTCCAGAATTTACGTAAAGACGACGGCGCGTTTAACTTTCGCCCGGTGGAACGAGAAAAGCAAAAATCCCAGCTGATGAACAGAGTAGAGTTACAAACCACCCAAGCGAAATGGAATACGGACGAGCACTTTAAGAACGACTCGTGGGTGTTTAACTCCACCGAGGCGATGTTCGTCAACGGCTACTTAGCCGGCGCGTGTAGCCAAAACGACCACGACGGTTTCGAAAAACCCCACGACGACGTGGAGAACACGCTCCGATCCTTCGAGATGAATCTCGAGCGGTTGGAGAGTTTAGGATTAGTGCACTTACACCCGGACGTGGTCATGGTGCCTCCGTTGGGCGGTAAAAAACAACTGGACAAAGATAGAGAGGAGATGTTAAAGAGGCAAGAAAGGATCAAGCGAGGTTTGCCCGAATTTGAAGACTTTGACGAGTTCGATGATGAAAAAGTCAAACACAAAGACAAAGACGGAGAACTCTAGCAGTATGAGCAGTAGTAGGAGCCGCAGTTGTAGTAATAATAGCAGTAGTAGCAGTACTTTTGAACTCTTTTTTTGGTTCCTTTTTTCCTTCTTTTTCCCTCAAAAATTCAGCAAAGCGCGCGAGAGTTCTTCCGTAGGACGGGCGACACGAGCGGCAGATACACACACCCCGCGCAATACTATCAGATGATATGAACATGAGTAGTCGTTTATCGTAATATAGACGTAAAAAGAGAGAAACGCGCTCCCCAGAGAGAGAGAGAGAGAGAGACCGGTGATGATGTTATTGTTGGGGGAAATGCGGACGAGAACGACGCGCGGAAGAAGCACCCGCGCGCGCCCGCATAAAACGTTCCTCTTCCTCTTGCTCCTCTGTCTCGCGATCGCGATCGCTCTCGTCGCAGGTGAGGAGACTGAAAAAGCAGGAGCAGCGACGGCATCTCGCGATCGTCGTCGAAAAGAAAAGAAAATCACGACGACGACGACCACGGGGAAAGAAAGTCGTCCCGCGGCTAAAATGAATCAAATGGGCGAAGGCAATCATCGCGGCGTCGCGACCACCGGCGGTGGTGTTACTATCAAAAGAAAAGAAACGAACGACGAGAACGAATACGAACAGCTAAAGACGCGGTTTATCGACGCGAAGAACGTGCCGATATGGGAGGAACCGACGGAGAGCAGTTTGGTGCAATCCTCTGTGTCCTCCACCTCTTCAAGAGGGCAACGAAGCGAAGCGTCGGAGCGACGAGAGGCGCAAAAATTTAACTTCATCGGCAACGCGATGAAGATGGCCACGAAAGAGAAAGACGTGGACGCGGTCATTTCGAGTTATTTGACGAAGAAGAGCGCGGAAAGCGGCAGCCTTCCGATATCTTCCTTGGTGGAAGAAGAGCAAAGGCTCGGCGTGCCCGGGTTGATGGAGACTTTGATCGGGAAAAGAGAGGAGACGGAGATCGAGAGGAAGTCTAGGTTTCCCGAGCACGTGTTTGGGGCGACCAGGAACGTGGAGAAGAACCAAAAGACCAGAGATGGGTGGGAGCTGACGTTTAGCGATGAGTTTGATTTGGATTATTTAGATTTGGAGAAGTGGACGCCGAGGAACGGCGCGCCGACGAGCCGAAGAGGTGTTGGTGGTGTCGTTGGAAAGCCAGGCGTAGAGAACAGTGCAAACGAATTCAACGCGATGTCGCAATTAGGAGCATCTAAGAGTCATCACGGTAGTAATAGTGGAGGGGGTGGGAGTAGCGATAGTAGTAGAAGCGGCGAGAGTAGTGATATTATTAGCGGGGGCGAGAGAAGACGAAATGGCCAAAAGTCTCGAGCAGCGGCGTCGACGAGTGGAAAAGGATCATTTCTAGGCGAGCAAGAGGAAGAAACCGTCGACAAGGAGACGTGGTTTCACGAGAGAAACTGCAAAGTTGTCGATGGAGCTTTGGTCATCGCCTCGAGGAAAACGGTTGGAAAGTACGACAAACCGAAAAACTTTGACGACGATAACGACGATAACGGGGTCTTCTTGGACATTCCCGGAGCGCAAAAGTTCTCTGAATCTGAGTTTCCGTTTGAGTCGTGTTATATTGATTCGTCTAAAGCGTTTAGTCAGGTCTATGGTCGATACGAGGTGAGAGCGAGACTTCCGGGATTGTCGTACGACCCGAACGATAAAGACACGTGCGCCGGAGTGTTTCCGAGAATTGAATTACTTCCAGATCCAGATAAAACGGTACCGAAGGACGCGTGTTGGCCGAGAGGTGGCGATATTCGCGTCGCGCAGGCGTTTGGACAAGGCCGAGGCGGTCCAGGTGCGAAGATTGGCGCGGTAGAGTCTGGATTTCACTTCATGCCTTCGGGAGCAACGTGCGGGGTGGACGGGTACGTCGTCGATCGCACTCGACCGTTCGAGTTGATGAATCAAGTGGAAAAGAGCGAGTATTTAGCGATGAATTCGTCTGCATCCTCGTCGGCATCTGCGACTTCATCGTCAAGATTAGGCGAAGAGGAGAAGATCAAGTTCAACGCGGATTGGGCGAGAGAGTTCCACGTTTTTGCGGTCGAATGGGATAAAGAGTCTTTACGGTTCTTTATCGACGACGTCTTCACGCACGAAGTCAACGCGTATTCGGCTCCGATGATTCCTCGATGGCCGTTCTTCGTTGGGATTGGAACGTCAGTATCTCCGTACGGTGTCTTGGAAGCGCTAAAAAACTGTGAGCAAGACGATCAGTTTGCCATCATCGATTACGTTCGCGTGTACTCAAAGAAATCTCCGCACGAGGTCATCAACAACGAAGTGTACTTCTTCTGGTTGTTCGCGGTAATTGTATTGCCGACGTTAGCAACCATGTACTGCTCGGCAAAGTATTTGATTCGACAAGTCATTCGCGAAGATTTATTCGGGGCTGACGAAAAAGGATCTGGTAACTTTGGCGACGGTTCGTCGAACGTAGGCGGCGGTAATTCGATGGAATCTGGCGGTAACGGCGATCATCATCTCGGCATGAGTGGTAAAGTAAAAGGCGTCGCATTTGAATCCTTATCGGATGAAAAGCGACGACGTCGTCGCTTGTTGCGCAAACTCAAACGCGAGATGGGCGTCGTCGATTCAATCACCGTCGGCACCACCGAACCTTTGTTGACGAAAATCTTACACGAGAAAGAGGAAATCGCGAAAGCAAGAGTCGAGCGCGCGTTTAAGGACGAAGGCGCGATAAATAATGGTGCCGCCGAAGGTTTGGAAGACGACAGTTACCGTAAATACTCCAAGCAACCAAAGATGCAAAAGGAGACCAAGAACGTCGGCGGCGTGACATTACGACTGCCGGATATCACGCCAAAGCGCGGCGGCATGCAATCGACCTATTTCAGCGAAACGAGCGATTTCACGACCGAAGCCGAAGGCGTTGGTTCTGGTGACAATCGTCACCATCGTTCTTCGGGAGGTGTAAGCAGCGATTCGGGCAGCGGTGGTCAAAGACAATACGGAAGCGGAGAGTTATGATATAAAGCACGTTCTGATTACGACTGATAATTTCACGACGACGAGAGAAAAATTTAGCTTAGCTACTACGCATACATAGAAAAAGTTTAGACGAAGAATACAAGCGTAACACGCAGCAATCTTATTATTATTCGCGCGTTAACTACGAACACCGAAGACTACCGTCCTCTCCCTCCTCCAATTCTCCCGCCTCTTCCTCTTCCTCTCCCGCCGCCTATCTTTTTCGGCTTCAAACCCGTCACCGCTTGCGCTTCCAAAGCCGCCTCTCTCGCGAATATTTTCAGCTTATCCGGCGCGTTCGTCAACTCCGCTTTCCTCGACTGCTCTCTCGCTTCCTCTAATAACTTCTTCACGTCCTCTCCCTTCGGATTTGCAATCGCGTCCGCCTCGCTCGCGCACTTGGAGCACTTTTGCTTCCCTGGACCTTTATTTCTCAACTGGGAACGCGCGAACTCCGTTTCCGGTTTTCGCTCTTTACACTTTGAACACTCGTGTAACGCGCTCCCTTTATTCTCCTCGTCGATCTTCAATCCTGCCATCGTCGTCGTCTGTATCGTCTCTTCTTCCTCGCGTTCGCTGCATCGTAAGCACACGAGCGAGGCGTTTTCGTTCGCTCGTTTCTTCTTCACTTGCGCGTGGCTGAACTCGCACGCCGGGAGTCTTTTCCTCGCGCACGCGGAGCAACTGAACGCGCCGTGCCACGAGGTCGGATGTGAGTTCGTTTCCACGCCGAGACGTTTGAGTTTTTGTTGTTCTTTCGTCTTCTCCTCCTCCTCACTCATCCTCGCTCGTACACGCTCGTCGCTCGTCGTTTCTAACGACTTTTGGAATCGAATTTCATCACAAAAGAAGACGCGCGACGGAAACGACGAGACGAGACCAACAACGAGAACATTAAGGAACTGGGGACTTTAGTCGTGCTTTTCACGAAACGACTCTGAAAATAATGACGACTCTAAAAAAACTCTGCGTGTTTTGCGGCTCCTCCTCTGGACGCGATTCGCGTTACGTCGAGGAGGCGAAAGCGCTCGGGGAATATCTCGCGTCTGAAAAGATCCAACTGACGTACGGCGGCGGATCGATCGGCTTAATGGGCGCAATCGCGAACGCCGCCTACGACGAAGGACAAAATCGAGTCCTAGGAATCATCCCAGTCGGTTTGTGCGCGCGAGAGATCTCCGGGGAAACCGTCGGGGAGCAGATTCAAACGAAAGATATGCACGAAAGGAAACGACTGATGGCGGAGAATTCGGACGGGTTCGTCGCTTTGCCGGGAGGATTCGGAACCATGGAGGAACTGTTCGAAGTCATCACGTGGCAACAGTTAGGGTACCACAAGAAACCAATAGGGGTATTAAACGTGAACGGCTATTTCGACAGTTTGTTGACGTTTTTAGACGAGGCGCGAGAGAGCGGTTTCGTCAGCGAAGAAGCGAGGAATATCGTCTTGAGCGACGACGACGCCGAGAGGTTGATCGGGAAGATGCGGCAGTACACAGCGCCGAGAGGGGTGATAGAGCAAGAATTTCAAGGGTAATTTATGTTACGTTATGTTAAAATACAAAAGGTTTGAACGGTTTTTCACGTATTATTCAATCGATCAATCTTCCTCCTCTTCCTCTTCCTCCGTTTCTTGTTTCAACTCCTCCCACGTCTCGTCGTCGTAGACGAACTGCGCGCCAATCATGTACGCTTCGTTCTCCGCATCAAACTCCGCTTTCACTTTCGACACCGGCACCGTGATGCCGTACACGGTCCCAAACTTCACGTCGTCTTTCACTTTCACGTCCACCGGAACGTCCTCGTCCACCTCCACGTATTGCTCCACCACGTCGATGATCTTCTGTTTCATCTCTTCCATGCTTTGATCGCTCATCGTGCATCGATCGGCGACTAAGATCATCCGTAAACGTTTCTTCGCTTCCGCCCGGGCCGTGTCCGCCTCGGACGGGGGGAAAAAAATCCGGTACGCCGCGGAGAGTTTCCCCCAAAACGTCGTTTCCGTCGCGACTTTTGCCTCGTCGAATATATTTGAGATGTCCGATTTCGTTTTCAACCCGATGCCTCCTCCGGTGTTTTTGCTCGACGATGATGATGATGATTCGGCATAGGAAATCGCCGCTCTTCTTCCTCTTCTTCTTTCTCCTCTCGACGAAGGCGAAGAAAAAGAAGTCGAGCACGAGGACGAGGCAGAAGAGGAGGTCTTCCCGACGCGGCCTCTGAAAGACGCGGAGGACGAGAGAAGTTGGTGTTGCGCGCAAGACGCCATTTTTGTTTTATTCAAACTTCTTTCTTTGTTTGGAGTTGGTTCGTCTTTTTGTTTGTGGAGATTCAAAAAAAAAAAAATCTCATCCCAAAGGACAAAAAAAAACAACCAAAAGCACAAGAGAGAGAACTTCGTTTCTCGACGGTATTTTGTACGCGCGAACGCATCTGTATATCTGCGCGCTCAAAACGAGCCGCGAATCGCAAAACTCTCTCTCGTTTTACTCCGTTTGTTTTTCTTTCGTAGGAGTGTATTGTTTCATCACAAAGACAGATATACACTATATAGAGAGTGCTCTTTTTTTCTGATCTCGCGCGTGTATTTTTTCCACCTCTTCCTCCTCAAAAAAAAGGAGAGGCAAATTTTTCTTCGGTCTTTCAGAGAGGTTGGGCTGCAACAAATGCCCCTCGTCAGAACTGTGCTCCCACGTTCACGAGCGGCTGTGAATGAAAAGAGTTTGATTTTTAACCACGCGCAGACGTTTTGAGAAGGTTTTTTTGTAGTCCCAACTCTTACGAGATATCATAGCAAGTGTAAAGTATTTTTGTTCTGTTTTTAAACTCTCTTCTCCGTTAAAAATTCAAAAAAACACAAGCACGAGAGAAAAAATCGACAATTTTTTCTGTGGAAAACAAGCGAAACGTCACACCACACACAAACCACCACACGACAAAGTCAAAAAATGGCATCATCATCATCATCGAAGAAGAAGAAGCAGAAAACGGAGGAGGTAAAAGAAGAAGAAGAAGAAGAAGACCAAGACGACCAAACGACGATCGCAGTATCGCCATCTCCGGAGGACAGAGTCGTCGAGACGAATAATAATAAGGAGGAGGAGAAGAAGAAGAGCGAGAACGAAAACGGGACGAGGAAAAAAATGACGACGATGGAGAAAGGATTTGCATCATCGAACGATGGTGACGACGAGGAGACGAGAGGAGGAGAAGGAAACGGAGAGGAAGACCAAGAAGACGTGCAAGAAGATTTATCTCTGATTGACGTCAGCGAAGGCGCCATCGAGGAAGAGCGGAAGTTGATGAAAGAGAGAGAGGAAGAGAAGGAGAAGAACCAAGATCAGACGAAGGAGATTACCAGTCCCGAGCAGGTGGTTTTGGACGATAAGAAGTTTGAACATTTGGACGAGTTGTTGAATAAGACGAACATGTATACGGAGTTTTTGAAAGAGCAGATGGAGGAAGGGCAAGAGGAAGACGACGACGACGACGACGACGACGACGTTGATTTGACGAAGAATAATAACAGCAAGAAGCGAAAGTCCACCGGCGGCGCGGGTACGAAGAAAGAGAAGAAGACGGACGCGGAAAAGACGCGAGAGTTGTTGCCGCTGATGGATCCGAGCGCAGTTTTGAGAGGGTACCAGTTGAGAGGGGTGAAGTGGTTGATTTCGTTGTGGTCGAACGGTTTGAACGGGATCTTAGCGGATCAGATGGGTTTAGGGAAAACCATTCAAACGATCGGGTTTTTGAGTCACTTGAGGAGCAAAGGGATTTGCGGTCCGTTTTTGGTGGTCGGGCCGTTGTCGACGCTGTCGAATTGGATCAACGAGTTTAAGAAGTTTTGCCCGGCGTTTCCGACGGTTTTGTACCACGGGAGTAAGCAAGAGAGGGCGAACATTAGAAACACGCGCATGCCGGTGAGATCGGTCGTGGACGAGACGTTTCCGGTGATTGTGACGTCGTTCGAAATCGCCATGTTTGATCGCAAGTTTTTGCAAAAGTATCAGTTCAAGTATTTAATCGTGGACGAAGGACATCGATTGAAGAATTTCGATTGCAAGTTGATTCGAGAGTTGAAGATTATTCCAGCCGCGAATAAGTTGTTGTTAACTGGAACGCCGTTGCAGAATAACTTGCCGGAGTTGTGGTCGTTGCTGCACTTTTTGTTGCCGGACGTGTTTTCGTCCTTGGACCAGTTCAAGAGTTGGTTTGATTTCAGCGAAGAGTTGGACGATAAGGTTGAGTTTGCCGAACGAGAGCAACAAAGACGCGCGAAAGTCATCTCTAAATTACACGGGATTCTAAAACCGTTTTTGTTGAGACGGTTAAAAGGCGACGTGGAGATTTCGTTGCCGAGAAAGAAGGAAATTATTGTATACGCGAGCATGACCGAGACGCAAAAGAAGTTCAACGACGCCATGGTCGATAAGACGATCGAGGATATGTTGAAGAAAGAAGCAGGCGGAAATCGAGTGCCGGTTGGTTCTACCGCTTTAAACAACATGCTCATGCAATTAAGAAAGAACTGCAATCACCCGGATTTGATATCTGGCGGGTTAGATGGTTCCATCATGTTCCCGTCCGCGGAGGAGTTGGTCGCGCAGTGCGGCAAAATGCAATTGTTGGATCGCTTGTTGACCTCTTTGCGTAAAAGTGGTCACAAAACGTTAATCTTTTCGCAAATGACGAGAATGTTAGATTTGTTAGAATCGTTCTTTGAACAAAGAGGCGAGCGCGTCTGTCGCATCGACGGTTCGGTGAAACAAGAGCAAAGAAGAGACGCCATCGACGCGTTTAACAAAGACCCGACCGTGGATATTTTCTTGTTGTCCACTCGCGCTGGCGGTTTAGGTATCAACTTAACCGCCGCGGATACGGTCATCATCTACGATTCCGATTGGAACCCGCACGCGGACATGCAAGCGATGGATCGCGTTCACAGAATTGGTCAAACGAAGCCGGTGCACGTCTACCGCTTAGCCACGGCGAACTCGGTGGAAGGCAAAATGCTTTCCCGAGCGGCGTCAAAGTTGAAACTCGAAAAATTGGTCATTTCCGGCGCGAACTTGAAGCAAGGCACGACCAAACAAAAATCCACCGAGTCCATGTCCACGGAAGAGCTCGTCCAACTCCTCAAAGGCGGTGGAAGTACCGGTACGGACGAAGACATGCCGCAATCCGGAGTCATCTCGGATAAAGATTTGCGAGTCATTACCAGTCGTAAAGATTTGACCGGCGAACAGGCGAAACCGAACCCGGAGAGAGGCGTTGGATGGGAAGACGTGGAAGACCGCTCGGGCATGTCTTTGTTAGGCAACGTCGAGAAGAAGTAATTCTTCTAAGTAATAAAATACGTATTTCATTTCATTTCACATTCCGTTTTTTGTTTGTTTCTTCTTGATGATGAACTTTTTTTTTTGAAACAAAACGAACTGGTTGGCACGAATCTGAGGATTTCCTACCGTTTGATTTTGTTGACCTTTCTCGAACTCTCTCTCTAGGGCAATAATCATTTCCGCATAATTTATTATATCTCTCTTCACTCTCTCTCGAAGGAAAAGGAAACGAAACGACCTTTGGCGCGTTTCGATAGTAATAAGACGCTCGACTACTCGCACGCGAAAGACGGAGACTTTTGTGAGATCGAAAAAGGTGCGCGCTTTTCATCTCTCTCGCCTTCATTTAAACGCGAAGGACAATTTTTCTCTCGAGCTTCTACACGGGTATAAATTGGTTGAGCGTTTAAAAATAAGAATAACAAAAGCGCCGCTTTGCTGTTTTGGGGGCCGCGTCGATCTTTTTTATTAGCATCGACGCGCGACGGCGGCGTTCCCGAATAGCGCGCGTTGGTCTCGCGCGGGGAACGCGAGAGCGCGCGGCAAAGTTCCAAAAAGCCGAGAGGGCAAAGTGGCATTTCAATTTTGCCCTTGTACTCACTTCTCTCTTTTTCTCTCAATTTTTTCTTTAGGATGAAGAAAACGTTTGTGTCGTTGTTGTTGTTGTTCGCGACGTTCGGCGCGCACGGTTTCGGGATAGGCAATAGCCAAGACCCCTCCCCCCCCCCCCCTCCAAGAAGAATTTGTGCAAGACCCCCCCCTCCAAGAAGAAGTTGTGCAAGAAGATGACGCTTCTTCTTCCATATGCGCGGCGGAAGGGGAATGGAAAACAAACATGTGTGCGAAAAGTATTGATTTTTACGGAGACGTCACATGCCGCAAAAAATTGTTGGTGGTGCAAGAAGACGGCTCCACGATAGATATTGTGGAAACGATAACAACTTTGTTCGCGGAAAATTTGGAGCTTAAAAATCGTTTGGCAGCCGTCGAGTCGACGCACGGGTGGTTCTTCAAACCGCCGAGTCCACCACCGCCGAGTCCACCACCGTCGGTACCAATCCCAGACGACGGCAGTTGGCATACTTTCGTCGCCGAGTGTTTGGCCGAAGCTCCGGTCACCGGCGAGTGCACTGACTGGGCGTCTGGTAATAACTACGGCGCGATGCCGAATTGGGACGTGAGTTTGGTGACGGATATGAGTGGATGGACTGGAAGTGCACATAAAGGCTTTGGCGGTAAAAGTACATTCAACGCTGATATTTCGAAGTGGGATACAGGGAAAGTGACTTCTATGTATTATATGTTTCTTCGAGCTCCTGCGTTCAACCAAGACATTGGGAGTTGGAACACGGCGCAAGTGACTACTATGTATGGAATGTTTAATTCCGCTTCTGCGTTCAACCAAGACATTGGGAGTTGGAACACAGCGCAAGTGACTTTTATGCATGGAATGTTTTATCTCGCTTCTTCGTTCAACCAAGACATTGGGGGTTGGAACACAGCGCAAGTGACTGATATGAAATCTACGTTTGAGCGCGCTTCTGCGTTCAACCAAGACATTGGGAATTGGAACACAGCAAAAGTGACTACTATGTTTTATATGTTTAAGTTAGCTTCTGCGTTCAACCACGACATTTCCTCGTGGACCGGATCCGCGGCGACAACAGCGCAAGGCGACATGTTTACTTCCGCAACTGCGTTTCAAGCGAAATTTTCGTGCACCAACGCCGTCACCGGTCCGGCGAATTCGTGCACGTGTACCAAGTGCTTCCCGGACGCGAGTTGGCACGTTTTTGTCTCGGAATGCTTAGAACTTGAACCGAAATACGGCGAATGCATGAGTTGGGATAAAGTAGGGACGTACGGGACGATGCCGAATTGGGATACCGGATTGGTGACGGATATGGGTAAAAAATACTCCTCGGAAAGAGGTTACATGGGGTTCTACAATCAAACAGATTTCCGAGGCGATCTTTCGAAATGGGACACGTCGCGCGTGAAATCCATGGAATCTATGTTTTACGACGCCGCATCGTTTATTGGCGACGGCATCTCAAATTGGGACGTTTCTCACGTGACGAATATGGATAGCATGTTTTATAAATCTTTGGCGTTTAACCAACCTATCGGGAGTTGGGACACGTCCAAAGTCACGGACATGTACGCAATGTTTGAATCTGTCGCCTCGTTTAACCAGGACATTACAAACTGGGACGTCTCTCAAGTGACGAGCATGGAACGGATGTTTTACGAGTGTTCTTCATTCGACCAAGACGTTTCTGCGTGGACTGGTGTCGCGTCCACGACGGCGCAAACCGACATGTTTTACGCGGCGACTTCGTTTCGAACGAAATTCGCGTGCGCGAACGCGAACGACGGCCCGGCGAATACGTGCACGTTGCCGGAACCGATTCTCGATGCAAACTGGCACGCGTACGTCGCAGAGTGTTTAGCGATTGCGCCGATGGATGGTTTGTGCACTTCGTGGGACAAATACGGCGCGCACGGCGCGATGCCGAATTGGGACGTGAGTTTGGTGACGGATATGAGTGGAATGACTGGAAGTGTTTTTCAAGGCTTTGGCGGTAAAAGTACATTCAACGCTGATATTTCGAAGTGGGATACAGGGAAAGTGACTGATATGAATCATATGTTTTATAAAGCTTATGCGTTCAACCAAGACATTGGGAGTTGGAACACGGCGCAAGTGACTTCTATGAGAGCTATGATTAATCAAGCTTCTGCGTTCAACCAAGACATTGGGAGTTGGAACACAGCGCAGGTGACTAATATGGAATATATGTTTTATTCCGCTTCTGCGTTCAACCAAGACATTTCCTCGTGGACCGGATCCGCGGCGACGACGGCGCAAACTGAAATGTTTCGCGACGCGACTGCGTTTCAAGCGAAATTTACGTGCACCGACGCTGTCACCGGTCCGGCGAGTTCGTGCGTAGGTCCCTCGCCAATTCCAGACGCGAGCTGGCATGCTTTCGTCGGGGATTGTTTGATGTGGGAGGAATCTCCAGTGATTGCGGAGACTGGAGAATGTATAGACTGGGCTCGATCGAAAGATGTTTGGTACGGGACGATGCCGAATTGGGATACGAGTTTGGTGGAAGATATGCGTGGATGGACTGGAAGTGCTTATCAAGGCTTTGGCGGTAAAAAGACATTCGACGGCGACATTTCGAAGTGGGACACCGGGAAAGTGACACAAATGACACAAATGTTTAAGTACGCTTCTGCGTTCAACCACGACATTTCCTCGTGGACCGGATCCGCGGCGGCGACGGCGCAAACTGGCATGTTTACTTCCGCAACTGCGTTTCAAGCGAAATTTACTTGCACCGACGCTGTCACCGGTCCGGCGAATACTTGCACGTAAAAAGATTCTTCTTTATTAGTCTCTGGCTTTAATAAATGCTGTCGGAACAGACCCAAAGTCGTCGTTGGAAGTTTTTACAAGTGATCATCTCGCGTTCGCGTGATAAAAATATGGTGACTCATACGTCTCTCTCTCCTCGCCGCCTGTTCCCAATAAAAAGCCGAATTCAACAAAAAAATCACTCTCCTTGTTTTCCTCAGTTTTCTTTTCCCTCTGATAAACTATACACACACACACGCACACGAGAGAGAGAGAGAGAGAGAGTATGTTCGCAACTCCCAGCGCACCGTCGTGTTCTTCGTCGACGTCAAAAGTCTTCCTGTCCAGCCGAAGTAAAACCGGGTGGGCTTCTGTTTTGAAATCATCGTCGTCGTCAAAATCGATCGCAGATAAGAGGACGAAGACGTTCCGAAAATCATCGTCGTCGTCGTCCTCTCCCTCTCGCGTTGTGGTTCGAGCGTCGTCGGAACAACCGAAAGACCCGCTTTTGGTCCGTGCAGCTCGAGGCGAGAAGACCGAACGCCCCCCCGCGTGGATGATGCGTCAAGCCGGGAGGTACATGAAAGTCTACCGCGACTTGGCGGAGAAAACGCCATCGTTTCGCGAGCGCTCGGAGACGACGGATTTGATCGTCGACATTACTTTACAACCGTGGAGAGCGTTCCAGCCGGATGGGGTGATTTTGTTTTCAGATATTTTAACGCCGCTACCGGCGATTGGGATTCCGTTCGAAATCGACGATTACAAAGGGCCTTTGCTGGATAAAACGATTCGATCGGAGGAGGACTTGAAGATGATGCACTCGATGGATTATAGCAAAGTTCCTTTTATCGAGGAGTCGTTGAAAATTTTACGCAGCGAAGTCGGCGACACGGCGACGTTGTTGGGGTTTGTCGGCGCGCCGTGGACGTTGTGCACGTACATCGTGGAAGGACAGTCTTCGAGCACGTATAAGACGATTAAATCGATGGCGTTTAGTAACCCGACGTTGTTGAAGAAGTTGCTGTCGAACGTGGCGGATTGCATCGGGGAATACGTGATTCATCAAATTAACTCGGGGGCGCAGTGCGTGCAGATTTTTGATAGTTGGGGTGGGCAGTTGCCGCCGCACATGTGGGAGGAGTGGTCGAAGCCGTACATACAGCAAGTGATTGCAAAGGCGCGGTCGAAGTACCCGAACGTGCCGTTGACGTTGTACGCGAACGGGAACGGCGGGTTGTTAGAGAGGATGGCGTTGTTAGATATCGATTGCATAGGTTTGGATTGGACGATTGATATGGCGGACGGTAGAAAGAGGATTAATTCCGTGCAGGAGAAGGCGGTGCAAGGGAACGTGGATCCAGTAGTTTTGTTTGCCAGCGAAGACGCGGTTGAGGAGGCAGTGAGAACGGTGTGTAAGAAAGCCGGGCCGAAAGGGCACGTGTTGAATTTAGGCCACGGGGTGTTAGTCGGGACGCCGGAGGAGAAGGTGAAACACTTCTTCGACGTGTCGAAAACGATCAAGTACGATTAAAATTCTTTGTTTTCGAGTTCGTCGGGGATTTGATGATGATGATGACGATGACGATGCTAATAATGATGTTGATGTGTAGAGAGCTAGCGTATTGATTCGATTGTTAATATATATTTTACATCGTTGCGACTTACGAGAACTATTTTCTTACGTACCTGGTACACCAACTTGCTAACTTTTTACTAAATTAATTGAGGAGCATCCTCGCGCATTGCTCCGCTAATTTTTTCGAACTCTCGTCGTCCAACACGAACGCGTGTTCGTAACTCTCATCCGTGACGATTTCGAGTTCCTCTAAACCGATTTCTTCCATCAACTCGTCCCTCTGGTGCAAAGGCCCCCAGTGATCTTCCTTTGCGTAGACGAAGCAAATCTTCTTCGCGTGCGCTTTCAAAACGTCCACCACGTTTCTTTTCCAATCGCGTAAAAACTTAAACTCCGTGTCTCCCATGAGTGCCATATTCACTAACGACATTTCTCGCGCCCATCTCTTGGTGACTGATATACCCAACTCGCATTTCATCCCTCGAGTCGCGCTTCTCTCGATTGTCTTTTTCAACGCTTTAAACTTTTGCATAAACCCGAGAACTTTCGCCACCACGCGCACGACCACGCGTTGGCTCACCAACCACGCGAGGAACTTCTGCACATTCGATCTCTCGTTTACGTGCAAAAACGGCATCAATCCAACCATTTTTTTCACGTCTTCTTCCCGCATCTCCTTCACCGCGTGCATCGCGACGTGCGCACCGATGGAATGCCCGACGAGAAAACACGCGTTCTCTTCCTCCACTCTCGAGCGAACGTACTTCAGCACGTGCGCTTTCTGCTCTTCCAGAGTGAACCACCGTCGCGTCTTGGCACTCGTCAAACTTCCATCCGCGTAGTGCCCGAGAAATCCCACGCACTCGACCGTAACCGATCGACGACGAACTTTATTTTCATTTTGCTGTTGCTCTTCTTCTTTGAGCAAAGCTTCGCTCAGCGCTCGCGCAAAGTTGGAGTAATACTCCGCCACGCCCGGGTTCCCAGGAACGCATAAACACAAAATACCATCATCGTCGCATTCATCCTCCGTTTTTAAACACAAAATACCATCATCGTCGCATTCATCCTCCGTTTTTGTTGTTTTCCTCGTCGCCGTCGCGCGCACGACTTCAAACGCTTCTTCTTCCTTCGCGTCGTCCGCATCCAAAACCAATCGCTCCACGCGCACATCTACGATGGCCCCGTCGGGGGTGTTCAGGCCGCTGCTCTTCCTTCGCGCTCGCTCTCCGAGACGCCCTCTCGTCGACCGCCGAGCGGGAACCATCATCGCACCGCCTCTTCTCGACGTAAACGACGTTCTCTTCGAGCTCGAGTAAAAGCTCGGTTGTCGTCGAGCCGCCGCCGGCAAAGCGAAGCTTTTCATATCTTTGTGGGGGAAAAACGTGACTTTACGAAAAACGCGTGCGCACCCCTTTTCTTCCCCAACTTCACGCGCACAAGCATGTCTGTCTCATCCCGCGCTTTTGCGAGAGCGCCGTCAAAGTCGTCGTTTACGTCGTCGTTTACGTCGCGCATTCTTCGCAGAGGAGGAGGACGAAGCCACGAGCACGCGAAAAGAAGCGCTTCGAAGCGCTTTTGTCGTCGCGACGCGACCACTTTCCTCGCTTCTTCGTCGTCGTCTTCCGAGACCGACCGGCAGCTTTTAGACAAGATGAAAGTCGCCGTCGCGTCGGCGACGTCCGCGCCGACCGCAAAACACGTGCTCGAGGCGCTGAAAGAACTCTCCTCGCAAGAGTTCGGGTTAGCGAACGTGAAGTTTACCGAAGTGATGGCGAAAATTGACGAATTGTACGACCACGATCCGCAGTTTGGGTACAGCAGTGGCGTCGGGACGGATGGCTTCGAGACGGAGAACAAAGCCGGAGTAAACATGGGGTCGAATAAAGTGTTTTATTTCGCGAAAATGCACGATTTTACGGAAGAGATGACGTTGAGGTTGTTTTGCGAGCACTATCAGGACGTGTTGGATACTCCGGACGGGCAGTCGCATCTGAACATCCGGAGTTTTATGAAGAACGGGTGGGCGGGCGTTCGCTTCGAAGGCGAGACGTTGAGACCGAAAGGAAAGGAAGGGGAGGGGGAGCGAATCGATCAAATCTAACAAAGCATACGTAGGAGTGCGTAGTAAACTAACGGTGGTGGTACCTAGATATAATAATAATCAACGCGCGAACTCTGCTTCTTCTTCTTCTACTACTACTCCTTCTTCTTCTCGCTTTCTTCGCCGGCGTCATCCTCCTCCTCCTCCTCCGTCGCCGAAAGCGACGACGCTACTTTTCCATTAGTATCATCATCATCACCACTATTCCTCTTCCCGCTACTCCTCGTCGGCCTTAATTCCCCGACTCTGTCGATGTATTCAATGTACGCCATCTTCGCCGCGTCCCCGACTCTGATCCTCGTTTGCGTCACTCGCGTGTACCCTCCGCTCCTTCCCTCGTACCTCTCCGCTAACGGACCGAAGAGTTTAATCAGACTCGCATCTGTCCTCAAAATAGCCTTCGCTCTTCGTCTCGCCGATAACGTTCCTTCTTTCCCGAGCGTAATCATCTTATCCGCGACTCGTCTCAGTTCTTTCGCCTTTGGAACGGTCGTTTCTATGCGTTCGTGTTGGATGAGTTGGTCCGCCATCGTTCGTAACATCGCCCAGCGATGGGCGGAATCGCGGCCGAGTTTTCTTAAAGATATTCCGTGTTTGCCCATTAAATTAGTAGTACGTAGTATTACACGTCGCGCGAAACGCAGACGACGACAGAGAGAGAGAAGAATGTGCGTATTCTCGCGCGAAAGTGTGTCTCTTTTTGTCCGTCTGTCTCTGCGCGTAGTCTCGCTCTTAAATCGTAGGGAAAAGTGAAGTCCTTTCCCTCACTTTTGGAGTGCACTTTGCCGACGATGATGCGCTCGACGACTGCGACGACGTCGTCGGTCTTCTGCACTCGCCGCACCCGGCGGTGGCGAGAACAACAGAAACAACAGAAACAACAGAAACAACAGAAACAACAGATCGTCTCGATGAACGCGAGCACTAAAAACGACGGCAAAGACGACGAGCAAAAACTGACCACGACGGATTCCAAAGAGTACTACGCCGGGTTCCTGAACTCACCTCTCGGGGATATCTCCGTGGATAATAGCAGTAGTGAGAGTAGTAACAGTAAAAGAAGAGACTCGATCGCGCCCACGCTGAAATTCGCGATGAATTCAACCGCGGTGGTTCTGGTTTTGTTGCTCGCGTTTTTCGCCAGCAACGGGTTGCTTTTTTAGAGCGAGCGGAGAGTTGCGAGAGCGCGCGTTTTGAAACGGTACGTGATGATGACTTCTATAGTACGCTATCTCTATCTAAACTATCGCTAAACGAACGCCTCCCGGGAGCTCGAGAGACCCATCTCGAACTCTCGGGTCGTTCGGACGCACGAAGTCTTGTTGGTTTTTCTTTTTCCTTCGTCTGCCGTTTTTCTTCTCGTCGTCGCCAAATAATTTTACGCGCGTCTGGTAGTTGATCTGGACCATCTTACGTTCGCAACCGGCGTCTTGGGACAAGCAGCCGCCTTTTCGGGTCGAGGAAAACTTTTTGAAACCGTGAAATCCTCCGTTCTTTCCAAACGCTGCTGGATTTAGAAACGCCAAGAGATTTCCTCCGTACGCGTCGTTCGCCGGAGTGCTATTCGAGCGCAAATCTCTCCTCGCTAACAGCTGTAGTTTACCGCACTCGCCGCATTCGGATTCGTGCGGCCACTCTTCGTTCAAATACACCAACGCGGTCACAACTTTCGACGCGTCGTCGGCGTGAATTCTCCCATCTTCTTTCGTCGCTACGCCTCGAATAGTCGACCGGATAAACGTGTTCGACAAATCCGTCCGGAAGACGCGTTCGAACGCCTCACGCAACGTCGCGCTCGCCATCGCGTCCAAAAACGCTTCGAAATGACCTCCTATTTCGTTCCTTTTCCTGAGCGCGCCTTCGTCGATATTCCCCCCACCGTACGTCGATATTCGCTTCAAACTCTCCGGGAAATCTCTGTTCACTTTGCGTACACACTCTTTCGAGATGAATCCTTTCACGTAGACGTGTTTGAAAGGTTTGCTCGACACTTTGGCGTTGATTAAATCATCAATTCGAAGCGACGAGCACGACTCCTTCTCGTTAGTGTTACTGTTATCACTGATGTTATTACTGTGAGTAGCATCAGAGTCGGCAAAAACATCATCAACAGCGGGGCCAGTGAAACCGATGATGATGGTCCCTGTCGTTGTTTTCTTCGTCGTTATCGTTATCGTGATTAACGCGAAGAGCGCGAAGAAAAACATCAAAAAGCGATAGAAAACGTGATGCATTCTTCTTCTTCTTCTTCTTCTTCGGTTCTTCTTCTTCTCTCAGAGCTTACACATGGTATATCATGGGAACAAATTTGGCGTTTTTATTTTTATACTTGTGTTCTCGTTAAATTGTCTCAGTCAGTACTAAAGGTGTTGTTGTAAAAAATGTATATATCCTTTACTACGCTGCAACGGCGACGAGTTGTTGTTCTTCTTCTTTCTTGCTCATGGCGTCTGAAGACGCGTCACCTTCCTCTGGATAGTCGTGCTCGAAATCTTCGTCGGTTAAACCGTAGCAGTTTTCGATGATAAACTCTCCTTTTTCTACTCGAACGACGTGGGTCGGTCTCAAGGATTCGCAAAAGCCTTTGTTGTGGGAAACGGCGAATAAGGCGCCGTCCCAGTCTTGGAGACCGTCGGTTAAGGCGGAGACCGCGCCAACGTCCAAGTGGTTGGACGGTTCATCCAGAAGTAAGACGTTTCGTGGTTGTAAAACAAACGCGGCGAGCGCAACTCGAGCCTTTTCTCCGCCGCTAAGAGAGCCGATTTTACGTAAAGCCATCGGGCCGGAGATGCCTAACGCGCCGAGCGATTGTCGACCTTCGATTTCTTTCAATAGTGGGTTCTCCACTCTCGCGGTTTCTAGAACGTACTCTAACGCTTGCTTATCCATCGGCAACTCTTGCGCGAGATCTTGCGAGAAGACGCCAAGCTTCACGCGTTCGCCTAACGTGCGCGTGCCCTCGAGCAAAGGCATGGTGCCGGCTAAACTTTTCAGAAGCGTGGATTTACCCGCCCCGTTCGGTCCGAGAACGACCACACGCATTTCGCGAGAGAGTTTAAACTCTTTTCCGTCCTTACTTTTTAAAATCGGCGACTCTTTTTTGTATCCCAAAACGGCGTTTTCCATCATCAACACGTCTTGATCTGACGGCGGCGGTTTACTTAAACGCAAAGCCATTTTCGTGGAATCCCCGGCTTCGCCTTCGGAAAAGTTCGCCGCCGCTTCGCGTTCGAGCTTTCTCATTTCCGTTTCTACTTTAATCAACAGTTTCGCTCTCGAAGACGCCTGCGCGGCTTTAGAGGCGTTGGCGCTAAATCTCGCGACAAAATCTTTCAAATCTGCAGCTTCCGCGGCCAATTTGTTATAACTCGCTTGAGCTACGCGTACTCTTTCGTCTCGGTCTTGTAAAAATTTCGAGTAGTTCCCGACGTACCAATGCAAACCTTTCGCGCGAACTTCCATGATGTGCGAACACGCGCCGTCTAACAAAGACTCTTCGTGCGAGACGATAACGGTCGTATTCGGACTCTTTTTAATCCAATCGGCGAGCCATTTCTTGGAAATCTCGTCCAAATGGTTCGTCGGTTCGTCGAGCAATAAAAGTCCGTTCTCCTCGCTCCCGGCTGGAGACAACAACAATCTCGCCAACGCCACTCTCATCTGCCACCCGCCGCTTAAATTATCGCATTTAATATCCCACTGCTTCCTGGAAAACCCGAGACCGTCCAACACCGCGGCTATTCTCTTTTCTGCGTCGTTCCCGCCGGCGGCTTCAAACTCCGCGTAGCAATCCATCAAAACATCCGCAGCCTCGCAATAGTCCTCGCAATTTTCGCTTTCGCACACCCTCTCCGCTTCTCTCAATGCCGCTTCTGCTTTATTCAACCTCGTCATCCTCGCCCTCGCTTCTTCGTACACCGTCTTCGTCGATCCGCTCACTGCGGTTTGCTCGAAGTATCCCACGTTCAATTTTGAGCTGATGATGATTTCCCCGTCTTGAATCGAGCGCACGCCGGCGATGCACTTCAGTAACGTCGATTTCCCGCACCCGTTCCCTCCGACGAGGCCGATTTTTTGTCCCGACATGATTTGTGCGTTCGCTTCTTGCAGTAAATCAGTATCCGCGACCGCTAAGAACACATCTTTCAGAAGTAAAGCGGCACCGGAAGCGTCGCCGAATGGAATTTGCGGTCCGTCGTCTTCCTCTTTTTTCTTCGCAACTTCCGCGACGGCTTTCTGCACCACCGCCGAAGATGATGAGGAAGAAGCACCACCACCACCTGGTTGTTGTTGTTGTGGTTGTTTTTGGGTCTTCTTCAATCCTTTCTTTCCTTTTTTCTTCGTCGGCGGCGTCGTCGGAGATGACGACGACGACTGCGCTCGAATGACGTCGCAACGACGAGCACCACCCCGAGAAGAAGAAGGCGAAGAAACGGAAGCCAAAACCAAAGGCCTCGGCGCGAACACTGCTTTCATCAGGAGCATATTTTTATCTTTTATCTATCGCGAGTGAGTCGTTTGATAAAGAACCGCGCGCGTGAAGTAACGGAGAGGAATTGGATTATTATCCAAACAGGAGAGGGAAAAATGCGTGTTGGTGGCTCAAAATCACCCAAAAGGAATGTTCCTTACTCGGGATGCGTTTTTGTCCTTTGTCGTCCGGGAACGAAAACTTTTTTGTGTGTTTTTGTTCTTTTTCTGGCTCAAAACGACGGCTCGCGTGCGAAAGATGTTTGTTTTTTGTGAGACACGCATCAAATCAGGATGTCTCTCGCTGATGTCTCTTTCTGGTAGTATTCGTAGTAGTATTGTATCAGACAATAAAGATGATAACGATGATGATACGAGGGGAGAAAAAGAGCTACGACCACCGCGCATACTTGCTGCTGTATAAATAACACCGCTATATAAAGTACCCAGGAGTACTCGCGGCCGCTTTCTTTTTAAACTATTACGCACTCTCTCGTCTCGTCTTCATTTTTCACGAAGGAGGAATGGAAACTTTCGTAAACTCGAAATCGATTTCCACGTTTGCGTTTGGTTTCACGTAGCTCCCGTCTTTAAACGTCAACCCGTCTTCTCCGCTCGTCGTCGTGAACACGCGCCTGCTCCCGTTCCTCATGACGTATCGCTCGTCCGAGAAACTTTCGTTGACGTCGTACGGAAGCACCGGCGGCGGTCTCGTTTTCGAGTACACGAAGCCGATGGGCCGGTTTGTTTTTCTCGTATCGAAAACGGTCTCGTTCGCGTCCAGATCTCGCACCGTCACGTTCGCTCCGCACAAAAACCCTTGCTGCACGTACTCTCCGCCTCCTTTGACGAGTTCCTCGTACGACGTCGACTCGTTCATCTTCACCGTTATTCGTTTCTCTTCGGCCACCGCTTTCGTGTTTTCCTTCTCCTCTCTCGTTTCTCGTCTCGTTTTCAACTGTTCCGAGACGACGCCAAACGTTAACAGACCGAGCCAAGCTAAGCCGCCTTTCAAGCCGAATCGTCGGGTGAGGAAAGTGGCCATGAAATCCGTGGAGTCCGCCTGTCGTCTGTTGTTGTTGTTATTCTTCTTTTCCTTGACCTGCTCCAGTATCTCTTTCGCGCTCAAATCTTCTTCCGCCGGGGGCGTCGCGCGAACAACGCGACGAGAGAAAACGGAATCACTTTTCCTCGTCCGAAAATGACGCGCTGCTAAGACCTGCGATGATGATGTCGATGATGATGATGTCGATGATGATGATGCCGTTTTCGCCGCGCGATGACGATGGCAACACGCCAGGCACGTGCTCAGTGTCGTCGTCATCTTTGTGTGGTTTGAGAGAAGTGCGTTCGATGATGGTTTTTCTGAGGTAAAAAGTGGATAACGAATGAAAAATACGCAGAAAGATCCTCTCGCATCGAAGAATGTCATCATCGTCATCATCATCGTCTCCCTCGTCAAAATCACGCACTGCTCGATATTTGAACTTCACACAGCGCACAGTTTTGGTTACCGTAGATTAAGGTATGACCGTCGAGCCACTCTAACGTCCAAAGCGGTGTTGCGTTCGTTTGGTTCTCCGGGTGGCGGAGAAGAGGAGGAGGAGAAGGAGATGTCGATGTGGCGCTTCTGTCGTCGTTTATTTCGAAGAGAGCTTCGGCGTCGTCGATGGAGACGATTGATATTTGACCTGTGGTTAATGCGGACGCCACGAGGAGACCGTTTGGAGATATTTTGGTTCGTTTGGAGGTGGACGGGAGGTCGAGCGCGAATAAGAGGGTGTTGGCGGAGGTGTCGACGACGGTGAGGGTGGATGCGGCGACGAACGCACCGAGGGAGGACGAGGACGCGTCGTCGTTTTCGGTGTCGGAATCGAGTGGTTCGGCGGCGATAGGTTCGCGTCGCCTATCTTCTTCACCACTCGGAGGAGGCGTGAAAAAATCAAAGCTGCTCAATCGGCCGTAAAAAGGAACGCCTTTTTTCGGGTACTCGTGGACGTATCCGCGAATAGGCGTTTTTTGGTCGTCGTTTTGACTGAATGCGTCCCAACAGAGCGCTCTTGAAATATCAGAGTTGGAATCGAAGTGCGATGTTATCACGTATACTTTCTCGTCGTTGCTCGTGGTCGCTGTTGATTTATGTTTCCTCATCAACGCGGTCTTAACGATACCGCCGCATCCGCTCCAATTTACGTCGTGTATTTTTGCAAGTTTTTCGAGATGACCGCTATCGCCTTCCCAAACTTTAAAACGACCGCTCGCATCAGAGGTGACGATGTGCAGATGTTTTTGGTCTTTTTCGGTGCCGCTGAAATGGATAAGCGTCGAAGTTATGGCCGATTTTGGGGTCGCTTCTTTCTCTTTATCGGAATGGTGTCTCAACATCCGCTTCCTCGTCCACTCGTTGGAAGCGTCCTCGCAAGGCTCTTTCGCCCAAACGCTAGAGGTACCATCTGCCGATCCTAATACTAAAATATCGTCGTTAAAAGCGCAACACGTGATGCGCTTAGAGTGCGTTCCTCGTAAAACCGCTTTGCTCTTTACGCTCAAATCGATAGGGAGAAACTCGTACACGTGCGCGTCGCAGCCTTTCGCAAACGTCACCGCGAGAGAGATAGTTTGTCCGCGCGTATTATTATTTCCATCACCGTTCCACTCAAGAGCTGCTATGGCGCCGAGCTTGCGTTTAACGTCAGACCCCGCATTAATGCTCAGTATTTTCTTGCTCTTCTTCTCGTATATAACTACCTCGCCTCCGGCGTCGCCGGATGCGATGAAAACGCACCCGTCTCCCTTCAAAACAGACATCACCGTCACCGCGTGTTTATGCGTCTCGTGCAACGTTCTCAATTTTATCTGCTCTTCTTGTTCTTCTTCTTCTGGATCATGACGATCGTTTCCGTCTTTTAAACAGTCGCTTTGTTCTGCATTATCGCCTCTTTTTCGTCCATTCATCTCATCCTCCTCTTCCTCCTTCTTCTTCTTTCCTCTGGTCCGTTTCCAATCGTACGTCGGTTTCCTCAAACTCTCGCGCTCGCCGTCCCCATCTCCCTCCTCCCACCAAAAACCATTCAAATCTTCGCCGTTCACGTGTCGCATCAGCACCTCCTTCGCCCATTTCCCTCGCTTAAACATCTCCTCCGACCCGGATTTTTTATCCGGATGCGCTTTCAACGAGTGCTTCCTAAACGCGCGATCGATCGAAGCTTTCGTCAAAATGATCTCATTCTCGGATGATGAGACGTTCAAAATCGACTTCGCTTTCGAGAGTAAGGGTTCGTACAGACGATTTTGATGGCTGTTCTTGTTCTCGGTGGTGGTGCTCGCGCCGCCCGAGTGATGATTCCGGGGGCGGGTCTCGTCGTCAATGTCATCGGGAGAGCAGAAGATCGTCATGATGTGTGACGATGATCAGATCAGGAGGGCTTTTTTTATTTTGACTTTTTTTTAGAAGAATTTAAGCGTTTCTTAAGAAATTAATGAGAGGAGGGAAACCTCTTCTTTGTCTCCAATCACAGCGAGAGAGAAGCACTTTTCGCCGTTAAAATATATATCTATCCCCTGGAAAACTATTGGTGAAGAAAGAAGAACAAAGAATGCGAGCGGCGGCGAGCTGTGTTACACTTTTGGCGTCCTCCTCGTCCTCGTCCTCGTCCTCGACGACTAAAAGATTTGAAAGGAGGAGATTAGTAGGGGATTCCCCGGTGTTCAAAAGGAAGAGTAAAAGTAACGACGACGATGGTGATAAAACCATCGAGGAGGAAAACTCCGGAAGAACGCCGCGCTTTGAGAAGGAGGAGCGACGGACGTCGTCATCCGAAGCCTCGTCGTCGTTAAAGAAAGAGCTGCTGAGCATCGTAGCCTCGTCGAGAAAAGCAAACACGATTGAAACGAGAGCCAAAAAACGAGAGATATTAGATAAAGTTCTCGAGCTGGAGAAGGAGGCGAGCGCGAAACTGGATTTAGAAGGGGACATCCAAGGCCGGTGGTCGCTCGTCTATTCCACAGACGACGATGAAAATAAAGCTATGTTCATGCTGGACGATGCGAACGATAAAGTCGTGAAGGAAATTTTGGATAGTTTGTATAAGTTCTTCTTCGCGTTCGCGGCGCCGTTGGCCGGCGGATTTTCCTCTTCCGAGACTGCGAAGAGGAAGGAGCGCGGAGGGGATCTCTTCAAGTCCATTCGAAACGAGCAAATCGTCGACTTGACGAATGAAAGCGTAGAGAATTTCGTAGATTTAGAGATATTAGGACGAGAGACGCGAGTGGTCGTTCGCGGAGAGATTAAACCGTTAGATAAGAACCAAAGAAAAGTTCAAGTCACTTTCACGGATTGGTCGTTTGACAACCTCGTGACGTTACCGCTTCCCAGACCTACCGGCGGGTTAGAAAACACCTATTGCGACGAAACGATGAGAATATCGAGAGGAAGTCGAGGCGGCGTGTTCATCACCACACGGATAAGAGGAGGAAGGGGATAAGAGAGCGGTAAAAAGAGATCGCCTTCTTAAGTGATGATTACGTCTTAATCAACGGCGACTAAACGATACTCCCCGGTACCTTTACTGATGTACAACAAAAAGCTATATAGAAGAATAAAAATCTACGATGAAGACGACGCGCTACTCCCCCCCGCCGCGACTGACCCCGGAAAAACCGCGCTCGCGTGATGCTGAATCATCCTCCACTCCCCTCCCTGCTTCTCAAACACGTTCGTACACGTCAACGTGCTCGCTCGCATCACCACCTCCTCGCACGTGACGATACCCAAATTCCCGTTGGCGTACGCCTGTACGCTTTTACACTTCACGTCCATCTTCTGTTGCGACGTCGACGAACTCGCGCTCCCACTTCCCCCTGCTCCTCCCATGGACTCAAACACTATCCGCCACGACTCTTTCACGTTCTCGTCGCCTAAAACTGTCGGCATTCCCGGGTGCGTGCATCGCACGTGCGCTCCGCTTCCCCACACTTTGGAGTGCATGAGGGTGAAATCCCCTCTCCGAAATGCGTCGTAGAATAACGAGTTGCACGTTTCCACGGCGACTAAATCGTCTCGTTTGAGCAGAGCGATTGAATCGCGTAACTTTGCGGCTTCCGCGTAGTTTTCTAGGGATATTTGTAACGAAAGTTCGCGTTCTAGGGATGCTAAAGCGTTCGAAGTGGATTCGTCTTCTTCTTCTTCTTCCTCGTTCGCTCGGTCGTTCTTCCCCGCGCTGTCGCGTACCCTGGTGCCTAAATTCCGAACGCCGTGACTTTTTCTTCTCGGAAGAAGCGCACCGGTAAAAAAAATACGTCTCGATGATGCGTGCGCTGCGAATGCTGCTACTGCTCCCATCGTCGGTTTCACGCGCGCGGTAAAAGCGGCGAGTGCGCGGTGTCGATGAAGGAAAGAGAGAGAGAGAGGTTTTGAGGGACTTTCCCCTAAACGGGAAAAAGGAATATAAATCGGCGGCAGAAAAGAGACGCACACACACACACACGCGCGCGCGCGCGCGAAGGAAAGCGACCCGAGGAGAACGAGCCCGATATATTTCACCACCGGTGTGAGTTAACGATGATTTCTTTTCGCGCCGCGCATCATCATCCGTCGTCGTCGTCTTTCTCGTCGTCCTTTCAAACAGGACGCAACAAAATCAGGGCGGTGACAAAGACGATGCGAAAAGGTCTTGGTCTTTGTCTTCTCCTTCTTCTGTGCTTCGAAAAGCGCTCTCCACCACCTTTCGCCCTCGCTTTCGAAAACGACGACAAAAACGGGTCGGCGGAAACTGACGTCGCCAAATTTCTGGGTTACGCGTCCCCGGAGAAACTGTTCGGGAAGCAGTCGTTTTTGGCAAAGTTGCAGCACAAGCTGGAAGCGCCGAAACTTAGAGGGATGGCGAGTTTCGTGCCGAGGCAGAAGCTCGAGGGAGAGGAAGAGCCAAAGGAGAGTTTTGGGTTCAAGAGAGAAGCGTACATTGGCGGTCAGTTTATATCCGGAGCTTCGCCGGATTTGGACGTCGGGGTTGTCGTCAGAGTGCCGCGCGCGGCGTTTGCGGAAAAAGGCGAGTTGGAGAAGTTGACGGGGACTTCCGCGGAGTGGTTCGTGTTCGGAGATAAGAATCCAGGGGAGAGAGTGGAGCACGAGAGCGAGACGTCGGTGGTGTTTGCGAAGCTTCGAACGCCGGAACGTGGCGAGTTTGAGTTGCCTTTGAGGTTTCGTGCGAGGTACGCGAAGCCGGTATTTCGAAACAAGACTGAAGAAAAAGCGGCGGAACGAGGAGGAGCAAAGTCTGCGGAAGAGATGAAAAGGAGCGAGAATGATGTGAACAGTAGTAGTAATAGTAATACTATCAGCAGCAGCAGCAGCGAGGCCAATACAGAAGAAAGAGGAAAAAGAGAGGGAGGAGAGGAGAATGAGGAACCGAAATGGAGCAAGACGCACTCCCGTATTGTGTTCCCGAATGTCGTCATTCTCGCACGACGTGAAGACGATACCGGACCGTGGACCAGAGTTGGCGAGTTGGAAATGAGAGGATCTTGGTATGTTCCCATCGCGTATTCAAATCAAGCCATCGGCGTGAAGATGATGAGTATAATTATTACCCTCGGCGCCGGAGCATTAGTATTCAAAGCGATTAGGCAAAAAATAGTAGAAGAGCATTACGGTTTGAACCGCTCGTCGTCGATCCCATCGTTGAAGAAAAGCAGGTCGAAGAAGAAGAGAAATTAAGCTCGATAGAGTGTATATACTGTGCAGTATGTATGCGACGTAAATTCTTACGGTGACTATAAAACATAACTTGCGTTTTTGTACATTTTCGTTAAGAACGGAAGAGGCCGTCTTGGCCTCTAAAGGCTCTATCTACAGATCTTGGCGGTGAAGAGGATTGCTCGTGGACGCGTTCGGCCAACATTAAATTACGTCTCGCTCGATCCGATAAACTGCGCTGACGATCCCATCTGCGCGTGCCACCTGGAGAAGATTCAGATTCGCTACTATCATCTTGAGATCTCGACGGGCTATTACTAAATGGATTATGATTATTTGTGTTATTGTTGTTATCGTTATCGTGCGAGGTTGGTTCGGGGGCCGCAGCAGCTGCGTTGTTGACGACGTACTGCGTATACGGCGTAAGTTCTGAAGGCACTCCGGCGAGTTCCACATCTCCAGTACCGCTCGTTGTTGTATTGCTCTCGTTGACCGCCGCCATCTGACGACTCGCCGATATCGCGCGATTATACTCTTGATACTCTTCCTCGAGCTCCCAAAACCTCCCGCCCAACGCGCGGTCTCTTCGCACGTCTCGCATGTGATTAAACCATTGCTTAATAATGCCTTTATAAATCCAGTACATTATCGTGACGCCAAGGAAACACATGAACCCAATAAGGACGATGAACCTGGCGGAATCTTTCTCGCCTAACCATCCCACGGAATTTTCTACGTTCTGTCCTTTCGAAACCTCGTCCGCGCCCGCGACACCGTCGTCGTTCACCGCGTACCGCACGCTTCCGTTCTCTTCGCGACAATCTAAGTTCAGATACGCGAGTTCAGAAGGGATTTCGCAATCGAAAATATTCCCAGTAATTGACGCGAACTGGATTTGAGACCCTTGATACTGCGATACCCATGAAGGTGCGGTTCCGGTGAGTATGTTATTACTCACGTCCGCAAAATGAATGATGTAATACTGATTGTTCACGAGCGTCGGCGACGTGCGAAACATCGCGCCAAAGTCCAACTTATCGGGCATGTTACCCACAAACTTGTTGTTCTTGGCGGAAAACTGAATCAAACTTGGCCAGTTTGTGGACACTTGAGGCAAATTACCGGTAAACTCGTTGTCGTGGAGGGAAAAATATTTCAATTTTGGCGCCTGTTGAATCCAAACCGGAATGTTTTCGCTCAACGCGTTCTTGGAAACGTCCAAGGAAAGGAGATTCTTCCCGGAAATTCTCCCACTCCCATCGTTTTCGTACACAGAAGTGGGAATACCGCCTACGTTGAGTTGATTATTCGCCACAGAAATCGCCTCTCTCGCCTCGTCGTCGCACACGCCTTGAGGAATAGATCCGCTAAACTGATTCTCGTTGAGATGTATAGTTTGTAAGTTTGGGGTATTCGTCCCCAACGTCGCGGGTATCTGACCGGTGAACAAATTGTCCTCCATGTGTAACGCCCGAAGTTTCGGCACGTTCCACTCGTCCGGTAACTCGCCGGAGAGTTTATTCTCGGACAACTCCAAATACGTCAAGTTTTTTGCAAAGTTTCCGTTCACCAACGACGCCGGCAAAGCGCCTTCTAACTCGTTTCCGCCGGCGTACAACACAGCGACGTTGGAATTCTCCGGGTTGTCCAGCTCGGGTAACGCTCCAGTTAATTCGTTATCTTGCACGATCAAAACGTGCATTCTTTCCAACGCGCATTTCGGAATCGTTCCATTTATACCGTTTCCTTGTACATTTATCGTGTGTAAACTTAACGGAAGTTTATCGCAATCCGCTCCGAAATCTACGTCCAGCGTTCCCGTGACCCCCGCTAGCGCAATCTCGAAATGTTCGAGCACGTTTGCACTCTTACTCGCCTCTAAAACCTCCGACACGTTCGCCAACGTCACCTCTTTGAATATCTTTCTATAACTGCCCGAATAGTAATACCCGCTTATTTGAAACCTGCGCATAGATGGCGTCATCAACGTTTTCAACGCCTCCGAAGGGAACTCGCAGTTATCTTCCGTCTGCGCGCGATTAAACTGAAACAACCATCGCGCGTCAAACTCCTCTAAATTCCCATTCTCGTCGCAGACGTTCCCGTCGTAGTGACACAAATCCAGCTCTTTCCCACTCCCAGCGTACTCGTTGCCTTCTCTCCACTCCACGCACAAACTTTCGCTTGCCGAGCAACACGCGTCAAAAATGTTCCCTAACGCCGTTTTATGCGCTTCGCTCAAACTCCTCGCGTTCGTAAACGTCTCAAACTCTAACGCGTATTCGCTCCCGTGCGCGGCCCATCCTTCCACGGCGATGCGAAAGTACATCCCAACGACGCTCCCTCCGTTCGAAGCATTCGCCCACTTTTGTATGTCGTATCGACTGATAAAGATCACGTCGTCCCTGTGCGCGTGCTCCGAGCGGAAATCAAACTTCGAGGAGGCTGGAATATTGTCCTCTGCACTACTACTTGAAGTGAATAACGCGTACACGTCCGCGTCGCCGTCGTATACACGCAATCGAATTTTAACGTCCACATCTTCGGAAGGAATCGTAAAGTTGAAATACGAAGTTTCTCCTTGATCTAAGCTCGTCGTGGATTGGTATTTCGGTGTTGAAGACGTCAACTCGATGAACTCCACATCGTCGGCATTTGTCCCCGGTATCGAGATTAAAAGACCGAAGATGATGACGACTAATCCAATAAGAGATTTTGTAAACGACACGCTTCTCATCGCGAACGTTTCGAGACGAGAGGAATGCTTTCAGATCGATTCTGTTCGTTTGACGATTGTGCAATCCTCAGCGCGCTTTTTCTTCCTCTCTCGGGGCAGATAAGACATAGAAATAAACCGAAAGGTCGTCGTAGTAAAATTCTGGCGTTTGTGAGCTCGATTTCGAGTGCAAAATATTCCTTTAAATTACCTGTATCGCGCGATATGCGCAAGTCGATACTAGAGAACGAAAATCATCCGTTTATTCGAAACATGTTGATATTACTCGCGTGATTGTCGTCGATGGTGAGTTAAAACCACGGTGAAAATCATTTTCAAGGTGTATTATAAAGGGGGAGGACACTCGAGTATTTTTTCTTCGTAAACACAAATTCTATACGTTCGAGGACTCTTCCGCTCTCTCTCTTTCTCTCTGCTATCATCACATCTCTCTCTATTATTATCTTTTATATCTTCTCTCGAGCGAAGCTTTCTGACTACTATACAAATGCTTTCTAATCGTAATCGTCCTCCTCGGGCTCGAAAAACGCTTCTTTGGTTTTCGCGTCCAACTTCTTCACCTTTTCCGTGGTCACCTCGATCGCTTTCGTCGCTTTGACGTTAAACTGGACGCCCACGTGGGCGTCGCCGCCGGTTAATTCCGTCGAAGGCGCAATCCCGCCTTGCAACTGCGTCAGCATTTCCATCCTTTCTTTTTCTTCTTGTTCTCTTCGTTTCCGATCTCTCTCTCGCGCTTCGCGCATCTGCGCTTCGCCTTCCTTCCCTCGTCGAGGCCCGATCTCGTAGTTCTCGTTTAATAAATTATCGTCTTGCGGGACGCGAATCCCTGGCCGTTCCAACAATTTCGGCATCGGTTTCTCGTTTAGTTTCACGCACGCTTTTTGTAAACTCTCCGCGGATTCCATGGCGTCGTTCGCCGCGAATTCCCGCGCGAGTATCACCCGAGACGCCAAGCGCACGTCTTTCACCGAGACTGAGTTTTTCTTCATCTCTTCCAAGTTCATCATCATCGCCTCACCACCATCGCCTCCATCGACGAGAGATTCCACTCCTTCGTTGTTCGCGACATCGTACCCAATCCTGTGTCTCTGGTATACCTTCGCTTCTTCCAGAACGTCGCCGACGTATCTGTATATGAATTCCAATCCTTGATTGACCACGCGAGGTTCGAAGTGTTCTGCGCCCATTTGGTTCAGGATGTGTTCGACGACGATCGCGTCTCTCGGTTTCGTCGTTGCCATTTTTTCGCGTCGAGGTCGTTTCTTTTTGACGTCCATCGTTACTCTCTCTCTCTGACTCTCTTATTTGAGGACGCGTGGTCGTGTTGCGCGCGCAGTGCGCTGAAGAAGTGAAGCATGGATTGGTTTTTCCCCAACGGGCGGTTTAGGGGAAAATTCAAAATCGAATCGAATTCTCCGCACAATAGACTCGCGTTTGTGCGCTCCACGTGATACTAAAAGAGAGAATAATGTCCTCCGAGGAGAAGATAAGATGTTCGCACCTGCTCGTGAAGCACCAAAACTCCCGACGACCCGCGAGCTGGCGCGACACCACGGGTGCAATCATCACCAAAAAGACCAAAGAATCCGCCATCGAAGAGTTACTCGCGTATAAAGAACAGATCGACCAAAACGTGATATCATTCGCGGAACTGGCGAAAAGAGTGAGCGATTGCTCGTCGGCGAAAAACGGCGGGGATTTAGGCCATTTTGGAAAAGGCGCGATGCAAAAACAGTTCGAGGATGCCGCGTTTAAGTTAGAGGTTGGAGAGATGAGTGGGGTGGTGGACTCGGACTCGGGTGTTCATATTGTGCTGCGCCTGGCGTGACGAGCGAGGAAAGAAGAAGAGACTTTAGCTGTTCCTTCTCCTAGTCATCCTTCTTCATGGTTACGTGCTGCTGCTGCTGTTGCTGCTAGTAATAGCAATCGATGCTGTATTCTTGATGAAAAATGTACTTCTCCTTGAAAAAATGTTCGCTACTAAAATTGTATTTCTTTCTTTCGTTATCGTCGTCGCGGCGGCGGCTGTTGTTGAGCTACGTTGTTGTTTTGGGGCATCATCGGCACTTGTCTCGCCGGTCTGTATCCGACGTTCTTTACCGTGTTCTTAGCTTCGTCCTTCACCACAACCTCGGCTAAGTCGTCTTCGGTTGATTTTTTGGGTACGATCATCTCCGCCCACGTTTTCGGCAACAACTGGTTCGCCAACATTTCTTTGTGCGCTTGTAACGCCAACAAAATAGCAACGACCGGAACTGAGACGACGATGATGGTCAACAACAAATATGCAACCACTCTCGCGTCCGCTTGGCCTTTCAACGCCGCTCTCGTGCCTCTGACCACGTACTCGTGGTGCTCTCTTAAAATCGAACCAATCGCTTGCCCCAAATTTTGTTTCCCTTCAAACATCTCCGGCGCAATCGCCGCCTCTTCCTCCGCCTCTTGAATAATGCGCAATTTGTCCTCCTCGGTCACGTTTTGCCCGAGTTGTTTCAATTGTTCGCGAATGCGATCTTCCAACATCTTCCCTTTCGAAACGTCGTCCAAACCGCTCTCTTCGCTCAACAACTCCGCGAACGAATCGTCCGACTCTTCCGTATCCACGCCTTCAATCTCGTACCCAATCATCCTCGCCGCTCTAATGTGCGCGGTTAACTTTAATCTCGTCGCTCTCGGCAACTGTCCGTGTTCTAAATCGCCCGTATCTAACGCCTTTTGTGCCGCAATCAACTTCTCTCGCGCGTTCACGCCCATCTTCCCCACGTGCGCCTTATACAACTGCAACTTTTGCAATTTCGCGTCGTCCCACAACTCCGCCGGAAACAACAAATATTGCACTCTCGACGTCAACTTATCCAACGGCAACAACCTCAGCCACGCCGCTAACGCTTGCACGGCTTCGTATCTGTGCGCTTCCACGTCCCCGTACGTCGGCGGAATGTACGGCACCGGATCTTTCCTCGCGTCCAAGTTTGGCTCCGGCACCAACTTCCCGCTCAAATAGTCCATAATCGCTTGCGTCGGCACGCACTGCCCGGGAAAGTACGCCGAATATCGCTCAATCACGCACGTGTGCGACTTCCCTAAACTCGTCAACTCGCTCGAATCCACCACCGCTTGTTCGATTAAAAATTGCTTCACCGCGGCTTCGTCGTGCGCTCCGGAAAGTACCGCTTTGTCGTGGTTTAATCGCCTGTAAGTAAGTGTTTCGTCGTCGTCGATTTTGTCGTCGATGCGCGCAACAACAAAGGAGTAAAAAAGAAGAAGAAGAACGATGATTTTTGTCAGATTAATACTACAAGAAAACGCGCGCTGCGAACAAGAATATTATATATTCTCGAAAGATGAAGCTTTTTGTGGTGCCTTTTCCGCCGTTCAAATTTTGTGATCCAGAGTGAGAGATCTTATTCATCTCGAACACACACGCGCACACGCACACATAAAAGCAAGAGAAACACTGTTTAAACGTACTTTTCTTGTTCAATCTTCGCTTCGTGCAGTTTTACCACGGCGTTCGTGCAGTGCGTCCCGCAGTCTATGCCGTACTTTTCTTGGAGCACCGCTCTGTTTTTTGCCTTGGAGGCGGAGACCGAAGGGAAGACATTTCCATCATTTCCGTGAAAGAAAATCAACGCGAGGAGGAGGAGGACAAAAGAGGAGGAGCTTCTCCTCGGAGTTTCGCGACGAGGACGAGAGAGCATCTTTTTAACTCGCGTTTTATCGCTTCGCGTGTTTCTTGTTGCGTGGTAAACGACTCCTTCGCGCGGGTACTACAAATGTGGATTCAAGTGGGCCATTAATCCTCTTCATGGAAGAGAGATAGGGTTTAATGCCCTAAACAAATTGCTCTCGAAAAGCTTGCCATGGGAAGAAACTCTTTCGTTACACATCATAATAAAACTTCTGTCTTTGTAATGAAACAAGTACACCACAAATCACATTATATCATCACGTGAGCGCTTAAGAAGAAGAAGTGGAGAAGAAGAAGAAGAAGACCAAGAGCAGAAGAAAAATTATGACGCCAGAAAAGTGCCAATCGGAACTCAACGACGTCCTCCGCAACAACCCGACGATTACGTTCCTCTTGGACAAAATCGAATCCTCCGGGTGCGCCATCGATCGCTCGAAATTCTTCAAAATCGAGAAATGTTCGAAACAAGTCTGCGGGGGATTCGTCCCGGAAAAAGGCGTCAGCGTCTGCCACAATCACATACAAACGAGGACGGAGATGGAGAACTTATTAGCGCACGAGTTAATACACGCGTACGACGATTGCACGAGGAGGAAGATGGATTGGATGGACGTGAGGCATCACGCGTGTTCGGAAGTGAGAGCGGCGAATTTGAGCGGGGACTGTCACTGGTGCGTTCGTTGTTGTTGGTGTTGTTGTTGTTGTTACGCTTTTGCGAGAACGCGCTCGTTTTGGCGAATAGTTTTTTTACTTTCGACGAGACTTTTGTTATCTTTTGAACGGCGACTAATAATAACTATTTCTTCTTCTTTCCTTCGCGTGCGTGTGTGTGTGTGTGTGTGTGTTATTAATAACATTATTGTTATTCACAGGGTAAACGAATTTTTCCGCGGGAACTTACAACTGAAAGGCCAACACAAGACGTGCGCGAAACGGAGGGCGGAATTGAGCGTAGCAATGAGCCCGGTGTGCGAAAAGCGAGAAAAGGACGGGATAGAAAGTAAAGAGGAGTGCGCGAGGAACGCGGTGGAGAAAGTTTTAGATCGGTGTTTTGGGGATACCAAACCGTTCGATGATATCCCCTAACAAAGAGATTCATTCGCGTAAAAAACGGGATGCTGATAATATAGTATTTAGCAAAATGTAAAATAGTATTTAGATGGTGTATTAAAAATGAAGACGAGAGAGTGCACTTCAATCTCTCTCTCTCTCTTTCTCTCTTTCTTTCTCTTTCGTTCGTTACGTGGTCGTCGTAGAAGAACAAAAAAATGTCGCGAATAACTCGTATGATGATGTTCTTCGACTGATTTTTCAACTCGCGGCTCAAGACATCCAATCCGGTTTCTTCAAGCCTTTCAAACCTTTTCTCATCAAGTCTCCGAATTCGCCCTGCGCTCTCGAAACCGCGCCGGTAACTTGGTCTTGCACCTTCGCCAACTCCTCCGCTTGAATCTCCGCCGCCGTCTTCGGCGGCGCAAACGCCGGGTGCTCCATCAACGCCTCAAACAACTGCGTCCCTCTCAACGCGTTCGTCAGCGGCATGTGCCCCGGCGCCGCGTCCGCTCGCCATAAAAACTCGTTCGGAAACTTGCGATAGTCCCCATTCTCTCCCGTCGTCCAATCGATTTTCTTAAAAAATTTCGCCCAATTCCTCTTTTGTGCCACCCATAACTTTCTCTGAATCGCAAACCCGTACCTTCCTCCGGAGAAGTGCGACCAAAGAGCGTCGACGGTTTTTAAATCAGTCACCGGCATATTTTTCACCTCGGTGAAATACACCCACTCTCGGTCCTCGGCGTCTTCACCCGCCAAGACGCACATCAGGCGTCTGTGTTCGTCGTCCGCTTTTTCCCACTCGCCGGATTTCAAGAGGTCTCGGAATGGGGCGTAGTCCACGCCCATCTGTTATTTGAGAGAGAGAGAGAGAGAGAGAGAGATGATGATGGTACTGTCAGTAAACGCGACGCAAAACGTGACGCATTCTCCGCGCGCGCGACTCTCATCGTCTCGAAATGATGATGATCGCGTTTTTCCAATTTATCCACAAGATACGAAAACAAAGAACACGCTAGAGTACTACTCACGTCTGATTTCAACTCCGGCTCTGGTTTCTCCGTCGTCGCTGCTGCTGCTGATGATACCGATGCTGCTGCTGATGATGCCGCTTCTGGGGCTGCGCTAGTATTCGTCGTCGTCGTCGTATTCTCGGCAGTTTCAGCGTCCGCAGCCACTTTGACTGCTCTCGTCACGCTTCTCGATTTTTGCCGTAACGATGTCGATGTTTTATTCGTTCCTCCTCTGTTTTTCGATGATGATGATGATGCCGTCGCGTAAGAGTGCGCCGACGACGACGAACAACAGCACGCGGTGGCTGAAGAGAACGACATCATTATATTTGTTGTGTTTTCTCTCTCTTTGGAGCGCTCTGCGCTCTTCAATTTGGAGACGCAAAGAGCGACGTGATTTCTATCTTTCGAGAAGAAAAGGAGATCTTTATTCTTCAAGAGTATTAGGGTTGGAGACCCTAAATATTTACAAAAAAAGTGTCTTGGAAATTCTTGACGTATTCTTCAGTCGTCGTCGGTCCCGCAGTGAGTGAGTTGTTTGCGTTTGCCCTGTTGTTGTGTGTTTGCGTCGCGACTGAACGAACGATGGAAAGAAGAAGAGGCGTAAACGAGTGAAGGGGAGAACTTTTTTTTGTTCGCGAGAAAGAAGAGAGAGAGAGAGAGAGAGAGAGAGAGAGAAGTAGCTTCATCGTATCGTAACGAGAATTAGTTCTTACTCGACACGCTTTACAAATGTCCTCGTCGTCTCCCTTTTGGAAGCCGATAGAGCCGAGCAATGTGCGCGAACTCATGAATTCAGGGTACTGCGTGATAGATAATTTCATGCAAGACGAAAGTGTGGCGAAGAAAATGCGCGAGGAAATGTGTTCGATGCCGATACGGTATGAAAACGAGGAGGAAAAGGAGGAGAAAAAGATGCCTTGCATGCGACCGAACCGGACGCACTTTACGGACGCGAAGAATAACGCAAAAAGGTATTTGTTTTCTAAACCCGGGGTGTTTGAATACGACATGCACATGAATACCGTTGAAAACAGTTCTAACAACATAAATGGTAGCAGTGGTTCGATGGCGACGCTGGATCGATTCTTCGCGGCGACTGGGAAACAGCTCGCGGAGGCGTTCAACGAAGCCGCCAAAAAGGAGGCATTTTCTGCAATCGACGACGAAGAAGAAGACAAAGAAGGAAAACAACAGAAGCATCGCTCGTACGCCCGAGTAATAAAGGTGAAACCGGGCGATGAAAACAGAACGGTAAAACTTCAAATTAACACGTGTGGCGCGTTTCCGTACCATTTCGACAACCCAGGCGGCGCGCGACAGAATAGAAAATTGACGTGTATTTTATATCTCAACGAAGCGTACGAAGACAAATGCGGTGGCGAGATTGTTTTGGTACCTTTTATGGGACCATTCGTTACAATCCGTCCAATATTCAACCGGTTGGTCGTGTTTCAATCGGAAAGCGTGTTACACAGAGTGAACAAAGCGGTGAATTTTCCAGGTGAAGGGAGAGCGTGTTTAACCGTTTGGCTCGACGGCGACGACGATTCAGACGACGACAACGAAGAAAAAAGGAACGCATCAAACAAAAACATCCGCAACGACCTCGTCCAACTCCTCTCCTCCCCTTCCAAAGACCTCATCTCGTACATCCGCCAAACTCCGGACGCGCAACGCTTCCTCTCCCGCTGGGCGTACCGAGACGAATACGAAATAAGCCTCCTCGAGTCGCACGAACCGGGAAAAGGTCTCGAGCACATGTTAGAAGCGCACGAGGACGCGATTAAACGAATGAGGAAAATTCAAGACTCTGATTTGCAAAAAGTGTTGGAGAGAGTGAGAGAAATGCGAAGGGAAGAGGAGATGGAAATCGTTCGATTGTAATATTATATAATAACTTTTCAGCAGAAAGGAGTAAATATTTTTGAATAATTTCTTCAAGTACACCACAATTCACAAAAACACGAACCATCATGTCTGCGTTTTCGAGCGTCCTCCTCTCACCGCTCGCTTCATTCTTCTCCACGACGGAGGACAAAGTTTTCCACGTCGTCAAATGCGTTTTGGCGTTCCTTTTTTTACTTCTTTGCGACCGAATCTTAAAACAACACGAGAAGAATGAGAAAGAAAAGAAAGCCATCGGGGAACCGATTGAAACGACGACTGATGATGTGATGACGATGAAGAAAGGCGATTTGACCAGGAAAGAGTTGAAACAATTCGACGGCAAAAGCGACGACAAAAAACCTTTTCTCCTGTTGGCGTGCAAAGGGACGATTTTTGACGTCACGAAAGGACGCGACTTTTACGGTCCAGGCGGTCCGTATAACTGTTTTTGCGGGAAAGACGCCTCTTTGGCGTTTGCGAAAGTATCCACGAGCGAGGAACACATGAACGCGAACTGTTCGAATTTATTCGCAATGGAAGTGGACGCGTTGAACGATTGGTACAGGAAGTTTGAGGAGAAGTACCCGGTGGTCGGGAAGGTGAGAGACTCGGATTTCAAAGCGCCGAAGAAAAGGAAGAAGACGAAAGCGTCCTCGAAGTAGAGCGCGTTATTACGATGATGCGATAGCATTTTAGAAAATGTGTTTTATTTATTATTACCATTATTAGTTGTACATTTAAGTGTGATCATGCGGTGGGTCGACGACTTTGACGGACTTCCACTGCGGCGCGAATGTGAATTGATGAGAGGTCAGGTCAATTATCAATTAAAAAAATTGAAGCGACGACGGATCGACGACGCTGGCTATTAGAATCCTTCGTTTCAGGATTCTTTTGCATCGCATCCTCGTCGTCGTCGACGACGACGGCGAGACGCACGTTGATTTGGAGTAAAGCGTCTTCCGCTTCTTTTCCTTCTTCGTCCTTCGTCTTCGAGCCCGCTTTGTCGCCGCTGGCGAATTTTTTCTTCGAATCTTCGAGAATGAAGTCTCGGATTTTTTCGTACCGCGCGAAGGAGGGGTGGATAGTTTTACCACCACCGTTCTTCTCCTCGTTGGTGGTTGTTGATGGCGGTAAAAGCGCTCTGCGTATCGCTCTCGTCACCGTTCGACTCAAAGTCGATTTGACCTCTTTGCCGCCTTCGATGGCGAATTCGCCTTCAAACTCGGATTCTCGAGCGAGGAAGGATAAAAGCCGGTCGTCCCAGCTTAAAGTGACGTTGACGCGTCGTTTAATCGCGTCCATTTGAGGTAAAGAAGCAACACTACCTGTTGGTGACTCTCTCGACGACGACGACGACGATGATAATGTCGTTAACATCGAGGAGACGAACTCGTTCTCGATGAGATAATTCGAGCGATACTCCAAGTGCGCGTTGGCGATTTGCTTCAGAGCGTCTTCGTCCAACGGCTGAAACGGCACGAAATATTCAATCGACGATAAGACTTTGACCGTATCGTGGAAGTCTTCGCAGTGCTCTTTTTCCCATTTCGTGAACATGGCGTTTTTCAACGCTCGCGAGAGCTCCACGTGATGTCTTTCGCGTTCAGACTTTAAGTAGTTTTTGTTCTTATTCTTGTCGACATCCCCTACTTTGCTCAATCGACGTTTCCGATCGGCTTCTGCGGCGCCGTGAATGTGCACGAATCCAGCGTTCGCCTCTAAAATAAATATCGCCTTGTTCCCTAAAACCTCTCTCTTCTCTCCATAAACGTCGTAATCTTCAAACGTATCGTTACCGTCTTCATCTTCGTCGTCTTCATCACCCCCGTTACTCCTCGCCGAATCTTCCTCTTCTTCGCTTCCTCTTCGCCACAATCTAGAAAACGCACCGCCTCTCTTCTTTCTCCTCCTCGTTTTCGAAGACGAGAACGACGATGAGGACGACGGAGTCGATTGCATCACCCTCCCGCTATCAAACAGCTGCCTCAAAACGCTCCTCACTTCGCACGGCAACTTATCGTACTCCTCAATCACGACCACGCTCTCGGGATATCTCCTCAAATGCGCTCTCAAGTTGCTCACAATCATCCGCTTCTGCCGCTCGCGGTCCTTTTCCACGTACTCCGCGCCGAACAGAATCTTATACGCCGGACACAATTCCCCCGGACACGTCTTCTTCTTCCTTTCAGAAGCGTAATAACTACCTCTAACGCCACCCGTAACTACGTTTCGCGCGACGCTCGCCAGCATCTCTCCATAAGCTTTTGCTCCTCCTCCGTTCTTCCTCCTCCTCCTCCTATTCGCACCATACACCGCTCTCGCTAATGCGCGATGGAAATGCGATTTCCCAACCCCTGGACTGCCGTGGATGCTCATCACCAGCGGCGTTTGCCTCTCCTCCTCCACTCCCTCTTCTCTTCTCTCTCCTAAATCTTCTTCTTCTAATTCGTAGCGTTCAATCTCGCGAAACTTATCGCAAATCGCGTCTAAAAGTATATCCGTGCTTTCCGTTTGTCCGAAAATTTGGGATTCTACTTTTGCTCTCACGTGGACGCACGCGTTGAATAAATTCGGCGCGTCGGCGTCTTCCTCTTCCGCATCATCATCAAATTCATTCCGACGAGAACGACGACAAAACTTCCCGTTTTCCCCGCAATAAAAGTTATCACTATTACTAGTACTCGTGATAAACGACGGACACAAATTCTTCGTAACACTGCTGCGCTGATTATTATTATTATTGTTCTCGCAGTGGTGCACGAAATAGGTCGTCGCGATGGCGAGAAACGCCGTCGCCACGTTCCCTAACGCAACAAACATGCTTTTGGACCATTTCTGACGAAGCATTTCATGCGTCTCTTTTTTGTAGGGGTTGTAGAGTAAAGGTGTTTAGGGTATTATTATAAACCCTAAACTCGCGCTTCACCGATGTGTTTAAAACGACGACTCTTTCTCTCTCTCTTTACGACACAAAAGAACACGACGACGACGACGACGACGACGAAGACGCGCGCGGTAAAGAAGAACAAAGAGAGCGGTAGTATTACAGAGAGCGCAGAGAGTAAGAGCGTGAGAGAGCAGTATTATTGTCAGTAGTAGTCGTAGTAGTAGTTTCAAATGGCACTGTTTGCCCCGTTTCGAGTCCTCGGGGATGTCTCCTCGGACGTTCCATTCTCGACGCACAAACGAGGCATCGAAACGTACGCGACGACTGCCTCCGGGCGAACCTTCCACATCTTCGACTGTAAAAAGCTCACGTTAGCCATGCTCGGTTCGATGCACGAAGCGGACGTTTCACTGGTGTGCGCGAAACGAGATTGGACGTTTACCGCGTGCTCCGGGAGGAAGATTTATTGCAGCCGCCGGGTGAACGTGACGTGCGAACTCGTCGGACACGCGACGGAAGTGAAGCATTTGTTCGCGTTCGGAACTTTACTCGTGAGCATCGATCGATCGGAGCACGTTTTAGTGTGGGACATAAGCGAGAAGGTGATGAAAAGGAGAGAACGAGAGTATCGCGCGTTTACGAGGGAAAGCGAGAGGAAAGCGAGGGAGGAGAGAAGACGGCAAGTGTTGGAAAGGAGGAAAGAGAAGGAGGAACGAAGACGAACGAATAGTAAGGAGAGTAGTACTACTACGACTCGCGTGGCGTCGACGAAAGAGATTTTTAACGAGCTGATGAGGAAAGCGCCGTGGTGTTTGCGGAAGATTAAACGTTTGGAGAAGGCGAAGGATATTGGTTCGTTTCCCGGAGACGACGACGACGACGACGGCGACGAGGAAGGAAAAGGGAACAATATGCAAAGAAAACGATCGCACAGAGATGAAGAAGATTCCGACGAGGACGAGGACGATACGTTTAAACGCGTCAGAGATATGGATAAGTTGGACCCAGATGCGATTACCGGACGACGGTACGAAGGCGAAGACTCGGATTCCGATGAAGACGAAGGAGAAGAAAATGACTCGGACGACGACGAAGAGGAGGAGGATGAGGAAGACGAATTGGAAGACGACAAGGGAGAGGGAGAGAAGAAAGATGGTAAAGATGACGATGCAAACGCAGAAGAGGAGGGAGAAGACCCGATGGATTTAGCGGCGACTATTATGGTCTTACCTGATTCGTTCGGTGGGAGCATAACCTGTATTGCGCATCCGGATACCTACATTAACAAAGTCGTCCTAGGAAATAAAAGAGGGAAACTATTACTATTGAATATTGTCACCGGACGCATCGTAAAAGTGTTAGGTGGCACTGCGGACGATTTAGAAACGAACGATGCGGAGATTACGTTTGTTCAAAACTCGCCGGCACTCGATGTCATTGCGGTTGGTTTTTCAGACGGACGGTGCGTTTTATACGACATCAATAAAGAGCGAGCGATTATGACGTTACCACACGATTGTAAAGTGACTTGCTGCGCGTTTAACGCGCAAGGAAATCAGGACGATAACGACCCACTCATTGTCGTGTGTGATGTGAATGGCACGATAACCACGTGGGACTTAGAGAAGCGACGACAGAGAGATTTGAACCAGCGAGCGCACGACAGCGAGATTATTTCGTGTTATTTTTTCCCGGGACAACCGTTACTGATGACCTCGGCGAAAGATAACTCCTTGAAGCAGTGGGCGTACGATCAGTCGGATGGTTCGAGCAGATTGTTAAAGTTTCGCTGCGGCCACGGGAAACCTCCAAATTTAGTATCATTCTACGCGGACGGAAAGCGCATCTTTGCCAGCGGTAGCGACAAATCTTTGAGAGTGTGGTCGACGATCCAAGATCAGCAGAGCAAAGAACTTTCGCAATCGCGCGTCGCATCTCGAGCCAAGAAACTGAACATACACGAAGAAGAGTTGAAACTACCGACGGTGTCGTACGTGTCGTGGAACGAATTGCGCGAATATTCGTGGGCAAATATCGCATCCTGCCACGAAAAGGAAAATAAAGTGTACACGTGGCGATTGGGAACCGGAATTTTAGGTGAAAACGTGCTGGAGACGCCACAAAAAGAAGGCGATACTTCCGAGTGCACTTCGTGCGCTATATCGCAATGCGGCAGTTACTGCTTCGTGAGTTACGAATCCGGCGCTGTTCGCAGGTACAATATGCAGAGCGGTCTTCATCGCGGCGACTTGAAGCGCGTCGTTGGCGTCGGCCCGGATAACAGGATCGATAAAAACGCCCTGGCGAAAAGCTTGAAAGGTAACGAAGGGTACAACTTTCCAGGCGGTAAAAAATCCGTGTGGGCGTATTCTGGTCCGCAATTGGGTAGCATCATAGACAGTAGGTACACGACGTCAGCGCACGACGGAAAATGCGCCTTGGTGCAAACGGACGGCATGAACCGTTACGTGTGTACCACCGGCGGAGAAGATGCAAAGGTTCGCGTGTGGAAATATAGCGACATGAAACTTGAAGGCGAGATGGATTTAGGCGCACCTGCGTTACACGGAACAGGCTATTTACACAAAACTGCGGAATTATTCGCCGTTGCTTTACAAGATGGAACTATTCGATTGTTCGATATTGGAACCAAGAAACGAGTGCGGACGTTTCGCTTGAACAAGGAGAAAAGCAACCAAGACGGCGGCGATGAAAAAGACGTTGACGGAAGTAAAAAGAAAAAGAAAAAGAAAAAGCTGGTCTTGGCGACGAAAGTGGAAATCACCTCCGATCGCGAATGGGTGATTTCCTGCGACACTCTCGGCATGCTTAAAGTCTTCGACATTCCCTCTGCTCGTTTATTACAAACAATGAAAATGGGATCCGATAGAATCACAAGTTTTGCGCTGTCGCCTACGCTCGAGTATCTCGCGACTACGCACGCCGGTAAAAGGGGCGTTTTCCTCTGGAACAATCGATCGCTTCTCTCCACAGACGAAGGCTTGGACGATGTCGTTGAAAGTATCGGTGGTACAGTTGAGCTTGAAGCACCGAAAATGACTGCATTAGCAGACGACGACGGTAACTCATCGTTAGAGAAAGGATCCGACGTAAACGACCAGATGCTTTTAGACGACGACGCGGACGATGAAGACGACATGATACTCGACGCCGCGGATGAGATGGAAGCGAAAAAAACCGATCCGTGGGAGCAACAAAAGAGAGATTTGATTGCGTCTATCCCTGCGCAGCTCGGCCCTGGCATGGCAACCTTGTCTTTGCTTCCGCAAAAGCAGTTGGAAGATTTGAACAACCTGGACGAAATTCGCGCCAGAAAAGGAAAGGATCCAAACGTGCGAAACATGACGGATGCAGAGAAAGAGGAGGAGCAAGACGATTTTGGACAAGTGAGAGCACCATTCTTTCTACCTACGAAAGCAGATGATACCGATGTTCGGAACTCTGCGTTCATAGTCGAAGAAAACGGCGATGATGACGATGATGATATGAAAAAGGGCGATAACGCTCAAGTCGCCGTGCGTTCCAGAATCTTAAAACGCAACGACGAGAACGGAAACTCTTTAGATGCCGATTGCGAACTTCTCAGACGATGGAAGCGAGGTGCGCGCGAAATTGCCGAATTCGAACAACTCCGCCTCGCCAATAGCGCGAGGAAAAACAAACCAATCGCGCTGAAACAGAAAGCCCGAACGTCCGCGTACGACGGCCCGTACCGCGAAGCCCTCCGTCTCCTCCTCGCCTCCACTCCAGAAATCGTCGAATCTGAAATCAAATCCATCGGCCCTTGGGACATCGAAACCGCCACGGAGGAGGAGTTAGAACAAATCGGCATCGGCATAGATTTCTTTCACCACGAAGTTCTCTCCGGAATGAACTACGACGCCATCCAAGCCTTACTGCGCTTGTTTCTCGCCTCGCACGGCGAAACCATTGCCTCGAACGAAGGCTTAAAAGATCGATGCAGAAAGTTACGCCAAGCCGTCTCGGAGAGCTGGGAACGCTTGGACGGCATGTTTAACGAAATTCGAGCGACGTTCTCGCATTACGCCGGCGCGCATTGATTCTATATCGAGATGTCGTTGTAAGCGCATACGAGTAGGTTTTTTTGTCTTCAAAAACTTGTTTTTAATTTACCACACTTTTTCCCTCGCACACATAAAAGAAGAAGCCCATCATGCAATCTCTCCCCGGCTTCGCGACGACGTACAAAACGCTCACCCCAGGTTCCGGCGCTTCCGTGTCTAAAGGCGACACCGTCCTCGTCCACGCCACCGGCGTCGTTTCGCAAACGAACACAAAGTTTTGGTCGACCAAAGACGAGGGGCAAAAGCCATTCCAGTACCAAGCCGGAGTCGGGGCGGTGATCACCGGGTGGGACCAAGGGTGCTTGGGAATGCGGTTGGGTGAAGTGCGAGCGTTGGAAATCCCCGCGGACGAGGGGTACGGGCAAGGTGGGTTCCCCGCGTGGGGGATACCGCCGGGAGGGACGTTGCAGTTTGAAATCGAAGTGTTGGAAATCAATGGAGGGAAGTGATTGTCACGATGATGTTAACGAAGGAGAGAGAGTGTATAGTAAACACGCACACATAAATATGCAAACGTATAAATGTAGTACGCATCAATCTTACCCCTACTCTGCGTTCCTAGCGAGCGAACGACGCAGAGAGAGAGACCGAGCCCTCTCTCTCTGTTTACAAATTCCCCTACCAAAATTCTCCATTAAAAGGCGCAAGATGTCCAATGAAGAAGAAGAAGAGTGGCGGAAATACAACATCCACGACGCGCGATCCCTCCCCACGCCTTCTCATTCAAACGAGGAGTATTACGTGTACCCGTTCGACGACCGAAACAAAAGCGACCCCGACGAGTTGCAAACGCGATGCGAGGCGAACTTTTGCAGCGCGGAGGATATCGGTACGCATTTGTGTAGCGGAGATATGTTTACCTAAATGCACTCACGTTCTAACTGTTTTCTTATCCACTTTTGCGCTGACACGTACTCTCTCTCTCTCTCTCTCTCTCTCTCTCTCTCTCTTAAAAGCGCCGCACATCCAACAACTGGAACAGTTCATGGCGGGGAACTTCTCGCGAGAAACCAACGGGAAGTACTTCGCGCTCGTGGAAGAACACTGCGAGAAGATGAAGATGAAGTTGAAGAGAAAAAAGAAGGAGGAGGAGAAGGAGGATTCGGATGATGACGATGATGATAACTCCGAGCTCGCGTTTGAACGAAAGAATCACCGAGAACCACCGGATGTGATTAATCCGTGCGGGAAAGAATGGAACGCGGGGGATCTCGCGTACAGATGTCGAGATTGTCAAAAATCGAGCAGTTCGAGCGTATGCGCGCCGTGTTTTAAAGAGAGCGACCACGTCGGGCACGACTTTACGATTTACCGTTCCGAAGCCGGTGGGGTGTGCGATTGCGGAGATTACGAAAGTTGGGCGAGTTCGGGGTGTTGTTTTAGGCACGGTGGGACGTCGCGTGCGAATGATGAGAAGGAGAAGATGAACGACGTCGAGGATGACGGCTTTTTCGAGGAGGACGAAGAAGAGGAGGACGAATTTTGGGATTCGGCGTCGGAGGATAGACTGTTACGGGTTCGTCTAAAACAGAAGAATGTGTCTGAGAGCACGCGACAGAGAAGGATGTCTGGGGAAGAGCTTTTTCATAGGTACTGGTTGAAAGATGAGCGACGTAAGTTTCGAACGGCAATCGCGTTGGATATCGCGGTGAGGAGATTAGTTTTAGCCGTGAAAAACACGAGGCGATTAAAGATACGGTACGCCGAGTTGACACAAGCGGTTCGTTTTCGGGAGGATGCGAACACGAGTTTTGGAGAATTTGAACCAATCAACCGCGACGATGGTATGGTATACACCGCGAAAGAGAAACAATACGTAGTGAAGAAGGTCGCGCCATTCGTCGTTTCGAACGATAAATTTCCTTTTTGTTTCTACCGTAATGAGAAACGGGCACGATATGAAGAGCATGAACAGCGCTCGCGTCGAGAGGCGTTTCGGAGCGCGAGTAATCGCGCGATGCTGCTGAACGAGCGCGTTCCGCGTGCGGTTTTGGAGCAACTAGAAGAGATTTCCGTCGCTTCTTCAGTTTTGACGGGAGAGCATGCGGACGAAAGCGGATCCAACGCGGACGATGCAGAACTACACGTTCAACTCGATCCAATGAAATATGACGGTTTATCGCCTACTGCGCGCATGCAAAAATTAGAATCTATGCGTGACGAATATAGGGTTATAGTCGAACGCATCCGAATAGAGCGAACGGCCGCGCTGGTCATCGCACGCTGGTTGATGCATCAATTTGCTGATTCTGACATAGTCGAATGGAAAGAATGTTTGGCGATGGCTTTTATTTCCTCACCGTTCGAGAAATATGCGATGAAGGATAGCCGAATAGATAATCCAGATTTGCAGAATGATCCGAATATGGATTGGAAGACGAGAATGCGCCTCAGTAACGTTCTTCTCAAAAACGGTTGCGAGAACGACCACGGTCATTTATCATCTGTTCAGAAAGAGCTTGAAGATTCGATTGCTGTTCAACAGATGTGGCGAGACATCGCGCACGTGCACGCAGAAATTGAAGATTCAATGGAAGAATGGCTAGAGGATGTATCAATTAGAACGCGGGGGAGATCCAGTAACACTCACGAAGACGAGGAGAAAGGCGAGAAGTTTCAAGATTGGGGACGCAAAAAGTGGAAAAACTGCTGGTATGAACCCCGTTACGACAAAATTGAACGAAATCAATTAAAAGCGAATTGTATGAACTCGCTATTTGTTATAATGCATGAGATGAGCGAAACTCCCGATGGTGAGGTATATTCTGACATTGTGAGTATTTTTCTGAAACTCATCGTTTCGAGCGCATTTTTGCAAATGTACTACGCGCATGGTAAAAGCGAATCTTACGGGCAAAATCGCTTCAAATGTCACGTCGAATTTGAATCGTTGGGTGAGTTCAGAACACACTTCTTCAAAATATACATGCATATGTATTTTGATCTCTCCCACGTTGGTTTCATGTTCCCGTGGTCGTCTTTGAAACCTTCCGTATCGTCCGAAACCTTCCGGGGACGCCGGAAATACGACCGAATTCGAGCCGATCTTCTCGATCGAATAGGCGTGCAACTCTTCGCTTCTTCTTCGCTTCTTTCTGCGGTTAACGATTCGATTCGTTACGGAACGGTCGAAAATTACTCATCTGCAAACGAGAAGGAAACCTGGTTCGACTTGTTCCGTACGCACCAGCGATTATTATGGTCTGTGAAGGCTTTCGTTGACGAAGATTTGCGTAACCTGCTAAAAAATCCAACCTGGCACGTGGATCATCCATGCACAGAGAGCTGGGAAGAAAATGTGAGATCGTCGTATGTTGGACTCGCTAACAGACCTATATCAGATTTGAGAAACTTCGCGATGAATTCTACTTCGAATGCCATTAACTTTGTAAGCGGCGATCACTTACTCTTTGAATTCTTCGAGGAGATGTTTATGTTTGGGAGCAACCTCGTCGAGCCGGTCATCAGAGCACACGAAAGTCACGTTGGACGCGAGAGCGAGGAGTGGTTTAATATCGTCGCACTCGAGTTTAACTTAGTACAGATGTATAAAGATATATTGCACAAAGCTCTGTTGGATCCCGCATCGGATGAGCACGGGGGTATTGACATTTCTCAGGAGGGCGATGATATCGGCGAAAGAAGAAATGCGTGCGCAGAACATTTGAGACTGCGTCACATTCTGTACTTCTTGAAAGCAAGAGTTGTCAGCTCAGTGCAAAGGGTCTATACATCAGACATAGAAGGATCAAGGAACGAGATTGACGCGCGAAATCCGCACGCGCCGCATTTGCGATGTCTCGATATCACGATACAAGCTTTGTACGATTATTATTCTCGGAATTTGGAAATGAGATCCAATGTGAAAGAAAGTATCGCGCGCATGTGCGAAGAATTTTTCCGGAACGATTCTTCTTTAGACGACAGAAAGGCTTTCGGCAAAGATTTATTACCTACCGGTATGTTCAACCATACAACGGCATTTAATCTGGGCGAATGCTCGGATAAATGGGCAGTTTTTCAAGAGAACGGCATAAATTGTTCAGAAATAATCGCTCTTCGCGTTTCTGACATATTACATTGGAGCTTCCAAGTCAACGCACGCGCGTGGATACTCAACGGCGACCAAATGAGACTGTATTCTCACACGTATTCAGTCGGCAACTTTAAGTTCGTGTCCAGGTTTTGCGATATTAGTTTATTGGGAAAAGTATTAACGTTTTCGCCGAGGAAATCTATTCTCTTTGCGGTGGAGATATTTTTGCTCCGCGCCGCGGACGTTGGCTATCGATTTAGCGGACCGAGCACCCACCCATACAGGAGCATTCATGAACTTATGGAGAGATTAATAACCGAAGGAAAAGGAAAAGGACCTCCTGCGCGCATCCAAGAACATTTTCCCTTCGCGTGCGCTGGTCTGTTGTTAGAACCAGAGAAGGCGGTAATGTGCTTACGAGACGCCATGAATATCTTGGCTTATTTCGCAACTCGGCAAACCCAGTCTCTTTTCTGTTTCGACACAGAATGCGAACGCGTTGAAAATTCAATCATTCATACCGTCGCATTAAAAGAGTCTGCGAGAACTGGGCCAACGTACTCAAATATTCAATCTAGATTATCAGTGTCCCAAGCCACAGAGAAAAGTTTAGACGAGTATCTCGAACGTTTGTGTATCGTCAAGAAACCGTCGACATCGGCATTAGAACAACAGTCTGAAACATCCGCATTTTCAATGAAGGTCACGTATGAACTGAAAGAAGAGATCTGGGCAAAATTCAACGCGTTCCACATCGATTACACGGACGAAGAACGCGACGCGGCCAAAGCGAATGCGATTCGAAGAAACTCTGATTGGACGCCTATCAGTGAGTCTTCCGCACCATCCCATGAGTTTGATCACTCTGCTTTCAAGTTTCGATTTAGCGTAAGCCCCGTTATTGCGTATATTTGCTCGTTGTCTATACGGTTGGCTGCGTTTAACGAGGACCAAAATCCGATTTACGATGACGTAGCGCTTGCGGCGTTTGTAATCTTGGACGATGCCATGCGCAATATTTCTTCGCAGCTCACGACATCGTCGAGATTAGACATTTTAAAGAAGTTTGACGAAGCTATCGATGCTCACATCGAGGCTAGGGGATTGTCGAGTGAAGGTGATGAAGACGTCGCGATGAGTGAACTCAAAATATATGCGAAAGCGTGCGACGAGTATTTCAACGAAGATCTCGAAACTTTGAAAGACGGCTTCAATTCTAGCACGCTTGAGCTCTTTTCAAGAATTGAGGATACCGAACCCGCGTTTATAAGTGACTGCGAGCTACATTCTAGCTCTAAATTTGGTACGGGTGTGCCCGAAATCCCAGAGCAACTCCGCGCGAGTGAAATAGAGGTTGTTCAAAATTGGTCGCAACTGTGGCATGACTACGCTTCAGCTAAGAGAGAATGCATCGAGTTTATCAAGTACCTCACCTACGACAAGAGCTTGAGAAAACCGCGTTGCAGTGAAATAGGTACAGATAGTTTGGATCGCTTAATACGAGAATTAGGAGAAACTATCGATATTTGGAAAGAGAAAAAACGGTCAGCGAGAACACTGAGAGACGACCGATCATCGTTTTGTGAAGCGGTGTACCTTCTCACGACAAGGCAAGAGAGGAAAAATTCGAACGAAGATATTTTACGGCGAACTGCGATAAAAGTAGCGAAGAGCATGCGAAAGAATAATCATCTGTGTCTTATAGATGTGCAAACGTATAACGACATCGCGCATCGAACGGGTGCGTTTGCCGGCGATGGATCCAATCCATCCTCCTCCTCCTCCTCCAATGAAAGAGAACGCGACGGAAACGACGACGACGAAAATTTGAAACAAGAAAGGAAGGCGCGACTCAAGGCACGACAGGAGCAAATGATGAAAGAAATGCGCGAACGACAGAGAAAGGCTTCGCAGGCACTCGGTATAAGCGACGACGATGGAAATAGCGCCGAGAAGAACGATTCTACCAATATTTCATCTTCTCCTTCTTCCTCTTTGGTACAACACGACGTATGCGCTGGTTGCGGTAATGCCATAAATAAGGATGAATTTGACGCGTGCCTTATCGCAAAGTTCATGCTGGTGAATCACGCAGATGTATTGAAACGAAATGAATTCGATCGCCGTATAAAGCAGAGTGGTGAGAACTACGACCGTGGCATTTTGAAGGAAAGGATGTCTCGGTTCGATGACGAATTTTCTGATATGGCTAATGAAATCATGCACGACACGTGTTTGTCCGTCGAGACGGGTGGTCTCATCGCTCAATCTTGCGGACATAAAATGCACTTAAAATGTCTTCGAAAACACAAAATCGCCACTGGGGCGCAGGAACCAGGACTAGGTGCGGATTTGGAGAATCATCAAAGTATGGTATTTGTCAAAGGTGCGAACGTGTTCGAAAATACCACTCCCCGTACGGAGGATTTTAGTCCTGAAGAAAATACTCTCTGGGCAAACGGAGAAGAGCGCAGGAGACAAGTCTTTATCAGGCGCGAAGGCGGTTTGGTCCATGGACAGTTTCACTGTCCTACGTGTCGCCGCGTCTCGGATTGTGCTATTCCAATCCTTGAAGATCAATCAAAATCATCAAGGGGTGCAGTGGACGTGAGCGATATGTGCAATATGGAGCGCGTGTTGTTAGAACGTGAACTCGTCGAATCAATATTTTGCAACCTGGCCTCGGCTGACTACGGAGGCTGGTTGCATCTCTCTTCTTTTATCAAGGTTTACGGGCATTATTTTGTTTTTCGGCACCCACACATACAAAATGCGGCTTGGGACGACGTAGTTCCCATGGAAAACGAGTTGACGAGTTTGCAATATCATATTAATAGTATGGGAATGAAAGTTGAAGCCTACAGAGGTATTGCATTGGAAGATATTACCCGCTTTACGACACGAAGAGATTACAACGCGCTGTGGAAAAGTGCGATTGCTGGTATTTGCTTTTGCGAATTAGCCATGCGCCCGACACTGAGAGATGAAATTACTGTTGCGGGAGATGAAGCGAATAATTTGTCTATCGATGCCACGTGGTTGGCGTCGATTTCGCTTGCAAAATTGGCGTTCGCGTTTATGAATTTCTCATCGAGAGCTTCTAGCATGATACTACACGATAACGCATTCAACCTCAACCTCCATGAGCCAAATTCCGTGAGTGAAGAGGGTATTTTCCGTTTCATCAGCCCTTCTAAACGCAGATTATACCTGGTCCTTCGGCGCTTGGATCTTCTTGAAGCATCCGGTTTTTCTTGGCTTTTTTCCAAGGAAGAAAATTCTAATATGGAAGAAGAGTTGAACAACACGGATTGGAAAGTAATCGAGAGAAATACGGGTTACTCTATAGATCGAAATATATGTACTTATGCGCGCGTACTTGAATCAGGTGTTATGGAAGTTATGCATTTCCCTTCGTCTCGTCAGACGATGAGGTATCGGCAAGATACGCGTTCATCCTCAGTCAATACCTACCTCGCTGGTGAAAGTGTCTGGATGCTTAAAACGATGAACCGAGAAGAAGGGGAAAGTTATGAAGCGAAGGACAAGAATTTCGAAAAATATGGCATGGATCCGTTTCTCGAGTTTGTACACACAATGTTATGGTGTTTTGAAAGTATTCGCCAGGGATTCTCAATAAATGACGAAGAAGACGAAGAAATTTGGGACGTTTTCGATAAACTCCCCCAGCGCGAATCTTGGCCGCCAAAAAAATTTCTCGAAGAGGACGATATTGAAGAGTTTTTGACGCGATTGAGAATGGATATCTTGGGAGTTTATGTTAAGGGGGTATTTGTTATTGATGAGAAGAAAGAAAATGTCTTTATTTTGCGCGAAAATTTGGACTATTTATCTTCGTTACACTTTCGAATGGGCGCGGTGATTGACGCTGCGAAAGTTTCGACTAAGAGTGGTGAGGCTGGCGGCGAAAGTTCAGTTCGAATCAAAATGCCAAGAAAGTACGACGTTGGCGGTATCAATAATATACTTTCGTGGGCGCTAGAAGACGTGTTTGGTTCCAAAACGCACCCAGAAATCACCGTCGCATCTTACAAAGAAATTGAAGAAATCTGCGAGAAAAAGAAAAGGTACGACTCGAACACCTTAAAAGCGCCTTCTCTGGTCAAACCGCCGAAACGTCACGAAGACCTTCTCCTCGCCTCGAAAGAGCCGTGCAAATGTTGTCAACGCGTCCCAGAAGTCGCTGCCATGTGTTTACTCTGCGGTGATATCTTCTGTGCCGCCGATGAGCTCTGCAACCCGGAATTGTGCACACAGCGTGAGGGCGACCCAAACACCAACGAACGCAACCTCACGCCCTTCGATGTCATAGCGCGCAACAACAACCGTAACCTACGCGGCAAAGGTGAATGGGGTCTCTACAAACACGCGCGCCTCTGCGGCCAACGCACGTGCGTCTTCGTCCTCCCGCATCTCACCAAAACGTTGATCCTGGACGATCAATACGCGCGAATGTGTCCGTCCTTATACGTCGACGCGCACGGCGAAGAGGACGAAAACGGCCAGAGAGGCGTCCGACTCTTTCTCGTGGAGCAGAGATTCAACGTCATAAATAACGCCTGGAGAACCGGCGCGTTGGTTTTCCAAGGCGGGTCTTCGCCCGTCTTGAAAGGACAACGGTCCATGGCAAAGCAGTGGTAATAATTTGTTAACAAAAAATCCACACTTTTCCCGCCAAAAGAAACATGAAATTCTAAAAGAAAAGAATATCAAACATCATCGAACGACATGGCCTCCTCGTTCCCTCCTCCTCCTCCCTCAAAGTCGTTGTCCTCGTCGTTGCCCCAAAAAGATGACGACAGTACCACCAATAAAACGTTTTATTCCTTCCCGTATTCCCCTCCGTACGAGCAACAAATCCAATTCATGTCGAAAGCGTACGAGTGCTGCCGGAACGGAATTCCAATCGGCGCGTTCGAGTCACCCACGGGGACGGGGAAAACCTTGTCGATTTTATGCTCCGCGTTGACGTGGATGGAAGATCGGAACAGGCTTTTACGCGCGGGGAAAGTGGAGGAGGCGGACGGGAGAGTGAACGAGAGATTGGTATCATCGAAAGAAGGTGTCGAAGGTGAAGAGACTCCTCAAGTTTTAGGGGAGGAGGAGGAACCGGATTGGATGAAAAATTTCATCGACGAGAAGGAATCGAAAGAGGCGATGAACACGTTCGAGAAACGGATGAAGAAACGAGAGGAGACTATGAAGCGGATAAAATTAAGAGAGCAGAGAAAGTTGACCAGATTATCCGGGGAAGGAAGAGGAATGGAAGAAGAGGAAGAGAAGAGGAGGACGACGACGGTGAAGTATCGAAGCGAGAAGAAGCAAAAGAGGGATCATTTGAGAGAACATTTGTTTAGCGATGCTGGGAGTACTAACGAGGAAAGAAAGAGTAATGGGAAAGAAGAGACGGAAGAAGAAGAGCGGCATAAAGACCCCGAGCAGTATAAATTATACGAAGAATTGGAGTTTTTACCGTCCGATGTGGAGAACGAGGATGCGGAGAAGGACGATTTGGACGTGTTTTCGTCGGACGACGAGAACGATAAGGATTCAGATTCAGATTCGGAGAGCATGTTGCCGATAACGAGGATTATTTTTTGCTCGAGAACGCACTCGCAGTTATCGCAGTGTGTGTCGGAGCTGAAGAGGACGCGGTTTCGGGAGAGCGTTTCGTCCGCGGCGATCGCGTCGAGGAAACAGTTGTGCGTGAATCCGAAAGTGAACAACGGATTGATGTCTGCGCAAAGGATAAACGAGACGTGTTTGGATTTACGAAAATCATCAGCGAGTACTTCGGCGTCGACTACGAAAGATAAAGAGAAGAAGAAGAAGAAGAAGGGAGAGAAGAAGGAAAAAGGGTGTCCATACTTGGTGTCGCGGTCGAAAGCTATGCGGGCGTTGGCCGATCGCGCGTTAGTCCAGCCGCTCGATATAGAGGAATTATCTTCCATGGCAACAAAAACGAAATCGTGTGCGTACTACGCTGCAAGGCAAGCGTCGAAAAATGCGGATATTATATTCATGCCGTACGCGAGTCTTCTCGCGCCGGACACTCGAGACGCCTTAGGTATTGAGTTAGATCCGAAGAACACGGTGGTCATTTTCGACGAGGCGCATAACGTAGCCGATGCCGTGAGAAGCTCATCGAGCGCTTCGATGACGAGACGAGATGTGAATCGTGCGATTAGTATGATTGAAAACTACATCGATCGTTTCAAAGAGCGCTTGACGGCTGATAATTTACGCGTTTTGAAGGTTCTTTTGAGCGTGGCGAAAAGATTGGTGTCCGTTCTCACAATGAGTTCGACAGAGAAAGAAAAGAAGACGAATCGTAAAAAACTCTCGTCTTTGAACGATTTCTTGTTCAGCGCGAAACTGGACGACGTGAACGTGTTTGAACTGGTTCGTTTCTTGAAGCAAACGAAAATTGCGCAGAAAATTGCCGGATACGGCGAATACGTCGAGCAAATAAAGGAAAACGGCGTCGACGCCTATGGCACGATTGGTTCTGACGATCGTGATTGGAGCGGCGCTTGGGAAGGTGCAAAGACGGTCATCACGGATGTGCGAATGGAAACGCTCGATACCGACGCAGGTTTGGAAGCAAGAGTTGTTACAACAAAGAAGAATCAACACAGCGCAAACGTAGCCTCCGTTCACGCTATCGCAAATTTTATCCACGCGTTAGGATCGGAAGATGCCGATGGGCGCGTATTGGTCGAGAAAATGTACGGAACCGAAGAGGAAGAAAGTAGCGTCAAGTTTGTATTACTCGATGTCGCGTCGCGGTTCCGGGAGGATATCGTGAAGAAGTGCCGAGCAACGCTTCTTGTCGGCGGTACGTTAGCGCCGTTTGAAGAGTTGTTGACGCAACTCGTCGGGTATAAGGAAAGTGGTATTCTATCATCGAATGATGCAGATATTACATCTTCTTCGTCGCCTCTCTCTCCGTTATCTCCGAAACCGATGTTGTTTTCTTGCGATCACGTGGTGGATAAGTCGAACGTGCTCCCTCTTGCAATCGCAAAAGGACCGTCCGGGAAGACGTTTGATTTCACCTCAAAAAATTTGAAGCTTTGCGAAAACGATTTACTCGACGATCTCGGTCGATGCGTATTGAACCTCTCGAAAGTGTGCGTGAAAACAGGTGGTGTTATCGTGTTCTTTCCAAGTTTCTCGTTGATGGATCGATGTTTTCAGAGATGGCAGAGTAATAGCAACAACGCGAATACTGCCGACGCTTCTTCGATGTTGCAAATGATGCGCAAAGTCGGGAAAACTGTGTTGAAGGAACCTCGCGATAACGCGCAACTCGAACGCACGTTATTTCAGTTTTCGAGCGCGTGCGGAGGAGAAAATCCTACGTACGAGCTCGCCTCGAAGACGGGCGCTATCTTATTATGCGTCGTCAACGGAAAGCTCTCGGAAGGCATAAACTTCAAAGACAATCTCGGACGCATGGTGATCGTAGTCGGTTTACCGTTTGCCAACGTGAAGGACGAAGAGTTGAGCGCTAGGATGGAGTACCTGGATATTCAACAAAAGCAAGCCGCCAACAATTCTTCTTCTTCATTGACGGCTGGTCGAGCGTATTACGAAGCCTTGTGCGCCCGGGGCGTGAACCAAAGCGTCGGTCGCGCCATTCGTCACAAGGACGATTACGCGACTATGATTTTCTTGGATCAAAGATGGTGCGAGAAGGATAAGAGAAATACGACGACGACAACACAGAATACAGCGTTAGGAAAATATCAACAAACTCTTCCCGGGTGGATTTCGAGAGAATTAAAAGTTGTGGATGGAAATTTCGGTGAGGCGGTTAGACACGTCGCGCAGTTCTTCAAAGCGAAATGTAAAGTAAGTAGAGGCCCATAAAGTCAATAGAAGGATGTATTTTTTAAGGAGAGATGTACAGTAGAATAGTTTGTGGAAATTAGCGTATCAATATATGTGTGATTAAGTTTACTTACACATGCTAAGACATTTATATAGTTCTTATCAAGACTGGATCTTCTCTCCTTCTCCTCCTCCTTCTTCTTCTTCTTCTTCTAAATACAAAATTTTTAATTCGCTCTCCGCCGAATTCTTCAAATTCGTTCGAGCGTATTCCTCACTCTTCTTCTTTATGTTTAAAATATATTATTATTCACCTTCCTCGTCCGCTAACTCGCTCGTCCACAGGGTCAAGTTATCTCTCAACAATTGCATGATCAAAGTCGAATCCTTGTACGATTCGTCGTCCAACGTGTCCAAATCCGTAATCGCTTCGTCAAACGCCGTTCGCGCTAAAGCGCACGCTTTCGTCGGATCGTTTGAAATCTCGTAATGGAACACGGAATAGTTCAAAGCTAACCCCAATCTGGTCGGATGGGTCGGGTGTAACCCATTCTTCCCGCTCGCAATCTCCGACGCTTTCTCGTAACTCTCACACGCCTTCTCTCCCGCTTCCTCTCTCCCCGGCGACGCTCGAAACTCGCTCAAATATCGATAATAATCGCCCGACATTTTATGGTAAAACACCGAAGTCTCCGCCGCGTCCGCGCTTTCCGACTTTTCCATTCTCGGAATCAAACTCTCTTTCAACGTATCGATAATCTCCGCGCATATCTTCTCCAACTCCTCCTCAACTTTCGAGCGGTAATCGGTTATCTTCGCCGCGTTTTCGTCTCGTCCTTTCGTCTTCTCTTTGTCTTCCAACGCCGAGAGGATGCGCCAGGACGCTCGGCGAGAGCCGACGAAATTTTTGTACCCCACCGAGAGTAAGTTACGCTCTTCAACCTAAACCACGTAAGAAAAAGAGAACAACAACGCGTGAGTATATGCGCACATATGCGCGACAAAAAGTCGTTCGCGAAGCGAGAGAGAAAGGGATTGAAAAAAGAGAGAAAAATGCCCCAAAGCGAAGAAAAAACGGAGTTTTAGAAGAGTCGTGTGCCCTTCAAAAGTGTCTGCAATTTTTAACGTACCGTCAACTCAATATCCGCTATCCCGCACAGTTTCTTCAAAGCCACGATCATCTCTGCATTGTGTGAGTAGTATTGTGAGTATTGAGAAAGCAATGGTGTTAGTTTCTTTGCACGTATAAACGCAACCAAACGAAGCACGTTTAAACGAGAAAATGATGGAACAAAACGACCCGATCTGATGGTTCCAATTGAGCACAAATATATACACACGTGCACGCGTAAAGAGTGCACATGCACACATAAAACGAAAGGTAATGGTGGTCGTACCATCGTATCTTTCCGCTTGTTCCGCCAACTTGGCTTGGAACACGCACTTCGATCGCTCCGTGAGTTCGCTCATGGTATCAAAAGAGCGACTGTAATGAGGAATAAAAAGGGAGAAAAAAACAGGGCAAAATGAGTTTAGGGTATTAAAACCTAATTCCGAGTTCTCGAGGAGAAGCAGCAGCTTGTCATAAAGGGGTATTGCTATAGAGCTATCTTTTTTGGACGTCGTTTGTCACTCGGTAGTTTTATCATCTCTGTCGGCTTTCGCCGAGGGTTTTGCGTTTTCGAGTGCGACTAAGTTTCTCGCTCGTCGTTCTAAAGCTTCCAAGCGCGTGTTCAGAACGACGGATCGGTCGAGGAGTTCGTCGATGGAGGAATAACTGGTGTTGTTGGTGGCGTCGCGTTGGTATTCTTCTTCGTCGTCGTCATCATCTTCTTCTGAGGCTGATGATGATGATTCTGATGACGACGATGATGATTCTTCCTCCGAGGAGGAGGTGTCCTCGTCCGAGTAGAAGTCGTCGTCGTCGGAATCAGAGTCATCGTCGTCGTCATCCGAAAACTGAAGCGAATGATGGTGCACCTTATTTTCCTCGTGCAATCGTCTCCTCTCGTCGTTTCTATAGCTCCAAAACTGCTTCGCGAACTGTGGCGTTTCCGGCAAAGGCGTCGTCGTCCGAAGACGCTCTCTTCTTCGCCGCTTTTGCTCGGTCTCTTTCTTCTTTGTCTTCTTCTTCTTCTTCGTCGTCGTCTTCAAAGTTTTCTCTTCTTTCAGCTTCGCGCGTAACGACTCGTTCTCTGCCTTCGCCAACTCCAACGCGCTCGTCGCTTTCTCCAGCAAACGTAAACTTTCCTCAAAAGTCCTCTTCTTCGCTTTCTTCATCTTCTTTAACTTCTTCGTCATCTCGCGTAACAAAGCTTTCCTCTCCTCCTCCTTTCGAATGGTGTTGGAGCAAGACGTTTCCAATTCCATCTTCAACCGCTCAATAACCGCATCTCTTTCTACTCGCTCTCGCATAAAATGCTCCAGTTCAATCGACATCACGTTTTCCTTCGTCTGTAAGGCGCTGAGTGATTGTTCGAGGACTTCGTTCCGGACTTTGAGCGCGTAGAATTCCGCTTCCAGATGTTGATTTTGCTGTCCAATTTTGAATTTTTTCTCCTCTTTGTCTTCATCTTTTGTTGTCGTCGTCAAACGCTCCTCCTCTCTCTCGTCGTCCGAAGTATATAAATTGTTGGTGTTGGTGTTGCTGTTGTTCTTAAAGTTCTCCAAATATTCGCCTATCCCGACCGGTTCGAAGACCACGTTCATATCTTTTATGTAAGTGTCTTTTCCCCAAATTCTTGTGAGGAATTTCCCAAGAAAAACTCCAAAACTAAGAGCGGGTTTACGAAGCTTACGACGATGGGCAAAAAGAAGAAGAACAGTGGTAATGGTACTGGTAACGATGATGGTTTTTTCCAATGTGCGCCAACCGACGCGAACGGGACACCGATCGATGTAGAGCGAGAAACGCTCGAGGAAATGAGACAAAGACACGCGAGAGAAATACAAAGCGTTCGGGAGTATTGCCAGAAGTTTTTCCAAAGCGGGATGAAGCAAGCGAAGACGAAAGCGATGATAGAGGAAGGGAAAGTCACGGACAGACACTTGGAGGAGGAAAATGCGCTAGAGAGGAGGGTGTTTGGAACGCCAGACGCGAGTAGCAGTGAGGGCGAGGAGGAGGAAGAAGAAGACAAGAGCAAAACGGATAAAGAGGAAGCGAGCGAGGAAAGGAAACAGCAAGGTGGTCCGACGAAAGCGCAGAAGCGACGGGAAAAGAAAGCGGCGGAGGAGAAAGCGAGAGAATTAGCGATCGAGATGGAACGCGCGCGACTTCGCGAGTCTGGACCGTCCAAGAAAGAAATCGAAGAGGAAGCGATGCGGCGAGCGCTGAAGGCGTTGGATTTGACGCTGAGGGAGGTGAAAGCGGACGGACACTGTTTGTATCGCGCGGTAGCGGAACAAGTGGATGAGATGAAAGAGGAGAGTAGGTACGGGGAAGTGAGGACGATGTGCAAGGACGAGATGTTGAAGAACAGAGAAGAGTACGAAGCGTTCGTGGAAATGGAAGAGGCTGGATCGTACGAAAAGTATTGCGAAAAGGTGGGATCGACAGCCGAGTGGGGCGGGCACGTGGAGATGTTAGCCATTGCGAGAGCGCTGCGGAGGAACGTGGAGGTTTTTGAAGTCAGGCCAGGTGGAGAGGTGGAGAAGATGGTCGTCGAATGTGTTGGTAGCGGTGTGGAAGGAGAAGAGGGAAAAGGCGGATCGTCGTTTCCGTTGCGCGTGGCGTTTATGAAAGAATCGTACACGCTAGGGGAGCATTATGACGCTGTCGTTAGTTTATGACGATGATAGAAGAAATAGAAGAAGTACGCATTGGCCTGATATTGCCAGTATATCATTACTACTAGCAAGACGATACACATCATCCCTATTACTACTGCTATTACTACTTGACTTTAATCGCATCCAGTCGCCCAAGCGAGTATCCCCAGCAGACCTCCGAAAGCGACGACGAGAGGCGCTTGTAAAACGACCAACTTTGGATTTGGCATTTTCACGTACCTCGTTCCGAATAAGGTCAACATACCGATGACTACGGCAAATTTCGGAAACGGCGAGTTTTCTCTGACTTTCAAAAACATCTGCACCGCTGCGGCGACGACTAAACCAACCGCGCTGGCGTTCAAACCCGGAAGCATTTTTTGGTACGCTTGAAACGTTCGAATGTAACCCCAAAACGGCAAGACGCCGAAAATTAACGTCACGCCCGGGGCGAATAAGCCTGTCCAACACGTCAACGCTCCAGCGACGACACTTTTACCGGCTCTTTGCGCCATCACGGCACCTAAATACGCGGCAAAGTTAAACATCGGCCCCGGAGACGCTTGCACGAGCGCCAATCCGGCGAAAAACTGGTCCTCGGTAACCCAACTGTTCGTAGCGATGTTATCCGGCTGACTCGAATCGTACGAAACGACATCGTCTAACAACAGAGGTAAAACAACCTGTCCGCCACCGAAGATTATGCTCCCAGTTCTAAAAAACGCCGCAAACCAGTGCGAATACTGATTCGAATCGTAATTCGTTTGACTCGCGACGGTGACCATGAGCACCAACACGATCGCCCAGGAAAGAATCAAGAAACCGCCAACGATTTTAGTAGCCCCGTAACTCGCCACCTCGTCGTCTTGTTCGTTTCTTTCCGCGATATCTTTATCCGCGCCGAAGAAATAACTCACCAAACCGCCAAAAACAATCAGCAACGGAAACAGCCACGCGGTTTTGTAATAATACGCGAAACACGCGCTCGTGAGTCCCAACAGTCTCGTCATGTTATTCTTATTACACTGCCCGTTGGACAAATTCACCGCCGCGTCCACTACTAACGCCACGCCAGCCACGGAGAGACCACTGACTAACCCTTTCAAAAAGCTCGACGGGTTCGTCAGCGCCTCAGCCGCGCCCGCCCCGGCTAAAGTCATCAAAATCAATCCTGGGTATTGAAACAAACCTCCCGATAAGAGGCCACCGAGAACGCCTCTCTGCGTCACGCCTAGAGCAAAACTGACTTGCGTACTCGTCGGTCCGGGCATGCACTGGCCTAAACTCAACAATTCCGCGAAAATGGTGCTCGAAATCCATTTTTTACCATCGACGAAGACTTTTTGGAAAATGCCAATGTGTGCAGCTGGCCCACCGAATGCGGTCCAGCCCATCAAGATGAACGCTCGAAAAATGTCTCCGTACGACGCCCGAGAAACACCCGCGGAGGCGTGTTTCTCCACGTCGTCGTCGTTCCTGTTATCATTATTAGTATTAGTAGTATCCGTTGCTTTTGCCATGCTTATCGTCGTGCTCATAAACAACTCCTTTAAAATGGAATAATTCAAAAATGGAATATTATCTCTCGGCGGTACTCAACCTCTCCGCTCTTTTATGATATACACGCACTACTCCCAAAACAACGCGACGCAGAAACCCAAAAACAAAACACTTTTACCGCGCGTGTTATAAAAACGAGAGGACGTTCTTCTCTCTCCGCGTCTGTCTCGCTGCGTAAGTGTCCGGAAATTCCTTCTCTGAAAGATAAGACACGGGAAAGATGAAGGGGAAAAAAAGGAGCTGAAAAACGCTTGATTTTCTCAGAAGAAAAAAAAAACGTCACAAGTCAAAATCTGCATTTTACACCAACTGATCAAGAACAACAAAACACCCCAACAGTTTATAAAACATTATGGTGGAGCAAAACAGAAGAACAGGAGAGGAAGAGGACGAGTGTCCGGATCTGTACGGCGCTTTGAACGTGGAGAACACGGCGACGTCGATCGAGGTATGCCTCTCTTTCTTTCTTTTTTAATATCTAAATCTCGCATGTGTCTTCTTTCTGATCTCTCTTTCGTTTTTTTTCTCGCGAGAAACTTTTCATCATCGTCGCGCGGTGAAAATGATGACGCGCGGGAGGCGCGAATCCGATCCTGATAAAGACGACGAGAGAGAGAGAAAGAAATCTTTTAATAGCCTTCTTTCGTTCTGCAAAGACGACGCGGTATGCGAGGAGGAGCGCACTCCAAAATTGGATTTTTGAGAATCCGAAAAGTCTCTTGAGCGTTTTTTTAAATCTCGCGATGAAACCGATGGACGCGCTCCTCTATTTCTCTCTCTCACATTAGACGCACAATGACACACTTTCTCCTCCCTTTGTATTCCCTTCCATTGAAAAATCAACAGATTCGCCGAGCGTACCGGAACTTAATCACCAAAGCGCACCCGGATAAAGGCGGCGATGCGAAGACGTTCGCGTTGATCCAACGCGCCTACGACGTTCTCTCGGATACCGACAAGCGCAAACAATACGACTCGACCGGGACGTACTCGAAATCGGTCGAGGAGGAGTTGTTAGATTCTTTCGGTGGCGGCGTATTTCGCGATAAACTGAACGAGGAGAACCAGCGGAAAGAGTCCGTCGCGGAAGCGATTCAAACCGTGGAGAAGAACAAAGGGTCGCACACGTCTGGATTCGAAGCGTTTATGCGATCCAGGGGCGATTCGGTCGCCTCGTTTGGCGTGGACGATATCATCAATCAGTTCGGCGTCGTGAAAGGATCGTACGATGAAGTGCAGTTGCCGAAGATTAAAGCGTACGAGGTGAATCAACCCGCCGGGATGAAAGTCGTCGCCGGGCACGAGAAGGAGGCTTTGAGAGTTGAAACGACGAAAATCGCCTCGACTTTACAGTGGGGCGAAGTTTTAGTGAGCGTTCGCGTGGCGCCGATGAACGCGCACGATATTTACGAAGACCACATGTCGTTCATTACGTCCAATTATGGAAACGACGCATCCGATGCGAACGTTCATAAAGATTCGATGTTGAATCCGCGAAAAGGCGCTTTCGAGAACAACATGAACGAATCGAACGAACGCAAGATCCCAGGCTCGGATTGTTTAGCCACCGTGGTGAAAGTTGGCGCCGGCGTCAAGTCCTTAGCCGAAGGCGATTGGGTCATTCCGTACGTTCCAAACCTTGGCACGTGGAGAACCTTGGCTGTCTGGAAAGAAAAAGATTTGATCAAGATTCCGAAAGAAATGACGTCGGAAAACCATTGCGCAATGATGCGAGAGATGTGCGTCGCGTATCGTTTGTTGGAAGATTTCGGGGCGTTGAAACCAGGCGATGCGGTTATTCTGAACGCCGGTACCTCCTTAATCGCCACGGTGGTCTGTCAACTCGCGAGTATGCTCAAATTACGTCCGATTTTAGTCTGTCGCGCGCATCCAGGCTTCGAGAAAACCGTGAAGTGGCTCAAAAGTTTAGGCGCGATTGAAGTCTTCAAAGACGAGGGCGATTTGGGCGCCGAGTTGGAAGAAAAACGCCTCTTCGCGAAACCGAGATTGGCGTTAGACGGCGTCGGGGGTATTTCTGCCGTGCGTTTGGCGGAAACCTTGCACCAAGGGTGTCCTCTCATCGTCTACGCGTGCGCATCTGGTCGCGCGGCGACGTTTCCGTGGCATCATTGGGTCGGTAAAGGTTTGATCGTGCGCGGGTTTTCGCTGAGAAACTGGATGAAGGAAAACAAGAAGAAGACGCCGAAAATGATGGAAACTTTGGCAAAGTTGGTCAACGCGAACAAAATCGCGGTCGAGTACACCGAGTACGAATTATCGACTGAGTTTGACGAAGCTTTGGAGCACGCGTGCGAGAAGCACAGAAAGACGAAAATTTTGTTGAAAATAACCGATATCGGAAGCACCGTGGACGAAAACGACAAGTAATAAAATACGGATACGGATTTCTTTTTTCATCGGTCGGTCTTCCGACTTATTACTTACAGAGAAAAAGAAAGAGAGAGAAAAGATGAGCGTTTTTTGTAACAATCACACGAGCAACGACAATTAAAAGAGGTATCTTAGGCATACACTGTATTTCCTTTCAGCACAACGCAGACGTCGTATTTTTATTTTATTAATAACTCCCTCTTAGCTATAAAAAACTACCCGTTAGTTTTTTACTTGAATGTTAATTTAATAGAGTTCTTCTTCCATGTGCGTCTTGATGGTGCAGTCCGAGGTCGGGTACGCAACGCAAGTCAACACAAAGCCGTTACCGGTTTGGTCGTCGTCCAAGAAGGATTGGTCGGATTGGTCGATGGTACCCGCGACAACCTTACCCGCGCACGAAGAGCACGCGCCCGCTCTGCAGGAGTACGGCAAGTCAATGCCAGCTTCTTCAGCCGCGTCGAGAACGTAGGTGTCGTCCGCGCATTCAATCTTTTGGGCGCCTTCCGGGGTTTCCAAAGTGACCGTGAAGTTCATGATGGTCATGCCTCTTTGCACTTTCTGTTGGTGTTTTTAAGAATAACAGAAGGAGAAGGTCAATTTACTTTTTTGCGACCGACCCATTTAGGGTTAAACCCTAATCGTCGTCGTCGTCGTCTTTCTCTCGGTGTTCTCACCAGCGGAGATAAACAAGGCCGGAACACGCGACGACACCGTGGAGGTTCGAAATTCGTTTCCTCTCGCGCACGCGCGAAACGAAACGCGCGAAACTATTCACTCGAAATGAGTATCACGCGTTTACTCTTCGCGATTTGCGGTGTTTCGCGCGGCGCGAGCGCTCTGTGGTCACACACCGCGCGCGCGCGAAAATTGCAAGACGCGAGCGGGAGAAAGGAGGAAAGCAATCGGAAAAGAGAGAAATCCATCATCCAAAAAAAAAGGAAAAATCCTTCGCGGAAATCCGCGCGCGCTAAACTCCGGAAAGAAAGCAGTAAACGATGACGCGAACATATCCAACGACTGATTCGTAACGTACCATGGTGCGAGACTTCATCGCGACGGCTTTGCCGACGAAGGCGGTTTGTTGGACGTTAGTGGCAGCGAACATGGTGTGTGATTGAGAATACGTGTTTATGTTTTGGCGTAAAAAACACTGTGTGGGTGGGGAAAAAGAGGGTGAAAAAAAGAGGGTAAGCCTCTCTCCTCTGTCTGCTCTCGGGGGGCAAGGAAGAATAAAATAATCCAGAGAGTCCAGTTGGCAGTGGACGACACCACGAATTGTTCCTTCCTACGATTTTGAGTCGCGAATCCATAAAAACGTCAGCACAAGGAGTTCTTAGAGTAAGTTCTTCACACCACTTCCAGAAGAGAAAAAGGAGAGACAGACAGACACACACACACACTTTGAGCAAGGAAATAGAATAGAGAGAGATGTTGGCGACGACGACGACGACGTGCAGAGCGACCACCACCCTTTGCGACAGGTTTCCTTCCGCGTCTTCGAGGAGGACGCGAACAATCAGACGAATGCAGAAAAATCGAATGACGACGACGGCGACGAGCAGCAGCAGCGAAGAAGAAGAGAAAGAAGCAGAACCAATTCCTCCGAAGAAATCAGACCCGTTCGGGTTTGATTCCGGACGAAACGAAGGCCCGGTACCGATTGTTCCCGGGTTTGATACCGCGGAAGGCGGGAAGGTTGGCCCGCTCGGCACCGCTGGGATCTCCTTGTTGTTGTTCGTCTTGTTCGGTGGGAGTTTGTTTTTCACGTCCGTGCCGCGAGGCGCGGTGGAAGACATGGCGAAGATGGCGTTGGAAAACGATCCAGACGCGCCGACGAACGTGTTGAGACGTTAGGAGAAATTGTTATTGTGCTTGTTAGACTAATGATACTTGTGTACACTTCCACTAAAAACTAATCTTCTTCTTCGCCTCTATTCTAAAATTTTGACACATCGAACGTCGCCGAGAAGAAATCGCGCAAGGACTTGTTCAAAGGATATCGTCCCAAGGCGACGAGCGAGGACAATTGAGGAGTGAATAACTCTAAAACTTCTTTCTTTTGTTTTGCCAACGACGAGATGCTGCCTTTGCTTTCCTCTTCTTCCGTCCCGTCGCCGTCGTTGTCGTTGTTCTTCTTCTTCTTCTTTCGTTTTATCATATTCGTCAACGCGTCGACGACTGAAGCCAACATCGCAATCGTACGAGTAGAGACGTCGAAAGAGGATATCTCCTTCCCCTTATTTGAGAAGTGGTATCGCAAGACGATCTCGCATGCGGTGAGCGTACCGCTCGCGTCGTTTATCGTCGTCGCGAGCACCGCTCGCGTGGAGTTATATAAAAGCTCTTCGTGTTCCTCTTCTCCTCGCTTATCCATCGCAGAGGTGAAAGCGTCGATGTGAATGGTCCTTGCGACGTTTGCTATGCGATTTTTTGAAGCCATAACAGCACACGACGAGTACAACTCTGGAATGAAATCACAAACGAGCGATTTTGAAATCACTTCGTCCCTTTCGCTCTTCTTTTTCCGCGCGCGTATCGCATTCTCCAGGAAGTCGCACGCAAAACTCCAAAACATTTGAGAGGGAGAGGAAGTGCTCTCGGTGCCAAACGCTGCAATGCACGACAACGCGTGAGTTAACGAAGTCGACGCGACGTCAACATTTGCAAACGCATTTGCACAACCGATCGATACGATATCGTACCCTACATTTTTCGAAGACGTTACGTTTGAAACCAAGCGAGGAAAGAACGTCGCCAACGAAAATACTTTCGCCTCTGAGAATCCCTCGTTCTTCGGAGCACTTTTGTGCGCGTGATTCCCGTAATACTCTTCACGAGTGAACGAAACGATAGGGTCTATGGCATCTTCGCACACGTCTTGCCAGAATGCTTTTTCCTCGTTTTCGTTTTGAGACGTGGCGGTAAAGTTGAGCGCGGACGCAAAGACGCTTTCAAACGCCCTCACGGTTGTCGCCCGCGTGTTTTCGATAGAGAACGTCGCGGATATCAAACATCTCGTCGTAACTTTCCACAGGTTTCGTCCACGAGCCGTACTTCGATCTGCGCGAAGGATAATCTCTTGTAAAGATAGCAAAGCTTCAGAAACGACGATGGAATCGCCTTTGTCGTTTTTCGTTTGCTTTTCGACGTCGCGAAATTTGGCTAAAACATCCACAATGTCCGGTAAAACGTCGTCGGTGAGTTCTCCATCCACGATAGATGGAGTCGTTGTTGATACTTCTTCTTTTATTGATCTACCTTTGAGCACACTTTCGACGATGACGTTGCGAAAACTCACAAACGCGCGAATTTTTGCCGAGTCCGCGAATAAAACTTTCACTTGGTCCTCCGGGTTGCCGTCGTACTCCTCGGTGTTGCCGTGATATTCCGACAGAGTGGCGTTTGAAGCGACAATTTCGAGCGTCTGAGCGACTCTTCGCCAGGATTTCCCAAACTTTTTGCTCGAAGTTTCCGCCAGTCGTCTCAACGCATCGACGACAAATTCGGCTTTTCTCGTCTTCATTTCGAAAAAGACGGTTTCGTTACCCAAGCCGGAGTTTCGAAAGCTCGAATTTGCAACCGTTCGAATGGCTTCGTAGAATGGTAACAAAGCGTCTTCTCTCGCCGCGTCTGCGTTGCTGCTGTTTATATCTTCGTCCGTCTCCAAATTCGTCAACGTGGTTTTACGTTTTGTGGGCGTAATGTTGCCATCTTCGTCTTTGGACTCCGCGGATTCCGCGCTTCCTCTTTTCAAGAGCACAGCCTCGGCAACGACGCGAAGGCACTCCGAAGCTTCTTTGCACGCGTTGCGATTTACAATCGTTTCAATTTGTACGCACGAAGTTGCTGTTGTCGCTAAATGCAAGGATGCTGGTCCCCAGATGACGTTTCGCCAGGCTGCTAAAGATCTCCCGTTCAAGTTTGCCCGCGCGACATCCGCCAAACGTTTCATCGCGATTCTGGTATTTGGAGATTTTGTGATTTCGCTTTGCTCGGCGGCGCATAAATCGCGCTCGGAACGTTGTATTAACGCGTCGACGACGTGCGAGAGTTCGCTCGCGTCCATTGTGGACGAGTTGACGAAACACGCGTCGATGGCTGCCTTGGCGTCTGGATTTATCTCGGTTTCCAAACCAGCCTCCCTCGAAAACGGTCGGAGCCACGCCATGACGTTTTTGAACCCGAGAAGGCGTTGGATGTTCTTCTCCACTTTCGTTTTGTCCGGTAGAACTCCGTCCGTCGATTCTTGCGCGGTTCCGTTTGAACTGTTGTTCACATTCGCAACACCTCTCAACGCCGTCGAGTCATTTTCCAACATGGCAATCTCCAAACTGACGCAAATATCAATACACGACTTCCAAAATTTTTGACCGAGCTTGATGAAATCGCCGTCGGATTTTGCGCAGTCGAGAAGCGTTTTTGTCGCCTCGGCGCGTTGCATGGCTCTCAAATCGACTCGCGTCGCGTCGTCGTCGTTATCATTGTCATCATCAGCGTTGCTGTTTCCCCGATCATTGTCGGATGCACTCACGCCCGTAGCGTTGCACAAAAATTGTCCAAACAAATCTCGCAAAGTATACAGCTTCGTCTCAAAAGCGAGTCGCATGGCAGAACGAGCGCACTCCAAAGCCATAGCGGCACGCCCTGGATCATTTGCGAGGCCAAACGCAATCGATAGCGCGCGACAGAGCGCTTCGCCGATGACTTCAAACATTGGTCGAGCCAGTCCGGCTTCGGCAGCCGCGTGGAAGGCGGATTCGCCGACGAATACGTTGTCGTTATTGTTTTTCGCGCTTTCGTCGAGCTCTGAATTACTACCTTGTCCATTTTTGAGCTGCGGCGGGGAAAGTGCGGCTGCAGGAGCTATTGTCGATCTCGTCGTGACGGCAGAGAATGCTCGAGCAGTTTCTCTCAGCAAAGCTTTCGCTTCTTCCGAGGCAATTTTTTCCTCCATTTCCAGAATTTTCTGTTTCTTCTTGAACGCACCAAATATGCCAAAGTCGCTCATGAGACCGCTATTCACTGCTGCAGTGGTAGTACTACTACTATCAGCGGCAGAAGTGGAAGACGACGCCGTTTCCGCAATGGCGCGTTTATCCGCGGATAATATAATTTCTTCTTTCGTCACGCGATCGTAAACGCCTCGAATCATTTCTTCGTCCAAACCTCTCGTTTCTGGCGTATCCAAAGCCATATTCAAGAAATCCTCTCTCGACATCCGCATTTTCACATCCACCATGGGATTGTGCGCGTCGGTATTCAACATTATTATCGCAAACGCGATAATTGTCACGCAATCTACTTTCTTTTCTATTTTTTGGCCACCAAAGTTTGGATTTAATTCAATGAATCTTTTCGCGAAGCATTCGGTGAGTCTATCGATTTGTTGCGCTTCGCCGGGAATTCGAAACGTCGACATGAACTTCCTCAACGCTTCATCCACGTATTCGTTCGTGAAATCAAAGTTTTCCAGGTACGCTCGAATAACAGCAACGCCATCAGCATCGCTAGATCCCAGCAAGTGTCCAATTGCTGACGGGTCGACACCCGGCGCCGACCGTAAAAACTTGGCGGCGTCTGACGCCGACACGACTGAATTACTCGGCGCGTGCTCGCGCAGAACTGCCATAGTCGGCGTCTTGTTGAACTTTTTCACAGCAATCTCCACCGATTTTTTCTCTTTCTTAAGATTTGCAAACGTTTTCGTTTGCGATGGTTTTGCTATTGACGATGATGATGACGTCGTAGGCACGTTTTCTAGCGGAACGGAAGAGAGCAATCCGCCGCCGATGACGCCTTCTGATTCGCTTCCCGGGGTTGTTCTCGTCGTCCTCGTCGTCCTCGTCGAGTTGTTCGATTCTGCTTGATTCTTGTTATCTTGTTTAGCCGTGGCGGTACTCGAAGGTACGACGACGTTTTGGGACGGTATCAACTCAAACGAGGTCGAAACACTCCCTGACCGGCGCAAAGTGGAGGAGGCTTTTCTTTCGACTTCGTCAATGGAATCCTCATCGTGAAATAAATCTTCCCCTAATTCCTTGTTTCTCGCGCGCCACACGCGCAACGAACGCACGATAGCGACTAAACACTGCGTCGCTGCATCTCTAACCGCAACTGAATCGATATCGATCGAGGAACCACTGCTAATTTTTACAAGAATGCGCTCCTTTTCCCGTTCAACTTTAAGCGTCTCTAAAATCGCCTTGGCGCTTCTTTCGAAGCAGTTTGTCGAACATCTCGGATCGCAATCGTAATTCACAAAAACGTCCGCCGCTGTCGAAGGATCGTCGTATATTTGTCGTAACGTTTTTAACGCAGCAATCTTTGCCTTCACGTGCGTTGACTTTGATCGTTCCAACGGGTGTAAAAGCATCGTTGGGAACATCAAAGCGATTTCAGATTTCCACGAATCTCTCGCGCGAGAGACAATCGCGGCATACGTCGCTCGGGCTAAACTCGATGACGCTAACGCCATGGGATGAAACCTCGTCGCGTTACTAAATCCATGCAAGATGGTGTTGCTGTTATTACTCGTGCTCGTGGTGATTGTTGTTCTGTTCGTCGACGCATTCAGCGTCTTTTCGATGCCTTCGAAACTCAATCTTTTCGCGTTATTGTTGCTATTGTTGTTGATCGCGCCAGACGCGGTAGCCGCGGCGGCCGCAGCTACTCCAGCGACGCCGCCTTTTTGAAGCGTGGACTTTGGATTTAACATCGCGTTCATCAACAACGCCTCGCTCAAAGGTTTCTTCAATTCGTTTCTATACGCCGCTAACCACGCTCTCGCGTTTGGTCCTTCGCACAGCTGTCGAAGTAAATCTATGGCTAAAAACCGACTCGCCAGGATGTACTCGTCCGCGTCTAACGCATTCGCCGCAGAAAAATACGTAGTTGGTTTCTTATTAGCATTATTGGCATCCGCATTCTCTTCCGCAATCATCGTCGAAGTCGTCGCGCTCGTAATCGCATCTGAATCTCTCGATGCGATTTTACACAATGCCTTCAAACACGTCAACGCTGATTGGTCGCTAAAAAAACTATCACCATTAGTATTGATATTTCCCGCAGCGCTCGCGCTACGAAACTCCCCCTCTGAGCACCTTTTGAAACAATTATTTATGTGTTGCACCAACGCCGTCTTCGCCACTCTTCTCTCCACGTCCCCATCGCTCGCGACTGCTGAATGCGCCAACCGCAAAGTCAAAATCTCCAACGCCTCCTCCCCTTCTTCGCCTTGAAATATCCCCGAGTTTACGATGTGTTCGCTCGTCGCCAACGCCAACAACATCTTCACTACCATCCTCGTAATTTCCAACGAGCTATCATCCTTCCCGCAAAACGCGACCGCTTTACACACATCTCTCAACATCGTCGCGCTACATGTCATCATCATCTCTACATTTTCCGTCGCCGCCGAATTCGTTCCGCTCACTCTCACTTTCTCCTTCTCCACGAAATTCATCACCAAAAACAAACACTCGAGCGCTTTCACCGCGACTTTCTGCCTCCCTCCTTGCGAATACACCTCTTGGTTGCTCAAAATCTCTTTACACGCGTCCGTGACTTCTCGTAAAATTTTCGTCTTCTTCTCAAAGTGCAAAAAATCCGACTTCTTTTCCTCTTCTCTCGTTTGCGTCCAGAACTGTTTCATCAGTTCGTCGTTGGTGTTGGTGTTGGTGTCTTTTAAAAACTCCAAAATCTTTCCTCGCGCCTCTTTCGCCTTCTTCGGGAGGAGTAAAACGAAGGCACCTCCGCCGAACTCTTTTACAGATTGGGAGAAGAGCACCTCGGTCGCTCGCAAGAACGACGCAAAGGCACCGATGCGATTTTGATTTTTTTCTTCCTCGTTCGCTCGTTTCTTCTTCGTCGTCTTCTCCTCGACATCGTTTTCATCGCCATCGTCGTCCTCGGTCGGCGTCCTTTCGGTCGGCGTCTTCGTCTCAGACGAAGAAGAAGGCAGCATCTGAGAGACAAAAAAGCAATTTTTGCTCAGAGCCTTTTTCTCGAGCTTAGAGAGAGAGAGAGAGAGAGAGAGAAAGAGAGAGAGCAAATAAATGTGCGCGCGTTCGTTGTCGTGTGTCTCTTCTCTCTTTTTTTTATTTATTTCGTGTGAAGTGTGCTTTTTTTTTTTTCTCGCTTTGCTTTTTTTTTTATTTTTCTTTTCTTTGTTTGTGTTTTGTGCTTCTCTGTTGCTTTTCCCTCTTCAAAAAAAAAACTCATCAACTCTCACATCACTTTTAAAAATAAAATGATGTTCGCGTCGTCGTCGTCGCAGTATACCGCGTCGTACGCGCGAGGCGTAAAATTGGTTTTCGCGGCAAAGAAGACAACAACGCCGAGGAGGAAGAGGAGGAGAGGAAGAGCGAGAGGAGCATTTCGAGCTTCTTCGTCTTCTTCAGACGGAGAAAAAAACGGATTGGAAACATCATCAACAGAAGATGACGACGACGACGAAAGAAGAAACTTTGGAGGAAAAGCGTCGTGTTCTTCTTCATCTTCTTCTTTCTCTCCGTTGTTGTTGTCTCTTTTAGTAGTATTCGCGGGCGGTGTGACGACGGCGCAACCATCGTTCGCATCCATCGAAGATTCTCGGAAACAAGTCGTCCTCGACATCGAGCGGCGTTTGGAACTCGAACGACAGGAATCCATCAATAATAACGATATCGATAAAGAGAAGAGAGAACCGAGACCGAGGTGGGAAACGAAAGCGGAGGAAAGAGCGATGATGATGCGAGAATACGATCGACTGGCGATCCAACAAAAGGAAGAAAAAGAGGAATTCAATCGAAAAGCGACGGCGGTGTACGCGAGACAGGCGGCGGAGAGGAAGACGCTCGCGCGGATCGAGAAGGATGGCAATCCGGACGGGCTGTCGCAAAGCGAGAAGGAACAAGTCGCGAAGGAGGAAGGTGAGAGAGCGTACGAGATGACGATGAACGCGATAGACGCGTCTGAGCTGGAGTTGAAGGCGTACAATGAACGCATGGAAGAGAGGAGGCGGACGGCCTTGGAGAGGAACCGGGAGGAGTTGGAGAAGTTGGAAAAGATGGAGAGGAAAGAGAAGGAGGAGAGCGAGATTTTGGAGCAGATTTCGAAGAACTGCGAAAAGTCCTTGGAAGACGTGAACCCGTTCGACGATACCGTGTGTATTTAAACAACTTTTTTATATTGATGATGATACAAAAAACAAAGCAGCGCCGTTATGATTTATATACCTACTTTAATAACCGTACCCGGCTGCTGACGAAGACGAAGTCGAAGACGAACTCGTCGTCGAAGAATCTTCTTCGAAGAATCCCATCACTCTCGGAACTAAATGTTTAATCAACAACTCCAACGCGGACACTTCCCCGAACGACACCGGGATGTTCACGTTCAACTTCTCTCCAAACTTGGTCTGATTGTAATTCAAAAACACTCCCCCGGTGCCGTCCGGCATCGCTTCCATCTTCAAACTTTTCGTCACCGACCCTTGCGAACTCCCGCCCATCCCCGGGTCGTGGAAAAACTCCACCTTTTGCGCGATGCTTTGTCGACTCGGATTCAATCTGTTCGCCAACTCCGCGGCTTCAATCGGAGAAAGCATGAACGACCCTTTCCGAGTCCAATCGTATTTCCTCGTCCCGATGGACGGCGCGAATTCCAAGAGAATTCCGCCGGAACGTTTCATAATCGTCCGGCCTTGATGATCGGTCTCGAACGTCGGTTTGACCAATTTCACGGATAAAGCCGATTTCGATTTATAAATTGAAAAGTCCACGAACGTTCTGCCGCTCGACGATGACGATGACGAAGAATTGTTGTTGTTGTTGTTGTTATAACCGCCGCCGCCTCCGCCGTACGAAGAAGAAGACGAATACGAAGCGCCGGGGCCCCCGTAGTTATTGTTGCCTCGATTTTGCGTTTGCGTTTGCGTTTGCTGTTGCCCACTACTGAGACCACCACCACCACCACTCGCTCCCCACGGCGGCGCCGACGGCGTCTCTCTCGCGTAATAGTTATCCTTGTTGTTCGACGCAGCGTACGACGCCTCCTCCTCGCCAAAGGCGTTCGATTTCGCATCGCTGGGCACCCACTTAATCGCCCGATTCGCCCCCGGACCGGACAACCGATCGCCGTTGGAAACGACCAAAGGCGGCGACGCGAACGCGTCTTTGTATTGATTTTGCGCTTTTTCTTCTCGTTCTCCTCCGTAGTAGTAGTTGTTGTTGTTGTTATTCTCAGACGACGACGACGACGAATAAAACGAAGAAGCGCTTTTCGTCGCTTTTCCGATTTCAAATCTCCCCGACGATGAAATCGTCCTCGTCGTCCTCGTCCCCCAAAGCAGCGAAGAAGACCGAAACGAAGAAAAAAATCGAGAAGACGTCGTCTTCGCGTTTTTGCCGCATCTCGTCGAGCACGAGGAGGCAGAAGAGGAGGAGGATTTCAGCGAGAAGATGTATAAACGATTAAGTGGACGCAAAGACAAAGCAGACATTTTACGAGAACTAATAATTTGTAACGACTGGAGTGAAAAAAAATTTTAAAAAACACTTGAGTTTTCACATCAGAGAGACATTTTTTTTCCTCGCGAAAAAAAAAAAGCAGCCGCGTGTTCAATTTCACACATCCAATGATGTCTCACTAATCTTGCGCATACTTAAACGCATAAACTCACACTCACACAGATTTTATCATCTCTTATCTTAGCCTTATTTTTGGGAAAAGAGAGAAAGAGAGAGGATTCGAGGAGAATTCTTCTCTTAAAATGGTCGCGGAGTACTACTCTGGAGGAGGCGTCCCTCCTTCAAATCATCATCATCATCATCACAAAGACGTCCGCTTGCACCTCGCTTTGTTCGCGATACAATGCGTCTGCGCGATATACAACACCTTGTGCCAACTTTTCTTGAGTAAAAATGATGAGAGTAAAGATGATTGGCGCGCGGTGTTGGTGTTTTCCTTGTACAGGGACGTTTTAGCGGCGCCGTTGCTCTACGTGTGCGCGTTTTTGCACGATTCTCACCAACAACATGTCAGCGGTGGAGTCTCGTCAAACTTCAGATGGTTCCCGAGTTCGCAAGATTTTCCGCGAGTGTTATCGCAAGCGTTTCTGGGGATTTTTTGCAACCAACTCGCATCTTTACTCGGGATTCAACTCGTCGGAGCAGTTATGGCGTCTTTAGTACATCTGGCGACACCGATGTGTGCGATGGCGATCGCGGTGTATTTAGGACAAGAGAAGTTGAACGCGTTCATAGCGAGCGGAGTGGTGGTGGCGTGCGTAGGCGCGATGAGTATGAGCGCGATTGACGCGTACTTGAAAGACGTCAGCGTGGAAGAGGAGAAAAAAGAGAGCTCGCCGGTTGGGTTGTTTGCGTTGTTTGCGGGGAGTTTAGCGAGCGCGGTGTATTATAATTTACAAAAGATTACGTTGAAGAAGAAAGAGAACGTGCCGTTGATGGTGACGGCGTGGGAGTACGCGTTCGGGGCGTCCATGATGGCGTTGTGTGCGGTGATTTGCGTGCCGTTTGGTAATGAGGCAGAAGTATACGCGTACGATGGCGAGAACAGCGTGTCGTCCATAGCCGCAAACGCCATCACCTCGGGAGGAAGGAGCGCTGCGAATAAAAGGTGGGTGTTGGAAACGGAAGGCTTGTACGCTCTCTTCTTCGCCGTCGTGTTCAACTCCATCTTAAAGTACGCTTTGAGCGCGTATTGCAACAAAAGAGCCGGAGTGACATTACTCACCGTCTATTCCACGCTACAACCCGTAGTCACCGCCGTTTTAGCGCTTTTACTCTTATCCCAACCCTTACGGTGGGGCTACGTCGGCGCGTTTGCCATTTTTTACGGCGTCTGGTTAGTCGCCAAAGGAAGAGATCTGAACGCGACGAGCGGGAAGATGAAGTACGACGATTCCGCGCCAACAACAACATCAACAACAATATCAACATCGAATACTAATAACACTAGAAATAAAAAAGAGGAACAACCGTACAGTAGTCTTAGCAATAGCAAAGAGTTACGCGTTTAGAATTTAATTATTTGTAAATAGTACGCGGATGATACGCGATTGGATATGTGTATATGTGCGCTCTCTTTCATCGAAATCTCTTCACTTTCAGAGACTGTTCATCAGACCTTTTGAGACCAAAATTCAAACTATATATGTTCGTAAACGTGCTCGTCGCCGCGGCGTCCGCGACGACAACTTTCTTCGTCTCTCGTCGTAAAAGTCGTCGTAATGGTGAAAACAAAACGAACTTTGAGCAGGTATGTACGCGAAAGCGTTTTCTTTTGAGCAACGAAACGTTCCTCGCGGGGAAGAATTTCAAAATGTAATCCGCTGACACCAACAAAACGCTTCGTTTCTTTTTTCACATCAGGAGACTAATAGTACCGCCAATTTTCCGCCCTTTTTAGCGCGAGATGATGGGTGTTACTGCCGACAGTGTCCCCCGGATGATTATTCGCCCGTTTCCTCCTCCTCCGCTTCTTTTGATGAAGGAGAAAACAAGGAAAATTTTGGACTCGATTCCCCGCCAAAGAAGAAACCAAATCCACTCTCGAAGGAAAAACGAGAGCGCTATTTATCCTGGGACGATTATTTCATGACCGTGGCGTTTTTGAGCAGTCAGAGGAGCAAAGATCCGAATAAACAAGTTGGGGCGGTGATTGCGTCGGAGTCAAAGTTGATATTGGGTAGGTTTTTTTTAATCTTATCGTTCGTTCGTCGTTGTTTGCGTCGTCTCGCTCGCTCGTCGCTCTCTCTTCGCGAAGTGGCGTTGACATTTTTTTGTGACTACATAAACAGGTGTGGGATACAACGGTTTTCCGCGAGGGTGCGGCGACGACGCCTTACCGTGGGCCAAGAAAAGTCCCACGGGCGATCCTCTCGAAACCAAATACGCGTACGTGTGCCACGCGGAGATGAACGCCATCATGAACAAAAATTCCGCGGACGTGAAGAACGGAACCATGTACGTGACCATGTATCCGTGCAACGAGTGCGCGAAGTTGATGATTCAAGCCGGGATTAGAGAGGTGGTGTATTGCGAAGGGAAGTTGAACAAGGACGATCGCGATAATAATAGTAATAAAAATAGTGCCAGTAAGAACAATAATAATAATAATAATAATAATAGTAAGAAGGTGTTCGGAGAGAACGCGAAGAACATCATCGACGGAGCAGCAGTAGCGACCACCGCGGCAGAGAAAAAAGAGGAAAAGAAAGTCGACCCGTCCTATTTTGCGAGCCAGAAGCTCCTCGCGTTGGCCGGTGTCACCGTTCGGCAATTCGAGCCGAAAGTGAAAGTCGATTTGACGTATTTACGCGATTAATAATAATTTAAGTCGTGTTGTTTTAAGTACCTTTCAAATAACACGCGGCGGATCTCTTCTTTTTATTCTACATTTATATATTTTGTTCAATACGCATCTCTCGCGCGCACTATGTGCGAGAGCGTCGTTTAGAATTCCTTCTCCCTTCCCGGCTCTCTCACTCTTTTTGTCTCTCTTTCTGTATTTTATAATATATTTCTCGTCGTTTTTTATTAGCAGCGCGTTCTTATAAATAAACAAACAGCTCAAATTAGTTGCCCTTCGCTTGCTCTCTTTCCTTCGCGTCGCTAATCTCCTCGACCGTTTCCCACTCGACCGCGCAATCCTCGGTGCACTCCTTAGCCGCTTTCAACGCGATTTCCAAAGACTTGGAAAGTTCCTTCACTCTCGCGCTCTCCTTCACTTTACCTTGAACTTTGCCCAAACTCTTCGCCGCGGTTTCGATGGAATCCAAAACCGCCTTGTCCATCTCCCCAGACTTGGCCGCTTTCAATGCATCTTGGGAAGCTTTGATAAACGCCAAATCTTCTTTGGACACTTCCGCATCGACCGCCGCCGGTTCTTTCTTGGCGTGCGCAGACGCGGCGGAGATTTCCTCCACCACGTCCCAGTTCGCGGCGCAATCGTCCACGCATTCTTGCGCGTTTTTGATGGCATCTTCCAAAGCTTTGGACACCGCGGCTTGGTCCGCCATGCGGACGATCGTGTTCACTCTTCGAGCAGATGTGACTTTTTGCTGTTTTGCGATTCGATGGACAAAAATGTTTGAGAAAGACAGAAAGAGGGTCAGTAATCCTCTCGCGTAGGTTCGTTTCCCCGACGGGGAGATGATCTCTCTGACCCTCGAGATGATATATCATCTCTCAGCTTTCCTCTTCTTTTGCTAACGAAATCAAAGCTCGAAGCGAAAAAAAACAACAACACGAAGAACAACGCGTTCGCGTTGTCCTTTTCGCGTCCGAAAGAACAACCGAAGCTTTTTCCTCCAAAGTCGAAAGAGGAAAGAACGCGATGGTGATGACGCGATCGATTACTAAAAAAGAGAACTACTAATCCACCCCCAAAAATGCATCGCTTCTTTCGAGGAGAAAAGCAGAGAGCAACGAGAAGTAAAGCGAGGAGGGTTACGCATCACAAAGAAGATAAAACGCGCAATACTCGTACCTGTCTCGTGATCACTTTGCAGTGCGCGAACGCGGAGGCTCTTTGGGCGATCATGGATTGCATCTTGTTCTTGTTTGTCTGTGTTTTTGAAGTAATTCTCGGGCGGAAATGTGCTGAGTTGGTTTTCAATCAAAAACCCTAAATCTTATCTTGTTTTTCCTCCCTTGAATAGTAGAGGGAGGAGCGGGGAGTGTATATATACTGGTAGTAGAGTTAAGAAGACGAAGGAGGAGGAGGAGAAGAAGAAGAGTCCTCCAAAGCGTTTGATGTGTGTTAATATATATATATCTTTATATCTTTTCTTATCTCGTATAAACAACACCCGTCTGTCTTCTCGTTCTCGTTCGTTTATTTTTATCCTTCTTCTTTTCTTTTCTGTTGTGTGGGCTATGTTCTTTTAATAAAGTCTTTCCTCTCCTCTTTCTCTCTCTCTCTCTCTCTTTCACTTTGTTATCGAATTCTCTTTTTTAAGCGCCGCACATGAACTTGGCCGCCTCGACTAAATCGCTCGCTCTTTTCACGACTTCTTTCTCCATCTCCCCGGCGTACGGCACCGGGGCGTCTTCCATGCACAAACGCATCACCGGCGCGTCCAACTCGTCGAACAAGTTTTCGGAAACGATGGCGGATAACGTCGCGCCGACGCCACCGGTTCGCGTACTTTCGTCCAAGATTATCAACTTGTGCGTGCGTTCGAGAGAAGATTGGATGGTTCTCCAATCCACTGGTTTCATGCACGTCATTTCGATGAAATCAAACTCGATGCCGCTGGCGGCTAACTCTTTCATGGCTTCTTCAGATTCCTTGACGCCGTGTAAATACGTAACCACCGTGATCGCTTTGTTCGCCTTAACCGCCGCGTCCGAAGCCTTCGCGTGTTGCGTGGACTTGTGCAACGGTAAGAATTGGTTCGGGTTGCACGGACCTCTGGTCTTCATCATCTTCACCGGCAACAACAAAACGCCCGGCCCGTTGTCGCGAATCATAGATTTCGCTAAACCGTACGCCTCGTTCGGTTTACTCGCGGAGCAAATCTTCAAACCAGGGATGCCCATGATGTACGCGTGGAACGGTTGCGAGTGTTCCGCACCAAGCGATTGGTTCGGCGCGGTACCACCGGCACCGATGACGGTCATTGGCATTTTGAACTGCCCGCCGGTGGTGGCGTACGTGTTCCCGGCGGAAGAGAGTTCCGCCATGCCGTAGATACCAAAGTTTGCGTTCATCAACTCCACGATCGGCCTGTATCCGTTCATGGCTTCGCCCAAGGCTTTACCGATGAAGTGACCTTCGTCGATGATTTCATCCGCGGCTCGCAATCTCCCGAACGCTTGTTGCGTGTTCGCCGGAATGTTGTACGAAGACCCGGCTTGTAAATCCTCGGCGTGCGCCAAACACGTCGGGTCTCTCAACATTTCTTCCAAAACTGCCAAGTTGACCGCGTCACCGATGGAAATACCTTGCGGCGTATCGCACAATCCTCTCAAGTCCGCGATTCGCTTTTCCAACCCGGCTAAAGTGTTCGGGTCGACGATTTTCTTCGTCGTTTCTTGCGCCTTGGCCAAACCCATCTCCGGTTCGCGTTGCGAGTAATCCACTTGCCCGTTCGGATCTGGGTACTCCAACTCCGCCGCTAAACTCGGTGGCGGTGGCGGAGACGCGTCCGCAAAGTCCAACGCTCTCTTCACTTCGTCCTTCGCTTTCTTTGTCAACGCTTGCAAATCCAAACCTTGCGCGTGCGCGGACTGTTCGAAAATCGTAATCGGGTCGCACTCTTTTCTCGCCCATCTCTTCTCGTCCTTGCGGTTTCTCTCGTGTTCTGGATCCGCCGGCGAGTGACCGTTAAATCGAAACGTGTGCACTTGCAAAATTGCCGGACCTTTCGTTCTCACGTGGTTAATCGCCGCTTTACCAACCTTCAAGACATCCGTCACGTCTTGGCCGTCGACCAAGACGCCCGGGACGCCGTAATGCTTCCCTTGCTCAAACACCGACTGGTTTTGCGCGACATCCTTCGTGAACGTGTTAATCGCTCTCCCGTTATCGATAACCAAGAATAAAATCGGCAAATTCTCCTTCGCGGCGGCGTTCAAGCACTCCGCCATTCTCCCGTTTTGCGCGCCGCCTTCGCCGACAAACACAATCGCGATGCGTTCGTCCTCCATACCTTCCTTGCCTAAAAACTTATCCAAAACGATCGATCTCGCGGCGCCAACCGCGTACGGTAACTGCTCAGAAACCAACGCCCATCCACCTTGGAAGTTATTCTCCACGTCGTAAATGTGCATACTTCCTCCGGTACCTCTGCACGTCCCGCCGTCTTTCCCGTACAACTCCGCCATAACTTTACCGGCGTCCACGCCGCAGGCGATGGCGTGACAATGATCTCTGTAATACGAGTGCTTCAAATCAGACTTGCGAATGCTGTTCGCCAACAAGGCTGGAATAGACTCTTGCCCGTTATCCAAGTGCATGAACCCGCGAATCTTCCCGCCCATGTACGACTGGTTGCACTCGTTTTCAAAGTCTCTGCACAACTGCATCATCTCGTACGCGTTTTCCAACTCTTCCTTGGTCAATTCCCCGAACGTTTTTAAATCCTCCTCGGAGGTTTTAAACTCCGATTTCAAAACCGTTTGCGCGTCCTCCCACGGGGTCGAGATGCGCAAACGCTCCAGGTTTTTCGGGACGTCTTCCTTCTTTTGCGTCGTCGTTTTCGCGGCTGCCGCTTTCGCGAAGCATCTCAATCCTCCTCTCTTGTTGTTCTTGTTCTCGTTGTGATTGTTGCGCGTTTTAGTATTCGCAGTAGTGGTATTCAAAACGTGGTGTCGTCGTCCTCCCAACGCGAAACTCGTCGCCCGTGTCGTCGTCATCATCTTTATTAAACGCAACACACCGCGCAAAAGTGATTATTATCGTATCGAGTCTCGAGAAGTCACGCTCTCGGAATCTCTCTTTAATGGGGAAAGAAAAAAAATGGGGAGAGTAACGCTATCCACTAGTCAAGGAGTCAAGGAGTCGCTTTCTTTTGTGGGGCAACCAACCGCTTTTTTTCTTTCTTTTGCGGTTGAATTTTTTTCGTGGTCGTGGTTGCTTTTGCTCCTTTTTAACAACAAGGAGGGGAGCTCTTTTTTTTTTTCCGAAAAGCTTTTGTCCTTCCTTCCTCTCTTTTTCGGGGCGTCCTTTACTCACAAAAAGTCACCATTTATCCGATATACAATAATCGTCTACGAAACGCGCGCGGATATATATTTATACGCAACGCATGCGTTCCTTTAAAACAGAATAAATTTTCGTGAGAACAACGGAGGAGGTTTTTGTGCTTTTCACAGGCGCGCGCTCTCTCTTTTGAGACGATGTTTTTGACGACGATGAATGAGACTTTGAAGACGTCGTTTTTGTCGTTTGGAGAGAGGAGGAACGAACATCATCCTCCCCGAGCGACAAAAACATCGTCCTTCTTGGCGAAAAGGAAAAGGAAAAGGAGGCGTTTGATGATATCTTCTCTTCCTCGCCGGGCGAGGACGACGATGAAGGCGTCGTCTGAATCGTCGTCGTCCGAGAAGAAGAGGAGCGAAAGAGTGCTCTTAGAAGAAAAAGAAACGACGAAGAGTAGTAATAAGAATAAGAATAAAGATGATAATACGAACGCAACAACATTAACAACAACAACAACATCGAGAGAGGTTTTACTGGCTGAATGCGCCGCGGACGCCAAAAGCGCGTCGTCGTTTTCGACGTGCGCGGATTCGTGCGAGGCGAACGTCGTCTTACTCGAGAACGAGTTACCGACCGCGGCGAAACGGCTGGAGTTTAAAAACGAGGACATCGACAATCGCCCGGGCGTGTATCACAGAGTGGGGAACTCGACGACGGAACAGGCGTTGGCGAATTCGGTGAATATTCTGTTAGGCGTTGGGACGTTATCGGTACCGTACGCGTTGAGAGAGAGCGGATGGGCAGGGATCGTCGTTTTATTGTTGTTGGGAGCGACGACGAATTACACCGGGAAGACGTTGATTCGATGTCAAAGGCGAGGCTCTTTGCCGATGCGAACGAATTTTAACACGTACTCGGACGTGAACGAAGACGGGAGCGTGACGGTTGTTAAAAAAGCGAGGAGAGCGTTAACCACGTATGAAGATATCGGTGAAGCGGCGTTTGGAGAGTTTGGGAGAAGTTTGATTAGTTGGGTGCTGTACGCCGAGTTGATCGGGACGTGCGGTTTGTTTTTCATCTTAGAAGGCGATCATTTGAAGTTGTTGTTTGAATCGACGATGTCGCAATCGAAAGAGACGCTGATGTTGTTAGCTGCCGGTGTTATGATCCCTACGACTTGGTTGGTTGATTTATCGAAACTTTCACTCATTGGCGCGTTGGGATTTGTCGCCTCGGTCGGTTTAACCGGAGTCGTTGGGTGGGATTTAATTCAAGCGTTGACGAATCCGAGCGGGTACGAGTTTCCGCACACGGCTTTGGTACATTATTCCACGTACCCTTTATCTTTCGGTTTGTTAGCGTTCGTGTTCGCGGGACACGCGGTGTTTCCCGCGATATACACGTCCATGCAAAAACCGGAAGAGTACGAGTCTATGCTAGACAAGACTTACGGGGTCGTCATGATTAACTGTTTACTTCTGGGATGCGCTGGGTATTTCTTATTCGGCGACCAAGTGTCCTCGGAGGTGACGTTAGATTTACCAGCTGGAATTATTAGCACGATTGCTCTAGGATTAATCACGATCAACCCGCTCGCGAAGTTCGCGTTAACGATGGACCCGGTCGCTCGAGGCGTAGAGGAGAAGTTCAATTTAGACACATCGAAAGCTGAAAATTTACTTCCCGCGAGAGTCTCTAGGACTGGTTTAGGATTGTTCGCGCTCGGTTTAGCCGTGAAACTTCCTTTTTTCGGCGTAGCCATGAGCTTAGTCGGCGCCGTGCTGACTTTATCGGTCAGTCTTATCTTTCCAACCGCGTGTTATCTAAAAATGTTCGGCGACGAGTTAGACGCCAAGGAGAAGTGGTTGAATTACGCCATCGTCGGTCTTGGATTTTTGTGCGTCGGAAGCGGCACGTACTCGGCGGTGAGCGCTTTGATGGACGCCAGCTCAGACTTTGGCATGTAGATATTATAGAGGAGAGATGCCTTCGGGTAGACATATAGATAGCAGCAACACGAATTTGTACATATTATTATTAGAAGTCAAAAAGCTAAGTTCACAGAGGAAAAACTAAATCTATCATCATCATCGTCATCGCAAACTGGTCCCTCGAAAACTCCCACCATCCTTCACAATCTCAAAACACACTTTCATCCACCACATGGGAAACACGATCCAAATCACGTTCGCGAATAGCACCACCATTTTGCTCCCGAAACTCGCCCGTTCGTAATAGCGCTGATACGTGTAATTCGAAAAGTAAATAACCGTTCCATACATCATCTGATAGTTAAATATCAACCCAATCAACCCGTACGCCAACGGCGATACGCCAAACCTGCTCAAATCGTACGTCGCTCCAATCGTCATTGCAATCGTCGGCGCAATCGTCACAAATCCGTTCCCAGTATCCACCCAAAACCCCCAACTTTGCGTCTGGACGTAACTCGGGTCCAACAGAGCGTACGTGGACCAAATCACGTGCCAATGTTTTAAACTCAAAGCTTCCCGAAGCGTGATTTTCTCGAACAAACACAAAGGCGTCGGTAAATCTCCTCCTCCTCCTCGTCGTTTTTCCACTTCCTTCTTCAACTTTCGGTACGTTTTTTGCACCTCGTTTTGGTGCACGAATAAACTCATCTCCCATATGCATATGAGAACGTTCACGGCGTTGAAAAGCGTCAACAACGCGTGCGTGAAGTTGATTCTTTTCTCATTAACATCGTGATATAAATCGTAATGGACTTTGACGAAAGGGAGCCAGAAAAGAAGAACGAATGCGGTCACGTACGTGAACGCGTGCAGTTTTGGCCCCCCCTTTTCGCTGCTGTTGCTCCTCATTCTTTTTCTCGGTTCGTCGTCGTGTGCTCCTCGCGGTAAAGAGCAGCTTTTGCCGTGCAAAGTTGTGTGTTTGTTTAGTCAATCGGTATGAGGAGTTTTTAACTCTCTTTTCGTCCTCTGTCCAAGAAATTTCTTAATTTGAGAAAAACGCTTACTTTTTTGGTCAAAAAAAAACAACAACAAAACAAAAGCCTAATTAATAAGCGCACCACCTTTTCTTCGCTTTGAACGGGCGCTGTCGCGCGCTGTGTTTGTTGTTGTTGTTATCGTTGTAGTAAACGAAAGAGAGAAGGAGACGAAGGAAACGACGACGAAAACGAAAGATGATGATGAAAGCAAAAACATCTGTTGCGGTAAATGTAAACATTTATATCTATAATTCTCTCTTAAACTCTTGTTTTGTTAACACCCGGCAACAACGATTCGCGATTGATGATGGCGTTTTTAACTAACCACCACTTTTACCCCCTTTTACCACGCAGGAGAACTACGAGGACGCGAAGATGGATGATGATTTTCTCACCTTCTTTCGAGTCGAAGATATTTCCTTGAAAGATATCGATATGAACGTGGAGAGAGATTACGAAGATTTTGATCTCGACGCGCTTTTTTTAAAGAGCAGCAATGTGACTTTTAGCAGCGAAGAAACAACAACCACGGAGGAGGAAGAGGATCAAAAGAAGATGAAGAAGATAAAGGTCAAAAAAGACGAAGATGAGGACGAGGATGCGATGATGCGCGCGTTTCTGTTCAACTGCGCGGACGAATACGTGGAAAAGTTTTGGACCGTGAGCGAGGACGTATTTTTGAACAAAATGTGGCAAAAACCTTCGACAAAACCGACTCCGTCGTCGGCGTCTTCAGACGAGACTTCCGAAGAAGACGAATCTTCGGGTGCTCTGTTTTTGGATCGATTGGAAGCGCTCGCGAAGGAGGACGAAGACGTCAAGGCGTTGTTTTTCTTGGACGATGTGACTCCCGCGGCTGAAGATGGCAACGAAGAAAAAGGTTTTGATCTTTCGCGCATGACGTTGAGCGAGGACATAAGAGGGAATAAAAATGTTCTCGGGGAGAAGTTGGCGGCAAACGTTCGAAGGCACGCGAGAGACGTGTTACTGTTCGAGCTCGAACGCGCTGGATTTCTCACCGCCGCCGAAAAGAAGACGAAGAAGAAGACGAAGAAACAGGATGAAAAGGAAGAGGATACGAACGCGACGATACCAACCTCTCCCACGCGAACTCCCAAGAAATCTTCTACGATACAACCGCAGCCGTGGGATAATCTTTCCTTCGCCATCGATCGCATTCGAGAGTTGCAAAAAAGCGTCGTCCAGATCGCTTCGTCCAGATCATTAAATCCCTCGAAAAACAATTACGACGACCAAAAAATCAACATCGTCGCCGATAACGTGTGCTCGAGTTTGCGAGATTTGAACAACATCGAAACTCGTCAACTGAATCGCGCAAAGAAGGCGATGAAAACGACTTTATCCGTCCCAGACGGGCGCGTGTTGCGAGTCATCGAAGATAAGTTCAAACATTCCAGGAAAGTTGCTCTGGTGGCGTTTGAAAAGTTTTGCGCAAAGACGACGACGACGTGCGAACACAATTCTATTCCTCGCGATGACCAGGAGAACGATAAAAAGTTGGTGAACACGCCCACTCGTGATACGAAACATTTGAAGAGTGAAGAAGAGACGCGCGGCGAGAATGATGACGTCGACGACGACGACGACGATGAAGGAGAAAAATCGAAACGACACGGGAAACGCGTCAAAAAAATTCTCTCAGAGTGGCTGTATGAAAACTTTTATCCGACGGGCACCAGAAAGCGACCGGTACCAACAAAAGTGGAGAAGAAAATGTTAGCCGAGAAAACTGGGTTGACGCAAACGCAAGTGACAGATTGGTTCGTAAACGCGCGGGCGAGGTTGTGGAAACCGAGAGTGGAAGGCATCGTGCGTTCGGTCATCGACGAGTTGAAGAACAAGGAAGGAATGTGAATAACGCGACGACGACGACGGCGACGGTTAATATCTTCTGGTATTATTATTATTATTATTATTATTATTATTATTATTATCATACCGTTATCACATCTTTCACTCTCTCTTTCTCTCTCGCGCTCTTCTCTTCGTCGCACTCGCGTTGAGAGAACACGCGAGAAGTTTTTACGGTTGCATCGTGTTCGCGGCTTCGTACGCCAACAATCGATCCTCCTCTCTTTTAAACGCCAAAAACTCCTCGCTCGGTTTCGGATGCGTCTTGCCGTTTTCCGTCTCGTAAAAATCTCGTATCTTTGGAATGTGTTCGGGCACGATAATCTGCCCCTCGTACTCCGGATCCGCGCCGTGCTTTTTCAACGCCTCCATCGCTTCCTCGTTTTGCATATTCTCCGCCCAACGATACGCCGTATCCCCGGCGTTATTCGACGCGTTCACTTTCGCCCCGAGCGAAACCAACAAATCGATCCCTTCCACCCAGTTATCGTACGCCGCGTTAAACAACGGCGTGTTCCCAGCCGCTTCGACCTCGTTCACGTCCATCTTTTCCTTCTCGATTAAATCTCTGATCAGATTCTCGTCTCGTCGAAACACCGCTCGGTGAATCTTCATCGGACCAACCACGCCTCTCCCGCGCATGGACCCGCCGCCGTCCTCTTTCACGCCGACGCAACCGTATTTTAAGGGGAACGGGCCGGAAACGCGTTTGTACCACGGTTCGATTTCCGTCATTTATCTTCTTACTCGCTTGTTTGTTCTTTGAAAATCTAACGCGTTTTGGATTCTTTTTTTTTCTATTTTTTTAAGCGTTTTTGAGAAATTAGTGTTTAGGGTGTTAGTCGTCGTTGAAACCACCCTATTAAAATTCCAGTCAATCGTCAAGTCTTGCGCTATATCTTAATAAAGAAAAGAGAGAGAGAGAGTCAAGAAGAGAGACGGATCGAACGCGGAGAAGAGACAAAAAGAATGGGTCTCTTCGATGGTTTTTCCTCCTCCTCCTCTAAACCTTCGTCTTCTTTAAACGCCTCCTCCTCCTCTAAAAACGACGCGTTTCCGATGAATTCTATTCTTTCCGATGATGTCGAAACTTCTCTCGTCGTGAACGCGAGCAACAACAACAAGCACAACAACAGAGGAGAAGAAGAAGAAACCATAACGATGATGGATAACAACAACAATCTCAGCGTCAACGAAATGCCGATGTCGCCGCAACCGTCGAAGGAAAAAGACCCGATAAAACTTTGGGGGGTGAAACTTTTGTTTTCCGAGAGGAGCATCTTTTGGCTCTTAGCCTCGGGGGCCTTGTTCGCCTACCTTGGATTTACGACGGTGCAAGAGTACGTGTTTCGAAATCACGCGAAAGAGGCTATTGGGTTTCGCTTCGGCGGCGTCGTGACGCTGGTGACGAGTTTTACGTACGCTTTGTTGGGGTTTTTGGAACGGTTGGCGAACGACGAGTTTAGAGAGAGCGGTAGCGGGAGTAGCGGGAGTAGTAGTAGTACTAGTGGGGGGGGTAATCATAGCAGAGGATTTAACGCGCTGATAGATGATGAAGAACAGCAAAAACACAACAACAAGAACGCTTTTAGAGGGAAGAATACGACGACGACGACGAGTTTTAAAAGGAGCTTTAATATTTTTAGAAGACGGGCGAAGCTTAAGGATTACGTGCTTTTAGCGACCATGACGAGCGGAGGGATGTATTTGACCAACTTTAGTTTATCGTATATTAATTACACGACGAGGATTGTCGCCAAATGTTCGAAAGTGATACCGACGATGGTCATGGGGGCGTTGATGCAAGGAAGGCGGTACGAGAAGAAAGATTATTTCGCGGCGATGACTTTGGTGTGCGGAGTGTGTTTGTTCGCGCTGGGAGACAGAGCGAGTTTGCCGCAGTTCCAACCCAAAGGGGTGGTGATGATAGTGTGCGCGTTATTTATTGAAGCCGCGGCGGGGAATTTCGAAGAGAAGAGGTTGTTCAACGTCAGTTTGCCGGCGTCGCACGCGGAAGTCGTCATGCACGCGAATATTTTCGGACTTTTAATGACTACGTTTGGAATGACTTTAAACGGCGAGATTTGGCCGATAGTCGCCTACATGAACTCCCACCGAGAGTGCGTGTTCCGAGCGATGATCGCGGCCTCTTTCGGATACATGAGCGTCTCCTTCATCTTGCTTTCCATTCGACAGTACGGCGCGACGAATACAGAGATTATTAAAGCTTTGAGAAAAATGCTCTCCATCGCGCTGTCGTTACTCTTGTATCCGAAACCGATGGGTTGGAGATACGTCACCGGTACGTGCGTGACCGCGTTCGGTATCCTGACCTTATACGCGATCAAGAAGCGAAGGTACGTGAAAGCAGCTGGTAACGCCGAGGCTTTTAAATAAAGAGTAGCATAGAATACGAGAGTTGTTCCAATACCGGTGATGATGTATTCATTTCTATTTCGCACACAAAAAGCAGCAATGTTTTCTCCCATTTTCCCTCCGCTCTTCGTCATAAAAACACTCACCTCCTCCGCGCACTCAAAGTCCCTGTAACTCTTTCAAACACCAACCGAATACACAAATGGAGTTAATCAGCACGCAACGCATGAGCTACGAGTCGTGGCTGCACACGTGGAACCTCGAAGACGACGACGACTTTTCGAGCGGCGACGACGACGACGGCGAGTCTCGCGACACCAACACTAAAGAAAGAAGCGCGACGCTGAAGGATTTGCGAACAGTCCAAAGGCGCGAGTGTTCGCACGAGGAGGAGATAAACGGACAGTGCTGCGCGATATGTTTATCGAGGTTTACAAAAAAGAGAGAGGAGACGGAGGACGACGATGGGAACAAACAACGCGCGGGAGTTCAAAGGTGTTTTCGCCTGGCGGAGTTGCCGTGCAAACACGTCTACCACGAAGAGTGCATCGAGAGTTGGCTCGCTCGAAGCCGACGGTGTCCGACGTGTCGGAAGAGTTTACGAGAGAAGAAGAAGAAAACAGGAACGCAAGCGAAGAATGGAAGCGAAGAGAGGTTGTTATCGCGACCAAACGACGACGAGGAGGAGGAGGAGGAGGAGGAGGACGACGACGCGCGCGCTCATCAGAGTCGACGGGAGTTGGAGCGCGAGTCCGTCCGTCGGCTGCGAGAGATGGAAACGCGGGCGCGCGAGCGAAGAGCGAGGGAGATAGAGGAGGAGAGGCGCGCGAGGAGAAGGAATAGGATGGAGACGGTTTTAGAACACGAAGGAATGAACGAGGAGATCTTTGAGAGCGTCATGACGCACGCCATGGGGTTGTTAGAAGCAGCCGCGGTGGCGGGAGAGGAAGACGAGGAAGACGAGGACGTTGAAGAAGAAGAAGAAGAAGAAGAAGAGCAGAGGCTGCCAAGGGCCAGGGTAGCGAATCAAACAGGCGCTGGGTCGTTACTCGTCGGTACTCGCGGGAACAACTACGGGGCGAACGGTTCGAACACGTCGTAGTTTTATATAATAATAGTAGAAGTAGAAGTAGAGATGCTGTAAAGTTTATACAGTACATGACGCGCTAATTTATAATACACACACACTTTTAAACGAAAACTCTATAACTAAATGCAAGTTGCTTGTACGCGCTCTCGGTTCCTAAACCTCGACGGGCCCGTTCCCTGATCCTGATAAAGGATTCTCTTCGTCTTCGTCGGTAAAAGGTGAATTCGCATCGCGATAGTACCGGTTCGGAATGCCTAACCAAAATTTCCACATCTCAACACCTCTATCCCATTTGAAAGTTTGATCCGTATCGCAAGGCACGTTTGTTTTCGTGAGTTTGATTTCATCGCTGTCGTCTTCTTTTTCCATCGAGTACATGGCGTACATGCCTTCGTCTCGGGAACCGACGTTGGCGTCGTTGTCTCTCGGAAGCAAAACCGCTTCGCGAATGACAACGCGCGGGGTTTTTTGCTGTTGAGAAGAAGACGACAACGACGACGACAACATTTTCTTTTGTCTGTTCGCCGCGGTATTACTCGATTTTGTCGTCAAGTACTGTGCCGTAGCTTGACGAAGTTGTATTCTCTCGTCTTCCGAAACCGAATCTTCTTCGATGATACGCTCGATCCAACCGTCCGCGTCTCGAAACAACGACGCGTTGGTCTTCTTAGAATCACAAAGTATCTTCACCATGCGCGATCTCGTTCGCGCGTCCGTTTTCGCCGCATTTTCCTCGCTCTCGCCTCTACAAAACGTTTCGTACACTCTCACCGCATCTTCGATTTTCGAATCCGCGGCGTAGGCGTCGATGATGACCAAATAACTCGCTGCGTCTGGCGAAACGCCCGTCGTACTTTCCAACTCGCGAATCAAATCAACGGTTTCATCAATCTCACCGCTCTTTGCCAGGGCGTTAAACGCCGCGTTGTATACTCTCACGTCTACGCGCACGCGCAAACGATCGATTTCTGCCAGGACCCATTTCGTCCCGCTCGCGTCTCTTCGCAAGGCGAAGAATTTCAACAACGTCGCGTACGTGTACTGATCTGGTTTCAATCCCGACTCCGCTAATCGCGAAAGCCATTCGTACGCATCGTTCGGTCGATCCGAAGCTACTGAGGCGTCTATTAACGTGTTGTACGTGATGAGATTTGGCGAACACTCTGCCTCTTCCATCTTCTTAAAGACCTCGTCGATGACTACTCTGGCGTAGTCGTCCACTCGTTTATTCTTCACGGAGGAATTGGACGAGAACAAGACGGAGACGCGTTTGAGAATGGCGTTAAACGTCGCCGTCGTCGGTTTCACGTTCACCGCTTGCATCACTTCTAACACTTTAAACATCTCGGTAATGATTTTCTTTTCTTCTTTTAAGCTCCCCGGCGTTTCGAATTCGCTGTAGTTGAGACCGTCAATGAACGCCGTAAACGTGTGCACGTTTGGTTTCACGTCAATTTTGTCTCTTCTGAGCATGCCGTCGAACAACACTTTCCTCGCCTCGTCGACCCGTCTCGCCAGACACAAACGTTGGATGTACGACGTGTACGCGCGCACGCCTGGTTTCGACCTCGCAGTGGCGTACTTCTTCCTCCCAGCGAGTTCAAGAAACTCTTCGGCTTTATCGAGTCGATTGCACTTGGCAAACGCGGTGACTAAAGCGCCAAACGTGGCTTCGTTTTCCGGGACGTTGAATCCCCGCATCATTTTCAGCGTCGATTCAATACCTTTGACGTTCTTTTCGTCTCCAAACGATTCAATCAACACGTTGAAACAAGACGCCGAGAGTAACTTTGGATTGGCTTTCGATAAAAACCGTTCCGCCTCGGACCGCTTCTTCGCGGAGACGAAAGCTCGGACGCCGGAGACGACCGCGTTGTTGTCAAACTCGGCCGGAAACGTTTTCTTCTCCTCCGTGAGGTGCGTTTCAAGACGTCGCCAAAAATCTAACGCCGTGTCCAACGTCGGCTCTACTCTCGGTCCGAGTGCGAGACACTTTGGATCGAGTAATTTCTTACTATTATTATTGCTACTGTTACTACCGCTACTCCTCGCCGCCGCTGCTTTCAGAGAACTATACGGCGCCTGCCGTTGCAACCTGCCATAGTACCCTTGCTCGTCTTCTTCTGAACAAAACTTGGCTAATATCTGAATCACGTCGCAATAACTTTCCAACGAACAAAATATCTTTTCTCCGCCTTTCCGCGCTTTGTACTTCTCTTCGGCTAACTTGAACACCGCCGCGACGTATCTCATGCGACTCGAACTTCTATTTCTATATCCCAGCGCTTTCGTTCGCGCCCTCTCCACGCGCACGAGCAACGCAATCGTCGCTGGGGAAACGATCGACACGGCGTTTTCGCCGTACTTCCCGCTCAAACACTCCCTCAACAAAGCGCAACAGTGCAACACGCAGTCTCGATCGATGGCCAACGCTTGCACGGCGCTGAATACGGTCACTCGTAAACCTGGTTTATCCGGATTCTTTTCCAGTTCAGAGAGAACGGATTGGCATATTTCCGCCGGAGTGGCCGTTTTCGAAAACTGCGACATCATCGAAGAAGGAGCAGAAGAAGAAGAGGAAGACGAAGCCGTCGACGACGTTGGTCTTCGTTGGTTCTTCCCGTACGACGCAGAAGAGTTTGGAGACCTCCAAGACGTAACGTTGTTGTTGTTCTTCGTGGAGGAGGCGTTTGCTGCGCTTTTGCTGCTACTCGCACTCCCACTCCTCCACCGTCGTCTCTCATCACGGTTCTCCTTTTCCGCGCTTTTGCTCGTTCTTACGCTTTCTCTTCTTTCGTCGTCGTTGGAAGAAGAGGACGACGGCGGATAAGAGGAAGACGACGAAGACGCACAAACCGACGAAGACTCTCGACGCCGCCCAAACCCGAAAAAGAAGAAAGGACTGTTCTCATCATCATCATCGTCGTCATCACCGTTCCTCCTCTTCCTTCTCTCCGTCGTGAAAGTCGTTCTTCTGAAACGCTGTCGTTTCTCCCGTCGCGTTGTTTGCCCGACACCAAAAATGCCTCTTCCCGACGACGACGACGTCGTCACGAGGCCCAATTTCGCACTCGTCATCAATGCCTTCGTTCTCTCTCCTAGTAGTAGTAGTAGTAGCAGTAGTATTCGTAGTACCACCACGACGAGCACAGTTTATGTGTTACTGTGCCACATCAGAGAGAGAGAGAGAAGCAAAGCAGTTCCCTCTTCTTTATATCGTTTTATTGTAAAGTCATCGTGATTTTTGCGTACGTTCCACAGAAGAGTCAAATGTCGTTTTGTGCGAACGAATTGCGAGCTTTTTTTTTTCTTACTCAAAAGTACCAACACCCTAAACAATGCAACACGCCAGACGCTGTCTTTTTTGTGACGACGGTCCAAATTTTCGTTCTCTCTGCCGCTTATTAGAATCCTCACACGTATTCGTAGAAACACACTTAGAGAGAGAGAGAGAGAGAGAGAGCAGAAGAAACGCTTTAAAGCGAGCACATCGTAAAATATATATAATCGGAGGAACTAAAGGTACGACTGACTGTAACAGAGTGAGGTTTTGAGGAGAGGAAAGAGAGAGAGATGATCATTTCTCTCCTTTTCTCTCTCTCTCTCGGGAAGGAGTCGGGGGATTCAAACGATCACAATAATCAAATCTTTCTTTCTCCGGTCTCTCTCTTTTTATATAAACCGTCTCTCGTCTCCCTCTCGAAACGCTTCGAGACGCGAGAAAGCGAGATCTGCTTTTGTTGCGCGAGATACTCTCTCGGTTTTGGCAATCGCTGACGATTTTACCGCCTCTCTTTTACCATCATCATCATATTATTATCATCCCACAGAGATCATCAAAAATCGTTCATTAGGAAAAGATGGCGCCTTCCAACAACAAATATTTGGAAAAAATCAAAGGCGACGTCTCTTTACATCGAGAGAGAGGCGCACAAAAAGGCGGCGGTTTCGAAGGAATCCCGTGGTTAGAGGACGAAGAATGGGACGGTCGAGTGTTGTGCTGCTCGGAATCCGTGTGTAAGAAACTCACCGCGTTTGGGTTTTTAATGTTAGTCTTGGGGTTGATTTTTGGCTTGTACGTGTACGAGCCGGAGAAGGAAAGCGCGGCTTTTATCGCCTACACGGGGAGTGGATTTTATACCCCGATCGCGTCGGTTACCTCGCGAATGGCTGTTGAAGGGTACAACACGGATTCGTTTAAAGCGGGACAGAGAAATGCGTTTACGTTGTCCATGGCGGAGTATTTGAACGTGCCGAGCAACGCGACGAAGGTGATTTTGGTGGAGGACAAATTGTGGAAGAAGAGAAGAAGTTTGAAAGCGTACTACGGGTTTGTGGACGTTGGGTACGTGGCGTACGCGAGAGATATGGAGCACGCGGATGAGTTGAAGACGAAGATTGAAGCGTTGGTGTATTCGGTAGAAGGAGATGCGAACTTGGCGTTTGTGCAGTTGTTGAAGAAGAACGGGGTGAACGCGGTCACCGTCCAAGGCGTGTACACGGAGTCGTTGATCAAAGCGCCACCGCCGCCGAGCCCGCCGCCGCCGGGACCGGGGACGGTTCCGGGCCCGCCGCCAACGCCGAACGACGAAGGGTCGCCGGCGTAATTTGATTGAGTAAACAACGAAAATGTGTTTAAATCGAGATGATTTGAATGCGCTTTTTTGCTCATATTGATGGGATTGTACAACAACAACAACAACAACAACAACAACACATGATAAGAACTGAATAAACGAGTGTTAAATATGATGAGAGCTTTAATATACGTATACATATATACATGCATATATAATGTTTTAATGAATTTTTAAAAACCGCGTACTTAAAACACGATAATAGTCAAATGATGGTGATGATGAAAAAAGTGGATTTGTTTTATTTTCAAGGGTCTGTGTTTTTGTCTGTTTCTTCTGTGTTCTGTCTTCGAAAACGAGAACTAGCAGCACGCCCCACCGGCTGGAGCACCACCACTCGACGCCGCCACTGGACTTGGTCCGCAATCGAACAACCCGTAATGCTTCGATCGATCGCCAACCACGTCGAAGTGTTTCCCCAACCACGTCTCGCCTAACATAGATCCGGTGTTCCCGCACACCAACATCGGTTTCCCGGTTTCCAATCTGTGGTGGTCGTCCAACGAATACGCGTTCGGGTTTCCTTCGATTGTTCCTTTGTACACCGCGTACTGGCCGTAATCCTCGCACAACGTTTCCAACCTCCCGGCGGGTAACTTGAACAACCTGTACGTGATTGAATAAAACGTAGCCTCGCCCAATAACTCTTGCAACTTTTCATCCTTCACTTCAATCACGTGTCCTTCCAACACTCTCGGATCGGTAAACCCAACCGACACGCACAACCGTTTAAAGTCTTCCACGTACATCGCCCCGCCTAAACACTCGCCCAACAAAACCGGATCCTTCCTCAACTCTTGATCCAAGCGTCGATCGCAATACACGTCCGAAAAATAAAACTCGCCTCCGTCCGCCAACGCGTCGTACACGCCTTGCAAAACAGCCTTCTTATCCGGACTTAAATTCACCACGCAGTTGGAAATGGCTAAATCGATCGTTCCGTTCTCAACGCCAGCCTGTTTCACGTTCTCGATTTCTCCTTTCACAAACTTCATGTTGTTTTCTTTATACCCGAGCGTTTGCTTGCAATACTCGTCCACGTACTTCCTCGCCACGTCTAACTGATTATCAGTCATATCCACGCCCGTCACGAACCCTTTCTCCCCGACCAAACTCGCCGCCACGTAACAATCTCTCCCCGAACCGGAGCCTAAATCTAAAACCCGTAACCCTTCGATCCCTTGCGGCGTCGGCGATCCGCACCCGTAATATTTCGCCTTGATTTCATCCGGCACCAGACGTAAACATTTTTTAAGATACGTCGGCAATCCACCGGGCGTGCAACACGCGCTCGTTTTCAAATCCGCAGACGTCGTCAGCGTTTCCCCGTAGTACTGTTCCACGGATTTTTTGATCAGATCGTCGCCGCCTTCGATGGTCGCCCCGAGGAGCGTGTCCATCATCGCGTTCGAAGAGGAAGAGGAAGATGCTTTCGTCACAATTCGATTACTCGTCGAAACTTTTTTCTTTTGCTGCTGAACTTTAGAAAAGAAGAAGAGAGGGGACGAGGTCGAAGCGAACGACGCGGAGGACATTAATTTTATAACAACGCGAAAGAGAGTTTCAGAGAGACTTCGGCGGTGGTGGTGGAAAGATGTACTACCGCTTTGCAATGAGGAGGGGATGTGACGTCGTTTTTTTTTGGAGTTTCGTCTCACGAGAGAGTCTCTTTCTACAACTACTATTCTACTACACTTATTACATCTTTTTTTTCACGTTCGGTTGATTCTGAGCGCCTTTATGAACGACTCGATTCTTACCATCGAAGGTTTCCCACGTATCTATGTTCTTGCTCGCTTCGTTTATGCACGCGATCAACAACTTGACCAACTCGTTGTCGGACTTTTCCGGCGGCGCGAGCAAATCTCTCGGCGGTATGCCGTTTTGGTAGGTTCGCTTATCGAACCTCCACTGGCCGAATTTACCCGGGGTGAACGTGCCGTTTAAGGCGTAGTCCATGCCGTAGGTGAAGTGGATGGAGAGGAAGTCACCGATGGACTTGTCCCAGGGCGGTTGCGCGGTGAGCTGCGGGCGCAAGTCGTGTTGTAATCCGACGCGGTAGGCGGCGATGGTGTAACCGTACATTTCGAGAACCCATCCCCAATCTCGATTGGCTTCTTTGTCTTTTTTGATCGCTAAGGTGGTTTCTACCCAAACTGGGGCGAGTCGTTTCAAATCGTCTTTGCGAATGAAGACTGGGGAGGAACCGATCGGATCGACTTTTTCGATATCTTGAGCGCTCATTTTATCGTTTCCGACGAAGCGTTTGACTAAAGTTGGCCATCGAGACGGTTCGATGTAAAAGAACGGGAACGCGGCCGGTCGTTCGCCAATCATCAGGTTAGGAATCGGTTTGATGTACACGTGATCGGGTTCAGCCATTAACACGTACGTTTCTTCAATTTTGTCGCACTTTTCAAAGTACTGCATAAACGCGTTTGGTCTGCTCAAGACGACAAATCCCATCTCGTTGTCTAATCGATCGACCACGCAGGTTGGAATTTCCGACATCAACGAATCCGGTTTGTCGTGCAAAACTCGAGTAAAACCACCCATTTGACACGGCTCTTCCTTCGTTTCCTGCTCCACGCATATCTTTTTCTGTTTCTTCCAGTGAAAATACATTACGCGCACTTGCCACGCCTGATAGACGTTCGCGTTCGTCGTGACCAACGTGTGAAACTTCCGATGACTCCCCGGGTCTCCTTTTGTCGGTAACTGCGGTGCCAAACTCCCACTCGTCCACGGATTCGCCGAATCTTTCGCGCCAATCGCCATCTCCGGCCTCGCTTGGTGCTTCAACCAACACGCTCGATACTTTTGCCCTAAACACCCGTTCGCGTCCCCGCACCACACCCACACGTTGCACGCCCGGTCGCCGACGGCTTTCCCGTCCGGGTTCATGGAGAGACAATCCTCGTGACACTCTCTCGCGCTCGATTTAAAGTTGTTCTCGCCCCATTTCGACACGGACCCGGAAAATTCCGCGTGAACTATTGGATTAAAATCGCCCCATTTGCCTACTACTTCTAAAGGTTGTTGTTTTGCGTTTTTTCGTTGTTGCAACGAACCACCACCACTCTCGACACCATCATCACCATCATCATCATTTTTCGAAGAAGATGAAGACGAATATCCTCCCGCGCTGCTTTTTGCAACGGAGTAAGAGGAGGACGCCTTCGTCGACTCGCTCCTTTCCAAACTCGAAGAAGAAGAAGACCCCGCCGAGTGCAACAACAACTCTCGGTGTTCTCGATGAGATCTTTTCGATTGACTCGCGAAAAACGCATCGAGCGCGTTGAAGGTGAACAAAAACGCGGCGAAGAACGCGAGCAAACGCGCGAGACGCAAGGTTTTGCGTTCGCTCGTCGTCGTCCGCATGATGATGATGAAGAGGAGGAGGAGATAGAGGAGGAGGGAAACGAGTTTTGTGTGTTTACCGCGCGAGTAAATTTGTGAGAAATTTCGCTCTTTCTTCTTTTCTCTCTCGTTATCGTCGTCGATCGACGCTACCGCCGCTGCTAAGGCTACTACTGCTACCAGTGCTAATGCTAGTGTTAGTACTGCGCTTGGAGGAGGAGGAGAAGGAGGAGGAGGAGGACACGTCGTCGTCTTCAGAGGAACTCGTATCCGAACGCTCTTCGTTATCGGCTTCGGTATCGCGCTCGTCGATTGGTTTTCGTTCCGAATCGGAGAGCGAGGAAGAGCGGTCGTCGTCGCAATCATCATCATCTTCTTCTTCTTCTTTCTCTGCGTTGTCGTCGTCGTCCTTCTCGCTTTGTTGATCGTCGTCGTTGCTCTCTCTTTCCGCTCCACCACCTTCGTCCTTTCGTCCTTTCTCTTGTTGGAACCTCCGTTTGCGTTCGTCGATGTCGGAAGATCCTCCTCTCGAGCTGACCGAGGCTTCGCTTCCGCCGTCCTCGTCCGAGCTTTGCTGTTGGCGAAGAATGTCTGGGACGTAGTTTTCGTCGAAAACGACCGGAGATTCGAAACCTCCCAACTCCTCGTCGTCTTGGTAGTTGTCGTTTCCGTCCTCGTTATCTCCTTCTTTCCCTTCGTCGACGTTTCCTCTTTTCTCTTTAAACGTCTTCATGCCGATGGAATTGTTCCCAAACACGTTCACCAACGCGTTTTTCATCTTCATCCCGATACCCTCCTCCTCTCGACTCTTTCCCTCCTCCAACAACGCTTGCTCGCTCAACTCTAAGTTTTGCTTATATGCAATCTTCTCCTTTACTTTTTCTAAATCCTCGGTAAACTCCGCCAACCGTTTCTCCGTCTCTTTCTTTGCGATTTCCGGGTCTTGCTCTTGCAACAACAATCCTCGTTTCCGCATGTGCTCGGCGAACCGATCCGCGCTATCGTCTTCGTCCGCGTACTGTCTGAAATCAAACCAACTCGGCGGTATTGGTTCGCAGAAAATCTCGAAACAGTTTTTGCAGCAATTCCCCCTCGTGTACGGATTCTCCGCGTCGCTCCTTTCGCGGAAGTTTTCGTACGTCGTTTGGTTTTGCCAAATCAACACGATGTGGAACGCCGAAAGCGCAAAGACAAACATAAACCCAAACAGAGCGATTATGCCACAAAACAGAGCCGCTCCAGACGCTCTCAACGCACCAGTTACCGCTTGAGTGTTCACCGACTTCCCCGTCGCTGGATCCACCTCGTCGTTTCTCTCGTCAATCTCCACCAAAATGCTCAACACGCAACTACCCACGACGAAACCGCACCATAACGTCGTCCCAAACACGAACAATAAAAAATGTCTATAATTCCTCCTTCCGATGGTCGTCCCGACCCACGGACAGTGATGGTCAAACTTCTCCACGCAATCGTTATTTATCGAACAGTGATGCGCTCTCGGCGGTTGGAAAAAATTCGTCGTGTCGTTCCATTTCACCGTCACGAGTTTCTTCGTCGGTTCGTGCGGCACGTCTCGGACTCGTTCCCTCGGCGGATCGTTCCGGTCTCTCGGTGGCGGTCTCGGTAGTCTCGGAAGTATCCCAGGATCCATCGTCCCGGTTCTCACTAAGCACGCTATAACGTATATCGGCCAAACCGTCGAAACCGCTTGCCACGCCCACGAATATTCTCTCGACAAATCCGGCGCGACTGCGCTCGTAAACACCACGGACGGGACTAAAACTAAAACTATCGTGTTTAAAAACGCTTTGTAATTCGGACCGACGATTATTCGTCCGTCCCAGAAGAACTTGTCGTTTCCCGGCCATATTTGGTACACTTTTTGCCTCTCTCTTTCTCTTCTTTCTGAATCGTCATCATCTCCGCTCTCCGTCTGCTCATGAGCTCGCTCTTCGTCGTTTGAATCGTCTGAATACTCGTGAGTGTTAGTATTACTCTTCTCGTCTGGAGCGCGTCTTTTCCCTCCTCTTCTTCTCTTTCTCTTCTCGTTTTCTCCTTCTCCTTCCCCGGGTGGAACGAACCAATCCGACATTTGAGATGATTTGACGAGCGTTAAAAGTACACTCGAGATGAACGCTACTCACCAGAAAAAGCGACGATAAAAACGCCCAACAATATCAACCAACCTCTGCGTCTCTCTTTTTCTCTCTCTCTCTCTCGGGCTTTGTTTATGAGTATCACTCTTTCTCTCCTTTTTGTGAGGGGAAAAACGCCTCTTTTTTCCCCTAAAATACCTCAGAATGTTCCCGTGCGTCATTCCGCGCGGATTAGGACTTCGTTTCTCGGCAGCATCGTCGCACCAAAAGTCGTCGTCACGAAAGCATCCTCGTCCGCGTCGTCGTCCTCGTCCTCGTCGTTCGTTTGTTTTCGAGAAGAAAGGAAAAGAAACCAATCGTTTTGTTCTCGCTGTTGGTGCGACGACAAAATTCGAAAGATACAGGAGCAGTTGGAGAGAAACGCGGAGGCAAAGCCGCGCTTTGTCGGCGATGAAAAACGAGGACGAAAATGGTCTCGAAGCAGCAACGTTCGAGGAGGAGGAGGAGGAGGAGGATTTTGATGATTTCCAAACGAAAACACTCGAAGCGTTTCATTTATTCGCGGTGCCAAATTTGGAAAGCGAGAGCAGAACGAACTACTAAAGGGAAAGCGGGGAAGAAAATCGGGATCGTAGGCGGCGACCGGAAGTACGCAGGCGCGCCGTATTTTGCAGCCATGGCGGCGTGCAGAGCAGGCGCGGATTTAGTGCACGTGTTTTGTCACGAAGAAGCAGCAGGGGCGATTAAGAGTTACTCTCCGGATGTCATCGTGCACGCGTGTTTGAAAGACGAAAGAGACGCACGCGAGTCGGGAGTAAGTCTCGAGGACCTTCAAGATCAGTTTTTGAAAGAGAATAGGGAGATGATATCGAGGATGGATGCGATTGTTATCGGTCCTGGGTTAGGGAGGGATAGTTACACGTGGTCGTTCGCGCGTTTATGTTTCAGCATAGCGAGAACCGTAAACGCGCCCGTTGTATTCGACGCGGATGCGTTGTTCATGATACACGCTTCCGAAACGCTTAAACCGCTTGTGAGATTTACGATGGAAAAAGCCCCTCCTGTCGGCGTCAACGGTTACGTCGTTTTCACACCGAATGTTCGCGAATATACGTATGGTTTCGATCCTAACGATACTACTGGGAAAACTGTGGACAACGTGGACGCTTTCTTGGAATCGAGCGACGGCCACGTAGGAAGTTGTCACACGTTCTACCCTAGCATCTTAGCAAAAGGCGCGGACGATATATACGTGCATTTAGTGAAAGGATTGAAAGAAGGTCCAACGAAATTCGAGAACGTTCCGGGATCCAAGAAGCGATGCGGCGGTCAAGGCGACATACTCTCCGGAGTCCTCGCTGTCTTTCTAGCTTGGTCGAACGACCGATACAGGGGAGACCTCGAACGCGACCCGGAGACGATGACTAACGATCTAAAAGTCGAACAATACTTCCGTAAATCTTCAAAACTCGCCTGCTTCTCTGCCTCGAAACTCACTCGCGAAGCCGCGCGAAGAGCCTACGAAAAACAGAAGCGAAGTTTACAAAGTTCGGATATTTTACTCGAACTGCCAAACGCGCTCGAGGATTTGTTTCCGTCCGTCCTTTGCGACCCCGCTAAGGAGGAGGAGGGAGACGATGACGATAAAGGCCAGAGAGAGATTGCAGAGTAGTAATAGTAATAGTCAAAAAATAGTTTTAGTTCATGTCGTTTTTTCTCGCGTCCTCGAGTCGCGCGTCGTTGTTTGAGAAGCCCTCTTTCCTGTTTCCCTCAGTTTGCTCTCTTCTGTTCTTTTCGATCGGATTAAAAATCTCATCAAACGTCACACAAAACCACGCGCAAAAACCCGAATAAAATGCCGCCAAAGAAGAAAGAAGTGGAGGAAGAACCTCTCGGCCCGTGGTCGTTGGGTCGTTTTTCGAGCAACTTGAAAGTCGGCATCGTCGGCATGCCGAACGTCGGGAAATCGACCTTGTATAACGCGTTGACGAACTGCGCGATTCCGGCGGAAAATTTCCCGTTTTGCACCATCGACCCGAACAACACGCGCGTGAACGTCCCGGACGAACGCTTCGATTGGTTGGTGAACACGCACAAACCTAAATCTGTGGTGCAGCCGTATTTAGAGGTGGTAGATATCGCGGGTTTAGTGAAAGGCGCGGCGGATGGTGCCGGTCTCGGGAACGCATTTTTGAGTCACATTAAAGCGACGGATGGGGTGATTCACTGTTTGCGAGCGTTTGACGACGCGGATGTGATTCACGTGGAAGATCGCGTTGATCCGGTGGAGGATATCGAAATTATTACGAACGAGTTACGAGTGAAAGATTTAGAGTTTATGAATAACGCGAAAGCAAAGTTGGATAAAGATAGACCGACGGCGCCCGCGGCGAAGAAGGAGAAGGAGAACGAGATGAGCACGATTGACAAAGTGATCGAATGTTTGGAGAGTGGGAAGGACGTGAGGAATAACATGGAGAACTGGACGACCAACGACGTGATGTATTTGAACAAGTACGGGTTGTTGACGTCGAAACCGGCGATGTATTTGGTGAATTTGAGCAGAAATGATTTCCAAAGGAAGAAGAATAAATGGTTGGTGAAAATCCACGAGTGGATCCAAGCGCACGGCGGCGGGTCGTTGATTCCGTTTTGCGGCGAAGTCGAGGCGGAATTGCAAGCCGTGGAAGGCGAAGAGGAGAAGGAGAAGTGGTTGAAAGAGAACGAGTTGACGACGTCGTTGCCGAAGATTATTAAGACGGCGTTTTCGATGGTGCATTTGATTTATTTCTTCACGGCTGGACCGGACGAGGTGAAAGCGTGGTGCATTCGTAAAGGATACAAAGCGCCGCAAGCGGCTGGGGCTATTCACACCGATTTCGAGAGAGGGTTTATTTGCGCCGAAGTTATGAGTTTTGACGATTTGAAGAGCATGGGTACAGAGCAAGAGGTGAAAGCGAAAGGGAGGTATAGACAGGAAGGGAAAGGGTACACGGTGGAAGACGGGGACGTGATTTTCTTCAAGTTCAACGTGAGCGGAGCGAAAGGTAAGAAGTAATGAAAGGCACAAAATAAAAAACACACATATAGAGAGAGAGAGAGAGAGAGAGAGAATGAGTCAAAAATCAAACGCGAGAATTATATGGTTGTTTCTCGATCCATTCGCAAATCTTTCTTCGTTTGTAAGCGTCTTCGCACCCGTACGCGGCGCGCATACAATCGACTTTATTCCACGGACAGTTCTTCACCTCCCTCAAATACCTCAACGCTTTGATGTTTCCCAACAAAGATGCCCACAAACACGCGGATTCGTCAAATTTTGCCTCACACTGTTCGACTAAATACTTCACCACTTTATCGGTGTGATTATACGCCGCGTTTCGAACGCACTCTGGGTCGCGTTTCAAAATCTTCTCTTTCACGATCGGTCTCTCTCGAACGAGATGACGAATTATCGCAATCGTTGCGTTTGGATTTTTAAGTGAATTAGCCCCGTTTCCTCGAATTAAAGCGTGAATGTTCTGTCTGTTATTCACGTCCAAGCCTCGATCGAGAGCCAGTTTGCACATCTGGACCGTTCGAATGTTAGATATCTCCTCCGGTAACGTAGGCAGTCTCGATTTGGCTTTAATCGACGCTTCAAAGCACTCGCGAGAACACGCCGCGAAATTGGAGATGTTTTTATCCAAATGCGGTGATATGTGGAACGAGAATATCTCCGGGTGCGTTTGCAAAAGTTTCTCGAGAGGAGCCTTTAAAAGATGTATGTTTTCGGTTTTGGAAGAAGAGCTTCGTTTTTGTTGTTGTTCTGGTGTTTCTTCTTCGTCTTCTTCTTCTTCTTCTTTAACTTCTTCTTCTCGCCTTCTTCCAAAGAAGAGAAGAAAACGAACAGACGTTACCGCGCTTTCAAAAACCAGTCTCCACATCCTCCACAGACCGTTCACGCACGCGTCGAAAACAAAGCGTAAAAACGGTTTGAAATTTTCAACGCATATAGCGAACACTCCGAGACAAAGCCAAGAAAAAATGGCGATCGAGGCAAACGCGACGAACGCGATTTGGAGGAAGATAGTTTGAACCCGGTGGACGAAAACGTCGAGCATCATCGTCATCATCGTCGGTATTTAGTTGTTTGTTCTTTTCTTCTTCCTCTTCTTTTTTCTCGTCGTTGTGAGCATTATTGCATGTGACATGTGTTGGATCTGTCTTTTCCAAAATGCGGCATTCAAAACGGCCACTTTTTTTCTTCTTGGAAAAAACAATCATCAGTAGAGTATCAAAGAAGAAGAAGAAGAAGTGCTGTTTTTGTCTCTCGCAAGGTCATGTCGAAAGTGACGACGCGAGCGCAGAAAAGACGAAGAGGGGAGAGAGATGTGTGGGATTTGATCGTGAATAACGACGATATTTGTTTCCAACACATTCTTCCGAGATTGAATCGAACTGATGTGAAATTCTTGTATGGAGTGAATACGGAGACGAGAAAGTTGATTAAGAGATCGTCTCGCGCGGGTGATTTGAAAAGGAAGTTTAAAGTGAGAGAGATGTCGTCGATATCGACTTTGGAAGTTGCGTGGGAGCATTATCCGTGGGGTATGTTTAGAAAGGACGACGAAAGATATTTCTGCTCGGAAGTTGCTCAAACGAATAAACTCGAGTTGCTCAAGTGGGCGCGAGAGGAGAAAAAGTGTGATTGGGATTCAAGGACGATTAATGCGGCCGCATATCAAGGTAATCTGGAAATGGTAAAGTATTGCGTGGCAAATGAGTGCCCTAATGATGAGGGCGCGTGTGCAAGTGCTGCCGAAAACGGTCATCTCGAGTGCCTCAAATACTTACGCGAAGAAGCCAAAGCGCCTTGGGATTCGAGAACTGCCTCATGGGCGGCTTTAACTGGTCATCTCCACATACTCGAATATCTTGTTGAGCGTAAGTTTGATAAATATCACGTATTTGCGTGCGAGTGGGCAGCCGAGTACGGCCACTTAGACTGTTTGAAGTACTTACACGAAACCGCCAAAGCGCCGTGGGACGAAAAAGCGGTACGAGAAGCGCACGAGAACAACCAACCCGAATGTGTACAATACCTCCTCGACAACAACTGTCCTCTCCCACCCGGTTGGCGATACGAGGACGGAGAGTTATATTCAGAATCAGAATCAGAATCAGAATCAGAATCAGAATTAGACTTCTTTGAATAATAATACTTGTACTGCGCGCGCAAATAGTACGCGAAGCACCTTCCTCGGGCCAACGCGTACGGACATACATACAAAAAAAAACATAGAACACGTATTAACACGACACGTCAATACTTCCACGCGTGCACCGAACGAGGTAGGCGTTGTTCCGCGGGGCAAAAAAAGCGTTGTGTTGCTCAATACCGGGCTTTGGGGAAACGCGTCAGTTTTGCGAATCATACAACAAAGCACATATAACAAACCTCGAACCGATGACTGAAGGAAGCGAGTTAGTCTTTTTGTTTTATATCCAACTTTTGTGTGAAGCTCACCCTTGCGCTGACAAGAGAACAGAATTTATCTGTCGCCTAGAAATATTAGGCGCACGCTCTAACCAAGCTGAGCTCTAAAAGAGGAAGAGAGTTAGTCCCGCGAACACACAAAGGTGAAGGAAACGCACAATCGAGCATATCGAGCATATCGATGCCATTTTCGGCGGATTTAGTATATAAGAATTCTTCTGTATTTTTGAAACCCTAAGCGAATCTTTCCCTCTGAAAAAGCCGCTTTGAAACGAACGAGAAAAAAAAGGTCTGTGATTGAAATCTCTTCATAAACACACACTCTTTTATAAAATAGAATCATGTTCGCCGTCTCCTCTACCACGACACAGTTCGCCTCCGCGAAAGCGCAGTTCAAGCACACCAAGAAGGTAATACTTTAACATAGTTTTAGCGCGATGAAAAGAGTCGAATTATTAGTAAAAAAAAAATGGAAGGATTTTGCGGGTGGTGATACGGTTTTTTTCTCCGTCGTTGATCTTCCATCGTTTTTTCTATATCGACTCGAAGAATATCATCTTTTCAACGAGAAAGCAGCATAAACAGAAAAAGGAGGAGTTTGGTTCGATGATCGTCGAATGAACAACTTTTTTTCTGGTTCGATCGTGTGTCGTCGTTTTTTGTCATCACAAAGAAGCGATCGTAATCAAAGAAGGGAAAAATGAGAGTGATCTATGCGTGCAAAAAAAAGGATTCAAATTCGGTCTCATTTATACTGACATTTTCATTTCTCTGTTATTAAAGACTCAACAAAAGAGTAACAGAAAATCCTCCGTTGTCACTCGCGCGGACTGGTCTTTAGGCTCGGACGTGAACAATATCGTCGTTTTTAACACCGCGGCGTTGTTGTTCGCCGGCAGATTCGGGTTCGCGCCGACGGTGAAGAAGAACTACGGCGGCTCCACCTCGTACGCCATGACTGAAGCGGCGAAGCCGGCGGTTGGCTCGAGAGATCCGGCTGGGTTCACCGCGGTGGATGTCTTGGCGTTTGGCTCCTTGGCACACATCATCTCGGCGGGTGAAATCTTTGGCATGCACATGAAGTAATTACTTTACAGTTGTTATACGTACTAATAAGATCCAATTTTATACACTCATGTACCTACTAATTATAATCATTCGTTAAAATGGAAATCTCCAACAAACTCTCCACTGGATTCCGGCAAATGGGGCACTTGTTCGATTGAAATCGCAAAGCTCTCGCGCACTCCGAGCACATGCACATGTGTCTGCACGGTAAAACCGTCGTGTCTTTCGGTTCCGACAAACAAACGACGCACATGATTTCATCCTCTTCCTCCCGCTGCTGTTGTCGTTGCTGCTGCTGAAACTGGTCCAGGTTGTGTTGCTGTTCTAAACTATTGTTATTATTGTTGTTGTTGCTACTGTTGTTATCGATCCCGTAAATCTCTTGCAACTCGTACGAGCTCCCGTTCACGAAGATGTGTTGCTTGACGACTTGTAATTTGACCAAATTTTCTTCCGTTGTGCTAAGAGACTGCGGCACGGAACAGAACGTCGTTTGCGCTTGAACACTCGCGTCGACGCTTTCAAACGCCTTCACTGGATCGAAATAGTGTTGTTGTTGTTGTTGTTTTTGCTCTCCTTCTTCTTCTTCTTTCCTCTCCTCGTCGTCTTTTTTAAACAACACCCGATTCGCCTCCTCTTGCGTTTCCACCTGATCCCCGACGCACTCTAATCGTATAATCACCGCAAATCCATCCGTCGTCTCTTCGTTATTCGTCAAACTCCGCAGCGAACACTTCACCTCCTTCCCAATCGCGACGGAAACCGTCTCGCTAAACCCAGCCTCGCACGGCTTCCTGTGCGCCACCGCGATAAATTTGCTCGCGCCCATCCCCATCCATCCTTTCTGGCACACGTACAACGACGCCGCGCATTTCTTCGTCGCGTCGTACGTAAACTCGATCGCGTTCGCCTCCATCGAAATGAGCACCGAACTCTTCTTCACGTTCACGTGGTTTCGAATGGTGGACGTTTTCTTCGTAATCACACCGTCGTTGTTGTTATTGATATCGTTCGTAGTCGTGGTAGTCGTATTCATCGAGAGCGGTGGTGCTGGTTCCGGCACGAATCGAAGTTCCGTCCGTCCTTGTTCCTGCTGCTGATTCGTATTAGTAGTATGGCTCCCTCGTAACCCACTTCGAAGCCTCGCGCGCGCGCGGAGACTCGCTCTCGGATCGTCGTTTTCCCGTCCTCGACTCGAGTGATTCGCACCCATTTTCTTCTTTAACTTCTTCTTCTTTAACTTCGTTCAAAAACCACTTTTGCACCTTACGTATACGCGCGCGCGTGTGTGTGTGTATATACTCTGCTTAAACTTGCTCTCTCTCTCTCTCTTATACGGTTATTGTATCGATGAAGATGTGATGAAATGTGATGATTTATAGTTGAGATCTGGCGATTTTTATTCCTTTTTTTACTTCTCTCTGCTATTAAAAACTAATACGAATAACAAACTTTGCGGTGGTGCGATGATACCAACCAAATCTCTCTCTTTCGAACGAATACGAACGACGCATCTGAAGCTGTACTGAGCGTAGCTAAAAAGAGCAGCAGCACGTATTATTATTATTATTAAAATTAATCAAAGAAGTCTTCTTGAAACTCCTCTATATCCCAGCGATAGATGTACCCTCCGTCGCATCCGGCGAGGACGATTTTACCGTCGAAGGAAACCTCGGCTTGACGGACGACGGTTTCTTTCGGGAGCCCTTTTAAATCGGCGACGAGAACGTCGTCGTCGTTTTTGTTGGTGGTGGTGGTGTGGTAGTGGTGTGGCTTTTCGCGTTTACGTCGATGTCGTCGGCGGAAAAACTCATCCTTTTCCACTTTGACTTTTTCGTCGTCTTCTTCGGAAGAGGAGGAGGAGGAGGAAGAAGAAGACGAAGAATCGAAATCGTCGTCGGCGTCGCTATCGTCGTCGCTCTCGTAAAATTTCCACACTCTGACTAAACCTTTCGTGTTTCCGCAACACAAAACGCTCGCCTCTTTCGCCAAGGAAAATCGAACCCACCAGTTTTCCGCGTCGACCAAGTTGAAACTTTTCAGCTTCCTGAACGATCGCTTGAACTTCTCGTCGGCGCCGCCGTATTTTTGAATCCCTACTTTTTCGTCCTTGCTGTTGTTGTTACTATTATCGTTATTTTTATTCGTATTTTCATCCGCTTCCACCATAGCGGCGTCTTCGTCCGTATTTTTATTATTCAAATAGAAATCCGGCGTCCACGCTAATATTTTATTCTCCACCGATTTCGAAAATATAACCTCCCCGAAGTATCTCACGCAATCGACGAAGTGATTGTGCGCGTGAAACGTGCTAAACTCTGGCGCCCGAACCTGCGCGGTTGGAAACTCTACAATCTCATCCTCCCAAAGCTCTGAATCTTCAATCGCTTGGCTCACTTTCTTCCCTCTCGTCGACCAGACTTTCACCGCGTTATCCATCCCGCCAGTCGCGATGACCACCACGTCCTCTCTCCCGCTTTCCGGACAAAAGTGTAAATTCGGATGAAAATCCACCGACAAAACGTCGTTCCTGTGCCCTCTCGCTCCGGCGAAAATAGCCACGCACACCCCGTTGCTCACGTTCCACAACCGCACCGACAAATCTTTACTCGCGCTCGCGATAATATTCGGCATCGCCGGATGCGCTCTCAAATCGTTAATCTCCCCGCCGTGCCCGACCAACGCGCCGCAAAAATCCTTCTTCTTACAATTCAAAACTCTCACGACGCCCTTCGCGCCCGCGCACGCGATGTATGGCACCAACGCGTTCTTCTTCGAACACCAGCAACACGTGTAATACGTTTCGTTCGGATCCGCGTCCACGTAGCATTGCAACAACGTCGTTCGTTCGACCGTTTCTTCTTCGTCTAACTCTTCTTCTTCTGTTACATCTGTTTCTAATTCTTCTTTACCAGCAGCATTCGTCGCGTTATTGTTCGCATTAGAAGCGGCATTATTGGCCTTGGTCTTCTTCTTCTTCTTTCCATCCTCCTTCACCACAAAGTCGTCGATTTTATACAGCATCAATCTATTCGCCGCGCACGCCGCGAACACGTGGTACCACTCCGGGTGCAACGTGTTAAACAAGACAGAGTACACGGACGTGTCGCTTCGTTTTCTCGTTTGTTCTTTCGTCGTCGTTTGCTGTTGTTGCTCGTTGTCTTCGTCTTCTTTTTCGTGGTGTTGTTCCGGGCAACAGTCGATGTTCCCGGTGAGCACGTACCGGAGTTTCTTCTTCGTTCGCGTCTTCGTGCCTTGTTTTCCCCCCATTGTTATTTTGGTAGCGCTCTCGTAGTGTTCGCAGTATTCGTGCGCGTTTTTGAACGTTTCGTCGCGTGCTCTTTTCTCAACGCGCGGGTGGTTTTCGTGGTGCGTCACCGGAGAGGAACTTTAAGAAGATTGGTGCGGGAAAATATGTGGAGTCGTAGGGAGTACGAGTTTAGGGTTTACTTTAAACCCTAAACCTTCGTACTTGTTTCATTTTCAAAGACAGACGGAATACGTGATAAACGCAAACATGGACGAACGAGAAGACGTTGGAACGTACTAAACGCAAACATGGACGACGAGAAAGAGGAGGAGGAGGACGATGTGGTATTTTCCTCCCGTCTGAAATCTGTCCTCCTGAACGCGCCGAAAGAACTCTCGCGCGCGATGTTCGACTTTGCATCATCATCCGCAAAATTCGCTTTGACGACGACGACGACGAAGACGCGCGCGAGAAGAATCATCATCGAATCGCACGACGAAGAAGAAGAAGAGAACGAAGAAGAAGAAGAAGAACGAGGAGGAAAAGGAGTTATGCTGCTGCGAGAGCGGTTGCAACCGTTTATTACGTCATCGAGCGACGACGCGGAGGAGAGAAGAACGAGTGCGTGGTTTTTGGAACAGTTGAACGAACGAGTGGTGAAACGAGTTCTCGTCGAGATGACGACGTCGATGGTTTCGAAGAAGGAAAACAATCTCGAAGAAGAAGAAGAAGACTGGTTTGAAGCCGTCGTCGAAAAGGTGGTTGAAAGCAGTTTCGCGTTCACGACGAAGAAGGAAGAAGAGGAGGACGAGGAGGACGAAAAGAAGGCTCGCGTACGATTGAAAAAAATTCTTCGTTCTCGGGCGAAAGAATGGTTCGAGAAGACAATGACTTTGACGAATTCGTCGCAAACGCGAGAAGGAAGGAAGAGGCGTCTTCGAGTCGGAACGCCGAGATTGGTGGAGTACGATTGGACGGCGTACGCGACGAGAGCGAGCTCGTCGCTGGAGTCCCTCACTTTGAACGCGTCCTCCGCCTCGTCCGTCTCCTCTGCCTCTCGCCTCCGCCTTTCGCTTCGCGTATCGAAAGAAGAGGAAGAAGAAGAAGAAGAACACCAACACCATCGCTTAGACTTAGACTTAGATTCGCTCTCCGTGCTCGTCGACGCTTTGCGAGATGCCAAAGTTGCCGTCGTCGCCGCTTCCGGCGGCAACATGTAGAGGAAAGTTTTACGTAAAACTCCACGACGCACCGCTTTTGCGTGGAAAAACGGCATAAAAAGCTCCCCTAATACTACACACGCAAAACATCATCGTCCCTCGCTCTCTCTGAATTAAACGAGTATCATCGCGATCACGCAATAATAATGCCTAAATCCAAGCGTAACAAAGTCGTCGCGTTAACCCAGGTGAAAAAAAAAGACCGCAAGTGGAAAGAATCTTTAGTCGAATCCATCCGCGATGCAGTCGACACCTACCCGTCCGTGTTCGTCTTCCGATGTAAAAACATGAGGAACGAAACGTTCAAAAGCTTACGCGACGACGTGTCAAACACGTCGAGATTCTTCGTCGGCGGGAACAAGTTAATGCGAGCAGCGTTACTCGGGAAAGAATCCGAGGAAGGGTTAAAGACGTTCGCCGAACACATCGTAAACAATCGTGATGGAAAAGATGATGATGATGATGATGGCGGCGGCGGCGGCCAAAAACAACAGAAAGAGACGAAAAAACAGCAACGCGGGCGGCAAAACGAAGAATTTGATTTGAACACGACGACGACAGGGATCGTGTTCACGAACTTGAGCAAAGAGGACTTGATGCAGGCGATGGAGGCGAAAGAGACGAAAGATTTCGCGCGGGTCGGGCAGATTGCGACGGAAACGATCGTCTGTCCGGAAGGTCCGGTGAAGAATTGCTTCGACGTGCCGATGTCGCACACGTTGGAGGCGATGTTGAGGAAACACGGTTTGCCGACAAAGTTGAATAAAGGGGTCGTGGAGTGCGTGAATGAGAAGATTATTTGTAAGAGAGGAGTGAAGTTGAGCTCGGATCAGTGCGCGTTGTTGAGGCAGTTTGGGTATAAGTTAGCCACGTTCAAATTGAGATTGGTCGCCGGGTGGGAGAAATCGACGGGGGAGACGGAAGTGTTTATGAACGAAGACGATTCCGAGGAGATTTTAGATTACGGGACGGACGAGGAAGAGGAGGATAGATTCGCCAGCGATGGGTTGCCGAAATCAATGATGCTTCCGGAAGGAATGCTTTAAATATAATAACTACTTTTGCGCGCTGTACCGTTACCGTCGATGTTGTACCTTTAAAAAACTATTCTTCTATTTACTAAATCTGTTGATACTATGTATTACTCCTTCTTTTTTGTCTTCTTCTTCTTCTTCTTCTTTAACTTCTTCTTCTCTCTTCTCTGGGGCGGCTACTATATATTTATCGATGACATTTTCGGTGAACCATTCCAACGAGAATTGCATGTGATGCGCGTCCGGGACGACGTCAATTTTCATTCTGTTCTTTTCGTCCAACTCTCGCAAACACAAACCGTCCTCTTCGTTCAAGTAAAATTTAGTCTCTCGCACGTTCAACAATTCCGACGACTTCTCCTCGGTGTACTCGAACGGTACCGAAGGCGCGTCGCTAAACACGGCTGAATCTCTCGGAACGACTACTTCGTCTTTTTCGAAGGAAAACATCGCGAACACGTCGAGATTGCACATTTTTTCTCTTCTCCTTTGTCCCGTTTTCCTCTTTCTCTCTTCTCCTCTCTTCTCCTCGTCGTCGCTCCCATCGTCTTCACCGTTAATCACGCTCAACAAACTCCCCGACCGCACGTACTGTTCAAACCTCTTCGCATCGCTCACGTCTCGAAAATAACTCGCTTGCACGCTCTTACTCTTCAACATCTCGCTATACGCCGCTTTACTCGCCACCTTTCTCGAATACTCGCACCATTTTCGCGACAGCGCGTTTGCCATCGTTTTATCGCATCCAGGAAACTTCCACACGCCTGAATGCGGCGCTCCGAACGTGATTAACGCGTTGACTTCGTCTTCGCACGTTTCGACCATAGCTCTCGCGAACACGCCGCCTTGCGAAAACCCGAGGAGTATCGTCTCCACCTTATCGTCGTTCTTCTTCTCGGTGCTCTCAAAGTCACGGTGCATCATCATCATCTCTTCTTTCGCGTTTCGCAACTGCGCGCACCCGAAATCTTTTACCAGAGAAAACGCGTCTCCGATGAACCCGGAGATGAAATCGCGCATTGAATTTCGACCAAACTTAATTGAGATGACTTTCGTCTTCAACGCGTCGTCTGCGTCGCTTAATCGGCGTTCGATCACGCGTTCAATCTTCCCTAACGAGAGTGGATCACAGCACGTGTCCCCCATCCCGTGCGTTAACACGATCAAAATGTGCTTCTGTTTTTCTTCTCGTTGTTGCCCGCGAGAACACAACGGAAGAAGACAAAGAAGACAACCGAGAAGCGCAGGACGACAGATGCGCATTTTCATCCTCATCGTCTCAACAGCGCGCTCTTTTAGTACGCGCACCCCCAAAAGTGTCTTCGAAAATCGCTTTCGGCGTTTCACCGCACACAAGGACGAGCGCGTTTTCGCGAGAGGTACTCGTTTTCGAACGCGTACTAACAAAGCGCTCTTTCTTCGAGTGCGTGTGACGCATTTCACTTGCATTTTAAGGGGGAAAAGCGCTTACCTTTTTCGCCATTTCTTACGCGCAAATACGCACAAAACGCGAGCAATAATGAGAGAGGAACCGACGAAAACCAACGCAGTTTCAGAGAGCAGCGGTGGTGATTTTGCGAGTCGTCGAATGTACCGACCAGAGCACTCGCCGGAGAAGAGATCTTCGTCGTTCTTGCGGTTGCACACCGTTGGGGACGAACGGGTGCTTTCCGAGACGAATTTTGCAACCACGCGAGAACGTGAACAACAACGCTTTAATTCTTCTTTCGAAACTCGCGATGAAGGAAAAGAAAAAGAAGAACGCGCAGAGAGCGCGACGAGGAGAGCAGAAGCGTCTTCTTCGAACGCTATTCTCGAGCGATTCTTGAAGAAACTGGAGAGAGATTTACAACGAGAGGAAAAGAAGAACGGTGTATCAGGTGCCCAGTTCTTCGGTACGGAGCAACACCCTCAAAATCGTCTTCAAAATCAGAAAGAGACAACGGACGACGCGTTCCATTTGTTGCGAAAAACTTTGGAGGAATCCAAATCGTCTCTCGAGAACGAGAGAATAGCGTACGCGTCAAATGTGTTGGAACTGGAAAGGGCGAAACGAGACGTAATTTCCCGGACGAAGGAAGCGATGGAGGAGGCGAAACGAACGAGAGAGATGGAAGATCGAGAAAACAAGACGAAAGAGAGAGGGATGCGCGAGGAAATAGATCGGTTGAAACGAACGGTGAGAGATTTTGAGAGGAAGAAAGAAAACGAAATAGAGGTAGTGGAGAGGCGATGCGTGGACGCGGTGAACCGAGCGAAAGAGAAAGAGCTGAAGATTGAAGAAGCGTGCAAGGAGAAGATGCGACGGATGAGCGAGGAGAAAATCAGGGACTTGGAAACGATGCAGATGAAACATAACATGGAAATGGAACACGTGCGATCGAAGCTTGGCGAAAAGAGCGAGGATGAATCGGAGATTAGGAAAAAAATGCGAGAGATGGAAAGCGAATTGGAGAAAGCGAGACGAGACGCGAGAAGAGCGAAAGAGGAGAAGGAAAGGTTGAGAGAACAAGCCGGAGTGGCGAGAAAAAAATTAGAAGAGTTGATGGAAACGATGAAAACGAGAGATACATCCCGAGATGCAGAAATTGAGCTGATTCGAGAGGAAAGCGGAAGACGCGAAGAAGAGTTTATGGAAACGGTGAAAATGAACGAATTGAAACGAGATCGAGAAGTTGCGGAACTTTTGGAGCGAAGCGAAAGAGATGCAAAGATGATCGCTCGGTTGGAAAAACGGGCACAAACTGCGGAGACGGCGTCTATTGCGGTGAAATTTTTGTGCGAAGAAGCGCAGAAATCCATAGAAGATAGCGAAATTGCTGCGGCGTACGCCGAGAGAAGAGCCGCGCGGCTCGCGAGTGGATTCGGCTCCTCCTCTTCCTCCTCGGACGTATCATCCTCAGATGATGACGATGATGATAATGAATACAACAATAAAGAGGAGAAGGAGAAAAGTAAAGTGAAGTTTAGAAAGCGAGCCGATGCGGCCAATCTTCGATTGGAGCGCTCGTTGCGAGATGCGAGAGCGACGTTGCGCGAGTGCATCGAACGCAAGAAAACCATGCTGTTAGAAACCGAGTACGACGATGTCAACGACGAAAACGATGCAGCGTCATACGAGGAAAAAAGGCGGGAAGTATTTGCATTCAACGTTGTGAAGGACGTCGCTGACATTCGCGTTTCTTTTCTCACGCGCGCGATTGCGAGCGTGCGATTGTCGCGCCGATGCGGCGCGCTCGAAGGTTTGATCGCTGGTCGAGCCGATCGAACCGTCGACGAGGACGAAGAAGAATATGGAAAAAATATTCGCAAAGATGATGACGAAGATAACTATCGCTCCATGAACAATACCATAAACACGATTGAGGAGGAGGAGGATGAAGATGATGACGATGACGATTTAGATTACGTCAGCTGGTAGTAAAATGTGTATGTAGTGTGCGAGGTATTTTTCATCTATGTAGATTAAAAACTGCTCTGCGCTTGTTGTTGTTGTTGATGTAATTTTTCTCTACGCACTCGCGTCGCTCTCGCGCTTTCGAGCAACGCCATCGCGCTCGCTTCAATATCCATCAGTTTTTCTTTCAACGCGTTTTGCTTAAACTCTCTGGATTCGCGCGTCGTCGGTACCGTCGAAGAAGAAGCGTCTTTCCTCGGCGTGGCGTACTGAGACGACGTTCTCGTCGCACTCCCTTTCATCTCGAGTTTAGCTTCGAGCGCGATGCATGCGTCGATGGTTTCTCGATACGAGCGATCTAAAGCTGAAAATCTACTGCTGCTACTATTATTTGTGTTAGTATTCTCGTCGCGACCATTCCTATTGTTCGTGTTATCGGCGCCAAAAAACGTGCCAGTCGCCTTTCTCGACATCGACTTGAATGTTGTGTTCGTCAATTTCAAATTTCTTGCGTTTTGCTCGAAGTCGACATCGAAATCCCATGAACTCGCGGTTGATTTAGGACTATTTCTTTCATCCTTTGCTGATGTTTTTTTCTTCAGTGGAGACATCGAAGCTGCGATAGCTGGCGTTCTGCTGGATTGCCACGCGCTTTTTGCCTTCATCTCCATCGCGCGTTGTCTCCAAACGCGAAAGGCTGCGCGCAATCGTCTCGCATCGTTTTCTTCAATAAACGCGGATTTTAGCGCCAACAGCACCCCGTTTCTCTTCGCGCTTTCCTCGCGCCATCTTTGAAACACCACACTCGAGACGCGTTCGAGAAAGTTTCGTCTCTGAAAACGTTTCGCGGCTTGAACGATGGCGATGCCTTCCGGCGTCCCGAAATGCGTCTCGGATTCGTCCGCAATCGCACGTTCCACGACTGCGCGTTTCATTTGCTCTATTCTAGTTTGCTTCAACATTTGCACGTGCGTGTTCCATGCCAATAAGCAGTCTCTTCTTAATTGCGTCTGTTGCTTTCGATATTTCTGCGCGATAAACTTCTCCGTCAGCGCCAATCGATTTCTACTGTCTTCGGCTGAGCGTTTCCAAGACATAAATACGGCTCGTAAAACTTTAGCACGATGCTTTTCCTCTCTTCGTAACGTAAACGACCGTCTTTTTTCCGTGAGTGCTTTCCAATTTGCAAACGGTTGCGCAAAATGTCGCTCGTAGTGCTTTTTCGTCTTTAACGTTCTCACCAACGTTTCGTCGCGTTTCTTTTCCGAAACGGCTAAGGTTCGCCACGCTCTGAATACCTCGCGCATTTTCGAACGTTCGCGAAACATGATCGCGCGGTCTAACTTACGTTCTTGACTCAACGCTTTACGGCGCGCGACCGTTTTTTTATGCCAAAACTGAAGCGTTTCCTTGAGTATTTTCGAATCATATTTTTGCATGGCGTCGTTTTCGAGCATTCGGAACCGTTTTTCCACGTCCGAAACCATCTTCCACTGTGAAAACGTTCGCTTTAGCAGTTCTGGTTTCACTTTCGTTTCAAAATGCACCTCAGCTTTCCTTGGATTCTCTACTCCTTGCGTTCGGGTTTCGTTTCGCCAAATATAAAACGCTTTGGCAACTTTCTTGGAGGACATGCGCGATATCGCTCGCGCCTGTAAGTTGGTAACAATCTTCGAACGCTTAGCGTACGTTCGCATCTGTTCGAACGCTTTCTCTTGCAACTGCGAGTTTCTAAAAGCAGCCGCTTTCCTCTCGTTGCTTTTCCCTCTCTCATGTTCTCTGACAAAAACGTCTTCAAAGATTCGTTTTTGCATCCGAAACCGTTTCGCTCGAATGTGATTTTCCAGACGGCGTTCCAACGCTCGATCCTTTTCCCGTTCCTCTCGACTCGTTTCCGTGGCTTCTTTCCACTCTCGAAACGTGCTCTCAATCACGCTTCTTCGTTTCTTGAGCAATAAAAACCGCAACGTTCGCTTCCATCGTTTCGCTTCCATCGTTTGTTTTCTCCATTTCGTAAAAAATTTCCGCGCTAACCGCTCCTTCTTTTCCTTCTCCATCGCTCCAACCGCGCGTTCGATCAACCTCTCCTTTCTCTCTTCGTACCTCTTCCTCCCTTGTTCCTCCTTCAACTTCAAAAGCGCAATCTCCGCTTCAAATTTCTGTTTCGTCTCCGCGTCTCGACTCGCGCGTTCCGTCGCCACTCTCAATTTCTCGTTTTCGTTCGCTTTCGTAAACTCCTCCAACTTTGCCTCGTGCGCGTTCGCTATCCGCGTCTCCTCTTCCTTCCATTGCTCTTTCTCTTTCTCAAATTGCTTTTGCAGTGCCTCCATCCGCTCGTTCAACTCTTTCACCTCTCTCTCCACATCTCTACTCTCTTCTCTCTCCTTCCTCTTCTCCCTCGCTTCCATCCGCCATCTCTCAAACATCTCTCGTTGCAACTTCATCGCTCTCCGACTCGTCGCCCGCGCCAACCGTTCCTTCAACCGTTTCCCGCTCATCCTTTCTTTCCTCCACCGATCGAACGCCGCTCTCAAATATCTCAGCCGTAACCCTTCCACTTTCGATTTCAATCGTTTATTCTGTATTTTCGTCCTTTCCACTTCTTCTCGCCACCTAGTAAAACACGCGCGTTGGTACCTCAGCGCTCGCCTGTGCAAGGAAAATTTCAACAGTTCCATCTGTTTCTTCTCCAAAACGATGTGTAACAGTTGCGTTTGCTTCTCGGTTTCCGCCTGGTGTCGCCAGATTTGGAAGGTCAATCGAAGTAAGCCCTCTTTGTTTTCCTCCTCTTCCTCGTCGTCGTCGTTTGAAGGTTTTTCGAGGACGATGTCATCTTTAGTACTCCTCGTCGTCCTCGTCATCATCGGCTCAACCAAACCGCTCTTTTGACGACGATGTTTCCCCTGATGTAAAAGATGTCAATCCTCGCGCGCGTGTCTCGAACGTCGTATAAATTTTTCTGCCGAAAGAAAGTGCTACGAATACTACTACTACTACTGTTACTGCGCGATGATGATGATTCGTTTAACTTCTTCTTCTTCGTTATTACTTTGCATTCTGACGGTTGTATCTGTGAGGTGTTCAAAATGCATTTTTTCTCCCCATGCACAAAATGGGGGGAGGAGGAGCAAAATTGAGTAAAAGGTACAACGCACACTAGAGGAAAAATGGTGTTTGCTTTCTTTCTCGCGTGTGCGTTTTGTTTTTAATAACACGTGCTGCTGCTATACAAAATACAGGTTGCTTTGGCTTTTGGATGATGATCTTTCACATCATTTTTTACACCAAAGCGATAAAGTCGTCTCTGATATTTTCCAGCGCGATGAGAACCTCGTTGCGTCTTTGTAACGGGTTCGTGAACGGGTCGTTGTATTGCGCCAACTCGACGAACTCGTCGCCTCGGCGAGGGAGGAATTCTACCCCGTCGTTTATGGATTCTTCTCTTTTCATGGCTTCTCTCAACTTTTTTTCAGTCTCGTCCGTGATTTCTTTGTTCGCGATGCCGGAGAAGGACGCCACGGCGACGAGAAATCGTTCACGGTCTTTCACCGCCACCGAACCGTCCACCGGCTTGATTGAATTCGAACTCTCTTCCACGACAAACTGCATCTTTTGATTCTTATTCGAAAACACCGGCGTCGTCATCTCCATCTTTTCGTTTTGCTCGTTCTTACCAAAAATGTAACCAGCTAAGCGGTTAAAAGCCTGCCCAGCTTCGCTATCTTCCATCTTCGCGCTCCCGGTGTTTGAGTTCACTGTCGTCTCGGCGACGAAAAATTTCTCGTATTCTCTCACCTCGAAATCGCGGTACCTCCTCAACGTCACGTACTTCGGCGTCTTCAAATTCTCCGGCGTCTTCGCAAAGTTAAACACCTGCTTTAAAACTTCCTGCACGGCTTCTGGACTCAAATACGTTTGGTTCTCGATGCTATCCCACGTGTCCACGTGTTTCACGCACTCGTGCGGAAACCTCTGGTCCATCTCCATGATGGATCTCCCGGTAAACGTCAGCTCGGGATTCCACAAGAACGGAAACGAAGGTAAGTACATCTTCATCGTCCATCGCGTCGTGATTTCAAAATCGTTCGTCTTTTCGATCGAATGCATCGTATATATTGGTTTGAACACGTTTTTCAACATCTGTATGTTGAAGTTGTACCCCGAGAAACTTTCGTATTTCGAGAGCGGATCCGTGAAGACGACATTTTCGGCGTATAACTTCGGATCGATCCCGCGATCGTCGAATAAGTGCGACAAGTCTTCCGTCAAATCTCGTTTCAGCTTTTGGAGCGTTTCCCCGGTCAACCCTTTACTCTCTTCTTCTTTTATCGTTTCTGTTGTTGTTGTTGTTGTTTGTGCCGCTCCGTCGACGTCAACAGATGATGATGATGACGACGACGACGACGACGACGATTCAAACGACGATGCCGCCACGCGCTGACGATGAAAACGCACGAAAGCGCTTCTCCTCATCTTCTTCCCGCTTCTCCCATAACTGCTGCCACAACATCTCGACGCCGCCGACGAGTGTAACACCGAACAACGCATAGTTTCCAATGAAGAGATTTCGCGAACGATTTCCCTCACAACAACAACTTTCTTTGGTCGTCGTCGTCTGATGACAAGCAGCGCTGGCACGAACGAAGGCGGTCACTACGGGAGAGTGTTCTCGCTGAGCTTCAGTCCTCCTTTTCTCGACGACTTTAAAGAGGATGAAGAAGAAGAAGAAGTACACGCGCAGCAAAATCCCCTAACGGAGATGAGAACGACGAGGACGACACCAAAGAAGAAGAAGAAGAAGAAGAAAAGGAGACGAAAACGATTCTTAGCGACGAGCGGAGAGGACGATTGCGTGCGATTGTGGGTCGTCCACGCTTCTTCGGAGGAGGAGGAGGAGGAGGAAGAACAAAGCGTCAAAGTGGAACCGAAACCGTTCGGGTTGAGCGTCCTGAGAGGACACTCCGACGCCGTGTTGAAGTGCGCTTTTGGCCTTTCGCGCGGCGCTTTCGATGACGATGATGATGACGATGAAAAGTGCTGCGAGAATAAGTCGTCGTTCGCGTTAGCGACGGGGTCGTCCAACGGCGAAGTGTTCGTTTGGCGAGTCGTGACTACCTCTGGTTCTGGTAAGAGCAAAAGCGGCAAAGGCGAGAACGGCGACCGGTTGATGGCGAAGTTTAACGCGAACAGAAAGAGAGCAGAATATGGGATTTCAAACGAGGACGACTTAGTCGAAGATGCTTTTGACGGAAAGGACGACGAGAAGGATAACGACAACAACGAAGTGTACGGGTTGAAATTTTTAGGCGGAAAGGATGAGTATTTAGTCATCGCCACGGACGCGGAGTTGATTGGCGTGGAAGTTACGCGGAGGAGTTTGAACGAAAAGAACGGGGGAGAATCATCGGTAGAGTTGAAGGAGATTGCTCGCACGCCGCTTGGATTCTCGTTGAACGAAAATGTCGGCGATGGCGGTGGTGGACAAGGTAAATTCGATATAGCGTACGCGTTTGCGATGGACGCGTACGCGACCAGGAGTCGGAGTCGCGTTGATACCGATACAATGGGAAATAAACACATTTTATCGGTTGGATATTCAAACGGGACCATGCGCATGTACTGTTTTGATGCTAAAGCGCGAGAGTTTTATCTCGTCGGGGAGAACGCGAGCGTGTTTGATGACAACAACGGCACAGGACGGAAGAACATGGCGTGCACGTCGTTAACTTTCGTGTACCCAGCCGTGGAAAACGAACTCGAGCAGTTCCCGAACGTTGTGATGTGTAATCGTTTTGGCGACCTCGTGATGTCGGACGCGAAAAATTGGATCGAAAGGAGCAAACCGAGGTTAAATGTGCAAACAGATTTCGCGTTGACGCACGCGGTGGCAGATGTTGGGAACGGGTTCGTCGCGTGTTGCGGACGCATGAAGGAACGTAACGTGAATGGAGTAGCTCTGTTTGACGCGTTCGATGTTCAAAGAGGGTCGATGTTCTTAAACGCGAGCGAGATGATGGGCGAGCACGCGTCCAAGTATCCTCTGTTGTGTGTGGGAGGTTTCGCGGAAGATGTCGAGGAGGAGGAGGAGGAGATGGTGGAGGATAGTACTAGACGAACTAGAATAACCGTAGTCGCTGCGGGCGGAATGCCCGCAAAATTAGTCAACGAGAATTTCTCGAATAGAAGCAACGTGAAGAGTTTAGGATTTAGCTTGGCGAAAATGAAAGTAGGAGGGAAAAGAGACGGGGAAGAAGAGAATACCAAGACTTCTCGAGTCTACGCTTGGGATTTCATCACATAAATACAACTTTGACATTACGCATAAATACAACTATTTGAACATTATTGGACTTATCGCGCTACTACTTTATCGAGCACTTCGCACTGTCGTCTAAAATCTACGAGCTCGTGGGCAGCCGCCCAACCGCCCGCAGCGACAGCTGGAAGACCCGGGCCAGGGAATCGGGAATCTCCCACTAACAATAAATTTTTCAAATTACTCTTGGCGGAAGTCACGGGAACCGCGGCCGCGGAGTCATCTCCGGATTCTTTTTTCTTTATCCACCCGGTGCCGCCGTACGTGCCTTGAGAATTTCCTCTTCGTAAAAAGCGCGCGTGCGTAACAGGCGTACCAACCATCTCAATTTCTGCGCGGCTTCTCAAATCCTCGACGGTGATATTATTCAACGCTTTCGCAACAGCTTGATATAACACTTCGCTTCGTTCTTTCTTCAATTTACTGTATTCTTCTGAGTTATATTTCACGTTCTTCCAACGCGCCAAAGGCTCGTTCCCGGGAGTGTAGGCGTGAATCACGTGTTTGCCTTCCGGCGCCATGGACGGATCTTTAATCGACGGTATCGAGACCAAGACGAGATTTTGCTCCGCGTCCACGCCTTTGTCCCAATCACCGACCCACACGTGGTGCATTTCCAGTGTTTCCGCAGCTGGTAAATTTGCGGCGTCAATGCCGAGGTGTAAATGCATGAACGATTGGCAAAATTCGACGTCGTCGTCGACTATTTTCCCGCTTTTAGTTGTTCTAGTCGTAGACGACGCTTCCCGCACGCTCTGGCGCCTCCCTTCCGCGCAATCTCTCAAAAGCGCCTCGGTATCCCAAATCGTCGCGTTTGAAATCACCGCTTTTCTCGCTCTTAAGATCTTCTTCTTCCCGTCTCTCGTTTTCGTGACAATCCCAGTCGCTTCTTCTTCTTCTCCGTCTTTCTTCTCCACTAAAATCTCTTCGCAGTGAGTTCGCAACCGCAAATCGCCGCCGTATTTTTCAAAACCTCTCACTAAGCAATCGACGAGCGCGCCGGATCCACCGATTGGAAACTCTAACGCAGCATTTGGAGCGTACCAGTCTGCAAACATGTACCCAATTTCTGCGCCCATCGTCGCTTTGGACGTCCCACCGGAAAGCAAGAAGCAGAGTAAATCCATGTAATCTCGAATAAACTTCGAGTTGATGTCGTTCTTATCCAGAAACGATTCGTAATCCGATAAAATCGCGTTCAAACTCGGCATCGATTGAAACAACCCCGGGATAAATCTCGCTAAAGTCCACGCCGCGTATGCGTCTGTTCTCACCGCGGCGGGTGGTAACGCCGCGCTCGCTTGCGCCAACGGTTCCATCTTCTCCTTCAATTTTCGCCAATCCGCGACTGCTTCGGCGTCGTAATATTTCTCTAAACATTCGATGAATTGATCGTTTCCTACTTCCGTGACGAACGTTGCCTCCGGAAAGTGCACTTTCCACGTGTTGTATCGAATACATTTCAACGGTTCGTCGATCGCGTGTAATATCTGCCCCAGCGGATTGCTCGTGGGAAACTGAGAGAGACCGGTGTATAAACTCGGTCCGGATTCGAACGTAAATCCATCTCTTTTCCACTCGTGCGCGGCACCTCCGGCGTGCTCGTGCGACTCAACGCAGCAGACTTTCAAGTCGTATTTCGCCAGTAACGCGGCAGCGGATAAGCCGCCGATGCCTGAACCGATTATCACCACGTCGAACGTTTCTTCTTCCATCGCATCATTGGATGATGACGTTTGCGCTTGCACGACTTCTGTTGTTCTCAAAAGACGACGACGACTTTGATGCGTGCGACGATGAAAAACTCGACCACGAGAAGAAGAAGAAGAAGAAGCGGTGGTGGTGCTAATGGTGGTCATAGCGCATCGATGCGTGCAACAACACGACTCCGAAAACGACATGTGTGAGTATGAATACTACTACTACTAACGTTGTGTGTGCGCCCGAAAAGTGCAGAGCAAAAAGCTCTAGAGAAAAAAAAATGTAAAAATGACACAAAAATACTTCAACTGCGAGAGTATCGCGTCGTCATCATTTGAACAACGAGGAGACGTCGTCACCACCACCACCGGAGGAGGAGGAAGAAGAATTTGAGCCGAAGAGCGCGGAAGAAGGCGCTTTCTTCTTCTTCTTTTCCTTGGCGTTCCTTTTTTTCTTTTTGCTCTTCTTCCCGTCTTTGCTTTTTTTTCCGTCTTCTTCTTCTTCTTCTTTGGAAGAACGCGAGGCCGCGTACTCGGCTTTTACGCGGTGTCCGGTATCGCCGTCCTCGTCGTCGTCCTCGTCGTCTCCGAAAAGGCCTCGCAAGCGATCCGTTCTCGTCTTTTTCTTTTCCTTATTCTTCTTCTTTGGAGAAATGTTGGGCTCTTTATGAGCACCCCTAGCGCTCTTCTTTTTCTGCTTTGGCTTCTTCCCGAAAATACTCGCGTCTTCTTCGTCTTCGTCTTCGTCCTCCTTCTCTTCGCTACTCCTATTTCTATCGCTATCGCTACTGCTACTACTCGTTCGTATTCTTCCTTCCCCGAACAGCATCGAGGCAGGTTCGTCGGCGTCGGTATCACTACCGAGCCCGTCGCTCAATAAATCATCCTCTGAACTCACGGAAGAAATGCTGCTCTTTTTCTCCTCCTTCTTTGTCTTCTTCTTCTTTGTCTTCTTCTTCTCGTTCATTTTCTTCTTTTTCGTCGATTCCGCGAGGAGCAACACTTCCTTGGCGAACCGTTCGCGCATCTCCTCTATGGTTTCATCTTCCTTTATTTCCTTCTTCTTTGCCGCTCCCGCTGCTGCTTTTCGTTGATTTTGCATCAATTTCTCTCTTCTTCGTCTTCGCCTGCGCGCTTCAATACTTCTTCTGCCAACGGTATCCTCGTCGTCGCTGTACGAATCCGCTTCGGCCTCTTCGGCCTCGCTTTCCTCCTCTTCGGCTGATGAAGAAGACACCGAAGACGATTCCGACGTCGACGTTTCGCTCGTCGTATCCTCATCGTCTTCGTCACCCGACGAATCGTCATCATCCGTGGACGAAATATACGGTCCAAACCTTTCCGGGTTCGGATTCACCGCATTCGCTAACCCTAACGTCGAATCCTGGTAAAACGAAGCCGTCCCGACGACGTGTGGCAACGGACGCCAAAACACGTTCCCGGTCAATTTCACGTCGCCGCGATGATTGTTCCCGAGCCATCGCTTTTCGGTTTTCTCAATCGCGCGCGCGAGAAGCTCGTTTCGTTCTCGTTTCTTCGCTTCGTTTCGTTCGTTTTTTCTGTCCTCTTTTTGTCGTCCTCGTGTTGTGTCATCTTCCTCGTTCAACGTCGAATCATCACCTACTGAAACGCCTCCTCCAACTGCTTCTTCTTCCTCTTCGTCTTCGTCGTCGTCGTCTTCTTCTTCGTCTTTGACTTTCCTTTCCACGCCAACGGAATTCCCAATTCTGCTCAGACCAATCTTACACGCGTTCAATCGCACGTTCACTTTTGAAGAGACCGCGATTAAGTGTTTCATTTTTAACTCCATCGTCTTCATCTTGCTGTTCTTCTTCGTGTTCTTCTCGGACTTCTTTGAATGATACTCATGGATGAAGATTTCTTCGCGCATCTTCTCGAGCAAATCGATTACACGCCAAAGGTGTTGTTGGTGTTGGTCTCCAAGTCCTCCGCCTCTGGTGAAGGACGACGACGACCATTGGTTCGTGTTATTATTCTTAGTAGTATCACCAAAGTCTTTTTTGAGCGATTGGATGGAGGAGTTTATGGAGGAGGAGGAAGAGGAGGAAAGAGCGGTCATGTTTGAAGCAATTTGAAGAGCAAACGAACAGTTGTTTTTTCCCTTGCGAATCACTTTCTCTCTCTCGTACGACTCGCGGATAGGTTTGATCGAGACGATGCGATAATAAAAGGTATTACAAACGCGCCGCGTTATACATATACTTATTATTGTTATTGATTTACAACGTTTAAAATATCCTCTCCGTCGACAAACTCTTTAATCCTTTCCGCGACGCTATCGATTAATCTTTGCCTGGTTTCCACTCGCTTCCACCCGATGTGTGGGGTTAAGGTGACGTTGTCGTCGAAGACGTTCCCCGGGTTCCAAAGCAACGAGTCCTCGTCCGGAGGTTCTTTCGTTTGGACGTCTAAACACGCGCCGGCGATTTTCTTTTCCTTTAATATTTGGATCAAATCTTCCTCGTTACATATCGCCCCGCGAGCGGTGTTGATTAAATAACTCGTCGGTTTCATCAGCGATAACTTTTCGTAATCGAGCATACCTCGGGTGGCGTCGTTGAGTGGGCAGTGGACGCTCACAAAGTCGGATTCGGATAACAACTCTTCTAACGACTGATAGACGTCGTATAACTCTGTTTTCGCTTTTGCCGACCTCGAATACACGTACGGTTTCATTCGAAACGCTTTCGCTAATTCGCACACGCGTTTCCCGATCGTTCCGTTCCCGCCAATCAATCCTACTTTTTTACCTTCCAACTCGAAGTGCGGCAAGCCGCTAAAGTTCGTAAAGTGTGCGCGTTCGTTCCGCTCCAACATCTTTTGCTGTTTAATCATGCTCGCGGAGGAGTTTAATATGCTCGTGATGACTAAATGTGACATCGCCTCGGTTGAATATTCCGGCACGTTCGTCACGCGAATCCCTCGTTTCTTCGCTTTCTCGATATCGATGTTATTAAAACCAGTCCCGGCTTCGCATATTAACTTCACCGAAGTCGGGAGTAAATCGATATCGATTTCTATTTCTTTCGTGACTATGCAATTGTGACCTTCAGAGCGTTCGGCGACGACATCAGGCGAAGGGGAGGAATCTTGATGCGCGGTTAACGTGTTTATGTTCTTGTTCTCGTTTAAGTTGTGAGTATCTTCTCCTCCTCCTCCCGAGGACTTTGACAGCCCGAGCGCTTGGGAAAGCGAATGTAAATTCAACTTCCCATCGAAATCCAATCGCCCCGCGTTCACCACGCAGACGTTCGCAATCATCTTATTACCTCTCACGATCGCATTTTTAGCGGCAGAGGATGAGGACATTATATCTTCTTCTCTTTAACTTCTTCTTCTTCTTTGTCGTCCAAGTACGTCGTTGTCGTTAGGTAAAGAGAAACAAAGAGAGATAAAAGCGTTGGTCGTAAAGAGAAGGGAGAGATAAAAAAGTGACGAGGATCGTGTGATTTTGAGAGATGAAAAGAATTTTGAGTCAAGGGGACAAAACAGAGAAGAGAAACAAAGAGAGAGAGAGAAGGAAAGCAAAGAGAGAGAAGCAGGCACCCGAAAGAAACCACTTTTTTGATTGTTCAGATCTTTTTTTGAACGACTTTTTCCCTTCTTTTTAACTCCTTTCGAGTGTGTCAGAGAATAATTATATCTCTTCAAAATTATCTCTTCATTAAAAGAACCGCACACCATCACGCGGGATATTAATAAACACACGCGCACCGCATAGCATCATCTCTCTCTCGAGCTTTGCGACGACGTGAACGAAAGAGTATCAGCACTCGAAAGAATACATCCCAAACACTCTCTGAATCATCTCGCCAGAGAGAGAAAAAGATCCTCCCTAATTTTTGACCGAAACCCACGAAAGTAAAGAACCAACGGAAGAAAAACTCCCAACCGAAGAAGAAGAAGAAGCACAACAAAAAGAATAAAAATGGCAGTCCGTTGGCTGGAACACCTCCACGCGCGAGAAACGCAGAAACGACGACGCTCGCGCGACGAAGAGTGGTTCTCCCACGGGGAATCGTTCAACCCTACGGATTTAGGCGCCATGCTCATGTCCGTCGCCGGGTTTACGTTACCGTCGAAAGAGGAAATCGAGCAGTCGTTGAATACGTTTTGGAACCGATGGATGTTTTTTGGAGGAGGACATTTTGGACAAAATCATCAACAAAGCGTGTCGATGTATTTTATGGTGTTCGCCTCGTGTAGCTTCGTTTTGACGTTACTTTTAGTCGTCTTGCTCGGGATGAGGTACGATTTTTCGAGATTGGCGATTATTTTGAAAGAAGCGGTGAAGTCGTCGAGGCAGAACGTGTCCGCGAACTCCGTGAAATCGATTTGGTTTACGCTCAGTTCGCTCGTGTTTGCGAGAGAATTGATGAAGGCGGTGAAACGCAGAGTGTTTAAGAGACGATTGAGAAGACAGAGAGAGTTAAGGCGACGGCTGAATCAACAACAGCAGCAGCAACAACAACAAGAACAACAGTCTCTTCAGCAAAGAGAACGGGAAGGAGAAGGAGGTTCGGGGGAGCGCTCCGAGAATATCGACGCCGGTAATACTACCGCCGGCGCGCGAAGACGGTTGGAAAAAATTGTGGAGGAGAACAATAATAATAATAACAACAATAATTCGAGCAGCAAAACGACGGACGTGCAAGAAATCAGCGGCGAAGATGATGAAGGCGAGGAACAGAACAGAGCGGCGTCTTCTCCTTCGCCAAAGGCGGCGCCCAAGGGTAACTTGCCGAGACGAGGGTCCATGCTTGGTTTGTTCGTGAAAGAGTCCAGGAAACACTCGCACCAAGAGGCTTTCTTTGACGTCGCGAACGAGCGAACGACGTTTAAAGGTGCCGGGGTGGATAATCCGGACGTTGTACAAAAATTAGATTACGAAAAGTTTCGAGACCGATTAGCCACGGGCGAACTCTCCGCCGCGGCGAAGAAGAACCAGAAAAACAACAACGATAACCCTAGGTTTTTTGAAGACGAACAGGTACCAAAGTGCGATTACGGCGAGTGGCAGGAGATGATGCGCAAAGAAGATAAAGAAACCGGGAGCACGTACGTCGCTTGGCGTCACATTCTCCCGTACGGTGGGACGGAATACCTCTCGAAATCGACGTTTCAAAACTGCACGCCGGAAGAGTTGTGCGATTTCTTCAACTCGGACCAAACTAGAAAAGCGTGGGATCCTTTACTCATAAAATCAGAAATCATCGAAAGAGACGTGAACACTGGTGCGGATCTCGTGTATTGGGAGCGGAAGTTACCGGTGATTTCGAATCGCGATTACGTCTTTTCTCGACGCACGTGGACGGAGAAACAGAAAAGTCCCGCGAATCAAATGTTTGACGATTTGACGCCGCCGACGACGCCGATGAAAGGAGGAGGGATGAGATCGGCCGCAGATTTTTTGTCCCCTTCTACCAGTAAGAATAATAAGAGCGTGTACTTCTCCATCACGAAAGGGATGAGTCATCCGAACGTTCCAAAATCGAAAAGAGTTTTGCGCGTCGATCCGTATTACTCGGCGTGGAAAATCGAAGCCGTTCCTGATTTCGAGAACGAGGATGAAGTGCGCGGCTTAAAGCCGTACACCGCGGCAAGATGTACGCTCATTCACTTTGAAGAGCAGCACGTGCAACACGACGTCGCGAGACTCGCGGTGAGACACGGTATGTGGTCCGTCGTGAAGCCTATGATTCGCGGGTTCCGCGCGTTTCAACGAGTTCGAGAGACGAAGTTTATCGAACAAGATTCCGGTGGCTTTAATCGAAGAGACCAAGACATGCTCGAAGACGTCGTTCACGAGAAACAAGTCGGATTTAGAATGCGAAAAGAATTAGGAATGGCGATGAAAACCTTCGTGGTCCCAATGCTTGTAGGCTTTTTGCTCGCGAAGCAAAGCTTTGGCGGCGGTTCGGATATAAACAAATTAGACGTGGTCGGGAAGCTTTTACGCGCGCTCGAGAGGAAAGCAAACAGAGGAAGAGGTGATGGTTCGAGGAAGAATAGCAGTGCTAGTATCGTTGATACTTCTGTTGTTCCTTTGTCGTCGATTCCGTTCTCCATGGAATCGCCGCAAATTAATTTAGAAGTCAGATGATGACAACATTTGACAAACACACAAGAAATACATCTTTTGCAATACAAAATTTTCAACTTTACTACAATCTTTCTTTTACTTCCTCCGCGAGCGCACGCACGCGCATCACTTCGTCATCGTCGTCACCAACCGCGCTGTCACTACCGCTACTATTATTACTACTACTACTCTTACTGCTATTATCAATCACTTCCTTCAAGTACACCTCCAAAGCGCACGAAAGTTTCGCCGGGGTTGTGCTCACCACCTCCACCTCTTCGTTCTCTTCCATTTCCTTCAAATCCTCCTCGTCCGGAGGCGTCAACGCGTCGGTTAAAAGCTGAGACCGCTCCGGTCCAGGTTCATACTCCAACAAAAACTCTATAATTCTCCTTTCCGGAGGCACCGCGGTCGTAAAGAGCGTTTTAGCTTCTTCGGTGTTTAATTTTGCGCGTCCGATGAGTTCAGTCGCGCTCGATTTCGCCCGCTCTCGATTCATCATTTTCTGCGAGAGCGCATTCTCTGTTCCAGTTTCTTCCATCGCTTTCGTCAACGCCGCCCAGCGTTGTTTAACTTGTGTTTCAATCGAATACGTTTCCAACGTATTATCGTCTTTGCTACTCTCGCCGCCGCTTCCATCCTCCAACTGTTTCTTCAGCGTCGCTTCGTGCGCTGCTATCGAATCCCGCAAAGTCTCCGGGAACCCAACCTCGCTGGCGCGTTCAAACGTCGCTCTCGACTCGACCACCACCAGAGCACTCTGCGCTAACTCGTCCAACTCCTCCGCTTCTTTTTTATCCCCGTTCGCCATTTTCTCTTCTATCCTCGTCAACAGTCGGTCGAAAAACAGCGTCGTCAACTTCATCAAGTTCTCGTCCACGCACTTTTCAAATTCATTCGAACTCGTCGTGTCTCCTCCTCCTCCATTTCCTCCTCTTCTTTCCTCAATTGTTGTTGTTTTTGTTGTTCCCTTTTTCTTCTTCTTCGAGAGGAGTAAATCGATCAGCGCTTCATCGTCTTCTTCTTCTTCATCAGCTCTGACGATGTCATTTGAAGCCGTCGCCGCCAGCCCGATGAAATTTTGCAAAGAAGAAGAAGAAGAAGAAGAAGAACTCCTCCTCCTCGCGCGAAAAGGACGAGCAGAAGAACATCTGGGGAATCGATACGAGTCGGGAGCAGCAGCGGCGACAACAAAACCTCCTCCTTTTCCTCCTCTTTGTCTTCTCGAAGCGTTCTGAGTTGGAACAACAAACACACTTTGTTGCGGTGGAAAATGCACGAACATGTTTTGGTCAATTAATGAAGCAAATTCCCCCACAAAACGCTCTCAATACGCTCTGTAAACGCATCACAAACGAGCGCATTTAGCGCATCAAAAGAAAGCTTCGAATAATGACGCTAAAAAACGACCCTCTGGAACTCGCCATCGCGAAATCTCTCGCCGAAATTTTCTCCAAGAAAGATTTAAACTTAGATTTACTCACCATCGCATCCATCGTCGAGGAATTGGAATCGAAACTGTCCAACGGGGAAGGACGGGATGGATTGATTAAACAAACGAAGAAAAAATTCATCAGGGCGATGGTGCAAGCGCACTTGGACGAGAGCCACTTCGGACACGCGAAAGCGAAACGTGGAGAACCGTGGACGAGCACGGAAATGATCCTCAAGAGGGAGGAGGAAGAGAAAGAGAAAGAATTAAAAGAAGCAGATTCGGAGGAGGAAGAGGAAGAGTCCGAAGAGGATGAAGAAGACGTTTCGGACGCGGAGAGAGGTACGCATTACCACAGCGCGAAACGAACGACGAGGGGCGATACGAACCCTTCGAAGAAGAAACAACAAAAGAGGACGGGATCGGGTGGTAAATCTACGACGTCTTCGACAAAGGAAATGAAAGATCCGAACAAACCGAAAGGTCCGCAAGGCCCGTACATGTGCTTCGTGTCGCACAACCGCGAGAAAATCGTGAAAGAGTTTCCGGGGATTTCGTTCGGCGAATGCGGGAAGAAGTTGGGGCAAAGGTGGCAAAATTTAAGCGAGAAAGGGAAGGAGATGTACAACGAAATGGCGGAGAAAGATAAGAAGCGATACGAAAAGGAGATGGAGAAGTACGTGCCGATGAGCGATACGGAATTGAACAAGTTGAAGGCGAAAGCCGAGAAGGAGAAAAAAGAGAGGAGCGAAAACAGCGGGTTTAAGAAACCGTACAAGTGTTCGGAAAAGTTGAAAACTTTTTTAAACGGGCAAGAGACCATAACTCGCGCGCAGTTGACGAGCCAGATGTGGGCATACTTTAAGGAGAAGAATTTGAAGGATCCAGAGAAGAAACAGTTCGTGATTAGCGACGACAAGTTGTTCAAACTCATCGGCGAGCGGCGGTTCAAAGCGTTCGGGTTCATGAAGTATTTGTCCAAAGATTTGATTCCGATGTAGAAGAGAGAGAGAATGAGCGAGAGAAAGAGAGAGAGAGAGATGTCATCAGTAGCACCTCAGAATCGTGATGTATATACATGAAACTACACATTCACAATCGACATCTTTTTTTTTAGTACATCCGAGACGAAACCTCGTTGTTTTACAAAAAAAAATACGAGAGGAAGGATTTTCTCACATTTTTCTCGTCACATCTTCTTCTCTCTCTCTTCTAAGAGAACGACGAGCGCGAGAGAGATACGATCATCGTCTCAGACTCGTCGTTCGTTCGTTCTTTCCCGCGTTGTGGTGTTTTGCGAGCATTCTCTCGTCGTCGTCGTCGTCGAGAACGAGCAGCGCGAAGAACAAACTGTTTGCGTTGTTTTTGAAGAAAAAGGCGAGAGCGTAAAAATGTTTCGAAGCCAAAGCACGCCGCTGACGGGGACCTCGGCATCCTCCTCGGGGGTCTTGCTCTCTCCGCGGTACGATTGCAAATCCCCGCGATCTTTATACCACGCGAGAACGCAGAAAAAGAAGAAATCGCCGCTCTCGACGACGTGCTTCATTTTGTGCGTTTTCGTGTTTTGTTTGGTGGTGGTTTTGCACCGGATGGAGGTGATTTTTGGCCGCCATCCGCGCGCGAGGGGGATGTCCGCGTTTTCGTTGCTCGCAAGTGGTGGTGAGAGAGGAGATGAGGAGATTGAGAAGGCATCAGTATCGTCGTTTCCGTCCATCTCCTCGGAATCTTTTTACTGGGCGTTGGTGACCGCGGACGATATACGCGTCGCGTTTTTTAATCCCGTGTTGAAAGTTATCGTTGGATTTACGGCGTTCTTATCCGCTTTAGTCGCGGCAGATCGGGCGTTTCATTTATACGTCGCGTTTTATTGGAAGTATTTGTCGAGAAAAGACTATTTGGACAGATTTAAGCGGCCGAGCGGGAAACGAGTGCCGTCGTATTCGATGGAGGAAATGCAACAAAGTTCACATTCGTCGTTTTTGCCGCCGGGCGCGGAGTATTATTCAACCATCCCAAACGTCGTCGTCCAACTCCCAATGTTTAACGAAACCGCCTGTTGCGAAGATATCATCAACGCCGCGTGTCGCATGAAATGGCCAAGAGAGCACTTCATGGTGCAAGTTTTAGACGACTCCACGGAGTTGGAGGCTCGAGAGATTGCGCAAAGCGCGGTGCATCGATGGATGAGTCGAGGCGTCAACATCCAATACGTGTGCCGAGAAAACAGGAAAGGTTATAAAGCTGGTTCGATGTTAGACGCCATGGATTTGATTGAAAACTACGATTACGTCGCTGTTTTTGATGCGGACTTTGATCCTGATAGCGATTTTCTGTTCAATACCGTCCCTTGGTTGATGGAAAACGAAGACGTCGGTTTCGTTCAGACGCGATGGACGTTTACGAACGCGAAAGAAACCGTTTTGACCAGAGTCCAAGAAATTTCCTTGTCGTACCACATGCTTTGCGAACAGTACGCGCGATGCTCCGCCGGATTATTCTTCAACTTTAACGGCACGGCTGGCGTTTGGAGGAGAAAATGTATCGTCGACGCCGGCGGTTGGAACTTTCGCACGACCGTGGAGGATATGGATTTGAGTTTACGCGCGTATTTAAGAGGGTGGAAGTTTATTTTCTTGAACGATATCACGTGCGATAACGAGATTCCGGCTGAATACGACGCCTATCGAAAGCAACAACACCGCTGGAGCTGCGGCCCGATGCAACTGTGGAGGAAAGCGACAAAAACGATTTTAGAGTCCAACGGCGTCTCGTTGGCAAAAAAAGTCTATTTGATCGTGTTTTTCTTTGGTGCGAGAATGTTTGCAGCGCACATCGTCAGTTTCTTCCTGTACTGTCTTCTTGTGCCTTTGTGCGCGATAAGCCCGGAAATACCAATCCCATTTTGGGCGTTAGTTTACACTCCAGTTCTCGTGACGATGAGTACTGTCGTGTTCACCAAAGAAGGTTGGAAAACATCAGTCGCGTTTGTTCTGTTTGAAAACGCGATGTGTGTCGTGAAACTGTCAGCCATGATATCCGGCTTGTTCGAGTTGTCCGACGCGCACGAATGGGTGGTTACGAAAAAATTGGGCAACATGTTCTCGTCGTCGTCGTCGACGTCGACGACGCCTAAAGCGCGCAGAAAAATCTATTTCAAAGAGCTCTCGATGGGATCTTTCTTCCTTTTTTGCGGCGTCTACGGAATACTCCAACACCAGCTCGTCCATTACTCTTTGTTTCTCATCGCGCAGTCTCTCGTCTTCTTCGCGTTTGGATTCAATAGAGTGACGTTTTGAATAATAATAATAATAATATTAGTAGTACTCTTCTTCTTCTTCTTCTTCTTCTTCTTCTTCTTCCGATTACATATGTACAAAGCTATTATTAATAAGAGAGAGCAAGCACACGGATTTGTGGAGAAACAAGAAACTGTCTCGATCGATGCGCTTTTGAACGTATTATGGTAAAAAGCGCATCATCTCGCGCGAACCCGAAGAAAGCTGACGTGTCACAGGGGAAAAACCTCTGTCTTACAAAACCTGCACCTTCCTCACGTTCGCGCTGTCTTGCCTCTCCAACTCCGCGCTTTTTCTCGGTGGTTGAACGGGAGTTTTTGTCGTTTGTTTTTCTTCCTCTGTTTTCTTCTGCACGGGTACTTTCTCTCTCGCCTCGTCCATGCTCAGGCGATCTTTCTTGTGAGAGATCAGTAACCCGATGTCGTTTTTGGAGTCTTTGGTAGGGAAATCGTGCATCGCTCGTAAATATCCCGGCATCACAGTCTCGGAAGAGTTGTTGTCGTCGTTGTCGTCGTGGGATTTGCGTCTCAAAAAGTCTAAGGAAATTCTGCCCATGGTGTGTTACTTGTTCTATTATGTAGCGGTATTATAAGCTGTTCGTATTATTAGAGTATACGCGTGCGTAGGTGTTTTGTACAGCTGTGTGATATTATTAGAGTATGAAGAAAATGCTGACTCACACTCCTCGAAAGAAAAACGAGAGAAACTCTCAAAGAGGACAAAAAACACAAAACTCGAAATTTTCTCTCATCGTCATTTTGCGAAAAAATGAGTCTGCGAAAAATTTTGCAGTCAAGTGTTTTGACCACCAAAAGCCCAAAAAAGAGGAGAAAAAAAACTCTCTTGTAATACTCTTTTTTTGAAGTTTTCTTTCCTTTCCTCACTTTTCATCATCCATCGCTTTGTTTTCTTTCTTTCTTTCTTTCTCTGCGGCCACGAAACCAGAATTCTTTCTTCTTTTCGCGCGCAAAAACAGAAAGAGAGAGATTGAGAGAGATTGAGAGAGGCGTTTGAAAAAGCGTTCTTCGATTCGTTTTATTTATACGAGTGTATAAAGGGAAGAAGACGTTGGAAATTTTTCTTTAACGACTCTCCTCATTTTTAACGGATAGATATGATGATGATGATGACTTCGAGCAGCGGCGGCGTGGTGGTGGTGTCGAAAACTGCGCATCTGCAGCAGCAGCGCAGACGAGCGATACTCACCACCACCAGTACCACCACCTTTAAACGCGTCGTCGCGCCGTCCTCGTTCGCGGCTTCTTCTGCTTCTTGTTTTTTGTCGTCGGCGAGTAGAAAGGCGGCCAGAAAAAGTGCCTTCGTGCTCGGGCAAAATAAGCAGAATAATACGACTACGAGGAGGAGTAAAAGTAGGAGCAGTATCCTCGTGGTGAGGTCCTCGTCTGGAGGCAAGAATAGCGGCGGCAACAAGAATATCGTCATGTCGTCTTCGAGTACGTCGTCGGAAGGAGGATCGTGGGTGACGCGACTGAAATCGATCGAACTTTCCAAAAACGCCGGTCGCTTCCTTCTCGGTTTAGTCGCGTTGTCCTACGGCGGTTTGTGCGTGTCGTTGAAAATGGTCTTCGTGAGAGCCGGTCCACCGTCGGTTGGGACGTTAGGTATGATTAGAGGGTTTATGGTTCTGTTGTGTTTCGTGCCTCAGTTGTTAGATTCTTTCAAGAAGAACAAAAGCGGCGAGGTGAAACTGAACAACGAGTTTTGGTCGGCGGCGTTGGAGTTGGCGACGTGGAATTTTCTCGCGCAAGGGTGCTGCAACGTCGCTTTGTTGTTCACAGAAGCCACGAGAGTGTCGTTTTTAACGCAAGCGTCAATTGCGTTTACACCGTTTATTGAAACGTTCTTCGGGGAGACGGTGAAGAAGTTGGTTTGGGCAGGGTGCCTCGTCGCGTTAGTCGGGGTGGTGACGTTAGGAATGGATCCGGGGGGAGGGCAGTCTGTGGAGTTGGTCGGTTCGGTGATTCCGAAAGGATTAAATGCGGTGAATATCGGCGATTTGATCGCTTTAGGTGGAGCGTTGACGTACTCTCTGTACGTGTTTCGCATCGGCGCGTTCACGAAACTTGGGTTGGACGGGTCTCAGTTGCAGGCGTGGAAATCCTTCTTTCTGGCGTTTATGTATTCCGCGTGGGGGTTCACCGATTTCGCATTACACAGAGTAGGAATGACGACGACGACGCCGTTTGCCGGGTGGAAGGACCCCATCATTTGGTTGTTGATTGCATTTTCGGCGATCGTCGGTGGTTACTTGGCGGATGTCGTGCAAGCGAAAGGACAAGAATCGGTTTCGGCTTCGGAGACGCAAGTGATTTTATCCGGCGAACCGTTGTTCGCAGCATTGTTGGGAGGGGTATTTTTAGGCGAAGTGCTCGGACCGTTGGGATATCTCGGCGGCGGTTTGCTCTTATCTGGAGGGTTGATGTGCTCCTTAGCCGAAGGTTCTGGAACGAACGGAGCGGAGAAGAAAGAAGATTAAGGTATAAGACGTCGGGTAATTCGTTCGGTAAAAAATAAATCTAATATTTTGATCCCAGTCACGTTGTGTCACATCGCATCCAGTGTTCTAGGGACGTGTTTGCGAGCGCAATATATTCCAATGCGTCAAAGAAGCCCCTTTCGATGATGATGCCATGTGTGATGTAAGACTCAAAAGCGCTTTTTAGAATGCCGTCCGTCGTTCGGGGAAACGTCTCATGCGGAAGATATTGTTTATTTTATCTGTTTTAGGGTCGCATTGTTGTTCGCCTACTGCCCAGCCTAACTCACCATTTTCGCTGGAGCCCCACCCGTAGAACCATCCAGTTTTCTCCGCGACTGCTCCGAGATGGTATCTCCCGCTGTGAATCTCCGCCATTCTCACGACGCGTCTCTCGCCCGTTTCCTCATCCGTGTACGTCGGCATAATCACCGGCTTTGCGACAAAATTAATCAAACTAGGCGTATTCATGAGCTGGTCTTCCCAATGTTCAATGTGATGATGAGGCGGTATCGGCCGGCCGCACGCACCCTTTATATTTTTTCCAACCGTCCAAACGATACCAGAGCGGTCCAAAATCACCGTGTGCATTTGGCCGCCAGAGATATCTTCCGCCAAGATGCTGTAAACTACCTCGTCGTCGATGTCGTTAATTTCTGAATCTAAATCTTCATCCCTCGGAACAACATCGGCCTCCACTTCGATGAGGTATTCTAATTCTTCCGACAACTCTAGGTTGTTTACGCCATATTCGTCGGGATCGCCTTTTTCGTCTATTTCCAAACGTTCATGTTCGCTCCAACCCGTCGTGATATCTTTTATAACTGTTCCGAGTCCATTCTCGCGAAACCATTCTCTTTCACACGCGAGGATTTTCCCTTGATCGTTTCGAGGTGGATTGTCGCACCAGGTCAGAGCAATTCTCCGCGGGTACCACTGGTCTTTCCTTAATTGCGAGAACACGTGCACCGGAAAAGTTGCACCGCAGGCGAAGTGTTGGTTCGATCCGAACGCAAAAACCAAGCCACACGTGGATAGAGCTACGCTATGGTCGCCGCAACACACCGCTTTTTTTATCTTCATCTCTTCTGTTTCAACTACCCCTACCCCACCCCACCCCATCCTTACGGGAACTCTCGGAAAAGTGGTTATTTTCCTCGGCTGGTATTGCATGAAGTTATTTCCAATACCTAATTGACCGCGATCGTTTTTACCAAAACCAAAAACCAAACCATCCACGGTGGTCACCATGGACGTGTGTTTCTTCGCAGAAACGAAACGACACCGTCTAGAAATATAATCCGGACTGTCTGGATGCGCGGAAGTGCCTTTACTGCTATCGTTCTTCTCGCCTTCCTCTCTGATAAAACCTAACAACCTCGGCGTCCGATACTCGAACGTCGTCCTTTTCAAAATTTTCGTCCGTCTCGTCGGTTTCGTATCGTTACCGTCCACCATCATATCGTCGTTTCCTCTCTCGCTAAAATCGTCAACTTCTATTTCGGTGACTGTATTCGCGAACCCCAGCTCCCCATGCTTATTCTTTCCAAACGTATACACCTCTCCGCTTTCCATCAACATCACCGCGTGATTGGTCCCAATCGCGACCCACAAAACTTTTCTCGCCTGCTTGGCGCACCAATGAAAGTCAGGCGCAATCAATTTCCCGTGTTTCTCGTGCAAGCTTCGAATCCTCTTTGATTGCAACGCGGACGACTGGAACCGCTTGAAATATAAAAGCCGGTCCTCGCCGATAAAAACCTCATTCGCTCGAGCTTTCATCTTCGTCGAGCCGATCCAAAATTCGTCGCATAAGTATTCCGTCCCCCAAATCTCGGTTCTCCCGTCTCTGTGCGTACACGTCGTTGTCATCCAATTCATCCGATACTTTTTGTCCTGAATTGCTCTCCGTTGTTGCTTCAAATCTGCGCAATCGTCATCTCGCTCTAACAACAACCCTTTCTTTCGTAACTGCGCGCGTCGTTTCTCTCGCTCTCGCTCCTCCGCGAGCTTCCCGTCCAAAAATCGCAACGCGTCCAACCACGTCTCTTTGTCTTTCCCAAAGACTTCTGCTTCCTTCCCGTCCTCGTCGTCGTCGCCTTTGTTGTCTTTGGGATCACGATTCAAGGGCGGCAAAGTTCGTTTGTCTGCTACTTCGATGTACCTATCGACGAAATAACACTCATACCGAGCCAAGTTCCCTTTTCCTTCGCTCGGTTTAACATACACTTGGTCGTCGTTTCGCTTATAATTCAGCTCACTTTCCGGCCACGCTTTTAGGACCCGATTTTTGGCCGCTTCCATCGCCAACTGTTTACTGTTTTCCTTCTTGGAAACGCACGCGAATCTTGCCAAATCCACCGCCGTTAATACAGGAGACTCGAGAATGACAACCAACGTTTCTCTCGGAAGGTCAAACATGTGGACCGTTTTGCTCGCCCGTTGCCGTCTCGTCGTCGCTGGCATGGTGTCTGATTCTTCTTTTTCTTTTTTTTCTTAGCTTTCTTCTTCTTCCCTCTCAAACGCGTGAAACGCTCTTCTTCTTCGTAAATCTAATGAAGATATTAATGAGATGTGTGATGGAAAAATCGTGAGAAATCAGAGATACAATGGAGCGCGCAAAAGCAGACGACGACGATGGTAATCGCGCCTTTGGCGACGGCGGCGGTGAGGAGGAGGAGGCGCTTTTAAAAAAAGAAATCACAAAACTGACCAAAAAAGCGCAAACGTTGACGGTGATTAACACCGCGTTGCAGCAAGAGAACGATAATACTGATGATTACGGCGAATCAAAACGCGGATATACTCACAGAGAAGAAGAAGAGGCGGTAGAAGAAATAGAGTTAGAGGAGGACTTGGAAAAGCTCAGGGCGGAGAATTTGAAGCTTTTGGTAGGAGGAGAAGATGGCAAAGAGTATTTGAACGAGGAAGAAGAGGAACGCGTGAAAGCTCTGAAATCGAGAATGCATCAACTGCAAGCGAGCTTGCAAACGAACGAGTTGAAACTCGCGGAGGAGATGAACGAACGCGAACGACTGGAGAGAGTGAGACAAAGACAAGATGGAGAGATTGAAAACTTGAAAGTTTCTGCGCGGGAACGGCAGGAAGAGTTGAGACGCGCGAGGCAGTTCAGCGAGCAGTTACGGGTGGAGTTTCAAAGGAAGGAACACGCGATGAAGAAGCGCTTCGAAGAGGAGCTGAGCAAGAATCCAACTTCGTCGGAAGGAGGTGGAGATCAGAACAGCGAGATGGACATTTTGAGGAGAGAATTGAAGCAAGAGAAAGAGAGAGGAAAAGATTTGGAGACGAGAATAAAAGAATTGGAGGAATCCATGAACGCGATGGAGAGTCGGCACGGGAAGGAACAGGACCAGTTGAGACGAGAGACGAGGATGGCGGAGAGTCGAGCGAGGCAATGCGAGGAAGAGTTGACGACGGCAGAAGCAATGAGAGCTGAATCAATTGCGCCACTGATTAAGCAGATGGAAATTGTCAACGAGGAGAAGACGAGAGAGTCGGAGAGAAGAGACGAAGAGGAGCATCGATTGAAAGAGTCTCGCGCGGAAGCGGAGAGGAAAAGGAAGGAGATGGAAGACGAAGTTGCGAAAACAAGAAGAAGTTTACTCGAGGAGAAGAAAAAATACGAGATGCTTTTTAATTCGCTGAAATTGAAAGTCGACGAGGTGGACGCGTTAGATACGAAGAGGAGAGAAGCGTTGGAGGTTGTCAAAGAGACGCAAACGTTAATGCACGAAATGCGAGAGAGGGAGGGAGATTTAAGAAATCAGTGCGCGTCGATGGAGAAGCAGTTGCAACGCGCAAGGATTCAAGAGTCGGAATTGAGAGAAAGGGAGAAAGTTATAAAAGCGCAGCTGGTGGATACGAGGAACGAGTTAGAAGCGAGCGTGAAATTTGGTGGTGGTGGTGTTCAGAGTTATAACAGTATGGAAGGAATGCGAAGAGAACGAGAAGAAGAGGAAGAAGAATACGTTGCGGAAGATGGTTTCGAATTCGGCACAGAATCCGACACGAACCAAACCGCCAACGTCGTCATTCAAGCGCTCAAACACAAACTCAAAGAAGCATCTAATAGGCTCATCAGAGCGGACATAAAAAGAAAAGAATCGGAAAAATCCGCCAGCGAAATGCACTATAAAACCATCGATATCGAACGCGAGCTCGAAAAGCAAAAAAAAGAACACGCGACGTTAGTCGAGTTGCTCGGTGAGAAAATAGAGAGGTTAGAGTTTTTAGAGAATAGCAAATGATATTGCATGTAAAACATGCGATCTGTGTACGGTATATAATTAATACGTCTTTCTTGAAATCGTCGTTCGTTAAACTTTTCGTAAATTTGTAATCTTAAGACTTTTTGAACATTCCGAGCATTCTTTGAGTCACCGCGAAACCACCGGCAACGTTCACAAAGGCCAAGGAAATAGCTACCGCGTTCAACGCGATCGCGCCGACGCCTCTTTTAACCGCCATGCTTCCCAAAGTGTCCATATCATCTTTGATGTCTTTGGTGGCGTAGTCTTCGAGCGCCAGCAAACCGCCGATGACGACGATGCCAGAAATCGCGTTCGAAACGGACATCAGCGGAGTGTGCAAGGAGCTCGCGACGTTGCCGATTAACAAAAAGCCAACCCAGGCGGCCAGGATGAACAATAAAAGGTACGTGAAGAAGCTCGGCGGACAGAATACACCGACGACGACGAGGAAACCGGTGACGAATAAAAGCACGAGGACTTCGCTCAAGCTCACGATACCGCCAAACAGCATCGTTTTTTCCTTTTTAATGGAAAGATCACCGGCGGCACCGGCAGTTTTCTTGGCATCCATTCTCGGCGGTGGTGGTCCAGTACCTTTTGGCGGCGGCCAGGTTAAACCTTGACCGATTTTGGCAACCGTCACCGCGCGAACGATGATATCGTCAAAGTCCACTTGAAATTTACCTTCCTCCGGTTTCTTTGGGTTTCCGCACATGTGCAAGATTAAGTGCAACATGTTCGTGGCGTACATTTGTGAAGCGATTTGCGCAGCTCCGGAAACCAAATCCGTGTTACCAATCATGGTTACTTTATCTTCGTACACGTACGTTTGGTTCGATTTCGTGCACTCGCAGTTACCGCCGGTCAACGCGGCTAAATCGACAATCACAGATCCAGCCTTCATGGCGTCGACGTGGTACTTCTTCAACAGAATCGGCGCTTTGCGTCCTGGAATTGCCGCGGTTGTGATGACAATGTCGCATTCTTTGCACTGTTCGTGGAACAATTCCATTTCTTTCTCGATAAATTCGGGAGACATGGTCTTCGCGTAGCCACCTTCGCCGGTACCGTCCTCTTCGAAGTGCATCTCGAGAAACTTACCGCCCATAGACTCGACTTGATCGCGCGTTTCTAACCTCGTATCGAACGCTCGAACGTCCGCCCCTAACGAGTGCGCCGCACCAACCGCTTCGAGACCGGCAACACCAGCACCAATGACGAGAACTTTCGCCGGCGGATACTTCCCGGCAGCCGTGATTTGCGGAGCCAGGAATGATTGGAACTTATGCACCGCTTCGATGACTGCCCTGTAGCCGGCAATTTTACCGACCGAGGACAAAACGTCCATCTTTTGTGCCGTCGTGATTCTCGGGACAGAATCGATGGAAATTAAGTTACACCCTGAACTCCCAGCTTTCTGGACGAGAGCTTCGGATTCCGGAAAATTCGGCGATACCCAACCGACGATTGTTTTCCCTTTCATCGAAGTCAACTCCTCGTCCGTCGGTTTACCGATTTTCAACAACGCGTCGACTTTCGAGTAAACCTCCGCTTTCGATGAGACAACAGCGACGCCGCACTTTTTATACTCAGCGTCTAAATACCCAGACGCTAAACCGCAATTTGACTCGACGATGCAGTGGATGTTGTGTTTTTCGAGAAGCGTTCGAGCGACTGCCGGCGTCATCGCGCACCGTTTCTCCCCAGGTTTCGTTTCGGAAACGACGCCCAAAGTCACCAACGGTTTCGTACCCGCAAATGGTTTCGGAACCTGCGTGTAATCCGCCGCTTCTTGTTTTTTCTTCGTCGTGATGTTCACGGCGACGTCACCTTTTTGTAAATCGCCTCCGTAATTCGCGCGAATCTCTTCGACTAAACCATCGATGGTACCTTTCGCGTCGCCTAATAACATCGCGTTGTTCGGGTACACAAAGAGCGGATTTTCGACGCCGGCGTAGCCAGAGGCTAAGGATCGTTTTAAAACGATCGACTGCTTCGCTTTCCAGACTTCAAGCACGGGCATTCCGGCAATGGCAGAGGTGGGATCGGTTTGTGCTGCTGGATTGACCGTATCGTTTGCGCCGATGACGATGGATACATCCGTGTCTGGGAAATCGTCGTTGATTTCATCCATCGCCAACACGATATCGTACGGAATAGACGCTTCGGCCAACAAAACGTTCATATGGCCAGGCAAGCGCCCAGCGACCGGGTGAATGCCAAAACGCACTTGTTTCCCGAACGATCTCAACAATTTCGTCAACTCGCACACGGAGTGTTGCGCTCGCGAGACGGCCATGCCGTACCCGGGAACGATAATCACAGACTTGGCGTCCATGAGCGTTTTGACGGTATCGTCTTTGGTGAAGATAGTCGGTTCACGATCATCTACCGGCGCGTTTGGATCTTTTTTTGCGCTTCCACCGGTGTCACCGAACCCACCGGCTAATACGGAAACCAACGATCGGTTCATCGCTTCCGCCATGACGAAGGACAAAATGATCCCAGACGCGCCGACGAAAGCGCCGCCGATAATCATCAATTCGTTATCCAACATGAAACCGGCGAAAACGCCGGCCCATCCGGATCCAGAGTTCAACACAGATATGACCACTGGCATATCTGCGCCGCCAATTGCCATGGTAAACAAATACCCGTACACAGCAGAGAGGCCAGTCATGACGTATAAGCAAATCAAACCGCCGGAGCCGGAAGTCGCGTCAAAACCACCCATAGCCGCGATCACGCCAGTCGCCACGATACCGCCCAACAAGCAGGGCAACCAAACGACTCTCCCCGGTGGAATCATCGGTTTCGTGGAGATCTTCCCAGCCAACTTCAAACAGGCGACGATGGAACCGATGAACGTCACCACGCCGACGACGATGCCAAAGAGGTAAAAAATCGACCTCAACACCTCCTTATTCGAGGACAAATCGTTCGCTTCTTGAAGCATCTTCTCGTGTTGATCGTAATACAACGCCAATCCGAGCAACGCGGACGCTAAACCACCAAACCCGTTGAACAATCCAACCATCACCGGCATCCCGGTCATCTGCACGCGAAAGCTCATGAAAACCGAAACCAAACCCGGCGGTAACGCCACCGCGAAGAATAACCAATACCCTCGAGAATACACAAAGGTGGAGGCTAAAATCCCCGCGAACGCGACGAGAAAACCGAGCATGCCGTAAATGTTACCCATGCGCGAAGTTTCCGTTTTCGATAATCCTATAAAAAGTAAAGTGCTTTTGTGTGAGTAAAAAATCCAAGACACCAATTCAATTCCAACAACCAGAGAACAACAAGAGAACAACACACGAAGCCATCATCCAAGAAGGAACGCAGCAGGAACGCGCGCGCAAAAGCACTCGCCGAGAAAGAAAGAGACAGACAGAAGACTCCCTCAAATCTCCACTTTCTGTCACTCTCTGTCTGTCTCGCGCGCGATGACGAGGAGGAAGAAGAATTAGAAGAAGAAAAAAATATCTCCGATAAAAAAAGGCGGATTTGAACGGAAAAGAAATGTGACTCATCATCATCATCTTCTCATAATTCTCTCACCTTTCAACGCGAGCGTGAAGAGTACTATCGACCCGGTGTATATCACCGACAAGTAGTCGTTCGAGGAATTTTGCGACATAATTAATGGATGTTGTTGTTGTTGTTGTTGTTTCGTGTACAAAATCAAGCTCTTCTCGTTGTTATTATGACGCGTTAACGTGTAATGTTTGTAAAGAGAAAGAGCACCCTAATTTGTTCTCGAGAGTTGATTGAAAAATATCTTCGCGATAACGCCAAACTTTGAAGATACAAAAAAAAACATGCCGCATGTCGTTTGAATCACCCCACTCACCACCGACGACGACGACTCGAGGAGGAAACGGAGGAAACGGAGAACGGTCTGACGAACAACCGTATTATTATTACTCTTCATCACCGAACGAGAATAATAACAACCGAGGAGGAGGAGGAGGAGGAGGCGCGATGGAAGAACGAGGGGACCACAGACGACGTCTTTCGAGGTCGTCCACCTCTCCGCATTGGAACTATTACACGAACCAATATTTTCACGAGGAGAGGAACTTGGAGAACTGGGACCACACGATCGAGGAAGAGGAGGAAGAGATGGACGAGGGAGGAGAGGAGGAGAGAGGGAGAGGGAGACGAGGAGGGTACGTGAATCAGAGATATTTACGGGAGCAATATCTCGCGCAGCAGAGAAGACAAAACGAGTATCACAGGCGGGTGCGACAGGACCAGTTTGAAAGGAGTCGTGTTTTCTCCGATTTTCATGCGGAAGAAGAGGATACTAATGAAACGAAGAGAAGGGAAGCGCGGGAGGCGTTTCGAGACTTACCGGAGGAATACAACGAGAACAAAACAGGTGCCGTCGCGGTGCTTTCGAGAAACGCGAGAGTGATTCCCGTCGACGTGAGAGGTATTATAGAGACGATGGGGAAACCGTGCGGGAAGTACATTTTGGATTGCGATATGCCCGGCGTCAGCATCGAGAACATTGTCTTTAAGACCCTAGAGTGCACGAATCGCCCTGGCGTAGCTTTTTTCATCGAGGTTGTCTCGAGCACGAGAGAGGAAAACGAAAATGGAGAAAGAGAAAAAAAGGAAGAAGAAGTCAAGGAGAAAGAGAACATCGTGCGGAAAATGCTGAGGATATCGAAGAAGAAGGATCCAAACGTCCTCGAACCTCAGAGAAAAGAAGACGTATTTCCGAAAGTAAAATCATATCGGATGGAGCGCGGTACACATCGCAAATACGTGCAAAGGAAGTTTTACATTCCCAAAAGTTACGCGTTGAGCTCGGCGAAATACAAAGACGGCGTCGCGACGTTTGAGTTTACTCTTTGCGAAGAAGGACAACAGATTACGCATCGACAAACGTTCGAGGATGCTTGAAAGAGAGGTCGAAAATAGAAAGTGAGAGAGAGAGAGAGATAACAGACACTCGTGTAGTAAACAGATTCATGTACACATATAAATAAACAACACACATCAAAATAGTAAATAATAATTTTATAAAGTTTGACTTCTAAACATATCAATCCGCTTTATCCGGCGTACTCGCGACGTAGCAGTTGAACACGGTCGGTTTTGGGTGCGCCGCGTCGTACGGTTCTAAGAACATATCCTCGTGATACATCGAGTAATACGCCCGCTCGTAAATCGCGTGTTTATATGAGCTCTGGCACAACTTGATGATGTACCCGTCAATCATATCCGCTCCGTGTCTGGCCAAATACGCTTGCGCCTTTTTAGCAAAGTTTGACGAGACGACGTAGGCTTCTAATCCAGCACCAGCGCCGGCGGATTTATACTTATGAATGTTAATAGTTTGCTTTTCGCTCGAATCGTTCGGGTTGGTCGCGATAAACGTCGTCGCCAACGGCCCCGGCGGTTTTTCCCCGACGTGCTGCGCTCGGATGAGCAAAATGTCCGTATCCACCGGCGCGTGTTCCGCTACTTGTTCGCTCGCCCAAAATGGTATCGCCTCCATGATTCTCGGCGCGTCAGATTCGAAAATTAAAGCCTTCTTTTCGCCTCGGTCGAGCATCAATTGCCACTGGTACAAGTGCGCGAACAAACACCCGATGTGATGCGCTCTCCCGACTTCTTCCTCGGTCAACTTCCCGTCGCTTTCTCTGTGATCGATCGCCATCAACCACGGATGCTCTCGAAAGTTGTCAAACTGATCGATCCAGTTAACCCCGGGCGAAATATCATCCTCCTTTCCGTAGGACAAACCCGAGGGAACGAACGGTTCTTGGCGAACTTTTAAGAAATCCACGAGCGCCGGATCGCTTTTGTGCGTTTGCATGTAACTTCTCAGTCCTTTGACCGCGTATTGCGCATCTTCAATTCTGTTCGGCCATTGCAAAGGATCGATCCCATGCGTCGGCTCTGCGGTTGGAAACACCGTTCGAATTGCCTCGTACTTCTCAAACTCCTCCGGTCGGTCTTCCAACGCAATCACGTAGATGGGAACTTTCGATTTCGACGAGCCGAGCGCGGAGATCAAGTTACTCTTACTCGAGCTGGAAGAAGAAGAAGAAGAAGAAGCACTTTCGCTGCTGCTCCGCCTTCGTCGCTGTTCGACTTTCTCGTGTTCGTACGCTTCCACAAACTTCTTCGCGAACGATGTCGTCGCGGCTCTTTTGTTGTTATTGATTTTGTTGTTGTTGTTGTTCCTCTTCACATCGACGGATTTTGACGACTTTTCTCCCAGTTTCGACTCTCTCTCGATGCCATAATCAGTGGCTCGTCGCTGCTCGTGACTCCTACTACTACTACTACTAAAACTACTACTCGTCAGTCGTCCATCATTTTCCGCCTTCAGAGGGAGGAGGATGTTCGCGTTGTTCGACGCAGCGATGGCGGACCGAGCGCCTTGCAAATAGCAAAACGGGGCCAACGCTAAGGTGGCGCACGCCGTGGCCGCAACGATGGCGACTTTACCCCCAAACAGGGTAGATTTATTGTTGTTCTCATTATTACCACCGGTAAGGCGTTCTTTGTCTCTGTTGTCCGCCGTCGTCGTCGTCGCGCCAAAGGAGGTCATGATGATGATTTTCGCTCGTATTCTTCCCGCGGCTTGTTGTGAAGCGACGAATTCTCGAGAAGGAAAAAACAAGTTGGAGTTTAGGGTTTGTTGTTATAAACCCTAAATCTTGTGCTTCTGTTACATTTTCTTTCTACAGAAGAGTTCACAAAAAAAAAGCTGCTTTTCGCTTCTTTATCCGAAGAAGGATGATGATGATGACGTTTTCTCCTCCTCTCTCTCCTCCTTTGCGCGCGCGCGGTGGTGTTGGTGTAAATTGCAAAAAGAATAACAACAACAACGCGAAGAAGAAGAAGAAGAAGAAGAAGAATTTTTGTCGTCGTTTTGCCACCGCCAGTAGTAACGCTTCTTCTTCTTCTTCTTCTTCTTCTTCTTCTTCTTCTTCTGAAATCGACGGCACAACAAAAAGCGTGATTAAAAAAATCGCGCAAAAGTTACAGTCGGGGGAACTGACGTCTCTGCGAGTCACCGAAATGTACCTGAAAAGAATGAAAGATTCGAGTTTGAACTGTTACGCGAGCGTGAACGAAGAAGACGCTTTGGAACGAGCCGCGGAAATGGACCGCGAGAGGATGAATCCCGAGAGAGGAGAGAAGAAGAGGTCTTTGTTACACGGGATTCCGATTGCGGTCAAGGATAACATTTGCACGAAGAACACATACACGACCGCGGGGTCGAAGATTTTGAGAGAGTATCGGCCAGATTTTGACGCGGACGTGGTGAAACATTTAAATAAGGAAGGCGTGGTTGTTTTAGGGAAGACGAACATGGATGAGTTCGGGATGGGGAGCACGACGGAGAGTTCGGCGTACGCGCCGACGTCGAATCCGTGGGACGAGTCGAGAGTGCCCGGTGGGTCGAGTGGTGGGAGCGCGGCCGCGGTGGCAGCGCAGTTGTGCGCGGCGAGTTTAGGATCCGATACCGGGGGGTCTATTCGGCAACCGGCGGCGTTTTGCGGGACGGTCGGGTTGAAGCCAAGTTACGGGAGAGTTTCCAGGCACGGGTTGTTGGCGTACGCGAGCTCGTTCGATTGCATAGGACCAATCACGTCGAGCGTGGAAGATGCGGCGATATTAATGGACGTTTTGTGTGGTAATACTGGTGATGATAACAACTCGAATTTGGACGCAAAGTACTTTGATAGCAGTAACAATAATAGTAGTAGTAGCGGGTCGTCGTCGTTCACGGATGCGATTGTGAGTAAAGAGAATTTAGTCGACGTAGCCGCGCCTTTGAAAGGAAAGACGTTCGCGGTGATTAAAGAAACTTTTACTGGATTGGACGAAAAAGTTTCCGCGAGCGTTATGGAATCCATAGAGTTGGTGGAAAGTTTAGGAGCGAAAGTGCACGAAGTGTCCTGTCCGACGTTTCTTTTCGGTCTTCCCGCGTATTACATTCTCGCGCTTTCCGAGGCGAGCAGTAATTTAGCGCGATACGACGGCATTCGCTTCGGTGCCCAGGATTACTTGAACATGGATTTAGTCGATTCAATTAAAAGTTCGCGTTTTGAAGGCTTTGGTGCAGAAGTGAAAAGACGCATTTTGATGGGGACATACACGCTTTCCGAAGGGTACTCGGACGCGTATTATAAACGAGCGCAAGAAGTGCGTCGATTAATCTACGCTGAAATGACGCAACACCTCCAAACGTACGACGGCTTCTTAACTCCGGCAACGTCGTCGCTCGCGTATATGAAAAACGAGAACCAAGAGCCCTTAGCTATGTTCACCGGTGATTTAATGACGGTAAACGTAAATCTCTCCGGACTCCCGGCGTTGGTCATTAGAAGCAAAGATAGCGCGGATGAAAACAACACATTACTTCCATCCGGAATTCAAATCATCGGAAAGAAGTACGGTGAAGCCGAATTGTTAGGTGTTGGGCACATCATAGAAATGTTTTCCGCGGAGCGAAAGCTTTATAAGGACGCGTTCCCGGAAGCATCTTTGTTTTAATACATTAGAAGAAGTACCATAACGTCGAACCTTCGATGAGACCTAAAGCGCTAACATTCTCAATCAACTCATCGTCGACGTCTTTGCTAATCGCGCCTTTTCTCCGTTTACTGACGCATACGACTGTACACATTCCTCTTCGCGCGGCGCTAAAATGCTCAATCGGCAAGTTATTGTACATCTTCCCGATTTTCTTGTCATCTAAATCTACAATCGCGACTATTTTCTTCTTCGCGTTTGCGCTCAGCGCGGTTACAAAGTTACGAGCGTCTCTGCCGCAACCCCAAATTTGGAACTCGTTCCATAACGGTTTGCTCAAAACGCGTGCTTCAAAAATGGAAACCCGCAAATCTAAAAGTCTTCGTCTAGGAACGCGCGACGTCCCGGAAGTTTCAGTCCAACGATAATACAATAAAGGTTCTTCTCGATTACATCCATCATCGGACGCCGCGCGAAGAATGGGGAACTTTCCTCGACGTTTATTCTCTTCGGCGTGAATATCGAGATGTTTGTGAAAAAATATGGTATCTTCAGCTTCGCCGGAATCTGGAGGCGACTCTTCGAAGCCGCCCGGGACGTCGTCGAAACATTTCCTCGCCATCGCCCACGTTGGCATTTGGACGGTATTTTCCCTGAACTGCTCGAGTATCATTTCTTCGTTGGATAATCTGTTGGCCCATTGTTCGTAATGTGCGGTGGATCCATCGGGGAAACGCTTCCACGTCGTTCCAATAATTGAAGACGGACTTTCAATGGTGTGTTGAACTTGCATCTTCACTCTATCGTTCGCCATTATATCGTCGGCGTCAAAGAAAACTAATATCGATCCTTGCGAATATTCGACCGAGCGGTTTTTAGCGAATCCAATACCACCGGGACGATTTTTACATTCACTTTTACTCTCCAATCGCCCGCTCGTGTTCTCTGACTTTTCTGTTATTTTGACATCGATGCCGGCATACCGCAACGCGAGCATCCACTCGCGCATTTTCTGAAAACTACCATCTGTCGACGCGTCGTTAAAGAACGACACTTCCAAAGGACCGTCGTAGCTCTGCGTCAAAATGGAGCTCACGCTCTCATCGAGCCACTTTTCGGCATTATGTACGGGCATTATGATTGAAACGGATTGCCGATGATAGTTTCTCGAGAACGTTTTACTCGAATAAAACGCCTTTGTGACAGTAGAACCTCCTCCTCCTCCTCGAAGTAACAAATCAGTTCTTGTTGTTTGAGCAGTATCATCGTTATCATTTTCGTCGTCGACGTCGTCGTCGTCGTCGTCGTCATCGTCCAATATTCTCAATCCGTGATACACAAACGCGTCTTCGGAGAATCGAATCATTCCATTCATCATAACGCGCAACGAGCTTCTGTGATTCGTCGTTCCGCTATGGACTAACCAAGGATGGAGAATTGCAATCCCACCTTTTTTCCCAACTATTTGTTCTATGTTTCTAATATCTTTTCCTCTGCCGCTATGTAAACTCGCCGCTGGTTTTTCGTAAGACATATACAAATCTCTCGAAACCGTTTGGTCTTGAATGCTTTGTTGCGCGAAGTTATTCAAGTCTTGGTTCGTACCGTTTTCTTCGCCAAAGACGTTCTCGCGAAATCCGTTTCTAATTATACTCCGGTGCGATCCTCGAACAAAGGCGGTGCCTCCACCACCTTCGTGACTATCTGATAATAAAACTAAGAGTATCAAACCTTGCATTGGATGACCTGTTGACCTTCGCTGCGCATCGGCGTCAAAACCAGGCCCGATGTCGATGTGCCATCCTTTTCCAAGAACGCGCCTACGATTTACTGGATAAAACGCGCGCGAACTCGCTGATGTTCTCGTAGTCGCGTTATGTTGGTAAATACTGCATCGATGATCTCCTCCAAACAAGAGTTTATCATTGCTTTCGCTTGGGTTGTTATTATCGTCACGTCTTTTCCCTTTTCTCCTACAAAAATATTTTGGTTTCTTATGGTGCAAGACTCGTCCCATGCTCGATTTCAATCGTCTTCCGTACTCGTGCGCGCACAGTAAAACCTCGTCGACGGGAGTTAAAGAAGATGATGAAGATGATGAAGATGCACTGTTACTCTTTCTTCTTCCTTCAACCATCGCATTTAAAACATCCTCGCATTTCGCTCCATCCTCCTCTAAAACTAACGACACAAACTTTGCTCTCCGTCTCTTCGACGAGAAAATCTTCCTCGGGAAGCGCGACGCTCCAACCTCATCCTCGTCCACTCCCGAATCTCCCTCGGGGAACACGAGTGGGCTGTACCAGTGTCTCACTTTACACCTTCCCTCGTGTTCTTGGTTTAACGACACGTGCCAAGCGTTTTCGCCGAGCAACTGGTCGATCAATCGAACGAATTTTGTATTCTTTCTTTTCCTTGCGCTTTCGCTCAACTTCACCCAGTGCTCTCCTTTCCCTGGAGCGCAGACTTCCCATATCCTCCTCTTCCCGTCCGTCTCTCGCGGCCACGTGGAGGAATCGTCGAGATCAATCATCATCGCAGATGATTCAGAGGAGGTAAAAGACTCGGTCGGGATGGACGGCGCGCGAAACTCTCGGAACATCTGCGCGACAAACGCGTCCGCGTCGATGACTTCCGTTTGGCTCCCGTTAACTGTTTTGTCCTCCCTCGGTTGTGCGGGAAGGAAAAGAAAGCCGTCTCGATTGAAGATTTTTCTGACGTCTTCGCCAACAAAGTCGTCGTCGTCGTCGTCTGCAGAGTCGTCCTCTTTTTCCTCCTCCTCCCCATCCTTCTCGGAGGATGGAGAAGACATCTATCTCTTTGTTGTTATCGTTCTTGTGGTGGAGAAATTTGAGGGAGCAGCACACGGGAAAAATGTTGTCATGAATAAAAAACGAAGAATAAGCGAAGGCGCGAAAAATCTCTCTCTCTCTCTCTCTCTCTCTCTCTCTCTCTCTCTCTAACACGACAACAAGAGCAACGGGATTGCGTGTGCTACTGTGCAACTAAATTTACTAAACGTATTCTTTAAAACAAATTCCTATTATTATACCGCGTTATCTACTACTTCTCCTTCTTCTTCAAGCCGCCTTTTAAACTTTTCCTTCGGTTGATTTCGTCCAAGCCTTCGGTTTGTTTATGCACGTAAATCTTACCAACCTTATCGCTGATACCTTGACTCAACGCGTTCGCTTTTTCTTCCTTCACTAACGTCTTATCCACGCGCATGGCTTCTCTTTCCACGTCTGGCGGTGGGAGTTTCACTCTCCCTAGAGTCGCGTCGAATCGCGGTCCCATCTCTTCCAAGTGTACTTTCGGTAACCGCGTTCCACTTTTTTTATACTTGATGGCAAACTGTCGAAACAAAATGGTTTTCCCGTCTTCTAAAGCCGTGATGACAATCGCTCGATCGATACCTTTCAAGTTTATTCTCGAAACGACTCGTCCTCGAAACACGTCCGCGAACACGTTCTTCAACTGTCTCAAATTCGCGTCGGTTTCAAACTTATCGCCCAGGAACATCATGCACGGTTTCGAGCCAATCGTCGTGGAAGCCGCGGCGTTACCAAACTTAATAATCGGTACGAACGTCTCTCCGTTCACCATCATCTCCACGCAATCGTAAATCTTGTGGTTATAAAATCGTCCAAACGTAATCGCGTGCGGTCGTTTCTTCTTTTGGTGATTGGCAAACGCGAACGTCGCCGAGTGACTCTTCTCCGCGAAAAACTCCAAAGAGACTTCCCCGCCTCCTTCAAACGGTCGAATCCCGGGATTCTTCCTGTTCATCTTGTGATTTTCTCCGTATTTCATTTGCGACAGGTCGTTTATTAAGGATTTCAGAACCTCCGACGTGACCGCGCCGTGTAAAAGCATCAACGTCTTCGCCGCCACTTCTTTCCGTCTCGGGGCGTTTTTCTCGATGGCTCTTTTCCCTTTGTTCGTTTTCGCGGCTTTCACCGCCAGATGGTGCGTTTGACTGATGTTTCGAGACGAATCATTAGTATTCGTCTCTGGTGCTGATATCGAAACTGCTGCTACCATTATTAGTGTTCGTTCGTGTGTTGATGATATCACCGCGCGCTTCTTATGAAGCACTTCGCTCCTCTGAAGTTTTTTGTCGTCAAAAAAAAGAGGGAAAAATTATTTTACTTATTTCTACTCCTAAACCCTAATTTGGTTTCTTGCAAGAGAAAAAAAGCTGCAACCGGCAGCGTGGCCGAGTGGTCTAAGGCGCCGGATTCAGGCTCCGGTCCGCAAGGGCGAGGGTTCAAATCCCTCCGCTGTCATTGTCATCATCTTTTTTTTATGTTACCGCGTGTGTTGTAGCGCGTTTGTGTGTGTTGTTGTGTTGTCTTCTTCTGGTCAATGGTATTTGTATTTTCGAGATCTCGAAACGGTATATAAAGTGGAACAAAACTCTCCATTATTCTTCAACATTCATCATGCTTTCCGCGACTGTTGCACGACGGAACTTAGTCGCGAGGAGAAGAATACAAGGAGAGATTACGTTCAGCGCAATACGAACGACGGTTTTATCTTCTTCTTTTTCTTCTTTTTTAGAGATCGTCGACAACAACAACAACGTCGAGAGCAGCAGCAGCGGTAGTCGTAGGAGTAAAAAATCTAGTTGGAGGAGCACCTTTGGTAATAACGAAAGCAGTACAAGCAGCAGTTCTTCTTCTTCTTCCGGCGTTGGAAGACCAGGAGCAGGAGGACGTTACGATCATCATCAGTATCATCGTCATCATCGGAGCCACTTTTTTTCAACGACATCAACAACTGCGAAGGAGGATTTGGAGGAGAAGAAGGCTGCTTTTGATGGGCTCAAGGCACAAATCGAGTCACAAATCCCAAGCGAAATAGCGCGCTTAAAAGCGTTGAAAACGAAATACGGGCAGGAAAAAGTCGGCGAGGTGACCGTGAACATGCTCATGGGTGGCATGAGAGGGATCGTCGGGATGCTCTACGAGACTTCTCTGTTAGACGCGAACGACGGGATTCGTTTCCGAGGGTTGACTATTCCCGAGTTGCAAGAAAAGTTACCGGGGAAGCGAGATCGAGAGCCGATACCGGAGGCGCTTTTGTTCTTATTGCTGACGAATAAAGTCCCCACGGAGAAAGAGGTGGAAGCGCTGAGAGCTGATTTAATGGAAAGAGCGGAAAAGTTCGCGAAGGAATGCGCGATGAACGATGCTGGGAATAAGAGTAAAAAAAATGTCTTTGACGCGTTGCGAGCGCTTCCGGAGGAGACGCACCCGATGACGCAACTCTCCGCGGCGTGTTTGGCCATGCAAAACGATTCAAAATTCTTGAAAATGTACGCCAGTGGGACGATGAAGAAAACGGAGTATTGGAAGTACATATACGAGGACGCTTTAGATCTGATCGCAAAGTTACCGGTCGTTGCGGCGTATATTTATAAAAGGTCGTGCGTGAAAGAAGCGGCGAGGAAATCGAGCGAGGTTCCAACCGTAGATGCGAGTTTGGATCTCGCCGCGAATTTCAGTCAAATGATGGGTTTCTCTTCCAACGAATGTAAAGAGCTCATGCGTTTGTATTTGACCATTCATGCCGATCACGAAGGCGGGAACGTCTCCGCGCACGCCACTCACTTAGTCGGTTCGGCGTTGTCCGATCCGTACTTGAGTTTTTCAGCAGGTTTGAACGGTTTAGCCGGCCCGTTGCACGGCTTGGCGAACCAAGAAGTTTTAAAATGGTTGAAAGAGGCGCAAGTAGCGTTAAAAGGCGATTATTCCGCGGAAACTGTAAAAACTTTCGTGGAAAACACGTTAAAATCCGGTCGCGTCGTCCCGGGCTACGGCCACGCCGTCTTGCGACGAACCGATCCTCGCTACGAGTGTCAAAGAGAGTTCGCCTTAAAGCACATGCCAGACGACGAAATGTTTCAACTCGTCTCCCGCTTATACGAAATAGTTCCAGACGTTCTCAAAGCGACTGGAAAAGTCCAAAACCCGTGGCCGAACGTGGACGCGCACAGCGGCGTTTTGCTCCAACACTTTGGCATCAAAGAGGAGAACTTTTACACCGTCATGTTCGGCGTCTCGAGATCGATCGGGTGTTTGAGTCAGTTGATCCTCTCGAGAGCGCACGGGTACGCCATAGAGAGGCCAAAATCAGTCACCAGTAAGTGGTTAGAGGAGAAGTTTCAATAATAATAATATATAAAGATGAAAACGTATCGTCCGCATACGACCAAAACACTTGAAGCGAATTTGTCACACACCCCCTTTGAACTTACAAAACGAGAAATGAACAGCCCTCCAAAAGGAGATTTTGGAGGCAATTTTTTTTCTCTTTTCCCACAAACAAAACTTGTTTTGCAGGGCATTAAAGTAAAGAAATATGGCAGGTAAGTATTGATGTCTCTCTTTTAATAACGTAGTCTCGTCGGTATTCGTCGATTCGATTGCATCGCGCGTCTTGCGAATCTTTCCCGCGCGATGGATGCAGAAACTCGCGTCGGTGGTAAAACACCCTCGCGCGCGCATTTTCGTTCGCATGAACACTTGGGGTTAGCGGCCCCAAAAAGAGGGAGAAAAAAAGAAAGAAATTGCCGAGGATAGACGACGATGCGAAGCTTTCACGGCGGGTGTTGATGGATAAATGGATGATGGTTTAGATGATACTCGTGTAACGATTGCGATTGCGGCGGTCGGGTATCTCTTTTGCCCCGTTTGTGTTCGAAATTTCCTTTTCCTTCGTCGCGTAGTAAAAAAGCTCCTTTGTACTCACACCGCAATTTTCTCCTTTCTGAATTTCCACAACAGGGTCCCAAGTGAAGACGTCCGATCTCCGATCGCAATCGAGAACTGAGCTCAAATCTGCTCTCGAGCAGCAAAAGCAGCAGTTGGCGAGCTTGAAAATCGCCAAGGTCACCGGCGGTGCGCCGAACAAGATTGCGCGCATCAAGTCCGTCCGATTAGCCATTGCTCGCATCTTGACTGTCATTCGTCAAAACCAGTTGAAATCGCTTAGAGAAGCTTACTCCGGCGCCAAGTACACGCCATTAGATCTTAGAGCGAAGAAAACGAGAGCCATTCGACGACGATTATCCCCGGCGGAAAAGAACGCCAAAACGGCCAAGCAAGCTAAGAAGGACGCGTACTACCCGAAGCGCAAGTATGCGTTGAAGGCGTAAGAGTGGAAACGCGTAAACGTATTCGTTTCGTTTGAACTTAACGAAGTATGTTTGTTTAGTCCTTTTTAGCAGAGAGAGAGAGAGAGGTTATTAGCTTTTGTTGTGAATACACGAACCGTTTGTGTATGTACGTAGTAGAATAATTATATAGAGTATGTGTCTGTGACGCGAGCTCCTTTTAGACACTTCCTTTTGAATTCGCCATTCTTTAATGGTGTTCTTGCCACCACCTAAACCGCCACCTTTGGCTCCGCCTTCGTTTCCAGACGGCTATCCTCTCAAGTCATCGAAGACGACGACGACGATTCAGACGACAAAGAAGGAGAACAAGAAGAACAAGAAGAAGAGCGATGACGACGAGCGTGGGAGAAAAAATACGAACGACAACGGAGAAGAGACGAACGCGAACGAAACTGGAGGAGGAATTCGAGGTAACGAACTGAACGCGACGACGACGACGATTCAGACGACGACGACACTACTGGACGAAGAGACGATGCGATGGCGAAACGAGAGGAAGAAGAACTATCCGAGATCAACGAATAAAACGGAAGAGGAAGCAGCCTCTGCGAAACGTAAACGAGAGGAAGAGTTGGAGCGAGTGTTGGAAGAGCAACGACGATTGGGCAGTTTCGAGGCGACGGTTTTGTTGAAAGAAGAAGAGAAGGAGCAGAAGAAGAACGAGAACGAGAACAACAGTAAGAACAACAAAAGCAGAACACCCCGAGGAGAACAACCGTGCAAATTTTGGACGAGGAAAGGTAAATGCAGGTACGGGGATAAGTGTTCGTTTTTGCACGAAGAAGCGAAACGAGGCGTCGGGAAGAGTAGTAAAAATGATACGAATACTAACGCAAAACGCCATAAATGCGGAGGAGGAGAGGTACCCTTGCTGAGAAGAATATTCAAAAACGATATAGATAGGGATAATTCGAGACTGTTGCAATCGATTCGATTCTTTGTGGAGAATATTGATGACTTGCGAAAGTACGCAGTCGCTCAAGAGAGAAGCGAAGAGTTGAACCGAGAGTACTTGAAGCGCTTAAAAATGTTCTCCTTCGTGGACGATCCCGTGAAACGAACGAAAAATAGCATAGTAAAGAAGCAAGTTATCGAGAAAGTAGAGGAGGAAATGCTTTCATCCGAGGAGGAAGAGGAAAAACAAGAAGAAGAAGAAGCAAAGGAAAATAAGCAATTAGACGTTGGAGGATTCTTTTCTTGTTACGACTCTGATAAATAGAACGTACAGAAAATTTTTTGTAAACTAATAAACGCGAGCGAGCAATAGACTACTACTACCTAGTATACGCTAAGACCACACCTCATCATCATCGCCTTGTTCTCTTCGTCGGTGGAGGACCTCCAGATCGCCCTCCACGCCCTCCGCGTCCACCTTGTTGTTGTTGGCCTCTTCCGCCGGCTTGTTGCTGTTGCGGCTGTTGTTGTGGCTGATTCATTGGTCTTCCTCCTCTTCCTCCCTGTGGAGGACCTCGAGAAGGAGGATATCGATCGCGAGATGCGGAACGTTGTTGTTGCTGCTGCTGTTGCTGCTGCTGCTGCTGCTGTTGCTGGTGTTGCTGTTGCTGTTGCTGTTGACGCATTTGTTGTTGCGGGTCGCGTCCCATTCTTTGCTGTGCTTGTTGCTGCGTTCTGCCACCACCTCGACCACCGCCATCAAATTTACCCATTTTATTTTGCTGTGGTTGCTGTCTTTGTTGCTGCTGCTGCTGTGGTTGCTGTGATTGCTGCTGAGCTCCTCTGCCGCCACGCCCACCTTGTTGACCTCTCGCCTCTTGCGCAGCCCTTCCTCTGCCGCCTCCAGAAGGCACACTAAGACGCTGCGGCGATCGCTTCCGCGCCGCTGGCTGTTGTTCCGTAACCTTTTCTTTTGCCTTCGCGGCGAGCTCGTCCGCGGCTTTCTTTTCTTCCTCCAATTTGTCCTTTTCTTGCTTCTCGAGCACCCATTTCGCGTGGGTTTCTTCGATGATTTTATCAATCTCTTCCTCCGTGAGTTCGTGATGCGACGATTTATCGACTTTTTCACCGTCGATCGTGTCCGGCATCTCAATGGGAACGTCGCGAAAGTCCACTGGATTGTGCGGTTTCCATCCTTTTGGAGGATCTAAACCCAAAATTTCCGGAACAATCGTCTCCAAATCGTTATTCTTCATCTTTCGAAAGGCGGCAAAGTTCCACTGTCGAATCAAACGAAACGCTTTCCAGCGATACATGGTGTCGTTCTTCGTTTTGTATTCCTCCTCAATCTGAGCCTCTGGATCCATCTCGTCGTATACTACTTGCAAAAACTCGTTCATAAATTCTGGTTTCGAATATCTGTTACGTTCAGGATCTGTCATCGCCGCTTCATAACTCGGATACAAATTCCATATTCTCTCCATTTCCGGATTGTTTTCGAATCGGACGTATCCTTCCGGATACTTTGCATTTTCGGCGTCTTCTTTTTCCTTTTCTTTTCGCTCGTATTCTTTCTGTTCAGCGACGACGTCGATTTCTTCTCTTTCAAAGGAAGGGCAGCCCATATCCACCCAAGTGTCGTAGTGTTCGGTGGAGTACATGGTCGCGACGAGAAATATTCGCAGTTTCTTGCCTTGCTCAGGAGATGCGTCAGTTTTCTCGACGACATCCAAAACTTTCTCGAAACACTCCTTCGCAACTGGAACGATTGTCTCTCTCCATATCGTCATTTGCTCTTCCGAGAATCCAAATTTCGGCACATTCACTCGACGGCGCGGTCTGCCATCATCGACGTCATCACCATTATTATCACCTTTGTCAACATCCATCGCGTCACCGTCGCTTTTTTTATCTCCCGTCTTTTTTAATTTTACGCCCATAGCTTCCGCTTCCTCTCGCATGCGATCTTCCGTCTCTTGAATCGCGTCTATGATTATCCTACCTTTCGTTTGTTCTTCGTACAGTTTCTTCATTCTTTCATCTCGCGCTGCGACTTCCTTTGCGTGCTCTTTTTCCAAAGGGCTGTTGTCGTCGCCGAAATGAAAGAGCACGAAGTGCAAGAACATGGCGGCTTGGGCCAAGAAATTTCTCAAGAAGAAACCATCTCGCATTTGGAACGGAAACGCCCGAGCGGTTGAAATTCTTAACGTACCCGTGAGTGCAAGTTGCTCCAGAAGTTCCTCTCTGAGCATTTGCTTCTTAAACGGAGATATAGCTTTAATCTTTTCTAAAACGATATTTAAATTTTTCACGACTTTGCTTTGAAAATCGTCCACAGAAGAGACGTGCAGTTTACACGCCATGATCGGTTCACCGAACAACTCCATAGCCTCCCAAAATGCAAAGTATAACTGCGGAGAAATGATGGCATCGAACTCATCGCCGAAATCCTCGTTTGCTTCGCGGAAGACTTTCTCGACGGTTTTCAAATCATCCAGAGCAATTGCGTTCAATTTCTCTTCCTCATTTTCCTCATCGTCTTTTTGCGCTGGATTCTTTTTGTTGTTGTTGTTGTTGTTGTTGTTATTATTATTATTATTATTCGTCTTCGAGACGCTTTTCTTTGACTGTTTGCTATTTTTACCATCTTTTGCTTTCTTTTTTGCAGCTTGATCGCATTCGTCTTCGGCGATGAAATCTATGCCCGCGGCAACGTGCGCGCTTTCGGCGAAGTCTTTGACTCCGTTCGACATTAACATACATTTCCCTCTAAATTCCGCGTGTAATATTTGCGACGATCGATTTAAAAGCTCGTCAAAAGACTTGAGCATGATGACTTGACACTCTTCACCGCAGTCGTATTTTTCGGGCCCGGTCTGGTTGTAAATTTCGCTCGCGCTTTTCATCTTTCGCAGTCCATTCTCGTCGAACTCTTTTTTAATGTCCATGATGACTATTAATCTGTCGTACACGTCCTTCTGAATGAGTTTCGTTTTACTTTTTACCCTCTTTTTCCCCGTTTTCTCTTCGGGATATTTTATGCCGTCTATATCGTGCGGATAGTAATCTCCATCTTCGTATCCTTGATTCTCCTTCGGTATAAAATTTTCGGAGAACAAGTATTTGTTCACGATATCCGAGCAATCTTCCACAGAACTCTGCGCGAAGACGTCTTCTATGAACCGAAACGGCAACAAACGAAGCTGCGTGTCTTTCAACTCCTCCGATTCTGCTATGAGCAAAAGAACCTCTAAGAATGCGCGATACGTCGACGACTTCGCATCGTTAACTTTGCTATTACTACTACTACTTTTTTTACTTTTGTCTTTCCCTTTGTCGTCGCCGCGAAGAAGCGCATCTGATATAAAGTCCGCCAGAGCGCACTGAGAAGAAGAAGAATCGTCTAAAAAGTCTTCGTACGCCTCGATGAGTGCGCTGGTTATCTTTCCCGCCGCCATTAAAAACGCATCCGCCATCGTCGCGTTCTCTTTATATAACGCTAAAGTTTTAGTAGTTGTAGCAGTTAACAGTTTTTTCTCGAGCGCTTCGTCGTTCTCTCTCCTCGCGTCTCGTAAGATGTGTTTCTCGATGATCTCTTTTCTCGTCCGCGTTATTCGTTTCTTCTCTTCTTCTTCTTTGTTGTCTTCTTTGCCTTCTTTGTCTTCCGTCGTCGTCGTCTCGTTGTTGTTGTTGTTCATCACATCATCATCATCATCATCGTTCTTCTTCTTCGAATTTGTATTCGAGGCGCGAGAAAAGCTTTGCCCGAGTTGCATCTCTCTCAGCGCTGCTTTTAAGCGTCCTTCAAAGCAGGTCGAATAGGATTCAAACGACTTTTCATCGTCTGCTTCCATCTTCTTCTTCATCTTTCTTAAATTGTTTTTGTCTTCTTCTTCTTCTTCTTCTCTGTTATCAAGAAAGAAGAGAGTAGTGTGATAAAAACGAGAGAAAGAGAGTAATAGAAATGAAGGCATGGTGTAAGAGAAACAGAGCAGAGAAACGGAGAAAAAACAACTCAAAAAAAAAAAAAAGCAGAAGAGTCTCGTCAAATTTTACTCCTCTGACTGAGAAAGAAGAAAAGAGCCTGCAGTCAAAAAAACTTAATTATTGTGACTTGTGGTGTACTTGTGGAGTGTGCGTCACATCAAATTCATATACCACTCACTACTCGAGAGAGAGAGAGAGATGACGACGATGAGAAGAACGTTTAATACTACTAACGTCTTCTCATTAGTCGCGTGGTTCTTCGTCTTCTTCTTTTCGCTCTTTCTTTCTGTGGACGACAAAAGCAGCGGCGCTTTTGTGTCCGCGTTTTCGAGCAAACCAGTCGCGAAACCGACCGATGTGTTCTTCGCATCATCTTCTGTCGCGTCCAAAAAGAAAGCAGACGCGGCTTCGAATTCGAATTCGTCGTCGGGAAAGAAGAAGAGCAACAACGACGTCGTCGTCGTCGAAATGGGCACCAAAGAGGATTACGAGAGAGAACACCAATCATCTTTTTCGTCCGTGTCTTCTTCTTCTGCGTCGTCGAGCAGAGAAAGAACGAGCGAGAGTGCGCCATCGGGGAAAAATCATCCGCGTCGCGTCGGTCCGAAATTAGAAGATGGTGAAGACGAAAAGGACGAGACAAACGCGGTGGAGTTGACGCGCGCGTCTCTCCTGAAAACACCGACAGAGTTTAAACGAGAAATGAAACGGGAAAAGAGCGAAAAAGAAAGACGAAAAGAAGAAGCCGCGTTGGCGTGGTTCGAGAACACGCACCCGAGTTCGCAATATAAAATGGACGAGTTCGAGAGAAGACAAAAGGAGAAAGAGGAGTTCGACGCGAAGATGCGCGAGGAAAGAGAGAAGGAAGAGAAACGGTTGACGAAGAAAATAGAGTGGTTCGACGATCCGGTGAAAGAGGACGACGACGATTTATGGATCGCAGATCGCAGGTGGCAATACGACAAGAACGATCCTTTGATGGATTTCGAGGATTACGAACACGACCAGACCGAAGAGGAGAAGAAAATCGACTACGGCGAGCTTTTATTGAAACGCATTAAAAAGAAGGTGACTTCGATGAAAACAGTGGAAGATTTAATCACGTACCAGAAGGATTTAATGTCCAGTTACGGGATTTTGAACGCCGAGAAGGCGGTAGAAAAGCAAAAGGAAGCGGAAAATGATCAAGCGGCTGAGTTGGCGAAAAAGGAAATCGAGGAGAATCCGGCAAAGGCGACGAAATCGGCGGCGTTTGCGCTCGACGCGGAGTTGTTTGAGAAGGCGCTGCAACGCAAAACGGAGAGAGAAGCAGAAGCGAGAGTGCAAAAGAAAACGAAGAACCGAAACTTGGACTACAACCGCAAGCTTTTCGAGAAGGCGATGGCGGCGAAGAAAGCAAGAGAGGAGCAACAAAAACGACGATAGTAGATGACAACATTTGTAAACTTATATGAATCTTTAAAATGCACGCGCGAATAAATAATAATAGTAAAATTACAACTCTAACCGCTTGGAAATATCTCCATTCTTCCCTTCATACTCCTCTACAATTTTCATGGCGTAACTCGGAATGTGCTCCTTTGCTCGCTCCTTGCCGTAAATTCTATTCACGTATAAATAGTTTCGAATGGTGTGATAATCTAAACTGTACATGCCAAATTCTTTTCCTTTCGGCCCGACTTTGTTCAACACCCACGCGATCAAATTTCCCACGAATCGAGGGGCACCTTTTTCAGGGCCTCTGCCTAAATAAGCCTCGTCGTCGGAGATGACGGTTTGTAAAACGAACGGTTTGCGGTCGCCTCTCGTGGTGGACGGCGTTATTTGCAAATCGTTTTTTATTAAATCAACCATTTTTTGTCCTCTTTCGTTTCGGACGGTGACGTATTGCGGGTGCAAATTCATCGGGATAGATTCGTCATAATCGACGCCCATGTACCCGACGACGAGATCGGCGAGACCGTTGACGTAATCGAAGCACGATTTACAACTTTCGGCGATGACGCCTGACGATAACTCCTTCGCCGGTAACGAAAAATACGGAATCTTCTCGTAACTTCCGTCTCTCATCTTCAGGTGCACCTTGTAATCCGGCATGAATTCGTAGTGTAAAACCTCGTCCGGTTTATCCGTCGCGTTGTTTACAAACTTATAAAACCCATCAGTCCTTCCGTTATCCGCACAATTCGTTCCTAACACGTATAAATTATCCAATCCTAAATATTGCTCGACTTCTCTCAAAGCGACGACTGAACACCCGACCCCGATGTACAGAACGTTTTTAATCTCCGGATTGGTTTCAATTTCCGCGAAAACTTTCAAGTTTGGCGATAACGACGGTTTCACTCCTCTGCACGCTAAAATATCTTCCTCGGTAAAGCACAACTTCGGTTCTGGGTTCCTCGCGTCCGCTTCTCCGGAACCAACCGCGACGACGCAATCGACCGTCTTCGTCCTCAACATCTCCAACGCGACCGACGTCACGATCCCAGTCCACTGCGCTTTCTCCATAGGCTGTTTCTTCTTCGCGTAAAAAATCGATTGCGAGCTGTTATTCGTGTTATCTTTCGTGTCCGAATTCAATAAAACCCCCAACCGTAACTCGTCCGTTTCCGTATTCCTCCTCTTTCCGTGCACTTTTTCTTCCAACTTTTCTATTCTGGACATCCCAGGTCCGAGAAACGCGCACGCGTCTTTCACGTACGATATGAGAGAAGTATCGCACAACCCGCAGTTCGAGCAGTGCTCTTTCGCCGGGTACGACTGTCCTGGTTTGATCGGTTGGCCTTTGCGTTCGCTGATTGTCGACGACGATGATGAAGTCGAAGTCGCGTTCGTTCGTGTTCTCGTTCGTGTTGTTTTACTCGAGAACGACGACAGCGAAAAAGACCACGAGTTTGGTGAAGTAACGGATGATGATGATGATGATAGGTGCATGATTATATCGTCGTATTTATTCAGCGATGTGTGTGTTGTGTTTGTGTACGACACATAAATGAAGGAAACTACTCTTCTTATATTTAATTAAAACTTCACGTCCATAGCGCATAAAATAAGCGCCACGAACAAACACACACACACTCTCTTTCTCTCTCTCTCATCTTCCTAAATCTTTTTCTTCTCCTCTCTCTCTACTACGTTGGTAACAACGAGGCGCTTCTCCGTCTCGCGTGCCCTACACTACCGCCGGTCGGTAAAACCATTCCTACGAACCGAAGCGCTAACAAAAACGTTGGTTTTACGACAGTCGCGTAAGCGACTTTACAGACGACCCGGAAACCTTCCGCGCCCATCGGGAAGAAACTCAACTGATAATACAACAAGGCCAACGCCTGCGCTATGGAGGCCATCACGGTGAGAAAGTAAGAGTGCTTAATTAACGCGGCCCATAAGGTGAATAAGATAGTTCCGACGAACCCGCACGAGACGTATAATCGTTCCGGATCTAACATGTGTTTGATTTGTTCGTTCGCGCCTCGCAACGCGCCGACGGCGCAAATGTTTGAAACAGAAAACAAAGAGAAGCACAGAGCGAATTTGGCTGGGAACAACGCAATCGTGGCTATACCGACCGTGAACGCGAGCGTTAAACTCAACCCGCTGACGAACGTAAACGCCATGCTCCACGCGATGCGTTCTCGATCGAGACTTTGTAACGCCGACATCGTATCCTTCGCCGCGTTGGTCGTGAACTCCGCGGCGTTCGACGCCGCGTTCGCGCTCATATCGTACGCCGAATTGGCGTAAAATTTAACATTCGTCGTCGTCGACGCGACCACGTCGTTCACGCCGGATTCTCTTAACGTTTCCGAAATCGATTGGGACGCTTCGTTGAACGAGCTCGTCGCTTTCGCCGCGAACGACTTCCAGTCCGACATGAAATCCCCTCCTGTCGATGATGAATGCTCTGACGACGATTGATTTTGATGGTCGTTTGGACTGCTGCTCTCTGGTGTCGCGGTAAGAGTAGCAGTAGTCTCTTCGCTTATATTCGTATTCGTACTCTTTGTCTTTTCGTTGTTGTTGTTGTTGTTGTTGTTCGTCGATATCGTGTTCAGTTCTCCCCCCAAAACGCCTCCTCCGCTCGAAGACATTAATATATATATGTGTACACACTTTAACAAATCTCTTATTATAAGTCTTCTTCTTCGTCGTCGTCTTCTTCTTTAAAATCGAACGAAGAAGGGTGCGCGAAAGGCTCTTTTGGAATGGGGAAATGTGTTGCCGGTTCCTCTCTTGAAACATTCCTCAGAAGATTTTGTCTGTCCTTTAGTGTCGTCGTTTACGTCGTCTCTCTCGTATTCTCTCTCGTATTCTCTCTCAGCGAAACGTGTGTTTCGGCGCGGAGTATCAACCAACGCTACTCATACCAGTCGTCGTCGTCGCTTTCGAAAGATTTAAAGAGAAAACAACAACGAACAACAACAACAACAACAACAACAACAACAACAACAACAGATGTCCGCCTCCAATCCGGAGCAATTCTTAGTAAAAGAGAAACAACAGAAAGAGAAGGAGAAGCGAGTGCAAGACTTGCTGAAATCGTATTACCACGAACAGCAACAACAGCAACAGCAAGAGGAGGAGGAACAAGAACAAGAACAGAAACAATCTTTCTCGAAGAAGACGAGGGAGATTAAGGAACAAAACGAGCAAACGAACGATGGAATGAAAAGTTGGACTAAAGAGGAGGAAAAGGCCCACGCGGGAGCGACATCGACTACGTCTCAACTACATAGCGATGAGAACAAGAAGAAGAAGAACAACAACAGTAGCATTCAAAACAAAAATCTCATAGAAATGCTAAAAACGAAAACGATCGGAGAGTTACAGAACGAATACGTGAACGTTTCCCGAGAGATCAAACGTCTCGAATCGCACGGGACGCACTCGGTGTACGAAAACTATTCAAAGTTTATCAACGCGGCGGACTTTATCGAAAACGCGCGACCGGAAATTGAGCAGTTGACGAAGAAGGAGAGCGTGAAGGTGGAGAAGGCGACGAAGGAAGCGGCGGAGGCAGCGAGGAAATTGAACGAAACGTTAGACGCGAAACGTTTTGAAAGCAAAAGAGCGAGGGAGGTGCAAAACGTATTGTTTAATATCCAAGAAGCTTTGAAGGCGCCAGCGACGATTCGAAACGTTTTATTTGGGTCTGTTTCTTCTTCTTCGGAAAGCGCTCGCGTGGAGAAGGCGGTGAGAATCATAGCGAAGACGAAACCGATGCTCGAGAAGTTTTCTTCTTCTCCTTCTTCGGGCGTTAGCGGTGAACAACAACACAAGAGCGGGAAACTTTTCTTGGAAGCGAAGAATGAAACGATGAAAATCTCGGATGCGATTGCAAGTTTGTTGAAGAAACGAGTTCGTTCGAGCTATCATGCGACGGCTTCGCAAACGGTTGGCGTCGGCGAGGGAGGTAAAGATGATTCCAACGCGCTCGAAAATCTCGTGAACAAGCTTTCCTCGCACTCGTGCGCGGAGTGCTTAAAGTTGTTAGGCGTGCCTCGAGACGAAGTTCACGAAGAATTCTTATACGCAGAGAAGGATAAATTGGAGAAAATTTTAACGGATTTAGAATCCGACATCAGGAAGAGTAGTAGCATTCGTAGCGATTCAGGTGGAGCCGCCGAAACGTCCACGACGGTGGACTCGTTATTCAAACCAAAGCTCGGGAAAGTAAACGAGCTATTTTTGAACGAGTTCCAAAAGTGCGCGGCATCGTATTTGGAAGTTTTCCCCGAGGATAGTCGTCAGCCTTTAGTTGACTTTGCTAAAGTTGTTTTCCGCAGATATTTTGAGCTTTTGAAAGTTATTTTTATCGACGGGGAAAGCGCGACCAAAGAGGAGGGGAATATGGGAAATTTGTCCTCGGTGCGACACATGTGCGCGGCGTTGGGTAACATGGCTGCCGATTTGGCATCTGCGCATAAGCTACTCCCAGAGTGTGCTCTCGGCGATCGAGTGACAGAAATTGTAGAAAAAAGTATTCGAAAACGCATCGAAGACGCGCATTTACGACGAGAGTCCATCTTATCGGAGAAAATTTCGCAAATCGAACAGTTGTTGTCGTCCTCGGGGAGCAATACAGCTGCGGCGTCGCCAACCATCGTCGCCGATGCCGTCGAGGATTTCTTGAGCACGCACGAAACTACAGCTAACATCATTATCGCGGATATTAAGGCGTTTTCGGAAGAGCGTCCTCTTTTGTTACAAAGTTGGAGAGACGAGTTTGGTAGATTTTCACGCGCCTTGTTCGCGACGAGTCACCACGCTCTGTGCGCGCGACTGGTTGGATTTGGTAGTTGTCGTGCCAATTCTTCTTGCATTCCGTATTTATCCCTGTCGCAAGGATTACCAAATAGTCCATACTTGCAACGCAACAACAAGACTAACGGAGGTTCCTCGACGGCGGCCTCTTCGCTCATCGCATCTGTCTTGCTCTTCAAAATTGGCGACGAAAGCTACACACTTGAAAACGGACTCGCAAAAATTTTTCCTTCTCATGTGGTGAGCGAAAAAGGGAAGAGGAGTGCGGCATACGACGAAAGATTACTTCGCACAATTGCAATGGCTTGTTTTCGAGATTGTTTTCGAGAGTTTTTGATGCTTTCGACGTCAAAGTTAGATGCGTTGTTGATCCAGTACGAAAACGCTTCTATAACGGACTTATTCGTGGACGCGTTGGAAAAAATCAAGCACGACGTGAAAAACATTGAAGCGTCGCCAACGCTCGTGCAGATGTTGAACTCCTCGACGTCAGAACCGTTAACTAACGATGTGGGTGTTGTGCTAGATGAAAACGCGTTCGATATCTTCGAGTGCAAAAATAAGTTTTCAACCGCGCGAATCGTTCGGAGGTGCGTGGAAAGCTCGCTCTCCAACTTTCAAGACTATATCTTTACGAATGTTCCTACCTTTACTAAGGAAACATTGAAGCATTTCGAAGAGCAATGCGATGCTATTGAGCAAGAGTTGAATAGAGAGTTCCACGAAAATACGGAGACGCACGAGACGTGTTTTGCTTCGCTGAAGACTCTGGCTCGCAAACGCGACGTCGACGGAGCGGCGCACGCCTCGTCTGTAGAAGCTTCGAAGTTACTGAAAGATATTCAAAAGATCTAATAAAGAGTTCTTCTATACTCTACATAATGTAATATCACTAAATACTTCTAACGATGCTATTGCTTTTTCCTAATTCCTAAAGATCAAGTGCACACGTCGAGCACGTTTGCCACGTGCAAGATTTTCCAAGCGTTTGTTTCCATCGACCAATCGTGGAATATGTTTCCGCTGTGCACCTTTGACTTTCTACCTCCGTATTGATCTAAGTTCTCCCCCATCGCGTTTCTCTCCTTCCACACGCTAAAACCATACACGGATACTCTCCTACATTTAGAGAGGAAATAGAATAAACCGTGTGCCCCCGTGGTGAGTTGCAACCAATTGTCGTAATTTTTACCTAAACCTAAACGTCTGCTTTCGTACCTCATTTTATTCATCTTGGCGACGTACCCTGGTATTTCTCTATCGCTCAACGCTTTTGTCTTTATTCTGCGCTTTTCGCATGCCGACTTTATCACGTTTTGTTTCGCTGGGAACCACATGACGTGATCTTTCGCATGGGCACCCATCTTCGCCGATCCTATGCAACAAAGTCTTTTGCTCGCTTCGTGTCCGTTTACCCAAACATCCGTTCGATTTCCCACGTGTTGTTCAAATCCACCAATTGGTGCCATGTTGAATCGAACGATGACGTCGTGATTGTTGATATACTTGCCAAACTTCTTCCTCAAAACAGAACCGCCGTTACCGACTAACGCGCACGATTCGTATTGATATTTTTTACTACTACCACCACCACCACTTGTCGTTGTCGTCATAAACCCAGACGTTTTGGCGATACCTTTCGCGGCTTCCACCGCATTTATATTCACGCAATCCTCTCCTCGTTTCGTAGTCTCCACGCATTTTTTTAGCATTTTCTCTCCTTCATTTTTAAACACGATTCTAGGCTTTGCGCCTTCGCCAAAGTTTTCGTGCTTGACGAAACCCATCTTTTCGTCGCACCCGGTTGGCATGGTCAACCCGTTTCTATTTGCAAACGCGCGCGCTCTGGATATTAATAACTGCCGTCTTCTTCTTCTTCTTCTGTCGTGATTATGAAAGGTATCAGGTTCGTCTTCGTTCTCGTCGTCGACGTCTTCTAAAACGTTTTTACTCGTCTCCTCCTCCTCCTCCTCCTCCTCGTTGGAGAAAGAGGCGTCGAAAAACACCGCCAAATCGTCCGGCAAAAACGCCTTTGGCGCGTTCCCGCACGCCTTCCCTCTTCTCACACTCGCGTCACCAATACCGTTGGTGGATGAAATAGTAGTAGTAAATCCCCCCGCGTCATCGTCTTCCTTGTCCCTTTCTTCTTCTCTTCTTCTCAACGCGATTTGCGCATCGTCAGATTCGTCGTCAAAGAGATTGAACGAAAGACACAAAAAGAGGAGGAGGAAAAGGAGGAGGAAAGCGCAGGACGACGACGACAACAGCGAAGAACATCTTTTCTTACTCGTTTTCGTCGTTTTCGTCGTCGTGTTTGCGTTCGTAGTGCTTCTGCTGTGAAATGCTCGAAGCAGCAGCGACATATCTCACAACGTCATTTTCGCGAGCAACAGAGAATCCATTTCTCCCCTGAAAAAGAATGAAGAAAACACCCTCACAAGAGAGCAAAAAAAGGCAAGAATTCTGAAGAAAATTTTCCATCTAAAAAGTCTCGTCGAAAAGAGCAAAAAAACACAAAAGAAAATTCAAACGAGTGGAGAAAGTCAACACACGTAAACACACAAAACAACATCTGCAACAACAACAACAAGAACAACAACAAGAACTTTAATAATTAAAGATGATGGAAGAATCCTTGCACACGATCCGAAAACGAATCATCAAGTCCTACGTGACTCGATTACTTTTAGCCGGACAAATGAAGGTGAGCAACAACAACAAAGCATCAGAGATTTTTCGACCGGAATTGAGCACGAAGACGTTGGTGGAGGAGATTCACAAGACGAACTCGGACGCGATGAGGATGGCGACGAAGATGGAGGAATATCCGTTCACGATGAAAGAGTGCGAGCGAGCTTTGGATGATTTGATCGCGAAAGAAGAGGGAGAGGAAGAGGAGGAAGAGGACGATGGAGGAAAGAAAAAGAAGGCGAAGAAGGACGAATCGTCCAGGACGCCTGTGAGAGCAACCTTGAAAGAGAGAAAAGCCGCCTGGCTCGAGAAGAAGAAAAAGCTCATCAAATGGTCCAAACGGTACGAGAAGAAGAATGGTGAAGAAGAAGTGGCCGTTTTCAGCTACGGGTACACGACTGTGGAGAAGAAAATGAAGGAAGCGGCGGCGGCGGCAGGGTCGTCTCTTGAGGCGGCGACGGATCCGGTATACGTATCGCAAAAAAGGAAGAGCAAATTGGAGAGAGAATTGACTTTGAAGCACGTGCTGACGGGGAGAAACAGTTATTGGGGACGCCACGAGGATTCCGATGATGAGTTGGATACTTTTGCGGCGGCGACGACGACAACACCGAAGAAAGCGCCGGGACCGCCGAGAGCGGTGCCAAAGAACAGCCCAATTCCAAAGCCTTCGCCGACGAAGACGTCACCGACCACAATGAGAACAGCAAGGAATGAAAAGCCAACGTCAGTTCCTCCAGATCGAGTCAAAGCGTTCGCGCGCGTGCTCGATCCAACCGTCCCCGTCAATCAAGTACAAAATATTCCGAGACAACCCATTTTGGAGAAGAGAAAACGAGTACCGGCGACCGCGAATAAGGTGGACGATCCGCTGAGATGTAGCACTTGCGGTAAGGTGTTTCCTACTGCGCATGGATGTAGTTTGCACGCGGCGAGGTATTGCAACGCAGCAACGCCGTCGGTGGCGGATGCTAAAAAAGAGGTTCCCAAGAAAAGCGCTAAAACGATCAGGATGGAGGAACTTATAGAAAAGAAGGCAGCGGATGAAGCTGTAGACGGCGTGACGGAAAAAATGACGAGTTCTTTGATAAAAAAGCATAAAGATGCTAAGAATGGACAGGTGAGCGCTCGAGATGATGTGAAGAAAAAGAAGAAGAACCAACGTAAAAGCAAAATCGACCCGGATGATGGAGACCACTTTGCGCAAGTCAAATGGATCGGTGAGAAGATCCCCCAACAAAGTAAATTGACTTCCAATCGCATGTATTATGAAGGATTCATCAAGTCTGACGTTGAATACAGAGTTGGTGGGTGCGCGTACTTGCTTCCTGGCAATCCTGAAGAGCCAATGTATATCGCCCAAATCGAATCTTGTTTCGAAGATAATACCGGGAAATGGTGTGAATGCAGATGGTTTTGGCGCGCGCACGAACTGACGGGCGCCGGTGAAAAATCTCTTCCGCCAGTATCAAAGAATGGGAACGATAAATTTGATCCCGAACGCGAAATCATGCTCACGCAGACCGTAGACAAGCAACCAATGACGTGTTTAGAAAACAGTTGCCAGGTGTACGGATCGAGAAAAGAAGCAGACGCGAGCAAGAAAACGGAAGAAGGCGGTTCAAACTTTGAGCAATTATATTGCAATTGGGCGTATACGGTCATTTCTGCGACGAAGCAAGGAAAGGTAAAAGGAGTCTTTACAAAAGTGTCAAAACGTAAGGGGTGCAAAGGATTCGAGTTCCCAAACGCGGTTTTTAGCGAGAAGAAAAAGAAGAAGTAAACCGTTTCGTAGTCGTAGAGAAAGAGAGTGCAGAGCGTATTTTTGGATCTAAATCCAAATTTTGTAACCCCCCGTAGTAGTAATTCACCTAATTGACATAGAACGAGTGCAGTTTCTCTTCGAACATTGAAAGACTTTCCGCGCAACTCTTGCGTTTCTTGGCCGATACTACCGCGGTACCACCACCATTTTTAACATTCAACGGAACTTCAGGATGAAATCCTCCACTCAAAGTGCTCGCCACTCTCGCGCACGACCCCGCCGCAGTTCGCGCTTTAGAAAAGAGAGAAAATTTACCCTTACTTTTGCCGTCGTTTTCCTCCTCGTTACCTCCCTCTTCAGTTGCTTTTCTCTTCAAGGATGTGGGAACTACGTCTTTTTTCGACATTTTGTGTGCAAGTTGAAAGATATCGTCGAATTCATGGTTCAAGACCGCTGTCGCAGCTCCCGCAACCACCGGATTGAAATGGTCCACCAATAAAAATAACTCCCAAGCCGTCGCCACGCCTCCATTCGCTTTCTCTGGATTAACCGAATCACTATTGAAGCGATTTATTGTAGACGACGACTTCTTGTTCTTCTTGGACTTGTACTTGATACGATCGCTCAATCCACCACGTGCAGCTGTAGGAGCAAACTTTCTTTCCTTTGTAAAATCCAAGATGTCTCTCGTCTTTGGCGCTCTTCTCAGGCATTCTGCCATCGTGAGTAAGAGTCCAAACGCTTCACCGCTTTCAACCGTCTCCACCGAGACGTTTGTTATTTTCTTTATAAAAGCCATCGCCGTAGATGTATTCATTGCCCCAAACGCTTGCGAAGCGACCCTCTGCGTCGACGCAGAGATGTTCTCTCCCAACGTTTGCGAGTTGAGAAACGCCGCGACGGCATCTACTCGTAAAGAACCCTTTGCCTTTGCTTCGAATTCATCGTATGAGTGATCAAATCTAGTTTGAAATTCCTCATTATCATTATCTGGAGGTTGCGGCAAACCCAGACTCTTTACGAATTCCATGCAATCGTTTGTTGCTTTGTACTTGTCGCAACACAAAATTTCAGAAAAAACTTTGTTTCGCGTGGAGGATAAATCCACATCCGCCAACGCGCTCTCGATACCGCCTCCTGCGAAAGAATCTACCAAGCATAGCACAACTCGACACTTATCAGCAATTGTGAACCGTTTCGACGAGAGCGCTTTCGTAAAAAGCGAAGATAAGTCTGCCATATAATCGACATCAATTAAGCGAGAAATATTCGGAAGATTTTCCAAGGTCGGCGCGAGGAGCGCAAACGTGCCTCTCTTGCGATTTTGATGCATGTGTCTACGCTGGTTCGCCACAACAGCCTCGTCGTAATCCGAATCTGGATCTGAGTCGTCCGATGAGTCACTGTTATTTGCAGTACCAACGCTGTCGTCAATATCGTCGGTGGCTCTTTTCAACACCCGCACGTACACTTCGAACACTGCTTCAATCATCTTGCTCTGGATTTTAATCTTCTCCTTCCAGGACTTTGTCTTCCCACCTTCGGCTTCGTCTAAATCTTTCTTAATCGATTTCTCTAATCTTCTCTTGAACGATTTATCGTCCGAATCGGAGTCATCCTCGTCGTTGTTGGCATTAGGATCGCCAGTGAATGGTTTCATTCTATTTTGCTCGTGCAACGCTTTCGCCATTTTCGCTCTTTGCTTTCGACTCAATTCACGTTCACCTGCTCTTTCTTTCCTCTCTTGTTTTCTTGTCATTTTCTGAAACCGTTCTTCTTCCGGTTTCAAAGCTGACACGGCTGCGTTGAGATTGATGCTTTTGAACCAGGCGATGGATTGCGGCCATATTGATTTCATATTCTTCTTTACGAGTTCAGCCATGAGTTGCAATATTTCAAGCGTGTGATCTCCGTTTTCATCTCCTCTACAAATTTCCGAAAACGCCTTTGAGGCTTCTTCAGCAATCGTCACGTCGCTTGACGTAAACGAGGAGGAGATAATTGCTCGCAATATCTCGCCTCTGTAGTTTGAATTTGGTTTTTTTGACAAGAATTGAATCAAGCACTTCCCACTCACCGAAGGCGAAGGACCGGAAACAATCGAATTGGCACCTTTTTTCGCATTCTTCGTTAATAAACGAAGGAAAGATTTGTACGTCTTGCACAAGAGGTCTTCTTCTTTTCTTTGCTTCTTGACCTTATCAGATAGGCCTTCTAATTCATTTTTATCTGCGTTTATCTCGCGCAGTCTGTAATCCGGAAGAATATCAAGCAAAAGTAGCGTCATACTAGCGCACGCGTCTTGCGCCACTTCCTTCGAATGTGGATCGTCGCACAACGTTTTAATGAGCTTCGCGGCATCTTTCATTCTCGTTTCTGGCTGTTCGATTGCTTTTTGACAGAGTTCAGCCATGAATTGACGACAAGCTAATCTTCGTCCGGATGGATCCGCCAAGTATTTTTTCGCCGAGAACGTAAAATCCACGTTCTCATTTTCCATCTGGTCGTCACTTGATTCGTCGTCGTCATCGTCATCATCGCTATCATCTTTTGAATCCTCGCCTTGTGCGCCCTTCTCTTTCGCTCCTTTCTTTTTATCGTCCTCTTCCCACCAATTTACTTTCTTCTTCTTCTTTGTAGAGGCGTCCTCGTCTGAAACGTCTTTCTGTTTCTGTTTCGTCTCCTTCTTCGCTTTTTCTAATCCTAAATCCTCGTCATCGAGCGATTTCTTTCTACTGTTGCTATTGCTACTCTTACCACTATTGTCGTCGATATTCTGGAACGCTTCAAACTCGTCCGTTCTTCCTCTTTTACCATTCGCACTCACTTCGGTTTCTTTTAAAACGGGCTTCTTCACGAGAGTTCCATCTAACCGTTTTACTGGAAGGAGCAAACGCACGTCGCCTTCTTCATCGTCGTCGTCGTCGTCGTCGTCTTCATCACCTTTATTTTCTTCTCTCATCTTCTTTTTCTTCAACATTTCTCTTTGTTTCTTCTCCCACGCTTCCTTTTTCTTCGCTTTTTCCTGTTCGAAGAACATGCGCTCTACGTTATCGTCGTCGTCGTCGTCTTCATCGTTCTTCGCGTCTCCGTGACTTTTATTCTTCTCATTCTTACCTTTTTTCTCTTCTTCAAGTTCTTTCGAATTTGCCAGCAATCGTTTGGTGAACAGCGCGTTTTTAGTCACAAACTCGACGTCTTCCTCGTCAATCGATAGGCTCTCTTCTGTATCGGAGGATTGAGTACTTTTTGTCGTGTCTCCATCGCCTCCTTTTTTCTTCGCGTTGTTGTTGTTCATGCTTCTTTTGTTGCTCTTCTTCGCGTTCTTCCGCTTAGCCTGAAAGAAATGAAAGTCGTAAACGTCCTCCAGGTCAGCGCTTTGGTCTCATCATCCGATGATATTAAAATACGAGACGGCGTTACGAAAAACGATGATGATGATGATGCGTTCTGGCGGCCGAAAGATGAGAGATTTCCAGAACGCAACGCAACTTGACGACGAAAGAGTCGTCAAAGAGAAAAGAAAAGAAAAGAAATAGGAATCGCGCGATACCTTATTCGGTGAGGAAGGAGTTTTAGCAGCAGCAGCACCCGGTGACTGCTTCTTCTTTGATGCGGTCCCTTTTTTCCCCATTTTCTCTTTTGTCTTGTTGTTGTGCGAAACAACTGTGAAGAAATACGAGTGAAAATGCAGAAGAAGAAAAAGCGGGCAGAAGAAGGAATTTTTTGGTTTTTTGGTTTTTTTTTTGATTTTGCATTTTGTCGTACTTTTTCTCTCTCTTTCTTTCTCTCTCTCTCTCTTTTGTCTCTCTCATCATCATCAGTCTTTTCTCGGGAGAAAAAAACACGCCGACGCGCATCATCTCACTCACACGTCGCGCATGCGCAGAGGAAAACTCGTCGCAGAACTGTGTTTTGGTGGTGGTAATAAATCTTTCGTCGTTTCCGTCGTCGTCTCTCGATTCTTTCTTCTCGAGAGGAGGAGTTCTCTGAAAAAAACGAGAGACAGTTACGTTCATTTGAGACGGCCGCACCCGGCTTTGAAAAACGCGTTCAGAACGCTGACCAGTGCTGCTGCTGCTGCTACAACTGATACCACAACTGCTACCGTTTGCGGTTTCGATTGTTCTCGTTCATTGGGGGATATAGGGAGACGTGAAACGAGAAGGAAAACGCACAGCGCCTCGATGGCTTGGACGAAGGATATGAACGAGAACGAAGAAAAAATAGAGGTGCCAGAAGGTTTAAAGCTGAACGCTGTTCGGATGGTCAAAACGGCGTACGAAACGTGCGCGAAAGCGAACAACTACGAAACTAAAGAAAAAGGACAAGAGGAGATGCCAAACGTTATATCCGAAGCAACCGCACAGCAATTCGTTCGAGAACGAATCGAAAGCGACGGCGAGAGCGACAACCGAAGACGAAGAGAGTATTTGAAAGCAATAGCCGAGGACGTGAAACTCGCGTCAAAACTCATAGCTTTAGACTTTGTCGTGTGCAAAAGAGCACTGGTGGAAGGAGCAATGACGCTCAGTGAAGTAGCCGAAATGGCGAAGAAGGCGAACGAAGATCATTTTTGGCGGAAAACAGTCATAAGAAGTGTTCACGAGAAATTGAGAGATGGGGCAGAAGCGAACGAGGAAGATTTACAACAATACAGCAAGGCGGCAGCGGCAACCGGGAAGAGTAAGTGGGTGAAAAATGCGCTCACGTGGTCTTTCGAATTCTTTGAACATTATTTCGGAAAGATGGAAAGCAATGTCGAACACGATGGTGACGAGGATGGGAGGCAATACGCAAAGAGTCGAAGAAAATTGATAACAAGTCTCGGTGAAGATGTAGGAAAATTAGCGCCAACTCGAATAGCTTTTCGTCGGGGTAAACGCAAAAGAGACGGAAGTAGCGAGGGAAATAACGAAGAAACAGCTCGCGTCGTGGAGGCGCGCAACGCATCGATAGATCGCAATAGGCGGTACGGTAGAGTAAATAGAAGTAAAAGTAGTAATAGCAGCGGTGACGGAAACGATGATAAAAACGGAGAGACGTTTCGGCTTTTAGATGTGGGTTCGTGTTGGGACTTTTATCGCGAGTACGAGCGCAAAAGTACGCACTTTGGCAGCTGCAAAGTCGTCGCGTTCGATTTGGCACCGGAAGATGGAGCAGAGAATGTCTTAGAGGGTGATTTTCTGAACGCACAGTTTTTTGACCGCATCGAGGACGAGAACGGGGCTGAGACGCTGCTCAAAACATCTTCCTCCTCCTCTTCGAAACGACTTGAAGGGCTTAAATTGTCCTCATTCAACATCGTGGTGCTTTCGCTAGTCCTCACGTACGTTCCGACGCCCGAAAATCGATTTCAGATGATTATTAACGCTCGAAAATGCTTGAAAGGAGATGGAGATGGACTCTTGATGATTATCGAACCGCACGGCTTCGATAAATCGAAAGAAAATTTAGTTGCAAAAACCTGGCAGCAAACCATTGAAAACGTCGGATTTAAAGCGCTGGTGAACTCCAAAACGCGAGATGGTTTACATATATTGATTTTTGAAACGTCTTCATTGCCCACTTTATCCGCTGTACGCGGGGGAAAACTGGTGATGGCGCTTGACGAAGAGTATAAGAACAAGTGATAAAAATTCTTTAAAAAATTGGGGTGTATGTTGTTCCACATTTACAAATTCTAATCTCGCACACGTAAACGGTTCCTAGGTACCATGGTACAGTATATGTTGATGTATACTGCTAATTTATTTACCGCCATCTCTATTCCACTGGATGAGGTCTTCAAACGCTTTTCTTTGCTCTTCGAAGCTTCTAACAGTTGCCGCGTTTCTCTCCGGTTCTAAAAATCCCGCCGCTTGCCAAAGTTGCGCAAACTTTTTCTCTGCTCGCTCTAAATGATCTTTCGTAGCGCTCTGGTTTTTTATTATCTCTTTAACCGCTCGATAAAAGGGCAGGGATACGAAATAATGATCCGCAGATTCCTTGTCCTTGTTTTTAGATAGCTCTTGAACTTTATTCTTTAAAGCTCTGACGTTTGCATCATCGAAACACAACTCTGGCGAGGCTTTGGATATTTTCTCGCACATTTTTGTGATCGCTTTCAGTTCATCTTCGCGTATGTAATCGAATTCCCAATCCTCGCTTGGCGCTAAAAATAAACGAGTCCCTTGGAGGAGTCTCGAACGAAGCGATAATTCGGGCGGCTGGTCCCATCGAAATAAAGAATACAGCGTCAACGGATGGACGTTTACTCTATCTCCAATCCCGAGAAGCTGGTCGTCATCCAAAGCAAAGTACGCCGGTCCTTGCACCGTATCCACTCGAACGCCTCTTCTTCCGTGGCCGTATTTTAAGTGATGTTCCTCTTGCTCCGAAAGTTTTACCGTGCCTCCTGCTGTTTGTTCGCCTTTCTTCTGTTTCTTCTTTTCTTTCTTCGCCGGTCTCTTTTGGAACTTCACCGCCAAAGCGTCGTCGTCGTCGTCGCTGCTGTTGTCGTCGCGCGTCTTTGCTTTCTTCGAGGCACGTTCTTCTCGTTCCCGTTCAACGACTTCCTTCTTCAGTTGTCGCTTTTTCTCCTCTGCCGAAGTGTCCACCGAAGTATCGATAGAGGGGACCCTGTTCGTAATCGTCTGAGCCGGCACTCGCGCCGCGTACGCGTCTCTTCTCGGATCGTTCGGTGCAAACGTGCGCTCCTTTTTCTTTGCAATTTTAGGTATGCGCGCTGAAGTCGTGTGCGCCGAGTCGTGTGGCGTTAGCGCGTTTGTCGTCGTCGTCGTGGTAGGAATAGGCGCCGTTGGTGTTTGCACGTCAACAATCTTATTCTTTTGGTGCTCGTTGTGAAGACGAGGGACTGCATTCGGTGTCGTCGTCGTCGTCGTCGTCGTTCCGGTACTCGCGTTCCCTGCCGCGCGTCTCATCATGACCAGCGTCTTCACATCGTCCACCTCGCCATCATCATCGGGGTTGGTATTTTGATGATGATTAGGTAGCTGTGATTGTCGTCGTTGTTGTTCTTGTGATTGTTTGCGTTCGCGAGCCAATTCCGCATTCAAATGTTTGTTCTTCAATTTTTCAGAAAGATTTTCCTCTCGTAAACTCTCCATCTTCTTCTCTAAAGTCGACACTCGCATCATGACCGTTTTCAACACGTGCGCCGTCTCCAAAATCTTATCCGAGAGCAATCGCGTCTCTTGCAAGAGACTGCCTTCGCTCGTCGATCCCATGATATTGATTTTAACTCGAATTCGTGTCCTAAGATTCCTTCTCTTTTCTGACGAAAGAAAGCAAAGAAAGGTGTTTGAAATGACCTGATTTTGGTGGTTTTTTAAGTGCTCAAATTTGCTTCACAAAGAAAGAGAGTAAATAGTATACTTCGTATATAATAAAGATGATGAAATAACAACATTAATATAAAAGCTAAAGCGTAGTGTGTGTGTGTGTGTGTATATATGTAGTATTTAGCGCACCATGGCGGTGTTGAGAGGCGCAGAGTTACCCGAACTCATCTTTTTGCTCGCCGGTAAATCCGGAACGGCAAAGGCGGCGTTCGTCGCATCCACCCCGCCTCTGACGACTGCATCCACGAGTTTGCACGTAGAAAACAGCTTCTTGGCGCCGAAAACAGAAGCGTTCGATCTTCGCAACGCTCGTCTCAAACTTCTCTCCGTATTTTCTTTGCTCGTACCAAATCCAAAAGCGCATTTCACATCGTCTCGCGAACCGATGGAGTCGTTCGAAGCGTCGGCGTCTTCAACAGTTAATCTCATATCCAGACTGACATCTAAGATGCGTCCTCTTCGGACGTCGCTAAACGTCAACGAGATCTTCCCGTCTTCTTCCAACACTATGTTTGAAATGCTTGTAAACGCGTCTCTGCACTTTTCGCACTCTTTTACAATCGCCTCGGCGGCTCTCAGTCTCGGGCATACGTTTTGTAAAACGCCGGAGCATCCGGCACCAGGAATGATAATCTTGGATGAGCTTTGATCCCCGATGTTCCACGCAAACGGTGCACCAGCTACGGCAGCGGCAAATTTCTTCACATTCTCAATGCCTAACGGCGAATCGCTGTTGATGTTGTTATCGCTGGACGATTGAACCAGAGTGCACCTCCCGGCGCCGGTTCGCGCATCTAAAGTGACCAAAAACAACTCGCCAACTCTCAAAGTCAATTCCGCCGATTCGGCGCCATCGACGCGTTCCAAGGAAAACGGAGCTAAAGATGCGATGATAGAATAGTCATCCGCCAAACTTTCAGCTTTCTTTGCTTTCTGAGAAAGACGAACACGGCTCGCGAGTCTCATTTTTCCTGGAGTCTGTGCGTTATTGGCAGCTATGGAAAATCTACTATTACCATTTCCAAGAGCCTTCATTGAAGATGCCGTAATCATTCTAGTGAGATTCATCGTCAATTCCTGATTGTTTTCTAAAGTTGGATCGTTCTGTACGGCAATTCGCATCTCCTCGACGCGCTCTTTCAACGACTCGACTTCGTTCGGGAGCGCAACTTGCTTCGCCTGTTTCTCGGCAACAGTCGTTTCGAGCTTGATGTCTAAGTTATTCGCGGCCTGTAAAGCTGCTCGAGAATCTAAAACTGCATTCATAACGTCCGTGCGAGTAGCATCCGGTTTCTTCGCATTTTCGATAGCGAGCATTTGCTCGGAACGCTTTTTACGCAAAAGTTCGAGTTTACGTTCGGCGATGTGCCTCAACTCGACGAGACGTTCGCGCGACTGACGCACGGATTCCTTGGAGTTTTGGGCAATTTTTTCGTGCGCACGCAAGGCTTCATTGACCGTTGTTTCCGCGTTGAGCTTTCGACGATCAAAGCGTTCGTTCGCTCCCATTTTGCATTTTTTCTTCAGCGCTTGACCAGCTCTTGAAACTTCTCGCTTGTGCTGGGGATCGTCCGAAGAAGCTAAACGAAGGAACATCGGTTGCGCAATTTCGACTTCCGAGCGTAATTTCTCAACCTCTGCGGATAACGAGTGCATTTTTTCACCAAGATCCTCGTGAAACGATTCCAACGCTTCAATCAAAGGATTCACGAGACAGACAATCTTCAACCCGTCTTCACACGTTTCTGGAGGCGGAAGCGTCGCTAACTGACCAAACGCGATTGAACTTCGTCGCATGTTCTCCGCCGGAACGAACGAAACTTGACACGCGTGATACAAATCGGAGAGTTCCAACGGTTTCGCGTCTTTCGCTAATAACGCATCCGGAATCGGCGGTAATTCGACGGGTAATCCTTTCAACGCACCTTTTCTCGCCGGCGTTCCAAAGTTTCGCGCCTTGTCATTATCGAACGTTGGCGTGTAGTGACCGTGGAGCTCGGATCTATCCAGTAACATCAAAGCAGATGAGCGTCTATTTCTGTTGTATCTCGCACCCGGCGTGTTGTACATTTGACTTTGACGACGAAAGATATCGTCTTTCGTAACCGTGACCGAATGCATATTCGTGTCATTTCCATCAACTTGATAATTCATTCGCATCGTTTGCAAAGCCTCCTGACCGTGCTGTTGCTTACGAAGCGCTTCTGCCATACGAAGAGTAGATTCACCCGGAGTGAAACCATCGTGTTCGCTCTTTGCGTTTGAACTCGGAGCGTCGAATGGCGTTTGAAGTTGCGTAGTATTCGCATTGGCCACGTTACCCCCAAGGGTCATCGAAGGTGTTTCTTGAGCAGAAGATGATAACGTGTTAGTCGAATTCAACGGCTGCGTTCCGGTCAATCTTCGAGTCGCGTTGGCGCCTGCTCCATACAAAAATTCGTATGTCTCTGTTCCCATCTCCTTGTTCGCTTTTGCTCTCAAGTCAATCTCGTCGAAGTCTTCATCGTCGTATCCCATAGTCACATTCATTGTTCCAGTATTTATCGTCGTAGTGTTGTTGGTGGTGGTATTATTCAATCTCGTCGTTGTGTTCATCCTCGTCGCCGTCGTCGTCGCCGTTGCCGGCGTGATTGTAGCATGTTCTCGAGAACTTCCATCTTTATCGACGAGATCCGGATCAAGAGAGCTATCAAATCCAAACGTAAAACTCGGCGTAATCGGTTGCTGCTTGTTATTGTTGTTGTTGTTTTGCATCATCGAATCATCGACAGAGTTCGTGACGTTCAATTTTTCGGTTCCTCCCGAGGTATACTGCGATGCTATCGATTGGTTGTTGTTCACCGTGACGTTCAAAACACTTCCGAGAGTAATTTCATCTTCTTGTTGCACTACTTGCTCTGCGGAGACATTCGCATCCACGCTCCGATTTTCAGTGGCGCTAATATTCTCTTTATCGTGTTCTTCATCTTCGTCCAATAATCTCGACATTGATGGCACCGCCTCCGTAATCAAGGCTGTCGTCGCGCCTTCATCACCTCTTCCTCCCGCACCAACATTCTTATCCCTTCCTTCTTCTTCGTCATCGTCGTCCTCTTTTTCGTCTTCTTCGACCAAATTGGCCATGCTCGGAATAACCGACGTCGTCAAACCTTCGGTGGGTTGATAGCTAAATCCAGTCGTTGTCTGATTCCTCGTGACGTCGTCATCCACGTCTCCATCCTCTTCTTCCTCTTGCAACGGTTCTAAACCACTCAACTGGAAATCAACGTCATCGTTCACGATTGATGAATCGTTCAATAAGCTTTGGTTGAGCATAGTCTCATCTAATGCTGCTCCTCCTTTTCCTCCTCCCGCTGTTCCAAACGAATCGCGCGTCTTTGTGTTCGAGTTGTTGCTCTCCTGTACGGGTTTTATAAATGTGATAAAGAGTTTCATGATGGTTGGTCAGTCGATGTGTCTGTGATATTCTGCGTCGTCGTCGTCAAATATATCGCGAAAACGAAAACAATGGTTGGTGGATAAACGAGAGAGAGAGAGAGAGAGAGAAGAAAGAAGAAAGAAGAATTCACAACTTTTGTTATTTGTTCCCCTTCTCTCTCTCTCTCTTTGAGTAAAAAAACAAAATTGTGGGGTAGTGTCCCTCTTCGTTACGCACCTTGTAATACTCTCTCACTTCCTCCAATTCTCTCGGCTGAGCGAACGAAACGCGTCTCCCTCCGAGACTTTGTCTTCGTTTCTTCTTCGCTTGGAACGAAGGCGATTGCGCTATCGTTCGCGATTGCGGATCAGCGACAACAACGCCCGCAGTTTGAATTTTTTGCGCTCCTACTAATTCTCTCGTCGTTGTCGTCGTCGTCGTATTATTATTATCGTTTTCCATATCTACTTCTTCTTCAGTGTTGTTGTTATCTTCTTCTACTTTTCGCCTGGTCGACGCGTTCGGGGCTAACGCATCTCCGAGAGCTTGCTTTCGTTCCCGCTTTAGTATCTAATTAGAGAGAGAGAGAGAGGTGAGTTTTGGTTAAAATTGAAAGAGTTTTCCCGTTTGAATTTTGGCCTCTCAAAGAAGGCGAGAAATGAAAAGTGCGATACATAACGAAGAAAGAAAAAGAGACACACGACGCACCGATGATGGCGTCGTCGCCGCGCTGTTGCCATTGTTGTTGTTGTTATTGCTATGAGTTTTGTTCTCTTTACTCGTGTCGTCGTCCATTTTCGACGACGCGTGCGTGGTGAGAGGGGCAAACTTTTGAAAACTTTTCTGAATCTCCGCTTCTCTTTTCCCTGAGTTTAGGGTGCTCGGCTTATTTAGGGTGTCCAAAATTCAAAAATCACCCAAAACAGCAAATATGAACACACCGTGGTGTTCACTTTCGGTTTTGTTCGCGCGAATGGTTAGTTGAATAATAAAGACTGTTTTGAGGGACGATATCTTGTAAGCGCGCGTATTTATGTACCAGAAGCAATCTCTGTTAAAGTTTTATGGTGCGTTGTTGAAGTATGACGGAAGAAGATTCGATGAGAGGTGTTCTCGTGCGCGCAAAGAGAAAAGAGAGTAAAAAAGAGAGGAGAAGAAAAGAGAAGAGAAAAAAATCTTTCTTCTTCTTCTTTCTCTTCTCTTTTTTCTGGAAAGACCAAAACGCGAGAGACCTCCTCTGTTTTTTTTGCAAGAAGAAAAAAGAAAAAAAGAGAAGAGTCACTCATCAAAACCAAAGAAAGAAGAAAGAAAAGAAAACCATACGTAATAAAATATATTCCTCGCGCGCGAGTAGAAATGTCGAAGCGGCTTCAAGTGCAGAGAAGAAAACGCCCACGAGGAGGATACACAAAGCGCGTTCGTCGTCTGTTTTGATGATCGGTTTTTATATCGCACGTCTGCGCGACTTTTACTGCGCAGACAGAACACGTATTTTTTCTCTTTTTGTTGTGTTCGAAGGAAGAGAAGAAAATTTGTCCTCTCGCGCTCTCTTCTCTCTCTTTCTCTTGTTTGAAAACCACCCAGCAAAAACGAGAGGAAAAGAGAAGAAATGAAAATGAGAAAAAACTCATCAAAAAAAATATTATAAAAAATGTCGCGGCTCGTGCGCTTCGTAAAACGTCAGTACTCTCGTTCAGAGTTCACCACGCGAGGGATATATTCGTAATGAATCGATGACGATCCAGCGTGTTCTTCATTTGAACCAGAATGTATCTCTACATCACCGTTTATCCTCCTCTCCTTTTTTGTTTATGTTTTTTTTCTTCTTCTTCTTCTTCTTGTTTTTTTGGGACTCTTGCAAAGGAGGTTTTTGCCTTTTCGATCAAAAAAAGAGAAAGAAAGAGAAGCTTTTTTTTGCGTTTCTCGTCCCTCTCTTTTCTCGTCCTTTCCGGCGCCTTTGAAAGAGACAAAAAAAAAGAGAGCTCTTTTTTTTCTTCTACTATCTGACGCGAACAAACGAACGAACGCGAATGCGTCGCTGAGATTGAAAAGTACGACAGGAGGAAGAGTCCAAAAAGACGACGCTCGATTGAAGAAGGTACTTTTCCTTTTTTGTTGTGTCGTTTTGTGTTCTTGTTTTTGATCAGGATGTTGTTTCGTTTCGAGAGGAGAGAGAGAAAAGGGAACCACCAAAAAAGCCCAAAAAAGGAAAGAAAAAATTCTCTCGTCGGTCCAAAAAATTCGGGTTCCTCTTCTTCTTCTTCTTTTTTCTGTTCCAAAAACGCGAGCCGCCAAAGAACGAAGGGGGTTACAAAATAAATTCTGGATCGTGTCGAAAACTTTTATCGCTCAATTATAATTGGGCAATTCAAATTCCAATTGGCGTCATAAATTTAAACACACGTACACATACCTTATATATAAATATGCCAGCTAAAGCCGCCAAGAAAGCCGCCCCGAAGAAGAAGCCAGCCGCCAAGAAGGCCGGCGCGAAGAAAGTTGCGAAGAAAGCCACCAAGAAGGTAGCGAAGAAGGCTGCGCCGAAAAAGAAGGCAGCGAAGAAGAAGGCCCCGGCCAAGAAGAAGGCTGCCAAGAAGAAGGCGCCGAAGAAGAAGGCTGCCAAGAAGGCTGCCCCGAAGAAGAAGTAAGCGTCGTAAACTACAAAATGCACTTCAATACGGACACTTTACAAATGGAAGGATGGATGGAATCCGGTCGTGTATCTCACCCGGCGACAGGATGTTTTTAAAAAATCAAAATTAGATCGTTGGAAAAATAACAAGATTCAAATTCTCGAATTTGAACCGCGATGTTTTTCTTTTGTAATAACAATCTAAACCAGAAAAATATATACATGTCAGGATATCTAATGAACCACCACAACATACACTATCGATCTATCACGTTTTTGTTCTCTTTTATTGAATTCTATGGGCCTTCTAAAAATTTCGCGCTTTGACTAAAAATTTGTTCGAATTTGAAATGCCTTCTCTTCGAAAACTCGCCGCGATGAAAAAGACACAATCGAGAAAAACAAAAATATTACATAACGAGCGTGAACGCGTATGGAAAGATGCTCTGACGTATTCGCATCATCTCAAACGACGTAAGGATATACTTTCTATCATCTCTAGAAGTTTCAAGTCATTTAAATCAAAATTAGTTCTTAAAAGCGACGCAGAGTTCTTTACGCGGGTCAAACGCGAGAAACCGAGCGAGACGGCTCGCTCGGAGCTCGCTTATTTGTCCCCAAAAATCACCAAGTTGGAACAATCTTTATGAAGCGAAATCCACGTTCTGGTGACAAAAAACAAACTAGGATCGATATCCTGCGCTCTTTTTTGGCGTTTTAGAGGTTTCCTTTCCGAAACTATCGGTCCGGAGTTTCCGCGCTCGTTCGAACGACGCGGGTTTTATCGTTGCGACGAAACCGCGCGTTCATATCAAATTTTCGTCGTTTACTCGCGCAGAACGACGGAGATGTCCTCGAGTGACAAATATGCGACTCGTTTTCTGCTTTTATGCGCGTTCTTTCACCGAAAATCAACCGCAGAATCGCACTTCAATTTTTTTTCAAGCGCGACTTTTCTCGTCTTCCTCGTTCTAAAATCGATCCAGCAACACTCAAAAGAAGAAGAAGCGATAAGAATTTCACTCAGAATCGCCAACTTTACACAACAATGCTCATCCTATTGATGATCATATCGCACAAACGAAAGCACATTCGAAAAATCTAACTTAGCGCTCGCTTTTTTGTTCTTAGTCCGGACATTTTTAAGCGGTCTAAGGATGTCTATTTTTCGGTTGAAAACCCGACAATTCAATTTGAAATCGAACGCGATTCAATCGAAAGAAAAAAAAAATTGTTCTTCCTCGATCGAGTTTGTTTTTTTTTTCTCTCTGTCCTCGTCACTCACTCAGCCAAAAACAGCCTGTTCAAACACGAGAAGAAATTTCTTCTTCTTCTTCTCTTTTCCTTGATTGTAAAACAACCTTTTCCTCCAAAAAGAAAAAAAAAACTCCGAGTTTTCCATCGAAGAAAGAATCAATCACGCGCGCTTGAAAATCAAAACCTTACGCACGCATCGCCCGCGTTAACACCGTTTTCGCGTTCCGTGCCTTCTTTCATCTGTTTTCTTGTACACGTTCCGGGAGTGGGAGCAAAGTTTATGAGCGGTTTTTTTTTCTTTTTTGTGTTTTTTCTCGTGTCTTTTTCTCTCGAGAAAAAATTGTTCCTCTTTTCTTCTCTTTCTTCTTCTTTTCTTTCTTCTTCTTTCTCGGTTCTCTCTTTTCTGGGGGTGAGAAAAAGAAGAGAAAAAATATATCTCTCGATAGAAGCGCGCGTTTTCGTTCCGAGAGAGAGAGAAGAATATTCGCACCACCACTTACGCTCGAGAGGTACAGAAGGAAAGGAAACTCTCGCCGTTATTACTTCTTCCTTCTCTCTTTTTGTCGTTGTTGTGTTGTTCGTTTCGCGGCGGGGAACAAAGTGTGTCATCAGTTTGTGACAAAAAAGGGGTGCTGGAATATTTTCGGGACGACCGACCAAAAAGAGAAAGAAGTGAGGAAAAGCGAAAAAGAGGGGGGAGCGGATTCAGCTGAAACTGCCCAAAGCCCAAAGGGAGAAAAAAGATTCAAAACACTTGTCTCCACACAAAATTATTTATAACATATACGCGATGCTGTGCTTACCATCAACCAGCGGCAGACCAAACGTATTATCGTTGTCTCGGGGCAATAACAATGTTTATTCTTCTTTTTCTTCTTCGTTGAGAAAGAGCAGGGGCCGAGAAGGAATAAAAGCTTCATCAGCGAGTTCAAAATCATCATCGGCAAAGATGAGGGGAACACAAAAAACTTCTTTCACCTCTTCTTCTTCTTCTTCTCTTTCTTCTTCTTCTCGAAAGAGCTTCGACACTTCGATGGGTAGTAGCAAAAGTAAGAAGAGAGAAGACGGAATCAAAACGTCGTTTTCAGCCAGCGCTTCTGGGTTCTTCAGCGCCGCGAATAACGAAGTGAACAACGTGAAAAAGCTCGACCAGTCCGTGAGCTTATACGAAAAGCTCGAGCGAGAAATTCGAACTTCGGACGGGAAATCGTTATCGCTTTCCGACTGCGTGATAAAGCTCGCGCTGAACGAACCATCGGTAACGTTGAGAGACCGAGTTATGGTGAGTTTGTGCGCTGAAGCTATGTCAATTATCCCAGAGTGTGGATTAGAGAACGCGTCATTGGTGATATCCATGGCTTTAAAGCACGCTTTGGTTGAAAACGGCATCGACGAGAGCACAGTTGAAGTGAAAGTTGGCTACGTGAAATCTACGAAAAAAAACGACGGAGGCGTCCGATGTGATGCGCACGTTTGGTTGGAGGTGGACCAAAGAATAATAGATTTGAGCGTAGATGGGGTTCAAATCGTGGAAATGGCCAGGAAAGCGGGCATTTCGTACGAGGATGTCGGGAAAATGGCCGAGCACTTTTCGCCGGAAATCGCCAAGGAAGTGAACAAAGATATTCGACCGGCTACGGTTTTAGGCATACCAATCGTATTAAACGAGTGCAGAAAGAACAGACTGATGTTAAAAGAACCACCCTTGACGGTGGAAGGTGCAGCAAACGCTATTGAAACGGCAAAGAAGTATCAGCAAGCGATTCAGACCATGTCTGTGAGCGATATCGAGAAGAATTTAGAGAACAAGGCGGATTTGAAGAACGCGTTTTTACGGCTATCTGGGATTAAAATTGAACGCGTTTCATCCGCAAAGAACAAATTCCACGCTTTTGAAGACGCCGCTGAAAAGATGGACAAAGCGCTCCAGACGCTCGATCGTTTGAAGGGAGCAGGACCGCGGTAGTAACTTCTCGCGACGACAAGTACTTGTATTCTTATAATAGAAGGCTTTCGCGGCAAAAAAAAGGAGAGACTGCCGAAAGCACCTTATGTAAACTATAATCGAAAATACTTCATCTTATATATAATAATAATTATTAAAAACTGTTGTCGCGATCACCTTCGTTCTCTTTTCTTTTTATTCTTATACGTGCCGTTGTTTTATACTTTCCAGACAAAAGCTTGGCTTGCTTTTTTAAGCTGTCGTTTCTTTGTCTTTGTGTTGCTGCTGCTGCCGTTGCTGCTCCTCCTCCCCCTCCTCCTCCTCTCCTGTTTCACTCGTCGATCCTCTCGCAGTAAATTTGCTACTGCTACTGCTATTACTATTGTTTGCGGTGTCCGAAGTATCCGCGCTATTACTATTTTTCGATGATGACGAAGACGAAGTACTTGTTGTATCCTTGCTAGCGTTCTTTTCCGCTTCAATCTCAGCGTATCGTCTCAACAACTGTTCTTGTTCTTCATTCATATCGACCGTTTTCGGCACTTTGACTTTAAACCTGACGTACATGTCTCCCTTATACATGCCTAAACCATCGAGTACTGTAGGTAAACCTCTCCCTCTCAACCGGACGCGATCGTTGTGTTGAGTTCCGGGCTTTACTTTCACTCTCAAAATATCCTCGCCTGGGGTTGTAGTTTTCACTTCGCCACCAAAAATAGCCTCCGTGAGATTTAACGAAACCGAAGTGACGATATCAGCACCTACTCGATCAAACTTCGGATCCTCTAATACTCGAACGGTAACGTATAAACTTCCTGGTTGTCGTCCTTGCACTTCCGGATCGATACCTTGTCCGTGCAATCTCAATCTCTGTCCGTCTTCAATCCCGGGTGGGATATCAACCACAACGTCCCTGCCTTTCACTGTTTTCCTCTTTCCATCCTTATCTTGAACGATAGTATCTGGCACTCTCAAAGTCTTTTTCGCTCCAAAATAGACTTCTTTTAGAGTAATCGTCGTTTGACCTTGCACATCGAACGATTGACGCCCAAACGGAGACTGTCCTTGCCCGCCGCCAAACATCTGCCCAAAGAGAGACTCGAAAGGATCTCCGTCGCCCATATCACCCTCGTAATGCACTCTAAATCCTCCCCCAGGTCCTCCAAAACCTTGAAATCCTTGGAAACCACCGCCTTGACCGTATGCACTTTGTCCCCCTCCTCCTCCACCACCACCACCTCCTCCATTTTGCATTTGTTCGTACGTGTCGTGCCCCACCGCGTCGTACGTCTGTCGCTGGTTTTGGTCTTTCAAACACTCGTACGCCTTCTGCACTTCTTGAAACTTCTTCTCCGTGGCATCATCTTTCGCTTTTCCGGAAGAGTCTGGGTGGTATTTCTTCGCTAATTTATAATACGCCTTCTTAATCTCGCCTTGAGAGGCGCTTTTTGGAACATCTAGAGTATCGTAATACGTCTTCGCGAACAGAGACGTAGAGGACGAAACGAAGGTTCTTCCTCCTCCTCTTCTACTTCCAAAAGAATTTTTTTCTCTTCTTCCTCTCGATACGTCGTGTGTGTCGTTCAATAATACTCCACCTCTTCCAGAGTAGCAGCGTTGGCTTTGGTGATGGTATCTTCGTCGACTACTGCTGCTGTTATTACTCGCAGCGCTCCAACTCCTCGTCTTTCCGTCGCGAAAGTCAGGCAAAGAAGATGATTGTTCTTCTTCCACCAGCTTGCCGCCAAAAGAAGAAAAAGACTGCCGAATTATCGTCGTCATCTTTTGAGAAGAAGACATCTCCGTCGTCGAGGCGACCATCTTCGTGAACAACGCGGTGTGCGCGCACCTCCGCATGATGATGATGATGATGATTACGAAGACTCTTCTTACTCTCTTTCACTCAACGCGCGCGTGTGTATCCCGATTATTATTCTTGTGGAAAAATTTATCTCTAAATTCTGTCTTCTCACAAAAGTCCTTCTTAACTGATGAGAGTCTCGAGTCTCGAGGGATGAGTTCTCCCTGCTCCTCTCTCTACCTGTCTACTCATAGTCTCTCTCTCTTATTATATACCTCTGGATAAAGTGTTCTGCTTAAAAAAAGTTACCTCAAATCAAAAGAGGAGAAGCACGCGCGCACTCCTTCGCACTGCGTTCTTCTGTCTCTATAATACACGCACAGACACCACACACGCGCGCACGATCCTTTTTCTCTTCGAGAACGAACGAAGAGTCATCTTCATAAAGGACGCAGAGAGAGCACAACAAATAAAAAATGATGTCGGCGACTTGTTTGACGGCATTACCAACAACACCATCGGCAACGTCGTCTTCTACTTTAAGCATGAAGCGTTCGTCGACGATGACGACGACGACGAGAACGATGACGAGAACACAACAACAGAACAACAGAGCAGGAAATACTCCGAAAAGAGATACGAGGGTATACATGGGCAGAAAAGCCGCGAAGGTTGCACAAACGAAGAACAAAAACGATGCCATTCGAACAAAGTTGTATGGGAAGTTTGGGAAAGAAATCGCGCGGGCGGCGAAAGAAGGCGGGACGGGGACGGATAACGTGCGTTTGCAAGGCATTTTAAAAGATGCGAAAAGAATGTCTGTGCCAGCGGATTTAATCGAGAGAAACTTGAAGAAGGCGGGCGAGGCAAAAGGCGGCGATTTCATGGAGTTGACGTACGAGTGTTACGGACACGGCGGCGTCGGCATCGTCATGGAAGTGTTATCAGATAACGTGAATCGATGCGCCGGAGACATCCCAGCGGCGGTTAAGAAAGGTGGCGGGAAAATGGCCGAGTCCGGTTCGGTGTTGTTTAACTTCGAACGAAAAGGTCTCGTGTATTTGAAATCCGGGGACGAAGATGCGATTTTTGAAGCAGCCATTGAGGCTGGCGCAGACGATGTGAAGGAGAACGACGAATTTTCCGAGGATGGTTACGTTGTTATCGCGGAATACCAGTCATTTGCGAGCGTGAGAGATTCGTTGATTGATGGTGGATTTGATGTAGACGCCGAGAACTCTGGATTAAAGTTGTTACCATTAGCAAACGTAGAAGTTTCTGAGGAAGATGCGGAAGCCAACGAAGTCCTGTTGGATAAAATTTTGGAAATTGAAGACGTCGATGCCGTGTTCACGCAAATGGATAGCATACTTTAAATCAGTTTTTGTTGAAGTTGAAACTACATATATACAGTATATATAGATTGACATTACAAACGAGCTTGCGCGCAACTCTCACTCACTGCCTGAATTAACTCTAAATTTAATACAGCACGCAAAAATAACCACCGTGAATAAAACAGCGCTTTTACTTTCCTAAGAGGCCTTCTCTGACTCCTTCTTCGTCAGGAACGATACCTAAAACCCTTCGAGGTATGCAAGGCAATATTGTTTTTGGGTTGAAGCCGGTCTCCCCCGGTCGTAACTGCGCCTGCTCGTAAAAAATACCACTCGCCATGATCAAGCACACCGCCCCCGCGCCTTCCAGTGAGGCATGGTTTTTCCAGATGAAAAAGTTCACAACCTCGGCGAGAAACTTGTTGCACGTCGCAACAACCGCACACGAAGTTGCACTCAACGCATCTCTGATGAGCATGGTAAAAAGACCCATCCCAACGCCAAAAAAACACGAGCACACCAACGCAATAAGTCCTCGGTTTCCAAATTTCAACGCGTTTCCGTTCGCGTCCATGCCATTTTTCACGTTTTCAGCTTCACCGGTAAGGAGAGACAAAACGATACCGACCGGTATCGACAAAGTGTTCACCAAAAATGTTCTCGACCACGAGTTCATTTGATATCTATTAATCGTATCTTTTGCAACCCCCCCTTCGATGCACGCCATGAAAACAAAAACTGCGCAGTACAGGTATGCAATTTTTTCCGATTTAACATCGCCAGATACGTACCAAACCGCCCCGCCGGTGATACCAGCCATCGCACAGAGTGACTTCAAGCTTGGAAATGTTCTCCCCATGAACATATAATCTAACATTGACAAGACAATGGGTGTCGTCGACTTGAACGCGATAAACGTCTCTAAAGGAGCGACTTTCATCACCCACATACCCGAGCTCAAAAGAGCAAAGAAACACGCCACGAACGGTAAAAATCCAATACACGTTCTCATGTTGATATTCTCCAACTTAATCATTCCAAACATGTGCGCTAAGCCGAGCAAAAACGACGCCGTCGCGAATTGAATGACCAAAATAACATTAGGGACAGGGATATCGGTGACGGCAATTTTATTCACCACGGAAAGTTGCGACCCGATGATGCAATCTGTTGTTTTAATACACACGAGAGAGAAAGAGAGAGAGAGAGAGAGAGATCAAAGTTGTAATTTAGCGTAAGAAACAACATCGCGTTGAAGGTGCGAACGAACGATGCGTAAACGCGACGATGTTTTTACAACGAACGAGAGAGAGAAGAGGAGAGAAAAAGAGATCCCTCTCAAAATCCTCCTCTAAAATCTTCCCGCGGCAAATCCAAGGGACGTGCGGTGCGCACACGACGCATACTTACAGCAAGTGATGATACCCAAAACCTTCATGTTTCGCCACAGATACGTGGTATCGCCGTAGTAATCGGCACCATCGACGTATTTCTTCCCTGGTTCCGCCATTTTGTGTGATGATTGATGTACAAACACACACGCTCGCGCGGAAACGAGAGGAGGAGAGAATGGGGAAAAGGCTGGATGAAAATTTTTGGTGTTGTTTTGGTCTCGTTTTTTGGGAGCTCAGAAACAAAAAAGGGAGCAAAGAAAAGCAAAGAGAGAGAGGAAGACGGAGGAGTAAAATACTTATTTGTTGTAATATATCTCAATATAAAACACACTGACAACCAGGCTACTAGATAAAGCTAAAAACGACTATAACTGCTGTGATGTGAGGAGTCGATGGCCCGCACCGCGCGATTCGTGAAAGAGTTTTTTCTCTCTAAGCGCTCTCGAATAAAGGTAGACGAGAAACGGATGTAGCGAGAGAAAAGTTTAGGAATACGAATCGCGAGCGGAGCACAACGCGCCCCCGATATACACGACAACGTGATTGATGATTAGAATAAATCTTACACAAACACGCGTCAATTAACCGTGGACACCACCCTTACTCTTTGCGTCCCCACCGATTTCAAACGTCTTGCAACGTTTGATTTTGTGCATGCACGAGCGCTTGCACGTGTTGCAGGTAAGTTTCAAGACGATCTTCTTCGTGGTCTTTGCTTTTTTGTGAAACACTGGTTTGGTTTGACCCCCGTAACCAGATTGTTTTCTGTCGTAACGGCGTTTACCTGCAGATGATAAAATAGAGAAGTCGTGTGAGTAAAAAAGAATATTAAACGCGTGCGTGCGCTTCGTTCCAATCGCGCGAGCGAGACTTTGTTTCCTCCTCGAAAGGGAGAGTTTCTGCGTTTTTGACCCTCTTCGGTGAAAAATCTCACCAACGCGTACGCGCTAGGAAAGCACCCAAACCGCTAAGGCGTGCACTCTTTTCATTTCATCGCACGCACAAAAGTCTGCACTTTGCCATTCGTCGACTTTTTCAAACTCTAGACCTTCGCGTCACCGTCTATTCCCGGTCGAATTTCACTCGCGCGCGCGCGTTTTACACAACGACGCAAAAAAATGGGAGAAATTTTGCGTACCTTGCGCGTACAAAGACGCCTTCCCGGTTTTGTACTGCGTCACTTTTTGGATCGCGTGCTTCTTGCATCCCTTGCAATACGTTCGTCGAGTTTTTGGAACCTGTGTATGATGTTCGGAAGAGACCGCGTGGGGTTAGTTTCCGGAAATTTCTCGCTAAACTACCACTGATGATTCAAAGTCGTTTCGCGGAGGTGGAAAAATTGTGCGCGCGCGTATTAAAAAAAGAAAGGATACGCCCAGACGCGAACGCAGAATCGTCGTAAAGTTGCGTCGCGTTTGAGAAGAAAAACAATATCGTTTAAAGTGGACGCACGTTGACCATGATGTGTGTGTGTGTAAAGACTAGCTAAATGTGTGAGGATGTGCTGAGTTTTGTTTTTGGTGGGTCTTCTCCTTTGGTCTTTTTTCGAACGAAAATTTCGTTCGTCTGTCTTCCTCAAGAAACTCCCCTCAAAATCGTCAAAACAAGAAAGAGCAGAAACGCGTCTGTTTTCTTCTCTCTGTTTCAAGTGGCATAGAAAGATGGAAAAACACCACAAATTACGACGACCAGCGGGATCGAGCATCCACGCGTGCAACATATGCGGCATCGAAGGCCACCAAGCCATGAACTGCGTGAACGGCAACGTCGATTGGTCCAGAAAATGGCCGAAAGAAATGTTTCAATTCGAACAGTTTGAGTACGCGAAGAGAAGAGAAGAACCGGATTACAACCAGATCGCGAGAGAGGCAAAAGCGTACGCAGCGAAGATGCGAAAGAAAATCGATAAAAGAGAGAAGAGAAATCGAGGCGAGGACGTGAGCGAGAGCGAAGAGGAGGAAGTAGAGGCGAAAAAGTTGGACGAGAAAATGCGAGCGAAACAAACGAAAGAAGAAGAAGAAGAAGGGAAGAACAAAAATACGACTAAAAAGAAAGACGGGTGGTTGGTGTATTACGATAACTTAGGACGCCCGTATTATCATAACGCAAAGTTAGGGAAGACCCAATGGACGCCACCAGATACGAACGTTTAATAATAAGAGTAATAAGAGTAATAGAGTGAGAGAGAGAGAGAGAGAGAGAGAAAGTAGTTCCTGTGCGTAGAAAAAGAGTTTTAGTGAAAGAGTGTAAAGTGTAAACCCCGAAATCGAGGAGGAAAAAGAAAAGTCAGTTTTCAGCCTTGGGTGTAGTTTGATGTAGTTTTTCGAAGTCTTTTGTTCGTTCTAAATAATAGCGGTAAAAAAATATTTCTTCTAAACCATGCGTAAAAAGAGCGCGTATTCGCTCTCATCCGAGATGTACGACTTCATTTCCTCCTTCGTGACCCACGCGAAATCGTCCACGCTGGACGATAACGCGACTTCTCCATCTAAATAGGTCGCCCGATGATAAAAGTTTGTGCCGTCTTCAAGCGCATAGTGCGCCATGGGACAGTTCCCAACCATCTGGTATTCTAAACCTCCTCCCTCGCTATACTCGCTAAAGTCTTCCTCTTCCTCGTCACCATTACTACTATCACTACTATCACTTGATTTCTTTTTACCGACGAATCCTTTAAACATTTTCGCATTCTTGAACGCCTTTTCAACCGCATTCTCCGCGGTTAAGCGCATCGTCCAATCGTCTTTTCTCTCAGCTCGCGGGAACCCCCACGTCTCTTTTCCTTTCTCCTTGACGACTAGAAACAAAAACTCGCGCAATTTTCTATTCGTGGTTTTCACATTGTCTTCCTCGTTCGTCTCAACGCTCGCCGGTTGAAACTGCTCTAGCGTTCCCGCTTCGCCTTCTTCGCCTTCGGTACTCTCCACGGGCACTTTCGCCGCGATCAGTTCGTCCGGCATAATTTTCTGAAACTGTTCGTTGTATTCTCTGGACCAGTCTTCGTACTCTTTTTCCCACTCTTCTGGTAAGGATTCAACCACTGGGAGTCGTTCGACGATCACATTCGCGAAGAACGGTTCTCGAGCTAGCTCTTCTCCTTTCTTTGGTTTTCGTATTTTATACGTGGTCGTCTCACTAAACGGCGGAGGCAGTTTCTTGTTCTTCGCGGCTGAAAGGCTTCTTCGTTTCGTCCACGTTCTCTTCGTTTTCGTCGAATAATAACAACAGCGTCCGCGAGAGAAGGTGTCTCGTTCTCTTTTATTATCGGGGCTAAAAGAAGTCGCGACCGACGAAGAAGAAGGCGTAAAAAGCCAAGAGCTGATTCTTCTTTTGTGTTGATGTTGTTGCTGCATCACCATCACCATCGACTTCATCATCGTCCTCATCGGCGACGATGAAGTCGAGGCAATGGAAGAAGATTTAGGAATGGACGTCGCGTTCGCGGGAAACCGCGAGAACAGCTCACAGAGCGCGTCAAGAGAAGCTCGATTCGCGCCGCGACGGAACATTTTCAATCTTCCCTGCTTTGGTACTAATAATATAAATAGGGTGGTGGTTGCTTGAGAAATTTGAGGGAAGTGTTTCTGTGTGTCTTGATGTTATGAGGAAAAAATTCTAATTCTAAACTCCTAATAAACTTGCGCTTTAAGATGCGGTTTAATAAATCATTTCTGATTGCAACAGTTCTACATTGCTAAGCTCTTTCTGTGCTACTTAAAACTAATTTTCTATTCTATTATTTAGCGCCACCAGCCGCGGTAGCTTCGGATTGCTGTCGAGCCTTCAAGAAAGCGTCGTAACTGGCCTTTCGGTTTTCCTTCTCCTCGTCGTAATACGCAAACGCAGCGTCCATCGATCTTAAAATTGAACGAACTCTTCGAGAAGCCTCGTTGCGCTTTTCTCCCGATAACGCTGATTTTAAATTCGAAATTGCATCGTAAAGTTCGCCCAACGCATCGTTGAGTTTGCTCGCAGACTCCCACGCGGTGGCAGTAACGAACGGCGCTTTTCGCCAAAAGTGAATCAAATATTCTTCGACTTTCGCGGCAATTTTCTTCAACGCGAGCGCTTCGCTCTCCGAAAGTAAGCGCTGGCGATTGTCGCCGTCTTCAGTCTTCTCTAAGGAAGAGAATGAATCGAAAGAAGAAATGTGTGAGGTTGTTTCGCTCTCGTGGCGCCAGAGCGACTGCGTGATAGACTCCAATGTTTTCAAAGCGGCCAATCCATCCAGTTCTTCATCTTTCACTTCGTTTTCTTCTTTACCAAAAGAACGCGCTAACTCAATAGCTTGTGCAAATGATTTTGCTTCTATTTCCGCTTCGTCTCGTTTCCTTTTCGTTTTATCCTGCTTTGACTTTGTCGTTGATTTCTTTGCAACTGTCGTTTCTGTAGATTTTTTCTTGCGGAAATACGCCGAAGCATCAGCCACTGCGAGTTCCATTTTTTTCGGTTCTTCCTCCTCTCGATTCAAATCTTCCAATCGAAGCTCTTCTGCGTCGTCATCGCTGACGTTATCATCTCCATCTCTATCCGCATCACCATCTTTGAGTCGTTTACTCGCCATCGAAATCTTTTTCAATCGGTCTTCCAACGCGTCTTTGTCTTCCTTTTCTGCAATCATCGCTGCGGTTGTCGCATTCGTTGCGACTGAATCGTCGCCTTTCGGTCTCCCTCGAAGCACGACTTCACCGTGTCTATTTAAGTCTCTCGCGATGTCCATCTTCGAGAGCGAGTCATCGTCGCCGACAAAAGTAGTCGCTTGACCTCCAGCCGCGCCTTTCCCAACTTTTTTCTTGACTTGTTCCTTCGTTCCTTGGTAACGATCGAAAACGCCGTACGCGGATTGCCCGGTGACGAGCGTATCGTCCTTATCCGCCTGTAAGTTTACAAACTCACTCACGGACTCGACTTGTTTCCTTTTCCCCGCCTCGTCTTCTAAACGTCTGGAGAACAAAATCAAATCGTTCTTTTCGGCTTCGGATTGCGCCTCGCCACCGTCTCGCATCTTCTTCATGTACTCTGACTTTAAAAACCGGTGCCAAAACTCCCTCTCTGTCAACTCCTTACGTTTCACGCAGTTATCTATGAATGCTTTTCTAACTCCCGGACGTTCGGCAAAGATTCGGTGCATTTTTTCCGAAGTTAACGTGGCTCGTATTTTATCTCTCTCTACCGAAGCGCCGTCCCTCGCGCCGATATCGTCCGCATCCATCTCGCTCTTTAATCCCGTCTTTTGCGTTAATCCTAGGCGCGAAGCGATCGAGGATAGCTTTTTTCGTCGCGCATCCCAGAATTCCGCCTCCGATATTATGCCTTGGCCAACCGTCGCGTCGAAAAGTTCTTTCAAATCTGGGTTCGTCTCCAACAGTTGTCTTCTCGCCTCTTGTTCCACTCTCGACGGCATCGACGCTTTCTCCACGTCTATTTTCGTCTTTTGCTCTTTAATCGCCTTTGAGATGTCATCTCTGTCCTTTTCGGTCTCAAATCGAAGGACAATCGCTCCTCCTCCTCCTCCTCCTCCTCCTCCTCCTCCCGAACTGTCGTGACTCACTCTCAGAGCGAAATAGTCCGCTCCTTTCTTCGCTTTTGATTTTTGTTGGTTCGTCACGGATTCAATGGAAATAACTTTCGCGCCTTTAAACGAAGAGCTCTCATCATCGCTGCTCTTCTCGGCGGCGTTGAAAACGACGTCTCGTTCGGTCACTGAAGCTTCCCCTTTCGCCCGAACCCCTTTGGCTATTTCCAACTCGCACTTTATTGGTTTCAACACCACCAACATTCTTCTTAAAATTTCTTCTACAAACTCTCTTTTCTTCTTCGTTGATGTGAAGAAGTGAAGTTGTTTTTGTCTGTCTGTCTGCCCTTTTTTTTTTAAGAGAAAAAATGAATAAAATTCTCCTCTCGTCAATGTACTCATCAAAACTTCTGTCTTTGTAATGAAACAAGTACACCACAAATCACAACTCACATCTTAGTAAAAGACTAAAAGACTTACGAAGATGAAGAAAAAGAGAGAATTCGTCGTCGTCCTTCTGTTTTTGGTCTTCGTCTACTTCTTTCTCGCCTCTTTTTTTAACTCCTCCTCTGCATCTTCCTCCTCCTTTAAAAGTAGGAGTCGTGGTAACGGTGATGGTTTTAACATTCAAGAGAAGAAAACCGGTACGAATGGTGACGGATTATTTTTCTCGTCAAAGAACAACAACAACAAAGACAACAACAAAGACAACGAAGAAAACTTGCGCGCTCTGGAGGAAATCTTTTTAGAAGAAGAGAGTCAATCCTCGGTTTCGGCGGACCCGTTAGATTTACAGTTTCTGGGATTGCAGTCCTCCTTGGGAGGCGCGAGCTCGTCGTGTAAGTTTCAGTTTGAGATTGCGTCGTGGAGAGAAACGAGACTGTTTTTCGCGTTGCACCCGGAGTGCAGACATTTAGATAAATGCGAATCAGAGTTACCTTCGCAGACGACGCTGAGTAAACAAGTGTTCGATAGTGGTGGGGGTGGTGGAAGTTCAGTGGATTCGAGAGACGAGAAGAACGAGATGATTATTAAACACAGCACGTACGTGAAACGGTTCGACGAAGATTTAAGATACGCGCACATGGCGACGATTGCAAAGATGAAAGACGAGCGGATGATTTTACTTTATCAGGCAGCACCGGCGGCAAAGAAAGATGTTGATGGTAGCGATGGAGGAGGAGGAGACGATGGTAACGGTGGTGGTGATGGTGGAGATGCCACGTATTACGAGTATAAGTTAGCGACGGAGGGATTACAAGACCAGCACATCGAGTACACGCAATCGAAGGATTTAGAGGGAAAACGATGGACGCCGCCGGTGAAGTTGCCGATATATAACGACGCTGCGGTTTGGAGTCCAGTCGTACACATAGATAACAATCAAGTGTACGTGTTTTACTCTGAATCTACTGGGTGCAAGAAAGCGATTCCGTGTAAACCTCCACAGTGCCCAAAAGGTGAAGTTTGCGAAGTCGACTCGCACGCGGAGATGTGCCATCACACGCCGAAGTCGTTGTGGGTACCGGGAGGAGATATTAAATACATAAAATCCATCGGAGACCCAGCTGAGAACAAATGGACGAAAGCGGTGACGATTTTGTCTCAAGATGAAGGAGGAGGGATACCGAAAGTTATCGCGAACTCGCTGATTGTTATGAAGAAGACTGGACACTGGGTACTTCCGTATTGGAGAGAACAACAAAACGCCATCGAAGACGGAACGTGTACTCGCAAACCAGAATTCAAAGGTTCCAGCGGACCAGATTGTCGATGGAATAAACGATCGAGATGCATGACTGGAGCGCAACCATTTTCAGGTGTTTTGGTTTCCGAAAATCGTGGGAAAACGTGGCAACCGAGAGGTCAAATCACGCAATCGAACACGAGCTTGATTGAAGGTTCGATTGCCGAGTTGAACGACGGAAGGATCATCCAAGTCTTTCGAACTCGCGTGGGATGTTTGTATAAATCGTACTCTAAAGACGAAGGAAAATCATGGACAGAACCCGAACCAATGCCAGTTCCGAACCCGAATTCGAAGGTGTTCTTAATGCGGTTAGAGCCAAACGGGGAGTTATTGCTTGCGTTCAACAACATGAAAAATCAATATCGGTCGCGAAGAGGCGCCACGAAGTGCCGAGCGTGTAGAACGCATTTACACGTGGCAATATCTAGAGATGGCGATGGAAACGAGTGGGAAACGATTGCGAGGTTGGAAGATGAGATTGGCTACGAAGCGCCACGAATTCATTACCCTTACATGGCGCAGAAAGACGCCTCGAGCGTTTTAGTGGCGTACACTCGCTTTTACTTGGGGAAAAGGAAAGGCTTGACGAGTCTCGATCAAGGCGTCAAAGTCGCAGAAATAGATTTAAAATCGATAGTTTAGTTCAAGATAAAATAGCGTTGCATTAGAGAGTTAGATAGAAGTTAGCATTACATGTAGTAGATGTAGTAGTAGAAGTAGTAGAAGTGGTAGGAATCGCTCGATTACTTTTTCAACAACTGCTTCTCGACTTTGCGCGCAAACTCGTCGAATCGTTCCAAGTCTTTTCCTATGATGGAGCCGACGAGCGGGCTGACGAGTTCTCCGACTGGTTTCAATACCGCAGGAACCTCGTATTCGATCATCATTTCTATCTTCGTGCTATTGTTTCCAACGTCTTTGAACGTGACGGATCCTCTATTTCTTAAACCGTCCTCGGACTTCCAGGCTATTCGCTCGTATTCCACCGGTTCCAAGTCTTTCGCCGTCCAAGAAAATTGAAGTTTTTGACCAAACTGTTCGGTCTCTAAAATCCACTTGGTTTTCGTCTTGTCTATGTCGTCGTATTCCACTTTTGCTATCCAAGGCATCCAATTCGGAATCCTGGTTCGATCTTGCCACAATTGCCAGCAGATCTTGAGTGGAACTCGCGTTTCAACCGAAGCGACATTTTTGACGTAGTTGTCGGAGGCGTAGGAGACGCGTTTGTTGTTTAAACGATGATTCCTTTGTTGATGTTGTTGTCGTCGTCTCGCTCGAGAATCTCGAGAAAGAAATCCATTCGTATGAAAATGTCTCGACGACAAAGAAGAAGACGCCGACGAGGAGGAAGGAGAAGAAGAAGAGGGTAAAGATAGAGACGTCAATCGCGCAGTTGGCGCGTTGGGGAGAAGACGAGCGTTCATTCTCGCTCAGAATATGTACGGCTTTTTTTCTTCTTGTGACGTATTAGTTGGTGACCTGACAAAAATTAAAAAATTAAAAAATATTCTTTCACTTTTCCCCATCATATTGATATGTTTTTCATACTTTTCATACACATTCATACACAATCATATTAATTATTTATATTGACGAAATTATGTTTGGGAAATACCGAGTCATACGCGAGAATAATTAAAATTTACGGAATAATAGCAAAATAAATAATAAAAGTTTTAGAATTTTTCATTCATTTTGATCATGAATGTATAGTTCATCCCCAAATTGAACATAAATTATAATGCTAAAGTAAATAAGGATATAAAGATAAAATTAGTAGCCTATTACTGATATTTCGTAGATTTGGGGAAAGTGGTTTTTAATTTATTAGTTATTTATTGAATTATTTACATCTTACTTCTAATGTGTACAATTTCAAGATGGAAACAATAACTAAATAAAATTCGGGGAACTTCACAAATACTTTGAGCAAGTACTTCATTTGTTTAGAAGGAAATTTTTGCGCGTTTTGTGTACTTTGATTTTGGCTGCTAATTAACTTACATTAAATTAAATCATTTTCGAGAACTGTTGTTCCCGCGAATACTATTGCTATTATATTTGCTACTACTTCGTTGAGAAGACGGTGGTTGTTTAGAATTCGGTATCGGTCTCTTCTTTCCAAAGCATCCTCCGAAACATCCTCCAGGCTTTTCGTCCCTCAATTCTCCCGCTTCTGCGAGTTTCGATTCCTGGATTCTTTGCTCCGCGCTCGCCTCGGTTTCGTTCCATCTCAACACGCCTGCTTTGGTCGATAGAGTTTCCAAGACGTATGTGATGTGATAACTGGCGAAACTCTTGTTGCTTCCAGCATCCGCGTCGTTCTTGCCCTCTTTATTGTGATTGAGATTGGAACTGCTCGGAGAGAACAAACCGCTCAGGAAGCCCATACCTCCGTTGGATGAACTCGCCGATTCATCTAGATTATTAGTATCATCTTTACCGTTGTCCTTCTTCTTCGTCATCGGAGACGGAGTTCGTAAGTCGTCGTTGTTTTTTTTGCCGTCACCGTTTCCATTTTTTACTGGTGTTGACATTCCGTTATTCGTGCTAATGTTGCTATTTCTCTCTTTTCTCTCCTTGGCTTCGTTCTTGAGTTCCGTTTCAAACTTTTTAAGCTGGTCGTTCACGTTTCTCTCGTACTGCTTCAAGCTCTTCGAGACACCTTTGATTCCTTTCGCTATTTCTGTTGGAATCTTTGTACCTACGATCACCGCTTGCGCTCCGGGATAATCGAGCATATCATCTAATAAAATCGTCAGTTTATCGGCTTCGGCCGTGAGTTTTTTCACCTCAACCGAAGCTTCGTCACCCATGTACTTTAACCCTTTCGATACGTTTTCTAACGAGCTCACCAGATTTACCAAGTCGTCTAAAATGGTTTCCACGGAGACCTCTTTTCCGTTACTACTCGAAGTCTCTCCTGAAGAAGCACCGATGATGCCGTCTTTGCGGTGTGGACTCGCGATCATGTTCCGCGACGACCTTTTCTGTTGCAACATGCCCGAAGAACCTCTCACCAAGAAATCGTCTTCTGCTGAGGGCATATATTCTTTCTGCTTATATATATATATATATCTGTGCTGGTATAGCCTTTTCGTTTAATTTAGGTGGAGACGTTCGACAAAAGTATCCGTACTCGCTCGCCTCGCGTTCTCTCTCTTCTTCTTCAACAGGAAAAACGAGGTCTTCTTCTCGAATTTTCTCTCTTGTTCTCTCGTTCTCTTTCTTCTCGGGGATTCCTCGATGAAACAGGAACACGAACGGGTCTTACTTAAACGACGAAGTAAGAAAGAAGGTTCCTCCTAAACCAGTGATTCAAATCGAATCGTTCGTTGACTCTCTTCCTTGCTTTCCTTCTTCTTCCCGTAAAAAAATGTGTTTCAGCCGCAAACGAAAAATCAACTGCGGGTAAAAGTATCTTAACTCTCTTATTATTATATTGTTCTTATTAGTATTAATATTTTATTATCAGAGCGGAGAAGCAGGAAGGGACAGGACAGAAAGAAGCACCACAGACGACGACGACAAGCCAGAGAGTCTTCTTTGTCTTCTTTTGGTGCGTGCTGCTTGAAGGTGATGATGACAAATAGTTTTGTGACGTGATGATGAGTTTTGCCCGAACAACAACAAGCTGACAAAAAAAAACAAACAAAAGGGAGGAGGAGAAAATCAGACAACGAAGAAGTCATGGAAGAGGCTGCTTGTGAACCGACTTTTTGAAAGATTTCATCACGAGTCATCAGAACAGACAAAAAATCTCGACCGGGGACGAAGAACCTCATTCCTCTTTAAACGTTTATCATCGTAATAAAAATACTCACTACTTACAGAATGAACGCTATGCTCACATCATCGTCTACTTCATCATCGTCCACGATGAACGCCGTTGCCGCCGCGCGACGACCGTCCTCTTCTTCTTCTTCTTCTTCTCCGTCTTCGTCGACGAGGACGAGAGGATATCAAAAATTCACCATCACGAACAGATATGGAAGAAGAGAAAAAGAACACCACCCAGCGTCGTCAAAAGAAGTAGCCAAGAATACGAAGAATAGCAGCATTACGAACAATACCAACGGCAACAGTAATAAAGTGTTGTTTGCGTCTGGATTGGGAGCCTCGCTCGTTGGTTTGCTCACGCCTTCAGCCGCGATGGCGATATCGATAACCGATCCTGTTTTCGGAGATATCGAGGTGTGGCAGTTTCTTATTTTAACCGCCGGTTACTGGATCGCCATCGAAGCGTATTTGGACAACAAATACGACGAAGATAAGAAGACGGTCATGCCAACGCTTAAGAAGAAGGACGAGGACGAGGACGAATAAATGGTTCATCATACACTTATCATCTAAAATTACTTTTATTGTTTTATTATATAACTGAACGAAACACACGAAGAAGTTGTTGTTTTCTACATATATAAACGCTTCAAAGCAGCACGCGTAACTTTACACAAATAATGCTCTCTTGCTCTTCGCATCGTTGTTCTCGTTATCGTTTACTTGCGAGCGAACGGATTCTTATCCCCTCCAGCCGACGTGCGCGCTTTCTTCTTCAAAGTAGACGGCGTTGACTTTGATGAGTCTCTCTTCTTCCCAGAGGATCCCACTGCGACGTTTTCTTTTTGCACTTTTTGTTGTTTCGCAACAGACGAAGGTTTTGGAGCTGGAGTTTTGGCTGCCGCCTCGAAATCGTCCTTAACTTTCTCCCCATCGTCTTTTTCATCGTCCTCGTCCGAGGAATCCTCGTCGTCCTCATCGTCTGAGGAATCTTCCTCGTCGTCTTCGTCCTCCGCGAGCATGAGAATTCGTTCGGCCAAGTTGGATTTCTTCATGGCTTTGGCAAACTTTGCTGCGGCATCTACCATTGCCGGACGCTCAAAAGTGACGGCAATATCTCCAGCTCGTGCCAATCTATCAGCCTTCACGGCTTCTACCAGGCATTTCATCATCGCCTTGTCAAAAGTTGCCTTGGCTTCCGCGAGCTCTCTGTCTCGCGCTCGCTTGGCATTCGCGTTGCTGAGCTTCTCTGAAGCAGCGGCGTTGCACACATTGAGTGCCAACTTTGCAGTCAACCCCTTCTCCTCGATGTCAAAACTCGATCCTTCCAACTGTAATGCCGGAACAGAGAGTGGTAAAATGCTCAAAACTGGTTTCGGATTCACCGAGGGACCGTATTCCGCAGATTTACAGACGACAGTTTTACACTCTTTATTCGATAAACTCACGATCCAATGCTTCTCTAAATCAGAATCTCTGGCTTTTTTCGAATCGAAGCAAGGGACCCAAGATCCACTGAACGTTTGTTTGGAGTAAATTCTGCAGATGCCAGTAGAGTCGCAGATCGCGAGCGCGCTTTCGCTCGAATTTTCGACAAAGCCCATCCACGTTAAGCGAACGATATTCTCTTGGGATTTATCGGCCTCTTCCGAGTCCGGACAAGAAAGAGGTACGTTTCCTGCGTACTTTTCTATTCGCTTCTCGACATCATAAACTTTGAACTTCAACTTGCACTCGGAAAAATGCTCTCGGTAACACACCGCTAAGGAATCGTTAGCAGCCGCGAGCGTAACAATCGGACCTTCAAAGTTGAGAACTTCCTTCTGTGCGCCGTAGGAGGTAAAGATTCGAAGCATATTCTGTGAAGTAGCGACCGCGACGAAATCATCGCCACACGCAATACTCGTCGGTCTTTCATCTTCCGGCATTTCCAAGGTCCATTCTGAGTCTTTTGTCCATGACTCGTACGGTTTGAAGAAAATTTGCGATTTCGCAGCTAATAAAACACCGGTTTCCCCACACACGCCGAGATCGTATCCTACGTCGTCGGTAATTGTAGGCATGCGCCCACCTCTGGAAGTATCGTGAAAAGACATCTCGACATTTTTCAAACCAGAATTTGTATCTTCGGTTGCTACGACGCTTCCAAGAGTGTTGTAACAAAGAAATCTGCGCTTTTGAACACCAACGGTATCCGGATTCACTTTAGTCGAGTTTACTTGGAAAGAGCCTTGCGGTTTCGGTCCTTTCGCAACGATAACCGGCGCAGAGACGTGCGCCGTAGCGCTAGGCCGCCCAAGTTCTCTTTTGCGGTTTTCTTTCTCGTCTTCTTCATCTTCTTCCACAAATCCATCATCGTCTTCCATGTCATCATCGTCGTCCAACTCGCCGTCGAGCATCGCATCTTTCGTTGCAAACTTGGAATCTTCTTCATTAGAAAAGAATCTCAACTCGTCCGCGCTCGTGGCTTGGAAAAATGGGTTCGTCTTTGAACCGCCCTCGGCGATAAGTTCGCTGGATGATAGAACATTTTCCCACTTCGCCCATTCCCCATCTGCGTTTGTCATCACGACAGCATTTTCACCTTCGATCCAGTCCATGGAACACACGTTCGTATCGCTAACATTAAGCACGACGATTGGCTTGTTCTTTTTCACGTTCCAAACGATGCACTTTTTGTCCTTTGAGGCGGCGAAGCAAAACTTCCCGTTTGGTGAAAAGCTCACCACCGAAAAGTTTTCCTTGTTGCCGTGTTCCAAATCTGAGCACTGCAGATTCTTCCTCTCGTCTATCTCTTTGAACGTTTCCAAATTGAAAAACTCTATGTTGTTCTCGCGCCCCGGGACTGCGACAACTTTCCCATCAAATCTTACCGAAACCGTATTCATGCTCTCCGCGGCGTCGATATCCGTCACCGGACACACCGTCGCTCGCAACTTCACGTCTCCAGGCTCGTCGTAATCGTTTTTATCCGTCTTATCCGAGTTATCTGGTTGTAACGTCCACACGGTCATCACCCCATCCACGTCTGAGGCGACTAAAATCGATTTATTCTCGCCGTTGAATTGCAAACTTTTAATCCCTTTGGAAGGTATTTTTAACGAAAATTTGATTTCACTCGTTTCCACGTCGATGACTTTAATCATGGTGTCCTCTCCCCCGCAGGCGATCCATTTACCGTCCGAGGAAAATGCGACGCACTTTGCCGGCAGAGCAAATCTCGTGATGTTCTTCTTAAACTGCCACTTCTTCTTTTCCCCTTCTTCTCCTCCTTCTTCTTTCGTGAAGAGTTTCACCGAGTGATCGTCCGACGCGATGGCGATATATTTGTCCTGGAACGTCGCCACCGCGTTGATGGGTTTCTGTTCTTCTTCTTCTTCTTCTTCCGTCGATTTCTTCTCTTTAGAAGAAGAAGAAGAGAGCTGCGCGATAGTTTCCTTGGTACTCAAGTCGCGAACGACCACGTACCCATCGTTCCCGCACGTCGCCACGTGCACAGAAGAAGAAGAAGAAGAAGAAAGAGGAGTGTTCGTATCATTTTTGAAATTTGAAGGAGAGAGAACGACTTTCGCGACGGTGATGCCGGCGGAGTGTCCGAACTCAAACGTGGGCGCGTTGGCGGCATCAACGACGCGAACAACATCAGATGATGATTTTGGTGAAGAAGACATGATGATTGAATACTCGCGTTCTCTCTCTTTCTCTTTCGCGAGCAGCAAAGAACTTCTTTGTTTCTTGTGTGGAGTTTGAACTGCTTTGTTTCAAATTTTTTGAGCACCGAACAGGAGAAACCGAAACCATCAGTCAGAGAAGGAAAGTTTGTTGCGTTTTTAGGTTTTTTGATGAGACCTCTTGCAGCAGTTTTTGTTTTTGTTGTTGTTGTTGTTGTTCTTCTTCTTCTTCTTCATTTATTTCCCCCTCTTCTTTCTCTTCATAAAAAGAAGAAAAATGAGCGCGTTTTCATCGTGCGCGACGACGACCAACAACGCTCGCGCGACGAGCGACATCTTCTTCTCTTCTTTTAACAACAACAGCACTATTAAGAGAAGCAGCAGAAGAACCAAAGTGGTCGTAGCCGCGTCATCATCAACAACAAAAGGGGTATCGAAGAATTCATCATCTTTTTTTGATGACAACAACGGACAGCAGCAGGGGGTACAACGACTACAACAAAAACCTTCTTCTTCTTCTTCTTCCCATCAGGCTTCCAAAACGCAGACGAGAAGACGATCGTGCATCGTCGCCAACGCTTCTTCCTCTTCTTTTTCCAATAATAATAATAATAATAAAGAAAAGTTTGAGCGGTTGAAGGATATGCTCGATGCCGTTTCCGAGGCTTTGGACGTGTCCTCAAAGGTACAGCTCTCTTTAGACGAGGCGAACGGGAAAGTCGCTCGATTGGAGTCTAAAGTCAAAGAGAGAGATCGATTGTTATCGATCGTGAGAGGATTGGAGATTGAACTCGCGGACTCGTACACGCCTAAAGAAGTCGACGAATTAGTCAAGAACTTAAAACGAGAGAGAGAGAAAGAACTCGATCAGTTGAAGAAGGAGTTGGAGGAGACAAAGTCGTTGAGAGAAAAAGTTCAAGAGATGATGAGTTTGGAAAAAGAAAAAGAAACCGCGAAAAAAGAAGCTCTGGAAAACGGAGAGAAACTCATCAAAGCCGAAATACACTTGGAGAACTTGAAAAGAGAGAGTTCTATGCAATCCATGGAGCTGCAAGGGAAAATGGAAAGCGCAGAGAGAGAGGCGAAACAACTGAAGGCGGAGATCCGAAGACTGGAGACTCGCATGGCGGATATGGTGGACGTCGAGGAGACGGACGAAGAGATGGATCGATTGAAAGGAGAATTAGAAGATGCAAAAGTAAAAAGCGACACTGTACCAATATTGCAACAAGCCTTGAAAGAAATGACGACGGAGAGAGACGATTTACGAAAGTTATTGAGAGAAGTAGAAGCCGCGATGGCGGAGATGACCGAGAACAAGGAGTTTGTCGAGTTGATCAAGGAGAAGAACAACCTTTCAGTCAAGTCTCAAGTCGCAGACTTTCAATTGAAAACGAAAAAGAATGAACCCACCACGCAAGACGTATCGAAGCAACCGTCGATGACCAAAGCAGAAACTGACAAATTATGGGTCGAGAACTGCATCGAACAAGAGTATTGCGAAGTCGAGGAAGGAGGTGAAAAAGAACAACAAGGAAAAACACTCTCCAAAGCGGAAACTGACAAATTATGGGTCGAGAACTGCGTCGAACAAGAGTATTGCGAAGTCAAAGAAGACAAACAAGAACAAGGAAAGAAGAAATCTTTCCAAAGAGCGCCGGCGGGAGATTTCACCATGAATAGAAAGATCGTCTCCGCGGAGAATGTTTCCAGCACAGAAGATTTCACCGCTCGAAAAGGTGCCTTTGAGCGAACTCCGGGTCAGTTTACTTTGCGTAAATTCGCGTTCGATTCTCCTTCAAAACGAAGAGTATCCGTTCCAGCCACCGCTTTTAAACGCACGGGTGAGTTTGAACTTCGAAGATTCATCTTCACGAGCGACGAAGTTGATGTCGATGCCACGGAAACGGTCGCCGGCGGGTTCAAGAGAACTCCGGGATCGTTCACCTTGCGCAGATTTAACTTTCGCGACAGCAATGACAGCGAAGAAGAGAAGTCTTCCCCCTCGTCTACTCTCTTTAGATTTTAATATATAATGCCGGTCATTCCATATACCTGAAAGCGTTCATTCCATCGCACTCGATGAGTACTATACCTACTTAGCTAAAAAGCTATGTCAATCAAAGTAGTTCGGTTTTCCGTTTTTCCGTTTTTCCGTTTTTCCCCCTCTTCCAAGTGGACCAAATCCACGCTCTCTGCGTTATTATTATTTGTATATTATTATTACCACACATGTCGTCGGAATGGTTCAGATACGTACCTCCGAACGAGGATCCTCCTCCTCCTCCTCCTGAGCTAAAAGAATGGGCTCAGGGCACAGCGTACGGAATGCTGTTCGGAATGGCATACGGCGCGTACGTCAACTCACCCACGACTTCGTCAGAACAACAACAAGCAGTTAAAAGTAGTAGCAGCAATAGTAGCAGTAGTAGTAGTAGTAGCAATAATAATATGAACAAAACGACATCTTCTTCCTCAGCAACGGCAACCCCGTTGTTGAATTCCAAGCACAGAGTGGAGCGAATGATACGAGGCATCACCATGCACGGCGTTCGAATAGGATCTTTTGCGAGTTGTTTCACCGCCGTTCGCTTGTATTCCAAAGCCACTCGAGATATCGACGATTATTTGAACTACGTCTTCGCCGGTGGCTTAACGAGTGGCTTGACTGGCTTAGCAATTCCAGGAAGTCGAGCGAAAGGTTTGCTCTACGGCGTTGTATTCGGGAGCGGCGTGTGCTTGCCCATTGGGTACATGATGGAAGAGAGCAATAAATGGATGGTTGAAAATGGGCTGCAGAGCTCACACCAAGAGAAAAGACAAGAGTATGAAAAGTTGAAACAAAGCGTAGGGAAGAAAAGGGAAGACGACGTGACGATGAAAGTCATAGAAAGAATGGAAAGAGAATTGAACGAAAACGTAGACGGTAGAGGCGAGGAGAGATGGTGGAAGTTTTGGCGACGACGTGGTGCTTAAAAGATTGTTAGGTAACTCGTCGGCTTTACTTTGTGGGGCGTGTATGTGTATATTTTACAAAATGCTAGTCTATGTCAATTGATGCACACCCAGATGCAGTTATGCGATACAAAAATCGACTCAGAGCCGTTCGTGGACTTTTGACTACCCTCATCTCCCTCTTCCCGTCCGCTTTCCCGTCGATTGCGCCGCTCATACTTATGCGCACATTGACGCAGTGGGCCCACTTCGTACCTAAAGCAGCAGCGACCTGACTATCTCGTGAAACCATATTAGCTTTCGCCGGGTCGTTGCTGTTGTGATAATTTGAATTTATATTCGTGTTCGTGGTCACTTGATTCGTAACCACGACAGCGACATTGAGTTGTTCCGCGTGTCGTTTCAAAGCCGCAGCGATTGAGCTCAAAATATTTTGTCGTTTTACCAGGCTTTCACTGCTCGACGAGCCGGCTCCGATCCCACCCTCTGCTCGCGCGAGTCTAGCCACAGAATCAATCACGATGAGCTTCGCATCAGACTGTGTCAATGCTGGTTTCAAATTTTCAATTCTGACTTTAAGTTCTTGAAGAGACTGCGGGGTGACAACGAATACCTTCTCCGCGAGTAGCTTCTCCAATCGCATTTCCGCATCTTTATCCATTCCTCCGAAATTCGAAACGCTATCGTTATTATTTCCATCCTTATAATAGTCTTTGTCGTAGATTTCTGGAAATCGCTTCTTTGCGATTTCCGCTAATCGATTGGAGCTAAATGTCTGTTCCGTATCGACAAACACGACGGAAGCGTCTAAACCGCCAAAATTTTTCGGCGCACACGTCTGCGCGACCAAGCCTAAACACATTTGCGTTTTCCCGCTCCCCGCTGGAGCGACAAATTCTGTAATCGTGCCAACCGGTACTCCTCCCAATAGCGCTTCATCGAGCGTTTTCACGCCCGTTTTAATAAAATTTCCCCCTTTCTGTCCAGCGCTCTTTTCTTTCATCTGGAAGGCATTAATTGGTTCTGGACACGCTCCTTTTGCAATCTGACGCAAAGCTTTGCTCGCTTTTTCGAGCGAGACGTCGATTAATTCGATCACATCTAATTCGCTCTTTTTCAAAGCTTCTTCTGCGGAGCGAACGCCTCTGGTTTCAAGCTTTGCTTTCACGTGTTTGTCGCAGTCGAGCGGCAACATTTTGTTGAATAAACAAACACTTCTTCTTCTTCTGCTTTTGAATTTTGTAAATCCAACACTCTAGTCCAACAACAACGAAGCAAGCATCTTTTCTTCGGCACTCCCTGGTACTGCACTCGTGAGTGAGCAGTCAGAGCGGGTACGCGCGTGGCTAAAGATTGAGTAGCAGTAGTGTGTGTGTGTGTGTGTTTGAAGTGATGAGAGGGGAAAATCTGAAGAAGAAGAAGAAGAAGAAAAAAAAGAAGAAGGGGATCAGTATGAACAACAAGAAAAAATGCTTATATACAACTCGGTTCACTTGGGAATATCCGGCGGGGTCTCCTCGCCCTTGTACGTCCTCGTCGGCGCGGCGAACCCGCACGACTTCCCGTCCTTCTCCACCACCGTCTCCGCCCACGGCACCTCGTATTTTCCGGCGACCATGTCTGTCATGAACGTGTACGGACAGTCTCTCGCTCCCCCCGAGACAGCGACGTAACCTCTGTGTCCCAGTTGATACGGGTTATTCTCAACCCCCCACGTCGCCCGAGCCTCTCTGACGAGATCCGGACGTATCTCCGCCGTGATAATCTCGTTCGGTCGACCCGTTGTGCCGTGCGCTAAAACCTCGCCGTCGTAGTTGACTATCATCCCCTCGCCCATGCTGTCGAACGTGCCGTCAGAGCCGCACATGCACACGTTGACTGTCGCCATCAGGTTGCAAAAAGCGTTGGAACGGTTGGTGTACCTCCACGGCTCTCTGATTGGCGCCGTGTAACCCGCGGTTCGTATCATGATCTCCGCGCCTTTGTACGCGCATTCTCTCGCACACTCGGGAAACATGCCGTCGTGGCAGATGATGAGGGCGAGGATGCACCCTTTCGGTCCGACGCACGTGGGTATCCCCACGTTACCGGGCTCCCACGGCTCAACCGGGACCCAGGGGTGGAGCTTGCGATAGTAGAGCTTGATGGCGCCCTCAGCATCGATGACAACGCCGGTGTTGTACGGCATGCCCCCTGGGTTGAGCTCCATGATGGAGAAACATCCCCAGATGCTGTTGTCGACGCACGCTTTACGAAACGCCGCGATCTCGGGTCCGTCCAGCGAACACATGATTGCCGGGTTCGTGTCCATTGACAGACCGTGGAGGGAGTACTCGGGGAACACCACGAGGTCCATCGTCGGCAAATTTCGTCGCGCCTTGGCCACCAAGTCGACGATACATTGGGTTTGCACGGCGAGGTCGGTGGGAGTGACGACGTTGGGAAGCTGGAGCTGTACTACCCCGAAGACGACGCCGTTCGGGGACTTATTCAGGCCTCCAAGGCCACCGGTGGACATGATGCAGCAACTAAGCAAGCAACTTTCTTCGACACTCACTCGATCATACTGCGCGTGAGTTAGCAGTCAGTCCGAGTGGATATGATACACGTGCGTGCCTTGTTTTGATGAGATGGGAAATTCTGAAGAAGAAGAAGAAGAAGAGAGAGCAGAGTTCGTTGCTTTTGTGAGACACCTAAAGATAGAAATCTGCGCAACAAACTATAGAGCTAAACTTTACTAACGTTATTATCGTCATACTACTAGTACTAGTACTACTACTACTCATATACGTTTGCTCATATCATTACTCCCAAGGCAACGATACTCGCTGGATCATAGATTTTACCGAACCCGCCTTTTTCGATTTTGCACGCTTACACACCGACAGGGCACCTTGCATTTCCGGACATCTCGCTTCGTACGGAGCACCAACAGCGAATGGGTCTCTGAGTTTTCTCTTTTCAGATAACGGAGCTTCGCACCCGTACGCATCTTTCTCGAATAAGCTTCTGACCTTGACTTCTCCTTCCACGAACTGTTTCTTAAACGACATCACCTCGGGCGTTCCGACGAACGCAAACCTTACGCTTGGTATTTTTAACGCCTTGGCGTGAAGCTCTTCGAATCGCTCTCGCTTGAAGTCGTAGCCAACCACGGTCGTTTTCATCGGATACTTCCCCGTCAACTCGTAAAACCGACACATGGAAAACATCAAATTTTCAAAACTATCTCGAGCGTACTCCTCCGTAAACGCTCTCTTCTCTACGCTCATCTCCCCAAACCAGTTATACGCTCGCGAAACTTGCCAATAGGACGATCCTTCGCTCACTTGACCGCCTAACTTTCTCGTTTTACCACCACTAAACAATAAAATTGCCTTTCCATCTCGTGCGGCTGTTTCGACGCCGACTTTAATCTGTTCGACCAAAGCGTTTGCCGTTCCCGCGTGCATCTGATACTCTTCTAGAAACCACGAATTTTCCTCTCCAGCGCGCATGTAATCGCTCCCAGAGTACACGGAGTGTCCAGTGACTATCACTAAGTTATCGTACTCAGGAAATGGAAACATGTTATCCTCTCCGTCCAAGAGAGAGTGGTGGTATTTGTTCGTGTTCTTATTGTTGTTGCTATACCTTTTACCACCACCACCTGTTTTTGATGTCGACAATACACTACCCGGGTGATCCTCGTCCTCGTTCCCGTCCTCGAAGACGACTTTCACGACCAGCCATCGAAAGAACAAAGCGACGACGAAAAATCGCACCACCTCGAACGCCACTCTCGCTTTCTTTTGCGTGAAGAGAAATAAAAAAAGTTGCCGCATGTGCGTCCCTCCGGGGGGGAGGAAACTCTTCTCTTTCGTTCGATATTTATTTTCATCGTTATCGTCTATAAACGAGTGCGACAACCCACCACCACCAGACTCTGGATCGTTCGTCGTGAAATTATTCGCGTTCACACCACCACCTTGACCACTACCACCACCGATGTGCGTGGGAAGCATAGTAGTCTGACTCCTCCTACTCCTCCTCTTCACTACGTGATGTGATGATGATGACAAAAGCAGCTAAAAGAAATTCTGGCGAAAAAACGTGCATGCGATGGTTTTTGAGTTTTGAGTTTTGAGTTTTGACAAACAGACGAACACACACCACTCGCAGACAAAACGAACATTTCCACCACAACACATTTGTACACAAAACGAATGAAGAAGAAGAAGAAGAAGAAGAAGAAACGCAGCAAATACATATAAAAAACACACATATATTTATACACTACTGAAGATAACAACATCATCGTAATGGTATTCAGCGCGAAGAAAGGGTTCACTTCGCTCCAAGCGGCGGCGTTTAGCGCGCAACTCGTGTTGACATGTTCCGTCTCCCTTTTGACGCACGCGACGATATCTCCGAACGGGAAATACGCGTATAAGACGGTCACGATACCATTCTTCGCGGAAGTGACGAAGTTAGCCTTGTCTTCCACGTTCTTTTACAACGATTACGTCCAATCGAACGGGCAGTTACAAATCGAGAGGAGTTCGCAAACCGTGTTAACTGCGGCTGTCCCGGCGTTGTTGTACTTCGTCTCGAACAATCTGAACTTTATCATCATACGCGAGCTCGGAGCGACGAACTTTCAACTGTTGAACAACTTGAAAATATTATCGACGGCTATATTCTTTCGCATAATCATGAAAGTAGATTTGAATAAATTACAATGGAGAATGCTCGTGTTATTAACGATAGGATGCACGGTGTCGCAACTCGGCCAAGGCAAGGACGGACACGTCTTGGTCGGGAGCGCGCTAGGATACGGATTGAAAGTATGCAACGCGTGTTTAACCGCGATGAGTAGCGTTTTCTGCGAGAAGTTTCTGAAACACTTGCCGAACAACTTTCACTTTCAGAACGTGTTGTTATATTCGTGGGGGGTACTCTTTACGACCGTATCCGTGGTGTGGGACGGCGAGCTTTTCAGCAAAGGCGTGGAGGTGCTATTTAGAGGTCACACCGCGTTGACGTTTATGTTGATTTGTAATTACGCGTTCGTAGGCATAGCGACGAGTGGAGTTATGAAGTTTTTGGATAATATTGCAAAGACGTTTGCGGCGACCGGGGCGATGTTTATCGTCGCCACGTTATCCATCGTAAAATTTGGCGAGCCTTTTCGCATAGAGTTAGTCTTGGGTTGTTTAATCGCCGCCGTCGCGGTAGACGTGTATTATCACGGCGAGTTGCTCTTGGATAAGAAGAAAGACGACGACTTCCTCGACGACGAAGAGCTCGTCGTCGTTCAGGGGTCGTCCAGTACGAGTAGAGGGGAGGAAAAAAATGCGACGATATAAGTAACAAGTAGCGGAAGAGAAGAGAAGAGAAAAGTGCTTTTCGTTTTTTGAGAGAGATTTAGGTTTGAGTACGCGTAGAAAAGTTGTAAAATTTTTGACTTCACTCTCTTTTACTTCAAAGATTGCTGTTTGTTTGATATTTGATTTGATTGCGCGCGATACTTACTCACGAAAAAATCGGTGACATACACTCTCTTCCTCCTCCTCCTCCTCTGGTTTGCGTCGAGGAGTACTGAGAAACGCCTTTTGCGGGGTAACGTTCCCATAACACGGCAAAAAACACTTTTAAAAGAGGGTAGAAAAAAATGCGCTTAAAATTCTCTTCTTTGGCTTATCGACAATATTCCGTTCGTTATTAAAAAGTTAGTTACGTTTGACTTGCTTCCGTAACTGTAAGAACAAATGTCGTCGGGAGGCAGCGATGTACGAACGACGACGTGCTTCGATAAGTATAACTTCGCATGCGTGAATACGAACGTTAAAGATGCGGACGTTATCACCGCGTTTGCGGTCTACATCCTTCTCGCGTTTCTCCTCCTCGCATCGTTCGGACTGCTGAGGCATAATATACCCATATACTCTGGGAGGTGCTATTTGAGTTCGCTGAACGTGGCTGGAAACGCGCCGCCGCCTTTGCCGAAACTTAAGCAGCGAAAAAAAGAAAACATACTGAAGTACTGGTTTGTGCACGTGTTCGGTTGGGTGTCTCACGTCATGAACGTTTCGGATACCGAGTTGGTGAACTCGAGCGGACTGGACGCCTTGGTATTTTTACGAGTCGCGCAGTTTGGAACGCAACTGTTTCTACCGATTACCGTTTTAGGACTCATTATGCTGTGTCCGATCCATATTTCTCAGTCGTTTTATATAGACTCGTTGAGAGAGACGTACGTGAATAGTACAGATGCGGTGAATTCAGGTGAAAATTATTTGATGGGGTTGACCATCGCAAATATTGAGCCTATGTCTGGTATATTTTGGGTGCACGTCCTGTTTTCCTGGCTCATCACGTTGTATACGCTATGGTTATTAAAGCATCACTATCGTTCTTACGAATTTTTGAGGCAAGTGTATGGAAGTTCCACGGGAGAGTGTAATGTATGGAGAACAATGCATTTGCCGCAAACGACTTTGCAACGTTTGTTGCAACAAGGAACGAACGAAACGGCGGAATTTGGAATCAACGTGCTCCAACCAATAGAAAAACAAGAAGAATACGACGTAGAAAATAGGATGAGTGGCGATCAAGGCGGTCTTGACAAAACAAGTAGTGGGGATGTAGGTGATGGATCTGTGAGAAAAGGAGTAACAAACCCATTTTTATCGACAGTGTCAAAAACGCTCGCTGAGATTGCAGATATCGTTTCCGGGCCCAGCGATTACGAAGAGAACGATTATAGTAAGTTTAGCGCAAGAAGTGATGGTCGTGGTGGTATTATTGATCAGTTGCAGACACAGCGTTCGGGAATGTCTAATTTTAGTACGGGAAGTGAGGGAAGAAGAAGTGCAGTCAAAAATAATAGCGCGAATGTTGCCGATGAATCGTGGCCTATCCTTTTAGAAGCAATGTTAGGTCCAGGTCTAAGTAGATCCGTGATATCGCCAAGAACTAGCGGAGGAGGTGATTTTCCTACTCCGATGTGTAGCGAAAATAGGTTCTCAACTCCAGTGGCATCAATTAATGCGGATCCAAATAATTTCAATCGAAGATCGTCACTCCCGACGTCGCCGACTGGTACCATGGTGGAAAATAGCGCACAAGAAAGAAGTCATCCTGAGAAAAATATCGACGACAGAGAGAACATCAGCAGCAAGCTAAATAGCCCTGAATCGAATGCAAGTCCTACATCGGTTTCCAGCGACGCATCCAGAGGAAGTGAAAACACGAAAAATAGCGGAGCAAAGTTCAACATGCCCAGAGCGTCTCTGGATTTGCGATTGTCAAATTACGTCACAACGCGGCCGAAAGGTTCTGACGTAGCGAGTCGGTATCATAAAAGTGAGAAACAGCACCTGACGAAAAGAGAAGAAAGAGAGAGACAAAAGAGGCAGCTTTTTCAGGAGAGACAAGAGTTAGCAAAAAGAGACGAAGAAAACGACAGCGATACTTACAGCACTAGAAAAAGAGTGATTCCGGCACCAATTGCGATTCCAAGACCAACTGGCCGCGAGTCAGGATCTGAAACGCCAGGTGAATTATCAACGGCGTCCTCGATGGGTCCGCTTTCGCCTTTGTCGCCACCCGATGCACTTGAGGCGACTCCAGATTCGTTTACATCGAAAAATGTGCACAATACTACTGCGTCAATCGGTGATTTACCGCTGAAATTGAGACGACCAGAATCGCCCAATCCGTTTCTGAGAATGCCATCAGCTGAAAATTTGAACGAAGGCATCATTCAAGGATTCAATAATACTAATAAAAGCGGGTCCTTTGAAAATTTAGAAAGTTCGGGTAATGTTGTGAGAACTGAACTGCAAGTTCTGCAAGAAAATATTTCTCAAATCGTTGAAGATTTCACTGATTACGATGAACTTGAGGATACGCATTCGATCGCGCATAACTGGTGGGTGGGATTAGATATTGCCGAAACAGTGTGGGCTAACAATAACAATGTGAAAAATAGTGAAAATTTATGGGATGATGTCGAATGTGGAACTTGCGGTCAAGATGGCGAGAATAATATCCCGTGCACACCAACTCGAGCGCGCGGTGGAGGACTCATGCATAAATCGAGCTCAAAAGATATTGAACTGCAATATCTATCGCCTCATATTCGTTCTGATGATTCTTATGGACAAGATCTCTCAGATCTCGCAGAAAAAGCTATGATGAACGATAATGCTTCTTCCTCTCGAACGAGTCCACATCCTACGCCATCTAAGGGTATTTCTCATCACGTGGTCACTCCTACGAAAGGCGCCGAAGCTGCGAGCAATCTCTTATTTCCAAATCCGTCATCTGCTCAAAATACTCCTACCCGTAAGGCGCATAGAAGACGACCGAGTGGTATGGATTTCGAAAATGAAAAAGTAAAAACGCAAACGATGGAGGCAGCGGCGGGAGTTTATGATGATTCTTATCAGTTTGCGAAGTGCTGTCCAGTACCATCTGTTGACGACAGACGATTCGTATCGGCAGTGCATTTTGTTGACGCGGATGAATTAGAGGAAGAATTTGCGGGAGAAGGTGACTTTCAAAACAACGGAGACATTAATATTCAACAACAACGAGAAAGAATCGTGTCAGTACTCGTCCAAAATTATTGCGTGTTGATGACAGATGTTGGTGATTCGCAAGGTCGAGGGGATCCGTGGGATGATCTTCAACACGTAGAAAAGTTCTTTCGCGGATTGTTTGGGGCTGATTTTCTCAGAATCATTCCCTTGCACGACCACGAACGCGTCGATTATTTGCTCACTCTGCGCGATGAAATAAAAAACTCCCGAGATCGATTAATGATGACGCGGAGAATTGGAGACATGTACGAAAGAGCTGGGACCGGATCAAAAGCATCAAATCGACGCGAATTTCTCACGAAAAGGCTAAAAACGATAGATGCTGAAATATTGCGCGAGAGAAGAGCAGCCTTATTCAAAGGCCCTGGACCTTCGTGCGTGATTGCGTTTCGATCTCAATACGCTGCAGCATGCGCTGCACAGTGTAGAATTACTTCTCGAGGAGGATCCTTTCAAATCCAACCTGCGCCTGGACCGGATGATATCAATTGGCAAACTGTCTTACTGCGCAAAAAAGAGCGTAATCGCAGGTCATTATTCGTGCTACCTCTGATTGCGATTATAATTTTTTTACCGATGGGAACGCTCGCCGGTGTTCTGAATACACTCTGCGCAAACGACGTGACATCATCAAGCGCATCAGAAGCAACGACGTTAGAATTTATGAACTGGTATTGCAAAAGTGAAGATGCAGGAGTCGTAAGAGTAATCGTGGGATCGATTTTACCGCCCATCTTGCTCACGCTATGGGAGACATTCATCATGAGTTTTGGATTACTTTATCTCGTCCAAGCGCAAACGACTCACGTTTCGTTATCAAAGACGGATCAGCAATTCACCAAGTTCTACTTTCTGTGGGCTTTTATGAATATATTCCTCGGTACTGTTTCGGGGTTCGCGTTTGAACGTTACTTGACGGCGTTGCAAACCGAAGGTCCAGATGAAATGTTAACGTTGCTTGGCTCATCCTTACCTTTGACGTCAAATTTCTTCCTCATTTGGATTTTATTTCGAGGAATTTATTTACCATCGCAACGCTTAATCTTCCCGCATCCTGGCGTACTGTGTATGGCGGTGAACAAGTTTTGCTGTTGTTTGGGTTGCGCGGTCACACCACGCGACCGGACGGTGAAGTACTCGCCAAGGTCAGTTAGAGCTGGAAGAGAAGTTGGCGTTTTCGTCATGGTGATGCTCATTGGTTTGGTTTTCGCTCCAGTTGCGCCGATGATCTCGCTACTTTCGACGATTTTCTTCGTCTTCAACTTTATAATTTGGCGTTATCACATCTTATACGTCTACGACAAGACGTATGAATCGAGTGGATCGATGTGGCAAACTGTTACGGACTTGACGATATATGCACTTTTGATCGCGCAAAGCTTTCTCTCTTTCGTCTTGCTATCAAAGAGAGCTTATGCCCCTTCTTTGGTTTTGTGGGTCACCTCAGTCCCAGTTTTAATGCAAAACAAAGCAAAATTTCGCATGCGTCACGAAAAGTTGAAGTGGGCAGTACCTTTACCGCACGCCGCGGTCGCTCCGAGAGTTGAGTTTGATCCGGTCGCATATCGGCATCCGGCGTTGAATGAAAACTCTTTCGGTTGGCATCCAGATGTCGGTAAAGTTTGGAGAGGATATAAAGACGTGACGAGCAAACGCGCGTTCGGTAGAAAGTTTCGTTACAATTACTACAATCCTCCTTCGTAATTGTATGATTTGTATTTATAGTTTCAATAATAGCCCATAGCTTCAATATACGTGTACGTCTAGCACAAACAGGGAGAGCAATTTGTAATTTGATTTGATATTTTGAAGATAAAGAACTCTCTCCAGAAAAAAAGATATCCATCGTCCTGTCTGTGACGAGGAGGTCGAGGACGATGACGACGACGATGTTGACTTCTCGCCTCGCGAGTCACTCTGTCTCCTCTTCGTCCTTTTCTCGAGTTGCTGCCGTCGCCGATAGAAGAGCAGCTCAACCAACAAGATACGATTCCAGTTGGAAACAACAACAACAACGACACCCATTTCCCCTCCGGCCATCGAGGAAGGCAAAGTTGCTCCTGAGTGGTAGCGATAGCAGCAAAATAGAAGTGAGAATACAAAGGAGAAGAGCATTTGTTCGTAGTACTACTAATGACGGTAGTAACAACCACCAACATCTTGAGGAGAAGGAGGAGCGGGAGGAGGATTTTGAAAAGAAAACGAGAGAAGAAGGAAAAGACTGGGAACGAAAACTCTTTAACGTGGACGATGGAAATGAAAGTATTACTATTGGAAAAATATGGGCAGTACCGTGGTCTCTGTCGCACGTCGTCGTGGTCATGATGCTCTGGATGATTTCATTTCTGTGGGTCGGACAGTCTTTTGTACCTTGGGCGACATTCCATATGGGTTTCGACGCAGAGGCGCTGACAAGTCGAGGCGTGGCGCTGTACTCTTTGTTTGCGGATATCGCAGCGTGTGTGGTTGGGATATTTTGCGTGTGGTTCGGGACGAGAAAGTATCAAGAAGAGTTGAAAAATACGAATTGGTTTCGGGTTACGTTTGAATCAGTCGAAGAGTTCAAACGGTGTTCGAAAGAGACTCTTTTGTTTGTGGCGACGTTTCCTCTCGTGAATCTCGTCGCGGAACTGAACTCAAAACTGTGCGATTATTTTGCAAACGGTGGAACAATTTTTAGCTTACGCGGCATCTTGACATCTTTATTCGGAGGTAATGGTTCCAGTACTCAACTGACAACCACTCCAGTGGTGGTAAATCCATCAAATTTTGAGCGCGTGGCTATGAGCGGAGACGGCGTCTCCGTATTATTCTACGCCGTCTTAGTCGCTGTGGTTGCCCCTATTTGGGAAGAGGTAATCTTTCGCGGCTTCCTCATGCCATCTTTGACGAAAAAGTGGCGCGTATCCACCTCCATATGTCTTTCTAGCTGTATATTTGCTCTGGCACACTTTTCGATGGACCGTTTCCTCCCACTCACGGCGCTTTCCGTGGCGCTCAGTATTCTTTACGTCCGAACTCGAAACGTCGTCGCACCTATCGTGCTTCACGCCTTGTGGAATGCTGCGGCTGTTTTAGAAGCCACGGACGCGTTTGATGTTTTGTTAGAGGGTTTGTTAGAAGCGTTGGGTGTTTTAGTTGGAGCTTAAGAGAAGAGAAGAGAAGAGAAGAGAAGAGAAGAGAGTAATAGTAATAGTAATAGTAGTAGTACTGGTAGTAGTAGTTGTAGTTTTTGAGATCATTTTTTTAGACCAAAATTGCCCGCCAAAATTTTATAATTCTTCTCGACTGGAAGGAAACAAAAGAACCGATTCTTCACACCTCACTCATCTCCTCGAGTTCTTATAAAGAAAGAGAAATTAAAACATGGCAGGATATATCGGCGGAACGTTTTCGTTGATTAGTTCAACAGCCCGCGTTCGATACACTGGAATTTTAGCGGAAGTCAATCAGACCGACGGATCGATCATATTGAATAATGGTGCGTTTATTTATTCTTTCGTACGTAGTTGAAAATTCTTGGCCTGGATCGAGAGAGAATGAACGAATCGTCTCAAAGGAGAAGGAAGAATACACTACTACTACTACTACTACTAATAAATCGTCTCAAAGTTGCTGTTCTTTTTCTTTTTCTACTCTCTCTCTTTTCGCACTCACGCGTATCTCTTTTTCTCTGTTCACGATGTTACATACTAAAAACAGTGTTGAGTCACGGCACGGAAAACCGAAGAAGTTTGGGGAAACCGGCGATTCCGCCCTCTCAGGAGGTCCACATGGGGATTCGTTTTCTCCAAAACGAAATCGAAGATATTGTTCAGATTCAAGAAATGGAGAGATATACAACCAGACACGGCGTCCCGGATGATTTGAGTCAATCTCAACAGGGGGTATTCCAACAGCAACAACCACCGCCACAGCAGTATCAACAACAGCAATACGGTGGCTGGGGACAACCTCCCCCGCAACAACCACCGCCACAACAACAGTATCAGCAACAAGGATATCAACAACAGCAACCACCACAACAAGGATTCGGACAGGCACCGCCTCAAGCACAGCGGCAGCAGCCAGCTGGATTGGTACCGCCACCGGCGCGACCAGGAGCTGTTCCGGCGCAGTCAGCGCCGGCGCCGGCAAGAGTCATGGAAGCGGCGAAACCGGCATACGTGAAACCGACGAGTTTCGCTGCTGCCGCGCAAGCTGGTTTGCCAACATCGAAACCAAAGCCACCGCCACCAGATAGACCAGCACCCCCGCCAGGTGGTAGAGGTGCCGGGGGAAGAATCCCGCAACCAAGAGGTGCGGGTGGCAGAGGTGGCGGTCGATTTGGTAACGTATCGAACCAAAACTTGCCTCAAAGCGCGGTTGTTCCGACTGAAGCTTTTGATTTCGAAAGCATGCTTTCTAAATTTGACAAAGCTAGAGAACAAACGGCAAACGATCTCGGCGTCGCAAAATATGAAAAGGACGACTTCTTTGATACCATGTCCTCGGACGCGACGCAAAAAGAAAACAGAAGTGCGCACTTTCAAAGAATGGCGGAACAAAGAAAAGTTGATTCGGAGACTTTTGGAAGAGAAGGCGCGACGCATACGAGCGTTCACGGTCGCGGAAGAGGTCGTGGCAGAGGTCGAGGCCGAGGAGGCCGAGGAGGACGCTATTAGAAGATCAAAAATTATTTTTGTTCTGTGTTTGTGTTGTTTAAATATATATTACAAATACTGCCCTCCCGATCGATTCCAAACAATTTCTCTATTTTTCTGTGTGTATTAGTTAGTAGTAAGCTTCGGAGAGGGCAAAGCGATTAACGATACAAAGACTCGCTTTGCAAGTTCTTTGCAATTTCTTTTTCCCACTTGTCTCCATTCGCCAACAACTTTTCCTTATCGTACAAAAGCTCCTCGTGACTGTACGTCGCGTATTCAAAGTTTGGTCCTTCCACAATCGCGTCTACCGGACACGCCTCTTGGCAAAAACCGCAGTATATGCACTTGGTCATATCGATGTCGTACTTTGTCGTTCTTCGCGATCCATCTTCTCTTTCTTCCGCGTCTATGGTAATCGCTTGCGCCGGACAGATGGCTTCGCACAATTTACACGCGATACATCTCTCCTCCCCGGTTGGGTATCTTCTCAACGCGTGTTCCCCGCGAAACCTCGGCGAGAGAGGACCTTTTTCGAACGGGTAATTTATCGTCACCTTGGTATCAAAAAAGTATTTCAACGTTAAACTCATCCCTCGAAAAAGTTCGGTTAAGAACAACGTGTTCGCGGACGCGTCCACGATGGAGGTTAAATCCGTCGCCACTGGTTTGTCCGACAAAGCTTTCGTCTGTTCCGGCGTGACGATCTCATTATTATTTTTTTGATCGTTTTCCGACGACGACGACGGAGAGGACGAGAAATGTCTTCTCTTCTTCTCGTTACTCAAATTAGTGTTGGTATAAAGAAGACTCTTTTCGGAGGAGCTGCTGATCCACGATGACGAACACAACGACGACGTTGAGGACGACGACGCCGAAGCGTGGCTGGATAATCGTCTCAAAAGCGTCGATGATCGGAGCATTTTTTCTATCTATTTTTATTCTTTATTCGTAAATGCTTTATGACGGAGAAAGAAAGAACTTTGCGGGTTTTCGTCAAAGATGAAAAACCCCACAAAAAAAAGCTTTTCGCTGGATCGGCACAAAATTTAGAGCACAAAAGACGGAGAGAGAGAGAAAAATATGTACGAGTTTCGCGAGAAAGTATTAGTATTAGTATTAGTTTTATTATTAGTTTTATTACACGAAAACAAAACGCATCCCTGCATAAACAACAGGCAACACACCGTGAGGATTAACTTCCTACTTGTAACTTATCGATTAAGCTCGAGTGCATCTTTTCTAGCTTTTGTAACTGATCGTACACGGTTAAAATCTTTTGAGAGTTGATTTCCAAGACTAAACCGCCGACGACGGTTTCGTCCAAAACCGTGTACGCTTTCGGCGAGTTGAAAATCAAGTCTAACTCGCAGACGTTCTCAAACACTCTGTCCAAGGTTTCCACGTACACTTGAATCAAATCGAGCATGGCTAATTCAGATTCCGATCGGTCGGAGAGGATGCAAAAATACAAAGTCGCAAAGTGTCTGTAGACGAGCTTCGTGTCCGGGCCGAAGGTATTGCTATCGTCCACGAACGAACACAAATGGTCTGGACGCGAGGTGACAATCTTATACACGGTTTGACACAGCTCGGATTGCTTATCGACAGCCTGTTTTTGTTGTTTTTGTTGTTTAGAAGAGAAGAAGTGGATACATATATCAGTTCAGTCTCGCGCATAATTGGCGAACACAGAGAGAGAGAAAGAGAGAGAGAGAAGAGAGATTATAACACGTATATACTAAAAGAGACGTACCAGCTGTTCGTAAAATCTGCACAGTCGAACCATCGCGTGGTTATTCACCACGATAAACGCTTTGATCATCTTTGACCAAACTCTTCTCTCTTTCTCTCGTTGTTTTTATTGCTCAATTTGTAAATTTATATGCGTGGAGCACGCGTGTACTCAATTCAATTTTCGATGATGCGCAAACTTTCTTCTTCTTCTTCTATCAAAAGAAAAGAATAAACTCTCTTCTAAACGACCACCACCGGTTTTGAAGAGGACTTCTTTAACTTCTTCTCGTATATATACGTATATATAATCGAAAGAGAGAGAGAGAGAGAGAGAGAGAAGAGGGAAAGAGAGGAAAATTTTTTGCTCCGCAGAGAATGAAGCCAAACAGCGGCCCGAGACCACCAAAATGAATAAAAAGCAATAATCTTTCGACGACTTTCGTTCGTGGTCGAGACAAAAACCGCACTCGTAAAAATATAAAGAGGTGAGACGGAAGAAAATGTTGGGAAGACTGATGACGGAATGGCTGACGAGCAGCGCGCAGTGCGAAGAAGCACCGGAAAAGGTACGACTTTTGAAGAGCGAGCGAAAGACCGAGAGTTCTTGCTTTTCTTCTTCTCTCTTTCGACGCTACGAGAACGCGACTTTTTAAAGCGAGGAGGAAGCCATGATGGATGACTCCTCTCTGTCATTCTCACGTGTAGGGATGGATCCAAACGCTTCAACCTCTTCTCTCTTTTTTTATTCTTTCTTTTGAATGCATTTGATGAGAGAGAAGAAGCGCATCGATATCATCATCCAAACGCGTTCTCTCACGCGAAGACATCATCGCAGCACTTCTTCGTCCACGATGAGTAGAAAGGAGTGGTCTCTTTCTTTTGTTGCAAAGTAGAAAAGAGAAAGAGAGAAACGATTCCTCTCTCTCCTCCGCGAAGGGAAAGGAGGAATCGTGATTTTGGGCGAAAACAAGAAGAAGAAGAAAGGGCTTCCTTCCTCCAAAAAGGAGAGAAAAATGCGATGCTTATTTTACTAACGCGATTTTTCAAACTCTCTCTCTCTCACTCTCTAATATATAATACTATTCAAAAACAGAACGAAGAGGAACAAGTAGAAGAAGAACAAGTAGCAGCAGAGGAAGAGCCAGAACAAGAGGAAGAAGCATCGTCTGAAGATATTGTGGTTAAAACTACGCCGTTCGACCCGAGGTTCCCGCAGCAAAATCAAGCGAAGCATTGCTACACGCGATACAACGAGTATCACAAGTGCGCGGCTGAAAAGGGAGAAGAAGAGTGCGCTTCTATGGCGAGATTGTACAGATCTATTTGTCCGGGAGAATGGGTGGAGAAATGGAACGAAGAACGCGACAATGGAACGTGGCCGGGACGCTATTAAACACACGCACTTGTATCTACGAAAAACTATATCATCATCATCATCATCATCATCATCAAAATATTCTATATTATCGCATCCACCTCCCGCTGGAAATCCATTTCATTTGCATGTACGCTCTTTCGTAGAACGCTTCGAGAGAATCCAGCGCTGGTCGAACGTCTACGTGCATTGCTATCGGTCCAACCTCGAGAGAGGAAGAATCGCCCTTTCCTTGCGGAGGAACTTTGGCGTTGTAAAAATCTATGACGTACCGAACGTCTTCACCGTTTCTATCGATTATCCAATCGTGTCTATCAAAAGGTAACTTATACCCGAGCGCGTTCAATAATCTCGCTTTCGGGGAGTAATCTCTTGGTTTCCCCTTAAACCGCAAAAGAGAAACAGACGCGTTGTTTGTTTCTTCCTCGCCTGGATCTCCTCCTCCTCCTCCTCCTCCTCCGCTAAGCGTCTTCGGATGAAACTCTTTCTCCCACTTTAGAATTTCTTGCCAACACCTCTCGTTGACGACGTTGTGAATTTTAACTACGTTGTCGATGTCTGTTTCCGGTGGTTGCCACCCTTTCCGTTTAATCGCTTCGTAAAACATCTTCGGCGAAGGATACGTCCAATTTTTTGTTCTGCTCTTTTCATCTTGTTGGTGTTTGGGAAGGTCCGTCGCGCGCTGAGAAATTGGAATCGAACTCGTCTCTCTCAGCTTACTCAGTTTCGAAATTCCCGACGAGGACGACGAGAATGAAGATCTCCTTCTCGTTTCCTCTATCTTTTTCCTTCTGTCGTCATCGTCCTCGTCGACGCCGTCGTCCAAATTCTTCGGCATAAAGTTCGCCTCCGAAGTCGTTGTTTTCCCGTTGTCTCGTTCTCGCGCAGAAGAAGAAGAAGAAGAAGAAGAAGAAGAACTGGCGACTTTGGCGAAAAGAGACGCCGCTCTTTGCTCCCTTCTTTCCAGAGACTCCTCTCCACGACGAGCTGGTTTAGAAGATTGGGCGCCCATGATGATGTATCTCTCCCCTTTAAAGGAAAATCTGAAGTGTGGGATTCTGTCTGTGTGTGTGTAACTAAAGCTCTTTTTTTCTATAACTTTGTCTTTCTAATAAGTTTCTATTTTATCGAAGAGAACCAGCAGCAGTTTCTTTGAAACGAAACCCTTTTGAAACGAGACGACTTTGGTACCACGAGCAAGAAGACGCGGGAACGACCGACGACGACGACGGCTTCGAGGAGGATTTCAAGACGATCCTCGCGAAGACGTTTCCTTTTACGTTTTTGCGCGTTCCTCTCCTTTCTTCTTTTTCTTCTGCTTCGAACAGGCCGTTGAGATTTCTCTTCATCGCGAAGCGATTGCTCAGTTCTGCTCTCAGTGCGTTCTTTTCATCATCGCTCTCATCGTCATTATCAGCGGCGTCTTCGTGTTTTAAAAATATCCAAATCTTTTGCGAAGTGCGCGAGGGATTCGTTCGCAAGCCGGCGACGTGCGGCATCACCGCTCTCACTATTCTATTCGCCGCCGATTTCGTCTTCTTTTCGCTCTGTGCTTCTTCTTCTTCTCCTCCTTCTCCTCTCGTCGCACTATATCTCACGTCTTCTAAATCGATGATGTACGTTTCAACCGGTCGATTCACAGTCGCGCCAAAACACACCGCCACTCGCTTCACCGGTTGTCTCGACGCGAACTCTTCTTCGCTCAGAGACTCCATCAAGCGCTCAATTTGCGCAATCTGATTAAATAACTTCTTCTCCGATCTCTTGCTGCTCTTTCTTTTCCTCTTCTTCTTCGTTTTCTCCTTTGCATTCTCTTCGTTTGGATCCTCCTCTTCTTCTTCTTTTTGTTCTACTCTCCGCAGCGACACCAAATCTGCATACATGAGCGGAATTTGGTTTCTGTTGAAGAGCAGAAACTTAACAATCTCTCGACAAATGTGTGCGACTGTTCTCGCCGTCAGCAGCGCATCCTCCTCCTCGAAATTCGGAATCCGGAACGGTCCTATTTCCGAGAGCGTTTCTCTCCCGTCGCTCTTTTTGCGCTTCTTCTTCTTTTTCTCTTCTTCTCCTTTTCCTTCTCGCTGTTGTTGTCCTCGTTTCTCCGTCGTGCTCGTTGATGTTTTTCTTCTTTTCATCTGAACTCCTTTTCGCTTTTGCTCGTCATCGTGTCGTCGTCAATAGTAGCGCTACACATTTTCTCTCTTCTTCTTCTTCTTTGTCTTCTTCGTCGTAACATCATTATCATCATCCTCATCCTCATCTGTCTCTCTCTGTCTCTGTCTCTCTCTCTCTCTCTCTCTTTGTAAAAAGTTTGATGTTGTTTGTTCGTTATAAAAAAGAGGGGAACAGAAGAGAGAAAAATTTGAAGAACAACACAAAACAGAACAACAAAAAACAGCAGAATTTTATTCTTCTTTATTCTTCACACAACAAACTGAATTAAGAGAGAGAATGCAAAGTGTCACTTCTCTTCTCACTACTCCTCGCGCTGCTTTGGTCGCATCAAATCATCCTCTTTCAAAGAAGAAGAGTTGTTGCAGTAAAAGCAATAAAAGCAGCAGCGGCGTGGGGGGTATTCGAAGACGACAAAGGACCACTCGGAGTCAATTCGTACATTTTAATGTGGCTGCGGTTGCCGCCGAAAACGAGGAGGGGGAGGACGAGGACGATGAAGAAATGTTCGAAATAGACGAGGGAGAGTTTATCGTGGAAGCGTTCGATACGGAGGAAGAATTATCCGCGGCGTTGTGCTTGGAAGTGTTTGAAAACGCGAAAGCGTGCATCGAAGACAGAGGCGCGTTCTCGTTAGCCATACCAGGCGGGAGCGTGGCGAAAGCTTTGAAAGGATTGTGCGAATTGGAGGACGAAGGTTTGGATTGGAGCAAAATGCACGTGTTTTTCGTCAACGAGAGACCGGAGGAACAAAAGTGCTATAATTTGGCGAGAACAACGTGGGTGGATGAATTCATCGCGCAAGGGAAATTTAAATTGGAGAATTTACACAAAGTGATGGAAAACGCGGAGGATTTGGACGGAGTCGCCAAAGACTACGAGGCGCAAATGTTCGCGTTGGCCGAGGACGAAGTGTTGCCGAGAGACGAATACACGAAAGCGCCTGTGTTTGATTTGATTTTACTTGGGATGGGTGCCGATGGCCACGTGGGTTCTATTTATCCCAATTCTCCGCAAGCGAAAGACGAGAACATCTCCACGAACGTTTTCGCCGTGGACATGCCAGGGAAGCGAACGATTTCGATGAGTTTACACTTGATAAATCAAGCCGATCGCGTGGTCGTCGCGGCGACCGGCGCCGGGAAAGCCGAAACTGTAAAGAAAGCGTTGGAGGAAGATTTGGAGTTTGGTGAATTACCGGGAGCAATGGTGGACGCGTTTTCTACGATTTGGTTTTTGGATCTCGCCGCCGCTTCAAAGCTATCGAGCGTTCAGGACGACGAGTAGAAAGCGCTCGCTCGCGGTTTCGTCGTTGCTCGCGTTGCTCGTTTGCGTTGATTTCTATATACCAGTATATCATTACTCTACTTTATTATGTACCAGTGTTACTTTTTAATTTACAAAAATCTTTCGCTTTCTTATTATACGCGGCGCTTTTTAAAATTGACCACTAATCGACGGCGCTTTATTCACCGCACCCATCATCGCGACAACTCTTTCTCTCAGTTGAGCGACGTCCCAATCCAAATCAGTAATCACGTGCTCGTAGATGTACCCAGCCTTGTCCAATTTGTATTCACTAATGCCGTCAAACTGCGCGACGTCGACTCCAATCGCCGCTCCGAGACGAATATGACCGCGTACGCTCCATCGCACGCGAATAGTTCGCTTCCCGGTCGTGCTTAATGGCGACCAAATTCTCGTCACTTTCACCGAACACGAACTGAATATGATGGCCGCAATCGTTCTGATGACTTTGAAAACTCTTTTATAATGATTCAAACCTCTGGCCATGACGTATCCTCCGTCTCCGCCGATCAAGCTGTCTGGATCTCGGTTTCGTCCAAAAGTACACGTCGCGTCGACTAATCCAACGTCTTCCCTGAATATCGAAAACCGTGGTTCTTTTGATAGAAAAAACGGATAGTCTTCGCGCAAGGTACGAATGGCTTCGCCCGACTGCGCGTAGAACTCGTCGTCTGGTTCTTTTTTGTTCTGGTTGCTCGATCTATCGCCGTTATCCGAGGACGATGCCGAGCGTCGCCCTCCGCTTTCGTTCGATTCTGGAGCCGAAACTACCGGGAGACAAATCAAAGGCGTCGTCAATGGGTTCATTGTCGTCGTCATTGCCGCTGCTGCTCCGCTACTCTTCGTACTGCTATTATTCCACGCTTTCCACGAGTGCGTATCTCGCTCCCTCTGTCGTCTCATGTTCTCTCGGTCCGTTTCTTCGTCGTCAATTTTCAAATCCAATGTCGCGCGTACGCCTTTACCGCCACCTCTGCAGCTTGGGCATATCGTTCGACACGTATAGTTGCACGTCCCGCACCCCTCTCCGTCGTTTGACCACTTTGTGCACGCGCACGTCGCGTATCCAGTCCCTTCGCACGTGGGGCAATCTTCCCGTCCTGACCCGAAAAAGTTCTTCGTTTGTCCGTTAGGAGATTTGTTGCTTCCCCCGACTAACGCTTTGATGCGGTCCCGAAAGAGAAAGGCACCCGCGGCGACGGCGGAAAGCGCGCCTTGTTCAACCAGCCACTGGGCACTCCCGAACGACGGTAACGAAGAATACACTTTCAAACTGTTCTTTCGACGACGTCCACCAGAGAGACGATGTTGTTGGTATTGTAATTTGCTCTCGTTAAAGTTGTTGACTTTATTCTCAGAAAGCCTCCTCTGAAAACTTCCATTTTGGGAAGAAAAAGAACACGACGCCGTTCGGTGCGAATTCGAGCGGTGCAAACACCGCGTCGTTGGTGTCGTCGATTCGGACGAGGAATTATTTTTCCTTCTTCGATTATTCGCAGGACTCAAACGTGCGACAACTGATGACGCGACTGGAACACCACACAAAGACTCCATTATTTGTGCACACAAATATCTTCTTCGCGCGGACTCTTTTTTTTAAGAGTCGGTTGTTTGCCCGAACGCAGAGTATATGTGGTGCGTGTGTTTATGCGCGCGAATACTATAATGAAGATGACGAGAGTGGTGACGCTTCTTTTTTCTGACAAAAAATCTGAGGAGGAGAAAGGAGCTGTTGAATGGATTTTGCTTCATGCAAAAAAATTAAAAGCTCTGCTTCAAAATGCAAAAAAAAGCCACCCACTGACAGAGGTTTTTGGCGACGTTTCGGAGTTTATCTTTTTTCCGCGCCAGACGAAAGGCAGATAAAAATGCCTTTTTTGTGTTCGGATTTTAATAATACATTTCACGAGACGACGAGGATGAGAAAAGGTTTTAGATCTGAGAGAAGAAGAAGATAATAATCTACTAATGAAAGAGAAGATACCACGGGGGAGACGGAGATCGTCGCGAAATGGCGCGTCGTTCGGTCCTGCGCGAAAGAAGAAGAAGAAGATGCATCTTCTTTCGTGTTTTTTTTGCGTCACATCGTGGGTGCATGTGTTCACTTCTCTCGCGACCCTTGGGGAAGAAGTTCTCGACGCTTCAACGTGTCCGATCAGCAACGGTACAGGCGACCAAGGGTACGCGGATACCTATCGCGGCTGGTACGACGCGAGTGGGTGCGGTATTTGCCAAGATTACTGCAGATGGGTTGGAGATTCAGGTTCTGGTGGCGACCCGAGCGTGAGAACGTCCTCTGGTGATTCGTTTTGGTCGTGCAGAAAAGCGGGCGGGAAAGCGTCTAATCCGGGTACGAATCAAAAAGATTTTTGTCCGGATCCATCCAACACGAACATTCGAAGTGTTGGCGGTTGCGGTACCGATGATTACTCCGCGAAAGGCTATTACGGCGACACTTTCACCTTTGAAAAGTGTTCAGGGCAAGGCGTTGAACTGAACCCAACACAGACGACGTCTACGGAGGAAGAGACGCAGCCTCGCGTCTCTGGATTAGTCGGGATTCAAAGAGGCCCAAAACGTACAGAGTATGCGAACGGCATTTTTAACGTAAACACGGGAGGGAAGAACGGTAAAGAGTTACAAATCAATTCGCATCGTGTCAAAACGAGCGCTGATTACCAATTTTGGGAAGACGTGCAGTGTCGAGAGACGTTATACATCGGAAACGACGAGGAAGGCAACAAAATCGAGGTTGGCGAACGATTGGAAACTATCTTTGCGAAAATGGAGAGTTTGACGAAAGAATTCTTAGACGAAAATGCGATCCTTCGAGCGGAGAACGCAAACCTCCGCGCGTCGTTCAACGCGTTGTACGCCAAGGTTGACACGGTATTTCAGCCACCAAATCCGCCGCCTCCTCCTCCGTCGCCTCCTCCTCCGTCGCCTGCTCCTCCGCCGCCACCGAGTCCGATGCCTCCTCCTCCGTCGCCTGCTCCTCCGCCGCCACCGAGTCCGATGCCTCCTCCTCCGTTGCCTCCTCCTCCGTCGCCTCCTCCTCCGTCGCCTGCTCCTCCGTTGCCTCCTCCTCCGTCGCCTCCTCCTCCGTCGCCTGCTCCTCCGCCGCCACCGAGTCCGATGCCTCCTCCTCCGTTGCCTCCTCCTCCGTCGCCTCCTCCTCCGTCGCCTGCTCCTCCGCCGCCACCGAGTCCGATGCCTCCTCCTCCACCGCCTTCTCCTCCGTCGCCTCCTCCTCCCCCTTCACCACTGAGTTTGAAGCAGAAATACGACCACTGCATGAGTGCCTCATATAGTAGAAGAAGTAAAGGGAGTTTTACAGGAATAACGTGCGATGGTGCGACGTCTATGATTTCATCGGATCCAACGGAGTGCTTTCAGACGTGTTCGGAATGTGACGATTGCGTGAGTATCAATTACCGCACATCAAACGGCGAGTGTATTTGGGCGTCTTCAGGATCATGGGGTGATAGCTACGGGGGGGATTCATCCTTTGAGTGGTATCGAAGTTGTAGATCAATTTCTGATAGTGACTTTGCGACGCACGTCACAGGGTGTCTCGCGGAAGCACCTATCGACGGTTTGTGTAAAGAGTATAGCGGCAAAAATTTCCCTGATTCGACTACTAACTACATCGGAATGATGCCATACTGGGACGTTTCTGCGGTGACTAACATGAATGGTGCGTTTGAAAATCAGGGATCCTTCAACGCCGATATATCTAGCTGGGACGTTTCAAGCGTGACGACCATGGAAATGATGTTCAAAGGAGCACTGGATTTTACTCAAGAACTTTCTGGTTGGAGCATCGGTTCTGCCACGAGCACAACCGACATGTTCCTTGGTGCGACAGCATTTCAGGCAACGTACGCGTGCACGAGCGCAGACGACGGGCCTCCGAACTCGTGCAAGTTACGAAGGTCGAAATACTGCATGAGTGCCACATATAGTAGAAGAAGTTTGGGGAGTTTTACAGGAATAACGTGCGATGGTGCGACGTCTATGATCGTATCGGATCCAACGAAGTGCTTTGAGACGTGTTCCAAATGTGACGATTGCGCGAGTATCAATTACCGCACATCAAACGGCGAGTGTATTTGGGCGTCTTCAGGATCATGGGGTGATAGCTACGGGGGGGATTCATCCTTTGAGTGGTATCGAAGTTGTAGATCAATTTCTGATAGTGACTTTGCGACGCACGTCACAGGGTGTCTCGCGGAAGCACCTATCGACGGTTTGTGTAAAGAGTATAGCGGCAAAAATTTCCCTGATTCGACTACTAACTACATCGGAATGATGCCATACTGGGACGTTTCTGCGGTGACTAACATGAATGGTGCGTTTGAAAATCAGGGATCCTTCAACGCCGATATATCTAGCTGGGACGTTTCAAGCGTGACGACCATGGAAATGATGTTCAAAGGAGCACTGGATTTTACTCAAGAACTTTCTGGTTGGAGCATCGGTTCTGCCACGAGCACAACCGACATGTTCCTTGGTGCGACAGCATTTCAGGCAACGTACGCGTGCACGAGCGCAGACGACGGGCCTCCGAACTCGTGCAACTGACGACGAGGTTGATTCCATGCGACGACGCGTGCGGTGGTTGGTGTCTCTCCGAAATGCCTCTTTTTGTGTTGTGAGGAGCATTTTTCTCCACTTTTTTCCTCTCCAGTTGTATAAAATGAAACGCAGCTTACGTCTTGTATATATAGTACTCACACAATAAACAGTCTGATAAGAATAAAGGACAAAGGGACTTGTTACTCGTCGTCTGAATCGTCGTCTGTTTCTTTCATTGTTCCTCGGAATAGAGGGAATACTACTAAAAATACTACCCTGATGATGGGGAGCAGCAGTCTGTTCTTCGTCGCAAAATCCTCTTCCCCTTCCTCTGAAAAGGTTGAGATGAAGACGAAGAAAGCGATGAAGCTTTCGAGTCACAGTACTCGCAGCACACGACGGAACTTCGGGGACCTGTCGTTGCATCGAGAAGAAGGAAAAGAAGAGAGAGACAATCATGATAATCGTTTGAAGTCGTCGTCGTTGTGGCAATTGCATCAAAAGCACCAAAAGTGGTCTTCAACTGTTTTCGTCTCCTCGTGGTGTTTCGTCGCGTGCGTTTTGCTTCCCATGCACTTTTCTCCTCCTTCTCCGGCGACGGCATCGACGATGACGATGGAAGAAGACTCAAACATTAGCAGCATGAACAACGGCAAAGCGCTTTTTAAAGGCGCCGGAGGATGCATCGGATGCCACGCCGCCGGTGGAAATATCGTAGAAGCTGGCAAAACGCTCTCGCTTCAAGACTTGCGAAAGAACGGCGCGAACGGTAAAGAAGACGTGGCGGAAGTGATATCGTTGGGGAAGAATAAAATGCCCGGTTACGGGGAAAACTGCGTCGGGAAAGGTAAGTGCACGTTCGCGAAACGACTGACTGAGAAAGAAATAGACGATTTGAGCGCGTTCGTCTGGAACGTCGCCAACGACGAAAGCGAGTCGTCCTGGGCGAAAGCGCTCGAATGAGCAAAAAATCGAGTCCGCTTTTTTATATGAACGCGACGCGTGTGTGTGCATACAAATACCCATCATCGTAATCATCATCATCATCATCTTTTGTTGTTTATTACTATCAAATCGTAACAACCAACAGCTTTTTCTTTTCTCTTCTTCTTTTTCTCATCCTCCCTTCTCGCGGCACAAAAAATAAAAATCAACGCTCGGTGCTTCTTTATAAAAGAAGAGAGTAGCGTTACGCGGAAGAAGAAGACGAGAAGAAGTCGAGAAGAAGAAGTCAAGAAGAAGAAGTCAAGGAGAAGGAGGTGAATAGTTTGAACAGCAGCAAATATACAGAGTATTAGTAATAGCATAATATCACTCACTTTTGTGCTGAAGAAAGAATTTGGATTTGGGAGGACGCGGAAGAAAAACGAGAAACGATGCGCTTTTCATCAAAGAAGGAGAAGAAGAAGACAAACGATAACAACAACAAAGATATAAATGACGACGTAAACGACAGAGCAGTAAACGAAGAAAACGTGCCGTTATTGCTCAAACCAATCATGAAGAATAAGAATCGCGCGCACACGTGGACGTTTTTTGCGATTTTATTTCTCGTCGCCCCGTTGGTGGCGTTGAGTCGAGTCGGGCACCCTTGGCTCTTATTGCGAGTGTATAAGATGCACTTGAAAAACATGGAGATTTTAAAAGAAGCCGCGCTCTCGTGGTGCTCCATGCCTGGGTGCTACTCCAATCCGGAGAACTTTGACGAGGAGATGATTGCAACAACGAAGAACGAGAAAAAGGAGGAAGGTCAACTGTTGCCGAGCTTCGTGCACGTGCCGAAAGCGGGCGGGACGCTGGTAGAGAGCGCGGTGGGAAGCGTAGGCGGGAGAATAGGCGCGTGTAACGAGAAGAGACCGTACGAAATTGCGCCGGGATGGGATAAAGAAGTCGCGCCGTGGCACGCTCAACCGAAGAAGTTAGTGCAAGATAGTTTTGCTATTTGTAGGAATCCGTTCGATAGGTTTCAGTCGCAGTTTTTATACGACCCTCGTTGGGCGAAAGTCTCCAATCGGGCGGAGTTCCCGCACAATCAGAAAAAGACGTGCGAAGCGTTCGGTAAATGGGCCACGGATAAGATGGAGAATTGGGCAAACGTGGACGATAGATTGCAGTGTTATAAGAGGACGAAATTTGATTCGAAAGGTATAGATGCGTGCGATGAAACGTTTACGGATGACGACGACGAGAGCGAATTTTTCGCCGGCGAGGAGGCCAAGGACGAAGAACCAGTCACGTCGCAGAATTCGCACGATTATCCACAAGTAGTCTTAGCGAACAAAGTAGAAAAGTTGTTCAGTTTCGAGAAGTGTTTTGGCAACGCGAAAGGTTTTTGCCCGGATCCTCGCGTGGAAGGTTTGGAGAAGCAAAAGTATTTAGAGGAAACGGAGGAGTTTCCGTCGGAGTCCAGAAAGGGATCGTTTTCCACGTCTTTTTTCCGTCGAAACTTTGGCGAATTAGTAAACGAGAACAAGAAGATGCAACCCAACTTGATTTCGTTTTTGCAGAAGCGGTTTTCGGATAAAATCGAATTGCCCGACGTGAGCGAAGAAAACGATATCGCTTCGGCTGAAGTTCGAAAGTGTTGGAGAAACAACCCGGACTTGCCGGCGAAGACAATCGCGGATTTTCTGGACACGTACGAGGCAGATTTTAGAGTGTTGGGATACCCGATTGATATTCCTGAGGTTGTCGACAAGGAAGGCGAAGCGTCTCTCGGGTCCGAGGAGTCTCTCCAAGATGATAACGAGTGGCAAGCGAGTGCCATCAAAGCGGAATATTATCCCAAATGCCCGCCTCCGGACGAAGAGGACGAAGAGAACGAGAAAGACGCGGCGATGGGTAAAAGCGAGCAGGACAGTTCCGCAATTCTCTTTGGCAATGCTCTGAGACATCGGTACTCGAGTAAAGGATCGTCCGAATCGAATTAAGCATATTTTGATGATGATAAGTATAGAAACCAAATAGAAACCAAATAGAAATTTGTATAATATTGATCAAGCGTTGCGAACATGTAGTTAAAAAAACAAGGCAATATACGAACTTTACAACGTTGTCTTTTTCATAATCGGGCATTTTCCGCCGCTCTCAGCGCTTCTTTCAGCGCGTTCGATAGCATTTCACCTTCTTCTTCGCTGCACGCAAACTTCAACTCTGACCTTCTTTTCAAGCCATCGCTATCTTCTTCTGCAAAGTGCCAGCGGTTTTCCAACCGCGTTCGGTACTCGCTCGAGTTTTTCTCCGCGACGACGGCGTCCACTCTCACCTCGCACGATTCCAAACGTTTTATTCCGCGACTCGTTCCTCCACTACCATCTACCCTGCCTTCGTCTTCTTCCATTTCTCCGAGTATATTTTGAACACCTTTCACGAAAGGGTATACACCGTCCACGAGAGCGTCAGATGTCCTCGTCAGAAGATTTTTTCCTTCATCTCCTTCTTCTTCTTCTTCTTTTGCTTCTGACGAGAAGAAAATCTCCTCCTTCAAAGTCCGCTCTAACTCGTCTCTTTGCACGTTTAACCTCGCCGTTTCGATTAAAATCATCCTAACGCCGTCTTCTATGATCGTTTCCTCCTCGGTGTTGTTCGAAATGTTGTTCTCCTTTTTCTTTTCTTCGTCAAAAACGCGGGAGACGCGTTCGCACGATTCGACGACGAACTGGTGAAACGATTTTGGACTTTTCGACAAGCACGCGCGCACGAACCCTTCTCGGTCGCTCAATTCCATAATGAAGACGTAAACGAAAACGACGATGATGATGGAGGTATAATACTCTTTGCGTTCACGTTTATTTTCTCCGTCTCCTTCTTCTTACGGTAAAAAATAGTATCGTCTTTCGAGAAAAAGTTTTGAAGAAAAGAGTGTGCTTGGTGTTCTCACATTCTATAGGACAAACTCGAATTTGCCCTGTTAAAAATTGAGTATTCAACTATTTCTACTGACTACTACTACGACTACGTGTTAGAACAACAACAAAAAGAGACACATCATCATTCATCATCGTTATCCAGAATTTCTCGATCTTCGATTCTGTCGTGCGCGCATTCTCTTCCCTTGCTCGATATCGGCTCGCGCGAGTCTCTCGATTTCCTTTTTCCTCGCCGCGGTTATTCTATTTTTACTCATCAGTTTAGCGTCGACCATTTTCTTATTCTCACTGATTACTTTACTCGTGCCTTTCTTGTGGTGAAACGAAGGATACATGGAGTAGAGCAAGAGATTATTCCGTAACTCGTTCGCTTTGCGTTTGGTCTTTGCGATGCCAGAGTGAGTGCCAGAAAATTTTGAGTCGCCGACGCCGTGTTTAAATTTCGAATCGTATAAACCAACAGAACGTCCTAACCTCCACATGCGAATAGATAACTCGAAATCCAAGCCAATGCCGGGTTGTCCTGGACAGGAAAAGTTGTGATTAAAACCACCAACTTCAGCAAACAACGATCGTCTCGTAATCATCGGAGCTAAGTTTACTTTATAGGCAAACATAAAGTCAACGTTAACGGAGACATCCTTGAATAAAATATCTTTCGTTCGTTTCGCGCGGTCCTTCTCTGGCTCGGCGCCGTACTTAGAACCATCGTTTTGATTTTGCTGAGGTATCATCTTCGTTCCGTCATCTAAGCGACCTCTGTATCCACCTAGTAAGCCCAGTTTGGGATACTTCTTGAATAATGAAATCGCTTTCGAGAGCCAAGCGTCTCCTTTAGGCATGTAATCATCGTCTTGAATCAAAGCTACAATTTCCGCAGACGCCATCAGAGCTAACCGATTATACGCGCGAATCTCGTGCACGTCGTTCGGCATCGCCAAAATGAACGAGTTTTTCTTCGGCTGCTTTTTGGAGAACTTTGAAAATGCGGCAAGCTCCGTGCGCGAATCGTCGTTGATAATAATCTCCACCGGTAATGAAAGCGTTTCCAAAGATTCTAAAAGTTTCTTCACACCAGCTTTTCTGTTGAAATACTGCATGACTAACGTTGCAACCGGGAATTCTCGCGTTGCAGAAGACTTGCATTGTCTCAGGATGGACTTTGGTGGATCTCCTTTTGCCGTAACGTCTGGAGGAAAACAGTTACCGACGACGGTTGGACTGTCGAAAGGCTTCCATCTTTTTGAACGCACGCGTTCGACGCGCATCTCAGCCTCGATGATATCATCCGAAGTTAATCCAGGCACGAGAAATGGCCACATTCCATCCGCGCTCTTATCCCACGGCATATCGTATCGTTTTTTAGGATAAATTTCCGTCTTTGCGAAATTTGCATAGGCACTAATTTTGTTCCCTTTCTTTGCGCTACTCGCCCGAGAGAAAAAAGATGCGGTCTTGGAAACCTCAGGAATACCAAAAGCAGCGCTCTTAAAACCACCTCTCCAGAGACGAATGGACATCTCGCGCAAAGTTTCATCGAAAAGAACATCTCCTGAGCATGTTCCCCACTCTTCAAAACCACCAATCTGGTGTAAAGCATTCGGACGAACAAAAATAGGCGTCGCGTAGCGAAGATGATCTTTCCCGAGCTCGTCCACGGTGGATGTCGCAATTTCTTCTTTGTCTTCTTCTTCTTCTTCTTCTTCCTCCGACGCGAAATTTTTCGCTTTTTGCTGTTGCTGCTCAAGCACTGGCTGCCTTCGGCGCCCATCGAAAAATGCCAAGTTTGGTTTAGCCGACGAGCTCGGAGATTTTATTTGTACCGCCTGTTCGTTCTGAGTAGCAGAAGAGGAATACTCGGCGTTTTGCGGCGTCACCATCGCGAGATGCTCGTCTCTCTTGAGCAACTTCAACGCTTCGTTCGCCCATGCGACGATATTCCGTACCCTCGCATCTAAATCTGTATTACTATTGCCATCCCTGCTGCTATCACTACCGCTATTACCGCTACTCATTCCGTCGCGATGGAGAAAATCTTCCTCTCTCAAGAGTAACGCGAATTCTGCTCTCGTCCCTCGCATCATCTTGTTGAATACACGCGCATTCCCGTTCCTATGCTTCGACGCGAACATCCAATCGTTCGCCCTCGATGTCATTTTTAAAGCATTTTTTGAAAACGGTTTGTTCTGGTTCTCCAACAGATGACTCGAGACGATATCGCCGTCTAAGAAAACAATCAGCTCGCTCGCCTTCAACTTCTTTTGTACTTGATCCCTAACTTTTGCAACGATAGCCTCTACTGCTCCTTGATCACGAGCGAACTTGTTGTCCTTATCGCTTAAAACGAGTCCTATGCTCACCTCCGGCAGTTCGACGTATTTTTGTCGGCATGCTCTCTGAGTGATTGCGCTCACCGCTTTCGGCGCATCCACGATGGACTCCCTCGCGACGAGTATCGGTTTACACGGCGGATTGATGGACATTTTCCTCGTCGTCGAGCTCAAAATCGCTCGCTTCCCAAGCTCTTTACTCCGCATCATCACTTTCACCGCCGCTTGTTTCTTCCACTTTGCTGCTTTATTCCAAGCGTCGTTTTCTTTCTTCCCCAACTCTCTCACCTCGTTCTGGTATCTTTGCGACAGGTGCGCGTTCCGCGTTATCTCAATCTTGAACGAATCGTTTTCTACTTTTATCGCATCGTCCATGACACCATCGGAGTCAGTTTCTTCATCACTCGTCGTCGCTTTGTCGTCTCCTCCTTCGTTATCGTTATCATTCTCGTCGTTATCATTCAATAAGAGCTGCGCCAACGCATCCGCGTTGTGCGTTTTCGTAGACGTCGCGTCCAACAACATCAACTTTTTCGCTGCTCGATTTTGCAAAGTCCATCCCGAGGAGGAGGATGAGATGAAGGATAACGATGATGATACCAGCGACGACGACGACGACGACGACGAGAAGTAGATGAACAGAAGAACAATAATACTCATCAGAGCGAAAGCGAGTCGTGCGCTGGTGGTGGTGTGTACACTTTTCTTCGTCGTCCGAAAACTTTTCATCATCATCGCGTGACAACGCGATGAAGAAGTTCCTCCTTTGCCGCCATCCTTTGTGTCCTCCTCTTCCTCCAAATCCGCCGCCGCTGGTCGCAGCACCCCGTCTCCCCCGGAAGAATTAATAAAGGTGGTGGTGGTCATCTCTCTGAAATCGTTTCAACTCTCTCTCTCATCACTCTCTCCATCCTATTCTATCTTCTCATTTGTTTCTTTCTCCTTTCTCCTGTGTTGTCGAAATGAAACCCCCCAAAGCGGAAAAAAAGCAAAGTGAAAAGCGAAAAAAAAAGGCAGCTAGAAAGAAAAAAAAGACAAACAACACACATCAGCAGAACAAAAAAAGAACAACACCAACAACGAAAAAACCGCCAGACAGAGAAAAAGAGGGCGGCGCTTTGAACAAAAAATAAAAAAATCTTCTCTGTGAAAAAAGCAATCTTCTGGCGAAAAAAAGGGGGAGTATTAGTATTAAGAGAGGACGAGATAGCTGCATAAAGAATTCCCTTCCCTTCCGAAGAAGAAGAAGTTAAAGAAGAAGTGAAAGAAGAAGAATCTATCTCATAAAGATGGCGAACGACGATGCGCGCCACGCGGCGCTGATGCAGATCATCCAAAACGGCTACAGCTCGTCCGCGATCGAAGACACGTATTTCAATCTAATGGATTACGAAACCTTCACGGGGTTACCTCGGAACGATGCCTCTGGCTCGGAACCGGCGTATTTGTCCGCGAGCGATTTGAGCACGCAATACCTGGAAACGCTGGTCACGCCAGCCATTCCGGGGATTGCCATCGCCTCTTTATTGTTCATCGTGTGCTTTTTGGTGGTGTTCTTGCGCGTGTGCACGAAATGCTGCGCCATGTGCTGCCCCGGGAGTTGCTGGGACGAGAAGTGTTTCAGACCCAAGGAGTACACCTCGAGACAGCTGAAAATTACAAAGTGGGCGATGCTGGTCTTTTGCATCATCGGAGGCATCGGGTGCGTTTTGGTCTTCTCTCAAGGAACGGAAGTGTCCAAAGGAGTCACTGATTTCGGAGACGAACTCGTCAACACGACGAAGTCGCTCGAGGTGATCATCAACGATTGGTACGCCGCGCTCGTCCAGGCGTCCCAAGAAGGGTCGGAAGATCTCGCCGATTTGCAATCGAGCAGCGTCGACATCTCATCGTCCGTGGTTGATTTTAATGATCAAATCAAAGGTGTCGCGGAGAAAATTGAATTGTCTTTCATGGTCGTCGCGGCTATCGTTTTCATCGTAGCTATCATCGCGACGGGTTTGGTATGCCTCGGCTGGTCGACCATGTTGATGTTGTTCTTTTTCACTTTGTCTTTGGTCATGATCGTGTGCTGGATCGTCTTTGGCGCTCTTGGTACCATCGGAACTTTGATCGACGACATCGCCCTTGGTTTTGATGCCTTTGCCATGGATGCAAACATTCAAAACGCGTTTCCGACCGGTTCGTCTCTTTGCCCGAGTCGATACAACTCCGCCTCGAGCGTCAACGAAGATTTACGTTCCACGTACTACGACATCATCAACGAGATACAACCGAAAGCGGCGGATCCTGCAATCTGCCCCACCTGCAGTCCAGTGTCTCAAATTTACAACAAGGTATCCGTGGATGATTATTGCAACTGGTATAAAAGTCAAAATGATAAATCCGATCTCTACTACGCCGATCCGGTCTGCAGAAATCACTACTTGGACGTACAAAAATACGGCGGTTGGGCGTACATTCCAAAAACCGTGGATACCGGGAAAATCGACCCAACTGCGGGTGGTGGACAATACACGAAATGTGATTTTACCACCGCGCAAATTGCTGGCGGGGCGACATGCGGCCAAAACCAGGTCGCCTCTGATGCTTACGATGAATTCGTGGCGCTCTTCAACAACCTCGGGTACGTTCTGGCCGTTGAAGATTCCGTCGGCCAACTCATCACGTGCGACTTTGTTCAATCGGAAACCGCGGAAATCACCTCGACCTTACACACCGTCGTTGATGCGCTCAAAGTTCTCTGGGGTGGCTTCCTCATGCTCGGCATGTCTTATTTCGTCATGTGGGTAATCCTCTTAGTCGCGGTCTCGCGAATCGCGAACCCGCAACTCAACGTGGATTCGGGCGAATACGACCCTCAATGGGCGGAAAAACTCTCCATGCCGAGAAGATAAAAGCATCATCATTCATCGCCGTGAGAAGTGAGAAAAGCAGCGCTGATACTAATGAGTATGAAAATATATAATACATGACGCGCTTCGTTTTAATAATATTAAGAAGTAATAATTTTTGATCATGATATTCGATGAAACGGTTCTCGTTTTCGTCAACTAATTTTTAGCCACAAAACGCTTGAAAACTCATCTCAAAAAAAGATAAAAAGAAGAAGAAATCGTTACTTTTCTACTTCTTATTCTCGCGTCTCATCTTAATATCATGGGGTACGCGGGATACGCTCCCGGACACTCCGTCCAAGAACTCACCGAGGTACTACTATTACTAGCAGTGCAGCTTTATTTACTTTCTTCTTCTCTCTCTCTTTCTTTCTTTCTTCTGTTATCTCTCTTTCGTCGTTTCGAGAAAAATCGGTCTTCTCGCGTCATCTCTTCTCGAAACGACACGGACCCATTCATCTGACGCTCACGATGAATCATCATCACTATCATCATCGTCGTAATAAAAACAAAATAAAACAGAAACAAAAAGCGTTACGTCAGGTGGAATCCGTGGAGTGCTTGGAAATGATTGAAAAGTTGTTCAAAAACTGCGCACAAAATCCATCGGAGAAGAAATATCGAAAAGTAAAGTTTGAAACCAACGCGAAAATCAAAGCCGCGTTCGAGAGCGGGAAATCGACGACGAGTAATGAGAGTGCGGTGCAATGTTTTTTAACCCACGGGTGGGTGCTCGAAGAAGGAGAGACGAATGAGAGAGTGTTGAAACTCCCCGAAGCGGTTCAACAAACTTTTCAGGACGTGAGAGAGGTGACGGAAAGAAAAGAAACGTTGCAGAAAGAGTTGCAAGCGGCGTTTCGGCGAAGGGTTGCCGCGCGGTCGAAAGCAGCGGGAGCGTCGAGCGGCGGCTGTTGCTCGGCGAAAGAAGCTCTGTTGAAACAGTTGGAAGCGGATAAATTAGAACGCGCGGCAAAAGGACCGGTGACCACGGGGAGTAAAAGAGTGGACGGCGCCTTGGGCAACGGCGGCTTTTCGACGCCGCAAGACGCCGGGTGTTGCGGTTCCGCGTGAGGATAAGCGCGCTTTGCGATTTTTTTCACGCGACGATGTGAAAACGCAAAGCGAAGAAGAAGAGAGAGAGAGAGAGAGAGAGAGAGAGAGACATAGTTTTCGCGGAAGAAGATTTTATTCTTCTTAATGTGACGCCGCGCGCGGGAAAATTTTCGTTTTAAAATACGAACCCGCCGAGAGATTTAATATATATATTAAAATGGCTGATAAATCCGCGAGAACGAGAACAAAAACGACGAACACTATTACTGCATCGAAGAAATGTGTGTGTGTGTCTGTGTGTTTCTGTGTTTAAAGAGAGGAAGGAAAGGAGGTTCTCTTTGTATTACTTTTTTTTAGCAGCAAAATGTAAAATTTTCTATATACTTTTATGAAAACAAACGAACAGACAAGTCTTTCCACATTAGTCGTACACACTTAACACTTACACACTATAGTAGTTTAATAAAGATAGATCATAGAAGAGCACACACACAAATAAATACTATAAAATGCCTGCGATTGATATCATCATCGGTCCGGCTATCCAAATGGCCGAAGCGGCGTCTTTAGGCATGCCTTTCGAAGTCTGGAAAACACGAATGGGAAGACACCGAACGGAAGGAACTGTGGAGGCGTTGAAAAACGTGTACAAATCCGGAGGCGGAATACACGCGTTTTGGAGAGGCACGTCGGCGAAAATGGTCGAAAGTGGGACGAAAGGCGCGATATTGATGTACGCGAAAGAGGGAATAAACGAGAGTTTGTTGAAAAACGACGTGGATCCAGGCGTCGCCGGGGTTCTCGCCGGCGCCGGTGGAGGGATCGCGCAAGTTTCCGTCATGGGTCCGTGCACGTATTTAGTCACCGGCGCGGTGAACGATCCGTCCGGGAAATCGAGCGTGGAGAGAATAAAGGAAACGTACGCGAGATCTGGAGTGAAAGGGTTTTACCCGGGAGGAACCGCCATCGCGTTTCGACAGGCGACGAACTGGGCCAGTCGTCAAGGTTTCACCGAAATCGTTCGCGAGAAAGCGAAGGCGGTTTGGTACCCGGACGTCGATGCGAAAGAAGTGAAGATGACGAAAGGACAAGAAGTTATATGCGGGGTAATTGGCGGGACGATGGCGTGTTGGAACCATCCGTTTGAAGTCGCTCGAATAGAAGCGCAAACCAGAGGGAGTTTGGGACAAGAAACCGGGAGCATGGTGAGCGTGATGAAGGACATCGTCAAAGAGAACGGCGTCGGCGGGTTGTTTCGCGGGATCGTTCCAAGAGTCGGTTTAGGCATTTGGCAGACGCTGTTTATGGTCACGGGGGCGAAGATTTTGAAAGATGAGTTGAAGGAGAGAGGGCTGTTAGAAAGCTCGGGCGGCGGCGGCGGACATTAGTGATGATGAAAACGATAACGATGAAGAAGAAGTTGATGACGCGTAGACAGGCAATATAAACAGGCAAAATAATATACACATACAACAATACACAGCGAAGTAACAACAACGGATTTAAACGCGAACTCACACCCTCTTCCTACGTCACATAAATGCGCCGCACTCCTCGCCTTCGTTCACCGTTCTCGCCAAAGCTTTCAAGCAGCTCTCCTCTCCTTTCACTCTGTTCAAGATTGTTCCGCACGGAAGTTCCACGTTCGGTCCCATCCCACATTCCGAGAGGCACTTCACCGCGGTGACTTTTAAATCAAACTTTTCTCCTCGCGCTTCCAGAAACTCGAACGTTTTTTGCGAACCTAATCGTCTGCACTCTTTCTTCGTGCACACTTTAATTTCCCGCATCACCGTTTGTTGTTCGCACCGAATAATTCTCGTCGTCGTCCTATTCTTACTCGTCGCCGCTTTTCGTGACGACGATGATGACAAAACGCGTCTCAAAGAAGAAGACCGAGAAGAAGTAGAAGAATGAGTAGTATTAATACTACTATTGAAAGTAAAACTCGTTTTAACGAAGAACATTTGACCCCCCTCTGAAGCGTGCAAAGAAATGGAAAATCTTTAGAAAAGTTCGTTACAAAACAAACACACTTACACTCGTCTCTCCTGTTGGTCTCTCTCTCTCTCTCTCTCTCTCTCTCTCTCTCTTGTACTAATGCGTTGAGATGACGACGAGAGGGAAGACCTCTCCTCAAATAATGATGATTTCTCTCTTGTGCATCTTCGAACTTGCGTTGAGTCTTTTGATCATAAAATACGTCAGTTACACGGAAATCGATTGGATCGCGTACGGGGAAGAAGTGGACGGATTTTTCAAGTTCAAAGAGTACGATTACAGAAAGCTAGGAGGACACACGGGACCTTTGGTGTATCCAGCCGGATTTGTCTACTGTTACGGCTTCATACGATGGATTACAGGAGAAGAAGTGAGAAACGCGCAAGTTTTGTTTGCGTTTTTGTACGTGTTTAATCAGTGGTTAGCGCTACGTATTTTGCAAAGAAGTGGGAAAGTGCCGATTGCGTTTTACGCGGCGACGTGTTTGAGTAAACGGATGCACTCAATATTTACGCTGAGAATGTTCAACGACGGCGTGTGCACAATTTTCTGTCACTTGGCGGTGTTGGCGTTTATGGACGGCGCAAAGAAGGAGAAGGAGAAGAAGGCGAAGAAGATGACGATAAATAATGGACGCGCGTGTTTGAGAGGTTTCGCGTGGCTTTCCGTGGCAACTTCGATTAAGATGAACGCGTTGTTGTACCTTCCACCGGCGCTCGTGCTTTTAGTCGGATACGGACAGACCCTGTGGGAGATACTTTTATGCGTAATAGTTTTCGTGGGCGTACAAGTCGCGTTAGCGCTGCCGTTTCTGTTGACGTTTCCGAAGAGTTATCTGGCGAGAGCGTTTGAGCTGACGCGTGTGTTTACGTATAAATGGACGGTGAACTTTAAATTTTTGAGCGAAGATTGTTTCGTTTCGAAAGAATTGGCGCATGGATTACTCTCGGTGCACGTCGCGGCGCTTTTCGTCGCCGCGCACAGAAAATGGTTCCGGCGACGAAATCTTCCTCCAGGAGCAAAGGAGCAAAGGTTCTTTTGGGATTTCTTTGGAAACTTCTTTCGCATCGCAAAGAGAGATATTTCGTCTGCGTTTCGTGGTAAAAGTAGTAGCAGTAGTAGTAGTACGAGAAGTAGAAGGAGTGGAATAGAAAATAGGAATAGCGAAAAGAGTGGCTCAGATGATGATAATGACAAAGAGTTGGAAAGAATAAAGTATCCGAGTGAAAACGACGCGGCGCTGATGTTGGCGCAAGGGAATTTTATTGGCGTTTTGTGCGCTCGGAGTCTGCACTATCAGTTTTACTCGTGGTATTTCAATTTATTACCGTTGATTTTATTCAATCGGACGTCGTTGATACATCGTAAAGGTAATATTAATATGATTTTCGAATGCATGAGGAACGGCGGCATCATGTTGTGTTTGGAGTATTGTTGGAACAAGTACCCGAGCACGGCGTTTTCGAGTTTATTGTTGCAAGCGACGCACGCGATGATTTACGCGACGTGCGTGTTGTAATTGAATACGTGTTGTTAAATACTCTATAGCTGTACTACTTTTACTATTTTGGTAAGTGTATAGAATCTCTACCTCTCTAAATCTAAATCTAAATTTTCTTCTTCTTCTTCTTCTTCTTCTTCTTCTTCTTCTTAAATATGAATTCCAAACAGGCGTTCGTATAAGGAGCTTTTTATTCGCGTGACGTAAAAAGTTTTTCCGCTCGGCGTTTTCACCGGCTCTTCTTTCCCACCATCGTTCGCGTTGTGAAACTTTTTCGCAATCATAGCCTCGTGTATGGCGTCATCTTCCGACGTGTCCTTAAATCCTAAATCGTTCAACTTCAACTGTAAAGCGTCTCGTTGCATCTGCATGTGTTCGACCAGTTTCGCCAGCGCTTGCGTCCTTTTGCGATCCATTTTCTTGAGCTGTTCAATCTGCAAACTCGAATGCACCGCCGCCTTCAACACTTCTCTCGTCTTATCTATGAACTCAATTTGCTCGTCACTCGTCACCTCTCGTATGTCCATTTTCAGCTCCACCACGTTTTGTCTTCGATCTTTAATATACGCCTCTTTCGCTCGAAGTTGTTGTTTCGTCGCCGCTAATTCCGCGTCTTGCTCGTCGTATTTCAGCGACGTCGTCTCCAACTCGTTCCTCAACCGTTCGATTTCGCTCAGTAAATCCTCAATCGTCTCTTCCGCGCCTTTACCTCCGTTCGAGAGGATTTTTAACGTTCGTCCGACGGTCATAAATTTAACACTCGATGATGCAGACGCGGGCTGAACATTGGTGTTGGAGCCATTTCCACCATTATTCGTCGTCTTAAAACTCGCCGCTCCTGCGGCTAAAACGATCGACGCTCGTCTCACGCTGTCCAACGCTCTCGTCGTTTCTTCCAACACCGCCTCGGTGATTTCTCGCTGCCTGCGTTCTTTCACCAAAGTTTTCTGCGTCTCTCTCAGTCGTCGTTCAAAGTTGGTCGACTCCTTCATCTTCATCATCGCGCTCTTTTCTTCTTTCTTGTTATTGTTGTTTTCGTCGTCGTAAGAAGACGAAGAAGACGACGACGAAGAAGAAGACAAAGAAGAGGCTAAACGACGAGTCTCATCGGACATCTTTTTTGCCCCCTTTGCGTTAGCAGAGAGTATTAGTATCAGAATAACGTACGAGAGTCGTCGTCGTGTTCTTTTCTTCCCGTGGTCTTTCCAAAATCCAGCAGCTTTTGCCTTTTCTCGATGCTTGAAAAAAAAACAAAACAAAGCAAAAGAAGAGAGCTGGAGACGGCAACACCGAATTTCGGCCAACTTTTTTCCGGTCAGCCAAAAAAGTTGGCCGAAATCGGTTAATTTTTTTTTTACAGCCTCCCCAAAAAACAGAAAATACCACCTTCAAAAGTGGTGCAGTTTTATAAGACTTTCATATTTGCGCTTGAAGTTCTTCGTATCAAAAGGCGTATTTATCCATAAAATTACGTCAGAAGGTTGGCAAACTATACGCGAAGGTCGTGCTCGATTATGGGAGCCGTAAAGTCTCTCCATGGTTGTCTCTCAAGTCTCAAGTCTCAAGTCTCTCCACGGCCCTAAAAAAAAAATTAACCGATTTCGGCCAACTTTTATAGGGGCAACTGACCGGAAAAAAGTTGGCCGAAATTCGGTGTCGCCCAAGAAGAGAGACGACAAAAAAAAAAGAAGAAAAACGAAGAAAAAAACAAAAAAGGACACGAGAGAGAAATTTGAGAGGAGAAGAAAGAGGCCGCGGAAAAGAAAGAGGAATAAAGCACAAATCCATCAGAGTGGAGGTGACACAATCGACCACACTTTTAATAGCACGAGCACATCTCTCTCTCTCTCTCTCTCTCTCTCTCTGTGTGTGTTTGGGTTCGCAGGCGCGAGAAGCACAAAACGAGACGATGAAGGCGCATTATCACGGAAGAAGAAGAAAGAAGAATACTACCGCCGCTGCTGCGACGAGAAGAGCGTCGTCGTCCTCGTCTTTGTTGAAGATGATTTCGATGAAATCTGCGGTCGGGGCGGTCTGTGTCCTCGCCGCGGCCAGTGGGGGATTGGTGAAAGACGCGCACGCGTGGTCTGGTGGAGCGAACATCGTGAGCGCGGCGCAGACGACCACGACCACGAGGAGTCACGACTCGCCGGTGGTTTTGGACGGCACGAGCAATGAGAGGACTTCGGACGACGGGACGTTCGCAGCGATCGGAGAAGAAGAAGAAGTCGCACGAGTTGATCAACAACAACGAGAAGAACAAGAACGCGTTCCACAAATTACAGCGACGAAGCGAGGTTCGACTTTGAGCAACACAAACGGTAACAACAACAAAGAGGAGGCTTTACTCCCCGTGGTAAAAAAACAGATGCTTTTGGAAGAATTGAAAGCGACCGCGAGGGAAAAGAAAGCTTTGGAGGAGTCTTTGACGCAAACGAAACAAGAAGCGGCGAAAGAAATGCAACGCTCGAAGGATGAGAAAAAGGAAAGAGAAGACGCGGAGAGAGAGAAGCGAGAAGAGTTGAGCAAGAAGAAGAATGCTAATGTTTTTACTGTGAATAATGGTGCTTCAAATGGCGATGGCAACACGATCAACAACGACGAGGGCGGGAGCTGGCCGGTACTGGCGAATGCGCTCGCGGATCCAAGAGCGCGGGCGGAAGAGAAACAGCGCCAGCAACGTCAACAAGAACAACGCCAACAAGAACAACAACAACAACAACAACAACAACAACAACAACAAAATAAAGATATTCACCAGGATGCGGCGAATGCGCTGAGTGCGGACGAACACGCGCAAAAAATTGTCGATCGCGTCGTTGAAAACGCCAAGAAGAAAGCGGAAGGCGTCGCGAAGAAAGTGCTCGAGGAGGCGACGATGAAAGCAGACTTGATCGTACAAAAGGCGCTTGCTCAAACCACCACCACCAATAACAATAATAATAATAACAATAACAATAACAACAACAACAACAATATCTACGAACGACAAGAGCAACGCCGAGTGGAAAATGTCCAAATGGAACAGCCGGCGAGCTTCGAGGAGGAAAAGGATGTTTTCGTCACCGAGGGTAAAAGTTTGTCGTCTCCTAAACAGCAAGCGGAAGAAAGACAACCGAAACAGCAAGAATCCGTGGAAGTGGATGAAGCGGAGGAAGCTCCAAAAGCATTTTGGCCGTCTCAGGATGAAGATTTAGAGAATTTGGGCGACGACAACGACGACGTGAAGGAATCGGCGGGAATGACTGCCCCGAACGCCAAAAAGTCTGTGTCTGTCGGTGCGGCTACTGCGTCATCATCCGCACCTGCAAAGAAAGTCTCCGAAGACGACGAAGACGAAGGCTTCTGGAAAGACGAAGACAACGTTGCAAAAGCTGGAGAAGGTGCACAAATCATCGACGACGATCTCGAGGAGGAGCAAAACGCGGTTAAAAAAGTCGTGCCTAAAAAAGACGTCAATCCGTGGCTCGCGAAAGAAAAAGCGTCGACGATGGACGAGGAACAAGCTGCTTCGGTCGAAAGAATTACGCACAGAAAACCAGACGGTTCTATCGATTACGACTATCCTCGCGTTCACGACAAGCCGAAAGTCGATCGCACGGATGTCGATATGCTCGGCAGCGCTCAACGACAGAAACCGGTGGCGAACCACCCCGGATTCTCGCACCCGGAGCAATTCAAAACTGCTTTGGCCGCGTGCTTTCGTCAGTCTCCGGAAGGTGATTGCACGGATTCGTACTTCGGACACATCTCTGAATGGGACACGTCGAAGGTGACGAACATGGCCGGTGCTTTTATGTACAAGAGGCAATTTAACCAGGACTTGTCCAACTGGGACGTTTCGCAGGTAACAAACATGAAGCACATGTTTTACGAAGCGCAAACCTTCGACCAAGATTTAAGTCGGTGGAACACGAAGAATGTGAAAGATATGACGGGTATGTTTTACGCGGCGCTTAAATTCAACCAAAATGTTGGGAATTGGGATGTCGGACAAGTTACGGACATGTCGTACATGTTCAAACATGCGCAAAGTTTCAACTTTGACTTGTCGCTGTGGAAAGGTCCAGCAGCGGAAGCTGCTGCGCACGAAATTTTTGAGGACGCGCAGAACTTCCTCGAAAGTTTCTCGTGCCCAGGCATGTCCGTTCACGGGCCAGTGTCTGGATGCAACTGGTTTAAAGCTGGTATTGAAGATTGTTTGAAGGAAGCACCGGTTGATGGTCAATGTCATGAATACGCGAAGACCTCTCGAAGAGGCACTATGCCAAACTGGGACACAAGTCAAATTCGCAACATGGAAAATCTGTTCAAAGATCGCAAAGACTTTAACGCAGACATTACGAAATGGGATACGAGTAACGTGATTACCATGAATAACATGTTCGAAGGTGCGACCTCGTTTAACCAACCTATCGGAGCCTGGGACACGAGCAAAGTGACGGATATGTCGAATATGTTCCAAAAAGCGAGTCGATTTAACAAGGATATTATCAACTGGGATGTGTCGCACGTTACGACCATGCGTTCGATGTTTGCGCACGCCGAAGATTTCAATCAACCGTTGGAGCGTTGGGATGTTCGCAAGGTCAAAGACATGTTTTACATGTTCACCGGAGCGAAGAATTTCCAGCAACCGATTCACACGTGGAAGGGTTTGGCTGCCGACGCTGTTCAGAATGGCGAGTGGGGAAGAATCTTCGATGGAGCTTGGGCTTTTAACAATAGGTACACTTGCAGAGATCGAGAAGGTGTTATCAACGTCGGACCGATTTCCACGTGCGTACCGAAAGAGTTGGCGCCGAAACCTCCGTTGGCGATTCCAACGTTGGGCGCACCGCGAGAAAAGAGATCTTGGATTTCAACCGTATTACCGGCACTCGGTAAACATAAGTCGACTTCAGTCGACGTCCCGATGGATGTTAGCGATCACTCGAAGAAGTTTACTCCCCAAGCCGGTGTTGTAAACAACAAAGCTTCGGAACAATCGGTCAAGCCTCTGATCACGGAGAGTTCAGACGGCGCGGAGGCAGAAAAAGAACGACAAGCGATTCTTCGAAAAATCGAAAAGCTGAACAAGAAACCATCGAGTAGAAAGCACGGGAAAATTATCGTGCATCACGACGATGGTGACTACGACGAGTACGAGCACGTTCCAGAGGAGGAGAAGAAAGGAATTTTTGCGAGGTTGTTTGGCAGTTGGACTTCCTCTTCTCCGGCATCAGACGACACGGTAGCATCGAGCTCTTCGTACTCGGAGTCGGATGATTACGAGGATGTATTAGCTGAACGCGAAGGCAGAAAATTTGATAAGAAACACGCTTCTAGATCCTCGAAGAAAGTCTCCGCTGCGAGAGATGATGATGACGAAGACACTGATGAGGCGGCGATGGGAGCTCTCGAAGAGGAGACGCCGAAGTCACGGCGGGAACAATTGGATGCGTTTGATACCTCCTCGTATAAAATGCTCGGTGCGGTGTGCTTGACGGTTTGTGCGTTGGCAATTTTGGTGGAAACCGCGCAGAAATACGGGCCAAAGTTCAACCACGGTATTACGTTTGATCCAAAAGCTCCGTTTTTCCGAGAAGCGTCCAACGGGAAAGGGGCTTCCTCCACCCAAGAAACTGGTGGATTCGGTATTCAAACGAAATCTAGCTATGGTGCGAGCGATGCAGTTTCTACCACGGGACAAATGTCGCCAAAAAGTAGAGATATCGAGGGTGGTTTGGTTAATGAAGCTCCTGGGAGCAAAAAATTTTCCGTTCGCTCGTTGCTGAGTAAATAAATGAGTGCGCTCCCGGAAGTCACACCCCTGTACAAATGTTTTATTATTACTATTTATTCTATTTAATCAAAGTTCTCATTACGAAAACATTGCTGAATGACTACGAGGTGCTAATTGCGTTCTATTTGTAAACTAGTTATTGCTTCTGGTTCGTGCTACTTTCATCTTGTTCTTCTTCCCAATCGTCGAACTGTTTGGCATCGATCGATAATCGATCGAAAAGTTTTTTCTTCTTGCCGAAACTCCATCCCGGATTGGCATCCAAAATGGACGCAGCTCTTTGCGCAAACTTATGCAAAGGATTTTTTTCGTTGTCGACGGCTCCGCGAGCCATATCAAACATGATTTTTCTGTGCTCAAAGACATCCTCCGCCGGCGATTCTCCGAATGATTCCGTTCGATACTTCTCCTTCGCGAGCATCTTTTCAAACTCCTCCAAAGAATCCTTCTTTAAACTTTCATATTGCGAATCTGAGGTCAAGTTCAATTGCTCCATCACAAAAGCCTTCTTTGAATCTAAATAATCTCCCGGTGATACGTCTTCGTTTGGATCCTTTTCACCAAAAATCCACGGTTTCTGGTCCATACCCACCGGCCAACTCGTATACTCACCGAATCGCATCTGCATGTCCTTCTCGAGTCTGGCGACGTCGTAGTCGAGTTCAACACCATCCGTCTGCATCTTCTTTGCCGCATCAACACGTTCCCGAAGTAGTCGCTTTATGCGATCGTTTTCGGGATTCTTTTCTCGCCTACCTTGCTGCTGCCCCGCGCCTGCCGCCGCGTTACGTTTTCTCAGTTCAAACGTTTTTCCACCAAACGCTGCGGCTCTTCGTGTTCTTTGGTCGCGAACTTGCAACGAAGGCAACGAGACATCGGTATCACTCGCACTGAGCGCATTCCCATCCCCGTCTCTTTTGTATCGTGGCACGTAACTTCTCGCTCTCATGGCTCCATCCGCTAGACGCTCGCTTCTCATATCCTTCATGACTTTCTGTTTCATTTCTGCTACTCTTTTTTGCTTCGCAAAGTGTTCTTGGCGTTGTTCGCGTCTTTTTTGCAAAGTCAACTTTCGAATTTCTAACGGGGTCATTCCCGACGTATCAATACCTTCCAGAGGATCTTTATGTACCACCATTTTCGTTTGTTCCTCCTTCTCTTCTTGAACTGTTCGTATTAGAGGTTCAGACTCCTGCGTATTTACGATCCTCGTGTTTCTAACCACATACGAGCCCTCTTTCCTCTCGCGTCGCATTTCAGCCACAACCTCACTTTGCTTCGGCTTCGTTGGATCGTATATTTCTCCTTTAATCTTTCTCATGCCGTCGTGATTCTTATCGTCGCCGCCAACAACATCTTCTTCGGAAGAGGGTGAGGTTTCCTCTCCCTCGCCAGCCGCCTCTCCTTCTTCTTTTCGTTTAAGCCGTCCTTCCCATTTTATCTCCGCGGGCGTCTTACTCGGTCCAATCATAATTCCTTCCTCGCTTCGTAACGCCTCCAACGCTTTCTCGGCATCCGCCAAAGATCGAAATCGGATATGCGCTCTCGGTTTTTCACCGTCAGGGCGAATAGACTTCACCGAACGAATCTCGCCAAACTTGGAGAACAATTTCCTGAGATCGTTCGCGGCGACGCCTTGCGGAAGGTTTCGTAAACCTAGATGCCCCGAGTCGTCTTTTAAGCCTTCTTCTTTCGCACGTTTGAACATTGGAACGAATTTTTTAAGGGTTCGCTTCTGCGGCGCAGAAGTAGAAGTCGTCGTCGTCGGCGTCGTAGCCGCACTTAAACTCTCGCTTTCGCTCTTCGCCTTCATCTCCTCATTCTCTTCTTCTTCTTGAGAGGTGGACGTATCTCCTCCTTCTGTTTCTGTTGTTGTTACTGACGTGCTCTCTTTGCCGTCCTCGTCACCATCACCATCATCCGAGGAAGAAGAAGTAGACATCAGTCTCATCTTCCCTACCAACCCCGAAGCAGAAGCAGAAGACGACGATGAAGATGAAGATGTTGCAAAAAGACCCATCGATCGACGGTGTTGAAATTGTTGGTGTTCTTCGAGAATCGACGACGACAGAAACGCGCCTCCGACTGAGCTTCTTCTCCGCGAAGACGAAGAAGAAGATCCTCCTCCTCCCATCGCAGCCGTCGTCGTCGTCGTCGACGACGTTAAGGTGTTCATCACCTTCTTCACGCAAGACCCACACCGACGTTGAAGACGCATAATTTTTCGTTTCTTTTTTCTTTCTCTCTCTCTTCCTTCTGTTTTGTGTTGTTTTAATTGTGAGTCTTTTCTCTCTCTCTTTCCTTCCTCCTCCTCTGTCCTCCAGACACCACAAAAGACAAGTTTTTTTACTTTTTGCGAACCCTCGTCCAAAAAAATTTTCCTTTTTTTCATCTCTTTTTCTTTTCTCGAACGAGAGATCGTGAGATGAAAACTCAAAGTGCGTTTTGTGGTGGAAAAAAAAAGTCAACGCTCTTCTCTTCCGTCGTTTCAAAAAAGCGGTGTTTCAAATAGTGCTTTCACTGCGTCTTTTCTGCAGAAAACGTCATTAATATTTATACATTCCGCACAAGCAGCATTTACACACACACTGCAGGTACGCGCGCGCATCATCGTCTTTTTCTCTCTCTGCAGTCGTTCGCGCGAATGATGTTCAAGAAGAAGAAGAACACTCTTCTTCTCTTTCTTTCTTTCTTTCTTTACTCACACCCGCGCGTGCATAAACTCTTCTCAATAATCATTATCCACAACAATTCATAATTGATAACGAACAGACACGGAAAAGAATTAACAAAATTTATTATCAACGAACGAGAACAACAACGACATCATGACGGATGCCGATACAAATTTAAGCAACTTAACCACTCTGTGGTTGCTCCTCGGAGCGTACATGGTGTTTTTGATGCAGGTAAGCGATGATTTCCTCTTCATCTCGTATCATCCGTCTTTTTTTTCCGTACAAATTGGCGTCGCTTGGGAGATATTTTAAAAAAGTGCTCAGAAACGACGCGATTGAAGCGTCGTTTTGAACTGTTTTTTCAGTCTTCCGCAAAACTTAAATTTTTTTTGTGGTTGTTTTTCGAAAGAAAAAAAAATTGACATTTTGACTGACTCTCTTTCTCAACCACGAACCGTCGTGTTATTATTAAACTTTAACAGGCTGGATTCGCGCTTCTCGAAGCCGGATCAGTTCGCGCGAAAAACACGAAAAACATCCTGATTAAAAACCTAATGGATGGGTGCCTCGGTGCGCTCGTGTGGTATTTTATTGGGTACCACCTCGCGTACGGGACAAAGGACTCGTGCACGGGCGGCAGCGACTGTAACGGGTTCGTCGGAAACGGCGCGGATGTTCTTATGAACAAAGCGGCGGAGCTCGCGCCACTCGGGAACGCTGGCTCTGGCCATTACTATGCCGGGTGGATGTTTCAGTGGGCGTTCGCGGCTGCTGCGTCGACCATCGTGTCTGGTGCCGTCGCCGAGAGGTGCAAATTCGGCGCGTATTTAGCGTACACGGCTGCCTTAACTGGAGTCATTTATCCAGTTGTCGTCAACTGGGGCTGGAGTGCCCACGGTTGGCTTTCTCCGTGGACCGGCACTGAGCCGTTTCTCGGCGCGAACGGTATGATTGACTTTGCCGGTTCCGGGATCGTTCACATGACTGGCGGCGTAGCTGCGCTCGTCGGTGCTATCTTTCTCGGTCCGAGAACTGGTCGATTTTCTCCCTCGGGAGAGTGCATCGATATGCCCGGTCACTCCTCCGTCTTGGTCGCGCTCGGTACCTTTATCCTTTGGTTCGGGTGGTACGGTTTCAACCCAGTCAGTACGCTCGCGTTTGAATACATGGAAACTGCCGCGCGTGTTGCTGTGACGACGACGTTAGGCGCCGCGGCTGGCGGCGTCACGGCGCTTTCCATCCACTACGGCTTCACAAAGTCTTTGGACGTCGGGCCGATGTGTAACGGGATCCTCGCCGGACTCGTTGCTATCACCGGTAACTGCGTCGTAATCGAACCATGGGCCGCTGCGCTCATCGGAGCGATCGGTGCAGCCATCTATTACGGTTTCAGCGCGCTTCTCAGGAAGCTTAAAATCGACGATCCGCTCGATGCCTCTTCCGTCCACGGTGCCTGCGGCGCTTGGGGCGTCATCGCCGCCGGTTTATTCGCCAAGCAAAAGTACGTCTTGAACGACTACGGAGCCGAAGGCGGTGCCGACGACTACGGCGCTTTATACGGAGGCGGCGGTAAACAACTCGGCAACCAAATCGCCGGCGTTCTCGCCATCATCGCTTGGGTCGGAATCACCAGTTCCGTTTTGTTCGGCGTGCTCAAGTACGCCGGCATGCTTCGCGTTCCCGTCGAAGAGGAAGAAGTTGGTTTGGACACCTCCCACCACGGCGGAAACGCGTACAACTTCGAGAAAGAACTCGACTCCAAGGCTTAATATTTTCGAAAGCGTTGTTGTTCTTCCTTTAAAAAACTAAAAAACAATATTATTATTTATTGCGTGTGTGTATGATACGTGAAGAAAACAGAGCAGAGAGATAGGTCCTCTCACGCACGACGAGTCTCTTTGTAAAAAAAAAATACCAATATTATTTATACCATCATCAACACATAATAGGAGAGACAATCGTACGCGCGCCGCACAACAACACGCACAAAAGCACCGTCAATATTAATAATACAACTCAATTTGAACGAAACTCTCAAAATTTTATCAATCGTTTTCTCTGAGTTTCTCGAGCTCGCCTTCTTGAAACTGCAACGCGTTTGGTTTGTAGTTCTTTTCCAATTCCGAGTCTTCGAGTTTCACGTACACTCTTAAACTCTTCAAGCGCACGGTCGTACTTTTGGACGATCCTCTGCCACCTCCAACCGTACCGAATAAACTCGTCGAAACGTCCGGGTCTGAGTCATTTCCGTAGTACGTGCCGAGTCGACTCGCGGCCATTTTCGATTCGAGCTGGATTTTCAAACCATCCGGTCCCCATTGAGGCGATTTACCCGCCTCGTCGATGATTGCCATTCCGCTGCCACCGATTTTCGCGCACTTCGTTGGATTCTCTTTCGTACCTCTCGCGTACACGAACAAAAACGCGCTGATTGCGTCCGCCCACTCTCCGTATCCGACCCAACCTTTAGGATTATAACCGCCAAACACCACCCCGTCGGTTGTCTCCGCTATTAACAAACCGCACCCTTGTCCATCTAATTGCGTGTGAAAACTCGACCCACTCCATCCGTGCGTCTCCGCGTCGTACGCGATGCCCAATCTTTTCGACTCCATTTGCGTCTGCTTCAGAACTCTTCGAACTAAACGCAACTCTCTCGTATCGTCGATATCAGACATCGGTTCTAAAAATTCCTCGCAATTCGCCGGCCATTGGTCCGGCCACTCCTCTCTCGTCATTCGTTTCAACCCGGCTGGTTCTGGGTCGTCTAACATCCCCGGGAAGAGTTTTCCGACTAAGTTGGTGATGAAGTCTCCGCTGTCTTCTTCTTCTTCTTCTTTCTTGTTGTTGTTGTTGTTAAAGAAACTCCGCGTGATGATGATTGTTCTTCTTCTTCTTCTTCTTCTTCTTCTCGATGATGATGAAGATGACGATGATGATGGTTTAGTATTATTATTATTCAAGGTTGTGCGACGTAAATGATGTCTTCTCGTTCTCAGCGACGACGCATCATCGCGAGCAGTCGCTGCCGAAAATGTCATCGTCGTCGTCATCCTTCTTCTTCGATTTGGTGAAAGAAGTGCTTTGTCTGTTTTTAATAATGGAAAAGATACGGGGGACTTTTACTCTGAAGTCTCTCCTCACTTCTCTTTACGCGCAACAACAACAACAACGTAAATGTTCGCCGTAACTTCTCCCTCTTCTTCGTCGTCGTCGTCAAAAGTCGGATTCGTCGTCGTGAAGAAAAAACAATCATCATCATCATCATCATCGTCGTCGTCGCTCAGAACGAGAACGAGAACGAGAACGAGAACGATGAGAAATGTTACGACACAATCGAACGCAAACATCCAGCGACTCGGCCCGGAAGATCCACGGTTGTCGCAGATTGTCATTCACAACAACACGGTGTATTTAAGCGGTCAAGTTGGGAGCGGAGGTGCCGATATCAAAGCGCAAACGAAAGAAACGTGCGATAAAATCGACCAGTTGTTATCGCTCGCCGGGACGGATAAGACGAACTTGTTGCAATGCATGATTTGGGTGAAAGATATCAAGAACGACTACGCGGGGATGAACGAGGTATACAACGAGTGGATCAAAGATGGGAAACCGGTGCGAGCGTGCGTGGAGAGTAACATGGTGTATAAACAGGAAGGCGTGCAACTGTTAGTGGAGATACAAGCGACTGCCGCTCTGCCTCAATGATATGAAATGTAGTTAGACACGCGCACGCGCGCCGGCATTGTGATGAAGTTACGCTCGTCGTCTGCTACTTATATATATGCTTTATTTTTACAACTCTCTTTTCTACTATATGTTTGTGTTGCTACGTGTGTTTGATTATTAATATTCTCTATCATCATTCGGAGTAACTCATCTCTCGACTGCTGTGACTGTGATGGTAGAACCCAAGAGTGGAGAGAATGGTTTGAAATCTTTCGCCGAAAATTTTCTGTCTCGCGGTGCGTTCGCGAGGATGCGGTCGATAATATTTCAACATTCCGTCCCAAGCGACCATTTTTAAGCCGGCTTTTTTCGCAATCATCGCCCGAACGCGTTCGGCGAATTCTATGCTCGTTTCGTTTTCTCCAATAGTTTGCGGTTCCATGAACCAAACGTCCGCGACGACGCTCCACGAGGACATTAATTTTATCAAGTGCGCGGTAAAGCTTTGTTTCCGAGAGTTCCAAAACGCGTCCACGAAGGTTTTATCGTACTTAATGGCAATTGGACATACCGGGACGCCTAAATCAAACGCACCTCGTTTAAACATGACGCAGTGCTCGTTGTTCACGCACGTGCCTTCTGGGAAAATCAACAGCGGTAACTTTGTGGGATCTCTGACGTGTTCTTTCAATCGTCTCGATACCGCTTGTTTATCTTTGATATCGGTTCGATTAAACGTGATGCAATCGACTGCTTTCAACGCGGTGTTTTGAATAAACCCAACCCACCCGGGGTGTTTCTGCATGATGCACGCGAACAAAGACACTTGCGCGACCACGTGATAATCAATCATGGACGTGTGATTGGACACGTACACGCACCCGCCTCTCCTCGTTGGTTTCGGTCCGTGGTATTTAATCACGCCCGTCCACGACATGACGAAAGCCGCGGCTAAATACTCCAACAACTTTCTCTTCACCACTTGCGCTCTCTTTTCCGGCAAAGTGTAATGGACGATAAAGAACAACAAGAAGAACAGAACTAACGATAAGACCAACCACGTGAATCGTAACGGCAGTAAAATGCAGTGTCTGATGATAAAGCCAACCACCCACAGAGGGTACAAGTAAAAGTTGAAGTTCCACGGCCTTTGGTCTTTCATTTGAAAACATCGATTGAACGAGTCGTCCACGATGGCATTGCACGCGTCTTGAACGACTCCAGAACAATTCAACAAAGCTGGCAAAATCGAGCTCTTTTGCTTTTGCAGAGAAATCAACTGCTCGGGCGTTTTCGGTCGTCGTTGTTCGTTCGGCGAATCCAAAAACTCAACGTCTTTTTGTTCGAACGATTTCTTATCCAGCTCAAATCCACTTCGAAACGGCCGAATAGATGGATCGTCTGGATCTGGTTGAAACGGTTCCTCGCCGACTTTGAGAAAGTCACCTTTGCCCAAGAAGAAAGCGTCCGAGGATTGCACTCTCGGGACGTTCTTTTGAGTATTCATGATTGAAGAAGTTTTCGTTGGTGCGAGATTTCTGTCGTCGTCGTTCACGTTGTTGTTGTTTTCCACGGATGAATCTGTTGATGGTGTTGCGATGCTGCTGTTATTCTTTTTCTTTTTCGAGGAGGAGAGTGACATCGCGCTCTTCATTTCTCTCTGAAACGCTCTCGTTACTGTGCTTCTTTGCGCGTTGTTGTTGTTGTTGTTGTTGTTGTTGTTGTTGTTGTTGTTGTTGTTGTTGTTCTCAGCGGTGGAAGTATACGCAGTATTGAGTGAAGAATTTTGTCTGACGAGTGTCTCATTCAGAGACGAGAACAAATGTGAAAATGAGAATAAAAATATAATAATATTAACAACAACGATTATTAATGATGCTTCTGAAGATGAAAATGTTTTGTTGTTATCGCGAAACAGCCATGCCTTTGTTTGCTCTAATCATATCCACGAATTGGGCGAAGCAGTTATCGGAATCGTGCGGTCCAGGACTCGCTTCCGGGTGATATTGAATGGTCATGGCCATCTTTTCTTCCCAAACCATGCCGGCGCACGTGCCGTCGTTCAAGTTCAAGTGCGAAACTTTCACCTCTTTCGGCAACGAGTTCAAATCCACGGCAAAGTTATGGTTTTGCGCGGAAATCTCAACCGCTTGGGTGAATTCATTTCTCACCGGGTGATTACCTCCGTGGTGTCCAAACTTCATCTTGAACGTTTTGCCGCCAAAGGCTTGTCCCAAAACTTGATGTCCCATGCAAATGCCAAACACCGGGACTTTGCCGAGTAACTTCTTGCAGTTTTCAACCGCGTACGGGGCAGCGGAAGGATCTCCAGGTCCGTTGGAAAACAATATCCCGTCCGGGTTCAACTTCATGACGTCTTCGGCGGAGTAGTTTGCCGGCACGACGGTCAAATCGCAACCAAACGAGGCCAATCGGCGCATGATGTTATTCTTGATGCCGAAATCAAAGCAAACGACGTTGAACTTGTCCTTGTTGCTCTTCGCCTTTTCCGCGAATTCCCACTCGCTCGCGGTTGGATCGACCCATTTGTACGGTTCTTTCACGCACACTTCACCGATTAAGTCCTTACCGACGATATCGTAGCCTTTGGACATTTTCAACAACTCGTCGTCCGAGATGCTCATATCCGTCGTGACCACGCCATTCAACGATCCTTTCTCGCGTAATCTCACCGTGATCGCGCGCGTATCGATATCGGAAATCCCGATAACGCCTTGCTCTTTCAAGTACGAGTCCAACGTTTGCGTCGAGCGGTAGTTCGATACGTTCAAGGCCTCGTGTCTGACCAAAGTAGCGCCCATGTGCACTTTCGTCGATTCCATGTCGAGCGGGTTGATGCCGACGTTCCCGATGTGCGGGCACGTGAACAACACAAACTGACCGGCGTAGGACGGGTCGGTCAAGATTTCTTGGTATCTGTTGTTGTTGTTGTTAATGTTGTTCAAATATGAATACGAGGAAGGAAGAGTTAAGAAGACAAAGAAGATGATATTGTCAGCAGTATTCGAGGAAATTTTTTAAATATTTTGTGTTGTTTTTGATGCGAAGAAGATTTGAACGTTGCGTGCTTGGGCGGCCGATCTCTCTCTCTTTTCACACATGCTTAAGATGACGACGACGAGACGAAAGCGCGATGATAACAAAATAAAGAGAGAGTAAAAGAGTATCATAAAAGAGAGAATGAAACGCACCCGGACAGAGAGGTGTTAAACACAACCTCTCCAACTTTCGTCCCGTCCGCCCCGAACGCTTTCCCTTGCCACACCGACCCGTCTTCCAAAACCAACTTACAGGGCTTCTGGATGTCCCACGGTTTTGAAATCGCTCCTTCTCCGGCGAAGCACTTTAAAGTCGCTTTTCTTCCTCCTCTGGACAAAGAAGAAAAAGAAGTCGAGCACGACGACGAGGCAGACGAAGAGGTCTTCCCGACGCGGCCTCTGAACGACAATTGTTGGTGTTGATGGTGTTGCGCGCAAGACACCGAGGACGACATTATTATTTGTTTTCAAACCTCTTTTTTCCCTTTTCGTCTTTTATTAATGACGAATGACAGAATGAGGAAAAGCGCAAATTCAAAAAAAACGTCGATCTGTTGAATTTTTTTTTTTTTTGCATGTTCGAGAAAAAAAAGAGGAGAGAAAGAGAGAAAGATATGCAGAGAGAGAAAGATATCCTTCTTCTTCAAAAGAACAACAACAACAACAACAACGCTTTCTTTATTCCTACCACCGAAAAGCGCGTCGAGACAACTTCTATTAAAACGTGCGACTGATGCGCGTCGTCGCAAATTCTCAAACGACGACGATGTCGAGCGCGCGCGCGAGTGATAGCTTTCATACGAATAACAGCGCTATTAAAAAATCATCATCATCACCTTTGTTGTCATCATCCTTTTCCCGAAGACGACGAGAACGAAAAGATGGATTAGTGAAAACGTCCGCTTTTTTCGACGATTTGAAACAGAAAGCCTCGCAAGTGTTGGAGAAATCCAGGGACGACGACGAAAAAGAAGAAGAAGAACAAGATGCGTATCCAGAAGAGTCGACGGATTACGACGACGAGAACGCGAACCCGTTCAAGACGATGTTGCAGAAAGGAATGAAAAAACCAGCCTTCATCAGTCGAGACGAAGGCGACGAGGAGTACGTGAACTACGACAACACCGTGGACGAGATGGAAGAGGAGATGGAAACGAACAACAAAAGGTTTTCATCCGCGGCGGAGAATTTGATTCCAAAGTTTTCCGTCCCGAAGTTTAAAATACCAGAAAAGAAAGCCAGCGCCGCGACGCAAACGCCGGCGTACGAAGAAGAAGAAGAAAAGGAGGAAGAATCGACGGAAACCTCGAACCCGTTCGCGAAAATGCTGAAAAAGTCCAAGTCGGTGCAAATGACGAAAGCTGCGCAAGGCGAACGAGATTTTGATACGGCGATCAAGGAGAGAGTGTCCTCGAAAGCGGCGGCGGCTTTGATGGAAGCGACAGATACGAGCACCGCGAAGTGGACGTTAACGCCAGACTCCTCGACGACGAAGAAACGTTTGGGTAAGATCAACTTGAAAAACGGTGACGTTTTCATCATTGGGAGAGAGAAAGGAAATGGCGTAGACGTGAGCGTGCCGTTACCGTGCGTCTCTGGCGTCCATTGCCAACTCGAAATGGAGAGAAATAAGTTATACGTCACGGATTTGGGATCCACCAACGGAACGTACGTGGACGGATTTCAGTTGCGAAAGAACAACCGATTTCGCATCTTCAATCAATCTGTGGTCAGATTAGGCGCGGAGAACAGAGACGGGGAAGATTACGCCAGTTTTGGAACCGATTTAACCGGCGCAGATGAAATGGAGAAGAACTCAGAATACGGACAGTTGAATTATTTCATCGAATTTTTGGGAGGTCCGAAGGTGGTCATCAACTTCATCTTCATCAACTTGGCTTTCCAAGGTACTTTCTTCATTCTTTTAAAGTACTTATAATATAATATAATATACTGCTACTACTACTACTATTACTACTATTACTACTGCTATCGTTCTTAATGCTGCTCTTCTCTGGTCCAGTACGCGCGCGCATTCATTTTTTTATACATTCGATACGGACCCGTTTTCGGTGAAAACGCTCTTTCGTTTTTGTTTACGCTCAGCCAAGTCTCGCTTCTCCTCGCACGCCTTCACGCACATTAACAACGCTTCTTTGGCTCTCACTTTACGTATCGCGTTTCGTCTCGCGATTGCTTTGTTCTCTCGTTGAATAAAAAACGCTCGGATTAACGGAACTGCAAAGAAAAAGATGGCGTAATAAACCATCGGTTTGTACATCCATTGCGCGAGCTTTGGAAAAATCTCAAAGAAAGCAACCAGAGCTGGAGGTTGCTCGATAATGATTTCCTCGTCGTCTGGTCCCGCATTTAAGAGTTTGTTTTGCGACTCTGAAAACTGACCGCCGCGTCTTCCCATCGATCGTCGTAATTGCGCTCTCGTGACTGTTCGTCTCGGCGCTTTAAAATCCAATCCGCCGACGCGATAAAACAGAAACAACAAAAACACGTTGAATATTCCAGTGAATACGACTAACGGACCTTTCACTCCGTACTCGAACACTGGCTTTTGATTTTCATAAATCGGTGGTGGGATTGGTGGAGGCGCAAACTTTGCGATTTGCGCGTCCGTTTTGTTCTCTTCAGCCGTGACTTGGAAAGATGGAAAGATGTATATTAATCTTCCGTAATCGTCGGACTCGGCGTGACCGTAAAACTGTTCCAGAATTCTCAACACGTATCCTTCGTGCTGTCGCTCTTCGCGGTCGTCTAAACTGCGCGACCCGTCGTCTTTTTTAACATCGCGTCTATTTCCACCGAAGAACGAGGAAAAAAGAGATCCTCCTCCTCGCATACCTTTTCGATCTTTCTTCGACAGTAAGAACGCATCCGTAAACGCCGCGAGTTGCTCGGCGAAAACGACGCCTCGGTTTGCGCGAAGTAGCTGCGATATCGCTTTCGACCGCTCGTGCTCTAAAAATTCGTTCGGATCGCCTCTCCCGAAGACAAACGCATAAATCGATTCGATGAACGATAACTCTTTCTTTTTATCGACAATATCGTCGTCGTGGTCGTCCTCTTCGGCAATCATCAACCGGCGATACATTTCCGGGTCCGGAAAATTACTATTATTGTTGTTGTTGTAACTGTTGCTATTATCGTCGTCGTCGTCTCCTCCTCCTCCTCCTCCTCCTCCTCTTCCTTCTCCTCTTCCACCGGATGGTTTGACTGGAACGCCCGTTACTACGTTCGCGTTGTTATAAATATCGCCATTCAAATACACGCGTCTTCGTTCTAAATCGTCCCAATACGACAGCCACATGATATCTCTCATGTATAAATACATCCAAAATCCATCCATGTTACCTCCTCCTCCTCCACCTCCTCCAGGCCCGTATCCTGGATTCATAAACAAAGGGATCTCTCCTCCTCCCCCGCCGCGATTATCGCCACGACCGTTTGCCAAAACTAATATGAGCATCGCGACCAACGCTAAAGCGACGACGACGACCGAAACGATCAACATGACGCTAAAACTCACGCGCAAAAACGTGTAAAACGCGCGAAACGTTCGCCTTCTCAACAAAGAAGCGCGAAAAGCGGCATCTCGCGCCATGTAGACCGATCGACAGTGTCTCGGGAAGGAAAACACCACCTCGTATTTTTTCGTTTCTTCTTCTTCTTTGACTTTGTCTTCTTCTCGCTGTTGTTGTTGTTGTTCTTTCATCGTCGTCGTTTTTGCTGCTGTCGTTGTCGTTGTTTCCACCAGCGCGTCCACCTTTGAAGCGCAAATAAACACCGTTCGTCGTAACCCACTAACGCCACCGGGAAACTCCGGAACGATGGCGTGTAAATCGCCAATCGTGAACCGTTCGTTGTTCGGAAAGGCATTCTCAATCGCTCGTAGGCAATCGAACGCGTTTTTATTAGCATTATTAGTATTGTTTTGATTCTCGTCGGACATCGTCTGAATCGTCGTTCCGGTAGTAGAGAGGTATTATCGTTGTCGTTGTTGTCGATGATGGTATGAATACTCTCTTTAAGTAAGTTATGAACGAGTACGAGAGATGCCTCGAGTGAAAGATGATTACTCTTTTTTGTAACGAAGAACAGAAGAAGAAGGAGTTTTTTGGAAGTTTTTTGGTTTCCCTTTTTTCTCTCTTTTCTCTCTCTTTTGGCAGAAAGTGTGTTTTCGTGCTTCTCTTGTTTTTGCGTGGCACCTCTTTTTATGCACTTTTTTTCCTTTTCTCTCTCTTCTATCCTCTTTGGCAAAATCATCATCAGGATAACAGCTCTTTACTTTTTGTCCTCTCTCGTGTTTATACACTACACACTTTATATTAATACACACACACGCACACTTTAACACGCACGTAACGCGAAGAAGACGATGAGTATGCGTTTTACCACGACCACCACCTCTCGTTCGGCGACGAAGACAAGTTGTTCACTTTTAAAAGGAACAAAAAAACAATCAAAATCATCGTCGTCGTCGTCTCGCGTGTCGTCGTCGTCACCAAAATCATCAACGAGAAGAAGAATAAAATGCTTTGCTGGCAAAAACGAAGAAGAAGAAGAGAAGAAAAAGACTCGCGACGACGAAACGAAGAATACCACGATGGCGAAAAAAATCGTCTCCCTTTCGACGGCGTTGGGCGTGTCGCTGACGATGACGACGATGCCATTGGTGGGTGATGATGTCGCGCAAGCGTACGAATATAATCAAAATCAAATATCTCAACTCGCTGGGTTACAAGCGAACCCGGTGACGAACGCACGCGCGTTGTTAAGAAACTCACTCCCGATCGATTGCAAAGAAATTCGCCAGATACAAAAAGCGTTGGAATCGATTTCGGACGATTTGAGAGTCCCGGGGGTGAAATTTTCCGGCGTCGAGGAAAGCGTCAACAAGTCTTTGAAAATCGTCAAGAACGACGCGAACAAAATAGTGGACAAAACGGCCTCGGCGAAGAAAGACCAGGTGAGACAGTACTTGAAAGATTTAGGGACAGAATTGCAAGATTTCCAAACGATTGTCGCGAACAAAGATAAGCAAGAGGTGCCAGTCGCGCAGCAAAAGTGTTTGAGTTTGGTGACGAAGATTGAGGAGGCGTTGGTGAACGAGTTTCCGTACCAAGTGCCGGCGCCGTACGACACGACGTTGCCGAGATTAGAAGGTCGAGCGACGGTTGAAATGGAGGTGAAAATTAAAGACAACGCGGTGACTCCGGGGGGTAAGCTCACGATCGTCTTGGACGGGTACAACGCGCCCGTATCGGCTGGGAACTTTACGGATTTGATTCAGAAGAAATTTTACGACGGGATGAAAATCCAAAGATCGGACGGTTTCGTCGTCCAATCCGGGAAACCAGAAAATGCGCCAAAAGGCGTGGATGGCTACATCGATCCAGCCACGGGCAAAGAACGCTCCGTTCCGTTGGAGATTATGCCTGAAAGTTCGTTCATGAAGAAAAAAGCGCCGGAATACGATTTCACGTTTGAGGAAAACGGCATGTACCGCGAACAACCAGTCTTACCGTTCAACGCTTTTGGCACGTTAGCCATGGCCAGAAGAGAAGCCGATAACAACTCCGCGAGCTCTCAGTTCTTCTTTTTGTTGAGAGAATCGGAGTTGACCCCGTCTGGTACGAACATTTTAGACGGAAGATACTCCATCTTTGGTTACGTCGTCGATAACCAAGAGTTGTTGAGAGACATGAAGGTTGACGACGAAATCGTCAGCATGAAAATCGTCAGAGGCGCAGAAAACTTGGTCAAGAACGAACGCGCGGCACCGACGCCGACCACCCAAGAAGAACAAGCGCCCGCTTCCGAGTAAAGCATCGATGATCGTTTTTGTCCTTCTCACCGTCTTTAATATCATCATTATCTTACCACCGCAATTTAATACTAATACTAATACTAAGCTTATTCTATCTGCAGTAGTAGTTTTCTCTCGCTTCGTACGTCACTTTTTGCCGTCAAAGAAGAAGAAGAAACATTAAAAGAAGACGACGAATAAGACGCATGATGATGATAAGGACAACGCGTCATCGCGCCTCGTCCTCCTCCTTTGCCACTTTTGCGTGTTGTCGTCACCTCCTGCGCGATGAGTATTGTACTGCGAATACTTTTAACAACAACAATCGTCGACGGAGTTACCACCACCACGGGAAAAGAATCACTCTGAAAGAATACGTCGTCGGAGGAGAAGAAGAAGAAGAAAAAGAAGGATTTTCAGAAACGAAGCTAAAGACAAAAATGGCGTTTCCAGAGCTGAACAAACACTTGATAATCTCGGGGGCCGATGACGACGACAATAACAAAGAAGAAGAAGAAAAGATGAACATTGGGAAGAATCAAGTTTTGGTGAAAGTCCGAGCGTTTTCGGTGAACCCGTTGGACGCGGAAGTCGCGCGCGGATATTTAGGAAAGTTTCTTCCACGCTTGGATGGAGGAAAAGGCGGCATTGGATTAGGGAAAGACTTTAGCGGCGAAATCGTGAAACTGGGAAGAGGAGGAGGAGATGGAGGAAAGTTTGAGATTGGGGACGAGGTGTTTGGAGCGATATCGGCGGCGGATTTTAGGAACGGGACGATGGCGGAGTACGTCCTCGTCGACCGGAAACAGTTGATGAGAAAACCAAAACGGTTGACGCATAAAGAGGCGTGCGCGATACCGTTTGCGGCGTACACGGCGTACGCGTGCTTGAGAACGACCGGGTGCGTGGATAGGAAAGATCCAAAGAGGATTTTGGTGTTTGGCGGCGGGAGCGCGGTTGGAGAGTGCGTGGCGAGGATAGCTTTGAGGAGCGGATTCGCGTCGACAGTGGTTGCGACGGCCGGGAAAGCGAGCAAACAGATGTTGATGGAAGACGTTGGCGTCGAGCGAGTGATTGGATACGAAAACAAAAAGAAGGATGGAGAGATGAAGAATCAAGATCACGGCGACAGTAGTAGTAGTAGTAGTAGTAGCGGTAGTACAACGAGTAGCAATAGTAGTGGTAGCAGTAGCCACAATAGCGGCGACAGAAAAACAAGCGAAGTGAGGGAAGGCGAGAACTTTTCGGCGAAGAATTCGCGGTTCGTCGATGACGCCGAACCTTCATTCGACGTCGCCATCGACACCGTCGGAAGTGCAAAAACGAAGTTCCAAGCCGCGAAAGCGCTGAAAAAAGGTACGGGCACGTACATCACCTTACACGGCGACATGGCGCAACTCATAGGCGAATCCGGCGTTCTTCGCGGCGGTGCCCAAGCGTCTTTAGAGCTCTTGCGCGAAAAAGCCTTCGCTCGACTTCAATACGACATCGGATACGATTGGGGGTACGCCAACGCGAACGATTTCGACGCCACGAATTTGATCGAATACCTCGTCGATAAAGGTTTCTTATCCGTGAAAGTCTACGACGATACGAAACACGAACAATCAGGACCCTTCCTCGGCTTGGAGAGCGTGGAAAGAGCGTTCAAAGCGTTGGGAGACGCGTCGAAAAAAGGGAAAATCGTCGTCGAGATGCCTTTGTAAACTTGATTGAGCGCTCGCACTTTGCGTAATAGCGAATAATGAAATGTTTGTCTTGTGCATATGAATTGATTTTTTTTCCGCTCGTTGTTTTTTGCTCCCCATAAAAAACTACTCCTGTACAAAATGTTTGCCGCTCAAAACCGACAACACGTGGTACAAAACGTTGACTCCTTTAATTGCGGTGGTCGTGTTTCGAGCACTTTTTTCAATCGGAGGTTTCAAAGGAGGATGAGTTTGGGATGTTGTTCTCCTTGTCGTTCGTTTCAATCGAAGAAACAAAATTCGTATCTTTCCCGGTCGTCATCATCATCACACGAAGGAGGACAACACCACCAACAACAAAGCATAAACAAACACATCCAATTCAGAGGAACGAACGTCAGTACTATCAGCAGAAGAAGGAAATCATCATCTCTCGTGGTAGTTCGAGTATCGTCTGAATCGTCGTCGTCAAACGGTGATGATGATGATGATGATACTAAAGGAGGAGAAGAAGAAAAAAACGGTGACGTTTCGATGTCGTTCGCGGAGGAATTGAGAAAAAGAGGCATCAAAGAAGCTTCGGACATAAAAAGCGACGACGAGAACGGAGAAGGAACGAGCAGCAGCAGCAGTAGCAATCCGTTTGCAAACGTAGCGAAAGCGGTGAAATCTCCGTTTGGATCGTCGGACTCGGCGGCGGCGCCAAAACCTCCACCGAGGTTCGCGCAGCCGCGCGGGGACGGCGACGGCGGGGCGAACAAAGAAGAAGACGACCAGTTGAAAAAATCGAGACTACTAAACAGCGAAGGTTTAGAGGGATTTCCGACGCGCGCGGGCGAACTTTTGAAACTCGCCGTGACGTCCACGGCTTCGTTTGCGCCTTTAATAGCGGTTATTTCGGTCATAACCATCGGCACGTGGTCCATCTTCGGCGCGGACTTTATTCACGGCGGCGTGAGCAGAGATTTTGGAGGCGGAGTCCCCAAGTACGTAGCGCCAGAAACTCTCTTAGCTGAACCTACGGTCGATGTAATGGTGCCGTTGAGAGCACCAAACGTGGTCGCCGCTGAGTATTAGTTAAACTCGCGTCTCCCGAAAAGTGTGCTTCGCGATACGTTTTTATTATAGTAAACTACATGCGAATATATTAAAACAACAAGCTACTAAAACTTCGCGAGCATATTAACATTCGCATCTTCTTCTAAGTCTCTTACTCTCTCCAGCTAAACATTACAAAACAAGGACGTGCGATCATACCATCAATCGTGTCGGGTTGTCGTAAAATCTTTTAGAATACTACAACAACAATCACGACAAGGGTGAAGGAGAGATTTACTTCTCTTGTTTTCTCGGTGCTCTGCGAGGCGGTTCTCTGATTCTTCTCGCCTCTCTGGATCGCACTCTCACGACTTTGCTGTGAATCGCAGCAGAGATGGAGTAGTGCACCTTTCTGTACATCTTCGGTAAAGTATACGTTTCGTACGCGCACGCCTCTTGGAGATCGCGAATGGCTGCAGATTCAACCATGTTTCTAACGATGAACCTCTTCACGGCTTTGTCTTTTGGCACCAACGCACCGCTAGATTCGCAAAATACTCTCTTGACCTGTGTAAATGTGGATGAAAAAATATCGCACGAGTCAGTTTCGATGGAAATAAATGGACACAAAACGTCGCGTCGTCTTCGCGTCTTTGCAAATCTCCGCGCTTTTCCAAAACCCGCTCATTTTGGGTTTGAACGTAAGGAGCAAAAACGACTCTCGAAATCGTTCACGCGCGGAAAACATCCACTCGCGACCGATAAAAACGACACTCGCGATCGATTCTAGATGAACAAATGTTCGCTCCGTGTAAAACAACGTACGTGTCCTCTGGCCCCGGAGGGTTTGTTTCTCCCGTTCGCTCGACGTTTCTTCGGCATTTTTTCTTCTGTGGGTCTTGTTTGTGAGGAATGAGCTTCGTTTTGAAGACAGAAGACCCAACGGACAACAGAGACCAAAAAATTCGCGTTTTCCTCTTCTTCCTCAAAAAACAACACAAAAACAAACAACAGAGGCAAAAGTGGTGAGATGCGGTAGTTGAGAACAATACTACTAACTAATAATGGCGAATACTAATAAGAGTAATTTTAAAGGAGAGAGAGAGTACAAACAAGTGCCACTCTTTGGAAACTGCATGACAACTTTGATCCCTCTGGAATGGCTGGACGTCTCGGACTACCGACCAGTGCCGGATAACCAAGAAATGTTTAGCGATTTCAACGCTTTAGAGCCGTCGATGATGTGCGTGGAGATTGTCGAACGCGTCGGAGACGACGTGACTGGCGTACACTCGCAAAAGTTCAGAGAAGAGGACAACTTGGCAAAGTTTTACTTGGAGGACTTGAAAGAGCTGATGGACATCGCGACGAGGGATGATGATGAGAGTCACAACAGTAAAACGATCAGAACGAAAGATTGGAGATATGAACTCTCATCTGGGAGGAAAGTACACTCAGACGTACGCGCGATATTCGTAGACGGCAAAAACGAGGACGCGAAGAAGGAGGCGATGAAGAAGATGGAAGATTTATCGTTGACGCTACCAAAAGAAGATGACGACGGAGAAGAGGAACGGGAAGGAAAGCCAAAGGAGGAAAACGACGACGACGTAAACGACGACTACGTAAAGAATAAGTGCGAGTGGATATCCTTCGCCGAGGAAAAAAACTGTCTCGTCCCTTCCAAGGAAAACCAAGAAGGCAAAGACTCCACTCGTTCGGTCACGATATCCATGTACGTGCACAGACTGGAGAAGAAATACGAGACCGATATTCTCGTAAGTTTCGTTCGACCGAGTAGTAAAAGTGATGATGCTAATCATCGCGTAATAGCAGAGGATGAAATACAGGAACAGAACAATCCCGGGACGGTTGCGCAGCAAACGCTTCGGATGTTGGACTGGAGTCTCTTAGGATTAGACGACGATTCAGACGACGTAAACGACGACGACGACGAAGAGAGTCTCGAGTAGATAAAATGCGCGTAGTAGAATATAGTAGAAAAGACTGTTGTTCAGTAGATAGTATATTGATTTTAGTTGTAGTCCTTTAAGCGTGATGGACGAATTCTCTCTTCATTTTGTATCTCTTCCCACACAAAAACAAGACTCTTCACTTGGTCGTCGTCATCGTCTGCTCCGATTCGCATTCAAACGATGACGGCGACCGACACTACATCCTCTACATCCTCCTCAAAATCGATGCAAACGTTCCTCGACGAGTGCGCGTTGATAAAAAAACAGCATCGACAAAGTTTCAACGACTTTTCGTTCCTTCGAGTATCTCCGCTGGCGTTCGTGAAACCACTGCGTAAGGACGACGATTCAGACGACGATGTGAACAACAAGAGAGCAAAAATGAGTGCAAACAGAGAGACGAAAATACTAAACGAGCTGGAGATGTGCGAGCGAACGGGAGACGTGGTTTTTAGAGCTTCTTCGAAGATGAAAAACGAATGCGTTTTTCGTCTGAATTCACTTTCCGTGGCCGAGGAGGAAGAGAGAAGAGGAAGAAGAGGAAGAGAAAAAATAATCGCGTACCGAATGAAGATTTGGACTTTAACGGACGAGAAAGAGAAGAAGGTGGTGTTGTACGATAATTTAACAACAGAGGAGGATACTATGAATAGCAGTAATAGGAGTAAAAGTAGTTTTAAGAAGAGTAAGAAACTACTCCTGGCGCGCGTAGACGCGGATCCGAACCGAACGAGCGACGGGTTTCAGTTGAGAGGAGTGAGTTTGGCGCTCGCTGCAGAGGCGGAGAGACTTTCGAGGACGAACTCTACCTCTAAGGAGGATGAGAACGATGGTGATGGTGATACGCTTAAAATTGAGATGACATCAAACGTGGCGTTCAAACACCCGTCGATGAATAGAAAGAGCGATACGTTCAGAGAGATTTTTAAGGACGTGGACGCGAACGCAAAATTGGCGTGCGAAGCGCGTTTAGTTGAAGCGTTTGAGATTATAGAGATTCACGAACTATCCACGTACGAGAAATCAACATTCGCTGATCGTGATAAAGACGACAACGACGAAAAAAATGCACGAGTAGGAATAGAAATAGAAGTAGAAGTAGAAGAAGAGAGACGATCGAGATGTGCCGTTTTGAAGAGGGTCGTGGTCCCGGGCGAAAGTTGGGAGACGCCTTCGGATTTTTCAGAAATCTCGCTGAGGATAAACGACATGAATGGTAAAAGTAACGCGCACACGTTCGTTTTGAAAAGACACGAGAGTAAGAAGGATTCCTACGAGAGATTCGTGATGGCTTTGGTGAGAACGATGCGAAAGAAGGAGACGTCGGTTGCGTTCGTTCCCAAAGAACGCTTCCTCGATTTCACGTTCCCGCAACACGAAGAGGTGGGGAAGGTTATCGATGCGATACGTAAAAATAACAACAACTCCTACGATTACGAAGACTACGTCGCGATTGAAGTGCACTTGATTGATTGGGTGAGCGCGAGAGACTGTTTCGGAGACGGAAAAGTCATAAAAACGGTGCTGGAAAAGAGGGATCCGTCGAAGAGTTTTCCGAACGATTCTCCCGTGCAAGATACGAAAGTGTACATTTCCAATCTCCGCGCGAGCGCGAAAACCACATCAGGGACTGAAGGTATAATAGGCACCGACAAAAACGAGCAGCATCTAATTGGCGAAGACTTTTCGTTTCGATTAGCGTCGGGAGAGATGCCGCGTGCTTTAGAAACCGCGCTCCGAACCGCGTGCATTGGCGAAACTATTCGCGTGACTGTAGATGTGCGAGAAGAAGAAAGGACAGCGTTTGCGCTCAAACAACGAAAGGAAAGGATGCGCGCGTATTTAGACTCGTACGTATTGAGTGATACGTTAACCAAACTGGTATCTCGAGACGACGACGAGCAAAATCTGCTCAAAGCTGAGGATGGTGGTTTTCGACTCGTGCAAGTTACGTTTGAGTGCACTTTGACGGGCTTTGATAAGATTGTCAATTGGTACAGCGACGCCGTCGCCGTTTGCATCAAAGACGGCGAAGATTTGAAAACGGACGCGAACGCGCTGTTCAAAAACGGTATGCTCATCGAAGCGTTGGAAAAGTACGAAAGCGTGGCGCAAAAGTTGAATCAGCTCGCCTCGCGCGTGTTGCTCGAAGAAGAAGAAGGAGAAGGAGAAAAGTACGAACCTCGGATCGTCGCTTTGAGAAACAACGTGCTCTTGAACGCCGCGGTAACGGCAAAGAAGTTGAGAGATTACACCGCCGCGAGGAAAAGCTTGGAGAAAATTCCGGAAAATGAGAGATCGTTCAAGGCTAAAATGTTAAAAGGGTGCATTTTTCTCGACGAGAACGAATTCGATTTGGCCAAGGAAGCGTTCCGAGAGTTGCTGACCGATATCGCCGCCGACGAAGACGAAGATGAAGTGACTAAAGACGAAAAGAAGAAAGAGCTAGAGAGAGAGCTTGCGCGCGTGAAGCAACTCGAGAAGCGGGCGTTGGAGGAGATGCGAAATAAGTTTCGAGGTAAGCTGTAAAGAGTAGTAATTGTAGTAGTAGTGGTAGTAGCAGTAGTAGTAGTAGTAATATTCACAAGCGGAAACGTTTCTTGTTGTTGTTGTTGTTGTTGTTGTCGTTCTTTTAAAAAATTCGTATATGTATAATAAGTGTTCTTTTACTCATCGTCCGAGTAATACACGGTTTGGTTCAACGCTTTCACTGGACTTCCAACGAACCCTTCGTCGGTCCCAGCCGCGTACGTGACTCGTCTTTTCGCGCTTTTCTTCTTCTCGCTCGTCGAAGACCCGTTGTTCTCGCCGCCGTTGTTCAACTTTACGATGCCGTTTCTCTTCGCGTCGTTCGACGACGATTTATTCTTCTTCTTCTTATTGTTATCGTTTTCGTACGAGTACGACGCGTTCCCATACCCTCTGTCCTCCGTGTAATACTTCGCCATCTGCACTTCCTTCGGGGCAAACCCGCACTTTTCGTAAAACTGAACGTTTTCCGCGGAGCAGTCCAAAATGGTTTTATAACACTTCACGTGGTTCCTCGATATAATCGACATCGCGTCAATCATAACCTTCCCTAATCCAGAGTCTCGCGCTTCTTCGTCCACGACGACGTCTTCTACGTGTCCGGAGAGACCTAAATTTCGTCCGAATTTCCGTTCCACCATTAACGTCGCCGTCGCGAGAATTTTCGTTTTCTCCTCGTTTTCCAACACGTAACAAAACTCCGGTCCTTCTCTCATTTGGTGCCAACGTTTCACGAATCTCTTCTTTGTCATCTTCGGCGCCACGGTGAGTTGTTTCAGCAGATCCACGAAGCCTTTCTCGTAATCGTTCGCTTGTAACCGTCGAATGGTTTTTTTCTTCCCGAACTTATCCGTCACGGAGATTTGTTTCGGTGGTAAACCGTATCCTCTCGAGAACGTTTTCGCGACGAACCGTAACGCCATCGCGCTCAGAAATCCAAAAAGAAACGGAATCTGCGTTTCTTTGTGATTCGTGAGAAGTTGCACGCGCATCACGGTGTTGTTGTTATTCGACGATTTTCGTCGACCCCCGTTACTGTTGAAATTGTTGTTCTTCGATCCTGCTCTCGGTGGGTACATCTCAGAAGACGAAGAAAAAGCAGCGGCAGAAGAAGAAGAAGACATTGAGAAATTGATTACTCAAAAGTCTTTCCTTCGAAGGATTTTGAGGAAGAAAAAAGTCTGTTAATGGTGTTGTTCTGTTGTTGTTCTTTCGGACAAACAAAAAAAAGTCGTTTTTTTGACTTTTTCAGAGAAGACGAAGAGAGAGAAAGAAGAAGAAGAAGAAGAAGAAGAAGAAGAAGAAGATTCCTTTGAAAAAAACAAAAGAAGAAAAAGAACTTTTGCTTTTTTCGCCTTCAAAAAACACACACGAATTTTACACAAACTCACCGCATATAAAATAAAGCATGTTGTTGTTTTACTAAAAAGAGAAGAAGAGACAAAACGAAGAGACGACGACGACGACGAAGAAGAAGAGAAAAAGAGCGTTACTATGTCTTCTTCGCTCTCTCTGTTCGGGTTTGGAGTCACGGCGGAGGATTTCACGATGTCTCGCTCTGAAACGTTGTTGTCTTTGTCTTCTTCTTCTTCTCGTCGTCGACGTCGCTTAGAATCAGACGATGTAGAAGAAGAAGAAGAAGAAGAAGAAGAAGAAAAAGAAGCAAACGACGACGACGACGAGAGAGGAAGAAACGGAGGAAGAGGAGGAAAAGAAAGGATGGCATCGTCGTCCACGCTCTCGCTTTCAACCGCGACCAAACACATATTCTCCATCGGTTGGCCGACGTGTTTGCAAAACGTTTCCGCCGCCGTGGCGTCTCTCTTCGCCGTGAGCTTGATTTCGCACCACGAAGATACAACCTGCGTGGCCGCGTACGGTTTAGGAACGAGTTTATGTTCAGTCACCGGGCATTGCTTTTTATGGGGAATCGGAGGCGCGTTGGATACGCTTTCCAGTCAATCGTTTGGGATGAAGAAACGGAGGAGAGTCGGGGAGTTATTTTGGCGAGCGGTGGCGATATTGGTGTGCACGTGTTGGTTGCCGGCGATGATTGTTTGGTCGTTCGCGGAGGAGATTTTATGTTTCATGAAGTTTCCGAAAGACGTGGCAAAGTTGGTGGAAGTGTACGCGATGGCGTACGCGCCTGGGTTGTTGGCGCAGTGTTTCTCGTGCGCGTGTTTGAAAACGTTGTTGGCGTGTAAGAAATCAAACACGGTGGCGAAAATTAGCGTCGTGAGCAGTCCGATGACGATGTTGTTGACGTACGCGTGCATTGCAAAAATGAAGTTTGGTTTCGTCGGCGCGCCGTTAGCGCTGACTTTAGTCGACGTCTTTAAAGCCGCGTGTTATTGTCTCTCGACGTTTGTCTTGGACGAGGACGTGAAGAAATGTTTCGTTCTTCGTCGTCAAAGCGAGAATAGCAGTCGTCGTCGTCGTCGTGGCGCCGTCGCGCAGTTCGGGAAAGCCGCGTTTTCGAAATGGACGACGTTTTTCAAGATTGCGCTTCCAAATTTGGTTTTATCCATATTCGAATGGTGGGCCTGGGATCTCATGAATCTCTTGACGGGACAACTTCCAAACGCGAAGGACGCTTTGGCGGCGCAAACGATCCAGACGAATTCCATGATTGTCGTGTATAACATCGCCGGGTGCGTCCAACGCGGCGCATCGAGTTGCGTAGGAAACGCGTTAGGAGCTAAAAAAGCGAAAGAGGCGAAAATATACGCCACGGCTTCGTTTATCAGCGCCTTTTCAGGAACGCTTTTGATTTCCTCTCTTTATTACGCGTTTGGTTTCGAGTGCATGAACGCTCTTTACTCGAACGACCACGATCCTTCCGCGCGCATAATCTTGGACAATTACGTCAAGCCTTTGACGAATTTAGTCTCCTTGTTTATGCTTTTGGATGGTGTGCAAGTGGGTTCAGCGGGTGTCGTTACTGGCGCTGGTTTTCAATCGAAGACGATGCCCGCTTTGTTCGTCTCGTATTGGATGCTCGCGCTTCCCGTCGGCGTGTATTTAGCGTTTCAACGGAAAATGTCTCTAGTGGGATTATGGATCGGGATGTCGATCGGCGTTTTCTTCCACGCGTTTTGGGTACTCTTCGTCGTGTTTGGTGGTGAAATGTTTCCAAACTTTAAAAACTCGCAGTGGACGATTGATTGGCCCGAGGCGGTCTCTCGCGCCGAGCTCGCCGTGGAGCGAGACGAGGAAGAAAAAGACGATTCGTTTTTCGAGGAGGAGGAGGAGGAGGAGGAAGAAGAAGAAGATGATTTAGAAGAAGAAAAAGAAGAACAAGAACGAGAACGAGAAGGAGATTATTCAGGAGGAGAAAATATAGGCGACGACGTCGAAGAAGCTCTTCTGCGTCGTCATAGCAATATATAGTTGATTGTGTAAAACGGTAGAAGAAGTAGAACAAGGCGACGCAAAAAAAGGCGCGCGCTCAAAGTAGCTTTTACCCCGCACGCAAAAAAAAGGCCGATGCCGGTAATCGAAACCGGGGCCTCACCCACCCTAAGGGTGAATCATACCACTAGACCACATCAGCTTCTCTCAGTGAAAAGAGAAGGAAGAGAAAGATTTCTCTTTCTTCTTTTGAAAAACATGAACGTTAGGGTTTAGTAAAAGGAATATAAATATTTCAGGGTTCCAAATTTAAAGACTATATATTCTCGTTTCAGCAGAGCGGTAGTAGTGTTCTTGTTATTAGTCGAGAGTCGAGTTATTAAATAAAGTCTAATCATAGTACCAGGTACCTCGAGGTACTGGTATCACGAGCAATTATTATTATTAGCAATTATTGTTGTTATTAATTCGGGACGTAGTTTTGATCCTCGGAGTGTTTACCGTCCACGTAATAGGACGTGTACCAATCTACAAACTTCTTCAAACCTTCGTCCAAACTGACGCGTGGCTCGTATCCTAAATCGCGTCTCGCCGCCGAAACGTCCGCGTGCGTAAACGGAACGTCGCCCGTCTTTGGCATCGGAACGTATTCTCGAATAGCTTCTTTCCCGAGATGCTTTTCCAACGTGCTCACGAAGTCCGACACCGTCACCGGGTGCGTGTTCCCCAAGTTGTACACTCTAAACTTTGGTTTCTTCTTTCCGGCTGTTTTCTCGCTCGGCGTGTTGCTCGGCTCGCTCGTATCGCAACTCGCGATGACACCTCTAGCGACGTCGTCGATGTACGTAAAATCTCTCGCTAACTCTGAGCCGCCCGGGCCAGTGAAGATTTTGATTGGTTTCCCTTTCACGATGTTGTTCGCAAACGAGAAGTACGCCATATCCGGTCTCCCTAAAGGACCGTACACGGTAAAAAATCTCAACGCTGTCACCGCGACGCCGTGTATGGCGTTGTACGTGTGTGCGAGCAACTCGTCTGATTTCTTCGTCGCGGCGTATAAACTCGCAGGGGAATCAGTCATATCCGTTTCGCTAAATGGTACTTTCGTATTCAACCCGTACACAGAACTCGAAGAGGCGAAAATGACTCTGGGAATAAACGGTCGCTGTCTCACGGCAACTTCCATGAGAGACACGAAACCAGCAACGTTGGAGTGGACGTACGCGTGCGGATTCTTCGCCGCGTATCGAACGCCCGCTTGCGCCGCCAGATGCAACACGTGCGTAAACGTGCACAAAGAAAACATCTCCGCGAGCGTCTCTTGATCGTTCAAATCTGCTTCAACCGTGTGCACGCCCGCTCTGTTGAGCTCCTTTAACCTCGCGCGTTTCAAACCTTGCGGATAATAATCGTTCACCACGTCCAAGCCGACGACGTAATCACCTCTCTCTTTCAGTTTCGTCGCGACGTGGTAGCCGACAAAGCCAGCCGTACCGGTGACGAGAAACACTTTCGGTTGGTCCTCGCCTTCGCTATTGTTGTTGTTATTATTATCATCATTAGAATTCCCTCCGTTGCAACTCTGCGCGATCAGACTCGCGCTATCCTTCTTCGCCTTCGGGTAGGAAACCGATGATTTTGGCAACGACGACCCGGCCCCGGATCCTTTCTTTTTCGTCCTCTCTCTTCCTAAAATTGTGTTGCTTTTTCCTCCTCCTTCTTCCTCCTCTTCCTGATGATGATTGCGATGGTAGCTGTTGCGAGAAGAATGCGCGTCGTCGTGAAGTTCATCGTCGTCTTCGAAATTGTCGACCTCGTCGCGATGATGACGACGATGATGATGTTCGGACGCTCCTCCTCCGAACCGTCGACTGTTTTGTTGTTGTTGTTGTTGCAAACGATGATGATTATGATTATGATGTTGATGGATAGCAGAAGAGGAGGAGTTGGAGAAAACGTAGACGAAAAACGTGACGCTCATCACCGCCGCGATGCACAGCGGAGAGGAGAGTTTCAGACGAAACAATCCACCACCACTTCGAGATGATCCTCCTCCTCCTAAAACACCTCCAAGGCCGGCGCCTCCTCCTCCTCCTCCTCCCAGAAGAGTTGGTGTTCTCGGCATTTGTCTTCTTCTTTCTTTCTTTCTTTCGATTTTTAGCAGTACTGGTGCGTGTGTTCAGCACTTTTCGAGCGTTTTGTGTGGTGTCAAAATAACACAAAATTGACGTCTTCAAAAATTCTTTCGTTACGAGTTGTATTTTTACCTTTAAACACCTTCCCTTATACAGAATAACACCTCCCCTTATACTTTACGTACTGATACTCGTATTTAATAAAAAGAAAATGACACAGTTAGTACCCTCGTTGCGACGAACGGTGGTGCAGCAGACGATGATGATGTGCGCGAGACGCGCGTCGTCGTCGTTCTCCTCGTGTTCTTCTTCTTTGTCTTCTTCTTCTTTTGCTCCTGCGGGGAGCGCGATGATGATGATGTCGACGATGATGAAAACGAACCGATTTTCAACGTCTCCACATCATCATCACACGAGTTCTTCTTTCGAGAAAAACACGTTGCGGGAAGGCGAGCACTTTAAGAAAGTGATTGGGTTTAAGCCGTCGAAAATAGCCTCGTCGCAAGGCGCGTCGTACATTTCTAACCCGTGGAGGTTGAGAGACGCCACGGCGAGCGGAGAGGTCAACCACTGGGAGAACCCTTTGCAAGGGTACGTTTCGTTCGGTTCCGAAGGTAAAGTACCGAAAACGTTGGAGTTTGAAACGAGAGAGGCGATGGAGAAATTCTGCCAAAAGAGAGGGTGGTCGTTGGAAGTTCTCGAGAAGAAAGAGACGGAGCATTTCACGCAACGCGGGAGCTCGATCATCCCGGGCGCGGGGAAGATAGGAACGCAACCAAAGGCGTACGGCGATAATTTCTCCGTCAATAGAAAAGGGTTGCCGATTTGGCCGTAAAAAGAAGACGCGAGTGCGTGCGGGAAAGATAGCGAGAGTAAAAGAAAGGAACGGCGGTATTCGAGACGAATTTGTATGTTGGTGTTTGTGTGTCTCATTAGTTTGATATTGTGTGTGAATAAAAAAATGAGAGAGATTGCATTATTACCAATCCCTTCCTATAATAGTACGAGTACTCACTTTCGTATTTGTTCCATCTTTCCTATTTAATCGTTCCGTTTTGTTCGTCGTATACTTTTCAGTGTTGTTGTTGTTGTTATATTAAAGCGCACACAAAGCCAAGGAAGCTACCAAGAATGTCGCCGCAAAGTACACGAAAAACATGCTCTTCGCCGCAAAGTGGGTAAAGCCAGAGGAAGGCGTCGCTCCGATAATTGTCGGTTCGATACCAACGCAACTATCGAGAGACGGCGCGCCTTCGTGGACACCCATGTCGTCCGCGGCTATGTTCAAATTCTTTACCACATTCACCGCAAAGCAGTAGTGGTTCGCGTGGTTCGGCGTCGTCGCCGTGTTGAACATGTAATCCAAAACTTGCGCTCCGCTCGAATCGACTTCCGATACCCACGGCGCGAGGACTCTCCAGAATGCCCATCCCTCCGCTTGATGCTCGCGGTAATCTGCTCCACTGGCCACGTCTTGGTCTAACATCAAACCGTATCTAACGGCACACTGCGCGTAGATAGTCTTGATTGATTTCAAGATGATGTCGTGGTTGTTTTGGCTTTGTCCAGATATGAACGCGGCGGATATCGCGGCGTTCACCTTGGCCGTAACTCCATCCGAACTTAAGGTTCCAAAATTCGCCGCGCGCTTATTCGCGCGCCCGTAAATAGTCGTCGATCGCGTCGTTGCTTTTCCGAAATATTTCGCCGCCGCAGCGTCCCACGCATTCTTGTCCGAGATGCCTCGATAGAGGTCGGACGCAATCGCGTTCACCATGGTCGCGTCCCACATAGTTTTCTCAACCGCCTCCAATCGTGCCGGTTCTGAATTAGACGTCGCCGTGCCATCAGTTGCGCGATAGAGGAAATCTGAAATCCACGTCTTCGAGGCGTAATAAGCGTAAAAGAGATTATACGCGGGCTCGCCAGATCTGTCCGCGTCCGCCATGCCGCGCAAACCGTCCGATCTGTATTTTGCCTTGATCGCGGCAAAGTTTGGCGAGGTAACATCGAGGATAGCTTTGACGTCAGAAACGAGATTGGACGTCTCTAAAGAAGCGCCAATATCAGTCGTTGCCGTGAAAAGCGTAGTGTCACCTTCGGAGATGACCTTCGAAGTTGCCACGTTTGAACACGAAGCCAAAGAAGTAGCGTCTTCCAAGGAGCCCAAGTCCGAATTGGAGATGGATAAAGCATCCGTAATGATTTGTTCAACGAGACAATACGAGTGACCAATGACTGAAAACGGCCTCTTCGTCGTGTCGAAGATTTGAGATACGGTATCGTAACCGGAGCTGTCGATAGATTTGACCCACGGCGCAATGACTCTGAAAAACGCCAACCCTTCCGCCTGGTGTTCGCGATAATCGGTGCCTTCAACAACGTCGCGATCGATAAGCCACGCGTATCGAATAGTAGCTTGCGCGTAGATAATTTTGATGTTTTTCAACACCGTGTTGTAGTTGGCCTCAGTTTTACCCGAGACCAAGGCAGTCGCGATGGCACTGTTCGCTTTCGCGACAGTAGTACCCGATTGCGGGGTGTTGTAGTTGGCCGCTCTCTTGTCGCCGCGCGCAAAGACGGTGGAGTCGTAACTGTCGCCGGCGCCGTGAAACTTCGCCGCACCTTGGTCCCATTTATCCTGGTCGTCGTTCGAGTAGCCTTGATAGAGATCGCTGATGATCGCTTGCACTTGCAACGCGTCCATGACGGTCTTTTCGAGCAGTTCCGCTCTCGCGCCCGGGTGCGAAGATAAAGTCGTGCCATCGCAGATTAGATCGACAAAGTCAGAAATCCACGTGGCAGAACCAAAGTGCGCCTTGAAAGCGTTCCAAACAGGCTCGCCCGTGTGATCGGTATCAGCCAACGCGCGTAATCCCAACTCAGTGTACGTTTCCTTAATGGTCGCGTAGTCGGACGAGTCCCCGAGCAACGTTTTCACTTGCGAAACCGCCTGCGAAACGGACAAGTCTGGACCGACAATGGATTGCGGCGTGTATGTATCCGTACCACTTCTTTGCAAATTGCTCATATGCGCGTCGATTGTCGGACAGATAATCTCATCCATGTGGTCGTAAGTTCCAATCTCTTCGTCAGAAATCCCGCCGTTGATGTCCGATTGCAAAATCGCTTTTGCCGCGCAGTAGTTGTAATGCGCGTACCCTCGCGGAACTTTAGACGTGTCAAACATTGCTTCTAACGCCGTCGCATTGTTCTGCGAGTATCCGTTTACCCATGGTGCGAGAATACGAGCGAATGCTTGACCTTCCGCTTGCGCTTCCATGTACGCCGTCGCCGTTTTTTCGGCAATTGCGTGGTCCATTTGAAGCGCGTACTTAATGATACCTTGCGCGTACACGATGCGCATTTGGTGCTCAATAATCTCGTACTTTTCAGCTTTCGTCGCAGTCGACGTAGATTGTTTGCCTTGTCTAAAAGCTGCGTTGATCTTTACATTCGTAGCAGAGTTGCCGCCCGACGTCGTACCAAATTGTCCACCCAAATACTCCGAGCGATGATAAAGAGATCCAAGTTTATTTTGGCCGTAATACACCGCCGCAGCTCTATCCCAGTTGGTATCATCGTTACCCGTAGCGTAGCCCAAGTACAAATAGCGCAAAACGGCGTGAATTCCGCACATGTCCTTGACCGTCTTTTCAACCTTTTCGAGGGCTCCGTCGGCTGGCGCAGTCCCCGCCTTGGCGGCAGTGATGGTGTCCGTCAAGTATTTGGTCATGAACTTATCCGAAGTAACTCTCGTGCCACCATTAGATGGCGTGAACGCGTAGCCAGTAAACTTAGTCCAATCGTCGCCACCAGAAGCTTCGCAAAATTCATCCATGTACGATTCAAAATCTTGCAAATAATCATCCCAGTCGTACGGTACGATGAACTCGTCTTTGATGTGCTGCGCGCGCTCGGAGAGATAATACGGTCCGATCGTTTTCGTCACGCCGTCAAAATCTTTATCTTCTTTTATAGTCGAATCGTCGTCGACGGTATACACCAACCCATCCCAACCAATCTCTAACTCCGCCGCTTCCGCACCGAGTAAAAAAAATCCACCTCGCGAACTCGTCGTCGTCGGCCGCCACACGCCCCCTGACATCATCACGAGGACGATGCAAAAGCAGGTCGTCGTCGTCTTCATCGCGCGAGGAGGTTGAAGAAACACCGTATATCTTCTAAAAACAGCGCCAACAAAAGTACTGAAAGTAGTACTGAAAGTGCGTCGTGTCTGTTCTGAAACGCTCTTACGTGAGTGTGCGTGTTTATCTGTGGTTTTCTTCCCCGTAAAAACGTATCCTTTTCTACAAAAGTGGCACACGCCCTCTTTTTCGAAGAGAGCGGAAGAAAACACAGACAGAGGAGAAAAAAAGAGAGATTTTTTTATCATCATCCTCCTCTTTTTCGCAATAAAAGCAGACGATGATGAGCAGAAGCAGAGCAGAGAGAGGAGACACTTTTTTCATCGAAAATCCACATTTTTCTCTACAACAACTGACTGCCTTTGTTGAGAGCTGAGACGATGAGGATGTCTTTCACGATGCGCGCGCGACGAGTATACCACCACCACTACTGATGATGATGATGATGATAAAAATGATGGGACGACGACGACGACAAAAACGATCATCGCAAAAGCTGATTCTTCTTCTTCTTCTTTTGTTGTGTGCTGTTTTTCTTCTTCTTCTTCTTCAGGAGGAGGATTTGGTCGTTTTCGTGGTGGCGAAAGCGCCTTCGGGTTCGTCGTCTGAATCGTCGTTCGCCGCGTCGTGCGGGACGTGCCAAAGATGCGCGACTGTATCGGAAGAAGAAGAAGACAAAGGTTTTGAAGAAAGTATTGAAGAAAGAGGAGCGGACAAAAACGAGCGTTTTCGCCGTTCCTCTTTATCTTCTTCTTCTTCGTCCTCTGACGAAGGGCACGACAACGCCAAAGCGAAAGAGCTCGCGGAAAACGGCAAGAAGTGCGACGTGTGCTTCGGGTGCACGCACGTTTTGAAAGAGATGGTGAGAACGGTGACGATGAAAAATAAGACGTACGAACCGGAAATAGGCGCATCGCCGGCGACGCTGGTGAAAGTGAAAAGGAGAGAGAAGAAGACGACGACGACGAAGAGCGACGAAGAAGACGAGGAGTGGGCGATTGCAAAGATGTGGTGCGTGGGAGAAAAAAAGAAACCGGACGGCGCGACGGTGGATCAAGGCGGCGCCGACGTGTGCTATCGAAAAGAAGGAAACGTAATCGTAGACGCGACGTCGCCGCAGCGCACGAAAGCCGTGAGAACGATGCGGAATTCAGTGACGATGCAAAAGATTCTCGATTATTGCGACGCGTCGGAAATTTCCGTGCGACACTGGACAGAGCGCGTGAAGAGCGTGCATCCCAGCAATACTCGAAAGATAGAAACGGACGCGCTATTCATGTCTATCGCGCCGGGAATTTCAATCACGCAATTAGATGGACGGCTGGTGAAAAGTGACCCGATTGGCGCTCGCGACGCGTTGGCGAACGTCGATCACGAGTCTGTCGTGAAAGCGGCGGTGATGGATGCTTTGTTAGGTCAATGCGATCGACACGGTGAAAATATATTCATCGACGTGGTGAACGAAACGTATTCGAAAATGACATTCATAGATAACGATCAAATGTTTGGACGCGGTTGGAGAGCGTGCGTGACGGAGTCGGTATTCATACCAGGGAGCGAAAAGTTCAGCATTGCGAGATTTTCTAACTCACACGTAAACGGCGACGCAGATGCGAGGAGAGTAAAAACCTCGGTAAGCTTGAGCGTGATGTTGGATTACAGGTGTCACGCGAGAGATGGATTCTTGGGCAAAAACTCATTCGGGGACAAATTAGACACGTGTTTAAGTGAACTCGCGAATATGCGCATCGAAGAAGCGATGAATAAGTTTGAGTTTTTCGACGAGAAAGATGCAAAGTTCGTTCTCGAAAGAGCGAAAGGTTTAAAAGAGTTTGGATTTGAAAGAGCAATGTTGCGTTGGCAACGAAACTCGGGCTTGAAAAATGTAGGCATCGGTAAGAATTTTCGAGCATTCCCGTGGCCGGCCACGTGTTGCTATCCTTCGTTGTCACATTCGCAAGGCGAGAACACAGCTTTGCTTTCGTGCGAAACCGATACGAGTCAACGCTTGAAGTGTAAAGGTGGGGCGGACGCGTGCATGTTTTCCGGAGGCTGGGAAGCAGTCGCTTGATGATGACGATGATGGTGATAGTAGTAGTAGTAGTAGCGATAGTAAATGTTAGAAATAGTTTATCATAATACACAGAAGCAAAACGCGACAATCAAGCGCCTTGAATCCCATCAAGAAAATACCATTTCCCGTCTTCCTCTTTCCTAAACGTGGACAGCTCCGACTGCGTCTCCTCTCTGCCTCGATCGAAACCTTTTTGACCTCGCACACGGCAGTTATAACTGAAAGAAACCAGATGTTCCGTCTCGTTCTTCTTCTTCTCGTTGGCGATTTTCAATCCATAAAATTCAACTTTTTCGCACGTCGCGATCACGTCCGCTTCTAACGTGCTCACTTTCACTCCGCTCTTTGTTTTGCTCCCGTCTTTTTTGATTTCATTTTCCGAGTGCGTGGTCATAACGACGTATTTCGCTTTGCCTTTGGCGTAGGCTGAAAATCGAGATTTCATCAGAGTCACCGGGTCGGGTGGATATCGTTCCAAATCGTGATACGGGCGGCAACAGGACTTGTAAGAGCTAGAAGAGCCGCACGGACACCGTTCGTTTTCGTTCGTTTTACTAGTACTCGTGCTTGGGCCGTCATCGTCGTCGTCGTCCTCCTCTTTTTTTTTCATCAACTCGGCGGCGAATCCGCTTTTTTTCTTCGCGTGTACGAGAAGAATTGAACGACGACGAGGACGAGAACGAGGACGCGAGTGCCTTTTGTTTTCGCCGACGAGGACGATGCTTCTCGACGAGTAACGGTGGTTCAGGGATGATGATGATGAAGAAAACGTCTTCAACATTACGCGAAGATCCGTTCAAAGAGTACAAAGCACGAGTGCGTTTTTTGTAACGAGTTTTGTTCATATTTATTATACAAAGTCTCTCGCATCAGTTCTTGACTAACTGGACATCTGAACGTTGGCATCCACTTTGGCAATGTTCTCGTAAAACGCCAAGAAGTGTTTATGGCATATGTCCACGTCTTCGGTGCCCATCATTTCTCGAACAGAGTGCATGGATAACTGCGGCACGCCGACGTCGACGGTTCGGATGCCGGTTTGCGCGCTGACGATTGGACCGATGGTGGATCCGCAGCCCATGTCGTTTTTCACGACAAACTCTTGGGTAGGGATACCACTGAGTTTAGCGCATTCTCGAAACATGTACGCGGTGAGTGCGGTCGTCGCGTACCGTTGGTTGGCGTTGTGCTTGACGACAACGCCTTTGTGAAATAACGGTTGATGTTGTTCTTCATGCTTTTCCGTGTAGTTTGGATGGATGGCGTGCGCCATGTCCGCGCTGACGAGGAACGATTTCGCGAGGCATTGTTCGATGACATCACTCTCTCCTCCACTGCTGTTACTACTGTTACTACTGTTACTACTCAGAGTCGCACGTTTAATGGCTTCAATCATAACCGTACCGCCGCCGCCGCTTGTCGATACGGATCCAACTTCCTCGTTATCAAATAAAGCGATGGCGCGCGCCCCTTTGTGTTTCTTCAAAGACGAATCCTTCGAGGCGTCTATGAGCGCTTTCAAAGCGCAAAAAGAAGAGCACAAGTTATCGAGTCTTCCACTAAATATGAATTCGTTCGTCGCTCCTCCTATTTGAGACTTTTGCGTGTCGCACACGTTGAGTTCAAAATCGATGATGTCTTCCGGTTCGCACTTCAACTCCTCGGCGAGTATGGCGAGAATGATAGGATGATGCATCGTTTCACCTCCGCTAGAACTGCTGCTGTTATCGTTGTTGGCGTCCTTGTTTTTATTCTCTCTGTTATTATTGAAACCTTCGAGTTCGGCTTTAATTGCCGTGGCCAAGATGGGCGCAAAGTTCGTCTCCAAGTTTGGTTTAAAACCAGACTGGTTGATTTCTCGATCCAAGTGTATAGCCAGCGACGGTATTCTCACGATCGGGCGCTCAATCTTCACCAACTCGCTTTGGACTCGACCGTCGTTCTTCTTCAGCAAAACTCTCCCGGCAACACTTAAATCTCTATCGAACCACGTGTGCCACAATCCTCCCCCGTACGGTTGCACGCCGACGCCTATGCACCCGGCGCGTTCTTTCCGCTTGGAGACTGGTTTCAGTTTGGGACACGGCGAATCGGTATGCGCGGCGATGATGTGAAACCCATCGCCCGGGACGTACTCTCCACCCAAACAAAACGCCACGATGCAACTTTGATTCCTAACCACATAATATTTCCCGTTCGGTTTCAACGGTGGATTCGAATTCGAATTCGAACTCGACGACGACCAACTCTTGTCCTCGTCCAGTTTTACGAAACCTGCTTTTTTGAGCATCTCTTCCGCGTTTTTCGTCGCGTGAAATGCCGTCCAAGACTTGTTCAAATACTCCACCAACTCTTTCGCCACGGTTGGTGGTTCAATCGAGGATAACTTTTTCCTTTCGTAAAGAGAATCATCGTTGGACGAGGATTTGGTAGACGATGATGATGATGATGATGAGTATCTGCTTTGCTGTTGCTGTTGAATTCTGTTAAAAGAAAGAGGAGGTTTAATCATCCGCATTCCCCACGAAGGACAAAAACCGCAATCGCACTCGTTGTCAGAAAAAGTAGTACTGCCTGAAGAAGACGTTGAAACCAACACCGGTATCCTCCGAACGACGCGATGATGCTGATGCTGAGAACGTCTTCCTCGAAGGAGGAGTTTCGCGGTCATCATTGCCGCGCCGGGGCCGCTCTTCAAAGAGGAAGACGGGGACAACAAAAGCTTCATTCTTTTTTATCCAAACTGTCTTTTTCTTGCTTTTTTGTGTCGTCGGTTCGACTTTTTTTTTCCTTTTGTTTTTTGTTTGCGAAAAAATGAAAAAAGTGTCCCCACAAAAACACACACCTTTTAGAACAGAACCAAACGAAACGAAAATAATAATGCGCCGAAATTGCAAAGAAGAATTGCGCTGCTCGTGCTGCCGCTTTAATAAAGACGAGGACGAAAGAAGTTTTTTAAAGACGACGAGCAGATCTTGCGGTGGTGGTGGTGGTGGTAGTGGTGGTAGTGGTGAGAGTGGGAGTCGTTCTCGTCTGAAAAGAAAGCAACGAGGAAATTTTGATGGCAAGAAAAGGGGGGGAGGAATCTATGGTTTTCTTTCCTCCTCTTCTTCTTCTTCTTCTTCTTCTTCTTTGATATTTTTGTTGTTTTTCTTCGTGTTCTTCTTCGTCTGTGATACTGTGAAAGAAGTGAGAGGAGAAGAAGAAACAACAACAACATCGAACAGAATAAACGCGTGCGGAATGAATTTGTTAGAAAACGTCAACGACACAGTAAACGCAAATTTCAACACGCGGTTGGAAGGTTTAACGCTCACTGTGGCGGCTATTTGGGATCCCGGGTACGTTTCCATCGAAGGGGAAGCGGCGCCGACGCGAACGAGAGACTATCCGGACGTGTATTGTACCGATTGCGGAAGTCAATTATCGGGGTATAACTTTGACGTTTTCGAAAAGATGGCGTCGCTTGGGAACTTTAAAACGAATTGGACGATATTCGGGGACGTGGATTCGAGCAGAGGAGAAACGTACGAGCAAATGGCTTTGAACTTCACTCGAGACTTTGACGTGAGCGGACAGTGGTGGTCGGATACGGCGAGAAGGCGCTCCATCGGCGTCTCTTGCGGATATTATCACACGGACGTCACTCGAATGCTCACCGTGCTCGAAACTACCGGTTCAGATACCTTCTCGCTGCTCATGCTTTTCGCTCCGTTTCAGTCATACATTTGGTTGGTGCTATTCGCGGCGTTTCTTTTGGTTTCAACCGCGTTGGTGTACATCGAGCACGATTTTCACACCGATTCGAAGCGAGTAAATTTTAAAGACGAGTTGTGCCGCTCGTTGTGGAACACTTGGTGCCGATTTGCGTGCGGAGGTGATGCTCACGATCCACGCACGCATTTAGGTCAGCTCGTTCAAGGCTCCTACGGATTTCTCCGCTTAATAGTTGTTGCACTGTACGGCGCGAGTTTAACTTCTATTCTCATCGAGGACGCCAATACTTCCGGTACGATCAAAACGATGAGCGAATTGCGCGCCGCCGGTGGTAAAGCGATAATGTTTGAGGGCGATCCGCTCAAGTCACGCATATTAGCGCAAAACCCTTGGCTCATCCCGGAAGATGTTTCTAGGGGTGAAATCTTAAATACCACCGATTTTCGCGCTTTGCTCGATAAATACGGCTCACAGGTGGTCATTCTTTCGGCGCCGGACGCGCTGACCGTGGCGCAGAATTCAGATCTCTGTGACGTCATAGTCTCCGGCGTGGCCATATCCGCGGGAGGAGGATTCATTACGAGTTACGATGATTGCCTTTCGGATTTAAATTTTGTTTTTGATTCGCTCCTGATGACCATGGAGTCCGATGGAACGCTCGATTACATCACGGCTTCCTACGCGAATAAAAAATGCACGTCCGTGATCAAAACGGAAAGTCCAAAATCGAAGTATCAAGTTGGCTTATTTCGCATTTCTGGCATCTTTGTTCTCGGAAGTGCCGTGTTAGTTGGTGTTAGCGTGCTCTCAAAACTGCATCAAGTTGCGGATGGCGTCGCTTCAAAATCTCGCGCAAAGGAAAGCGGACAAACTGAAGGATGATGAAAGATTTGGGTAATCAAGGTATGTATAAATAGAATCTGTAATAAATACACGCGCAGCTAGCTAATTTACATTCGTGTCATCCGCCAAGAGAAAGCTGGCGCAACTCCAGCTATACATCCATCTTCGTATAGGCGAAGAAATGGAAATTCCCCCACTTTTTCCCGAACAGGATAATAAATCTGCCTCGTAAATTTCCTTCTCAAATGTTCTTCCGCAATAATACATGTATTGAACCGGTCGGTCGAAAGAATTCCATAAATTATACGAACGACACTTTGTGTTCTTCATCTCCTCGTTTTGCGCGTCTAATCCTTTCTGAATTATAGATTTTGTCGACTCGATCGGCTTGTCAAAGAGTTGCGGAAAATAGCACGAGCGAAGCCAATGACCAACCGTCGTCGCGTCATGTAAAATATTCCCCAAGGAGAAAGTGTTCATGAAAAGAACGTGAGGAATTGCTGGTGTCACCATGCCTTTCCAAAACTTATCTCCGGATTCCTCGTGTGCAAAAAACTTCGTGCCATTTGGGAATAAAATAGGAGCTTTAGGATTGTCGTATCCAGTGCAGCAGATGATGACATCTGCGTCAACCCCTAATCCTTTCGTGGTGTAAAGCTTTTTCCCTTCTAGATAACCAATCTCTCCGCGCAAATGAGAAGATTTCCGGTACGGCTGCATTCGCTCTGGTTCAATGATTGCGCCGTGAAAGTTACCGAGATCATACGTAGTCGCATCGAAAGGATTCAAAAGATAACCAACTTTTGCGAGAATAAACAAACCGACTCGAGAGAGCCAACTCGATCGCGACATATCAAAATCCAATCGAACTTTCATGAACACATATTGAAGAACTTTTCGCCATCGCGCGAATAGAGACGATTTGTTGATGAAAGAACTCTGAAAGTAAGAAAAGTTCGTTCCCCAATACGTCTTTCTAAACAACCACACAAAAGACGTGTAGCCTCGCTGATTAAAATTCCAAACCGTATCCATGGCGGCTTTAGAACCGCCGAGTACGACAACTTTATGCTTTCGCTCCAGAATTTCATCGAATTTGTTCGATGAAACATCAGCTGCTGCAAGAATCTCACCTGTGTATTTATTCTTACCTTGAGCAAATTCAGGCACTTTCGGTTGATGCGTCGTTCCGGTGTATATCACAAAATCTGCAAAGAGCGCTCGCTCTTCTTCGTCTTTGTCCGCCTCCGAAAATTTAGTGCAGAGCACGTTGAGTTTCACTCGCGAGGAGGACGAAGAGGTCGTTTGAACCATCTCCATAGACTTCACGCGCGTGGAAAGATACACCGTAACTTCGACTCTTTTTTCCGTGGTCATATTTTTCTCCGCGTTGCTTTTTTCTTCTTCTTTTTCTTCTTCGTTGCCGTTGGAATTTTGACCAAAATTTTGGTGTTGCGCACCCTCGACGACGACGACGTTCTCTTTCCGGAACAAATTTTTCATCGCGCCGTGGACATCTTTATGGTGCGCGTGATCGTACGGCGAATCGAATCGATCCCAGGGAAGTAACGAAAATCCAGCTCTGACACCGTGCGTTTGGAGATTATGGTAACACTGTTTAGGATTCCAGGTCCCACCGATGTCATCTTTCGCTTCGAGAATGATGATTTTGGAAATCGTCGAGTCGCCTCGGCGTAAAGCTTTCACCAACGCGACGGAGGAAAGACCGGCGCCGATTATGACGATCACTTTTTTTCCTTTCACAGGAGGCGGGGCCGACATCTTCGGGAGCCTGTTTGTGGTGCGCGTATATTACTCTCGAGTTGATGTGATGTGATAGATATATATCGTTATTCCAAACGCGGTGGGGAGGGGGCAATACAGAGAGAGAAAGTGAAAAGTGAAGAATTAAAACGTTGAAGGAGAGAGAGAAAGAGGATTATATGAGATGAGACACATAAACGGGGGAGGGAGGATCCGAGTGAGTCACCTTTAAATAAATTTTTGTTGTTTGTTTCTTTGGACGTTTTTCGCATTAAATAAAGTATTAAAGTGTATTATATTAAAGAAGTGCAATAAATAGGAATAATAAATAGGAGGAGGTCAATCCATTCCTGGTTGTTCGTATCCTCGTCGTCGAAATCATTGCCGTCGCCTTCGTTTTAGCTGCGCTGCATGATTATGTGTACAAAATTTTCCTTTTTTTTTACCATGCACCGTCGGGGGCTGTGAAGATAATCTTCGAAGAGTCTTTGACGACGAGCATGAAGTTCTTCGCGTCCACGTACGGTTGTAAAGTTCTCTTAAATCCAGACCATATGATCGTCCGCGGCACGTTGGCAACTTTTCGGAGCAACTTGCAGGTTTCCGTATCATCAACGCCGGGAATCTTATACTCCAAGTACGCGACCAATACTTTGTGCATTTCTTGCAAGTCTTGTACAGACATATCATCGCCGACTTCGTCCAAAACGAGCACTTCAGGAAGCGCGAGCAACGCTCTCACGAGCCTAATTTTGATGAGATCATTATGATCCAACAAAGCCAAGAGCGAATCCAAAGTAACCTCGGACCAGTTCGATTCATGTACGCTTCCGATGACGACGGAACTCAGGCCAACGAATTTGCAGATATCCCAGATTTTTCGAGAATCATAACTTCGGATTTGATTCAAAAACAGAGAGTTTTCTTCCGAATATTCAGCTAAGTCTCTCACGCGAGATTCAGCGTTTAGTATTAAGTTCGAGCGCAAACTTGCAGATTGCACGAAAGCGCCATGTTCGGAGTTCACCCGACAGGCGAAAAGCGTCGGCGAAATTCCAACTTTACCGGTTGTCGAAATTTCCTCTCTCATCAAGAGATTCATGAGAGTTCTGGAAGAGCCGTCAGAATTTCTTAAGACTCCGATTATACCACCCGTTCGAACGTCACTGACTTTTCTGGAAGATCGGTCCACTAAAGAGCAATTTTCAAAAATACTTCTCGAAGCGTACGCGACTGATACGTCCTCGAACACCAAGAGAGGCACGCCATCGGACAGAGTAATACAAGATCCTTCATGATCGCGCATACCATCTTCGTTCATTGGTATATTACAGATTCTCTTCTCTTCCGAACTTTGGAAGTTCAAAAGTTCCGCAATGTGCTCGACTTTGGATAAAACTTCGAGAACGGATGAACTGCAAACAAAGATCTGAACGCAACCGGTCAAAAGTTGAATCATGGCGGTCAAAGAAACAAGATATTCACCAACCGTGACTTTGCCTTGATCACCATCGTAGTCTTTCAAAAATTTGGTAGGCAACGCATAAAAGACGGCGGTAACGCAAACTAAGCAACCTTGCATCATCCAGGTGTTGTAGTAGAGATGATACCAACGCTCAAAGATGCCGCCGTTCAACTGGAACCAAAGTCTGTCGTACTGGAGAGAACAAAAATCGATGACACTTCTTAACTCTCGCACCAAAAGAGTATTGTGCAGAATAACGTGTGCTCCAGAGTACACTATCACTTCGAGCCTGTCCTCGTCCAAGCCGATTTTCAAGCCACGGGAGCATCTGAAAAACAAGAAAATGAGAGAGAATCCCAAGAAACCGTACGGGATCCCATAAATAAGCTTCATAAAGAGCATGCCCATATTCTCGCGGAATAAAAAGGCAAGAAACGCAGAAGCGCCAACCATTCTAAACAATTGCTCAAAAATTTCGTTCAATGGCTTCCAAAATTCTTCGCGAATCGCTTCGCAGTCGGTGAAAATTGTCACTCGAAAATATGGTTCCGAATCGTTGATGTGCGTCAAATCGGCGGTAGATAAAATGTTATATTTAAGCAACAACAGCTGCTCAAAGTGCGACTTGATCATATAAGCTCCATTGAAATAGTGCAAACCAACGTGAAATTTATAAACCTCGATAAACGCGAATGCCAATCCAATAAAAATGCAATAATCTGCTTTTTTAAGGATCAAACCTTCATCGAGTAAGAGTTGAAAGAGAAATCCCCACAAAAATGTTTCCAACATCGCAACACTGGCTTGCTTTAATTGATATTTCCACTGCATACCTGCGATATAAGGGACACTTAAACAATTTTTGATCAATACGAAGAGAGAATTATAAGTCCAAAATGCGCTTTTTCCTTTCACGTCCAAGCCGGTGGAAGACGAACCGTGCATGAACGGCTCACTTGGAAATATCTTTATCGACAAGACAGGAATCGAGGACGCGAATATCGAAGCGTCACCATATTTCAACGAAGAAGAGTCTTGGAGTCCTGATCTCTTGGATCCACCAAAAGAATTCATGGAGGTTAGTTTCTTCGTCGAAATACTTTCAGCTTTCGCGGCGCCGGCATCGCCGAACACTTCCCCAGGTTGGAGTATAAAGTGGAACCCCTTCAACGGCGAAAATTGCTTACTTTTCCGCAGGATTGGTACTCTCAACTTTGTAATTCCCGACGATACCGAAAAGCTAAAGGTATAATCGTCAACTCTGGTGACTGATGTGTTCTGACCTTCCGCGGCATATGGGAACCCAAAATCTTTATTGAGCACCGCGTGAGGAACTGTGCCCCATGAATCTGGAACCTCAGATCGGTGCGGTCCCGATTTGCACGTCATGTAAACATTATCAAGGCGAGTGTTACTTTCGATCGAAAACTCGACGCACTTTTCATCCGAACGACACGAGATCTCCTTCACGATGAAGTTTACTCGAGCCGAAGATTTTGACACCGCCGCGGGTTTTTTTGTCAAATCGACACCATCCAAAAGTTTAGGCTTTCCAGCTGTAAAAGGCTCAACATCGTGTGCCTCTAAAACTTCGAGAGATCTCTTAACCTCCACGTTATAATACGCACCTGGACGGTAAATCCATACCATCTGAATAAGCACGTACCCGATAAAAACGACCAAGCAAATAAAAATGATTTTGATGTCATCGAATATATACTCGTTCGGCTCAATATAATCTTGCCACAAGTGTGGGTTTTGTTTTAACCACTCGCACGCTCCGAGGGAGTATAATAAAGAGGTGTTGTAATTGATTCTTTCATCTTCGCCGGCGCCTTCCCAATTAGTCCAAATTTCGTCTCGCTTCGCAATTAGAGAAGTATTTTGGGTTTGGTTCACCAAATTCCACGACTCTTCAAACGTGACGCTGTATTTTGAAAATAAATAAAATGCATCCTGAAAGTATAACCGGTCTGGTAAATACGAAGCCTTCTCGAGAATATCTTTCGCAAAATCGCAAGGCGCGCTGGTGTGGTTCGCGGCAAAAGCCGTCGAGTAAGAAGATCTATAACCCGCTTCAACAAACTGGTTGTTCGCGCAGAACATCTCATCGAGCATGTTTACACGCGCGAAGCGATAATCCGAGACGACGCCAGCATCATTCACGTACGGCTGAATGAAGAGATCTGGTTCCCACCAATAAAAAATTGTTGGTTTGTCCAAATCTTCGGCAACTTTCACCACAGTTTTTGTCTTCGCCGGTCCAGCGTAGACAATCTCGAGCGGTGCAGCACTGGCAATGACCCGGATCTCATTCTTCTCAGTAGGAGGTAACCATCCAGGATTCTCGACGATGAGCGCAAAGCACTCGTCCAAACCGCCGCAATTACCTTCAGCCTTCTTGCGTCGAGTGCAACAATTCGCCGTCGGTGACTCCCAAGTCCAGTACACGCAGTCTAGAACTCCACCTTGAAAGTTTTTACGGTCTTCGCCCGAACAATGATCATCTTTCCAAGAAGCTGGAGCATCCAAAACGGGCAATTCCGATGGACGCACGAGATGAACTGGAGACGTCGTATCGAAACCACCGTTGGCTTGAATGAGAGAAAGCGTATCAAAATATTTGCCTTTAAGCGCAGCGGCGTTTATGAACCAGCCGTTTCTAGCGGATGGACCAAGAATGCCATCAAAAGCGACCTTGGCCGGGTTGGCAAGAGTCACCTTATCGGTAACGTAATCTCTTCCCGCTTTACCGCTTTGCGTCCAAAGTTCAACATCGAAAGATTTTTTACCAAGCATAAGATTGAGATATTGGAGCTGCGCGGTCGGATAAGGCCCATTCTCTATGCCGTTATCTTCTGCGTACGTCGCATATGAGTCAATGCAACCTAACCACGCGGTATATTCGTGGAGCTCAACTTCGTACCCGAGCTTCTCTCTCAGCAAAATCTCGAGCGCGAACGTCTGCATCGCCTGTGTTTCCCACCAAACAACTTCCAAGTTGATCGTATTTCGCAAACCAAGCAAATTAGAGAGAAAAGCTGGAACAGAATTCCGATTGGATACGTGCGTATCATCGAAGCATTGCGGTCTTTGCGTTGTCAAATGTTTACATATCGGCGGTTGCGCAGCTTTCGAAACCATAAATTGTGTCCCCGAAAGCACCAAAAAAGCAGTCAAAATTGTAACTGCCAGAGGGGACCAACCGCGCGTTCGCTTGAAAGATGACATCATCGCTCGATTGCAGGGAACGATGAACACGACAAAAAAATGTAGCCCTGAGGTATGCTTTTTATATACGTATTTAACGGTTCGAAACTTCCTCTCCTCGTTTCTTTTCTTCTTCTTTTTTATAAACCCCTGGGACTACTCTTAAAAGTCGATTTTGTTCTTGATAATTATGCAAATCTGTTCTCCAACGAACCAAATTCTCTCTCGTCGCTGCTTTCGTAAAGGCGATAAATATAAACAACTGCGCTCGAGTAACGCAGATCAACGACAACAACTCAAACGAACAAATTAGTATCCCGTCCGTCGATGTAGACTGAGTGTGAATTCTTTGGTCGCGTCTGAAGCGTTGAAGCGTGTGATAATGAGGAATTTTGCACGACGCAATATAAGGAGTATAAGGAGTAAGAAAGGCCGGTGTTTTTATAAATTGTTCAGAACAAAAAGGGGAAGAAGGAGATATTTATTTTTTGATAAAAACCTCCTCAAAAAAAAAAGAAGAGGACGCGAGCTCCAGGGGGTCAATCAAGTGGGGGACAAAAAAAAAAGAAGAATTTAGGAAAGGTCACGACGCAAAAAGAGACGCGAGACGACCGAAGACGAGATCAAAACGATCGCGAACGGAGCGATCTACCATCGCCACTCCCGCGTTTCGTCGTTTTTTCTTTCCATCTCTCTGTTTTCATCCCCTCCGCGCGGAAAGGTTGGCGAGGGGAAAAAAAAGAGAGAGCGCATTTTAAAGGTGTGTTTCTCCATATAGTCCTTTTGAGCTTTCTCTTTTGAGAAAAACGGAAAGAAATATATTCCCTCTCTTTCTCTTTCAAATTCCTCTGACAACAACGACACACACAACAACAACAACAACGCGCTCTAAGAAAGACGAAAAGCTTTGCGTTGAGAGCGAAGGAGAGAGAAAGCGGCAGAAAGGAGGGGAAAATGAACACGTGCGTTATATCCGATCTGCCTCCTCTCAACAACTCATCGTCTTTGCGTTTTTTTACCATCCTCGCATCGAAAGAAGGGGCGCTGGCGAAAAAAAACACATCGTCGTCGTTCTCCTTGGAAGACGTGGAAGAGGTGGAAGAAGAGGAGGAGGAATTTAACGACGAGGAAGAAGAAATAGATGAGGAGGAGGAGGAGGACGACGACGACGACGACGAGACAGAACGACGATGGATGGAAGACGAGAGGATAACGAACGCGACGCGCATCGACGTGCGCGAGTTGACCGATACGCTCTACGACGAGAACACAAACGAAATAAACTTAACCACCGCGCGAAGTAAATCGTATTTGAAAAAAATACAAATGCAAGGGGGAAGCAGCAACCAGAGCACGGAAGAAGAGAGCAAGAGTTGTTCCAAGGAAGTGCGGGAGGAGGAAAGAACTCTGATCATTTTTTATGAGCCAGCAGAAACGAGCGAAGAAGACGAAGAGGAAGAGAAGAATACATCAGATAAAGATGCAAATAACAATGATACTAATACTAATAGAAGTGAGAAGAACGAAAACAACGCTCGTCGTCGCGCTCGTCGTCGACAACGAAATAGGTCCGTATTCGTTCCGTTTTACATCGCGCACGTGTTCAGAAGATGTGGGCACACGGGGCCGATAAAAGTGCTCCTGAAGGAGGAGAAGAAGAAGAAGAGGCGAGGGTCGACGAAAGAAGAAGACGAAGAGGAAGAGGCGAGGAGAAGCGTTTCCTCGGTCTCGGGAATATACGATGAAAGGATAGCATCGGTGTATGATTTGTTGCAAAATTTAACGACGCAGCGACTTCAAGTTATCGATACGCGCTCGGAAGCTTTGTTTCTCGGTAAAGTGCGCCGGGGGGCGAAGACTGGTCCTTCTTCAAAGAACGGCGGCGTCGACAGAGCCGGTCACATTCCAAGCTCTATAAATGTACCTCACTCGCGATTGCGACCGTTTGATAACGAACATAATATTGCGATATTTGAAGATCGTGGGGTTGATATGAGCGCCCCTTGCGCAGTTATAGGCGAACAAAGGTGTTCAAGTGCGCCTTTCGTGGCGGCTATGTTGGAAAACCTTGGCTTGAAAGAAGTCTTCATCGTCGAAAGCGGGGTGCGCGCGTGGAGGTGCGAGGATGGTGGTTCCTATCCTTTATTCAATCCAAGGACCGACAGCTCATCCAAGGGTCGAGTTCTCGTTTGGAGCGTCACGAGAGGACGTTCAACGGCTTTAGAGCGAGCTTTCGCGCAGCACCCAAAAATCATGGTCATGCACGAACTTTTGACCGAACCGTATTTGAAAGAAAATACGCCAGACAATTACGAAAAGATAAAAAATGGACAGCAGACATTAAACGTATCCTCGAGCGGTTGCTCGTATGCGTCCGTGATGGAACTCATGATGACTGATTATTCCTCGCAAGGAAAACCATATTATTTATGCAAAGAGCTCTCTTGTTATTTCGATGAGGAGAAGTGCACCGATGAATGGCTTCTAAGCTTTCATCACGTCATTCTGGTTCGAAACCCAAGCGATGCGCTGAAATCTTTCTATCGAGTAGGTCTCAATAATGCAGTTGCGGAATCGTTATATTTCGATCCGTCTGAATCTGGATTCAAAGAGTGTCAAAAGATTGTGGAGAGATTGGATAGGATTAAAGGAAAGTATATGGTCGTGGACGCTGATTTAGATTTAATGGCTAATCCGGAAGGGACTCTGAAGCAGATTTGTGCGTTTTCCTCGATTGCGTTCAGTAAAAATATGCTTTCGTGGGAACCGAAAGAACTCGATTCCTGGAAAAAGTTCCGCGGCTGGCACACCGACGCCGTCAACTCAACGGAATTAAAAGCACCAGTACGGAGCGAATCTTTCGAGCTAGCAGACTATCCGAAAGAAGTGTTCACCGCCGTCGAAGAAGCCATGCCGTACTATACTTTCTGCATAAAAAGAAGATGAAAAAGGAAGAGGTCACCCCAGTAAAAAATAAACATGTTCACATAGTAATACCGGTAGAAATTTATTCTTATATATATTTTATTACAGTAGAATCATGCGTTATTATCACATTCAATGCATGTATGATACATGCAACTCGCACTCGCTTGCGCGCGCGCGTGTGCGTGTGTGTTTGTGTGTGTGTGTATGTGTGTGTGTGAAAGTATTCTCAGAAATCTCCTCTTTTTTAAAGGTTACTCTCGTCGGCTCCCTTTTCTTCGCTCGCCTTCTCCTCGACGTGTCGAAATTTAAACCTCCTTCTCCCAAACGATATGGAAAAGAGCAGAGCAACGACGCAAGATAAGATAATGAATATACCAGCAGTTTTGTCTAACGCAATCGTGTAATCGATTTTGCTCGCGCTTGCATTTGCATCGCATGTATCCGTGCTGTATTTGTTCAATATTTCATCCAATACGCCATCCGCTTCCATGCCTAATAAGATTGTATCAAAGATGTGTGTTATATCCGAATGACAATCGTCATAGTTCGTAATAAATCCACCGCCAGCTGCTAAGACTATACCATTCGCGGAGGCGTCACAGTTAGTTGCTTGCTGGACAAGTGTACCCGCATCTGCCGAAGAAAGAATCACCGCTTGAGAGCCGTACTTACTGAGCAAATCGTCAATTTTCTTCGTCGCTAATATTTCACTTCGAGCGACATCCGTAGCAATAAGCCAAGGATTCTGGGCAAGTATTCGAGACTTCAGCGGGTCTCCTGTGAACATGATGGCTCTTCCGCCAGCCTCTTGCAAATCGTTCAACGTATTGATAGCCATCGTACTTATCGCTTCCTCGATGAGTATAGATGTCAACGCGGCTGTATATAATGAGCTGAAACCAAGCGTGCAAAAGCTAAATACTGATTGAAGCACCATGCCCGTTTTCGTCACAGGTTCTGCCACGAAACCTCCCGTCAAGCATTCGAACGATAAAAATATCGATCGAGCCGCGGAAGCTTTGAACGTCGGTAGATTAAAGTGCGGGTGTTCAAAGAATAAATACAAAAGAGCGTAACCGACCAGAAAACTAATAAGCGTGAGCCATACCTGCCAGCTCAGAGGAGCAAGGAAAGAGAAATAATCAATCTTTCCGCCGCTTCCCGCTTGCTTACTCACGGTTAATATTCGCGTAATGTCCGTGTGATAATATCCGCAAGAGATACCGATGGAGCGCCTTCTCGCCGTATCCGACCACCACTGTCCGCTCACGTCAAAGTCGCGAGTGAAGTTCAAAGCCATTTGCTCGTACGTTTCCCCTCTGCTCGAATCCACGTCCCCGAATATCGTCCAATTCGTTTTAAAGTTCCCAAGCGACGCCATCTTTTCGAAAACGTCAAAGTTATACCCCGACAATTGACTTCCGCAATCGGTACAATACACGTCCGGATAGTCTCTCGTTCGCGTCGGCGCCGCTTCCCCTTCGATGGAAACGTACCCGGGATCCCAAATAGCCGCCACAGTGAGCGTTAAACCGTCGAGTCTTGAAACCAAATCTTCGCTCGTTTCAGAAGAGGATATGTTCACACCATCCAGCAAGTTTAATGCGCACGCGTCCAAACGAGTGGCTCCAACGCCAAACCTCGAAAACGAAAGTCTGTCCGTGTTAAACTCAGTGTTGTAATCACAAAAGAGGAGAACACAAAAAAAGAGAAAAACAGACTTGCAAGGTGGAGGAGAAGAGTTTTGATGGACGAATTTTGCCCCCCTCCAACGCCTGCTCTCTTTTCGTTTTTCTCCCATCGTATCACGAATAAATAAATAAATATGCGCGCGATTTTCTTCGCGCGAGCAGCGCGGCGTATAATTATTCGACTCTTCTTCTTTCTCTCCTCCTTCTTTCTCTCAGTTGCCGCCGTTAAAGAATACTATAAAATGAGAGGGAAAGGGAGTAATTGGAGAGAGAGAATCGTGTGTCTTTTTTTGATGCATGCATGAAGAAAAAAAAGAAATTTTTGGTTGTGAAAAAAAAAAAGGAGAGAGATTCTGAGAGAAGAGGACAAAGGCGACGTGGTCAAATGTTGCTTTGTATGAAGTGAAACACTTCTGCTGCGTATTTACAAATATAAAAACATGCACATCCTCTCTCTACCTCTAATGACTAAATTTTGCTGCGTCTATCTCTTAACGACTTCATCGCCGTTTGTGCTACCGTCGTCGTCGTCGTCGTCCGTGGATGCTATATTTATCTGTCCACCTTGTTGTTCCTGTTGTTTCGTTGCCGAACCGACGACGTCGGCCTTCAAGGCTCGCAACCGATCAAATTCTCTTTTGCTATATTTCATGGTCAAATGCAGCCATATTGGCATAGCAAACAGAAAGACGCCACATGCGATGAGGAACAAATCTATATAGAAGAACGCTTTCTTCGGAGAGTCGCTCTCCAAAGCAGAATTCATCGTCGGATACTGCAAAACCGCCGATAGAATAGCCCAAACGCCGACACCAGTTCCGTACATTTTACCAAACGTATTCACACCAAACACATTCTGGCAATACACAGTTATCGTAGTGTAAAAAGTAGACCTGAATATTCCAAATGCGATAAAACCGATGCAAAGTGACCAGTACGAATCGTTGTATAGAATTGGGATAAACGAGATTATTCCAAGCACGTTCACCACGGCGATACTAATCGCAAGTCCAAACTTATTTACAAACGAACCCGTTAAACTGAATATTGGAATAGAAGTCAAAATCAAACCATTAAAGAGTGTAACCAGTGTATTCGCGTCGTTGTAATCTCGTCCGTCGCCGACGAGCAATAAATGTTCGAAAACTGATCCGAGCAAAAACATGATTCTATAAATACAAATAAACGACCACAAAGAGAGCCACAGATAATGAGGTGTTTTCAATTGCTCCAGAAACGTCATCTCATTAATGATTCTGCCGTTATGCGTAGCGGCACTGCGACCAATTTTCCTATCAAAATAACTGGACGAACTGAATCCAAGACGTTTCATACTCCCTATATTCTTAAGCTGTCGAGCTCCCGACTCAGAGACTATTTCTTCGGGTCGTTCCATGTATTTACCCCAAACACGTTTGTGCGATAATACCAGGAAAAGAACGCTCATAAAGAATAAAATGTAAAACAAATGCCGCATGGAAAATATTTCCGCGTCGGACTGATGCAACAACATGAAAATCAGGAAACAAATCGTCGAAGCATCGTAGGCGGTATTCATGATGGCGTGCGATGTCTCAAAATATCGCGTAGACTCCCAGTGCGAGCAAAACGTATAATGCGAGAGAGAAAAGCCCGCACCACCGATTGAAAGCAGTCCACTCGCCGCTATAAACGCATCAAATTGTTCAGAGTCGGATTCTGCGAAAAGGACGCACCCGGCCGCGAATATGAGTAGACTCATCAATCGACATGGCAGCACTCCGAATTTATCAACGAGGATGCCCCAGACTAAAAGTGAAACCGGCGTCCCGAACGCTCCAGCGGTGTAGATTTGAGAATATCTCACGTTTGCGCTCGCGCACGTGGCGATTGCGGTGGTAAAAGTGTTGTTGGTGTTGTTGTTGTTGTTATTACTATCGTTAGTATGATCGGTATCATTTTCATCCGAGGCACACAGTTCGGAATATTGTCCCTCTTTTCTCATGATTACGAACAACGACGAGGCTCCAAACATCACTCCGGTGCAAAAAACACACTCAATCGCGCTCAGACAAAGTAAAGACCAACGTCTCAACATCGACGATCGCGTCCACAACCACGGACCGGAAAACGCGGACATGTCGATGCTCTCTATCACTGCGTGTGCTTTTGGTGGTAATTGTTAGACGTTTTGATCAAAACGTATTCAATAAATAGAATAGTTTTGTTCGGGTGAGGAGACGTGAATTGTTTGTTACGGAGGGGATTATATGAAGAAAACAGCACAAAAGATCTCTGAAAAAGAAGGGGGGGGACGATCGAGTAAAAAACCTTCCAAAAAGAGTATGTGGGTAATTAAATTCGTGGGTTTTGTCCTTTCTTTCTTTTTTCTTTCTTTCGCTTTCTCTTTTTTTCGTAGATTTCCCCTCGTGATGAGATGAAGAACAAGTCAAAAAACAAGAATTGAAACAACTTCAACCCTTCCTTCCTAAAGTAAGAACTGCATCATGTGTATAATAAATAAATACTTTAATCGAAACCTTTATTCGACCGTAACTTTTTCTTCTGACTGGCGCTTTTCTTCTGTTCTAATCGCTTGGCGTTTGCCTTTTTCGCGCTCTTCTCCATCTTTTTCCTCGCTTGAGCGTTTTCCACGTCTTTCAACACCGACGCGCTTTGGATGATATCGTCCATCTTCTCTAAAGCGTCGTCTATGTTTTTACTCTGCGTTCGATGTTTCGTACTATTCACGACTAGGCAGTCTTCGCTATTGATTCTGTTCTTTTCCAATATCCGCAGACGAGCGGCGACCCATTTGGGTAGGAATCCAGATGCCACGGCGCCGTTGAGAGATAAGCGCATGTCCACTTTCGTGTTTACTTTGTTCACGTTTTGCCCGCCGGCGCCTCCCGAGCGCGAGAAGGATATCTCTACATCGCCTTTCTCCAACGGTCGAGGCGATGAGCTATCTTCGCCTTCTCCAGGTTTCGGTAAGTCGTCTTCCCTCGAAATACCAATAGACGACGATGACGACGATGAAGAAGAAAACGCGCGAACCCCGTCCGGCGAAGAAGTCGGCAAAGTCAAGCTACTGCCTCGCTTTGGCGGACTCTTTTTGTTCTTCTTAGTCCCGGGCGTTGGCTTTTTCGCGCCTATAACTATGCCACCTCCCTCGTCGTCGTCAAAGTCTTCGGAACTTTCCTTCCACGGGTCGTCCAAATCCTCCTCGTCGTCGTCGTCGTAATAATAGTCTTCGACTCGTCCAGAAGCAGTTGCAACGTCGTTCTTGAATACCCTTTTTTTGTTCGGCGTGTTAAAACTACTACTACTACTACTGCTTCTGCCATTCATCACACTAAAGCTACTCATAAACCTACTGCTGATACTACTACATCCACACCAAGCCTTTTTCGAAAGCATCGTCATCGTCGCTCGACTCGGTTCTTTGTCGCCGAAGATGCTGCTGCTGCTGTTGCTGCTGCTGCTGCTGCTGCAAGACGTGGATGATGGAACGCACACAGATAAAGAAGACAAAGAAGAAGACAAAGAAGAAGACAAAGAAGAAGCACGAGCTGAACGACAGTGACGACGACGACGAAGTAGCACTGGCAGTACTCTTTGCGTTGCCGCTGCTGCTGCCGCTGCTGCTGCTGCTCCTGCCATCATCATCGTCATCGTTTTCTTCTTTTCCTTTCCTCTTTTAAGTTGTCGTGTATAGACACAGAAGAAGAAGAAGAAGACTGTCAGAAAGAATTTTTAGAAAAAAATTTGGAGAAAAATTTAAAAACAACAACAGATGACTTTTTTGGGGGAACGTCACTTCAAAAATTTCTTTAACGACTCTCACTCTACTAAATACGAACACTCACACTACAACAACAAACTCACACACACACAGTAATCAAAGTGCTTTTGTGACGGAAGTTATTGTTGTTGTTGTTGGTTTTGTTTTCGTCGTTGTCTCGTTGCTGATATATACGCGATAAAAACGCGATAAAAAAGAGAGAGAGAAAGAGAGAAATTTGTTCCGTTACTCTTCGAGCGTAACTTGAGAGACGACGACGACGACGATGATGATGATGATGAGGACAAAGAAGAATTCGAAGCTCTTCTTCTTTTTCTTCCTCGAAGTGTTAGTTTTCTTCGTTTCTCTCGAAAAAGTATCGGCGGAAAGATTCACCGGGACGTTAAAACTAAACTCCGCGAACACGGAGCAAACGGTCGGTAAATTCGCGGTGAGAAGAACGGGAGATATAAGCGTGAAATTATCAACCGCGAAAACCGGTTGGGAACGTGGCAGACACAAGTTGAAAGTTTTATTGTTTGAAGATAAATCGTACGAAGAGTACGACCGACAGGTGAAGAAAGGAAGCTTGTGCGACAGTCGATGCAACATGGCAAATTTAGAGCACGACGTGGATTTACCGCACCCGAAAGCGACGCACAAGGCGGAAGGGTACGAGTTTTTTGAAGATCCAGAATCGGGAGACTCCTATCGAGTGGATTTGGACAGCGGGAACGTCAGTTGGGTACATCCCGAGAATCACATGGTGGACGAAGAAGCCGTTCGAAAAGCCGCGGATAACAAGAAGAAAAAAACACCGCCGTCGTCCAAAGGGTGGGGGCTTAAAGGAACAGGAGGGGCAACCCCCACGGATTCGTTGACGCCGCAGAAGATTGTGCACAGGGAGACGTATTTCGAATCGAGCTTACGAGCGATGCGACAGGTGAAAGGAAGAAGAGGCGTGACGTATAACGCGTCAAGAGCTGCGTTTTGGTATATCGTCGTCGCGGATTGCGCGTTGGAGTTTTACGACGCGAAGCCTCCGCCTTTGCATTTCGATATCACGATAAAGAATAATGGACAACACTTACCGTCCGATTTGAGCGGCATCGGGTGGGTGTACGTGACGAATTTTTTATTCATGTTCTTTTTAGGTTTGGTATTCGTCTCCATGGCCGTTCGCATGCACAGAAAGAACGAAAAGACGACGCATTTAGTCGTTCTTTTAGTCATGTTGGCGTACTTTTTACAAATGATGAGCTTATTACTTGAACTATTACACTTGAGAAGATTCGTCAAAGACGGGAAAGGCTTGCGATGGCGGTACTCCTACTTACCCGCAGATTTTATGGCAGAAGTCTCGCAAGGAACGTCTGAGTTTATAACGACGATGACGTTGTTATTTCTAGTCTGTGGATGGACGACGACGGCGGAGGCGGAAAGTTTGAAGAGTTCCGCGGCGAAAGTATTTAGTGGTGATTCGAGTTTAGAAAGCGGTTCGGCGGCGAGAAGACGAACGGGGGCGAATTTTGGAGCCGTCGCAGGCGCGGACGGCGTCGCAGACGATGGGGAACGAAAGAGAGGACGTTCGAACAACTTTAGTAGCGATGGTGATTACGACGACGATGCGAAGAAGAAGAATGCGCCGCCAACGCCGAAAACAATCGCTAAAGGTGCGGCAGCCATCGCGAAAGGTTTGCTCGGTAAAAAAGCGTTGGAAAATCCAGAGACGAAACGAATTTTAGTGAACATCACCGCAGCGTTGCGCTCGCCGGGGTATTTGTTCAAAAAGCTACCCAATGGTGTCAGCGCAAGCACTCGCCGCTTATCTGCTGGTGGGATGATTATCGCAGGGAACGCCGTGTTACATTTTATTTTAGAAGCGTGGGGGCGACGATACGAGTCGATGTTCAACTCGTTCCACGATCACGAACATTTACCTGGTTTCCTCCTCGTATTTATTCGTTTAGTCCATGCCGCAGTTTTTATCGTCGGTGGTCGAACGGCTATTGCCGCCGCCGATGTCGACAGGCGAGCGAAGAATTTCATTCGAAACTTTCGAGTGGTTGGCTTGTTGTGGTTGATTTCGTTCCCCGCGGTTGTTTTCATGGCGAGGTTTATGAAAAAATTATGGCAAAGGCGTTTCGTCGCCGCTGGATGCGTGACGTTACAAACGCTCGGGTTGTGCGGACTCGCGAGTTTAGTTTTGTTGGACGATAGTTTCATGAAGTTGAGCTCAATTAGTGGGAAAGGAAATGCGTCGTTCTATCGCGGTGGCGTCTCCAAGTTTGGCGTCGGTAAGCTGCGAACGAAAGTGAGCATGGATTAAAAGATTGTCAAAAATACGACGCGCCTTTGAACAGACCGGGGGATTCAAACTTTCCTTCTCGTGGTACAACAGAAATTATTATTATCGTTATTATATATACACTTTACTTTGCCGCTAAATCTATAACTTCCTCTTTCTCCGTCCAAGCACCGACGTTTTCGAAAGCCGTCGCTCTTTGGTGTCTATAATCCGCGTCCGAGCACCAACGCTCGTAGTCTCTCGCTAACCCGCGTAAAAAAGCTTTCTCGATTTCCCTCAGAGTGAATCCAAGAACGGCGTCGCCGACGCTCTGAGTAACACTTCGCGGAAACTTCTTGAACGGTCCAGGCGGATCGACACCGACGCCGATTTCTGTCCAACCTTCGATGTACGCGTATTTATTTTCCTCTTCTTCCGCCTCTTCTTCTCCCTCTTTTTTACTACTCGAAACATCATCCGCGTCGGCGTGTTCTGCCGAGCCAATGCCGTAGTGCAACAAATCACCGTAGTCCCACGATTCATCTCCTCTGCTTTTCCAGCGAAACGCCGTGCTCCCTCGATTAACGAACATCTCGTTTATGCCTAGACTTTCGACTTCCTTCCCTTCCAATCGACAACTCGCGACTTCAATCAAAACGCATGGTCCTCTCATATCCGCATCCTCGCGTTCCGGTCTGTACATTTTATTCATCTTCTTTCTTCTCTTCTCTTCTTCCTCTGCTTTTACATCGTTCGCTTTCGTTTTGCCACTCCACACAAATCTCTGTTCGTTATCCGTCGTCAACACGCTCACTTTCACTCTAACGACTGGTTTTACCTCCAACGTGAAGAACTTCAATCCCGGGATGGCGAGCTCGAAGAAGCCTTCGTCTTCTCTAATAGTCTCGTCGAAATATTTCGTCATCTTCGCGCCTAACGGCAACGGCACGTCCACGTACTGTTCCACAGGCAGTCGCATGTAGCTCGCCAACGATAGCTCTGGCGTGACATCGTCCGCCTCGTTCACTTTCACGATCGCTTCGCACGTCGCTCGAAGGTTCGTGTTCCACTCTTTGCCAGCCTCGTTGCTGTTGAACACATTTTTGCTGCTGCTGCTCCTGCTCCCTGGTGGTTGTTCGTTCGCCAGCGACGACGACGATGAAGAAACAACGACGCGATTTCGACGACAGTACGAATGCCGACGAAGGCTACACATCCTCGTTCTTATATCATCAGTACTGTTGTTGTTATTGTTGTCTGTACCATTCCTAAAACTTCTTCCCCGAGAGGACGGAAAATGTTGTTGTTGTTGATGTTTAGATATGATTTTAGAAGATGACTTTGACGAAGATGACGACGCGCGAATGATGGTGAAAGGGTGGTTTGATTGCGCGTTGCGGAGAGGGTCGGTGCGAGCACACGCATCACCAATACCACCGGTTTGACAGCGCATCGATGCTGATGCAAACATCATCATCATCATCACTCTTTTTATGTGTCGTATGAATTATAAATGTGAGGCAGTTTGGATATTATTAAGAAATTCGTGGTGGAGGTTGGTCGTAAGCGTTTTTGGGCGAACTCACACAAAAAAGGAGAAGACGCGGAGAGCAAAAGGACGGATGGAAGAAGGGAGAGAGACTACGAATTGAGGGTAACAAAAACACATCATCATCATAATAATCATCGTGAACATTTCAAACGCCTTTCTCTGCTAACAACTCTTTATCAGCTAATTCCGCTGCTTGGATTTCATCGATCCGATCGGCTCTGGAGACGCTCGGATTGACCAAGCGGTCTTCTCCCGCCGTGACTGAAGCTTTAACAATCACGTCTCCTTTGCGTAAGTCTCTCACGTAGTCTAATCCTTTCGTGACGTACCCAAAGGTTGAAAACTCTCCTTCTTCGAACGCTACACCGCCTAAACCGGCTTGTCTGCGATCGAAATTAAAGAGAAAAAACTGGGAGGAAGAGGAAGCGCCGTCGTCCGTGGCTGAGCGCATGGCGCTGACGCTCCCGTTCACTGAGAGAGGAATGGAAGGTAACGCATCGATGCCGCTCGCAACATCTAAAGGCGACCGGTATCTCGGCTCGAATTCATTCGACGCCTTGACTTCCAAAGGGATCGATGTCGACGCTGAATTATCGCTGTTGCCAAAAATAACAGCCGTTTCGGATAAATTTAATTTACTCCCATCGAATTCGCCTCTTTTCACCGCGTCAACGAAGTTTCCAGCCGTAATTGGCGCGTTAAAACCGTCGCAGGTTATCTCGAGATCCACGGTTTTCAAAGGCTCGCCGTTCAAATTCCCAAACGAACTCCCATCGCCGTGTTTAATCGTAAACTTTAACTCCGCCCGTCCCGTCATTCTTGGCAACTCTTGGTATCGCTTCGGTAACAAAAATGGCAAGTCGTTCACTTGGTTCACCATGATATTTCCGTTCGCTTCTATGGCTTTGGCGATCCACTTATCAAAATTCTCCACGTCTTGGTTTTCGCACGCTAAGATTAATCTGTCCAAGGCGATGACTAAATTCTCAATCTCAACTTCCGCGCTGGCTTGGGTTTCCTTCACGATCGGTTGGAAAATCTCACCTCTTTTCTCCTTGACAATCTCTTTCGCTTTCTTGATTTCGTTCAACATCGAGTTCCACGGTTTTCGCTGCGGGATGCGAAACTGATACGCCGCGTCGTCCAAATTATACTGAATGTCTGACGACTCCGCATTCACTCTCGGCGTGGCTCGTCGTAACGCCGCGGTCGGCGTTCGCGGTAAGCCCGAATTTGGGTTCGATAGCAACGCGCTCGCTTCCCGGGGAAACGCAAAACCGGATGAAAGGAGGAAAACTTCGGTCGAGAGACACAAGGAAGCGCACAGCGCGGAAACTGCTGTTTTCAAATTCTTCCTCTTCTTCACTTTACCGCTATCAATGTCTTCATTGTAGTCGTTATCGTTGTCAGTTGTGTTCGCATCGTTTCTCGATGATGAAGAGGAAGAGAGCGAAGAAAGAGCGCGCTCGAACGCATCGAAATCGCTTCTGTTTGCGCAATAATCAATCGCCTCCTCCTCCTCCTCCTCCTCGCCGCTTCTTCTGTGCGCGCTTCTCTTGGTTCTCCTCTTCGTCGATGATGATGATGTCTTCTTCTCCTTCTTCACCTGAAAGGTGTTATTACTCACCACCACCAGCGACGAGGAGGACGTCGTCATCATCGTCGATGATGCAGACCCAGCGAACATATCTGTTTATTAAATACGGCGAGTAAAAGAAATACGAGAAGGAAATTTATTGTGATGTTGTACGACTGTACGAGGAGAAAGGAACAAATTGTTTTTTCGCATGTCTCTCTCTTTTCTCTGCTACTGCTGATTAAAACTAACTACGGACATTATAGTATGACTTCTTCGCCCTTTTCTTTTGCTCCATGACCCACTCTTCGATTCTTCTCTTCAACTCGACGTCACTTTTCAAATCCTCTACTTTCAACGGTTGACGACTGAAAGGACAGGTTTCGTTAGAAAGCAAGTGGCGCTCGATGGTGGCCCGGTCGCAGACGTTTTTCGTGATCGGTACGATGACTGGATCTTTCATCAAAGTACACATGAGAGGGTCTTGGAACTCGTCTGGAATCTCGCCTAAATCGGCTTCGAGGTCGACGGCATCGTCCGCAGCTTTTTTCGCAGCTTTTTGTAGCTTTTGGAAAATCTCAATTTCCGTCGGCGAAAGAAGAAAGTGTTTGGAGAGAACGTCGATGGCCATGGTAAAGACTTCGTCCTTGTAACTTCGCCCATCTTCCGAAATCGCCTCGGCTAACGTCTTTTCCGCACCCGTATCCATCTTGTCCGCGCCTTCATTGATAATGCTTTCGTTTTTATAAAGATTGAGATACACGGTGACGATTTTTGTCAGCAACTCTTTCGGATCGAACTTATACTTCTCCGGGTTTTTCACTTTCAACTTTCGTCTCTCCGGGCCGGCGAGGTGACTCAGGAAGTAGTTCAACATGTCCGCGACTCTTTTGATAATCTCGGGCCTTAGGAACGGCGTGGCGATCTCTTTACTCGTATACGCCATCATTTCTATGTTTTGCTTCGCGAAAAACAAATCCGATCTCAGTTCTCGTTCGCTGCTTTCGTAACGCGACTCGTGATCGTCGCGTTGTTCGTCCGTCAGCTGATTCCACTGCGCTTCGTCCCCCATCAACGCCTCCCTTTCTCGAATTTGCGGAAGTTTCTCCATAGCCTCGCCGAGAGAGTGCACGGCATCGTTGATGAGCATGTCAACAAACTTCGCGTAAAATCGCCACTTGGTTTCTGAAAAAATCTTCCAACCGTTTCGGTACTCCGGGATTGCCCAAAGATACTCGCAAATGTCGCCGATTTCTTTGCGGACGTTGAATTTTTCGTAAGGACCAACAGCTTGCTCGGCATCGGCGAAGAGTTTGAGCAAGTTCGGGATGAGAAACTGAAATGCGCTCGCGTTTGTTTCGAACATCACTCGACCTAATTTATCCGAGCCAGAATAGTCTGGTAAGAACGAGTGTATGACCGAGACAAACTTACATCGAAGATATGGATTTTTGATGTGCTCAGACGCCCCGGAGAAGAGAACGAGAAAGTCTACGACTTCGGTCAAAATTTCATTCTCAATCAACGAATGCGAAGAACTTTTCGTGCACATGACGTACACCAAGTAGTCCAAAGTATCTTCCACAATTTCTTCCGGTATCGCTCGGAAAGCTTTCGAGGCTTCATCCGGGAGTTGCGTCGTCGTCGTCGTCGGAATTGCTGGTGATGTCTGATCTCCACCACCACTTCTTGCTTCGTTCAATAACCACACGCACGTTAAACGATAGAATGCAAAACTATCCGATACTACGCGCGGATCCATCAAAGTCGCATCGCAAAGCATCGTCTGTTGAATGTAGGCATCTTTCTTCATGCGAAGTTGTCCGAGTTGAACAACAAACTCGTGTCTTCGCGGATCGTTCCCGGGTAAAGATTGTATCTCCTCCTCCAATTCGTTCACTCTCTCGGCATAACGGCGTATGGTATGTCGCTGCCTCTCTTCTTGCGCGTTGATACAAGCGATGATGCCAAGATGCATAGCGCGATGAGTCGCGAAAAAACATTCGCAGACGAATCCCCACGACGACGCGTTCGCATCGCCACCTTCTTCCAACTCAAACTCCCCGCTGTTATAGCATTGTTCCGCTTCGCTCTCGGTCATGCCAAGTCTCGTGCAATCTTTGTAGTCCGTTATACCGCACGATTTAGAAAGCGTGTATTCCGCTTTAATTTTCGGCAAATGTTTTCCTTTTCCGTTGAGAACGTCCGTGAATGGCAAACTCAAACGTAACATCGTCTCGCAAAAGTTTACAAAGTAGCCGTCTGAGCAATTCTCAAACCAAGATAATTGTTGCTCTTGTTGACTTCTTTTCTTATTCACGTGCAAGTTTAAGAAGATCCACTTTAAAACGCCATCACGAGTTGGCCCGCCGTGTTTAAGCAAAGTCTTTAAGATTGCGTGCAAGCCTTCGTAGACGCGAGCCATGTGCATCCAAATCGTCGCATGCGCGTTGTCTCTTTCGCGCACACTCACTTTCAAGTCTTTCGATCCTAAATCAACGCTTGGAAATAAAGCTGGAAATACGTTTGGTTCTCGTCTTTGCGACAACATGTTCATCACCGGAACCCTCGAATACATCGGCGAAAGCGCAAACAGCGGCCCTAATATTGAACACTCCTCAAAATCTTTACCCAACACGTATCCATCGGACGTTCGCGCGTTTGCGTTGAAGTTTGGTATCATCATTACGTGCGGCGGTAAAGTAGGAAAGATTTGAGCGTTGCGGTTTTTGGGCATCCAGAGCGGATGCTTTATCAATCTCGCCGCGGCGATTGGATTCGCCGCGAGCATAAACATTGCCCTCAAAAATGGATCGAAATCCGCGAGAATGGACATTCCGTGGACGAGAAAAGGTTCGGTCGGTAAAGATTTCTCTCTCGTAAACGTCCATTGCCTTTCGTGCAAGAATATCGCATCCAGCAGGTCAGGTTCTTCCTCGCCAAACTTTTTGCAAAACGCGTCCAAATACATCTGGCTCATTTCGCCCGTGTATAATCGATACGAAAACTCATTCACACCGTATTCTTCCTCCCACTCTGATATTGGAAACATCCCTGGCTCTTCTCGGGTCCCTCGAATTTCCTCGTCCGGATTCAACACCAATCCACCGTAAGAGACGCACAATTTCTTCACCTCTTGCATCAACAGGTCGAACTTATCTTTCGCGTCCCTTTCGTTTGCAAACTGCGCGAGAGTGGACTTTCGCAACTCCTCGTCCGCTCTGTGAAACGTTTCTAAAAGGTACCTGAACTTTGACTTTTGATTCAGTTGGTGTTCGTTTCTTCTTTGTTCACCACCACCACCACCACCACCACCACCTGCTCCTCCTAACGATGATGACGAGGATAGCGATAACGATAATCGCGAGATCAGCACTCTGTCCGCAAACTCCTCGTTTATTTCATCCACCTCGTCGTTTTCTTCTTCTTTTTCTCCTCCTCTTTCTTTCTTTTCGTTCGCGATCTCCTTTTCCAACGCGTCTAAAAACACGATCGATGACGACGCATTCTCGCCATTACCACCGTCGCTCGTCGTCGTCTTACTACCAGTACTACTATTGCTACCACTCTTCGTCCACGCGCAGTTGGTCACCAGCTCGAGCTTGGATTTGAAATACAGCCGGTGCATTTTCTTCGCGTCTTTCATCATTTTTCTTTTTCTCACGTTTTTTGTAGGACGACGAACTCTTTCTTCCTTCACAACAAAAAAGAAGAAGACTCTGAGAAGACGGAAGAGGAGGTTACATAGCAATCTGGTAGTGTTGGGTGTTCGCAAAAAAAAATTTGTACTCGTCGTAACGCTTGTTTTCACGAAAAAGAGAAAAAGCGTCCCCGAAACAGATCAAAGATATTTTTTCGGAAAAAACCTCAAAAACTTTTCTCACCGCCCTCCCCTCTCTTTGTGGATTTGATCGACTGCACATCCATCCTTTGCGAACACTTCATAGAAGAAGAACGCGCTCGTTCCACTCATTTGCGCGATATCTTTTTCCTCTTTGTGCGCGACAACACCCGCGCGCTTGTTTACACAAAGTTTGTTGACACTTTTGCTCGTAGAGGTGATTGAAAAAAAGGGGAATCGGCTGCGTCACACTTCTTTTTATAAAAAAAAAGATGCATGTAAAAAAGGAAGAAGAAGAAGAAGAACATGAGCAACGATCGCGCCGGGCGATCAAAGTGGCTTTGAATCTCCTCGTGAAGTCACCTCGATCGACGCTTGAAAGATATAACAAATCGATCAGTTCAGATGACGGGAGTAGCGTCATATCTTCTTCCGCTTCTTCCTCTGATTTAGGTAAATTGGAAGAAGAACAAGAGGGGGTCAAAAGAGAAAAATTTCCGTTTTTGGCGGTAAATCAAAAGGAGCAGCCCAATAACAGGTTTGTTTTAGGGGAAACGCTCCCACTTCCTCGAGCGGAAAAGAGCATCCTCGTCTCTAAAATAGACGACGAAAATGACGACGACGAGAACTATCCGATCGTCTACCAAGTTTGCGAAGCGATTTTGGAGGAGGATGTGAAGAAATGCGAGAGATCGTGCACCGCGGCTATGGGCGTGTTGAAACGCGCGACGGTGTTTCCTTCTTCTCTCGTTCGTCCCGGGTTGTCGAAAAAAAGAGAAGAAAAAAATCTCGAGCGTGTTGTCGCCGAGAAAGAACGGGATGAAAGCAATAACGAAGAATCTTGTGGAGTGAACAAAGAAGGCGCGTTGGAAGAAAACTACTCGTATCTTTACGTCGTTAAGAAAGAAGAGGAAGCCAATCTGAGTCCCATTGAACGGATTTTTGGACCGGTCTCGGAGGATGTTCTCGCAGTCGCTCGTGTGAAATTTATTTCTCGTGATGATGATGATGATGATGATGATGACATTGATGTCAAAACTGCAAGTGCTAATCCAATGGTGCACATTGCAGCGGCATGCGATCGTTTCTTCATTGCAAACGAAGCTTTGTTTGTAACGAGCAGGGGAGCAAACGCGGCGATATCTTTCTTCTCGCAACTTCTTCTCGATGGAGTCCATCGGGTCGTCTTAAATCGAACGGCTGCGCAAAAAGATGCGCATAACGAGAAAGATGTTTATTTTTCACTCCAATGCGTACCACCAATGCTTCCAGAGAATGCGAGTCTCATATCTTACGATGAAAGTGTCGTGAGAGACAGCGACGATGAAATTGTGTTCTCGTCGATGAAAACCTTCACCCTTCGCGCAACGCTAGAGCGCGATCCGCTTCTCGAGACGGCTACGGAGACAAATTTGGAAGTCGCCGCGCACTCGAGCAAAGGTGACTATGGGAAGAGCAACTCTGTGAGCGCCGATAATTACGTGCGTCTTCAACCATGTTCAGCAGATAAAGCGAATGCTTCTCTCGTAGCATCGTTGTACGATGCGCTCTTTGCCTCGGCGAGCGAGGATGAACAAAGAAGAAGCAAAATCGAAGAAGATGTTTTCGTTCACGATATCGTGTCCGAAGCATTCACTTCGTCTATTTTTGATGCAAAAAGTGAAGTTGCACCGGCAAACAACAAGACGTGTCTTAAGACTGTTCTGCCGGAAACGAGCGTGATTACGCCATGTTTAGGCGTTTCCCCGGAACACGGGCGGGCGGTTTCGAAAGCCTTGGACGAGTGGTCAAAAGCTCGATCTTTCTCTCCGTCGTCGCTTTTTCGCGACGTCTCTGACGATGATAAACTTCCACAAAACTCTTCGATTATCGCTAAAGTGAAGAGACAAAAAGTTATTTTGTTGGGAAGCGATGTGATGAGCTCACTTTCACTCGATGCTGTGGTGACGGAGATCTGTCGCGAGATGGATTCTGAAGAAGCTGCTTTCGCTGGTGAGAAGACACTCGCAACTGCGACATTCTTGGCGTCTGCATCTCGAGGTGAGAAAAGTACAGGCAAGTATGGTGGAATATTCTTCGATGCCATCGCTAAGCACGAAAATTCTGCGCATTTGCTCTTGCTCAAGCTCGCTTCGTTCGGAATTTATCCTTTGCGAGGTACTTACGACGTCTCCTTGTTCGATTTTTGTGACGAACCAGCCGCGCGGCCGTCATCTTCTCCAGTTTCGCCATCCTCTGATGCAAATGTTCTCTTCATTGCAACCTTCCGAAAGAGAAATTTCAAAATCATCAACACCTTATCGATCTCTAACGTCGATAAGTTGGTTGAGATCGAGCGCGAGGCTTGGATTTCGTGTCCGGAGATGCGCACGTCTGAAGATACGATTCGCGATCGCGTGTTGAATAATCGAGTGATGAACTTCGCGATATTTGATATGGACGGTGAATATCTCGAGGAGACAAATGACTCGTTGAAAGGAATGATGTATACGCAGTTTGTCAAAAGCACGGAAGACGTGTCCAATAGAAACTGTTGGGCAACGAAAGAGTCTGCTCGAGTTGACCCGTTCTCGTCGCAAACGATACAACTTTTGGATGTTTTTGCCGATCAACGCTACTCGCTCGAAAACGGTGGCGACGTGGGCATGCAGCTCAGAGATTTTGTGCTTCACTTCGCAGAAAGAGTTCCCATGGTACAAACAGTTTGCGCCGTTACTCGAACGAGAGGCTTCCGCGAAGTGCAACAAAAAGCCATCAAGGAAATTGAGGAAGTATCCGAGCGAACGCAAGCGAGCATCTCGGGACATCTCAAAGCCTCTCTCGCGATTCCCACGTACGAACAACACGTTATGTCAAAAGAAGGCGGATATAACGACCGCGGCCTATTCTTACACGTCGGTGCGGGAGCTAAAATTCTCAAGGTTCAGTACGGTTGGAGACCGAAAGATTACGAAAATGACGGAAACGGGACGCTCATCGAATACAAACTCGAACGACTTTCGTGGAGAAGATACTCAAACGTCAAAACGTTCAAGAGCTCACACAGCTCATCATCATCATCGTCTATGGTAGAAGCTGTTGCTTCTGCTATCGATACTATCCAAGATGAAAAAATGGGAAGGGTCGCCGCCACGTAAATGTATGCCAGGAACTCCTTCGAGAAGGCCATGAAGTTATGTATCATCCACCCCTTCTTTCTTCAATCAATTCCATTTTTATGATTATGATTATTATTACATTTTAAGTTTTAATTGAACTACAGTACCTATTCTACTTTATATCATACGATATTCCTTTTCCTTACAACATGGCTCACATCTCTCCGCATTGTGAGATTATAACCGCTAGTTTTGGCGCGTTCGCACCCCCCGAGACTGGAACCGCTTCAATCTTACGCAAAGTTAACATGCCATCACCGATAACTCTTCCAAAAACTACGTGCTTATCATCTAACCATTCACATTTTGCGCACGTGATGAAGAATTGACATCCATTTCCGTCCTTACCGGCGTTCGCCATCGACAACAATCCTGGGCCGGTATGTTTCGCGACGAAGTTCTCATCCTTGAACTTACTGCCGTAAATTGACTTACAACCCGTCCCGTCTCCTTTCACAAAGTCGCCGCCTTGTATCATAAAGTCTTTGATTATTCTGTGAAAAGGAACATTTTTATACCCCAGCGGTTCCTTCGTTCTCGGATCTACGGTTTCCCCGGTGCAAAACTGACGAAAGTTCTCCGCCGTTTTCGGCACGACGTCTGCAAACAGTTCCATTTTTATTCGTCCAACTTCTGTGCCTCCGATGGAGATATCGAAGAAAACGATCGGGTTTTGTTTGCTAATCGGACGATCGTGCCAAGATGACGTCGTCGATATTGGTGCGTCTTCCGCGGCGACCATATCGGATTCTTTTGCCGCCGCGTCGGATATGAATTCTATAGTATTATTACTTTATTATTATATGATGATGTTAATGCGTTCGCTCGTCGTCTTGTCTCTTTTTTTTGACGACGAAGAACAGAACCAAACGCGTTACAAAACTCTAAAAAAACAAGGGTCTCTCTCTCTCTCTCTCTTTCCTTTTTCTCTCTTCTCTCGTAATCGCCACAAATTGCACACAAACCTTCTTTTTTATTCTTTTCTTCTCAAAAGAAACGATATTAAAAGTCTTCGCGAGCAACAAGCGCATTAAACACACACACACAAGCAGTCACACGCACACGCATTCAAAAACCAACCTTTCCGTTTTTTTATGGAAGAGCTCGAGCCATCCTTCGGTACGTTTTTTTAGTTCTTCTTCTTCTCTTTGTTTTGAAGAACGAGAAGATGAATTTATTACTTCTTTTCTTTCCCTTCCCTTCCGTTGTTGTTGTTGTTGTTCTTCTTCTTCTTCTTCTTCGTCTTCTTCGTCTTCGTACCACCATGGAATAGTAAACTGACTCTCACTCGCGCTATTCTCCTTCTCTTTACGCCGCGTAACAATTAAACACGACGACAGGTATCGACCCATTCGCGAACCAAGCCGACTTGTTGAATCAAGACGATCGAGAAGACTCGGAACTCAAGAAGAAGAAAAAAGAAAAAGCCGAGAAAATCAACGCGGATTCGGTTCAAGACAAATACATTCACATCCGCACGCAACAAAGAAATGGGAGGAAATCCTTAACGACGTTACAAGGGATTAATCCCAAAATCAACAAGAAGATCATCTTGAAAGAGTGCAAGAAGAAGTTCAACTGCAACGGAACGATTGTGGAAGACTCGGAACTCGGGGATATCATCCAGCTCCAAGGAGACCAACGCAAAAATGTGGCCCAGTTTTTGATCGACGAGAAAATCTCGAAGAAGGAGTTTATCAAGGTGCACGGCTCGTAATTTACTTCCTCACACGCAAGAAGAGGAAGAAAAAGAGAGAGAAAGAGAGGGAGAGAGAGAGGAAGAGAGATACGGGTAAAAATTACGACGACATGTACACAACGCTTAGAAAAAAATTGGACGCTCGTCTTTCTTCGCGCGAGAGCGCGAAAGAGAAGAAGGGTGCGAATGAAGCGTTCTTGTTGATTAGTAGAGAGAAAGAGAGAGAGGAAAAAATGAAGCGCAGAGAGATGAAGAAAAGAGCGAGTGGTTGGGCAATGCATTCTTGTAGATACATACGCACTTAGGTTTTAATCTCATACGCGAGAGAAAATTTTCTGCTCTTTCGGGTTCTTCTTCTCTTCTCCCCAGTTCGCCCTTACCTCACAAGAAATGACTTGTCCTTTTGCGTCCCTTTTCCGTCTCGGTATTACTACTATTCACCGCACTCCACTTGCTTCTGGTACTAGAAGCAACGAACCGAAACGTCTCTTTGTCGCGAAGAACACAAAGGCGAGAACGTCGGCGTCCTCATCATCATCGTCAAACGAGAACACGCACAACGGCACGATGTCGGCGAAAAGTCGTTTCACCTCTTCCTCCTTCACGGATGAGACGATTACCACAGAGAACACGACCAAAAAGAAGAGCGCGAGAATAGCGCTCGTGCAATTGGCGTCGACGTCGTCCAAGGAAGAAAATATTGAAAACATGCTGGCGAGAGTCGAAGAAGCGCTTTCATCGTCGTCATCGTCGTCATCATCGTCATCATCAGGAGACAAACCGTTAAAATTGGCTGAAGAAGAAAAAAAGATTGTGGATATCGTAGTCTTACCTGAGATGTGGAACTGTCCTTACGGAAACGAGTTTTTTGCTCCGTTCGCGGAGGATGTAGTGTTAGATCGAGGTAGTTCTGTGGCTGAAGAAGAAGGAAGAGGTTCGACGTCGCCGTCCTTCGATGCTATGCGGAAAATCGCCAAGGAGAAAAAAGTCGTTCTGTTTGGAGGATCAATACCGACGAGAAAGGACGGCAAGCTATTCAACACGTGCTTTGTGTTTGATAGCGATGGCGCACTCATAGCAACGCATCATAAAATGCATTTATTCGACGTAGATATACCAGATGGAATCACTTTTTTTGAATCAAAGACGCTCACGGCGGGCGACGCGGTGACTATCGCAAATACCAAAGATTTTGGAAAGTTTGGTGTTGGCATATGCTTTGATATGAGATTTCCTGAGTACGCGCGCGCGTGTGCGCTAGAAGGATGCATTGGGATGATATATCCAGGAGCCTTCAATACCGTGACCGGTCCTTTACACTGGGCGTTACTGCAAAGATGTCGAGCGGTGGACAATCAGATGTTTGTTGCGACGTGTTCGCCTGCGAGGGTAGAAGGCGCGTCGTACCAAGCACATGGCGATAGTTCAGTATACGGTCCGTTTGGGGAGAAATTAAACGACAAAGAATTAGAGGAAAAGCCGGGTGTTGTGTATGCGGATTTAGATCTCAATGAAGTCGTGAAAAGACGCTCGGCAATGCCTTTGAATAAGCAAAGGCGACTCTCGGAAACGTACGAGTTGTGCGCGAAGAAAGAAGAAAACGTTTAGAAAAGGAGAGTAAAAATATATTTCTATTTGTACCGCTAAAAACTGCTACCTGTGCTGCTACTACATTATTCACTATATGCCGTAATCATTTCGAGCTTATCATTTCGTACCGTCCCACGTTCGAACTTTACGAGACCCGGTCGTCGCTGCAGAAAACGCCGTTCTCGCACTATTATTACTCGCGGGTTGACTCTGTCTTTTAGTCTCGACCTCTGGTCCACTCACTACGAAATTTCTCGCCCCACCAGCTTCACTCATGGACAAAACTCGAAACTGCATGGCGTCTCCTATTGGTGGCGTGGCGTCGCGGTCTTGCGGCAACCGTCTTCCTTTCTCGTCTCGCGCTAACTTCTTCGGTAAAAAACCGACGTGTCCGGAAACGCCGACCGCGAATCCACCATTCACGGCATTCAAGACTCTCCCGGTGACAAGCTCTCTATTCTCTCTTTTCCTCGCAATCGCATCCCACGCCAGTTGGTGTTTTCTAAACTGATCGACCGAGACCGAGTCCACGTCCATCTCCCCAAACGGGTTTTGTAAACGTTTCACTCGTAGAGGTACGCGATCGCCTAACTTCACATCCTCTGGTAACTCCTCTTTTACAAAGCTCGATGGCATTTTGAACCCAACATCCACGTCAATGAAGCCGTTCCTAGAGTCAATCTTTGTCACTATTCCGGAGACGACTTTTCCTTCCAAGTTTGGAAACGAAGCGTTTGATTCTCGAATAAGATTCTCGAGAAAGGTTTCTTTTTCTTCCTTTTTTCCAAATTTGGTCGGCGTCGTCGTCCTCGTCGTCGCTGTGGATGGTTTTGACGAGGACGACGACGACGCCGGTGAAGACGAAGAGAGTAAACGAGTGAAAAATATGTCGTTTCTGCTCTGCCCACCGCCGTTGCGCAGAAGTCTTTGGATGAGTTTAGAAGAAGACAAAGACATTATGTTATGTTATTATTATTATTATTATTATTGTTATTGTGATGTTGTGTTGTTTTTGTAAAAAATTGAAGACAAGCTTGCTTGAGAAAACCTTGAGTTGAAACGTCGAATTACACAGCACAAATAGAATTCACAAGACACGAAAATAATAATAATAATATACATAAGAGTCTGAGGATGATGATGAGCTGCTACTGCTGCTACTCCTCGAGATCGACGGCGTCGTCTTCTTCTTCTTCTTCTTCTTTTTCTTCTCTGAAAATAATTAGAGAAAGAAGACCACCACCATCAACAACAACAACAACAACAACAACGACGAGAAGAAGAAGACAAGGAGAGCGAATGCGGACAATCTTCACCGCCGCTGCGAGGAAGGACGAGAACGCGACAACCTCTAACAAGCAGCAACAACAACAGCAAAAACAAGAATGGCCGGAACCGAACTTATGGGCGGAATCGCACCCGAGATATCTCGTGAGCGATTGGGACGACGACGACAACAAAGAATGGGGCGAAGAGTTATGCGCTGAACTCGACGACGAGGAAGACAAAGTAGAAAAACTGTTTTCTTCCGCCGCTGTCTCGGTGCCTGAAAAAGGAAAAGAGAAAGAACGACTCGCCGTTGCGCGAGAAGATGGAAACGTAGAAGCATCTGGATCTAGATCATCATCGTTGTCATACTCAACGTCGACGACAAAGTCTGCGATACGCGCGCCGAAACGGCCAAACAGCGAAGACTTATCGAACGAGATGTCGAGGGAAGATTTTTGGAACGAAATCAGAAAAGAAGCAGAAACAGAGGCTGCGAAAGAGCCAATGCTGAGTTCTTTCTACTTTAGCTCTATTTTGTCTCACGATTGCTTGGAGAAAAGTTTGAGTTTTGCGCTCGCCAATCGACTGTGCACGAAGACGTTGTTATCGACGCAACTGATTGAGATTTTTAATGAAGTTTTGTTGGCGAAAGATAGCGAACAGCTGAGGAATAACATACGCAGAGACCTGGTCGCGGTACGCTCGAGAGATCCTTCCTGTGGCTCGTACGTCCAAGCGTTGCTGTTATTCAAAGGCTTTCACGCGATTCAAGCGCACAGGATTCAACATTATTTGTGGGAAAAAGGACAAAAGTCGTACGCGAGCATGCTACAGTCGAGGATCTCGGAAGCGTTAGGGGTTGACGTGCACCCGGCTGCAAAATTTGGCGGAGGGATTCTGATGGACCACGCGACAGGTTGTGTCGTAGGCGAGACGGCTACCATAGGTGACGACGTTTCCATTCTTCAAGGGGTTACTCTGGGCGGTACCGGAAAAGAAGTTGGCGATAGGCATCCGAAGATCCAAGATAACGTATTGATTGGCGCACGAAGCACAATTTTAGGAAACATTGTAGTTGGATCTGGTGCGATGATAGCGGCAGGTTCGTTAGTGTTGAAAGCAGTTCCGGCGAACGGTATGGTTGCCGGAAATCCAGCCAGAGTAGTCGGAAGAACGAAAGATCGAAGACCGGCTTTGGTGATGCGAACAAAAATCGAAACCAGAGAAGACTCGAAAGAGTTTTGCGAGATCTTTGCAAAAGCCGTGGTAGAAAAAGATAAATCGTTGATGGCAGCGACGATGAAGATGGGACCAAATTTATCTTATAGCTCATCCTTGGACGATGAACCGGGAAAAGTTGGTAAAAGTTCCAGCAGCGCGTTGATTGAGAAGGCCTCCTCGCCGTTGTCTTCAGAAGAGCTGGTAAAACAATTAGATGAAAAGCGTCGACGAAGATTGCGTGGCAAATAGTTTAAAATTATAGATTCTAATAGATTGTAGGTACCTTCATGTACGTGGTAGATATAATTGATTCTGTAGTAATGTGATGTATTGCATAAAATTTTCGTTCTTTGTTTTTCATCTCCGCGAGCTCTCGCCCACGACGGATTAATCGAAAGGATCTATGCGCGGATCGTGTTCTGTTACCAAAGCCATACCTGTGCACAAACACGTCGTGCACATAACCTTTGTCGTCCCCAAGCAGTTGTTGCACACGCATTTAGATCCCGTGTTTGGATCGATCAATCTCCCTGGTTTATACGTGTTTGGCGTCGCGCACTCGGCACAAGTCAAGTAGCCGCTCCCTTTGCAATACATGCACACCTTTTTCCTTTGTTCTTGAGCGCTACGAATTTCAATCGCGAAAAAAGCCGAAACGACGCCAACTGCACCGCCGGTAAACGACGCAACGATCGGATCGACTTCCGCCAACTGCTTCGGGAAGTGAACAAATTCGATAAAGTCTGCGTATGTGGTACCGCCGACGCCGAGCTTCACCTCCGCGATGGGCGCAAACAAACCGCCAAACAGTAAGAAGAAGAGCACAGTCGCACCCCAATAGATTCGATAATCCGAAATTGAATCCTCCGTCAACACTGGGAATCCAGGCACAACTGACTGAAACTCTGACTTTTGCACCATATTTTCTTCTTCATACGCACTTCCTGTGGACTTTATCCGCAACTGCACTCGCAGTCGTCGCATTTCTTCCATCAATAAGAACACTTTTTGTCGTCGACTTTCCAAGTTTTGTTGAATATCGTCCACTTGGAGTTTAGAGAAATCTAAAATGGTATTCGCGCCTTCGATGATGCAGAAATTCTCCGGTAACGCCGTCGTTTCAGACGCTTCACCTTGTAAGAGCTGGTCCGAAGATTTCGTCGCCACCGCCCCTTCTTCTTCTTCTCCTGGTCCTCCTCCTCCTCCTCCTCCTTCTGTCGATGATGATGCTCCTAAAATGACTCTGTTTCTCCTCGCGATGTTACCGATAACGACGACGGAGTTGCTCCTCCTCCTTCTCGTCGCTCGTATTCTCGAGGAGGAAGAGTAGGAGTACGAAGAAGGAGTCGCGCAAAGAAAAGATGATGCACTCGGGGATGAAATCGAGGAGGAGGAGGAGGAAGACAAAGAAGAAGAAGAAGAGGTGGAGGAAGAGGACATCACCCGGGTCGCGTGAGCGACACTCGTCGAGAGGGACATCGTCGTCGCTGATGATAACATGATGATGATGATGATGGCTCTCTTTATATACTTTAGCAGCAAAGAAGATAAAACTCTGAAGAAGCGCGCGCGAAAAGCGCTTTTCTCTTTTGTACGTCTCTTTTTCTCTTTTTTTTATCCACTTGCACTTGACAGCTTGAAATAGACTTGTCGCTTGTCTTCTTCCAATTTTTTTCGTTCGTACTCTCTTTCTCCTTCTCCGCCTCATCATCCCATCGTCACACTTTTATTTATCACACTTTACGAGAAGAGAGATTGATTACGCGTACACGCACATATAATAGAAGAATAAATGTCGTCGTCGTCGTTTACGTCGTCGTGTTGTTGTTCGAGGAGCAGCGCGTCCAAAATATTCTCATCTCCTTCGAGCAAAAGTAGCAGGAGTAGCGTCCGACGGAAGGAGAAGGCGACGACGACATCATCATCATCATCATCATCATCATCATCTTCCCGAAGAAGAAGAAGACAAAGAAGAGAAAGAGTTTCATCCATCATCGCCTCTTCTTCGTCTTCCTCTTCTTCGAACTCGTCTGAATCATCGTCGTCGTCTTCTTCTTCTTTGACGAAAGAGGAGAAGAAAGAAGCCACGAAGAAGCTCCTGCAGTCGCAAGTGGACGTCGTCGAGTTATCACTCGCGGAGAGAAACCAAAACACTCGAGTGATGGGGTGCACGGCTTCCCAAACGTGGGTGAAAGTGTCTCTCTCTCGAGAAGGAGAAGGAACAGAAGGATCGGATGGTTCATCTGCCCCGCGATTGCAATCGTACTCAGATTCAGCGATAACGAGAGGTTTCCTCGGCGTCGTGACGAAAATGTTTCGAGGGTACACCCTGAAACAAATCGAAGACATCGATGTGGAATCGATCGTAGCTGCGACTCTGCGAGGGGTGTCGGAAAGCGCAGTGAAAACGAGCGCGATTGATTCTCGACAAAACGGGTTTAAGAACGCTTTAGAAACAATCAAAAGACAAGCGAGAAGTTTACTTAACGATTTCCAAAGCGATCCTTTCCCTTCATTAATCGTTACAAAGTCCGGATGCGAACCGAAAGGGTCGTTCGCGGAAGCGCAGGCGAAATATTTAACGCCGGACGACCAACAGGTGGACAAGTTGGCGAAGTTACTGATTGAGAAAAAGTGTGGAATCGTCGCGCATTTTTACATGGACCCAGAAGTCCAAGGAGTGCTGATGCGATGTAAAGCGAAACATCCAGAGTGCGCGTCGAGGATCTTCATCTCCGATTCTTTAGTCATGGCGGACGCGGCGGTGCGAATGGTGAGAGACGAAAAGTGCGAAAACATCTGCGTCTTAGGTGTAGATTTCATGTCAGAGAACGTGCGAGCTATTATTGACGACGCTGGATTTCCTGAAGCGAACGTTTACCGCATGTCCTCGGATGCCATCGGGTGCTCCTTAGCAGAAGCTGCGCAAACAGAAACGTACGAAAAATATTTGCGAGAAGCCGGCGAGGCGAAAAATTCTCTGCACGTCATCTACATCAACACTGGATTGGACACGAAGGCGAGCGCGAACGCAAAAGTTCCAACCATTGCGTGCACGTCTTCGAACGTCGTCAACACGGTTTTACAAGCTGCTGCTCAAATTCCGGACGTCAAGATATTTTACGGTCCAGATACGTACATGGGCGGCAACTTGGTCGAACTTTTGACGCGCGCATCAACGACGTGGTCGGACGAAGAAATCAAACAGTTACACCCTGAACACGACCAAAAGTCAGTGAAAAAAGTGCTTGATAACATGGAATACTTCCGCGACGGAGCGTGCGTGGTGCATCACTTGTTCGGTGGCGAAGTGTGTCGAGTTGTGAGAGACTGTTATTCCGACGCCTATCAAGCGGCACATTTTGAAGTTCCGGGAGAAATGTTCACCCTAGCAATGGAAGCTCGCGAACGAAATATGGGCGTCGTCGGCTCGACGCAAAATATTTTAGATTTCATTTTAGCCAAAATCCGAGGTGGTATTGAAAAAGAGCGCAAGAGCAGAGAACTCTTTTCCTCTGCTTCTTCCTCTTCGACGCCTAAAGACAAGAACAAGCACGAGAACGAGAACAACAAGAACAACAATAGCACTAGCGCGCTGGAAGAAGATGGAGAAGTGTACGTTCCAGAACGCATGAAATTCGTGCTCGGTACTGAAACTGGCATGGTCACATCAATCGTGCGAGCTGTTACCGAAGAGCTCGAGAAGAACGATTCGAGCGTCGAGTGTGAAATTGTGTTCCCGGTTTCCGTAGATTCCATCACGCAAGTCAATAGCAGCTCTTCGGGGAAAATTGTGAGCGAGGCAATGTCTAGTCTATCCATCATCCCGGGACCGGCATCGGGTGAAGGGTGCGGCATGGACGGCGGATGCGCATCGTGTCCTTATATGAAGATGAATTCCTTAGCGGCACTGACCGAAACGTTGGAGATGATTGGAGGTGAAAGCGGAGAGAAGAAGAATTTTGGTTTGGAGTTGCGCGAGCCAAAAAAGTATGAAGGAAATAATGTCGCCAAGGAAGGATGCGTGTCTATTTTACACATGCGTAATTTCCAAAGAGATAAAAAGCTTGGCGACGATCTCGTTCAAGACATTCTCTCTAGATAAAGTTACGCGTTCGTTGTTGTTATTCTTAAAACATTCCAAAATTACTTGCTTAAACCAGTTTTTGCGATGCTCAAGAGTTCCAAATCTAACGTCACCTCAGAGTTTGGAGGAATCTCTTGCACTTGATTATTACCGTACGCATACTCCGCAGGCACGAGCATTCGTCGAACGGTTCCAACTCCCATTCCTTGAATGCCGTAGTTGAAAGCTGGTAAGAACGGACCGCCCGGAGTAGCGGCGGGCGTGCCAACGTTAAATCCGTATGGTGTTCCGCCAGTCACACCAGCCCCAACTCTCGAAGAAGCAATCGTTAACGAGCGAAATTTAAGATCGTAGTGAACTGCGACCCGCGTTCCTTTTGGGAAAGGGACCGCACTATCACCACCTCCGCCTTTCATGTCGTAATATTTTATTGCAGGATTTGTGCCTGGTAAATCTCGAAAGTTTTCGATTGGAATTCCTCCTGTGCGGCCTTGCAATTTCGCCGTTGCTGGTTGCGCGTTAAAAAGCGTAAAAGTAACGACAGACGTTCCTAAAACCATAGCGCTACGTCGCGTGGATTCATTTTCTCCCCTGTTCTCGCTTTCCACACGGGCGTTGTTTTTGTCGTTGTCTGCAGAATCAGCAGAAGTCGTTAGGGATCGCTTTATCTGCTTTCGATTTTTATTGCTCGAAGAGAACGAAGAGCTGAACGGAAGGATGCGAGAGGAAAGCACGGAGAGAGTTGTCGATGGGGTCATGGTATAAAGGCGTTGATGTTATCGTGTTCGGGACACTAATAAGTAGAGAGAGATTTCTTTGTGAGTTGTGGTGTACTGAGGAGAAATTGAAAATGCCACTTGGCATAAAAGCCGTCTTTCTCTGTTTAACCGCCCACAACTTTTTACTACCTACATGCTACAAATCTATCTATCGTCCCTTACGCACGAAGCTGGAGAGATTTTTCTGCATCATCTCACCTCGACTTAACGGCACTCGATCATTTCTGTTGTTGCGTTCGAGCTTTCCCCCTGTAGAGGTGGTCAATATTGTTGCTCTCCCGCCTCGGCCGTCGTCCCCATTTTGTATGAAAGAGCCACCACTAGCATTGTTTTTTCTATTGAAGCTACTCTTTACATTGCCACCTAGCCGCGTTATTGCTTTCCCGCTTATACTATCGTTCCTATTGTTCGAGTCGCGTAAGACGTTACTCGACGGTTTATTTCTTTTATTATTATCATCATCATCGAGAATCAAAAGGTCGTCGTCATCGTCGTCATCATCATCAACAACAACATCGCCCTCTTTAATCCCATTTTTGATTCCGCTTCTTTCTACTTCGCCATGCTTTTGCTTTTCTACTCTCGTAAGATTTTGTAACTCCTCCCTCGTTTGCTTCTCTCTCGCCTTTCGCTTCGCGTATTTCATCTCTAAATCGCGAAGTGACTTTTCCGCGACTCTTAAACTTTTATTTACTTTGAAATATTCGTCTTGGAGCGTCACGATGTGTTTTGTTTTCATTCGTAAAGAACGAGCGAGGGATTCGAGCGCCATACGTTTATCCTTCTGATCCATCAATCGAGCAATCTGCTCCTCTTCGAAAAAGCGACTACTACTCACAGCATTTTTATCCGCGAACACGTCCATCTCCACCGCTCTTTGGTGCTTCAACGCCGAGATTTCGCTTCGAAGCATTTTGACGTCTGATTCAGCTCTCGTGACTCTCGATTCAAAATTTTTAGCTTTGTCCACTGCGATTTTCTCTCGCGCTTTCGCAACTCTGTTTTCTTCTTGCACTTGCATATACTCCACTTGTAGCGTTTCCAGCTGCATTTTACTTTGCGCGAACGCATCGTTGTTACACCTATTCAAAACGACCGCATCTTCCGCTTCGCGGGTTTTCCGCTTTTCTTCGAGTAAAAGCCTGCGAAGTTCTGCATTTTCATTTTCTGATTCTAAGTGCTCCTCACCATCATCATTAGCGGCGTCATCACTCTCATCTCCATCGCTCTCGCTACTGCTAACCAATACGACAACATCCTCATCATCTTGCTTCTCGAGGACGTTTGTTTTTCTTCTCTCTTTTTCTTTCTTTTCAAAATTGGTCTTCTTCTTCTTCTTCTTCTTCTTCTTCTGCTTCGTATCGCCGCTTCGCTTCTTGTCGTCTCTTCTCTTTGCTTTAAGCGCAGATAACGGGACATCTAAATACACCGGAAGCGCCGCGCTGATATCGAAATCAACTCTGCACACGACGCAAGGAGCTGTTGGAATCGCAAAACCGTTCTGTCGATTGATTTTCTTTTTGATTTCGAACCACTTCGTTATGCACGAAGGATGAAAGACGTGGCCGCACTCGGATAATGCAACGCATTTTCCTGACACGATGTCGAAACAAACTGCGCACGAACTCATTATTCTCTCTCTCCCATTGTTTTATACTAATATCATGCGATACATCGTGGTTGTGTTTAAAGTTGTGAAGTAGATAGTTAAAACAATTCACTCCTTTGATTTTTTGAATTTCACACACCTTTCCACAAAAAACCGTACGAATAAAGCGACACAACAACAACAACAACAACAACAACAACAACAACAACGCTTCACAAGTCTCAAGCGCAACGAAAACTAAAATCAACATGAGCGATTTGCTCGGCGAGATAAAAAAGACGGGAGTTGACGACCGGGATGAGCAAACGAACAACAACAACAAACAGATGAGTCGTTTTTTATCAACAAAAGGCACTAACAAAGACGAATTCGTTGACGTTGAAAGAGGTGTTTCTTCAGAGCCGTCAACATCAACCACTTCGTCTCCAACGACGATGGAACTCTTCTTAAGAGACGCAACATTGATTAAGAGTCTTCTTTCGGACATACGAAAACAGCTCGTGAACTTGCATCAACTCCACGAACGCGGAAAGTCCGCTTTAAAATCATCAGAAATGTCAGAAATCAAAGACGAAATGAACGCGTGCTCGGAGAAGGCGAAGACATTAGCGCGTGAAGCTAAACTGCGCGTGCAAAACATGGACGAAGACTTGAAAAGATTGCTACGAGAGAAAAAAATAAGCGCGGATGGAAGCGAGAAACAAACCAGAGAAACTGTTTCGAACGCTTTGAAAACAAAGTTGAAAGAGCAAATGGCTGAGTTTCAAGTCCTTCGCGAGAAGTTGCGCACCGAACACAAGGAAGTCATCGAGAGGCGATTCTTTGCGTTGACTGGGGAACAAATCGAGGAAGAAAAACTCGAATCAATGATTGAAAACGGTGCCGATGAACAAATGTTTAAGCAAGCGATTTTAGATCAAGGCAGAGGTTTGATATTAGACACGGTCGAAGAAATTCAGGAACGACACAAGGCAGTTCGAGAGTTAGAGCGGCGGTTGTTAGATTTACATCAGATCTTTTTAGACATGAGCGTTCTAGTCGACGCGCAAGGAGAGATGATAGATGATATACAGGAACAAGTTTCCAAGTCGACCGAGTATGTAAAACAAGGGCAAGTGGCGTTAGTGAGTGCTCGAGAATACCAAAAGAACACGCGGAAATGGGCCTGCGTGTTTACGATACTCATGATGATTGTACTCCTAGTTATATTGCTGCCGATTTTGAAACCGTGGAAATAAAGTAGTTCTCATGAACCAAACGATGTATTGTATTATAAATCGAATCGCTATCGCCGCCAGCGTTGGGTGAATCGATCGACTCGAATTGTGACTATCTTCTAATTCACGCTTCTTCTTCCGCTCGCACATCGTTTTCGCTACTACCATCCTCGTCATCATTGCTACCGCTATTCTCGTCACCATCGTCGACGTCGTCTACTTCACCCGTGATCACCTTTTCTTGTTTTTTCATGCATTGACCACAACGCGATCGACTCACATGACAGTTCTCAACGCACTTATCGCGAAACGTAATCAGCCCTGCCCCGTTCATCGCGCTCAAAGCCTTCCACTCGGTTTGTTCTCGTTTACGAAGCATTTGAACTTCGGCATTTCTACTGCTATCATCGTCGGCGTCGAGATCTTCGTCCGAATCTGGTCTGTAATACGATTGCGAAAAGCCTTCGTTCGGTCCGAGAGAAAATCCGTACACGTTCACTGTCCCGCACGACATCAACGCCATCAAAACCCCTTGAAAGCCAACGCTCGTTTGAATTTTCGGGAACGATTTAATCACGTACGATGCAAAATCGGGATGTAAAGAGTATAAAGGCGTTCCCGGGTTCCTTCTGTGCTCGCCCATGAACGACCGAAACGCTTGCGGAGAACGCATTTGCTGCACGACAAATTCATCTTCCGTCTCGCGAAACCCAAAATGCTTTGCGTTCACCACACGCATCGACGTTTTCCTTCCCACGATGTCGCCGTAATTCGAGTCTGTCTTCGCGTCGTTGAATCTTATGACGACGGTATGCGCGTCAATCTCCGCCGCGCGATTTCTATTTACGCGCGATTTCATGGACCCAGAGTTGCCGATTACGGCGCACGTTGGAAAAAAGAGCCGGTTGCCTCTAAAGATATCATCGCTTGGTAATATTTTCAGCAAAGGTGGACCAATCGGGCCTAAAAATCTAGGAACTTCGTTTGGTAAATCCAATTGCAATACGCCCGTTTTCCTCGTATTCATATGCTTGCCCAAGTTATATTTCGACATGATGATTGGACCGGTGTAAGGTAGGTTCCAACTTTGCAAGAGCGAGCCGCCGAGTTTCTTCCCGGATAGTTTGATTGGACTATCGCACAAGTCGCCTACGTATATTTTCGAGCACGTGCACATGGTTTCGTCATCGTTGCACGTTCCGTGCGCGCATGGTTGATTATGCGCGCCGCATATCAGTCTCGGAATAGTTCGCACAGCAGGCAATGCATCTGGAACGCTCGAGCTTTTCTGTTGGTTTTGTGTTCTGTGTTGTTGGTGTTGTTGTTGTTGTTCGCTAGTCGCGCCGTCGTAGTCTGTAGTCTGCGTATTTTTGTCGTGGGAGGAGGAGGAGGAGTAATCATCGTTACTAGCATAATCTTCGTTTGCTTTTTGCAAAGATACCGGATGGTTTTTCCTCCGATGCGAAGACGCCGCCGATATATCTTCGTCCATTTCTCCGTACGTCCCGTCTGTTCCTTCAAGTACCGTCTTTGTCGTCCACTTTACGTACCAAACTACGAGCAGAGCGAACAAAAGCTTGACAACGTTCCATCTAAATTTTGCTTTCCTTTTGTGTTGCTCGTACAGGAGCGAAGTTCGACGCCTCGCCGTTGGTGCAGTCGTCGCTGCGATACACATGATAAATATACTCTTGTGCTGTGTTTTTTATCGGGGGTATTGATGCGCCGTGCGCGTGTATTTAGGTTTAGGAAGAGAGGAGGATGACAAGTGACGATGGTTCGTTTTGAACGAGAAAATTTTAAGGCAAAAGAAGAACTTCTTCACAACGAAAAAGAAAGAGCAAGAGACTTATCACTAGTATTAAAACGATGAGAGAAGAAGAAGGAGAAGGAGAAGGAGAAGGTGGAAATTGGGAAGTTGAAATCGTCGGCACGCCTTTAGATTTGAACGAGTGCGTGCAAATTGTATCGGACGATCGCGCCGGGGCGATATCCAGTTTTGTCGGCGTCACCCGAAACACGTTCGATGGAAAAAGCGTCTCAAAATTGGAATACGAATGTTACACCCCTATGGCTTTGAAGAAACTCAACGAGTTGTGTGCGATGGCGTTCAGAAAATGGAACGGCGATGATCGGTGCGATAAGAGTAACACCAGAGATAGTCACGATAGCGAAAACGTCAAGATTGTGAGGAGAGCGTCGAGTTGCGAGGTTGAGGATAAAAACGAGACAGTTAGGGGAATGGGAGGGGTTGGCGAAAAGAACAACGACAAAACGAGCACGAGTAGTAAAAAACAAACCGACGAAGGACTCTTGAAAATAGTAATCAAACATCGGACTGGAACGGTACTTGTTGGCGAACCGAGCGTTATAATTGCGGTTTCATCAGCGCATCGCGAGGCTTCCTTGGACGCAGTTAAATGGTTGATTGATGAACTGAAAGCGACGGTGCCGATTTGGAAAAAGGAGTTTTTCGAGGATGGCGAAGTGTGGAAAGAAAATAGCGAGCAACGTTTGAAACCTTCTAAAAACAGAGGGTATGCCAAAGCATACACCAATTGAATTGAATATGATCCGTACTAATGTTGAAATAATAATACTAGTAATAATACAACGCGTTCAAAAACGCATTCATTATAGATGAGATTCTACGGGCATAACTCGCACACCATCCATTCATTTTTTTCTTCTTCTTCGTTATTAGCGCTATTATTACTGCGAGTATCTCCCTCGCTATTTTGTTCACGGCTATATAAATATCGTTTGTTTCCTTTCAGCTTTAGATGATCGATGCGGTTTACGTCCACGGTGACGAGGCAAAAGTTTTCCAGAACATTATCTTTCGGCCACATGTTTTCGAATTCGTCTTCGTTTTCTATCAGTCTGTCGACATCGTAAGCTTCCTCGTGTTCCGGCAGACGCGGTTGTCCTGGTTCCGGCCAAGCAAATTGCCCTCTCGCGCCTGGGCGCATTTTTTTCCACGATATCGAGCGGTCTCTTATGTCAATCTCATCGGTCGATTCATTCGTGATGACGTTGGCAAATCCACGCAGTCGGAACTGCTCTCTGCTCTTTGGAAAATACCAGCAAATTTCGCACTTGTTGTTGACAGCAAAATCACCTACTTTCTTCGAACGCTTATCGGTCACGAACGTCACTTTCGTCGGGTCTCGGTCCAGGAAACCTCTAAATACAACCGTACGGATTGCTGGAAACCCACTCTCGTCGTTTTGATCGTCCATCGATGCGTTCGCTCCCGTTGTCGCGACTTGGATATATTTTGCATTCGGTAGAGATTTGTTCGCGTCCATCGCCTTCTTCAAAGCAGCGCGCCACACTTGCGAAGAACATTTCGTCGCCGCGGTTGATGCGCTCAGAACTATGTTATGCGCCATATCCTTTTCTTTTGTCTTTCCTTGTTCTCTTGATGTTGTTGTTCTTGTTCTTGTTAGACGTGGTAGTATTTATACGTCTCGTTCTGTCTGTGTTTTTTCTCGCGTTTGGAAAAGTGTGGATAAATTGAGTTTTTCACCTCACCCACCCCCCCTCACAAAAAAAAAGAAACAACGCATCGCGCACACGCGACCAGTTCGCGACGCATTGATTGAAGAGCGGGATATACGCATATATAAAGATCGAATCCTCATCATTTTCGACGTTCCTTTCTCTCTCAGAAAACAATGCTTCTGGTGTCGTACTGATAGATAGATAGATATAAAAGCAGTCGCAAAATAAAATTAGGTATAAGGAAAAATGCGACAAAGTTTAAGCAAAGGCGACATCACTTACACCACCGCCGCCAGTAGCAGCAGCAGCGCGGATGATAAGTATATTCTTAAACCTATTCCGTCTGGTCACGGTCGCGTGACTAAACTTGCGATAGCGTTATCACTTTTGACGGTTGCCTCGCTCATCGTTCGGGAATCGTGGAACTTTCAAGAGGTCACGCGCAATAGCGTTGGCAAGTTTGGGAGTGGGAGTTTCAAAGAAGGACAGGAATATTTCCGTCTACTGGACACCGATCACATGGATAATTACATCGAGGACGGGGAAGATGCTCTGAGAGAAACAGCAGAGCGAGTGAAAGACGCGTGCGAATACACGCACGAGCAGTATGAGAAAGAGCCGAAACCGGTGGCGAAAACGAAAGCGTTAGTTACCGGCGGTGCCGGCTTCATTGGTTCCCGCTTAGTGAAAGAGTTACTTCGCGTCGGCTATGATGTCGTGGTCTTGGACAACATGTCGACGGGCAAAGAAAGCTTCCTCGCTAAAAAGGCTACGCTCGTTCGCGGTGATTGTCGCGATTACGAAACAGTTTTTAAAACCATTGAAGAGCACGAACCTTTCGTTGTCTTCCATCTGGCTGCGCAATCAAAAGTGTTGCCTTCATTGAAGAAAGGCGTGGATTTCGTTCAGTTTTCGATAGAGCAGAACGTCCTTGCCACGGAGAATGTTCTGAAAGCAATCGTACAAACGCGGCACGCGTCGTCTGATAGTGGCGATGGATCCGCGAACGCGAAATACGTCGACCGAAAAAATCAACCTTCGGGGCTGCACCATCCTCAACATCACAAGGCGCGAAAAAGTTTCAAAGGCGTTCAGAAATTCGTTTACGCCGGGTCTTCGACGTTTTATGGGAACAACTTGAGGAATCTTCCTTTCCAGGAGAATTCTAAATACAATGTTTTGCAGCACAAAACCGCGTCAACCTCTCCATACGCTACAACAAAAGCCATGGGAGAAACGATCGTGAAGCTGTATTCGGAGAGCTATCACGTTCCGACGATAATCTTGCGTTTGTTTATGGTGTTTGGTCCAAACGAACCGAGCGAAGGTTTGGACGGCGTTGTGACTGGAAAGTTTTTAAAGCAGTTCAAAGCGAATGAAGATTTAAAGATCGAGGGTAGTGGGAATCATTTTAGAGACTTTGTACACGTAGATGACGTTGCGCGAGCTTTTGTATTAGCCGCGCAGTCTTCGATAGAACAAAACGGACACGTGTTCAACGTTGGGAGCGGGAAATTAAAGACGATAAACGAAATAGCGGAATTAGTACAACCAGATGAGAAGAAAAGAACTCATGTTGCCAAAAGGAAGAACGATTTGATAGGCACATTAGCTTCAACGTGCGAAGCGAAAAAGCAATTAGGATTCGTGGCGAAATTAGACATAGAAGATTGGGTACTTTCGCAGAAAGTGTAAAGCAGTTTTTCATTATGCGTACCAAAGCTGATCAATAAGCTCTAGTTTTTCTTCATTTGTTTACTTTTTTCCGCAGAAGCAGTTACGGCTTCAATTACCGCAGAGCGGAATCTGTTCTTTTCGAGCTGGCGCATCGCCGATATTGTCGTTCCTCCTGGCGAGCACACTCTATCTTTCAACTCTCCCGGGTGCACCTGCGTTTCGAGGCAAAGCTTTCCAGCGCCGATTACAGTCTGACAGGCGAGTTTCATCGCAACACTTCGAGGGAGACCATTCAAGACGGCCCCATCTGCCAAAGCTTCAATGAATGCAAATACATACGCTGGTCCAGAACCAGAAACGCCGACGACGGCGTGCATCTGGCTTTCTTCTACAATGACCGATAAACCAAGATTTGAAAATAATGATGAAATCATCTTCACCGTGGCTAGACTCGCCGTCTTCCCTCCACAGCACGCAATCGCGCCTTCTCTTACAAAACACGGCGTGTTGGGCATAACTCTGACTACCGAAGGTGTCGGCAGCAGGTCGTTGTTTGCGTTGTCCTTCTTATCGCTTTTGTTATTGTTGTCATTGCTTTCATTGAACCCAGCATCTTCCTCGTAAAAAACTTCTTCGCCTTCGAGTTGTGCCGCCGCTATAATCTTATCACTTTGATATTCGTCGTCGTCGTCGTCGTCATCATCGCCGTCGTCGTAATCGTAAGATTTCATGCTAGTGCTATCGCTATCTTTCTTTCGTCCGCCAAGATTGAACAGACCTCGAGACTTTAAGTTGCCATTGCTCCCATCAGCTTGGAGTCCTCGTTCGCTCGATTTCGCATTCGTTCCAATATTTAAATGCTTTTCAATGTCAGATGTTTTAATACCCGCGGCAACAGATACAAACACGTGCCACGGTTTGACCCTCGGTTTAATCTCGTCCAATATGCTCAACATTTTATTTGGTTTGACGCACAAGAAGATTATATCGGATTCGTCCAACACTGCCGAGGCGTTTGAGACGATATTCTCGATGCCTAACTCTTCCTTGAACAGAGACGCTCGACCGTTGCTTGTTTGATTCTTTCCTCCGTAGCACGCGATAGATTCGCTTTGGACGACTTTGGAGTCCAGGAATCCTCTCGCCATCGCTTCAGCCATCGCTCCGCAACCTATGAAGCCGAAGCGCAATGGTTTTTGGTTTTGCAGCACGCGAGCGGACTTGTTTGCATCTCTTTCGATGAAAGAACGATGACTGTCGCTTGTACCACCATCAGTTACGTTATTAACATCGGATGCCCCGTTCACAACTGCGATATGTTGTCTTCTTCTTTCCACGGGAGGAGAATGTCTAAAAAGTCTCTGGCTGTGGCTTGGTTGGAGAGAAGACGCTGAAAATGGCGTCGACGCGATGCATTTAAAAGACGCGGAAGCGATTGGAAACATTCGCGCAACGCTCAGTTATCGATTCGTGTTGTTCTCGTTGATGGTGGTGGTTGCGCAGATGGAATAATTTCACAACACAACAAGAGAATTTTATGTGATGATACTTAAGTTTTGTTTTGGGTGTGACAGTTGCTGATATTACTTTTGTCCACACAAATAAACAAACAGCTTGAAACAGCGACAACGAGCTCTCTCTCGTTCACTCCCTCTCTCCTTCTCTCTTCTCTCCCTCTTTTGGTTGTTTGTTCGTCCGGACCGGCGGTTTAATACTCTCCAGCAGCAGCAAAACGAAAAGGAGGGCGATAAAATAAGAATGAATGTGCTCGTTTCCGGTGGGTCCGGATACCTCGGACAGTTTCTCATCGAACGTCTCCTGACTTTGAACAAGGAAATCAACGCGGTACACTACACGTGTTCGTCGGAAAGCTCAAAACTCCCGGAAAGTGTTCACGAACAACACAAGCGAAGGTTAGTTTGTCACGTGTGTGACTTTGAAACTGGTGCAGGCGTGGAAGAGTGCGTCGAGAAAGCGTCCAAGGGTGAGTATCTCGAAGGCAACAAAAACTTGAAACTGGTCGTCAACTGCACCGCGCTTTCGCAACCGAAACAATGCGAAGAAAACGAAGAAAAAGCGCGTAAAATAAACGCCCCGACACACTTATGTGAAGCTCTTATGAGAAAATACGGGAAGGGAAGCGAAGAGAGAGTTCCTTTACTCGTCCACATGAGTACGGATCAGGTGTTCTGCGGTTCGTACTCCAACACCAGAGAAGACGACGCGCGCGAAAAGGCGTTTGAGCCGATAAATGCATATGGTCGTTCGAAAAAGTACGCAGAATCGTATTTACTCGAAAACTACGATAAGAACGCGCTCGTCATATTACGTAGTTCAGTCATCACGGGACCACAGCCGCCGTATCGACGCGTCGACAGGCCGTTGTTTTTAGATTTTATCGCAAAAACGTGCCCTCCAAACACGCGCGGTCAAAGTGCAGAAGGAGAAGAGAAGGAAGAAGTTAAAGATGAAAACGCGGTGGAGTTTTGGACAGATGAATTTAGAAATCCAGTATCGCGAATTGATTTGACCGAGGCTATCGTGTACTGTTTTGAAATTTTCGTAGGTTTACGACGTAAACGCGATGTTTCCGCGTTTTTGTTCGAGGAAGGAGGTGGGTCGTCAGATAGCACTCCCATTTATCACGCGGGCGGACCGGAGCGCTTGAGCCGTTACGACATGGTCACCATATTTTGCAACACCATGAGAGCGAGCAAAAAGCGCGCGAAACCTGCAGAGAAAAGTAAAACCACGTCTTCTAGCGCTGCTGCCGTGGTTAAAACTCCTGCTGATATTAGCATGGACAGCACAAAATTTATGACAGTTTTACGCAACGGCGTTCAGTTGAAATCGTTCCAAGAACAGGTTTTAGATTCGACGACGGTGTATTTGAGCGCAGTTCTTGGAAAGACTCGATAAATTAGTTCATGAGCGACCAGAGAAATTATGTAGGAATGTACGTATGATTAAAAATGAGTTGTATGTATCGTGATAAATGCGCACTCACATTTAAAAAAAAACGTTCTCGCTAAAAACTTAGAGCTCATCTTTCGGTGCTTCCTCTTCTTCCACTGCCGGCGCAGATTCTTCATCTTCTTTCGGCGCAGATTCTTCGGCTTCAGCGACTTCTTCCTCTTCATCGGGGAACTCCATTTCATCCAAGAGCGGTGCGTCTTTCTCAACGCCCATCTTGTCCTTGAGCAAATCAAAGACGCGCGACGCCATGGATTTAGAGTCGTCGATGACGAATCCAGATTCGATGAGCGCAGTTTCGAACATGACGACAGCCAAGTTCTTGGAAGTTTCATCTTCGCCATCAGCTTCGTACTTTTCCTTGAGAGCGGCAACCAGCGGGTGTTTATAGTTGATTTCCAACGTCTTCTTACCCTTCATGTACTGCGCTCTCGAGTCGTCCGATAACGCTTGCGCTCTCATGATGCGCTCCATGTTGGCAGACCAGCCGTATTTGCTCGTGACCACGACGCATGGCGTCGTGGATAATCTGTTCGAGATCTTCACGTTTTCGATTGAATCCGGGTACGAGGTCAAAAGAGCATCCTTCCACCATTTCGTGAACGGCTTGAAGTGTTCTTTCGTCTTTTTGAACTGCTTCTTCTCGCCTTCATCCGCGTCCCCAAATTTCATGTCTTCCTTGGAAGCGTTGGAAAATTTGAACTCATCGAATTCTGTCAAGTTTTGCATCGTGTACTCGTCAATCGGGTCGGTGAAGTAAATAACTTCAAATCCTTTCAACAAGAGTTTTTCGAGAAACGGCGATTTCTCCAAGGCTTCTTGGGATTCGCCGGCGACGTAATAAATGCTCTTTTGTCCTTCCTTCATTCTCTCGACGTACTGTTCCAAAGAGACCAGTTTGTCCGGAGATTGAGAGGTGTAGAAGCGGAGTAACTTGGCTAATCGCGTTCTGTTCGAGGCATCTTCGATGATGCCTAATTTGATGGCTTTACCGAAAGATTTCCAGAACTTTTCGTACTTTTCGTTCGCGACAACCTTGGCCTCTTCGTCTTCGTTCTCGTTGTCGTCATCCTCGGAGTCGTTGCCTTCCTCAGCGAGTTTACGAATCATATCCAATGCTTTTCTGACGAGCTTCTTCTTGATCGTTTTCAAAGAAGTGTGTTGTTGCAACGTTTCGCGAGAAACGTTCAACGGAAGCGTATCGGAATCGACGATCCCTTTAATAAAAGAGAGATACTTCGGCAAAAGCTCGTCGAATTCGTCGGAAATGAACACTCTTCTCACGTACAGTTTTAACGCGGAGGCTTTACCGTAGTAGTTATCGTACATATCCGGAGGGGCACTTTCCGGAATGAAGAGAATAGCTTTGAACTCAACATCGCCTTCGGCTTTGAAGTGGGAGTACGTCAACGGATCGCTCTTGTCTTTCGACAACGCCTTGTAAAACTTGGAGTACTCTTCCGGTTCAATTTCGGAAGACGATCTGAGCCAGATAGCTTTAGAGTCGTTGAGTAAGACCCAGTCCCAGACGGTTTTCGTAACCGTTTTCGTTTTTGGTTTGTCGTCTTTCTCGTCCTCATCGTCGTCGTCGTCGTCCTCATCGTCGTCGTCCTCATCGTCGTCCTCATCGTCGTCCTCTTCGTCCTTCTCCTCGTCGGACTTTTCTTCATCGTCGTCTTCGATCGGAACTTCTTCGGATTCTTCCTTAGATTCCCACATGTAAATCGGAAAGTTGATAAATTCAGAGTACTTTTCGACCAAGTCCTTCAATTTGCCCTCGTCCAAATACTCTTGCGCTTCCTCTTTGAGATAAATCTTGATCTCCGTGCCTCTGCCGATCGCTTCACCATCGGTATCTTCAGAAATGGCAAAGTTACCGTCGGCTTTAGATTGCCAGATCCATTGCGTGTCTTCGCTGTTCGACTTGGTGCGCACTTCCACAAAGTCGGCGACTAAGTACACGGAGTAGAAACCAACGCCAAACTGACCGATGAGAGACATGTCGCCACCCTTTTGCATTTGCTCGAGGAAGGCTGACGTACCAGATTTAGCAATCGTACCCAAGTTGTCCTTGATTTCTTGCTTGGTCATCCCAACCCCTTTATCGCGGATGGAAATAAGCTTTTGGTCTTTGTCGATTTTGATGCGAATGTCGAGCTGAGCGGCATCTCCGTCGCCCAATTGCGAGGCATCGGTCAAGGACAAGAAACGAATCTTGTCCAAAGCGTCGGATCCGTTAGAGATCAATTCTCTCAAGAAGATGTCTTTGTTGGAGTACAAAGAGTTGATGATGATATCCATCAAGCGCGAAACTTCGGCTTGAAACTCGTTGACTTCAGCACCCGCCTTGAAGGTTGGAATTTGGAATTCTTCCGATGACGATGCCGCCTCATCCGCCGCCGCAGCTTCTACGAATAGAGAAGAAGAGGAAGCAGAGAGCGCGTTATCGTTCCCAAAGTCTGTTGTTGAAAGTGAAAAGAGACGACACACACACAACGGTCAGTGATGGCTCGAGTTAACTTTAACCACCGATAGAAGAAGTTACTAATCCAAAATTATATTTGATCGAAAGAAAGCGAGAGAAACAAATTTCCGAGACCAAATCACACGCGGCGCGCTCTCGAAAGATGATGATTGAATAAAAAAAAGACTACGACATCATATCATTACGCACTCGAAGGGACAGAAATACCGGCAAACAAGCCGATGAGTAACCCCAACAGAAGGAATTTAGTAAACTTCATCATCGTTCTTACGTTCGCGAGAAAGAAAGAAACGAGAGTTGGTGTTTCTAAAAAAAGTGATGAAGAGATGAGAAGAATTTTCCTTCTTTTCTCCTTTTCTCTTTTGGAGAGGATGGGTGACAATTCGGGAGCCAATCAAAATTTCACAAATTCGCGACCACAACGCACGAACAAAAACAAGCGTGGATGTGGGGTGGTGAATAAATAAATTTTTCGTACAAACTTTAACAACTTCGACGCTTCTTTCTTTCCTCATCCTCATCCTCATCCTCCTCTAATTCTTCCGAGTTTCGCCGCCAATTTACATACACTTCGTCCGTTCTAAACCTTTGCGTGCACGTCGTCTGTTCTAAAGGAACACCCACGCTTCCGTTCGCTAAATATTCAATCAAGCCGGTGTACGCAATCATGGCGCCGTTGTCGATGCAATATCGTTCATCCGTCGCATATAACTTTCCTCCGCGCTCTTTAGCCATTATATCCATCATTTCCTGCAGACGAAGATTACACCCAACACCCCCCACGATGAGCACATCGTTCGCATCGCAATGCGCCATAGCTCTTTCCGTCACTTCGATCAACATCGCAAACACAGTTTCCTGAAACGACATCGCCAAGTCAGCCTTCGTGACTGTATTACTATAACCATTACTATTATTACTACTTTTCATCGCGGCTACTTTTTCTTCCGCGTTGGTTAGAATTCCACCAACGTTTATATCCATACCTTTACAATTGTATGGAAATTCCACGAAGGTTTTACCTTCTTTCGCGAGTTGTTCGATGTTATATCCCGGCGCCGGGTCGTTCGAAAGCTCTAAACACCTCGCGAATCTATCCAACGCGTTTCCTACCGCTATATCTATAGTTTCTCCAAAAATTCTGTACCTGTTATCGTTGTACGCGATGATTTGTGTGTTCCCACCGCTCGCGTATAAAACGACTGGATTCTTAGCTTTCGTTACTAATCTTCCCATCTCGATGTGCGCTATGCAGTGGTTCACCGTTTGGATTGGTTTCTTCCAAATTTGACTGAGCGTTCGAACGACTAGCGCGACGACGATGAGGCACGCCCCCATCCCAGGTCCTTTGGTGAAACAAATCACATCAATTTCCTCGCCGAAATCTTTCAACGAAAATGAAGAGCGAGATTCATTATTATTATTATTATTATTATCATCAAACGCTTCTCGTAAAGCGTCTTCGGTTAAATCTAAAATCACTTTTTTGTGGTGGTTGGCGGTTTCTCGCGGGAGAAAACCACTACCCGTAGGCGCGCAATACGTCCGCCGTTTGTTGCTCAAAATCGTTCCATCGCTGGTTACTATGCCGACGCCTATTTTGTTCGCCGACCCTTCGAATCCAATTGCTATCGTTCTCTTCTTCTTCATCCTTTTTCGCGCATATATTTTATTATTATGGCGCCATGCATGGCAATCGGTGTGAGAAAATATCGAAAGAAAGAAAGAAAAATGCAAAAAAAAAACTCACTTTTGAAGTAACGAACACGCGCACACACGGAAAGAAAGAAAGGAAGAAAGGAGAATGCCGTCGGCGTCGTCGTCGGCGTCGTTAACTGCAGCAGCGGCAGCGTTAGTGACATCATCGTCGTCGTCAACGCGTCCAAATCTGACTTCTTCAAAGAAGACGAAGAAGGTAAAACTCAACTGGGTGGTGAAAGCTTCATCAACATCGTCAAATGAAGGATACTTACCCGGCACCATGCTAAGCGCGGAGCAAATCTTAGAAATACCCATCGATAGAAGAGCGTTTAAACCTACGAGCGAAGAGTGCCCTTTCTGTGTAAACGCGATAGTGAAAGAAAATGGGAGCAAGTGTATCGGAGTCTGTCGGAACCCACAGAATGTTCCAGGACCCCTATTTTTTCCTCATCAAATGCAAACGTGTCGAGACGCGGTTCAAATTCAACTAGAATCGATGAAAGATAAGAATAATCCTAGAACCGACCACGGCGTACAAGTTATGTGGGAGTTCAGCGTAGAATCGGGAAACATGGATCGCTCGAGATATTTCGGTTTCTCGTCGGATATGTATCACTTTGATCATTTTCTTGGGAAGTGTTTGGTAAACTTTGACGCGTTCGTATTCAATAGAAAGCACGAGATTCTTGACGAGATTTCAATGAAAGATGGGCGCACTTTGGTGAGAGTCATAGTAACTGATAAAGTTGGGAGTGATACTTTTTGGGCTTTTGTCATGGTGAAGCGCACATTCAGTAAATACGAAGGTTGCTGGCAAAGCTTGAGGATTTTGCCGTGCGATGAAAATTGGGATTCGAAATATATTAACGCGAATACAGGCGAAGCTAAGATGCCTGGAATATAAAATAGATTTATGTATATTAGTGGTACTGTACACGAAAACGACTAGTTAACGGCGGCGGTTTTGACGCCTCGGGCACCGTCTACCTTTATTTTAATATCGGCAGACGCGACGGAGGAAGCGTTGTTGTTGTTGATATTTTTTACACTCTTTCCCGAAGCAGCGCCGAGGATAATTTCCTTCAGTTCATCACCAGTTAAGCTTTCGCGATCCAAAAGCGACTTTGCAATCGCGTGCAGCTCTTTCTCGTGCGTTCGCAATAGCGTCTTGGCGCGCACGTACGCGCTTTCGAGCATTTCTTTCACTTCTTCCTCTATTTTTTGTCTCGTTTCCGAGGATAAGCCGCTTTGATTATACTCTTGACTCGCTAAACCAATAGTTTGAGAAAACCCGTACTTTGTGATCATCTCCCTCGCCAATCGTGTCGCTTGTTGCAAGTCAGACGAGGCGCCGGTTGTAATTTCATCTTTGCCAAAGATCAACTCTTCCGCGACTCGTCCGCCCATGGTGACGTCAAGCATAGCCATCAACTGTTTGCGAGTGAGATTCAACTCGTCTTTATCTGGAAGTTGCATCACCATACCTAAAGCATGGCCTCTCGGAACAATGGTCGCTTTATGCACGGGCCTCGCACCTTGCGTTCTTAAGGCAACTAAAGCGTGACCACCTTCGTGGTAAGCGGTGAGCTTTCTGTTCTCTTCCGTAATGACTGCGGACTTGCGCTCCGCGCCCATGAGAATGCGATCCTTTGCGTGGTCGAGATGGCTATTTTTCACTTCCGTCTCGTCATCTAAAGCTGCCTTCAACGCCGCAATGTTCACAAGGTTTGCTAAATCTGCTCCAGAAAAGCCCGGCGTCCCTCTCGCGACGATTTCAAAGTCTACGTCTTTCGCGAGCTTCACATTTTTCGAGTGCACTTGCAAAATTTGTTTGCGACCTTCGACGTCTGGATTCGGCACCGCGACGGTTCTATCGAAACGCCCGGGTCGAACGAGCGCTTTATCCAAAGCCTCGGGCGTGTTTGTCGCTGCAAGCACAACAATACCTTGGACATCGGACGAATTAAATCCATCCATTTCCGTTAAGAGTTGATTCAAAGTCATGCGAGTGTTCTGCGCATCTTTCGGAGAACGCTGCGAACCGACCGCGTCGATTTCGTCGATAAAAACAATACACGGTGCTTGCTTCTTCGCCGCTTTAAATAGTTCTCGCACTCGTCGAGCGCCGACGCCAACAAACATCTCCTCAAACTCAGAGCCGGAAACGTAAAAGAACGGCACGTCCGCTTCGCCCGCGACGGCTTTCGCGAGCAAAGTCTTTCCTGTCCCCGGCGGGCCGACCAAGAGCAAACCTTTTGGAAGTTTTCCTCCCAAGCGAGTAAACTTTTTCGGATCTCTCAAATAGTGTACGATTTCTTTCAGCTCATTCTTTGCCTCGTCGACGCCTTTTACATCCGAAAACGTTGTCTTCTTCTTCCTTCGTATTTTACCACCTTTACCGTCGCTCTCTTCGATGAATTCGTCCTGGTTTTGAGGTTTTGGTTGATCTGAGTTTCCTAGAAGCGATCTTCCTACCGGTCCTCCTTTATCCTCGATGAGTGCTCCTACTCCGGACAAGACCACAAAAGCTAAGCCTAACGTGCGAATTGTTCGCCAAACTTGCGCTGGAAACGTTGGTTCTAAATGCTGCACGAATAACGGCGACTTTGGCGTCCCTAGCACTTCACCGCCGGAAGCCGAGGACGACGATCCGCGCAACGCGTTTGTCGCAGCGGCTGCCGCACCGCCGGAAGCATTTCCTCCTACCCCAGCTGTATTATTTGCCGCAGCTGTCGCGTCATTGATAGCTTTTGAGAATCCTTGTAAGGTTGGAAACTGCCATCCTCCACTTCCGCTAGCGCCGTGATTGTTCTTTGCCATCATTGCGGTATTTGCAGCCGCAGCGCCGGCAAAGCCATCACCTCCTCCTCCTCCTCCTCGTTGTCGTCCAAAAGCAGACGCTGCCGCCGAATGTGGTTGCATCATTTGCCCTCGCTGTAGAGTTTCTAACATCGCTGACTCGTTCAACCGATTCGTCGCTACTAATGCTTTGAGATATTCGCTCAGATTCTTCTCGTTTTGTTGGTTGACTCGGTTCGTTTCGAACAACTCAATCACTTTGTTGCTTTTGTTCTGCTTGTTCAACAGTTTGAGTTGCTGAAACTCGAGAGAGGACGAAGAAGAGGAAGAAGAAGAAGAAGAAGAAGAAGAACCGAAGAATCTCCTGCTTATGTTATCGTTGCTCCTGTTGTTGTTGTTGTTATTCGAGACTTTGTTCGCGCTCATCGCGCGGTTGCTCTTGGAAAGATTCTTCGTCATCGTCACTCTCGTCGTCGTCATTCTCGTCGAAAAAAACGCACACGCATCTCGTGAGAGTTTTGTGAACCCATTCCTTCTCGAAGAAAGAGACATGTCGCGAGACGACGCGCTCGTATGACTCTTGTTTTTAAGAGAATGAGAAGGAAGTTAATTCACACACACACACACACACACACACAAGTCGCGCGCGGGTTTGGAGAATTAGTGATAAAATTCTTTTCAGTTTTTTTCCTTTTCTGGGAAAGGGCAAAAGGCACCTACCTCAGTTCACCTTTTCTCCAGCAATAAACAAAATTGGCAAATCATCAAAAATCATCAACACAAAAAACAAAAACAAAACGCGCGAAAGAGAGAGAGAGAAAGAGAGACTACGTACGACTCGCGCGTGAATTCGGACAGAGATTGCGCGGTAAAGGCTCAATAATTGATCTCATCTGTGGTTTCAAATTGTCGTAATGCCCTCTCGAAACGGTGGGAGTGGGTCCTCACCGTCGTCGTCGTCTTTAAAAACGAAGAAACAATTGGAAAAGCAACAGGAGAGACGAAGACGTTTTCCCGCCGCCGCCGCTGCTGGGTTGACGCTCGACCCGCTCCTCGTGCCTCGCTTACAAGCGTACGCTGAGAGTAATAAGACTCTTCTCAGAGACGTTGATGGTGCGGTTGAACATTTATGTCGAAGCTTTCGGGAATACAAGAGGAAACCCAAAGGCGTGTTTCGGAAAACTGTAGAACGAGCGATTGGCGTTGTCCTTGCAAAAGAAGGGAAAAATAATAAAAGCGAGGAGGATGCGACGAATACGCGAGGAGGAGAAGAATATGACGATGATGATGATGACGAAGAAGAAGAGGAAGAAGAAGATGACGATGATGATGATGGTGACGATTGGAGCGAGGAGGAAGATGATTATGAAGAAAACCGAGAAGAAGAAGATATGGATGTCATGAATAGAGCGTTGCAGAGCACGTACGCTACGGCTTCAAAAGGCAAAGAAGTTTTCCACCAAAGTGGTAGCATTAGAAATGGCGTTTCCGGGATTGAAAAAGGTTCAACACCGAGCGCTTTTGCGTCAGAGGAGAGAGTGAAAGCGGCTGCAATGAGAGCTTTGGCGAAAGCAGAAATTAATCCCATGGAAGGCAGACTCGCGCAAAACGGAACCGATATCAAGACCAATGTAGATGAAGATGAAGAAGGAGAACCTAACTTAGCGGAAAAGGCACAAATCGCGGGACATGAAAGAGCCGTACAAGCAGTCATGAGAGCGAATCGACGAAACAACGATAAAAACGGAGAGAAGAACAATAACAACAGTAATACTAGTCGGATCCATTGCTTGTTGGGTAATCTGTGTAATA